AATAGGTCACTAAACAAAGATATTCTGTACAAATGTTCATCAAAAAATCTTCAGCTATTCTGGACCAATATCAAAAACTCTGTTTTTAATTTTTAACTTTAACACGTTGTAACTTCTTTGCTATGCACTTTTGGATATAGATAGGTTTGAATAAATCATCTTATTTTCATCCCAGAAGTCTGTAGTTAAGCCATGTTCCAACCCTTTAGAGACACCCTGTATAGCGCTTAAAAGATCGAGCAATTACATTATATCGGAAATGACTTTTTGAAATCATTTCTGTTGAATAAACTGGCAAGACTGGCATCTCTAATAACGTTTGTTTCGTTTTTTTTTTTGTTCGAGTCGCCTGTCGTCGGCGTTTTTCCCAATAATGTCGCTGCTGCAGCCGTCAAAGCGGAAGCTGAATTTATCACTCCATCAATTTTTCAATTGTCGCCGGGTCCCCAACAGCAAACCTATACGCAGACTTCTGATTCCGATAGAGATGATTTAGAGCCGACGATTTAAAAATGTGGGTCAGTTCGAATTATTATTAACCGACGATGCAATAAACAAGCAAATCGATCGGAAAAGGTTTCTCTTTTCGTTGCGAGTAATTAGCGCAATCGGTTTTTCCATCGTCATTCAACAATTACTTTAAATCGAAACGCGCTCCCAATTCCAGCTAAATGTTTTAGCGGATATTAAGCGATATGCACCGACCGGGCGATTCTCCCTCGAAGCGAAATACGAACGAAGAAATAATTGATTTTCTGATGGAATTCGTTATGGATAGATCGGCTACAGAGATACGTGCACAGAGACAAATCGAACCGGCGAACTTGCGAAAGCAGACTTCCCGACTTTACGGAGAGGCCCTTTAGCCGCTCGCCGGAGAAATGGATTTGATAATCTAAATTTAGGTCAATACGACGAGGGAAGCGGTCGCGAATAAACACTTACATTTCCAAGAGGAATTTAATTTCTCTCCGACACCGAATTTAAAATCGGGTTTATTGGCCCGACAACCGTCGGTTTGCTATTAAGCCATTTCTCCTAACGCCCTCGTATAAATTACCCCAACTAACGACGCTAAATTACGGATTATTACCTTCGATTTCTAATTTGCGAACACACGTTGAATATTAAATTCAAATGCGCCGAACGCTGGTCGAGCGTTTAATCGAACGCATCGGCGAGCGGTTTAGTTACAAGCCCTCCTGAGACGTTTAATATGAAGGGATTAAAGTTTGGAGCCTTGAGGTCGGTTCACTGAGTACTTTCCACTCAACTGTCACTCTCTAAACCGTCTAAAACCGTCTAACTCTATTAAGCTCTGGGTTTCGCTTGCCCATTGCATTACAATGATTGTATATCATAAATATCTCAGCTAATAATTAGATTGTTTCCGAAACTATGTATAACACTCGGTTAACAGTTTGATTAAAATGTAGCTTCAAAATTAAATTTCTCATCAAATTCTACACACGTACTAGTTTGATTGTTCCTTTTAATTCATTCATGAGCAGTATCAAGTTCGATTGTTTGGAAAAAGTTTCCCGTACCCAAGCGCCCCTTTTCGCCCCTTTTCGCGTCGCTCACAGCACAAAACCCATTACCGTTCAGTCCATTGTGTCCTCATATTTTTATTCGCCGCCTTCGAATGTGGGTATTTTTTGCGGCGTTCCCGCAAAAGGCCTGCCGGCGCTTCGGCGAAGTTCCCTGTAAACGGCCCGGATGCCCGTTCGCAGCGGATTCTTTTCCGAATTCAGGTCGCCCGACGCTCTAAGGAGATAAAATTTGAATAAAAACAATTCCGCTTTGGATTACGTCGAACGGTAGGAATATTGATATGGGGATTGCCAGGAAAAAAGACACTTGTTGAAATGAAAGTCGGATTTCGGGGGCGCTTACCTGCTGGAAATTATCAACTTCAGGTGCTCCTTCAAATATTCCACTACAACCGCTCTTCGAATATAATAGGTATTTTAAGTGAAATTAAGGCATGAGAATAAATTACGCTGGTAATTTTTGGGTTAATGCCGGCATACGAATTCAGTTTCGGAAGGGGCTCGGTTATGTATCGTATATACGAAGTTGGTTGGCTATTCTCTTGTTTCTCATTCGTTTGGAATATTAAAACCGGGTCCATTTAAATGAATAATGATCGGTACAAAAGGCGCCGCTTTAAAGTTAAATCATCTTATTATTCCTTCGAAGAGGTAAATGAAAATTTAGATTTTCCAAAGCAGTTCGGAACGGAAGTGGCGAGATCGCACGCGTCGTACTGATCATTGAATGGAGTTAATTAAGTTTGTTGCTTAATTCTCGAAACTGTATAAGTTTCTGACAATAAGACAAAAGAAGGTAATATCAAGTTTTAACTGGAATGATTTTCATTGCAACGGCGTTATTTCCTAACTTGGTTTGCTTCGAGCAATCGTAGCTAGCAATCAATGTTTGGTAAAAACTTAGTAGCATTTAAAGTAATAAGAAAATGTACTTATTCCGCTGTAATAATAATAATTCTCAGTAGGTATTGTTCAATTTTTAAGTAAGTAGACATTTTTTTAATCTGTAATTAATAGCCTACTCAAATTCAATAGAGGTTCGTTATTTTAGGCACTTGTTTAAGCACTTGAAAATCCGATCCGACCGAAAGGAAAGCTCATAAAAACAAATAAAACCCCAATAACAAAGCGGAATTATATCGGCCTAATCCCGAATCATTCGATACTCCCAACAACACAGCTCTCCTCCCATTAACGCAGCCTATAAAAACAATCGATACAAAACCGTCGCCGCTATCCATTCATTTGTTTTCCTGCCATATTTACTATTTACTCGAACTCGACTTCGGAGTTGATTTTCCTTCTACAACACTCGTTTATTAACAGCGAGTTTTCCCCGTTTCCGAAGCTCTACGGCGTAACACATGTTCTGCACGCTTTTTGTTTTGCTACACACATTGATAGACTATTGTAGGTGGCAACATGTTAGAGCTACGGGAAAAGTTAGGTTTTTTTTATGGTTAAAGCTTTTCCATTTAGACCAATTCTAACTGTAGGTATCTACTAATTAATTTCGTACCGGTAACTAGTTAATTCGAGAGCTTTATTAGTGTATGTTAGGGCTATATGGGTGGAAAAACTCTCGGTTTTCGAATTATAAAAGTCGAAGGATTCTCGAAGGTAACAGGTGGCGTCGCCTAACTCGGAAGGCTGGAGGCGCGAAGGATTTCTCATTAGAAATGCGGTGTTTTTGTTGACAGCGCTGACGTTTGATTAATACGCCTGGTGCTCTTCCGTTGAATACGCTTTCGAGTTTACCTGTGACGTTAGCTTTCATTGGATTCGACTTTCTCTTTCATCAGGATCTTCGGCAATACAGGGTGTTTATCTGATATAAGTGGTCAAACTTTGGGAGCAAGTAGAGAGCCTCAAAATATGACAAAAACTTAAATGTCATTGTATCGAAATGTCCTTTGTTAACGGTATACAGGGTGTTCAAGATGGTATCGAAATATCCTTGGTTGTCAGTATACATACAAGGTGTTAAAGATGGATTCTTGAAGAGGTATTTTTATTAATAATTTCATTAATAGCAAAAGTAAAATGAAGATATTGAGTACACATAGTAAGGAAATGGAATGTCTTACGGCACTATTCAATTGGGCTAAAAAAGTTGTCCAGGGTGGGTTAAAATGGGGATTCGTGGGATAATTCTAAACTAACTTTTTTATTTTAACCTTTTCTACTGATTTGTTTAAAGAATATGACAAAATTAAGTTTTCTAGGTGCCGAATGTTGAAGCATCGAGGACTTTCATTTAAAATAGCATATTCATATGTAGGTACAAAAGTTTTAGTCCGAAAAAAATAAATATATTCACATCCAGAAATAAAACTAAATTATATTAAACTTAAACATTTTATAAGTATTCTACAAAAGTAGGACAAAATAAATAATTCTTTGGAATTAATAAAAGTGTTCTTTAAATTTACATACTAGGTATTGTAATGTAATAGGGTAATAATAAAAATAGGAAAAAGTAAGCATCTAAAAACAGGTTGCCTTTGAAAGTCTCTAGATATAAAAAAAGGTTGCGAGAAAAAGTGGCAAACGATTTTCTACAAATACATGGGGAAGAATGCGACACGACTCGGAAAAATTGTTTCAATTTCACACAAATAATGAACGAGAGCGTGAAAAAGGCGAAAAGCTTTTGAAAATGGCAATGGCAACGTTTTTTTCGCGGTGCGAGAAGAGATTCGGTCGCGCGAATTGATTCGACGCGCCGACGAGGTTTATCCGATGAATTTGAGAATGAATTTGTTGTTCCAGCGAAATTTTATTTGTTATTTAAACAGTGATTAACTTACGAATTGATTAAATTTTCCATCTCTGAATATCTCTGAATGATCCATATTACCACGTATTTTAATTTTTTTTTGTATTCGATAAAATTTTTCATCCTAAAAACTACCATTTTTTCAGTAAAGCGCAGACATTAGGACGGGCTGTTATACAAATTTACACGCATACTTTCATACCGAAATATTCCCAGCACTTCTTGCCTATTATTTTTTGCTTCTCATTCCTTCATGCGAATGTCTGCGATTCAACCACATGTGCATGCTACGAATTAGAATTATAAGGAGCCCCGGGAAATCATTTGCCCTCGGCAAAAATTTCAAACTTCCGAAAAAGGTTTTGCAAAAGTTTGTTTTACTTAAGGCGGAAGTAAAATTCGTCGAAAGTTTAAAAGCTTTTGCATTACTTATTAATTGGATGTAACAGCTCGCTTCGCAATTTTGCCGAGTTACAAAACGTAGTCTTTTATTATGTACCTACTTACGCACAAACACGCATTTTCGGTACACTCTTATAAGTTTTAATTAAAATATATTCTTAATCGACAATTTTAGAAACCTCATCATTATTAAATCATCTTTTTGTTGTATCAATTTCACTTTGTATGGATGCGATTCGAATGAAACAACTCAATGTTTTATTTAGTACAAAAATTTCGACGAGCGGTGAGCATCGATTCGAAAATAAGCAAACGGAAAAGGAAAAATAAATAAAAAAATGTGAAGTGATACCAGTGACATACATAGCAGCGCCTTCACTGAACCGGAGTCTCATCGGATACTGGATAAAATGGATTATTATTAAATTACAATTCAATATTGACTGCCGCAAAACTCGATTTGTTGAATTCAGGTAAGTGCGAATGAAACAGCATTGAATCATCCAAATATAATCAAAAATTATTGTTATTAACGACAAAATATTTTCAAAAAACGAACTCGCTTATCAAAAATAAAAATATATACTTTTGTAGGCGAAGTTCTAACATATTGTTTGTATTCACCTGTTGTAAAAATCAATAACCCGTAAGAATTAGTGGAGCAAAATCGTCTATCGCCTATATCAGAAGACCTACAAGCTTCAGCCAATATTTGTTCGCCTCCCTCTCCGGCCAGTTTCTGTACCTACCTACATAACAATTCAAACTAAAAATACAATTTGACTTGTACACTCGACATTCCGACAAACTCCACATTTCGCCGCTCATCAGTTAACTTTATTTGGGGCCGACCTAAACTAACTTCGAGGTAATGAGTTTAACCGCAACTTCATCGCGTATTCCTATGACGCAGCTAAAGACGTTGTGACAAAGTATCCACGAGCGAAGTTCTTACATTGTAAAACTTTAGTTAGACTCGCTACAACGGCGTGCGGTAAACACCACTAACGTAGGAGCCCGAAAACCGCATTATTTTAGTAAGGACATCGTCGAGGTCGAGAGGAAAACGAATTCCCGGTTGCTATCCGAGATTTAATAAGTCGCGAATGATAATTTTACTCTCTGAAATGAGTTTCTAAGGGACTTTAGGGAGTTTATCTCCATTTTAACTAGCATTGTCTAAAGCTATATTTTCTTAATGCTTTTTTTAAGTACCCGAAGCTAGTGTAGGTATAGCAATTTTTGTTAATAAAATTATACAAATGGTCATTATTTTAACTGTAGAAGCTTAAAGAATCTAATTTTTTATTTCTTGATATCCCTGCGACTAACACGCTCGACAATTTCCAGAGAACAAGACCCGAATCGATCCCCAAGACCCAATTTCGTCATGAATATGACATGAAACGGGGTAAATAAGGCCCGGAAAACGAATATTCACCCAGGATTGGCCATTCGATAGACGTGTGTCGGGGCCACCGAAAATTTGCGATAAGCCCGACTTTTCTCATTCCCATTTATTCAGAGAAACCGTCAAGGCGAATCACGTCATCGGCAACTCAGAAAATATTTTGTCGTAGCATTCGAATCCCGTTACATTCAATCAAAAGAATTATTTTCGTTTCAGCTTTAAGCGTCGCACTCGAGGCGGAAAGTTCCAAAGAAGATGAGAGATCCCGCGCAAATCTCATTGAATACTTCTCATTCGACGAGAGCTAACGCCATGAGTGTTATTCGATGGAGCAACACCATTCCCCCACAACGAAAGCACATCGTCAAACATATCGCGGAACATGACAGGCAACAGTGAATCGACACCGGCATGTGAGCGTTGGAAAAAATGGAAGAGGCTCGCGGAATCATGAACAGCAACAGCGATTTAATGGCGCCCGCCGTTATCCCGCAAAAATACGAAGCCAACGTCGACTACGTTATCAACGAATACATGGAGCGGCTCGGCACTCGCCTGAACATCCTCGAGACCGAACTGAAGTACGCCTGGCGAGCGCTGGACCTCCTCTCTCAGGAGTACATAAAGATGTGGGAGCGGCTGGAGAAACTCGAAGGGCTGTTGTACGAGCAGCAGAGCGTCATATCGCAGCTGCTCGATTTCTACACCAGCGGCGGGGCTTGCGCGCAAACGGCGCACTCTTTGGAAGGCAAACTCGGCGAGTTGGAAGTGATTAGGGAGATTTTAGGCAACGGGGCCGTCGAGGACGGTTTGGAGGAGGGGCTGGATGTGACCACGTCGCACGGGCAATCGCTGGAACTGGAAAAAATGGAAATGGAAAGCGAAATCGACGAGATGCACGTACCTGATGAGGCTTTTTATAAAAGCCTCAATCAAGCTTATCGGGAGGATTTGGTGGGCGATGATCCCGGATACGGGATTAGTCAATTAGGGATGATTTGGGAAGAAAGAGAAGAGGGCAGCGAAAACGGAGAAAGGGAGAGAGATAGAGATAGACAACCCATTGATACCTCAAGTAGGTTAGAAGAAAATCAAGAAATTTATAGCGCCCTGGACTATAAAGATTACAGAGGAAATTCACCTTGTATAAGTGAACAAGATCTAGCTCAACTGACTAAAATAGATTCGATAGATCATTTAGCTATTGAAAAGTTGGACGAATTAGATCGACTGAGCAATAAGTTGCATCAAGATTCTGTAAATATTAAGCAATTAAGAAGAAAACTATTAGAATCTCCTCTTACTATAACAGAAATCGAAGAGGAACAAATTAACGTAAAAGAAGCCGAAGACTTGTCTAACATAGAAGAGACCATTCAACAAATGTATCCTGACGATCAATGGAGCTTCTCCGGTAGCGTTAAAGATAAAAACGAATTCCTACTGTTAGCTAAATCCGATCTGCCTAGTCTTCTTCCAAACGCTCCATATTCGTCCAAATCTAGTTCGAGATTTTCCCTTTCCGATGCCGATAAAGAAGTGGCAGAGACTCTGGGTGTCGAGTCTCGCAGTCCTTCATCGCCAAGGAGACGACAGACTGAAGTAACGACCTGTAGTGAACCGTTTAGTACAGTAACTGGAAGACTGGCCTACAGTGCCGCCGTTCAGCACGCCGAGCAAGTAGAGGCGGCAGTAGCCGCCGCAGTTGCGGCACACAGCAGTAAAAATCCTTTCTATTGCATGTCACCGACGCTGCTACCGGCCGCTTACGAAACCGTTCCTTGTTCCACGCCGAATGTGTATAGCGTTAGATCGGAGAAAACCACGTCTCCGACATTGTCTATTTGCAGCGTACGCACCAGGCAGGACGGCTACGTGGATCCCAATGCGGCCGCTCCCGTCGGACAAAATCACAGCCCACCGCCGCCGCCGGCGCCGGACGTCACCGGGAATTTTTTAGCCATTAATAAAGCTGCCAGTGCATCGAATGTATTTTTGGACGCCGCCGATTCGTCGATTAACCAAAACGAGCGACTCAGTCCTAAGCATCATTCTCCGAAATCCACGAAATCGTCGCCGAGAAGGAGCAAATCCCATTCGTTGACCATGGGAGCAGCGAAATCTGACTCCGGTTTATCATCCATGAGCGGTTGGTCGAGTCTCGAAAAATCCCCCGGTTCGCCGAAAAATACCCGCACGAATTCTTACACGGAGGGAAGGCATGCATGCAGCAGGTTAGTGTCGCCGATACCTTCGCAATATGGGTCTACTTCTAATTCATCGAAAACGTTTATTGAATCTTCGGTCGATAGTAAGCTGGTGGAGAGTTTGAACTTTTTACCCGGCGGCCACCATTTGTCCGCTTTTACGACTGTTAAATCGCCGTCGGGCTTGGAAACCGTGGAAGGTTACGGGAATTTCGTTCCGGCTCCCGCACCTGCGTCGGATATTAATGTTAGCCCCAATAAAAAGAAAGATAAATCACCGGCAAAAACTAGCGATAACAGAGCCTCGGGAATATCCATGTACAGGTACGATCAGCCGGCCATTTATTCCGTCGCAGGCAGTAACAGAGAATCGTACACGTCTGTATATACGGGTAATTCAGAATATTGTCAAAATTACCCGGATCTAATAGAGCCTTACGAAAACAACGAATATTTCAACAACCAACAAAAATCCTTCTATCCTCCTGCGTCGTATATGCCTTATGTGGAACCTAGTTCTAGCTTTAGTAATAATACCAAACATAAAACGTCTAAAGGAAGAGAGACTGACGATTTTTCAACGCATGAAGGCTATAAAACAGCCATGTACAGGACTATGTTCCCCTCCGGAAATATCACGGACGCTCTCTCTTATTATCCCACGTCCTCGCGAACTGAAACAACGTACGCTGATCCATCCTGGCAGGTTCCGGAATCGACTTATTCGCAAAGTCCGAGCTCGCAATATCAACAACCGCCGAGAGAACAAGACCAACCTCCCGCCTACGAGATTCAGCAATTCGAACAACAAAACAAACAGTGGAATCAAAGACAAGAAATTCCCTATTTAGACTTGGACTTGAGAAATAAAAATTTACCCGAATACGTAGTTCAACAGCAACACGGCCATAACCTATATTACGATACCGGCGGCATCATAATGACCCAATCAGGTTACATTACTATATCCTCGGGAACAGATACCAGGCCACAAACGACCGAAACGACGAAAAAAGTGAAACGATCGAATACGCTAAAATCCGCAATGAGCTCCGTAAGCCATTGGTTACCCAATCTGAATGTAGCCAAACGAAGTAGATCGCATTCGTTGCCCGGCATAAAAAGGGACGCCATAAAAGTAAATCTCAACAAGAAAAAAAAGAAAAACAGCATAGTTTCCACGGTTTCCGATATCATCCAGAAGGCCAAACGACGCGGAAGCTTATCCCACAATTATTCCTCTTCCTATTCGGATACCGAGCAATCCGACTCGGAATGGTTCACCGAAAAATCCAGATCCCTTCAATCCGAGGACGAACGAAGCGAAGACAGCACCAGCCTTTATTCGGAAACAAACGTAGAAACAGACAGCGACTTTACCACCAGCACTGATAACAGCAAAAGTAAAAAGCACGTTCCGGCCAACAACGACAAATTTACTTTACAACCATTATTCGAAGCGACAACGCCTCAAGCAGACGACAATAACCGCAAAGAGGACACCGAAGGAAACTTCATTAATAATCAAGCGGTGCCATATCTAATTAGAAAAAATTCGATACACTCCGAAGTCGACGATCACGTTATAGAAAATAAGATGGTGGTCGTGGTCGGAGCCGGCGGGGCCTCAATGGAGTTCGCCGTCTCCAGAGCCCTAGGAAAATACAGGCAGCGGCAATCGAACTCCTTCTCCGACGACCAAGCCTTCAACGAAGAAGAAGAAATCATAATAGAAGAAATTAGCGAAGAAAAAGAAAACCAGAGTGAATCGGCCCCGCAGATTCCCGACAAGATTCTACCGGAACAAAAATCCACCGATAGTCAAACCAGTTCCGACAATAATAAACCCACTATTATCGACATAGCCGAAGAAGCTGTGTCGGAAGACAGTCCCTCGACCGTTAGCATTAAGTCGCACACGAACCGGTTCCTGCCGAAGCAGCAGCAAAGCCTAGAAATCCCCGGTAGCAGGGACGACGACGACGTCAGAAGCACCCACTCCTGGCGCAGCACCTCGAGGGTCTCGTCGAGGAGGCAGAGCACCGAAGATAGCATCGACAGCGAGGACGAGTGGTACTGCTACGAATTACGAAAATTGGAGGAGATGGAGCGGCAGAACCAACTCGAAATCGATATGGGTGCAACGCTACACGAAGAACCCGAACCCGACGACGAGTTCGAACCCAACCAGGAAACCAAGGAAAAAATGGGATTCGTGCTGAGAGAACTGCGAATGAAAGCGAGAGTCTTAGAAGGAGTTTTGGACGAAAAAGATAATAACCTACTAACAGTGCAATCGCGGAAAAAGAAGGAATCTAAAGAAAAACGATCATCGTTTCAACTAGACAACGCCGCTTCGTTGTTCGAAAAAATTAAAAACTACCACCACGAAATCGAGGAGCAGGAACTGAAGAAGGAACTCGACCGGCTGGAGGTGCACAGTCCACACCAACCCCATGAAAAGGACGATCATTCGTCAGGGGCGACCTCGGGGCCGGATAGCCCACACAGCACCGACGAATACGACGAGGCCGAAATGGCCATCAACGATGAATTCGCCTTGTGCCATATCAAAAAGGAGAAAGAGGAGGAGGAACACAAGAAATTAGAAATCACTACGGCAATACAGGAGGTCATAGAATCGACCCCGGTGCCCACGATTACGCTGGAAACATCGACACCGGCCAAAGAAGAAAAGGAGGAAAAGGAGGGCGGACAAATGGGCAGTCGATGGAAGTTGCTGAAGACGCTGAAAGAGAAGAAAGCAGAAGAGAAAAATAATCAGAAAGCTCCTACTCCGCAGGTTACTGAAAATAACGTAAGTTACTCAGAATGTTGTTGTAGAATAAAAAATTTACAATATGTACACATTTATTATTTAATTTAGCTTAATCGGACAAAAGGTGGTGATAAATTATAAACAATGCAATAAATTTTCAAATAGCTGTGTTATCGAAACAAAGCTAGTGAATTCTCGGAATTGCATACCGTTCAATAGGAAGAATGTTCTATTGGAGGAAAAGAATGTCTAATAATTCGAAGAATCTAATTCAGGAACTAGATTTCTCATCCAGGAATGTCTGCTAATAAAGTGCACAGAACGGAACCTCAATTATTTCCAAGTTTTAAAGGGGATATCCTTACAAATGAATCGTATTTTGAAATTAACTTAATTTACTATTATGGATTTTTGCTTTTATAAAACGTTTTTAATAAATATTGTTACCCCTTTCAACCGAATTCATCAGAAGGGCAATATAATTTGCTTCATTATGATCGAATATTGCCTATTATGGCTTTTAATTGAATTTGCTCACAGTGTATGTATTCGATGAGTTTACTTTGCATATTTTTTATACAAATTACTACTGAATTGTGTTGTAAATAATTCCATTTTTTCCCTTAAAAATAATTGCGTAAATTTATATTGCCATTAATAATTGTCTGGTACATAAACCACTGTCAAAACATGGTCTTATAATTTCAAAATTAATGTGGTTAAACCACTACGTGCCACATACAATTATTTAGGTAGCTTCTGTTATCGAATATTCTATCCAATTTATACTGCGCTAGAAAAAAATATCATTTTTACAGCGTTCCTAATTCCCTCCAGTTATTATTTGTACAACCCACGATGAACATTTTTTGTCAAGTCAATTACGTTTTGTTATAAACGACCTCAGGTAAACCAATTTATTTCGTTTCGCCCAAGAATAATAATGAGGATAACATAAACTTCAACTAAATTACTCGTACATGTACTATACTTCAATAATAATTCATCCTTAGGATAAACTAAATATATACTCATTTTTTATGTACAATACATTCTTTATAATACATTATAAAGTTTATTATACAATATATTCTTTAAATAGTAGACCTAATATTAGAATCATGTTTCAAAAATCCCTTAAGGGCTATAAGTTAAATCAAAATTTGATCGGTATCTCAGTAACTACTCTCCAGGAATGCCTGTGTGCTTGTTTCGCTGGCTTCCAGAGAATTTCAAGAGCGATTCCTAAATTATTGGCTCTTTAATTCCATTAAATCTCGCTTCCGCCGGCGAAATGTCCCGGCGTCGATATCTTTTTACCGATTTTATTACATCTCGAGTTAAAAAATTACAAGGCACGCACGAATTCCCGAGACATAATAAAAACGGATACTCGGGAGCTCCTTTTTGATGATGTTTCGCATGAAATACCGCTCGGCGTATATATCGAGCTGGAAAGTTCCGAACTTGCTACCGGCTACATGCATTTAAATTCTTCAGGAAGACGTAAAATATAAAAGTGAAGAAAACGTCAACTGAAGGCGAGATAAAATTTTCGTACTAATTTTTCTTACTTTGAGATTATGTGAAGTTTCAAAGATCTCGTATCAACTTTAGCTGATGAATAATCTTGTTCTTTTTCAGGTTTGACGACCGATTTTCTCTATACTATATTAAACTTCGCTTTTACCTTATTTTGTTCACATTTTATCATCTAACATGAGCTCTAATTAATTTGATAATAAACTGAATTGAAGAACCTAATGAACTGGAAAATTTCTACAGCTTAAATAAATGTAGGTTGAATTAACTACTTTTTCTCTGTTGAATTAATTGTGAAACATTACGAAGAACTAATTCGAAATTATCGCCGTCGACTTTGATGTCGATAGAATGCAAACAAAGCGTCCTTTCGGCTTCATCTTCAATTATACGTTAATTGTACTAGTAAATCAATTAAGCGCTAAATATTCCTTTTCTCCTCATCCTCATTTTCTTGTATATTTTAGTGTCGGTGCCATTATAAATTTCGAATGATTTAATTTAGTAGATGGAAGTCGTATTATTCTCGAATTTTATTTTTGTTTTCCGAATAATATTATTTCATGGAGGCGAGTAATGACGCCTTAAAACGTTCATTATTCAGCCGAGTAGAAGTAAATTATTTAATTCAATTGACGACGGGTATTCAAAGTAAGTAATTCATTTAACGAGGTGGTTTCGATGCGAAATTAATTAGAGCTTGTAGGAAAGAATTTCACTCCGAGTAAGGTATTTGATAAAAAATAGAAGTTAATGAACTGAATTTTGTGCTACATTTTTCCAACCCGTTTTATCCCTTAATTATGTGTTCTAATTTTTGCTGATGAACTCCAAGTTTTTAAAAAATTTAAATTACGACAGCTAATTTTTTATATTTGTTTTATAGAAAGATTCCGGTATACGAGGTGATCAAGCTCGAGCAAATGGGTAAGTTAATTAATGCATAATCGTAAATTTTTGTAATTTTTACACACCAACATTTTAAGTGTTAATAAAACTTGGTATGAATTTCTCTTCATCTTAATAGAAAAGTTACCTCTTTTATTCAACTATTAAAAAGTTAAATCACCCAACCATAATATGGTTAACATTATTTTTTAATTATTTAATTTACATGCCACGCAGTTATTTTCACCCACGCATTAATTATTATCAAAGGAACTCTATCCGATTTTCCATCCTACTGTATGTACCCATGGCGTTCATTGAACAATTCCTTTTATACACCGTTCCGATAAGACGACGCCGATGGGCTTTGAACATTCCCCATCTGGATCGAAGGTGTTTCTGACACGTTTACATCCGACCAGCATCTTCTTATCAATTCTTCATCGCTCGCAAAAGACCCTTTCCACCGTCAGGTCTTATTTAGGCGACCCCTTTCCGGTAGATCAAATGCTTTTCAATCAGTAGCGCTACTTCAATAACCTTTGAATTAAAATTTACGGTAGGGTAAGCCCAGATAAAAAGAACAATGAACAATCATCACACATATACAGGATGTATCATGTTATAATTGGTCACAAATATTGAATATTTGAGTAAACAACAGTAAATAATATTTTGTTTACAGAAAAATCTGTTTTTATTGCGCGAATTTCAACCTCAAATAAATAAAATAGGTTTATTAATATTTTGAAATAATGGCTTTGCCTACTGAATTTTGCAGTTAAAATATTCATCCTGTCGCAAATTTATTCCCACAATGTCGATATTGTCGACATATTCATTTAACGACGGACACTCAAACGGTACGTTTCCGATAAACAATTTCGCTTAAAATTTAAATTTTTGTCCCGTCAATTAATTCGTATAATTGGTGGAGGTAAATTGATTTTTCGGCGGCGTATGGGGTCGCCATTTCCGAAATAAAATTGAAGTAAAAGCCTTGCTATTCGAGCAAACAGAACACGCGCTTTAAAAATGGGGGTTATTAAACCGATTTTGTTAGATACCTACTAAAAACACAAAGCAATTAATTGGAACAATATAAATTTGTAAAGGCGAACAGGCAAACCCATAACATGAATAAAATTTATTGATGAGATTGGGATAAACGAAATGGAATAATATTATTAGAAGCGTTATTGATAAATATTACATGCGGAAAATTGACGTACTAAAATTAATTGATTAAATAATTGGTTGTTCATAAACCTACAAAAAAATAATTACATTTATTCATATCATAACAGCCTGAATATAACTACTTCCTACTTCAATAAAAAAAGTGTTTCTAACACGAAGTGTAAATTAAAATACATCGCAAAGTTAAGGGAATTTTCCGTTTCGAATGTTTTATAATGCCACAGGGAAATCAAATCCAATCCTGCAGCTGTAGAAAAATTTATTGCGTCACTTGAAAATAAAAGGGAGACGATGATGAAGAAAGGCATTAAGTTTATCTTTACTCCGACCATTGTATAGGTATGATTAAAGTCTGAAGATTAGTGTTATCGTGGTACGCCATCAGATTTTACGTATAGAGACGGTTTTAGGACATTTAAGTGGGTTAATAAAATTAAAGATTGAAATATAAACAGAGCGCTAAAGGTTTGATTACTTAATTAGCATAAATTTATACGCAGTTTTCTCATCCCTCTCATTTTGCACCTACTCCTAATAAACTGCTACGGTATTTAGGAACTCGTATAAATCCATAATGCAGTTCAGTTTAGTGCCAATGGACTTATATTTTCTTTTTTAATATTTCAGACATCCTGGGGACAATCCATTTTACAGCAACATTGACAGCATGCCTGATATCCGACCTATCAGAAGGAAATCCATACCTCTGGTTTCCGATTTGGTGAGTGTATAACTTGGCAGTTTTTTCATAAAAATCTATTAATCAATCTTCTGAAAAAGATGTTTCCTAAACTTTCCGTATTTCAGCAACAACCAACTAATTGTTAGAGATTATTCCGCAGACTCATTAATTGTTATTTATTATCTATAAAAACAATTAGTTAGGAGTTGTTTTAAAAATAACAAATGAATGTTTATATGTATGAATTTTGATTAACTATGCTGTTTAAATTTAGAGAAAAAAAATTCATTCGCATTTTTTACATCGCTCGATAATTCAAATATTTTCCGTCCCCCTATACATACATAAATATGTTTTTTATGCGATTGTTTGTTTGTGTTGAAGCCATTCATCAAATTCTACATGCTATTCATTCGAATCGAGCGTTTTGAAGAATAACAAGATATCTACCGAAATAAAAATCGTAAAAAACAATAAAACCAAAAAAATTGATACGCATAAACATTCAATATCCTTACTCAAATCACTTCCAATGTTGTGTTTTGATCGTCTGTATTCCTCTTCGATGTATCATGTATCCGTACGGCACGCAGGCAGCAGGAATTTCAACGCAAAAACAGAAGCATTTATATTTAATATTGTTAATCATTTCGGCTACAAAGCACTTTGTTGATCGCAGTAGAAATTTGTCGACAACAAGAACAGCTTGCAGAACAGATAAACAGGATTATCTCGACCGACTTCGATTGCGCCTCGGCATCTCTCTGGCTGCTCTTTTTCGGATATTCGTCTTCGAAAACTCAATTCAATTCGTATCCTGCATATCGCTAAGTTCTCCGGCTGCCTGTGTGCACGTACTTTGATGTTGCCCCGTCTCCATCCTGCGGATATATATTCGAAGCAAACTTGATCCTAATAATTTCGTGTAACAAATCCTTTGTCGGCCCCCGCGGACCTAAGTAATCACCGATAATTGTTATCCCTCGACCGGCCCGGCGGTAACACCAGATGGCACTCAAAGCACCTGTGCGAGAGCACCCGATTAATTATTACTTTACGGATTGTTTTCGCGAACACCGAATTATTTCCGCGGTAACAATCATTGGAAATAAAACGGCCGTTCCTCGAGCGGGAGGCGCTCTCGGGCTTGTAATTAGAGCGCGGAATTTTAAGTAGAGCTGAATGTTGGGAGATAAAATTTAAGGTGTCTTCTGTAAATTAATTCATGGAGCTATTATTGCTTAATTATTCATTACTTTAGTAATTTGGGTGGGTTAACATGAGTAAATTTTTCATCGGTTATTGGAATGTTTGTATAGAAGTATCAGCCGAAATAAATCGATTTTTGTGATATACTTCCTGAATTTATTCCGCAAAAAACGATTTTTCTCAACTACTTGCTCGATATATCATTCTTACTCTATAACTTTGTTTGAACTCCGGGATTTGTCTTCCGGATTGTTTACGAATATACACCATGTTCCTTCCAGTTTGTAGATTGGATTTTTTTTCGAATTTCCAAGTTAGTTACTTCTGGTGTTACTGCAACCTCATCTAGTTGATTGTTTTCATTAAATGTATAAAATATAACTCATGTACCTATCAAAAAAACTCTCCTACTGTGACTAATCTGTTTTGTGTTGTTCGTTTTCTGTTTTGATGGTTTGCCCGCGCCTGCGCCGCTTGATTCCTCCAGGTGCTCAAGGTATTGATATAATTTCTTAAGCAAAAGGACACGTCAATTCAATCATATTTACTAACGTTTTTCGCTTTGTTTTCTTATTAATACTAGTTACTAGTTGCTTGGGAAATGTTGCTGGATTGGTAGGTAGAAAAAAATAATTAAAAATTTAATCTAAAAATAAATATTTTTCTATTCTTTTTAATCGGCACTTGTCCTGCTGATTGATAGGAAAGTGCCTTTTATCTGCCTACCAATTAATTTAAATTTACAATATTTTGATAATACACGATATTTTTATTACAATTTAATAGTCTTTATCTTGATATATTTGATGCTTATTCGTTGCATGCTATCCACAATTTTCGCATGCAGATATTGTAAACACCTGCATCTAAAGTGAGCCGTAGAAAAAAATGTGTTTGTACATTATTTTGTATGCGGAACAATATTTACGTATAGCGCAATTTCATATTTCGAAACATGGTAATTTTTTAATGCACTTTTATACGCCAAAAAAGGCCTCTAATCAAAATTCCATATAATTCCAACGAAAAATTAACAAAACTCGGAATTAAACTAGTAGGCACTGCATTTACTGTTCGACAGTACATTCAGAATTAAATTATCGTATGATTAATCAACAGTTTGTAAATGTTTATGTGTAAACGCATTATGTATATGCAAATAATTCGTATTTTATGCTATGTTTCATTGGAAAGTAGGTATGTGTGTATAATTTTATAATCTTCATAACAGAGGCGATTATTGATTTTCACCTGTTTTCAGCTTTATTGTATCAACTAGGAAAATCTACATTCATTAAATTCAAGATCCATTGACACATTTGAAAAAAGCACACTTTCCTACTTTTTATTATTTCACTCCTCATTGTTAAAAAAACGTAGATACAACAGACACTCAAACTACTTCAAACTGCTATTAAAAATAGAAATGTTCTTTCACGCCTTGTTATCTAGAGATGCTTCAGCACTATTATTATTGTTACTATTATTAGTCTGGTTCTAATGTTCATGAGGCATCTAAAATGAAAGCTGGAATCCATCAACATCATATTACTTCGGGAACTTGCACTGACAGCGAAATTGTAAATCAACAGCGCAATCCAAGTATTTTCTCAATGAAACAGCTTAATGTTAATTAGTTGATGCTTTTGAACCTCGCTCGTTTATTATACAAAATAACAATTCAATTACTTTCAGTTGAGAATACAACAGCATGTTTCATTTTATCAAACTAAAAGTTTTGATTTTATTATTTGAAAACGCGGACGAACGAAGAATGATAGTCTATTAAAAGTTTTATCTAATTCGCCATATATGTATATAAAATGTATGAAATTTCACAAAGTTTTTAGAACACTATAATGGATTAATATTAACTGACAATGAAAATTAAAGGGATATTGCAACGTATGAATTTTATTTGTTTCCGAAAAACTCGGAAGTGCAATTTGCGCCACTTGCTAACTTTATAGCAAATTCCGTTGTTAAATATGCTCTTTGTAATTTTTCTTTTCATAATTTCACATTCCATGTTTGTTTAATATTCAAATACCTAGATTATAATGAAAAAGGGACTGACTAAAAAGTTGTCAAGGAAATTAAGCCTGCAAACTTTGTGAATGCTTCAGGCCCTTGTTTATTGTATATGCTAATGAAAATTGCTCGACGAATTTTTTCTTCAAAAATTTCGTTTGTCGAAATTCGTTTTGCAGATAATTAAAATCGAATTCCAATTAGCAAGGTAATTCGATTCGAAATGATTAAATGTTCCCGTTTTCAAATAATTAAAGAAAGAAGTTATTATAGCATTAATGAAACAAGGTAAGTCCGTTTCAGAAAATATTGCCAACGCACTTATTAGTCCATGCTTAAAATATTTTAGAAGGTTTCGATGCAAATAATATTTTCCGATGAATTTCTGTTCACAGACCATGGCTGCAACCAAAAGAAATGCCGGATTGACATCAGCTGTACCAAGAGCAACCCTAAATGATGAAGAATTGGTAAGTAATTCTAAAGTAAACAGATTCTAAAGTACCTTTTAACTTTTTTCAATGTATGCTTGTAATTTACATTTACGATCGTGGATATTTACTATATCGATTAGAATTGGAAACAACCTTCCTTTATCTATTCCACTACCAATCTTCCTCTATCTATCTATTCAAATATAATGGACTAGAACCCGTTTAAACGGTAGGGAAAGTGGTGTCGAAGCGTGAAATTCATCCCCTCGACGCTCCGGAAAGTGCAAAAACCCCACCCTTGCTGTCATCGGCCTAATTATCATCAAATCCTAACAATTTCCAATTTTCACGTGCTTCGGCACAGCCCTCGCCCTGAATAAGAATCTCGCTCTTAGCATTAACATAATAAAGGAAATATGAATTTTCTGCGAATTCGGAATTTGAAGCTCCACCTGGACCGGTTTAATTAAGAATTCGAAGCGTTTCACTTTCAATAACAAATTTTTGAATGTTAATTTTTCTTTTTATATTCCACTTTTAATAATTTAGTAATTATACCTTTCTGGGATCGTTTTAGTATATGAATAAATAACATTTCGCATTATCTGTTCATCCCTTTATTCAAGCCTTTCGTCATGAAAATTTTAAGTCTCTTATTTTATTAACGTCTTTTGTGCTCTCCGCGTTCTGCTTTAAATTCAAATTTTTCTGGACGTTTATAGCCTGTAAATGTTCGTTTAAACTGGAAATTATCCGTTTATGGATGGCCAACATGGTTAACTATCAATTATAATCGAGTTTACACGCTAAAATAAAAGAGTAAAAAGCGAGTCGACTAATTCACTGATCAAATAAATTGTGAAAAAACCATCAGCTAATCGGTGTATAACGTTATCTACGCTCATTTTTTGTAACAAGCATAAAATTAGATTTTTATTAGGCAACGGGGAATTTCAAATTTAACTAATTGCTAACGGGTTTTTGACTATTCCAGAAAATGCACGTGTACAAGAAGACCCTGCAAGCGCTCATCTACCCCATAAGCAGTACTACCCCGCACAACTTCGTCCCCTGGACGGCAACATCGCCTACGTACTGTTACGAGTGCGAAGGGTTGTTGTGGGGCATCGCCCGCCAAGGGGTGAGATGCACCGAGTGCGGAGTCAAGTGCCACGAAAAGTGCAAGGACCTACTCAATGCAGATTGCTTGCAAAGTAAGTGCGTTATAATTGCAAATTTTAATGTATAAAAATCGATGTATTGGTATAGAAAATTGTACAGTTTCTTAAGGAACAAACATATTGTGGAAATAAGTATAAAGTAGTATAATATGGTCATATAGAGATTGGAAATTTTAGGGATTTGATGCATTTGCAAACTTACCCATCCTGCATATCTCATGTTAAAAGAATTACAAAAAAATCTTAATATTGCTTAATAATAAATATCTTTAAATTACCTTAAAGAAATGTGAAAGTCATGTGAAAGTCGAAAACATTTTCTTTTAATAAAATTCTTAAAATACAGCACATGAAATATTAAGGAATAAATTTACCGCTATGCGAACCTGTAATGTATAGGTATTCATTTAAATCGTATGCAGGTATATTGTTCCTGAAACGAAGCAAGTAGAAATTTAACGATTCGAAATTTCCCTTTGCTTAAACGCCCGGAGTAACGTGAAATTCGCTTTATGTAAGTTAATTCAACTTGTTTGCAGAAGACTTTCAAAGTAGAGGCATAAAACGACGAAAAAATGACGTTGAAAAACCGTGGCTCCGAAATCCACTGCAACTTTAACAATAACGGGTCTCCGAGCGATGCATGTTACCCCATTTTGCGAAAACATATTCGCTGCCGTCCGCCCGGTTAGCCATATTTTCGCCTCGCATAGTCGGCCCTAAACGCTTAGACCTCAAGCGGCGCAAAATATTTATCCGGGATTGTTCTAGATTTTCCTTACGGCGGCGTTTTCTTTGAAAACAAATTCGATTCGGGGTCTTGTTGGACGGGAAATTTGTGTTTCAGATATCGAACCGCTCGCTTCCTTTATTAACGGAAACATTCATTCCGTAGGCCTCAAATTTATTCCAACGAAAATTGCTTTCCCTCAAAAAAAACCCACCTCGGCGTAGTTAAAGTACACAAAAGCTTTTCTAATTGCACTAATTTCAACTACCCCGGAATTTCGGATTTACGTATGAGAATTTAAACAGTTGGAACGCTACGGGAATTTTCCAGCACCGGACAAAAAGCAATCGTTAGTTAGAAGATGACGCGGAACTGCGATGTTTAATTGTTGAGCATTTTAGAACGGAACGTAATTACGACCTGTGTTTAATATGCACGACGGTCCGCCGCGTTATCTGTGTTTGTGCCCGGCTAGATTATAATTGAATAAAGTCCTCCTCTACCTTGCGGAAATCATAGTTTTAGTTCGAGTGTAGGAGCGCATCTCGCCGGGCTCGCTCTTCGACTAGAAACCATTCGCTTTGCTATTTTACCATTATAATTTATTTAAATCAGGCGAACCCGCGCCGAATTTCGAAATCATTATAGTCTTTTAGAAGCAGGTACTAATTCGGACTGCAGGAACTAATTTGATAATAATTACGAAGGGGGAAACGTTTCCATAAAATATGAAGAGTGTTTTCATTTATAAATCGCGTGCACGTACCTGTAAAAACACGTTGCATAGTAAACGCACACATGCCATTATAATTAAATTGCTTTGCACACAACCAAATACTGTTTGTTGGTAGTTGCGCACCCCAAATAGAGAATGCTTTGAACTCGAAATATTCACAAATCAATTCGAAAAAATAACAAAATAAACCACTATTATCAGTCGTTACATGGATGTTCTACACACTCTTTTATCCGCCGCTTTTTCTAAGTATTTGTAAAGTCTAGTGTACATTAACTAAATATTTATTGTGTTATTATGAAGCATTATCGACTCTCCACGTTCGAGCATCTTTTGTTGTTCCTGTCGAACTGTATCTACATTACATCAATTCACATCGTGTATAACAGATTTGCAACCGTATTTTATGGTGCTATAGAGAGGTTTAATTTTCCTGTACAATGGCAGTTTGTCGACGGGACAAATTGCTTATTATTACCCGGCAATTTACAGCTTCCTAATTACATAAACGGCGTTTTATCGTTGCAGGAGCGGCCGAAAAAAGCTCGAAACACGGTGCCGAAGACAAGGCCAACAGCATCATTACGGCGATGAAGGACCGGATGAAGCAGCGCGAACGTGAAAAGCCCGAAATTTTCGAACTGATACGGTGAGTATCGGTGAAAGTTCCGTTTCGATGTTACTGATGTTACCTAATCGATTTCGTACAAGTTTAACCAAGATTTCAGATAAACCGGTGATTGCAATCGAGAAATTTCACACTAACATTAATGAAAACGTTCCTTTACAGATCACTTAAAGTTTTTCTCTGATATAGCATGCCACAGATGCATGTCACTAACAGTCGAACACAACTTCCGTTCTTCAGTTTTCCTAACAGCTTTCTTTACTAATCTTCTCAATAGAAACTAGTTCAATTTCATATCATAAGCAACCCCTTATAAATAAAACTTTTCATACACGTTATCTTATGCATTAGATACGTTCTTGTATTCTCGCAACAAGATTGTCGCATACGATAATACATAAATTGAATTCTTATGTACCTATATGATGACATTAAAGTGAACATGTTTCTATGATATTTCTGCGATAACAATGTAGGGACGTATTCGGAGTGGAAGAAAAGAACCACGCGGGTCATATGAAAGCTGTCAATCAATCTGTATTGGATGGAACGTCGAAATGGTCGGCGAAAATTAACATCACAGGTTTGTTGGCGTCGAAGGTGTTGTTCTGTAAATAAAAATGTACAGAGGCGATAAATTTACTTGGTGCGATTTTAATCGGTATATGTGGTTTTTTTAAGGTAGTGGATTTTCGCGTGAATGGTGCATTCATTTGTAATATCATTCTATTGGTTTTTTAACAAATTTCTTTTCTGAAACGTTTTCTAAAGAGCAAAGTTGTTTCGTCTAGTTTTATCTTTTGACGATTAAGTAAGATTGGAATGTCTTTCATAACAAGTTTGATACAAACTTTATTTACAACTGGGATTAAGATTTCGTGTATAGTATTGCTCTTTCTCTATTCATAAGAAAATCCATCGGCTCTACATTCTAATATGCCTACAGGTAGTTTTGGTTTTCTGTACATTTCTTTATGTGGACTGTGCGTAAGGTTGTAGCAGTAAATTCACTTGTAACCTTTGCGGAAAAACTAGAAAAAATTATGGAAATATTCTTGTTTATAACTCCTCCAAATTTTTACTTAATTATTACCCGAGTGATTTATCAAATAATTTATATTAGTTAAACTATATTTACTTCAAAACCCTAATCATTTATTACGACACTTACAAATAATTCACATTTTATACCATTTAACATTCAATTTATCCGAAATTGCACTCTTGTGTACTCTTCGACACCTATATACTCGTAAGTCGCTTAAATTCGAATAAACCTGCATTATATTTTGCATAACGAACATTTAAAGTCCCGCATAATTCTCCAGGTTCTGGTTTTCGCGAGGAAACTCGTCCATTTTTGACGAAACCAAAATCTGTGCATCCTCGTTAAATTTAAGTACATTTTGCTCCTAATCTTAAAACACTCAGGTGTAACGGATAAGGCCCGGTCGCTGCGTTTCCGCAGTTACGGCTGGGTTAAATCGAGAGTTGCTTTTAAACAAACTGTATATAAAACGTAATGCAGTCTAATCCCGGGATGGTGTGGGTCCAAGGGCCGTAAATAAAAAGGGGACGGTTCAATCCCTCGAGGAATGGGAGCAACGAAGTTGAAGAGCAAAGTAGGATGATACGGAAAAAAAGGGATCGAAATGTATGTCGTGTAACAAACGATTGGGTTTTCGCTAATTCTCACAATTAGTCGTCATTTAGAAAGGTTTAATTTACTTGAAGGAATTAATTGGAATCTTTTCCGCAAAGGTTTGTTGTCAATTTTTGATATTGTTGTTGAGGTCGATATCACTTATTTTTAGTTATTTAAATTTACGAAAATGCTCATAAACTCTCGTAATATTTGTATACTAAGTTATATCGACTTTTTATACTTTGTATACCTTAAATCACATACACTTATGTATGTATCCTGAATTCCCCACATCTTGTATGAATGTTGAATGTAATCACTTTGCTTTTGCTGACGATCACACATGTGCTTACACGACTTAATCCTCACAACAGGTTTTTATTTAAAGCTCGAAACTCATTAGAAAAAATAAAACTTCAAACGGAAGCTCCATCCCCGACCAGGAACGAAAGTAGATAGACAGATAACTTAGTTCAACGTTACAACCGTTACATTGAAATAATAAATTTTACTTTACTAAAAAAAATGGAACCAGAACAAGATTTATCACGACAAAGTAACAAGGCCGCTTAAATTTATAATACCTTTAATGAATAGGTATGTTGAATCGGCTTGCTCGTTAACTGTCTGGCTTAAAACATTGTTAAATGTATATTTTTCGAGGCGCAAAGGTCTTTTGAATTTTAACCTGGAAGAAATAAAACAACCGCCATGCTACACTGAACAATTAAAATGGTATAACTAGAAAAATTAAAAACAGAGCCATTATTAAATTTAGCATTTTTTTGAAAATTAAATAACCTATTTCGAAAGTTTCTAAGTGTTTATGTAACCTACAGTGTAGGAATTATTTCATTGTTAAAATTCTAAAATGAGCCAAGTTCAACTCTGATCTTCGGTTAACTATTTTAGTTATAGCCCACTTCCAGCGTGGCCAGTGTTTTTATGTTCTCCACCAGTTGAAACTAGTTGAACCGTTGCCAAAACGGCGTGTGTCGCTTAATGAAGAAACCTGTTGTGATGAAAACAATAACTTTATATCGTAACCTACACTTAGTCTGTACAGCTATATCTGCGCTCTACCGATATTTGAAACAGTCAATTTGAAAAAATACTGGTCTAAAATGTATGCACCTGGAGAGTGTTACAAACCAAGAATAACTAGTTAATAATTATCTCTAGCACCATTAACTAAAATTCAATTTTTACTAATGTGTCATAAAAACTCTTTCTGTGAGATGGCTTTATTTAACTTTTAGTTCTAAACGTAGTTTTTAATTTATACTTATCTCTTGGTTTGAAACACTCGAATTAAGTAGAATATCTTTATATGTAAAAACCTAGTTTCTCCTGACGATTTTATCCCATTTGTTTCCTGAATTCAATTTTCGTAGTGTTTTATAGGCCATAAAAATTTTATGAATCCCAAAGTTTGTTCCACATTTTTATCTCTTCCTCAATTATTCCGAAAGTTGTAGGCTACCTAATCGTTATAAGTTGTTTTTCGTTTGACTGTTTCATATTTCTTCGACTTCGGACGGATATTTTTTCTACTTTTCCGTCAGTGATTTGGAATTGCCTTAATAACTTGGAAACAAACAAAAAGTATCCGTCTTTCTCTACATACTTATACAACATTATTAACCGCACACAAAACTAAAATACCAACATTGGATTGTAAAAATATTACACCAATAACAGTAACGCAAATCAAATTTCGACGCTGAAATGGAATTTTTACGATCCAATTTTCTTAATAAATACCTTCAACTTCGCCTCCGAGGAAGAGAGCAGGACGGGTCCATAGGGTATGGAAAACAATTTCAATTTGATATTATTCTTTCATCTTTGGGAACGTCGATTCGACTTGCAAACGGGTCAAATATGTGTTCAACAAATAAATACAATTAAGAATATTTTGTTTCCGGTGGCGGTACGCAGAACGACATTTTCAGTGGACCCAGATACACACATAGACTCAATTGAGCAAGCGGAACAAATGACTATTGAGGGCACATCAAAATGGTCGTGCAAGATTGCAATTACAGGTATTGGCAGCTGCATTCTATCGGGTCGCACTATCAAATATTTTTCAATGAGAAATTAATGACGTTCTACCGTCGATTTTATTTTCTCCTATATACATTTATACACTGGTTCTATGAATGCTCTATTTCGATCAAGGCATTTCTAATTTCAATGAATTTGTGTACTAAAGCTCTGTGATTGCGGGAATTTCACAAAATATCCCACCTGCAAAAGAGCTTTGCTACATTGTTACAAAATTATATTACTTTTAATTCCCGCAGATATACAATTCGATTTGCAAAGTTTCTTTAAACCTATTAACAAGGTCATTAAAAGACAAAGTTTTTTTTCGGAGTTATTTTACAACCAAGTAGAGCGTAAATTAATCATTTGTATTAAAAATCCAGGAAGCGAATCGCGCCAGAATTCAATGAAATTAGAAACGTTTCATGTTGACGCAAAAATAAAAATCTTTCAAAGTAGTTAGTAAAACTCTTCACAAAGAGTACTGCAATGCACTAGACCGGAATATTAAGTATTCAAATCGAATGCGGTAAAAAGAAGCGAATGCGAAATTTTCCGCTATTTTGGTGTTTGAAGACGATTCGAATGATATTCGGTCGTCTGATTTGTATTATTAAAAGAAAAAAATAAGTAGATAATTTAATTAAAGAAAATGAGTACACTTTGAAAAATTCAATGGCTTATAGATTTTTTAGCCTAAATTAACCATATAAACATTCTTCAAAGAATTGGTTATATCAACGGCAAAATAAATAATTAATTAGAGCAAAATTAACAACTGCAGAATTGTAAATCAGTATAGGGCCACTTATTTGAAAATAAAAAGTTAAATTCACATACCTCTTTATAACAACAATTTAATTCATTAGAATAATTGGTTAGACTCAATTGGTTCATTAAAAAACACTGAAATTAGGATATATTAAATTTCACAAACTGTTGACACCTAAACAATCCTAAAATTCCAAGTATAGCACTCCGGTAACAACATTGCAATACGTCTTTAAAATTTCTTAACAAATTAAAAAATATGACTGCTCTTCTCGAACTATCTATACTACTAACTATTATATTTCAAACTCTCAATTTTGCTTAACGCACTTTCGTCGCAAAAGAAACACTTTTCTGCAAAGTGCCAAAGCTTTGAAACGATTTGTCTTGCACTAATTGACATGTGAACACAATCAGAAAGAAGCATGTCTGATTGAGATTACATAGAAAATAAACGAGTTTACAAATTTGTAAAAGACACTATGAAGGCAATTCGTAAAAATTACATTTAATACCATAATAAGAGACGATTACATTAGTTAATCGAAATTTACTCGAACTGCTTTCGACTGTGTATTGATTCAACAGCGAAAATAATCGACCTGTGGCCGATGGAGACGCAAAATTGATAAGTTACGAAGAATGAGCCGAATCTTTCTCTGTCGATTCTACAATTTTCGATTTGCTTGCCCGTAAAATGTAGCTACAGGCCTGCCTAGATAGATGAACTGAAAACTCTTGCATCAAAGGAACCGCTTACTTTGTTGAATTTCAAACATTATACGATATCCAAAACTGAAACCTCGACCACAATGCAACACTTTCGCCATTCAATTTTGCTCGATACATATGTATACAACACACTATCACGAATTAACGATATTCTATTCGATTGTAATCGAGGGTATTTTAGGAATTTATTTAATTAAATTTAATTGGAAATTTGCCAGCATTTTGAACTATATTTAAAAACTTTTTAATTGAAAATGAACAATTTTATTGGTTGCTACATCGAAATAATAAAAATATATACAGGTTAACATTCAGCTATAACCATGAAGTTATATAAAAGTGAATGGAAAATTAATGCTGTTGTTCAGTGGTCACAAGTGTTGCGATGCTTTTATTATTTTACGCTTGTGTTACTGCGAATAGTTCTCATATTATATTAAATTCCATCGTCAAAAGCCTCCGTGTGGGTAATGCAAACGCTTTATACCCTTGCGGCTCCGTAACAACCTGACTTTATTTAAAATTGCTGCGAGGTTTCTGTTCATAATGCGAATTTAGAAACTTCTAGATGATCAATTTTAAAACAACGTCGCAAATGGCCGCTGTTTCGGTTTCAACTTCATCCTTTGTTGGAATTCTGATTACTTCCTTTTCCTTTAGAAATCGTTTGGTATATCGTTCGTGTATCGTTAGATCGATTAAACGATTGTTCATAGAAAACTTCATTTTATTTCAAAACCATAAATCAAATAGTGAATCGGCAGTATAACAAATTTCAACCTGCCATTTTATAGTTGAAGTACATACGAAGTTGTCCAGTTTCAGGAGTCTTGCTACAAAATACAATAATAACAATAAAGTTGCGTCGTCAACGTCAATTGCAGAGTATGAGCATTCTTTACTGCTCAACGTCGGTTACGACATTTTTCAATTAATCATAAAAAAGAAATTTCAGAAACGATTACATACTTCTTTTATTTATTAATATCGTTAATTTTTTTTCTTTGTCATAAATAATTTTACTTCATTTTTTGGGTTTGAACTACCTCAATAAAACTTTTTCTAAAATCTTGACTATTTATTAGTTTTTATTTCAATTTAAAAATTCACAAAAGTTGTATTTTTTATACTTTTTTGTTTCTTTGAAAAAATATATGAGAAAACTTGTAATCCAATGTGTGCTTATTAAATGTCATAATAATTCGGTCTTAAATAACGTGAACTCTCGGATAAAACTTCGGATACGGTTATGAGAAGGGACGTAAATTTTAAATGCCAGAAACGTGAAGTGGGATAAAATAACAAACCGGGTACTTCAAGTTAATAACGAACATGGTTATAGCTAATTTAAAGCGAAATTTATAGCATTTCACTAGTTGAACGATATTCCAGATTTGCAATTTTCCCATGGATACTGGAAATTCCTGTCATTAAGTTCGTATACTTTAAACTGTTTCAAGCAGTCGTCTGATTATTCCGGTTAACAACTTGCTTAATAAAACAATTGACTCTTGAGTCTTTAAATGTTCAATTTATATAACATTACAGTTAACCCTTCTGTGATTTGTAATTTGTAATTTTATTTAGCCTTCAATTTAATAAATTTGCTTTAAATTCAACCTATTAAATACATTTTTGTTTCAACAAAAAATTTTCTACACCAACTCCTCCACCAATAATTTCAAAGTAATATAGGACTTTTGTATGTCTTCTGAGATGTAATCAACAGCACAAAAAATAGTTCAAAATGTTGCCTAATAGTACCTAAACTTCCTCGAAACGAAACATTTCCCAAATTACATCATATTGTCAATTCAACTTTACAAAATATTACCCCTACACTTTAAACAATAGCTACCAAAAACTGAGAGAATTATTTTTTATTTAATACCCAACGCAAAACAACTAACCAACGAACTCTAATTGTACCAAAGAGATATTTTAGTGTAATCTTTCTATTCTAATAAAACGTTTAATGAAGTTTTCGCAGGACTTCGAAAAGTGACCAGAGAAACGCAGGTAAAAAATTCCAACTCTTACTACATGCCGAAACACTCCAATATCGAAACCAACATACATCAAAATATTCCCGGCTTTCTCTCAGCATTGCATGACCTAATGGTGTCGTTCAAACTCTCCTATTTTAATGTCGAAAGTTTGTTAAAAGTGTTGTATCTTGAATGTTGTGGATGTGTTGCATTCTGTATATATCTACACGTTTAGATGAGTTTTCTCGGCAAAATAACGAACTGCATAATCGCTGCACGGCGAATTGTTTGTCGAGAAAAAGTTTAAAAGAAACCCCGTTCTCATGAAATGAAATGTTTCTTGTTTAGTTAAATCGGCGCAAGGACTAATAGCTAAGGATAAGAGCGGCACTTCAGATCCTTACGTTACGGTTCAAGTGGGAAAAGTCAAGAAGCGCACAAGGACGATGCCTCAGGAATTGAACCCTGTTTGGGACGAGAAATTTTATTTGTAAGTTTATTATCTTCGCTTATTGGAAATAATTGATATGATGTGGATTCATAAAATATAGTGTAATTATTAGGTAATTTACCAATATTTGTATTTTTTTCAGCGAATGCCACAATTCTTCCGACAGAATTAAAGTTAGAGTTTGGGATGAGGATAACGACTTAAAGAGCAAACTCCGTCAAAAGTTGACCCGAGAATCTGATGACTTCTTAGGACAGACTATTATAGAAGTAAGACATTAGTTTGTAAGAAAAGGGGACAGTGAAACAAAGAGATCCAGCTTCCCTTATACAACTTAATTGTGAACCATGTGAAAAAAATATCACAAATGTTTGCTAATAAAATGTCTTTGATACATCAATAGGTACGCACACTATCCGGCGAAATGGACGTTTGGTACAATTTGGAAAAGCGAACAGATAAATCCGCTGTGTCCGGTGCTATCAGACTTCACATATCCGTAGAGATTAAGGGCGAGGAAAAAGTGGCGCCGTACCACGTCCAATACACCTGCCTCCACGAGAACCTCTTCCACTACCTGTGTGAGCAAAACAGCGGCGTGGTCTCCTTGCCGGAGAATAAAGGTGACGATGCGTGGAAAGTGTATTTCCACGACGCGGCCGAGGAAATCGTCGACGAATTCGCTATGAGATACGGAATAGAATCCATCTATCAAGCGATGACGTAAGCTTACAGCGGGTCAGCTTTACATACTATAGTTGAATAATTATCGAATTTTTTAGACATTTTCACTGCCTATCGACGAAATACCTTTGTCCTGGTGTACCAGCAGTTATGAGCACTCTATTAGCAAATATCAACGCCTATTACGCACACACAACAGCACTTTCGGCTGTATCGGCCAGTGATAGATTCGCGGCATCGAATTTTGGAGTAAGTTAAAGACAATAAAACCGATATCTTACCAATTTTACTGTCGAAATCTATTACAGAAAGAAAAATTCGTAAAACTCCTGGATCAACTGCACAATTCACTCCGTATAGACCTCTCCATGTACAGGAACAATTTCCCGGCTTCCAGCGCCGACAAGCTAAAAGATCTCAAGTCCACCGTGGATTTGCTAACGAGCATTACATTTTTTCGCATGAAAGTCCAAGAACTGGCCTGCCCGCCGCGAGCCAGCACGGTGGTCAAAGACTGCGTGAAAGCGTGCTTGCGATCGACCTATCAATTTTTATTCGAAAATACATACGAATTGTACAACAGGGAATTCCAGGCGGATCCGAACGAACCGAAAAGAGATCCGGACGATCACGGCCCGCGACTGGACAGTGTGGACTTCTGGCACAAATTGATAGCGCTCATCGTGTCTGTAATCGAAGAGGATAAGAACAGCTACGGGCCGGTATTGAATCAATTTCCGCAAGAACTCAACATCGGACAAGTACGTTTAATATCTAATGCCTCGCGTTGGTTTTGCAACTGAATATTTTGATTCTTTTAGCTTTCCGCGGCGACTATGTGGAGTCTATTCGCCGTCGACATGAAGTATGCATTAGAGGAACACGAACAACACAGGCTCTGCAAATCGTCGGCGTACATGAATCTCCACTTCAAAGTGAAGTGGTTGTATTCGAATTACGTCAAAGACGTGCCGCCTTATAAAGGGGCTGTGCCCGAATACCCCGCGTGGTTCGAGCCTTTCGTCATGCAGTGGCTCAACGAAAACGACGACGTGTCTTTGGAATACTTACACGGTGCCTTCAACAGAGACAAGAAAGACGGCGTAAGTTTCCTTCGCTCTCGCATTTAAATCGTTAACTAAACGAGCTTTCCTTCGCAGTTCCAAAAGAGCAGCGAGCACGCGCTATTCTCGAATTCGGTGGTCGACGTCTTCACGCAACTGACCCAGTGCTTCGACGTGGTTTCGAAACTGGAATGCCCAGACCCGGAGATATGGAAGAGGTATATGAAGAGATTCGCCAAGACCATCGTCAAGGTTCTCATAGCGTACGCCGATATCGTCAAAAAAGAATTCCCTGAGCATCTTAAAGAAGAGAGAATAGTGAGTTAACTGCATATTAACTGCCACAGATGTAACATCTATACTACTTCATTCCAGGCGTGCATATTGATGAACAACATACAGCAACTGAGAGTGCAATTGGAGAAGATGTTCGAATCGATGGGCGGCGATAAGCTGGAAGAAGACGCGGCGAATATCTTGAAAGAATTGCAGCAAACGTTGAACGGAAGTTTGGACGAACTGGCGCAGCAATTCGCGTGCAGGTACATTTAAATTTTACATCGAGAGTTAATAGGTGCGTTGATTTTACCATATTCTATTGCAGTTTGGAAAACAGGATAACAGTGAGCGTCAAAGAACTGGCCGATCTGCTGTTGGCTATAAAAGGAGGCGGCCAGCCCGGTCAACTCAACCAGCCTGCCCAAAGGAACGCAGTCGCTGTAGAGGCGGACGAAGTACTAAGGCCTCTAATGGATCTGTTAGACGGCTCGCTCTCCCTGTATGCTCAGTCTTGTGAAAAAACTGTTCTCAAGAGGCTGCTGAAGGAGTTGTGGAAAATCGTAATGAGAATATTAGAAAAAACAGTCGTGCTACCACCGATGACTGATAAAACTGTAAGAACTAATTTTTACTTATACGTACAAATACACATTATATTTTATTTTTAGATGATGTTCAAGAGCTTGACGGATAACGCAAAGAACTTAGCAGCCAACACGAAGATAGAGGATATGTCAAAGTTGTTTAAAAACCACATGACTGGCAAACAGGACGTGAAAAACGCGTTGAGCGGAGTAATGGATATTTCCAAAGAGGTGGAGAAGAACCTTTCTCCCAAACAATGTGCCGTTCTTGATGTGGCTTTGGACACCATCAAGCAATACTTCCATGCAGGCGGAAATGGCTTGAAAAAGGCGTTTTTGGACAAAAGTGCCGAATTGCAAAGTTTACGATACGCTTTATCGTTGTATACGCAAACCACCGATACTCTAATCAAGACATTTGTCACCACGCAAATCAATGAAGGTAGGATTTTTTTAATTAAATCTTACAACCCTCTTTTTATTACAACTACATAACAACAACACTTTATCCTTTTTACAGAAGGTATTTCACGGGAATTTAATAGAATTAAATTCAAAATAAGTAACCTAGTAAATATTTGGTTAAAATTCATAGTTATTAAATTTCCTTGAAATCTTCTTTCTTATCAACCTTCTACTTAACTTGTCTATTCCTTGTACCCAAGTGCCGCTAAACAATAAACACACCATGCTCCAAAGACAAATCTCTATAAGAGATGAGTCGGAAACAGAAGCGGGACTCGAAGCCCTAGAGGAACCTTTGAAAGCTAAAAAGAGAAAGGAAAGCGAAAATCAGCAAGGTAGAACTTCGTTTGATGCTGCAAAAATTTGTATATTGTCTATTTAAAAAGCTACTAGTTCTGAATATTTTGCCAACAATCCGAAGATTTATTTTAAATGAATCATGTTTTCGTTTAAAATGAAACATTTTTTTCAAATCGAGAATTATGTAACGCAGTTATTTTTATTATAAATTGGAAAATTATGTTAATTTGAAATGATCGTAAATATTCGATGCGTTTATATAATTCTTGAAAAAATAGTTTAGTTTTTGAGCTGGTAGTCTAGAGAAATAGATTTCATAATTATTTATATTTAGAACTTTACAGGTTGATTTACTCAAACATAGCATTAAGGCATATTTTAAAAGCTTTGGTTCTGTCACGATTTTAAAATTCTTCACCGTCACTCCATGAATTTCAAATTCACATTAGTTTAAGCATACCTAGCAAAAATATACAAAAAGTACAATTCAACTTATATACTGCAAAATTAGCGTATCGACCAACTTAACCAACCATTTATAGAAATTTACCTAGTTCGGGTTTAGAAAGCATGCAATTTCTTAAATTTACAGAGCTTAATTTCATAGGAAAAGCAAGCAAACAATCACAGCCATAATTTGATATTAAAACGAAAATTAATTTACAGACAACGTGGACGGTTCAGAAGGAAGCGTAGGTGAAGTTTCCATACAAGTTGATCTCTTTACCCACCCAGGAACTGGTGAACATAAAGTCACAGTGAAAGGTAAAAGCTCAATTAAAGTATAGAAAATAATTTCCATAATGTTCTCGTTTGTTGTAGTTGTGGCAGCCAATGACTTAAAATGGAATTTGGTATCAGGAATGTTCCGCCCTTTCGTCGAAATAAATTTAATAGGTCCCCATTTAGCTGATAAGAGAAGAAAACACGCGACCAAGTCCAAATCAAATAATTGGTCACCGAAGTACAATGAAACCTTCCACTTGTAAGTATACTTAAAAAAGTTTAAATTAGAGAAGCCCATCATACTGATTATCGCTTATTTTCCAGTATTATTGGAAACGAGGAACAATTAGACTGCTTTGAACTACACATTTGCGTGAAAGACTACTGTTTTGCAAGAGAAGATAGATTAGTCGGTGTAGCCGTAATGCAACTTAAAGATATTATTGAAAAGGTAATAACGAATAAAGCTCACATTCATACTGTAATTTATAGGTAACCGAAGTGCTCGGTTGATATAGTAGAATTCATCGCTTTATAGGAATTGTAAAGAGCTACAAAGAATATCGGCAACAAAACAAATCTGCATCTGAACATATTTGAGTATCTACTTTAATTTCGAAAATACATACACTCTCTAATAAAATTATATTTTGACTATTAGGTTCACTGTGCAAAGTTCAATAAACAACTGGAGGTCCTATTAGGAGTAAATGGAGTAAAATTTTAAAAAAGTTATCATAAAAATTTTGCGCTATTTACCTCTATTAGGATCTCCAGTTAAGTTGTTTATTGAAATATTGTACAGTGAACCTAATAGCCAAAATATAATATGTAGAGTGGTATGTTTGTGTTTTCGAAATAAAGTAGGTACTCAAATATATCCAGATGCATTAGTATTTGCTCTATTAACGATATTATTTGTAGTTTTTATAGCTTTTTATGATTCTCATAAAACGATGAATTCAGCTACACAATAAATGTGAAGTTAATTGCAAGTGTTGATTTAATTGGAAAAATTAATTGTTGCAGGGATCCTGCGCATGCTGGTTGTCGCTCGGTAAACGAATCCAAATGGACGAAACCGGTTGGACGATTCTGAGAATTCTATCCCAACGCACAAACGACGAGGTGGCGAAAGAATTTGTCAAACTCAAATCAGATATTAGGCAAGAAAATCCTCTTCCAAATTGAAGCCATTGAAATATCTACCAAGCATTATTGGAAACGAAGTCTTCTCGCGAATCTTCGCATTAACTTTAATGTTAGGAATTATTTCCGAGGACAAATGTTTAGAAGTATAACGGGAATCCACATGCTTTTTGTTCAAGCGTCGGCAAGAAAAGCTCGGAATAGTTGTACGTGTAACAGTTTTTTTAGAATATTCAAATCGATGAAAACTTGCACAAAACAAAGGAATTGTATATATGAAAGTATTGTTGAATATCTCGATTTTTGTAAGTTAAATTTTTATCCACTCCCAATTGGATTCGAATAAACTGTGGGTGACTCAAAGACAGTGTGTTCATAATGAAGTGTGAAAAAAATTACATGGACCGTCCTAAATAAGAATTCCATGCGTTTACATTTTAATAATAATAATCAATGTGCCTCCCAACTTGTACATTCTACAAAACTTGACTTTATCCAAGATATAAAAAAGTGTATCATCATTCTTCGGTATATGAAATTGTATAAAAATTTCGCAATAAGGAGCATACATTTTTACATTTCTCTCATGATTCATCCTGTTAATTTACATCTCGACTTTTCAAATGGTAAATTTGAGATGTAGAGCAATAAGGAATATTTCTATTATTATAACTTAAAATGTGATTCAATTAGAGTAAGAATTATTGGATAGGGAAATTTATATCATACATAGATATTTTTTATGCATATAGGATATTTTGTTTTTACCGAATTTTGCATGACGCCTACGTTTTTCGATTTAAATTTATATAACTTCAATTACATGCACAATAAATTTAATGTGTATTTAAAAGCTTATTTCTAATTTTGTAAGAAGTACTTATTTTGTAAACAATATTATGTAGTAAGCAGTTTAAATAATGAACTAAAAAGTAACCATACCCAATAGCGTATAAAATATTACTTTCCTATGATCTAGACTATTTCCTATACTGAATAATAAATAAAATAACCCATATATTTTAATTACTTAATGTTGAAATGAATTTCTTTTTAAATGATTCTGTATACCTTCTTAATGATTAATTGTGTTTTTGTATTAATATTAACCAAGTATAGTATTGAAACTATACATATTATTATTTTCTACTTTAATCTCCTACATTTTAACAGAAACATTTACTATTTTTCTAAATATTTAACTAATTACAGGACTATTGCATCAATACATTTTTATACTCTATTGGAACGGAAAAAATGGTTTTATTTTCGGATATTTTTAAAATAGATGACAATGAATTTGTTTTTTTTTTTTAGAAAACAAGTTATCAAATACACTACACCCGAAACTATCTAAAATCAATTTTTTCATAATACTATTAATTTGTAATTAAGCTAAAAACCTATTTCGCTTCTACTCTACTAATTATAAATTACATCTGCGTTCTTTCACTGTGATAATAATAGTACAGTGTGTATCTTGTTTGTATTGTACTCTCATGTTAAATAGGACACATTATTTGTAAATCATATTAAAAAAATTAATTAAAACGATATTTTTAAATAATCCCCGGGATTATTTTAAAATATTTGATTGAAACAGTGTTTACTTTTCTACTTCTTCATTCTAAACGAAAAAATGTTAATTATAATTTACAAGTTTTTATACCTTTTTAACTTTATAATTTCTGGCCAATACGCTTGTAATTGTGCAAATTTGTGTAACAATGTACTTAATTAAAATATGTTTAATCTCAGTTATTCTATTTAATTAATTCATAAAACAAATAAATGAAATTCAATGAAATTTACTATTGAAGTAATAAATAGTCGAATAAATATGTACGATAACTAAATACCTGTTGTGATTGGATCAGGCGATTTGTTTTAGTTTAGTGAAGTTTTAACGCTACAATTTAATATGGTCAACTAGTCTCTTATTTTACCTGTTCTGTATAAATCATGTTAGATTGAAATTTGTACAAATATCACTTATTTTTTAATAGTTTGAATGGGGCATTTTGTAAATATCGTATAAATAATTAAAACGTGTTGAATGGGGCCAGTGCTTATTTTTGTTAATTACCCCCTTATAAATATATAATTCTCGTTAACATTGTTGAAACATTCGTCATTTTAGCGTTTGAATTGTACATATCATAATGACAAATTCATGTTTTTATTGTACCATTCATTCAATCACGTATTAACGTACTATAAGCATGGAGATATTTGTTCAAAATTACAAACATGAAACTGTAAAATTATGTAATGCAAATTTCTTCCATGTATTTAGAAATTACATTGATTTTGTTGTATCATCTGTAATATAAAAACAAAAAAATCCTATTTATCTCATAAGATCAATCTGCAATTTGCAATTTCATTATTACGTTAGTTAAAAATGTAAAAAAACCTTTTGGTCAGAATTGATCTTATGAAAACTGAAACTACAATTGAATAAAAGAATTCCTACTAAATGTATAGATGCATTTTGATTTAATTTAGCTACAAGCAAAATAATTTTAACTCGATTTGAAATGTGTGTAAATTTAACTTTTCATTTCTTCCCTTTCCAAATAGGAGTAGTGACATCTTAATGTAACTCTAAAATTTACAAATACCCACATCTTTTAAATGTTAACTCTTCCTTTTTGTACTTATAAAACAGGCAAATCGATGTTAATTTTTTTATAAATATCGAACGATGTAAAAACGTATTCAATACTATGTGCATATTAATTTAGTGGTCTCTTTTAAGGATCTAATATTACAAAGTATGATCTGTTATCTGTTACACTGTAAAATTGTAGATTACTGGATGCCTTTGGGAACTGATGAATAAAAAAAATGACCAAAGAATTTGATTTTTTTACTCTAATAATTACCAACGGTTATAATTTTCTCCATACCTCCATGAAATTCATTAATCATCCTATTTCAAATTATATCATCAAAGTACTTACTACTCCAAACTAGATATACTTGAAAACAATATCTTTCCTATCAGCTATAGTTTGTAGTTCCATTTTCACAGGACACTGCAACCAAAAGCCAAGCAATTCTTCCGTGTAACCAATTAGGAAGTACATTTTTCTGGGGCTTAACCCCCTCGTAATTATACCAGCTATTCTAATTATATTGTGTTGTCGCTTGATAATAACTTCAGAAGCGAAGAGATTGTGCCAGGTGCCTGTTACAAATTTTCTTATGAACATGTCTTCTACTGCTGTCTCTGCAGACCGAACACCTCCGTCCAAATTTGCTGAAGAATAGGTTATTATAAAGAATACCAGTTACTTGATAGTGAAGTTAAAATTCCTAATTAACTTACATGTATTCCATGAATTCCACGCCTTCCTGTGGGCTATTCGGTGAGGAGGATTTGCCATTTCATAAGTTAGAGGAAAGTCCCCTTTTGGTGTAATTCTGTATCGGCCAGCTTGGTTTTTTAAACACACAGAACTCGTCTGCAGGAATCTAGTAGAATTCTTTTGAATCGTATTATTTTGTAATACATGTTTAAATAAACTATAATTACATGAATATTTTATTAAGCTCATTTTGAATAATTTTTAGGTTAATAAATTCTTCTTTTATTTGGGTCTTGTCTAATTTTGTCCTGTCTAAATAAGGCAAACAGCCAAAGTTAATGCAGTGGATCTTGCCTCGTACATAACTGGTTTCAAGCGACTAAATAATTGTCCTAGAAAATTATCGATTATTTTTCGAAATAACCCTAATAATGCAGTCGCCAATAGCAACAATTACAATTGTAACAATATCTTGACCTTTAGTGAAAAATGATCAAATATTTACTATTTTTAAATTTACTGCACAATTCAAATGGTAAGTTTTTGAGCAACTATTTCTTTCAAAGAAATTAATCGTAATTAAATTTTGGAGTTTATTCCATCGATTGCTTCAAATGCGTATCAATAAATAGTGATTACCAACCATGTGAAGATCCGTTTCATCACAATTACACTGAGGACATTTACAAATCACCCTGTATGGGTGGCAAAAAGGGCAGAGACGGACTATTCCCGGCCACGTCTTGTGTAAAAATCGCTGGAATATTTGGTAAATATGCTTATATCTGCAAAATATTATTTAATGTACAAACTGAAATAAGAATGATATACACTAAATGTATTACAGATGATACTGAGGACTCCATTGTAGTGAGAGGTTGTGCTCTAGATAGTGGCACTTTAACGACAGATACAGAAATTGTACGAATGTCACATTGCGGAAGGTTTTACTACAAGAATAGGTAAAATAGTAAATTGTAGGTTATTTTTAACTAAAACCATTGATCTTTTCAGATATGTTAGAGGTTGCGTCCAAAGTTGTAATGATGCTGATGGATGTAACAAAGGAACTATTCCACAATGCGGCAATCTAACTTTCCTCTTAATTTCATTTATATTAATAAATTTACTGGTTTTCTAACCTATTTGTACTAAGAATAAACTAATATGCAAATCAATTAGGTTTCGTAGAAATTAACATATCCAATAAAGATTAAACCGATAATTTTTTTATACTTTTAATAAACAAATTTAAAGTTACATACTCTACTCATTCTCTTGGCTACGTAATCTAGCGTGTCCATTGGTGACTCTGATGCTCAATTGTTGAGCACGTTCAACGATATCTTTGCGTTTTTTCGATGAAACACCGTGGGCTATTTCAGCGCAGTATTTGCGATTTTGCATGAGTAGAACCTCTAGTTCCTGAAAAATAAAAACAACTCCATTAAAACCTTGTTATATTTCGATACATGAAACATAATTTTTAATTGATAAAACTCAGCTTTAATTGTCAACATATTAGTTCAGGCGCAAATTACCAAAAACATCATAGTTTTAACGTGAATATAGAACCAGAAAAACTAAGCCTAAATTTAATTCATGAAAAAATAATTCAAACCAACCTTAACGTTGTGTACCAACACTTTTCTAAAACCTGTAGGTAGCATGTGCCTAGTTTTAGATGCTGATCCATAACCAATATTTGGCATCAAATATTGGCCCTTGAATCTCCTCCTTACCCTGTTGTCAATACCCTTGGGTTTACGCCAGTTGCGCTACAAATATTCAATTTATAAATACATGTCCAATTTTTTAATTCAATTAAAATTGAATTAGTTGTTACCTTTAGCTTCGAGTACCTGTCGGACTGATGCCTAATGAACTTCTTCGTCCTCTTCTTGACAATTTTAGGTCGGTAAACTGGTCGTATAGCCATCTTGAAACTAAAATAAAAACATTGGGTATTTATTCGAAGATTTATCCGACATACATTGCAATTAACAAAAAATAAATACGAGTGTATATTCAGGAATATGCGTTTTATATAGAGTTTACAAAATATTTTAAAAACTGTGAGAGATTCGAATAATACTTACAGATAAAAATCGTGTAACTGCCTCCAACACACGACTTTTCAAAAAGAAACCTACATAACCTAAACAAATAATGACATTGACATGACACATGACAGAGATTAAACTTACATAGGTGCCAACCTAAAAAGTAAATAGTCTCCAACATTTATAAATATAGACTCAAAAATGTGCATAACAAAATAGTTTTTTTTAAGGGAGAAACCATAAAGAAAGAAAGATTTGTCTTTTATTTTGTCTATGGGAGAAACATTTGATATTATTTTATATCCGACTTTATTTAACATTTTTAAAATTGTTTTTTTTTTTATTTTAATGTACTATAATTACAACAAAAAATAAAGTTTGTATTTGTACATTCAATACTTTTGTAATCAGGTAAATAGTAATTACTATTGTCAAATTAGTTATCCTAAAATGTCGTGGAAAGTTGTTCCACCATGTCCTACGTCCTTAGTTGCTGCTTCCATAAAATGGATATATACCCTGAAAATAATAAAGAAGTTTAGTAAAACTCCATATTAATATAGGTTATTGTTTCTTATTAATAATTCTATTAATATATTATTGTTTCTTATGGATAAGTTTTGGAGAGAGATATTTATGTAGTTACCTGTCTGAAGGAATTCCAAGACTCTTTTCAATAACTTCGAACAAAACTTTTGAATGTTTTTTGTTTTCCGCTACCCCTAAAGAGCCTATGCTCATCAAAGTAGCCTGTGCCGTAGGTTGACTTGATCCTTTAAAATACATCTTTGCTCCCCCTATTATTGTCGCTGCACAGTACTAAAAATAATTAAATATTCTCTACTTAAATGCAACATAAAGAATATTATATTGGTTGTGTTGTGGATTATACGATTATAGAAGGAAACTTTGGTGTAATTATTACATTTTTGAATAGTTTGCGACAGAAAATTTAAGAGTAAACATTGTGGGAATATTTTGATACTTAGTGCATTATGCAATGTTTACTTACATCTTTTGGTTTTCCCAAAGAACTTGCTAAAATGGAGCAAATTTTTTCTGGTAAATCATCTGGGATTTGTTCTTGAGGTAGGTTGGTTTCCAAATGAAAATGCGGCATTTTAAATTTAGCAAGTAGATTGTAATAAATGACCGAACGTTTCACGTTATATTGTATAAATTTAGATATTTAAATTAGGTTCAGGTATTTACAATTTTCCTCCAACATACAAATAACTTTACTATCTCTCTCTTTCTCTATCGTCATTTTTTATAGAATATTAATTTATGTTGGCAACATTGAACCGATCCTACTAGTGCCATCTGATTTCGTTATTGTAATTAACGACAAATAAGCCGTTCTCTCTCTTACTCTTCATAGGCAATATTATTCTCGCTTAGTTTAAATTCAATTCAAGGAACGACGGATCGTCTAACGAACTTTTCAAGTATTTTTTAAGTTTGTATTTGGTGTGCTTCACTCTTCACTTCCTTGTGTTCAAAAATATTCGGTTAGAGTAGCTTTAAAAGTCGCCAGTCTTTTCACCGAGAATTAAAGTTTTACTCTAATTTTATGTCGGTACCACTTTTCAGTTTGTAAAAGGTCACCTGGACGACTTCCCATCAAAAAGTACCCGATAGTTCAAATCCAAGTTACAAATACGTAGTGTAAAAACATCCTTTGTGAGATGTCTCAGATGTTTGATATATTCGAAGATCTAAAAAAAGAAACCGAAAATCTTCAAGTAAAACTAAACGAATTATCCCTTCAAGAAGATAGTGAATACAATAAGGTAAGCTAATATCCGCTTTTTTGTGATTTTATTTTTCGTTTGACAAACATTTATTTTAGTTTTTCAATAAACTTGAGAGATTTTTCAATTATGTGGATACGAGAAATGTGGAATATTTAGATGATGAATTCCAGTATTTGAAGAACTTTGGTAAGATATTTGATAGATAACGAACAAGAATCCAGCTTCATGTAGAATAGTTTTTAGAATTTGTTTTTATGCAGTTTTAGATATTTACAGGAAGATCGTTTTCACACGGTGCAATAAATGGCTGCAATATTGCATTGTAGTTTGTATACAAGCATTAATAAAAATTATTGTATCGCATAGCTATGAAAACTACGCATATGAACGTTTGTAGTTTAACTGCAATTCAATATTGCACAGTGTGAAAACGCTCTTAATTGAAGAAAATGGAAATACTGTTTATTATAGAAATATTTATAATTTTATCACTATTTTGTAGATTCTGCAAAAGAAAATAGGGAACCTAGCACTGATAATGAATCGATTAAGTCGCAAAGAACAAGAAACACCAATGCAGAGAAACCCATTAAAATTAAACAAGAGAAAATATCCATTGCTTCTGCAATTTCTACCTCAACGGGTTCAAGTAAGTAACATGTATATTTCAACTTCATGAAACAGCTTCAGTAGCATTCAATTTTATTGCAAAAATGTGTACTTGATGTACTTTAATAGAGGAAGGTTTTTTTGTTTGTTTGCTTCGAGTTCTTCCTCTTACTTATAATGTACTTTTCATCTACAAATATCGTTTATACATTTTACAAAATTATTTATTTCAGAAACGGATGATGCGGAAGAAATGCCTGCTCCAAAACTTGTTCCAAAGAAAAAGAAAAAACCACAAATTAAAATGGAGGAAACATTTACAAGAACAACAAGATCTAAAGTCAGAACCAATCAAGAACCTGCCCCAGAGGTAAGCTAACTTATAAGTAACAAGAATTTATCTCCACATCACATTAATTCCTTATCTTTAGATCAAAACTGATAGATGTTCCGATGTTGTTATACAAGACACTACAATTACTCATATAGACATTACTGGAGATTCTGAAGTTCCTTTGCCTAAAAATGTCTTAAACGTCCCGAAAGCTTCAAAACCCGTTAATTCGCCGATCGTAAGAGTTACACGTTCGAAAGTAAAATCGAAGCAAAGTGCCAATATAACTGCACAAACTGTGTATGAAGATGCACAATCCAATTTACCGAATGAAAACGAAGCGGTTCAACAAAATGATGCAACCATGATCATCGAGAATCCCGTAATTAAACCTGGAGACGTTCCATCTGAGCCAACGATTCTGAAAAATTACCCGAAATCTCCGGCTAGAATAAAATCCAAGAAAGACCAAATCCGAGAAATATTCAGCCCCTTCGAGAAAACCACTACGAAAAAGAAGATCGAGGCTTTCGAGAATCTTGGTACATGTAAAACCCCGTAAGTATTTTAAATCATTCACGTTATACAAGGTGTCTCAACGAAAAGTAATTTTTAAACGCCTAATTATAAAATCATGCGATTTTCGCTGGCGAATTTAATGCATCACGTGTTTAAGACTGCTAAATGTTAAGTCACATGAAATGTTATAAACTGATTAAATGGGCTACTTTTCATTGGGACACCCTGTATTGATAGTTTGTTTTCTAAATTTATTGATTGAGAAACCCCCGACTTTTGCAGGCAAAGTGCGACGAAAATTCCGATTTCAAAACAAAAGATCTACCCTGCGTCTGCTACCAAATACAACACACCGACTTCGAACAAATTCATGCCGAAGAATTGTAGCACAACGAAAACTGATAGGGCCCTTCCCGGGTCTTCTTCCTTCCTTGAAAGCGGTCTGTCGATGAAGGCCTTGCAAACTTCCCAAGCCGAATTTAGAGAAATAGAAAAACGGCGCCAACAGAAGGAGATGGAGGCGCTGCGTAAAAAGGAGGCCATGATTCTAGCTGCGGCAGAAGAGAAGAAGAGGAAGCGCGAGGAAAAACTCTTGAAGGTAATTTGTATAATTTTATATGTATAAAATTTGCAATCATCGAGTTTTTTTAAGGTGCAACAGCAAAAAGAATTACTGGAAAAAGAGCAACAGTATAAATTAGAGAAGCAGAGGCTCAAGGAAGAGAAGCATAAACTGGCCATGGCGGAAAAGGAGAAGTGTAGGATGAAGAGTAAAGAGGAATTGGAGAAAAAAAGAATGCTGATTAAAGAAAAGGCTAAAGCAACTAAGGAAATTCCAATTTATCTTACGACGAAAATACCGCCCTTGCCGACGGCCGATTGTTACGACTCCGATGATGAGAAATATGTGAAAAAATCAAAATATTACCTACCTTGGTGTGAAAGTAAGCTAATCATCAATCTTATTATAAAATATTAATGCTGTAAAATTTTGCCACAAAGTTCCGGTACGCAATTATTTTGAGACATATTTTGAGATATTTATTTATTTATTATATTTAAAAAACGATAAGAAATCAAATTTGTTCTAAATTGAACTTTCTTGAATTTTCTTAAAATAGGTTTAAGAATCACCCCTATCACTATTAGCATGTTATTACAAAACACCCTGTATATGAAACGTTTCCACACCTCCGTAGTCGTTGAAGTGATGACCTCCTAGTTCTTCTTTGAGTGACCTAAACCTATGGTGGTTTAGGATGGTAAACCCATGGCTATAATTCGGGACTGTAGGGTGATTGTCTAGAGTATTTTCCAATGCATTTTGTCCAAGTTTTTTTGAGTTAATGCAGCTGTGCGTGGCGCAGCTTGCTCAGAGATTGAGAAAATCAATTAGCAATATGCCCCCTGCAATCCCAAAAAATTGTTGCAAGACATTCCTAGCAGAAAGACGAATCTTGGCTTATCCCATTGCTGCTACTCCAGGTTTTCCCAGATTTTTTTTGCCAATCGTAGATATGGATCCTTGAAAGCATGTTTCCAGTGAACTGTGCAATTACTCGACGCAAAATTTTTGCAGGTTTTATGCTCTTCCGCGACAAAAATTTAATAACAATGCATTGCTCAATAGGCCTGTGCACCTCTTGCTCAGACATGATGGTACTAATAGCCAATCCGCTCTAACGAGCCCAACCGATTTACTCTATTTACATCCATATGCAACAAATGTATATCAATATGGCATGGTCATGTTCTCAAAAAAATCTGGTTCATATTTGATTCGTACTCGTATAAACCAGGTTATTATTATTGTAATATATATTATTATTTGTGATTTCTGTATAATTTTCCAATTTTAGGTAACACTTTATACAATCAACTACTCAGACAACACTATGGGATAAAGAGTAGACGAAAATTAATGCAATGCGTCAACCAGACGCCCAATCTTTTGGAAATATTTGAAGATATCGATCCTAAAAAAATGAAGCGAAAGTCAAGTGCTGAGTGGAAAGTACCTCCCAGATATACTCTATTTTCGACAACACGCGACACGCATTTTAGCGAAGATTCCGAGGGAGAATCAAATGGTACTTGTCGTTAATAGTTGTAGGATATGGTTTTTTATTTTTAAATCTTTAAAATCAACAACAACATATTTAATCAACAAAAAATATTATTATGCCCGTTTGTTGAATTTTTTTGGGGCGATTTTTTTTCTAATCATCACTTAATTGCTAGTGGATTATTGATTGGTCAATTGTACATTTCATATAAGGTCGGTTTGCAGAGCAATCAATCGGGAAGTGGAATTATAAATTCGGTAGAAGTGTGATTGACCAATCAAAATCGTTCAGGCTTAATTAAAAATGAAAAGATTTATTAAATCGACAACGTTAGGTATCTCTAAACCAATATGCTAGATTCTTGTATTACTGTATGTAACACTAATGATTTCTATTAGCCGTTTTCATTTCTATTGAATTATTTATTTTAGTGCTACATACTGTAATATTGTATTTAAATAATTTTATATTACAGCCCTTTTTTATTAAATGTAATGTTATATTAATTCATTAAATGTCTAAGAATTATTGAACATTTTTATAGAATTTAAAAAAGCAACATACCTACTTCCAATTAACTATTTTAATGACAATTTAAAGTAAAATACTGATTTTGAATTACAAGTGCCAATGAAGGAAGTTAATTTTATTGTACTAGTAAATTACAGACCAAATATACTATTTTTCGCTAATAAATTATTCCATTATACAGGGTGGCACATTACTATGGAAAAACAATACAGGGTTTTCCACGGTAGCCGTGTATTAGAACTTTTCAGAGTTCCTGAAGAGTTACAAATCTGAAAATTCAGGAACAAGATATATTTATTACTAATTTCTCATTAAATTAACGAAAATTATCTAATGTACACAATAATTAATTAAACGCCATTATTTAAAACTCCATATTAATGATGATTAGTGAAGGATTTTCTAAAGAAAACTATTTCTGTGTCTTGGATGTTTACTTTTGGCACTGTATTGTTTATAGAGCTGTAATAGTTCTAACATGCGTACAGTAATAGTACTAATCTGTGAATGTGACAGTTATGTCATAGAAAAAGGAGATTCTGGATTTGTCCGTAAATAGTAATTTCCTCTCGCCCTGTAAACAAATTAAATTTTATACATGTTGTTCCAAAAAAAAGGTAATAAATGAACATGTGAAGCAGCTTTTTGATAATTTTGAGATATGCTTAAGGACTACACATTTTCATTTTTCCACCATTTTCTGAATCTACTAGGGTGTCTACTGTAAAAACGGCCAAATTTCAGGAGCTGATTTTACATGTAATTTTTAATAAAACATGTCGTATAACACTTTTTCGAAAAGTTGATAGAAAATTTTGGTTTTACGACCATTAAAAGATACAAATAATTATGTTCATTTCAAAATTATAACAATTAAATCTTTTATAATACCCAGTACCTATTGAACTTTTTTTTTAAACTATTGAAAATATTTTTCTAGTAGCAAATTTAATGCCCTTTTACGGAATGTGGTCAAAATTAATGTGACTATACTATACGAATAAAAGCGAAAATTTCGTCTTTTTGGAAAAAACAAAAAAAATTAAACTATGAAATTTTAAAATAAAATAAACCATCAACTTTTCGAATAAGTAGAGCATTTTTTGTTCAAAATTATATCACCTCCTGAAGTTTGGCGGTTTTTTATAGTAGATACCCTGCATATCAACAATACATACTCTAAATCGACGTAAAGCCCCATTCTTGTAGACGCCCTCGTTTCGTAATTGCAACTCCCATCTTTATAACCCTCCCACGAATCGCACGACACTGCGTTAGCAAAAGCATACGGATTTATGACGGACTCCGCGAAGAACTGATACGATCGCCAATGACTGCAAAAAACTGAAAGCAACAATATTAGTAAAATTCGCGAAAACTCATGACCCACAAGCCGGCTTACAAGGCTCTATTATCGAATCGGGATTTCGCCGCTTCACCTCCGGGATGGTGCAGCCTGGTTGCGGCGAGATTCCGCGATTCGGCCAGAAATCCACGTGCCCAATCGACGTGGGGTAGCCGAAAATTCCCGCGTCCGTGTGGATGACGTCCACGAATTCGGCGTCGCCAGCGTCGAGCTTAAGGCTCTTCGGCCATTTCTTGAACAAGGGACCAGCTGGATCCATTCCTACAAATATTCCTTTAGTGGAATTCGATGGTTGAGTGGAAAAAGGATAAAATTCCAATGAACCTTATTTTTGGGAAATCAAAAAAATTTTTTTTGCTGTGAAACCGGTAATTTAACAAAAATCATTACTATTGGCCAATTATCCACTTTCACAAAGTACGTTTAATGTCATAGTTTGAACGGTTTATACATCTTTGGAAACTAGCTATTGGTCTTTGAAAGTACAAAAATTTTATCGTTTTTCCACTCAAAATTCAAAAAACAGTTAAAAATTGTGAAAACTTTTTTATCAACATCTTTGCCAGTTTTTTTGAAGGCTGACCCCCCGTATTCAGAGGTTTTTTTTATAACCAAATGGTTTTGAAACCAAAGATTATTATATGTACATTTCCGAATTTTAAACAAGGCAATGTTGCTTATTTGATTGAATCTTAAACAAGATGAAAATGAGGTTAGTTTTTTAGATAGCTCCAGAATCATTTAAAACTGTCTAGAACCATTTAAAACAGTTTAGAATATTGAAGCCGATGCCTTATTTGTAATGAAGGAGAAGCAACGTTGCCTTGTTAAAAAGTTCGGAAATATGTATATCGTTATATACCATTTCCGATTTCAACATGGTCATTTCTATGAGTGGAACAAAGAAAGATTAATAAAATAACAGTTGTCAGAGTGAAAAGTTGCAATGACACAAATATCACTCTTTCCTTTTCCTTTGTAAGTGTCTAATGGAAGTTGTCTTTATCGCACCCATGGCCTATAGAACCTATGTTGCGATCAAAAATGGAGCAACCTGTATATTCGTTGGTTACAAAACCATTTGATTATAAAAAAAAACTTCTGAATACGGAGGCAAGTTAGCCGTTTTACTTTGGATTTAGTTTTTTGGGAAACATTTCTGTCACAATGCAAAAAAAATTGACATTCGATAGGAAAATATTGATGAATCCTCAAATCTGCCATTAATGGTCAGCGTAGTAAAGAACCCGTTCAAAATTCCAGGAATATTATTCTTTTAACACTCACCAATAAAATTATGATGTCAAGGAGAAAATTAGGACAAAATGGCTATCTCACTTTCATTTGCCATATTTTTGGAATTTTATCCTTTTTCCAATCAACCATTCAATTGTAACTTCGAAAATTACCTGTTATTCTTTGGATTCTCCCGCTTTTGACGTTTTGCCCGCACACTCCTGCCATCTGAGCCCCTAAGCTTAGTCCAGTTAAATGTAAGCTGGGTAAATACAGCCCCTTGGTCACCAAATAATCGATGAATTGGGCCGTATACTTGCCCACTACCCTGGTGTTTTGCGAGGCGGTGAGGTACCAGGGACCGGCTTCCAGTCGTTGGGCGTCCATCAGCAAAACATTGTAATCCTTTCGTTGAAGAAATGCTAAAAAATTAGCCATTTGATCCCATTTGAATAAAGAAAGCTGCCTTGAAAATGCTACAAAGCATGAACATTAAAGCTGTATATTTTTTATAATTCGATAGTTTGCGGTTTGATCGCTAGGAACATTTTGTGGCATGCAAAATTTTCATTCTGATAGGCCCGTTCATGATTGATTTTTTGCTCGATTTATTGGGCACGGTTATGATTTATGACCTGTACATGATTTTCGATGTCATGCCCGGTCAATGTCGATCGCACTTTCACCGATATGCACTGCTGTGCACTAAAGTGGTATTGACACAGCTCTAAAACAAAGGCGTACAGGGTGCAATTCAATTATATTGCCCTGAATAAATGAAACGGACTATTTACTATTTGGTTTTTCGAGTACTTTATTATGCATATTCTCGCATGCCTAGAAAGTTTAAAACCCCTTAAAACCATATCTGACATTTGAATGATACTCAGAAACGAATAATTGCCATTGTATTCGATTATTTGTGTTTAAAACAAATATTTATTCAAATTATATGGTACATTTGTAGTACGCTTTATCAGGTTAATTTCTATTCGATGTTATTATGATATTACATAAGAATAATGTCGTATTTTAATAAAATCTGCATTAATCTCAATCGCAACATACCCTATATTATACCCACAGCAAAGTGAATGATCAAAATTCATTGCGTGATACTTTCGTTCTTAAATAGTAAATTATTTTAATGAACGAACCGTGATACTTTCAAAGTGCTCGCACAAATTTTTATATGTTAATTGGATTAGTGAAACTAGAATGCAATTTACAAGCCCTTACATAATTTCGGTGTTTATCAGAATTTTAGAAGAGAGAAAGCGCTGAGTTATAGACATGTATAGTCGCATAATTAATTCTGCGATACAGCGAAAAACATGTTTGTGCCTTATTCCGATGATAAGCTTGAAACAAAACTCAATTAACAGCCGCGGTCTTCATATAATACAGTAAACAAGAAGAAAGGAATAACTTACCTGATCTGATTAAAGAAGCGGGTGTAGCTTGAGAGGATTCGAAAAAAGCGTGGAAGAAAAGCACCGTTGGTTCAGAAAAGTTGAAATGGGATCTGTATAGGGCCTCGTCATCGTTTATTCTTAATTGGGATGGTTGTAAAGGATTGTGCCTGAAAATGATTTTATAAACGTTTAAAAGTCAATCAAGTGGGTGAATAGTAAGTGCAAATTTTCGTGCCACATTCATACGAACGGGTTATGCAGATCAGCATTTGAAAAACTAGAGTTTTTAAATTCCCATAATTTACTAGGGCTTGAAAGTGCCGCAGTTGAGAAGGTGAAATGTGGCCGATATTGCCAATTATACCAATCTAGAGCAATTTATTGTGCGAGTTAAAAAATGTATAGCTACCACGACATGCACAAATCGAACCTTTCACATTTTATTACTTGCTTTTGCTTAAAATAAATAATTTTTACGAGTAAGGCAAGAAACAATAAACGGTAGACAATTTGAGAAGGACCTCTAAGAAATTAATTTTAAAAAATTCAAAATAGTACACACCAATTAACAGGTGCTTGTATAGATTTAAATAAATTTATACAGGGTGGCCTATTGAAAAGGAAACAGGTGTTTTCGGGTAAAAAAACTGATTTTTGGAAAATCAGAAGGGTGACATTTTTTGACGTTAAAACCATCATTATATTACTTCACTCCTTTACTGAGCAACTCCAATCCTTAAAAATTGAATAAGGAATATGGTTTGTGTGATACATCATTAGAAAGGTTACTCTTTCCTGAAAATAGCAAAAAAAATATAAAAATCCGTCGATTCGTTTTTGAAATATTTAGCTTTAAAGGTAAAATCTCCTTTAATTTACATATATCTAGCGTTAACAACATTTCTGATGGAGCAAAATTAGAAAAAAAATATTTATTTGATAAAAACGAATAAAAAAGTGAAGAAAAATACTAAATAATCTAATCAGTCTAATCTAATATTAGGTAATCATAAAAACTCCAATTTACTAAAAGTTCAAATTCTGTCCCGCAATATATTACCTATATGTGGCCTGGTGCTATTTAGTTGGCTTCTGATCAGTGTGATTTTTAATTAGCATATAATCTAATGTAGAGAAATTTTATCTTTAAAAATAAATATTTCAAAAACGAATTGACGAATTTTATTAATTATTATTTTGTGTTATTTTCAAAAACAAATAACCTTTCTAATGATGTATTTGTACAGCCCATATTCCCTATTCAATTTTTAAGGATTTTGGGGTTGCTGGCCAAAGGGATGAAATAATCTAATGATGGATACTTTAAAATATCTCCCCCTCAATATAAAAATTGACGTGTTTTGTTGATTTTCCAAAAATCAATTTTTTCTATCCAGAAACGCCTGTCTTTTTCAGTGGGCTACCCTGTATATTAATAATTTGTATAATTATAAACTTGCCTGGTAAAGAGCTGATAAGTAATATCTCTTATAGGATCTATATGAGGGCATTTTTGTTTGTTTAAAGGAAACAGTTGAACATAGGCATCTTCTATGCTAACCCCAGGAGGACCTAGAAAATATATAAATTTTTACTATATCTTATATATTCATTTTATTGAATATTTATTACGAATTGAAAATACCTACTCAATTTCACAATTTCCAAGCAACTAAAAAGTATAATTACTTTAAATATCTGCTTCTGGATAAGTAATAAATGAGCATGCAAATGTCCATTATTTACGTAATTAACGCGAGTTGCGTTAGAAACAAATTAATTGCAAACTGCCAATTTTTACAAAAATTAGAGTTCAAAAATTATATAGTCGAATAACATTTCTTATTAATTAGCCCATTAAGTAATTATTATGACCTGCAAAGACGTAATAATTTTGCATATTTTTAACACCTTTTATTACACCTAATTTATAAAATTTAACTAATTTATAAAAAATAACAACATTAAATTAAATTATTTTATAGAAAACAAATACGATTTTAACATTTAATTCTCCTATTTAATCCCATTAAAAGATCCTATCAAAAATTTTACCGGCCTAAGAATACTTTCACCATCTTATAATCGGTGTATCAGAAAACAAAAAAAATACGTTATTCGAGAAAGTAGACACATGATTTAAATTACATAAGAGAAACACTTACCCGGTAGCGATCCCAGCAAACACACCAACATAGTATTCGAAATAGCACCCATAGTTTTAACGGCGAAAACTCTAATTGACTAGCGTTTCAAACAAATTGTCGTTGGGATTTTGATTTCGCTGAAGGCAGGGGTAAGGTAAGGCTTGTCGTTCAAGACATAATAGTTCTTGTGCTTATCTACTTTCGTGCTTGTGGAGCAGACATTTCGTAACTTCGGCGGTTAAAAAAAGTTCCAACAAATAACTAAATGGTACAAGGACATTCAATATGCACACCGTATTTTATTAAAGGGTAGTTACACTTAAAATAAAATCAAGAACTATTCGCAACAGCATGAAGAGTAATAAAATCACCGCTTGAATATATTTATTTTATAAAGATTTCACTCGAAACATTACGAACATTAGAGAGACACTCAAAAAAAAACCAAAATAATATCGCTTTAATTTAATATTAACTGTTAAAAATAAAAAAAAGATGAAAAAATAATCCTAATACACATCGATTATCCCATAAAAGTACAAATATGTACAAAATAGAATGAATTCAAATTAATCTTAGAAATAAAATATGCGCATTATAAGCGCGACTAATAGGAACTAATTTTTTCTTCCTCCGCGACGTTTCATCGATGCTGTACATTGGGGACAGTACCATTTGCCCTTCGGAGGAGCCGTAATACCAACGCAGGGATAATGAAACCATTCGGAAGGACACTAAAATAATATTCATACGGATATAGCATCCCCGTAAATTTTGTACTAAGTAAATTACGTACATCTTCGTTATCGCAAGCAACCATGTCACCATAAGACACTTGGTTGCAAAGACAATATCTCGGTTCGTTCGGATCGTAAGTCCATTCTCCGTCAGTTACTTCGGCGTTTTGTGTACTAGCCTCTGCGGGAGATTCCGGAGTGGGAACAACCACGGGAGGTGTTACCACAGGTTGAACCACAGCAGCAGACGAAGATGTATTAGTCGAACTACTGCTCGTCCACTTTCTACAAAACCAAAAAAACACGAATTAGCAAAGAGACGATTGAAAGAATGCTCAAAATACTTGTGCTTCTTTTTGTTGTTGGCATGATCCTGCTGTATAGCTTGTATAGCAGTTTCCGCCGCGCCAGCTAATTCTCTCCCTATGCCTCCGTACTCGTTAGCATGAGCTCCGATCGCTTCGTACGACGCCTTCAAACTGGCCGTCCTTCTACCTTGTTGCATCTATAATCAACACCTAGTAGTAACAAACCCTTTGATCACGGTAAAATCTGTTTACTTGTTGCGTAGCTGCGATTGCTTGGGAGGCGGCTGCAGCTATAGCTGGACCGGCGCCCAAATTGTGACCCAAGTTGTAAGAAGAAATCGTTGTTGTAACGGGCGATATCGATTGAACAGAAGAATGCCTCGGTTCTATTAAAGGCGGAATTACTGGCGTGACGGCTTGTCTTTTTTCAGCCAGCTGCGCCGGTACTGATAGAGTGCTTTCTCTACGTTTTTCCGCTCTCGGTCTTGAGTATCTAAATGAGCTAAAAAATCGCATTTTAATTTGATAGTTCCTTCGTGGAAATGTTGTAATTAACCTCTCGTATCTGTTCTCTTTTTGTTGAAGAGAAGACATTGTGGGTGTTGTATTTGGCGTATCCAGTTCTAAGGACCTCTTCTCCAAGACCTCCGTTATACCTTTGTTATCGGCTTCCAATTCGCATTTAAATTTATGTAATTCTGAATCCAACCTTCTTAAGTACTTGTCTACTAGATCATACATTGTACTCGCTAAATGGACCTGCAATAATGATATTTAATTACAGTTCCTGCCTACAGTATTATAGCATAGGTTTAGTTTGACTTGACACAATAAGTTTCCTTACATATTTTGGTATCCTTTTAAAAGAGAAAATCACCAAAATTTACCTTTTCGTCTGCTTCTTCAAGGGATTTGTAATATTCCTTCCTAATGGCTTCAAATTCCGCATCAATAGTGGAAGGCAAACTTTCAGGCGGGAATCTTTTGCAATCACTGAAAAAAGTTTTCACTCTTTTCTCAAGCTCATCCATATTATCTAAAAAACGGGCATTGCGGCAATATAATTCACATTAACACCATCGTTTCAGTATTTTTAACGTACTATGTATTGTTAAGTCCATTTCCCTCATATCGGTAAACCTATCTCTTAGTTCTTGGGGTAAATGTTCGATCACTGCAAAAATTGTAAAAAAGTATAGTTACATATGCCTTACGGGAAATATATACCTACTTTCTAAATAATCTTCCAGGTACAGCATTTTGTTTAATTAAGAATAACAAACTGTGATAATAAATAAATATTATTTTTAATATTTTCCTTCAATAACGGCACGACAACTGACACTGACATTTGACATCAAATCAACCTCATGGTATTGTCAATTGTCAAAACAAAAATGCGTTCCGTAAATTATTTTGTAAATTATTTCGATTTTTGTAACTAAAATATTTCTGGCGATTTATTTTAACGTGTTGTTTTTCACTTGAAATTTGTTCTATAAAAAATCGAAGGTTCTAGAATGCTCAGGAATTTGACTCTAGAATTTTTCTGGAACTTCTGTCTAAAGATACTGAAACGGATGTGTAAGAATAACTATGTTTTTTTTTAACTAAAGACGCTACAAAAGTAGTAAAGTAAATTTAAAATCACTGTTTGAGGATAAGGTAACATACTAACAAAAATTAAAACTAGCATTAAAAATAATTTATATGGGTAAGCGCAAATTTGTTTGCAATATGGCCGATTCTATGAGTTGAACCAAGAAAGATTATTATTAAAATTGTGATTAGAGTAAGAAAGTTTCCTTTGATACACCCATAGTTTATTTTGCGTACAACTTCGCAGTTGTATATTAAAAATTATTTTTACGGTATTACATCTAGAGCCAGAGCGCGTCTAGTATATTCTAGATTGCTCATGTGCAGTAAAATAGTATATAAGCCGGCCGGCGGTAAAATTGCGTTCAAATAAAATCGCGCGTCGTACAAGCATCTCGTTGTTCAACAACCGGTAGTTTCTTCATATTGCACAACTTATTCGAAAATTTCCACCGAAAATGTCGCACGTACCGATCATTTTCCGCGAATTCATGCGGCCCCTGCGTATGATGGAATACCAAATGAGGCAAGCCGAAGAATTACTGCGGCCTTCTTTCCACTACTTCAATTTTCCCAGAGTGCGGCTCGAATATCCTGACGAGGCAAGCCATCAAGAGGAAGCAGTCGTAGAAGACAAGGATAAATTCCAAGTCAAGCTCAACCTGCAAGACTTCAAGCCCGAAGACATCACCATCAAAACAGTGGACGGAAACGCCATTCATATCGAAGCAAAGCACGAACTGAAGCACGACAACGACAAAGGATTCGAACTGAAACAACTAGTCAGAAGGTTCGTTTTACCATCAGGTCACGACATCCAAAATTCATACTCCACTTTATCTGCTGACGGGGTTTTGACGATTACCACACCGAAAATCGCTAAAGCTATCGAGGAGAAAACCATACCAATTACCCACGAAAAAGGCGCCGAAGAAAGTAAATAATTTTAGTGATATTTACTTTATTAGATTTGAATAGTTTGTCTTAGTTTTAATTTTGTGTGATATGTACGTGAATAAATATTAGTAGATTAAAGTAATTTTTATCCAATATAATTTGTTTTGATATCCCTTTTATTTCATCTAAATAGTTCCTTTTAGGCTGTATAAATACAAGTCTCTTTAGGTTCCCTTAATATAGAATTTACCATAAATTCATATCCAAGACTCTATATGTATATTGACTTGTCTCCATCAAGTATCGCCCCCGTTTATGACTCCAAGAGGTCCCATCATTGCCTTTTGAATGACACCACATTCAAACAGGAATTTTTTTTTGGGTTTCTTACGACACCTTTTATATGTCGTAAGAAACTGATTTTGTTCTGAGGATACTTTAGAATCACCGGCGGCGTTAACATTTTCTTCACAACCATTCGTTGGAATCATCTACAACATCTTCATTGATCACAAGGATATTGTAGTAGCAGATTATCGCACCTCCAAGGTGGGTAAATCAAATAGAAAACAAAGAAATCAGAATATAATAGAAGAAATCAAATAAACAAACGATTCAACAGTGAAATTTCCTAAGATTCAATGGCTCAACCTCTGCGATAACTCTTCTCAAACCCAACCTCCTGCAAGAAGTCAGCATATCATCATTAATAGACTATTTCCTCTGTCAAAACATCGCTAAAACATCTTTTCATTCCAAAAACAATATGTGTTCAACTCCAAACAAAATAATTTGTAAAAAATTATACATATAATTTTCGACAACCACAAAACAGCCACAGCAATTTGTCTTACTTAAATAAACTAATAAACTACCAATTTTCAAGTTTGCTCGCCTTCCTCCGCCTCCTCCTTCTTCTCCCTTTCTTCGCCCTCGGCCTCGATAACGCCGCAATTGCTTATGATCACGTCGGTGTAGGGCTTGCCGATCCTTCGGCCGTAATCCTCGAGGAGGAACAGCACGCTGTTGCCTTTCACCACCTTGCCGAACACGACGTGCATCTTATCCCACTGTTGCATCTCCGTCAACGTGATGATGAACTGCGAGTTGTTTTCCGAATAGAGGATCCGCTTCATCGACACCACGCCTGCAACATTTTTTTCCGACGATTATTGAAGGTAAATCGGCGCGAGTAGAAGGGCCGTGAAACCTGCATGGGTGTGCTTGAGGACGTGCTTTTCTTCGGGAAACGTTTTACCGAACACGGACATGCCGCCGCGTCCGTTGTTGTGCGTAATGTCGCCCGTTTCGATGAATTTGCCCTTTACTATCCTGTGCAGCAAGCAGCCTTTGTAGGTCAGCTCGCCTTCTCCTTTGCATATCTCCATGAAATTCTGGCAAGTGACTGGTACGAAATCTTGGTACAATTCTATGAATATTTTACCCAAATAGGGCCCGTCGCGTACTTTGAACTCCAAGAAGCACCTGAAATGTTCATAGGGGATTTATATAAAATTATTTGTTTTATGAGTTGAACAAAGAATTATTGCAATAACAGTGGGTAATTAGAGAAAGTTGCAACCCCACAATGTCGCCCTTTCTTTTTTCTCTGTATGCTGGACTATTGGAAGTTGTCATTGTTGATATAGCCTATTTCAAACAATTTTGCATCTATCTGTATAAATAAGGGTAAAGAAGGACTATTTTTTACAGTTAAATAACTGGAGAAGGGTAAATATCGGAATAGGAGATATTATACAAAATTACCACGAAAAAGTCTGCAGGTTTAAAAGATAAGAAAATATACATGGAATCTTACTGTGGTCTAACAGAAGTCTTTTCCTGGTCTAATCCGTAGCTTATCGAAGGCTGTTTACTGAGAATTGTATCGTAATCGGGCTTCATTCCAACGCATATTTGATACTTACAAAATGTTCTCAGTCTCTTCTCGTGCAATTTGAACGAGTCCTCAAACTCTTTATTTTTAATTATGGGCCCCTGAATATTTTCAATTTTACATAATTAGGGTTAAATGGAGTTTGCAAACTTACCGTTCTCATTATCATGTTGTAAATTTGGCGATTCGTCTTAACGATTCCTTGCATGAACGTTAGATGTAAATTCCAAGCCCATTCGTCTCTTTTGTAAGCATTGGGGTTGTACGAGTCAACTTTGCCCTGGAGACGAAAAATTTCATCTTTAATAAAAAATATCTCGCTCATTGGAGCGCTCCGCAGGGTCTTAGACAGCCCAGCTCCTACTGAGGGGATGGACTGATGGACATGCTAGGGCAGTTGAGGGTTAAAAAAGATAGCAGGATTCCCAACAGGGCACTGCTGTCTCGGAAAGCACCTCTAACCCTTGTTATGGCTCCTGGAGACATAAACAAGTATCCATTAAAGACGGCTGAGTCTTTAATCGAGAGAATGGCTTTATGGGCAGGTAACTAACCTTGGCTTGAGCTATCTTGGTAAAGAAGTAGACTGGGCCTTTAGTTAAGAAGTAGTAATAGAGGTTTAAATGTATAAGTGTTTTGAAGGAAAATGCAAAAATTACACTTACTCCATTTCTATGTATGTTATTTATCTTGTTCATTAATTTCTTATTTTCATTACTTATTTCACACTCAACTGTAGTGTAATCTTTCATCTGTGTGTAGGGCATCAACTTATAAGGATTCAGTTTAAGTGGTAAATCGTCCACAAGAGGTTTCGCATTAAATACCTGCAGAAAATTATACGATTATCAAAAAATACTAATAAAGAATTACAAGTACTTACTTTAAAACGATGAAGATTGAAGACGTTTAAATCCGCCATATTCGTATTGTAATTTACGTCCCCGGGTAAATACCGAAATTGTTTGGCGGGTCTGAAATTTCTGCGTTTTTTCTTATCCATTTTATCCGAACGTTAAAAAAGTTTTAAAATTAAAGAATACTTTTCTATAATTTAGAATGCAAACTGATGTCGCATAATTTGAAGCTTCTCCTAATTAAATGAAAGGTGTCATAAAACATTGTAACGCATAGCCAAGTCTCTATTTATTATAAATTACATTTAACATATTTTTTATACATTACAAAAAATAACTAACAAATATCACCAATTTGAAATTACAATATAATATAAAAATTATTGTTCATATATGGGGTGTTGCATAATAACATGCTAATATTTAAGGAGGTGAGTCTTGGATCCATTTTAAGAAAAAAAAAACTTCATATGAACATTATGTCCTAAACCAAAAATTTATAATGTTTCTTTGAAGAGAGTTTTACCGCTTCGATTGAAAGGTTTAAAGTGTTTTGTGATTTGAATAGCATAGAAGAAGTGACGTGAACAAAAACAAACTATTGTTGTCTTATATTCGGAGTAGAAGTTACGAATTATTACATCGTGCCTGCCTTCCAAAGAGGCCAATCGACAAAAGTCTAAGAGAACTAATAAAAATAGTGAAAAATAAATATGAACCGGAAGGATTAATTACCACAAACAGATTTTTATTCAGTGGAAAGAAATCGTAAAAGATTACATTCTTGTGGTGCAGGAGTTAGCTTCTAAATGTGATTTTGGTACAAATATCGATGAACAATGTCTCTACATTGTAGGGGCTAATATGTGGCATTTTGAACGATCAAGTACGAAGGAAGTTACCTTCGAAAGGGGCCTTAGCGTATGAAAGGGCAAGAGATCTTGGCACAAGAGGAAGCAATCCGAGAGTATTCCCAGACGATAGTAGCTCAAGCAAACGCAGTAAACAAAGTTAGCCAACACCAAGAGACCAGGAAGAAGTATCCAAGTGCAGGGCTGAATTGAAGTCAAAAAGAAGAGGTGCTCAGTCAGTTTTGCAATTCGCCATAAGATCCTTTAATTTGTGCACGAAAAACCAACAACAATCGGTTTCTCTACCAATGTTGGTCGCCAATCACAAATTGGCAAATTCAATCGCCAAGTGGCCCTGTACAGGGTCCTTTATAGTTTAAAGTTGATGGAAGACCTAATGAGTCAAAAAGTTAAAACATATGTTAGTAAAATTATGGTGAATACGGCTGCAGGGGAAATCAAAAAATTAAGAAAATTATTAGTAAATGTGGAATTAGAGATAGAACAGATTAAGGGAGAGGGTAATCTTTCCTAATTAGAGTCACGAAGTCCCTTAAGCAAGCCAAAAGACATCGCCCTAATGATTAATCATAACAGTCCTGAATTAACGTCAGTAAAGTTGGATGGTAAAGAGATTAAAATGGAAAGCGATTGCGTCGCGGCTTACTCAATAATTTCTCTTAAAACTTTTTTCTTTGTTTCCAAATCGTCCTTTGGACAAATTCAATTTTAAGTTTTCATCAGTTTCTGGCCCGTTACAGGAAGTTCTCTGGTTACAGTACAACAGGGAAGCGGTAATAAGGATGTTTTACCGTTGGTGGTGTGTAAAGAGGAGAATTTTTTGCCCTTACTGGGTAGGAATTGGTTAAAAGTGCTGAGACCTTAATGGCGTGTGTCGTTGAATGGTGAGTGGAAAATAAACGGAATGCAAAAGTCAAGTTTTAATAAAACTTATAGGAAAAATCCAGAGGGATTTATTGAGGGGTATTCAGCAAGTCTGGCGTTAAAAGAAAATGTAATTCCAGCCTTCCACAAGGCGTATCTACTACTTACTACCAATAAAATTATTTAAGTATCTAAAACTGTTGAGGCAGAGCTGCTTAGGTTAGAAATCGGGGTAAGTTGACGAGAGTGTCACATTCTGAGTGGGCTTTACCAATGTGGCTGGTTAAGAAGAATGTATCGAAATTGTGCGGTCGTTAGTCGTACGCTAAACCCAAATTTAAAAATAGATGTGTATCCGATACCTAGATTGGAAGGCATTTTCCAGGAAATGGCTAGAGAGGAGTGGTATGTCGTGATTGATTTGCACGTCTTCGAAATATCTACAATTGAAAGTGAATAAAGAAAGCGTTAACGGTCAATACGAGTCTGGGGTTGTTTCAATTTAATGCACAGATTTTCGGATTTTATGTGAAGTTTTTTCCTTAAAATAGGTCCAGGAATTGCCCTTAAATATTAGCATGTAATTTTGGAACACCCTGTATATTATTTACTTATATTTTTTAAATAATTTTATCTATGCCTAACAAATAGAATATTAGGTACATGCTTATTCTTTAGATCCTTTCAAATTTGCGAGAAAATTTGAAGATAATAGGGAATGCAATTTGCTCTTAATATTCAACGAACTAATACTTAACGATTTAACGGCAGTAACTGAATTTTCTACATTCGTTTCCGAACGTACTAAATGTTGATCAATAACACTTAAATGTCTAGCTGCATCATTGATAGTGGATTGACACACATTCTCAATGTTGGAATGTAAATGTTCATTGCATTCTCCTGAAAATAAAACAGGTTTTGCAGTTAGAAATTTGCTTCGTAAATAGGAACTCGAGTGCAGTTAACTAATGATGGGAATTAGCATACTTACTTAATTTTAGGTGAAACAAAGAATCAAATTTAGGATCATTGTTAGCAACAAATTGGCATTGAGTCAAAGCTGATGTAGCACTAGCAACACTGGCGTCTATTTCTTAAAAAATACATTTTTTTAAACATTAAACTCGACTTACAATATTTTAAATACCATTATCAGATTCGGAGTCTTCGCCTGGAATTACAGCTCCTTGCACAGATTTCGTCATGGAACTATTCTGAAGTAATTGTTTTATAGATTATTATAAGAAATTAACATCATTTATCCAAACAACATACCAAAGTAACATCTTTGAATTCATCTTCACTATCAGTTTCAGAAGCTTCACCAGTAACGACTATTGATTTATTCATATTGTTATTACCTCAATATAAACTAAGTTGATGTAAAAAGTTTGCATTTATGTTATATTTTATCAAAAACAATTCAAATTTCAATAATCTAATATAAACATATGCAACATAACCTAACTTATATGACATAAGTGTCAAAAACATGCAGAGATCTGTCAAAATAGTAATAAAATTTGAGATAATAGGAAAAAGAAGAAGAGTTTAAAATTTTTGAATTTGTTTTCGTTTATTTTTTATTTTATTTGTAAGAATAATTCTTTCCAATTACCATGGAAGAATCAAGAGAGCAGCAAATAATTCGACTGCACCACAACTTGTTGAAAGATGAAGAAACTCCTTCTAAACAAGCGGATGTTAGAAGAAAAGCTACATCTCATTTTGTAAAAGCCTCTTGTAAAATGTAAGAGTAATTTATTCATCATTTCTACTTAATATGTTTAATTGGTCACTTATTTTCAGTTCCGATAACGAAAACACAGTTGTGTTTTTGGAAAACAAACTTAAATTATATTCAAATGAAGCTCATATTCAAGAAAATGTATACAACGATAAGCTAAAAGCCCTTCTTTCCAATTCAAATAATGTAGATAATAATTTAAAAGTAGATCAATCGAATTTGAACGAAATTAATCCAAAACAGTACTTAAAACCATTGTCTTGTGCAAACAATCGGAACTTTTGTCCCTTAACTGAGAATTTTAGTAACGGGGAATTCGAGGAATTCATCGCAAACATTAGAAAGATTAGCAAATCAGAGTTGAATTCTTCCAATTCATTTCATACAGTGGAAATTACTAAAACCAACCCAAAGAAGGAGGAAAGTAGATTACTGAATAACAAAAAAACTGATGAAAGTTTTACGCTCAGTGGATTTAAGACTGCTAGGGAAGCACTTAACGTTCAAAACGCACAAAAATTTGGTGGTCAATCTAACGAAGATTCGAGTAATTCTTCCAAGAAACGAACCTTGGGCAATCTGGGAATTAGAAGAAAAATCAATCAGAAATTTATACCTCCAATAAGATCAAATAGTGGAAGGTATTATAAATAATTCATTACCCATTTTTAGATCTATTTAATAATATTTATATTTTATAGCTGCGACGAAAAGCTTCCTGCTGCTGTGGATGAAAGTCTGAAGAACATTGATCCGAAAATGGTAACACTTATAAAATCGGAAATAATGGACTGCAAAACGGATTTAATGTGGGATGATATAGCTGGATTGGCGTTCGCAAAAAATGCAATTCAAGAAGCAGTTGTATGGCCTATGTTAAGGCCTGACATTTTTACAGGTTTGAGACGGCCCCCGAAAGGTATTTTGCTGTTCGGACCACCCGGAACAGGAAAGACCTTAATAGGTAAAAATTTATTATACAAGGTGTTCCACATAAGAACTGACAGAGAGCAAGAGCGTGTAGGTCAAAATATGTTGTTTAACCTAACTAATGCAAAAGTTACATTCCTGAGAAGTTATAGGCCTTCAAAGTAGAATTACAAATTAAAAAAGTCAATAGGCCGAATTTATAAAAAGAGGCATAACCTATATCGCTTTAAAAAATGAATCAATTGCTTCAAGGTATATACATAAAAAGAAGTGAGGAAATGTTTTGCTTTGAAGACCCTGTTGTTGCTTTAAAGCAAAAGGTTTTATGTTTTCCGTATGTATAAAAAGGATTTGCCTTAAAAACAAAAAGATTTCCTTGTAAAAATGTCTAGGTTCATAGGAACTTTTCATATTCTTTTTAGTAGTTACTCAGTCCCCACACAGCTTCTAACGTAAAATTTTGGTGTATTTTGGCTGTGTTTCTCCAGTTTGTTATGGCCGATAGGGTGCATTTACGTTAGAGCTGTCTAGAACCATTTAAAATGCTCCAGAATCGTCTAGAACTGTCTACAATCATTTAGAACTGTCCAGATCAATCTAGAACGCTACAGAATTATTTAGAACTGTTTAAAATAATTATTTAGGGCGCTCCAGAATCAGAACTGTTTAGAATAATTCAGAAGTCGTTTAGAACTGGATAGATTAATCTAGAACGCTCCAGAATTATTTAGAACTGTCTAGAATCTTTTGGAACTATGTAGATCAATCTAGAACGCTCTAAAATCATTTTGAACTGTCTAGAATCTTTTAGAACTGTCCAGAACAATCTAGAAAGCGCCAGAATCATTTAGAACTGGCTAGATCAATCTAGAACCGTTCAAGATTATTTAGAACGGTTTAGAACCATTTAGACTCATTTCGACTAGTTTGACGAAATCGCTAATCTCTGTACCGTTTACTTTATTTATCCGAAGCGTTTCCTTGCTAGGAATAGGCGGAGATTATGAATATGGATCAGAACAAAACTTTTTCCTCTTACCTTTTACTTTAAAGTAAATGCTTCATTTTTATAAATATATATGGACTAATATCTCAGTAATACTCAAACTTAAAATAACTAAATTTGGGTACGTTATGAGTATACTAAGAACATTAATCGATAGTTAGGAGAGATCAATAATTGATGTATTTTAAAGGGTTCATCGGGGATGATGCTCCCTTAAAATGTTCAGATTTTTTTACCTGATGGATGATTTAAAATATTATGAATTCATTTTATAGGCAGTTTCATGAAAACCGTTAAAAAATAAAGTCTTGTACACTATCAATATTATTTAAAATCCTAATATTCTCGATAATTCAAATGTTGGGTGTATTAAGTTAAGTTGGGTTAAACAACATATTTTAGGCCCCCCGGATATACCCCTTACTCCTGCTCTGTGTCGGTTCTTAAGCAGGACACCCTGTACGTCCATTATAAGTACATATTATATTAGGGTTGTTTTTTTAGGAAAATGTGTAGCTTCCCAAAGTAAATCAACTTTCTTTAGTATTAGCGCTTCATCTCTAACGTCAAAATGGGTAGGCGACGGAGAAAAAATGGTCAGAGCTTTATTTGCTGTAGCTCGAGTACATCAGCCTGCTGTAAATTTTAACCTAAACACTAATTGCAGCATTAATTTCACTGGCTAATTTCTAGGTGATTTTCATCGATGAAGTAGATTCGCTGTTATCCCAAAGGTCTGATACTGAACACGAGAGCTCTCGACGAATAAAAACCGAGTTTTTAGTTCAATTAGACGGAGCAACAACTGATTCTGATGAAAGGTTGCTCGTTATAGGTGCAACTAATAGGCCTCAGGAATTAGATGAAGCTGCTCGAAGGCGTTTTGTCAAAAGACTGTATATTCCTTTACCGGATTATGAGGTATGGGTATAAGGTTTACATAAATTACTTTATTGGATTTTTTTGTTTGTTTCTACAGGCTAGACTACAATTGGTTCAAAAATTAATCTGTAATGAAAGCCACGGTCTCAAAGACGAAGATATTCAACGAATTTCCTCACTGTCTGATGGATTCTCTGGAGCAGATATTAAAAATTTATGTTCCGAGGCTTCTTTGGGACCGATTCGTTCAATTGATTTTAATCTTATTGCCCATATACAAGCTAGTGATGTCAGGCCTTTGCTTATGGAGGATTTCGAAAAAGCCTTCAACAGAGTTAAGTCTAGCGTTTGTCCCAATGATTTGGAGCAGTACATTTCATGGGATAAAATTTACGGATCTGGTTTTTAATAGTTCTTTGTTTGAGTTAAAATATAATAATTTTTTTATGAAGTTTAATAAAAAATTTAAATACATTGTATTTCATACATATAAAAATACTGAAACTTTACTATAAAAAATAATACTCTAATAACTAGATTTTATAAAACAGTTTTGATAGTTAAAAAACAGTGTAAAACAACCTCAGCCCTAAAAGCTATTAAACATATTACACAAATACATAGAATTACAATTTTGATCTTAAGTATTCATTGAAACTATTGAAGAACTTTATAAGAAAAGTAGCAATGTTCTATTCGAGTTGGTCTGATGTAACCAATGTACTTCGAATATCTTCTCTGCTGTTCAAATCGTTCTGAAATACATAAAGGATTAATATAAATAGATTAATGGTTATTAAATAGACTAACCCGAAAGGTAACAAATGTAGCATCTGAGGATACGTTAATGTGACGAATGCTTTTGCGTATCTTATTTAATCTTTTCTTTCGTTCCATTGACAAACGTTTCCTAGTGTTCATCACTTTACTATCTGTACTTGCATCTACAAAAATTTCTAACAGATTAAATTTAACAGAAAAAAATGGCTTAAAAAAGTAAATGTTCCTTAAACAGGGTGTGTCATGACGGGATTAAACTACCGAATTTTACAGTTTTCAAAAATACATCAATATACAGGGTATTCTAATTGAAATAACAAAGTTGACGCCTACTTTCGTCAACATTTAATGAAATCGGATAAGTAGTTTCCAATATACAGCTCGTCGTGATATACCCTGTATCCTGTATTTTAGAAAATGGTAGAACTTGATGTGCTAAGATACATTATTAAAATGAAACAACTTACATTCTTCGTGCTTCATTTTTTTAGCAACACTGCCGTTTTTCGACTGGAACAGTCGTTTTCTGGGTGTCGTTTTTGGACACATCATGCTTCCCATAGTTGATCCTGCTTTGCTGGTACTCGGAAAACCTGGAGTATTTCTCTGTGCTTTCCTTGCAGTACATTTTTCTTTCTTGATCTAAAAATTACACATTAAATAAAAAATATATGATCTGCCGTCAAGAATTATTGGAATAGTACACACTTACATTTTCTTTTTCAGCATGCAGATTATGTATGTACTCTTCAACAGTTTCACCATACGTATAAAATTCTCTATTTTTGAGAGATTCATATTTCCTCGCAAGATCTAATAGATTTTCTTCAACTTTCGGAATAAGAGATTTCAATTTTTTTCGTTCCTTTTCCTCCAATAATAATTTACCACCGCGGTTATTGAACCTGTCACGAGGATTGGTCGGCTCCTCTAGTTCAACTAGTTTCTTCCAATATTGTCGGTGTTTATTAAGTAACGATAATATTTCTCTAAAACACAAAAAAACAGCTACATAATGGCCCATTTCACTAGAACAAGGAATATTACTTGTTTTCTTCTGCATATGCTTGCCATTTGTCCAAGCATAACTCGTGCAATTGCAGTAAATCTTCATTGTAATGATCGGAATGGAACCACTCGAATGCATCCTTATCATTTTGACTGCACTGGCATTCCTCCCAAAGAGCTACGATTTTTTCTCTGGCTTGATGGATAAATTTCTAAAATTAGCCAAGTTAAAAAAATATACAGGTTGATGCATCTTTAGTTTGCAATAAAGCCTATGGGCGCAACCAAGATTAGACACTTATAAAGGAAAATGGAAGAGTGATAATGTGGGATTGCAGCTTTATCACTCTAACCACTGTTATTTTATTAATCTTTCTTTGTTCAACTCGCAGAATTGACCATATTGCAAACTTTTATGCATTTATGTGTATGCAGGGGTATCTAAATAACACTGAAAAATTTGAAGGAGTAATTCTGTAATGAAAATTAAGGAAGGTACTTGGTATAAAATTATTTAAAAAAAAACAATATTTTCTAGTTGGCTTTTGTTCATGCTAAATGCCATTTAATATGAGCTTGCAATACAATTTTTTTCTTGTGAATGCTTAAGTTTTTGAAAAAACATGTTGAGGTAAAAAAATTAGTAAACGAATTGGGATTTTCAGCCATATTTAAATCATCCAAAAATAATGTCTAGTAGTTGACTATTTCAACGACAAATAATAAATAATATTCCCCAAGTTTCGTGTCTTTAGCTTACTATACAGGGAAAATAAAAAAAAAACATTTTATTTTTCAATCTTCAGAGGGATAAATCTTCTTTTTCTTCTTACCTTTTCCAGTAAGGTTTGTAATTTTTTGTTATTTAGATACACCCTGTATAATTATTGATAAGTACCTTCAAGTTAGCCATTTTCAATTCTTTGCACCTCCCATTTTCTTTTCTCAACACTTGCAAGGTTTTTATGGAATTGCCTTTTGATTTTTGCCTAATTTCCTCCCTATAGATAAATTCAACTTCCAACAAATCCCACAAATTTTCGATTTTGTTTCGCAGATCGCAAATTTCTTCTGTGAAATTTTTATATTCCGTTTTCATTTTGTAATAAAATTTTTCCAGCGCTTTCATATTGACTTCAGTCAATGTGACCTGTTGATCTTGGCGTTTAATGATGCTAGCTAAATGCAAAAATTACTCGATTAACAACTTTTTGTACGTCTAAATTGATTAGCAATTACTTTCAAAGCTCGTTTTGGGTTCATATTGCAGTTCTTGGGCCATGGCTATGATTTCATCAGACCAAATAAAAAACTTCTCATTGAGTTGAAATCGCTCCTGTTCCAGCTCATCGATGATTTTTTCGTAGAATACAATTTTATCAACCAGCAAAGCGGGCTCTTGAACGTTATTCGGATCTTTTCCCAGGGCTTGGCAAAGAGACGTGTGTTTCCGAAGTAATTTGTTTAGCTCATTTTGTTTTTCTTCCAATTGTTTCTCCAATCTAAATTGCAATATAAATGTTCAAAATTCAGCTATAGTCAAAAGAACGATAATTTATTAATTGAAAAAAACTCACTGGCGAATGTGCTGTTTCAACTCCAATGACTTTGGATACAAGCCCGTTTCTTCAAGGCTTAATTTAGGCAGCTCTGTGTTTAGTGATTTAGCTAAACCTTCAATTTTGTCAAAGGAATTTTCAATGCTTATGACTACCTTCGCGTGTATGACTTGAATGTCTTTTACCATCTCACAGCCACTGAAAAAATAACAAAAGCAATCATATAAATAGTACATGATGTCCAGAAAATAGATGTCAATAATTCGGGAGCATATTAGGAACAACAAAATAAGGGTATCCCCATTTATCCCCCCATTTTTGAATCCTCTACCTATCAACTCAATCTAAAAATAAAAATTTCTCACAAACCGTCAATTTTATAGACTTCAAACAAGAGTACATTTTAGATAGTTTATCCATAATATGTTTGCATTATACAGATTGTCCTCATAAAAGTTACGAATTGTTAATCACTGGGATCGCATGGCCATTTGTCTTCCAGGGAGTAGTGTTTTAAATTTCCAACTTTAAAGGCCTCTAGGTCAAAAATGGGGACTCAAATGAACAAAATGCATATGAAGTTATACCCTTAGTTTGATTTCATCTATAGGCTCCCGAATTATTGACATCTATTTTCGGGACACCCTGTATACATTACATTAAAAGAATAAAATGATTATTTTCGACGGTTATAAAAACTTGTAAACTTGATATGCAAAGCAGGTAGCCAAGACATATCTTTCAAGGACACATATAAAATAGATTTTCCTATAAATTATAACATACGCTTCTGATATATTGTCTATAAATATATTCTTCCATTCATTGATATCTTCTTCATTCTTGCTTAGGGTCAAAACTACGTCTATCCAATTGAGAAAAATCTTTCTTATGTTCCCTTCTACAACTTTGTACATGTCCTCTGCCCAAGGCACTCCTTTTATACTAAAACAGAAATGGCAACGAATAACTTACAATTAACGAAATTGTTTGAAATACTTACATTTTCATGTCGAAATTCGACAGAGTTTCTATAGTGAACGGGGCTGATTCGGAATCGTTCATTTTTTCTTACTTATAAAATCTTTGACATAAACTAAACAATAATTGTATTCATAAATAACAAATAAACATACGAATTACTTTGATTTCAAAGAAGTTTCGTGAAATGTTTTTAATAAATTCACAGTAAAATCACAAATTAACTTTTAAACGAAGCACTGAAATTGAAAGAAACGAGAAACAAAGTAAATGTACGTTAGTTCTCCGGTTTCCGTTACATTTAAATTTTGTTGTGCGCAGCGTTGTCGGTTGTTCGACCGATAATTTATTACGCAATCAATTCGGATGATTATTGATTTGTAGAAAGAATAATATAAGATTGCTGAGAAAATCCAAAGTTGCATGTTTTTTTACGGATCGCTGCATAACATAAAATCAAGTTAATTTATTCATATTAATAAAATTAGAATTATAAACGAATTGTAACAAGTTGGAAATTAAAAGAATTTTACGAGTAACTGGCAACGTGGCACACAGTAAATTATTCAGTACCACCAACTGATACTTACAGATAAATTACAGGAATCTATAATAGAATAAAAATAAAAATTTCATTTGTGATTTCAGTATATGCTCCTTTTAAGGATATATGTTTGCTGCTACAATGTAATTATGAAAGACAATGATAGTTTAAGTGCTTTTCTCGTATTAAAATTTTTGGGATTTCAGATTTTTAATAATTAAAGTTGGTATACCTGATAAAAATAGGTTATTCTTCTCTACAATCTACAATACATTGTTGTCGGTTCTCATCAACGTCGACGAATTCTTTAGATCTACTACTTTTTCTTATACATATTGTAGAAGAAATATTTAAACTTAGTTTCTCACATATACTTGTATTAAAAAACTGTAGAAAACTATCTAGCTATTAATAGATTATTGTAAAGAAAATTTAACAACGTAATAGTAGAAGTAAAGACTTAAGACTTATATTTCTGGCAAAGATCAGCCTAACAGAGCCAATCTGGCAACATAGCTTTCTGGTGGAACACCATGTTTTGTTTAGTAGTTGGAAGTTGGAACACTTTAAAAGTGGTTTTACTTATAAATTGCATATTTATGTTTATTTTAATAATTCTTAAGTTGATGTAATTATGTATTGAGGATAAATCTTCTTTAATCGAATTCATTGGCCGATAAACAGAAAGTGTGAGATTAGAAAAAAGCGAAAAGGCATATTTTCAATTTGGGATTTTCATTTTGGGATGAGACGTCTCCTGATAACAAATATCGATTACGGAATAATGAAACAAACTGTTCGAATTTGTAACTCATTGTTTGTACTATAAGCTATAACAAATACAATTACTCAGAAAAGATAGTGCACATGTTTACAGTTATGTGGTTATGAATCTGTTTGTTCCATAACAGTACTTATGCTTAGAAGTAAAATGTAAGTGGTATTTACTAGATTTAAGTTTATTTTGTGGACTCTGATAACTATGAGCTAGATCGTGTGGCCTAATATGTGGATTCTTATACTTTCTTGGTGTGCTGGTGTTTGTTTTGTTATGACATTAATATTTTGCGTATGTTGGAGGAAGAGATCCCCAAAGTAAGTTCATTTTCAATCAACTGTTATGATTTCTTTTTTAATCAATAATTTCATTTTTAAGGGAAGACTGGCATGGACCAGATGGTATGGTTACTCAAAAGAATCCCGATGAAAACGTTAATCATTTGCCCTCCGCAACAATATGTGCTGTTGATGGACCTACAAGTGAAGATGTTTCTAATTTGAGTAAAAGGTGAGAAGGAAGAGCCATGTGTAAAGCCGCAGCATATTCCCACATCAACAATTTTATCAATTTATTGTTTTATTCAGAGTAATCAACAATTCGAGAAGAAGTTTACCAGATATACCTTCCGACCAACTGACAAATGTCAATTGGGATCCGACGGATAATTCATCGGAACATTATGCCACTGTGGGACAGTATCAACAAGCGGGTATTGTATTCATTATAATACATACAAATTATTCGAAATAAGAACACTTATTATTTGCAGCTAAAAGACACACCATAGCTAATGGAATTGAACAAAGACCTAGCGTATCTCAGCACAGCTCGATTAGTCAAAACGATGAGAATTTTTCTCCTTATGAGCGCGTTAAATACGATAAAATCAAGTCTAAAGAGCATCCCTATGCTCAGCTCCAACCAAATTCTACTCGCCCAATGTTACCTGAAGAAGTCGTTGGTACATCTGAAGAAAGAGTAAATTTGTTAAGGTAACTGTTCAATTGCAATATACTTTATTGATTTAAATGGTGTTATTCAGGTCAGACGTAGCTGCAGCTGATGAACCCACCTCTCCTAACCGATCAAGGAGGTCGTCCTTGCATAGTAACGGAGGTTTAGATATACCTGCAGCTTCAGCTGTTGCTGGAGTCGTCGCAGCTAGTCCTGAACTGCCTTATATGACACCGCCTGTGACTCAAGCTAATTTTAGCGGTGATTCACAGGATTCTTCAAGTTAGTGTACCTATTACATTTTTTTATAGCTACTAATGATTTTATTTTTATGGTAGAAGGATACACAAGCATAAGCGTTAGAGAACCATTGGCAAACATTATCGCTCAAACTAACGAATTGAAAAAGACGAAAAGAGATTTTACAGATCCGCATTATTCTACAGTATCCGATGATTCAGGTTTGTTTGTAAACGAATCTCAATTTTACATTTGTAATGATTGTTGTAAATTTTAGATGATGTTTATACGACAATACCAGATCCAAATAATCCTATATACACTAGCGAAAGTGAAACTTACGCTCGAATACCACCTTTGCCGATAACCGTTGAAGTGGAGGTAAATGCACCACCTCCGGCGCATTTGCAAATCCAACAACCGATCGTATCCAATGACGAATTTTACGAATCGCCGCCTCAACCTCCTCCCGTCGACAGTTTGAAACAAGTAAAAGCTCAATCGCAAAACCAAACGACCTATTCTCACTCAAGACAGGGTAAGGAAGATATTTCCTTTTGAAACCGTTTCTACATCCCTTATCTATTGCAGCATCTTCTTCGAGTTCAATAACGAATTTGGGCTCGCCAAAGCCCGAGAAACGCCAGGCGAATTCTCCCCTACCTCCTCCGCCTACTGTGTCTAATTTCGATTTCCACGCGGATAAGTTAGTAAAAAACGTCGATGATCTCTACGCCAAAGTTCACAAAAATAAGAAGGAAGATGCGAATGCCGAGAAGGTAGAAAAGCGAAGTATTTCGCCGGAGAATAGCGTCCGAACGTCATTGGAAAACCAAATTCACGAACGACGAATCAAAGAACACAATTACGAGACATTGAAAAAATCTTCCAGCAAAGCCAGTGATCCGGGTTATGAAAGGATCAAAGGCAGCGATGAGCCTGGTTATGCAAGTATTAACGGGCCGGAGAGCCTACCTAGCTCCGATCCAGGCTACGAAGTACTTAAAAATAGGTAAACATTATTTATTGTTTGCATAAAATTATTTTGTTGTTTGCGGGCAGGTCTTTTCAGTCCCGCAACCAATTAGATCCTCCGTATTTTTGTCAGAGGTCATTAATAGGTGTGAACCTTATAGGAGTTCCAACGCCCTTGTTGTGTCTAGATCTTTGGGAACAAAAAACATTCATCCATAGGCTTTGCACCTGCTTATAGATAGAGCCGCACAGTAACAGACCACAGCTCGAAGGACTTAGCGCCTTCTATGCTAAGAGAGTTAAATGACCAACGTCACGCTCGCTGCGCGAGCTCGACTTATTCACTGTGAATAACTTATGGCCTTCTACGCAAAGATATACTGTTTATACTGTTCTCTTTAGTCTCCTCGCATAGAAGACACGTTCAATATAATATTTAACGTTTCTAAAAAATTAAATCATTTCAGGGTACCATCGGAATTCGATCCGAATTACGAGGAACTGAGACACCGTGTATCCAACGCCAGCGACTCTTCGGATTACACTAAAATTAGGGATCTAAGTGACGGTTATTCCATCGTCCGAAAAAATAAAACCATTATCGACGAGCCGAATTACGAAAGTATGAAGAACGAAGAATCGAATTACAATGGTTCTAAGTCGAATAGCAGCGAATCCGATCCGAATTACGAATCGGTGAATCACGGGGATCCTAATTACGAAAGCGTGAAGGATTTAGATGATCCTCCTTACGAACGGTTAGATGAAGATTCCAGCAGGACCAATTCCGATCTATCTGGTTGTGATAAAATGAAAAAGATCGGTAAGTATTTGCTTTCTTCTCAAATGCCTTTCTGACTTTATACAACGCTATTATCGTATCTCATTTCGAGCATCACGCGCGCCTCCTTCTGGCGCTTGAGTTAAGTAGGCTGACTGAAAATTTCATAAGAAATAATATAATTTAATTTTTTAATTATACATGTTTTTTCGTGAAATTTTAGTTGCGACAGTTGGTGCGAGGGCAACAATTTGTTATTAAAGAATGTCCATATTAGATATTGCGGCTTTCAGCCAGTTAATGTAAATAAGTTTAGAAAAAAAAATGATTTATATTTAGATTGGTTACAGCTATTTTTTCAATGTAATATGCAATAGAAAATGATTTATAAAATAATATAATGAAGATATCTAAATTATTAGTACATACATACATAGTTTTTTGATAATTTTAGTAATTTTGTCATACAAGTCAATGCTCCAACTTGACACGTGACACATGTATAAGTCTATTTACAAATCTCGCCGCTTGCAGCGCTGTTATCGATACGTTAATAGCGTTTACAAGTGAAAAGTTGCTCAATAAAATGTTGAATATTTAAATCAAAAATATTTTAGAATTGGAAAAGAACGATACTTCGGAAAGTTCGAATAGTTTAGGAAAATCCTCATCAGAGAAAACCGATCCGCCCTATGAGCAGTTAAACAACGATACAGATTCCGAGGTTCCTGGTTACGAAAAAATCGGAAGCAGATTGTCATCCTGTAAAAATACGCCCGTCAGTCCTACAAACCGAACTAATTCCATTAACATACTCGATGATGATGGAATTGTACAAGTTTAGTGATGTATTTTATAGGTTTTATACAGAATTCGGCCTAAGTTTTGTGTGAGGTGTTCTCCAAAAAACGAATTACAAATTATGATACGTGTCTCTTTCAATACTGAAATATTTAAAATTGTTTAAAAATTTAACAAAATATATTATGTAAGCCCGTACTACGATATCAATTCTAATAATTTCAAAATTGCTAGAAATGTATTTTTTTAAATACACATCACAATGAATTTATACGTCACTATACTTTAAGGTTGCACTTTATTTAATAACTAGAGAGAAGACTTTTTAAATAAGTTTACGAATTATGAAAGCAGTATTAAAATAACTCTGTGTAAACTAACTAAAATTTGGATAAAACATAAAATATTTTATTATGTATTCAACTGCATTTATTAACAAAATGAGCTCCAGATTTCTCGATTCTGCATCTATTGTAGAAGATATAAAAAAAAATCATTACAAAAGTTGTAGATCTTATAAAGCTGCATCTAAAAATTAGTTGCATAGGCCACATTTTCAGGATATCTGCAATGTTGTGAAACTTGAAATTTATTTTCAAGTCAGTCCATTTTGTTTCTACAGAGTCGTAAACTTAGTACGATTTTCATGGAAAAATGGTCATAACTTTTAAACCACTCAGTATAATCATACATAATATTTTTTTGGAAAGCTGAAAACGAGCTAAATTCGATTTTTGAATAAAAAAGCAGGGTGTTCCATTTAAAAATGTATAAGTTTGGTCTACCACGGAAAAACGGGAGACTCTGTATAATTAGTTTTAAAATATGCAGCTTTAAAAGATATACAACTTTTGTACTGAACTTTTGTAAAATATTGTACTGAAGTTTTTTATATCTTCTGCAATAACAGGTATATTGAGCTTTTTCTTACTTATGTTCCACCCTGTATGTACACTATCTAGTTTCTAAATAAGGTGTAAAAAAAAATATATTATTTTTATATCTAATTTTTTGGGAACACGCTGTGCATTAATATATACTTAATACTTAAATATTTTTATTTACCAAAAGGCACAATTTGTGAATTTACGTGAATGTGATGTTATTTCCTTTTTTATTAAATACGATTTGAACGCTTATCATATAATGCTCATGGTACGTAAATAATTATAACGAATAACACTAAAAAAATCTGCTAAACCAAAGTAGAAATTTTGTTATAATAAATAATGCACAATTTATTATAGTTAATAAAATCATTCCGAAAATTAGTTTTCCGTAAGAATAAAATGAACTGAAACAAAATTTTTAATGCTTTGAAATGTCTGTGATTGCTGTAATAAACACTAATTATTTATGAACATATGAACTTGGTAGATATAACTGTTTTTATTTTGTGTTGTGCCAAACGTTCAATGTTTTAATAGCCTTATTTTTAAAATGCTTCGCAAATTAATTGCATTTATATAGATTTTTTTGTTGTATTAAAGAGTAATATATTTCGAGATATTTTATATTATACGTATCTATTTATATTTGTGTGAAATTTTTCATTGAATATATTTTATACTTTATATTTTCGTTTGCTAACCCATTAAAACCCGACGACTGGATTAGAATTTATTTTTTTCTAAATTAGGAATCAAATTATATTTCCAAATAGGCGTATAACTGTTGATGTTTTTAATCTCCTTGTCGATCTTCGCGATTTTCTCTCGAAGGATGTAATGCATCGGCGGTCGCGGTTTCTTCGGGCAATTTTTCGAATTCATCAGCTTGGTCTTTTCGTTGAAGCCGATGAGTTTACTGCGAAGGGACCTGGACTTGTCGACGACAAGTCTTTGATTAAGGGCGTCCATCAGGCACAGCGTTTGGAAATTGAGCCTGCGAATTTTCTTCTTGATTTTGTTGATCTTCCTCTGCTTCTGGAGCTTCTGGTACGATGCTTTCGTGCAAATCACCATTTTCTTCTCCCTGAATTTGTTCGGATCGTAATAGTCCATGTTTAAAGGCTCGTCTGCGGGTTTCTGTTTAGGCGGACCAGCGGCAATGGGCTTACTTATAAATTTATGCCCTTCTTTTTTTGAAATATCGCATTTTTCGGTTTTCATTTTATTTTTGCTGTTATTTTTGTTAACCGCTTTTTCGCCGTCTTTTTTGTTTCCACTAGGAGGTGTCGGGTTGTTTGCAGTATTGTCTTTAATTATAATTTTAATGCCTTGCGTTGATTCTGCAATAGGTTCTTTAACATGCTCCTCTTTGTTGTCATCATTATTTGTTGAACATTCCTTAGATTCCTTTGGTTCCTTAGAATCCTTAGAATCTTTAGGTTTTTTAATGGTTTGAGTGGATATTCCAATTTCATTGGTATTACTTCTTTCTATATCTGCGGTAATTGTGGGTGCAGGATCCTCTTGTAGAACATTTTCGCTTTTTATAACAGTTATGCCGTGCCTGTGATTTGTCGGCTTTTTCAGGGGTCTTTTTTGATTATTTTTTGGAACTATGGGGGTTTTAACCGGCTTTTTGTCGTCTTTAATATTTTTAGCGCTCGGTTCAAGTTTAATGGAAGTCCGTTTTACCATTGCATTACGTTTTGTTTCCACTTCAATGCAGGAGGAATTCGGGCATTTGTTCACAACAGGCGGAATTTCTTTCCTCTTTTGGGGACGTTTGCGGGACGGGTTATTCGTGTGACGAATTTTCGTCGATAACTTGCAATTGGACACATTCGACGAGTTTTTGTTCCCTTTTTTGCAAACAATCGGGACGCCGTTAACGAATTTTACGGTTCTCATTTTAACAGAATTTTAAATTCACATAAGCCTATAATTTAGGTCCAAAAATCACGTAAGGTAATTTACATTTCTTGCCCACGAATTATCAAATTACTGACAATTTCGCGATTAAATGACGTCAAGGCAATCCTTGTTTTATGAATTATTTTTGATTTTGCATACTTACAATAGGATTTTTTATTAAATAAAGTATAAAATAGTAAAGTAATACAGTACAATGCATTTTATTACAGTTATTAATTAAAGAAAATGAAAGGGACCATGAAAAAATGTAACGGAACTTTTAAAAATAATTAAATAGGTAATTACGTTATAACTATAAATGAAAGGTCTACAAATAAAATCTTCAGGAAATTTAGATTGTACATTAGGTACTCCATTTCTTCGTATTTCTATAATATTACTATAATATTTCTATGAATGCTTATTTTTTTTTCTCATAGTGATCTCTTTAATATATTCTACGAGTGTATTGATGCATAGATCTTTAAGTCTACTAAGTTTTGACTCACATCAATATGACGTTTTTGTCTGTTTTTAACAAATTTTATGTGCTTATTGTAAATTTTCTTGTATACTGTAAATTGTTGATGTGAATATTCTTAATTCGATAAAAAAATTTAAGCAATCATGACAGTCGAGCAGAAGACTGAAAACGGATTAGTTCAGTTTAAAATACGGATACCACCGATTCTTCGAACACTAACGGAAAAACCGGGTTTACTTGACCTACGTAATAGCAAACAATCCACAGAAGTTGGGAGTGTTGTTAGAAATAACATCATTCGTACGAAGCTCGAGCCAGTGGTGATAAAAGCTAAAACGATCAAAATTTCTAAAGCTCCTCCGGATCCGCCGTTGAAGACACCTATAAGAGACAGACCTATCAAGCGTGCAGTGCCTTTAGAAAATCTTGACGAGGAGATTAGAAAACCAATCGAACAACCAAAAAAAATCGATACATACGTAAAGAAACCACCAAAGGAGAAGAAAAAAATCGTCCGAAAACAATCGAACAGGAAGATAAGCCAGCACAGTTTTCTCAAAAAACGAAGCACTCTCTCAAAAAAACCCAAGAAAAAACGCAGCGTAGGAAAAATCGTATCGAACCCAAACATCCCAATGAGCAAAACCACCAACTGCTTAATCAAAACCAACAGAGTGGAGAAACAGTGGATGTGCTGCACAGTAAACAACAGGTTGTGCAAATCAGAAATCGAAATGCCGACTTACGAGTCCAAAGGTGTCGGAACCTGTACCGATAGGCACTGCTCGAATACGGCCAAGTTTTTCAAAAACTACCATCAGGAAAAACTCGCCAGATTGAACGAGCAAATCAGAAACACCAACGCTGCCTCCTCGATATTCAAACCGAAGCAGAAAGAGTTGACTCCTACCGTCAGATCGGCCCGTCAGGACAAACTCGAGAAACTTAACGAGGAAATCAGAGAGATGAACTCGAAGAGATCACCGACGACGAAATACATACCGGCGCCGATTGAGTTTAGGGAGAAGCTTCGAAAGAAACTCAACCAACTCAACACGGAGATCAGGCTAACTAATAAAAACCGGATCGATGCCACGAGAAGGCTAATGTTCATCAGACAATTGAAGAAAAGAGCGATGAAAAAGAAACTGACCCTAAACCGTCAACAGAAAGAAATGGAAGAAGGAACGAAGCGAAACCAGAACAAATTTAGTTTACCAGAGACCATTCGAACTAACAAAATTCACAAAAAACGCCACAGAAGTTCAAATATGAAAAAATTCAGAAACTACAAATAAGATTTGTAGAAGCATTTCGACTCTATATCACTAACATCAATTTAAAATAGTAGTGTAATCATCTTAGTTCACATTAAAATGATAAATTCTCATCAATTTATTATTGTTCTAAATTCATCGAGAGAAATCAGAACAGATAACTTCAAAGACTATTATAAAAAAATAATCTAAAATATTTGGAGGTGCTTATGTTTAAAATATTGACCATTCCTTATGAAACAACTTGTAATGGAATAATTAAAAATGACCACTAAATGTTGAAACCCTTTCATTATTTTGAGGAGTGAACATCTTTTTGCGAAAAAACTGCTTTACATTTCTTACCATTTAATTATTGGTGGTTTCTTTTCCTTCTTGAACAAGTTGGTGATTGTTCACAGTTTAAATTTGGCGCTCTCTTTAGAAAATTCATTTCTTCCATTTTGTAACAATTTGGCCTCCATCCTAGCAAATGGTTGGCTACCTTTATCTGTCATTTTTGTAAAAATTATTTCTACATATAATGCCTAAGCCTCTGTTGGTATTCGGTAACAAATTTATGACAGCGATATGACGTTTGACTTGACTTCGTTACACACATCTGTCAATAGTGTCAATTATCAACACAATTATTTTTCTTGTTCTAATTTACATGTAATCACTTAATTTTATATAAAAATTACATTTAGAAATGGTGAGTTACGGATTTTTCGTTGACGATTTCCTAATGGTTATACTGTTTTAGATGCAATTTATGTTACTGTTCAGTAGGCAAGGAAAGTTGCGATTGCAAAAGTGGTATGTGGCTCATCCTGATAAGCTGAAGAAAAAAATTACTAGGGAATTAATTACCACTATTCTTGCCAGAAAACCAAAAATGTGCAGTTTCTTAGAATGGAGAGATTTGAAAATCGTTTATAAAAGGTCCATATAAGTATTTAATTTATAACAAACATATTCAATAACATCCTATTTACAGGTATGCTAGCTTGTATTTTTGCTGCGCGATAGAACAATGCGACAATGAACTGTTAACATTGGAAATCATTCATCGTTACGTTGAACTATTGGATAAGTACTTCGGAAGTGTAAGTGTATATACAATTTACTAGTCACATTTATCGATAACTATCTCATCGAAGGTATGCGAGTTGGATATAATTTTCAACTTTGAGAAGGCCTATTTCATTCTGGACGAGCTAATGCTTGGTGGAGAGGTGCAGGAAACCAGTAAGAAGAATGTTCTGAAGGCAATCGCTGCACAGGATCTCCTACAAGAGGTTAGTCATGGGAATATTGAATTATAGATATTTCATAACAGCTAAAACAGGAATTAGAAATTGTTAAAATCTGATATAACTTATTGAATTATATGTTGAATTCAGTTGTGTTGAATTCAATCAATATGAATGGTCATAAAACCTTTATGGATCAATTTTATAAGAATATTAGTACTTATAAGAATCTGTATTTATATCTCGATCAATATTTTATTGTAGTTTAATCCTGCATTAGCTGTTGATTGATTTAATGGCTAAAATATTTATTGCACATGTCAATGTTGTCTCTACTCTTTACCTGTTGCTTTTTGAACGTTATATACTCCTTTCCTTTTTGTGCACACAAAGGATTTGAACGACAGTTAAGAGTCTGTTTCTTTTTTAATCTATTATGTTAAGTACATTACGATTTGCATACAAATATTTTCGAATTTTTTTTACGAATCGAGGGAGTTTTCTAATTACTAATTAAGTTTATGACTTCTAAATAATATTGCTACTCGTTAATTTTAATATAATATCGAATATTTGAGTTTATATACAGAACAAAGGAATGTAGTGATATAATTTAGATAATGTACAAGAATATATTTTTACTTATCTACGCATAATTTTGCAAGTATTTGTATATTTTTCTGAATTTTATTTACAGTCATGCATGTGGTTTTAAATGCTTGAATTGCTTATTTTTTAATAGCATGGATATGTGCATGACAATATATCCTATCTATAAGGTGTAAACTGACAAACTTTCCTCTACATACATTTTTTATACAGGGTGTCCCGCATAAGAACCGAAACGGAACAGGGGCGTGAAGGGTAGCCCGAAATATGTTGTTTAACCCAACTTAACTGAATACAAAGAGAATTTAGAGAATTTAGAGAATTATAGGCCTTCAAAGTTAAGTTAAAAATTAAAATAATAATATCTCATTAATACTCAAACTTAAAACAACTAAATTTGATATACGTTATTAGTTTACAAAGAGCATTAGGAGAGTTCAATTGATCTATTTTAAAAGGTCCATCAGGGATGAAGCTCCCTTAAAATGTTACAATTTTTTTTTACCTGATGGATGATTTAAAACATTATCATGTACACTATCAATATTACTAAAAGCTGTGGTAAGTTAAGTTATATTAAACAAGCTATTTTAGGCTATCTTACATGCCCAAGCTCTGTGTCGGTTCTTATGCGGGATACCCTGTATTTACAATTAGAATATTAGTATGATACTTTGTTAACACAACAAGTATATTATGTTTGCCATTAAGATGTTTATTTTATAGTTCTAGTCAAGTTATTAAAGTTGTGAGAACTAAACTAACGTTATAGTTCACTAGAGAATACAATTCATTTTTGTTCATAAATATCGAAGATTAGGTCTTGTTAATGTTGGTGTAAATTTAGTATAAGTTAATATTGCTTAAAAATAGGTTGTGATAAGTTTACATGTTTTTTGTTTGTTTAAGTATTTTTATTAGTTTCGTCATAACCAACTCTTCAAAAAATTGCCAGTATAATTTAATAGTATTTTTTTATCCAACTGTTACCTATAATTCAAGACTGTAGACGTTTGCCAGTATATTCCAATTGAATGATTATATAATACACGTTTAATTTATAGAACTTAAGTGCCTGAATTAATCAACTAATTCCTATTTTATATATTATTTTTAGTTTACAGAATTGAGGTTTTATCGGCTTTTCAAATTTGTCGAATGCAATTGATAATTTCCTACTTTTTTTTATACATTATTGCATGTTTTATATTCGTAATATATTTTTGTATATTTCAACAACCCTACCGTAACAATTGATTGTTTTTTAACAGTTTTAAGAGCCGTTAAAACAAAACGTTTAAATGGGGCATTTTTTTGATAAATGGGTCAGTGTTACTTATAATTTTTAGTACACAATTATCGACTGTGTAAGTATACCAAAGTAGTAACAATAAATTTTCTGTTGTTTCTCATAAATTGTTTGAATTCAAAGCTTGTAAATTGCTTGATAACGTGGAAGGGTTGAAAAGTTTTAGCAAACAGATAACGAGCGTATTTTATTAATTTATGACTATTAACTGGTACAGAATATAAAATTGAATTTATCGGTTATTAAAATAATATCCCGCTTGCCTATGAAGCTTGTTAATGTCGCTTGATTAAATCCAATAACACTTTAACATGTTTAGGGTTGCTGTGAAGAATTTTTTTTATATTAACGGACTTGTCTCGACTTTTTGGAATGATTCATTTCATGAAATTAAGGGTGTAAATGTGACCGAATTGAATGGGTATTTCACAAAATGCGTTTTAATTCGTTTTGTAATTTTATTAAGGACGAAGCAATGGAAATCGCTTTAAGGGATGTTGGTCTGCTGTAAGAACGAGTCCAACTAGTGCCGTTAACCAGTGAAATTTATAGTTACCAAAAGAGTCATTCCTAAATTTAATTTTTAAGTGTTGGATATGTTTATAAATTTTATATTCGAAAAATTTAGATTATTCCATAATTGGATAAAAAATATTGTTTTGTCTGTTGTAATAATGGATATTTAATATTCTATACATTCCTTATATTAAGCACAAAAATAGGTGTAACTAAAATTAATTATACGTGCCAAAATTAAGCTAAATTAAATGTATTGTATGTTCAGTATTAATAAGAACCTTCCATTTTATGAAACTATTATGATTAGCGAGGTTATTTTTTAAGTATAGGTGTAATTTTTGTGCTTAGTACCTGTTTAACAATACTTTTTTATTTCGACTAACTGTTGTTGTTTTTTCTATTTCTTTTCCTTTTGTTATACTATACTAATTTCTGTACTAATTCTCGTTGTTCAGTTTGTTCAAAATGTAATAGACGTGCATCTTATTAGTTTACTTTCTTTCATTAACACCTCGACGTTCTTCCTAATTTCTTTCAATTCAGAGAATGATATGAAAATAAAGTCCGAATACACTTGTTTGAATACTTTGTATTCTGTGAATTTAATATGTTTTTGTAAACCCAACGTATTCGTTCAAGTGTTTTCTTTAAATTATAAACAATTTGCTAGTTTTATGTAGTTGTTAAACCACCCGGTGTTTGGTGACTTGTGATTTTGACAAAGTAAACTCAATATGAAAGTGGATAAAGGAGTGTTTTCTATTTAAGGAGGGAACCGATGATTAGGTACGTGCATTATTCATTTTTTATCCACGTTCATATTGGCGCTGTGAGGTACTTAAAGAAATGATCGTTTCGTTTTGTTGTAGGAGGAAACACCGCAAGGATTCTTCGACGATCACGGACTGGGCTAAATCTTTCATACTCCATTCGGATGGAATCTTCAACAATCGACTTCTGCTTGCATTATCTTGCTGTAAACTCAATCTCCTTGTCTATTTTCTTAATTAGTCGTAAGCTCGAATATAGCTGTAATTTTTAAAATCTTTCACGCGATATAAAATAGGAATAATAATAGCTTAAAAAGTTCGTTAAAGCGAGAGTTAAATTTCTGTATAGAGTATTTTATGTTCTTGCTACAAGTGCTTTAAAAATTTACGTACAGTATTTAAATCTACGAACGAATTTGTTCTGGTCAGTACATTTTTTATAGGTTCCGCTAGTATTCTAATTTTGCTCAATCTTGTGCAATAATTCTATAAAAGACAGTATTCGAAGCAAATCGAATTAAAAACGATTTTAATTAGTTTATCACACCTTAACGAATTTCATTGCACTCGCTTAATTATGTATGTAGTTTATTCGCAGTTTGTATCGAATCATTCGTATATATGATTATTAAAATATCAATAAACATTTCAACGGATACCCCGGAGTGTTATTTTACAATTACTTACAAATTTTGAAACCTTGCAATTTCGAACAATCTCTCAATGAATCGATGAGTAAACTCGTTTATGAAGTAGAGCAAAAAAGAAGTGAGTGAGTTTTGAAAATAGATATTTATTACAACCTGGTGATAATGGTTTAACCAAGAAGATGTTCCGTGTTTGATTACAATTGACATAAAATCAAACGTACAACAATGTAAAATAATAAATCCTTTTCAGAATTTTTCAAATTCAATTCTCTTCCCAGCAATCTGTAAAGATAAAAGTAGGGTTTTACAAATAGTCATTAAAGTGCTAGTAAAGTATCCTAGCGCACTGGGAATACCTTATAAAAATGCCAAATTACTCAAAAATATCTGAAAAACGAAAATCACTGGCACCGCAGTTGCTTGTCAAATTTGCAAAATTGTTCTATTTGACATTTATGTCAGGCGACACCATAATTTTTTAGTAATCATTATTTAGTAATAACTTTATTACATATCTATGTTATTAATCTATTATCATCATTTGCTAAAATTCTTTAGTTTTTTTTAATTTAATACAACCTGTAGATCATTATAAACTAGGAGATGTCGTTCTAATAAATGTAAATGTAATAAAGAATGTAATAAATATTTTTCATTCTACTAAACTCATTCACACATTTTGTACAATGAAACTCGAGTTTTACTAGAATTACGTTCAGCCATTTAAAAAGCATTGCAAATAAATAACTGTTTTGATTTCGATTTTCTTAAATATAATAAGTCGATCAGCGTCAGAGGGTCCAAGCTGCGAAATTGCCTTAGCTGGATATCAATCAGGAAAAGTGTTGCATATTTTCTAGATTTCAAGTTCACATTGCCCCAAATGAACTTTTCTAGTTCACAAATATAGATATATCGTGCATACTTGTGCCATTTCATTTGGGCCTATGTAGACTTGAAAATATGCAGCACTTTTTCCTGATTGATACCAGCTAATGCAATTAGCAATTGGCCACTCTAGCGTTGAGCGACTCTTAATGAAGCAGGTGAGATTAAAAATAAGAGATATCATGCTTGGAGTCTCTATATTAGGTATAAAAAAGATTTAAATCAATTGATGAAGCCAACTTTGAATCTTACAAGAATTAGTGAACCTATGTTTTCCCATTAAAAATACCCTTAAGTGGCGCTCTTAAATCTATCTCGAAAAGTTTAATTTTGTTTAAAAGTCTAATTAAAATTTCGAAATAAAATCGAGTAATCTAGAGGACTTCAATCTGGTGATCGAGCGGGTCATTATTAGTGACTTTTCCTCGAATAACTCACTTAAAGAAGCAACCACGGAAATATAATTATGAGGCCCAGAATCTTCCTTTCAGCATCCAGTCTAATCCGTAGCAGGAACAAGTTAAATAGAGCTTCATTGAATAGAGCTTATGATAACTGTACACAACTTTTTACATTTTAATTAGTATTACATCTCCAATAGTGCCATCATTGTGATACTCACTGTAGCTTTCCAGGCGCAGAGTAAGTTTAAATGTATTTAATAAAAAACGGTTTGTATCTCAATGTTGAGATTTGATAATGTTAGTTGAGTACACTCGACGTAATCGAGTAGATTCCCGTGGAACGAGATAAATCGTTGCCGTCGAAAAATAGAGATAGCGTTCGAGGGCAATCGGGAAAGCAGGGCGGGGAGGAAGACGTCGCCGTGGTGGTCGGCGGCGCCGCAGCTCGCGTCGCGACGTCACGAGATTGCGCAGCCGTTGTTCGTCAGTAATGGTCAGCTGTGTACGGGAGTCGAAGACGAGAAATGCGCCTTAGGCATGTAAGTGTGGCTGTCGGTAACACTGAAAGGCAGCAACATGTACGTCTTCGGTTTCGACATCACATAGACGTGTAATATGCGTGCGAGTGCTTGTTCACGGTGAAGTTTTGGCGTGAACGGTGGCTCGGAGGAATCATGGCGTCGGTGGCGGGCTCGCAAGAACAAATGCCCGCCGCGCACGGCCATAGCTTCTGCAAGAAGACCTTCCACAAGCCCACCTATTGCCACCACTGCAGCGACATGCTATGGGGCCTCATCCAGCAGGGCTTCATCTGCGAAGGTGAGTTTTTCGGGGATTTTTTTTACGGAGTTTCGTTCTCCCGACCCCTTCCACCTCCGCTCTCCTGCTCGCGCCTCTTTCATGCTCCTGCTGCTGCTTGCTGCCATCCTGACTCCCTCGCCACGTTCAAATAGGTCACTACTCTCAGGAGACCACTACTTATGTGGCTTAAGTTCGCACTCCTGTTTTCCTTTTGCTACCGTTTAAGCCTGCGAATTATGACGGGCATTCCGTCCGTTTTTCCTCGAATACCGAGGATTTGGTCACTTATGTCTAGTTTTTCGCTGGCGAATATAGGTCACCTATTTAAAATATGTACGGAAATTCTGTCACTGAATAGACCAGTCGATAGAGAACCAGATCGAAACTACTGATAAAAAATACCTTCAGTCGTGGAGACATCACATAAAAATTATTTATTTTTTGTTATATCTTATTCGACAGATGCAGTTATACGATTCATGCTTTTGTGTTTAACCACATCCTAACTTCTAGTTTATTTATTAGGTAAATACTCGTTTATCTAATACATGTGGTGGAAATTCGGAATATAAATGACTGCGAATAAATGTAACATCTGGTGTGTTGCGCCAATGTGCAGTTGATTTTTACAAAACAAAGTTGGACTGTTGCAGATTAAATAAATTCACAATTTATTATTTTACGAATTTAATATTGTTTCAAAGACTTATTCAGATATTTATTGTGAAGAATAAAGCATAAATTATCTTCAAGGATTATTTTTTTTAATTAAAATACATGCCATAAGACGATTGAAGAAAAGCTGTAAAAGTTTTTTCTAAAAACATATTCAGTCAAAACAATTTCAATTTTTTGTAATTAAAGTATAACATTTTATTAACTTTGTTTCCTCCACGTGGAGGAAGTTCAGGATTCTCTTCTAGTTTTATTGTGCTCTGTTCTCTATTAGTTTTCATCCGAACAAAACCGAAGTTCTTTTGGACCAGCAACTTCGGCATAAGAGATACATAAAGAAATGTAAAAAAAATGTACACCACTGCAAACTTTAATAAACACCTACTAAAAAGTAATGCTTATACTATAGGATACTTTTTGTTTGTCGTCGTCTTCCACAAAAATGCCACTACAGATATCTTTACGAGTACACCCAAAAATTATTAACATCTCCATAAATACGAAGCTCAGTTTATTCACCACCTCATTTTGAAGGTGTATTTTCTTCTTGCAAGTAGTACCTACTCTTCTTTTATTAACAAATACAGGTAATAAAAAGTGTTTTTCTACCAGGAGCAGATAAAAATAAATGCGGCTTTGTAGTCCGAACGCCCACCTGAAAACTCCTCTGTGCCCAAGGGAATTATACCAGAGGACGAAGACAGCCAGGTCGCGTTTATACTTCGTACGATTTTATGGGGAATTTGGAAGTTTCCGAACTTGGTTATCGACGGGCACGGGGCGTTGGTGGTTGGTGTGACGCTCGAATTGCACGAAATGGAAAATTACGGATTTTAAGATCCATCGAGCACTTGGCGTTTCAACAATTAATTACGGTTGGCTCGCCGGTTGTAATGCTGTCGTATCGATGGAGATACCAATAGTGTGCGTTATACTTAAGGCGGATTTCCGATATTAATTCTAACCCGAGATAATACGGTTTCGCTTATCAAATATACTTCTAATTGGGATTTCCTGCGGTATTTACGACCATCTTTTTAACTGTGTTAACTCTAATTTCAGTGGAAAAGGAATATTTGTTAAAAAGAAGGAAATTAGATAAAGTTGTTATCAATTTTAAATTCTTATACAAGTATTTTTAGGTAACAGGTAACGGCAAATTATTTCAAACGAACGAATATTATTTATTAGATATTTTTTGAAGGTGTTAGGTATATTTTTTTTGAGAAAGAATTAAATTTGAAACATCAAGTAAACCACCGTTGACATGTTTGACCTTTAAGTCACAGATTCTCCGGACGTAAAGTAATTAATTGTTATTTTTCGATAAAATAAATACGGCCCTGGATGTAATAGCAGCCAGTCTCTGGAGATGTAAACATCAGATAAACACATACACAAAAGTATATTAGGTCTGACGTCAATAATCACCTCGATCTCAATATAGTGTATGTTGCGGTTTATGTTTTATTGCGATACGGATATGTCGTTGAATTCTGGCTGACAATTTTTCCGCGCCATTCAAGTCTAAACCTAGAATTGTCTGGCAAACTGAATTTTCTTTCTGCTATCGTCCTCTTTCATCTGAACTCATCGCTTCTTCCACTTGTTTCCCACGAGCTTGTATCGATTTTCTATCTAGTTTTATTAGTTTGCTTCTCTCGCCACTTGTGTTATCCTAACTTCCATCGACTTGCTTATCGCAGACTTAATGGTTCCCTTATGGAATTCCTTCATTACACAGTTTCACTGCGCGAACTAATTTTTTTGTATCGTTCTTGGTACGATGTTAAGGAAAAAAAAAAAACAGCTAGAAAAATCTCGTTATTTTTTACTTCTTTTAATTGGAGTGCTTTGTTGTTTGCTGTTGACATGAATCCTGCTCTTGAACTTTCTTTCCGAGATCGTCAGTTGGAAATGGCAAAGAGTTGATGGCAATTATTTCCAACTCCTAATTAACATGCACAGTTTCTACGAGAAAATAAATTACTCGGCGATTAATTATTTATTTCTAAAGACCTCGTAGTATATTGTTTCCTTCCAGAATTCGTAAACATGTATTTTATTGGCGTTTCAGAATGCAGGTCAAAATAATTCATTGTCCTTGAATAAAACGTTATTCGTGTGCTTTAATAATTAATATTTTTTTATGAAATGTATGTTTGATATTTATTCGAAGAAATTCAAGTAAAACGCGATTGGAGGAATAAAATGAGAACGTGGTTGTTATTAATTTCATAAAATATTGTGTAATTAATGAATTAACATTCTAATATGAATAGGGTGTATTTGCGTAAACACAGATATACAATTTCGAACGATTCTTCTCATTCATTGAGCTTCCAATAATACAATATATACGTTAACATTCTTATAAATAGATTCATTCACTGTCAGTTCCATATCAAGTCCTTTAACAACAGGTTATTCTCCGTCTTTCCATTAAATACGTCGATATCAACAGTTCTAATTCCTTTCTAGTGCAGGTGACTATTGTCCGCATTTAGCACGGCTTCATTGAAAATTGTTTTATCTTCCAACGCCCTACAGACGCGGCAACAACAATAACGCCCCGTTTGTATGTCGGAGTTTCTCGCATTTTAGGCGGGCGATCGCGTTACGTGTGCAAACCTGCACAAATGTAAAGTTTTTCATCATTCCGAAACAATGGTCCTCCTTCCGTCGCCCACCCGAAAAACCCAAATAACGCCGAAATCGATATTTAATTATTGAAAATGTCGAAAGTTTCGTCGGCCGGAGATTCGTTTCGCTTTCCCGATTAAAAAACTTCAAATTAAGTATCGAGCATTTGAAATTTGAACACAGATATAATGGACTTATCGAGTACAGGAAGTGTGCGAAGGTTTCCTCAAAACTTTTGTTAGTAGCATTTTCTTCACCAATGTAGTTTTATATCTACCAAATTATTATTTATTAATATATGTATAATGGTAAATTAGATACATCAATTACTAGAGAACCATTGCTTCTCCTCTTTGCCTTTAATTACAGTTTTGTAACTACCAATTTACTAAATGATGTAAAAGTAGATAGTTCAACACTCCATGCACTAATGATGGTTTCTATAAGAAACCTTAGATTGTAGAAGATTTTTCGTAAGCTACTTTTCTACTATATGGTGGTTTAACCAAATAAAACTGGTACTATGTCAAAACATTTAGAATCAATAATTCCATGTTGATACATTCGATACGTGCAAAAAAAAGACTTTAGAGAACCATTGATTCCTCTTTTTGTCTAAGATTACGGTTTTTGAATCTACCAAATTACTATTAATATAAAGGACATGCAAGGATATAAAGGATAGGCAAAGATGGGCAAAGAAGGCCAAGTCGCAAAAATCAAACTCGCGAAGAACCGTAGACAGACCACCCAAGAGGTGGTACGAAAGCTGGAGCTCAGTGTCACAGGAAGGGCTCCCAAGGAAGCTAACGCAACGAACTAAACAGGACTAGGTCCTATTATAAGAAGAAGAAGGTAAAGGATATAAAACTAGATTGTTCAATTCTCCAGTAAAGATGGTTCCTATACAGATTCTAGAGGATTTTTCGTAAGCTGTTTATTATACCTATTTATCTATTATGATTATTTAACTAAACTGCAAAAAAGAAGTCTTGAACCATTGATTCTCCTCTTTGCCTAAGAAAACAGTTTTTGTAATTTAATTATTACATTAGTAATATTGTTAGTTAATTTAGTTAATTATTGTAAAAACAGATTACAAAAATGGTTCGCCAGTTACATAAACTTTTCGGTCGAGATTATGCACCCAATGAATCGTCAGTGAGGTGTTTAATTGCAAAATTCAAGACCAAATTTACGCTGGTGGATCAGAAGACCATTGTTTATCGTCGTTCTTCTCGGTCACTCGAAAATATAGCCACAATAAGGGAGTCTGCGACCGAAAATCCAGGAACAACCATTCAACATCGTGGTCAAGAATTAGAGGACATTTGCAACTATTTTATGCAACGAATTTTAGTAAAAGATTTTTGCAAGAAATCAAGCCAAGGGACCATGCGCTGCGCCTATAATTTTCTTTGAAATTAAATCCAACGTTCTTGTTGGGACACATTTACTTATCTACTATGATGGTTTAAATTTAACTTAATAAAACTGGTATTATGTCAGAAAGTTTAGAATCACTGTAAAAATCGGAAACCAAAAATAATGAAAAAAGGAAGCAAGCTGAAAAACGATCTGCAACGAAAAATAAACCTGACAAACACGTAATAATGATGACTGTAATAAACTAGAAGACAAAAGCCGCGCATACACGAACTAGTGGAAGAACGTTTTCAAAAGAATTCGTTCGAATTGAATGATGCATGCAAGTACACACTTTTGTAATGCACCCTGGGCTCGTAGGCATTATATTAAATTATTTTTAGCCATTAAAATAGCTCCGCTTTCATACAAACGGTGGCTTTTAATGAATCTACCTACTTGTTGATGTAAAGGCATTGAAACTAGGCGAAACAAGGTAAAAATAACTCCAAGCATAAGTTCCAGACCTTGAGAATTTCACTCCAATATTAGCACAAGAAGGAGTGATAATTTTGACATATACAACTTTAACCTGTTCATATTTCCTTCGCATACATCTTATTTACATCTAATTGCTCTTTCATCATTAGGTAGGTATATTAATAAAATTGCATCACCACTTTTAATATTTCATTATCATTTAAGGCTGCTGTACTAAACATAGAGGAAACCCTATGTGTTTGTACATGTATTTAAAACATTTATACATAGTAATCGTATATGGCATGTTGTATATAAATACCGTGGTGTAAGTAATGCGGAAAAACGAAACGGTGTTATCGGTACAAAAGGGGAGAATCGGTGAAAACGAGGAGAAAGGACACCGCCGCTTACCGCTTTGGAGTTGGAGTTAAGCGATGGCGATGAGGACGAGGTTCGGCGAGAGGCGGCGGGGTATTGATCCGGAGGCTGCAATAAGCCTCCCCGCTGTCGACACGCAACGCTATGGCACATTCAACACTTTTTCGGCTCTCTCATTCCGCCTATTTCGCCCGTTCTGCCCGTTTTGTTTCCTAAGTGGATTTTACATGCATGCATTGCAAAAAGTATAAACTATTCCCTAGGTGTTTTAGCGCATACGTCGAAGGATCTTCTAAACACAAATTCCAATACACTCGTCGATTATTATTCTCGATGCCTTTATTGTTTTGACACACAAATTATATACCACAATACAACAGAATATTTATTTATAATTTGCCTTGCTTTATTTGCGGAATATCGTATTTATAGAACTCCTCGACTATATTTCAATTGACTCTGAGCAACGGTTAGTACCAGAAGTGACTCTTTTCGAGAAAGGCTACGTTTTTCTGGTACTAAACAATGCGGTTTATTTCTGTTTTCGGGGCGTTTCGGTCGAAAATACTTTTAAGCGTTAAAAATAGACGAAGAAAACGGGAGAACGGATATTAAAATATGTATCGCCAGATTCGTTTGATATATTTCGAAATGAAAACACTGAAATAATATACGAGGCAGTTAAAGCGGTGTAATATTTAATTAAAGACACACCCGGGCTTCAGAATTTATCGAAAGAGTCAAAAAACAAACAATTATCTGACTGACTTGCAAAAGAATGTTTAAAAACAATTAATATAGTTTATAAAGTAAGGACATTGTAACAATGTTGTAACGAAAATGTTGTTCATGAAAGTAGAGAGAAAAATTTGTGCATAAAAGTAGAAAGAAAACTGTTCATGAAAGTAGAGAGAAACTTTTGTGCATAAAAGAAGAGAGAAAATGTTGTTCATGAAAGAAGAGAGAAATTGTTATTCCTAAAAGTGTTGTTCGTGAAAGTAGAGAGAAAACACTGAAATAATATACGAGGTACTTAAAGCGATGTAATATTTAATTAAAAATATCACCGGGCTTCACGATTGGAAAAATCCAAAGACAAAAAAATAATCTGACCGACTTGCAAGTCTATTGAAAAAAAAATAATATTGTTCACACAGTAAAGGTTTTTTTTAACGAAATTCCTCTGTTTTCCCTCTGTTGGCCCATTGAGTATACACGTTAATATTTGAGGAAAAAAAGTAGGGAATCGCGAGCGTGATCTACCCTATCAAAGTCCGGAGAAATAAATATCGTCGAAGGTGAGATAATGTTTAGGGAATGTTAATGGAATTGATCTTGATAAGAAAAAAATCGATTATTGTTATATAAAACGCTCGGTTTTATGCGGGAACGGTGAAACGCACGACACGAACGCGCTTTTATTTGCGCTTTAAACGAACGAGCCCTCGGCAATTGTAGAAATTTATTTGTATTGCGATATTAAAGAAAAAGCTAAGTAATTCATGCGGTTCGTCAAGGTCGAAAAGCACGAAAAAATGTATTTATACCGGGCGTTCCTCACCCTTAAAAAGTCTTTTATCTTAGAAATAATAAAAAAAACTTTTGAAATATACCTACTGTGAATTGGTTCATAACCAATAATCGGCCACTATTTCTCATATGGCAATCAATTTAGGTCGAAAAAATCTTCCTAAATTGAAACTATTAAAAGTGACAATGAATTAGTGATGTCAATTTTTCCATAGCCACAAAAGTAAAGCGATAAAATGCAAAAATCGAAAAAAATCACGTTTTTTTTTAATTATTCTTTAACAAAAATATTACTTTTTGCACTAGTTTCTTCTTCTTTTAGTTCTATCTCCTATTGGAGGTTGGAAATCATCATTGCAGCTCTAAACATATCCTTTGAGTTGCAGTCGGTACCACTCTCTCAAATTGCTCAGCCATGAAGTCCTTTGATTTTCCCTGTAATATTAGCCTCAGTAATTCACATTTTTCTCCTCCTATTATATGTCCTAAATATTATTGTTTTTTCCTTTTTATGCTTTCTACTTCCCACATTCCCTCTTCATTCTCTGAAATACATCTTTACAGGTTACTTTTTTGTGTATAACAGTAGAGAGAAAATTTTGTTCATGAAACTAGAGGGAAAGCTTCAAAAAAGTAGAGAGATTTTTTTATGAAAATAAAGAGAAATTTGTGTGCAGAATAGTAAAGAGAAAATGTTGTTCATTAAAGTAGAGGGAAAATGATCATGAAAGTAGAGAGAAATTTTTCGAGTGAATTCCAAAATTTTGTGCATAAAAGTAGAGAGAAAATTTTGTCTGTGAAAGTAGGGAGAAAAATTTGTGCAGAAAAGTAGGGAGAAATTGTCGTTCGTCGAAGTAGAGGGAAAATGTTGATGAAAGTAGAGAGGAAAGACGGGCCATGGATAGCCACCTTAAAATTAGTATCCCAAATAAGTACCCCAATTAAGAGTACCCCAATTCTCTTATCTCATTTTTACTACATCCCCACTGTGAGCTTATTACCTGAAAATTTGCTAAAATAATGTGACAGGTTTTGCAACGGAAGTTGCCTATTCTCTGAAAAAATATTTTATGCATAAGCTGATCTGTACTGAATTGAACAACGAATTGTATTGAACTCTAGCCAAGGAAGTACAGGGTGTCCCAATGAAAAGTAGCCCCTTTAATGAGCTTGTAATTTGTAAACGAATAATCGTAATAACATGCGGTTTTCTCAGATATGTTTTATTTTATTATAAGTTTTGTTATAGTGATACAGAAATTATGCATTACCAACACAGGGTGTTTTATCAAAATCTCCTGTTTTAAATACACAGTAACCAATTTTTTTAAATGGAACACCCCGTATATGTAGAGATATTTTGAAAGATAAACTCACTTTGAAACTCATAGACCTATTAAGTTAATAGTTAATAGTAAATTAAGTTAATAGGTCTATGGACATACTCTTCTACTTTTTAAAAATGAGTTATTTTTACATGTTATTGTACAAAAGAAGATGTCCTATATCATCAAATTTAGTTAATGTGAAATTAAAAGAGTGGGATTTTTGAAACTCTTTTGTACACACGATACAAAATTTTTGTGTTACTGTAACAAAAAGTTATAGCAAAATAAGATATATCTGCGAAAACCGCATGTTTTTATGATTAGGCGTTTGAAAATTATTAGCTCATTAAAAGGGCTACTTTTCATTGGGACACCCTGTATTATAGTTTAAAAATTACGCTGTTTTCAATGATAACCATCTATTGCTCAATATTAATCGTATTTTTTTTAAATTTCAGTTTGCAACTTCGTAGTGCATGATCGCTGCTTGAAGACTGTAGTATCCCCGTGTTCCAGCGTCGCCGCCAGTCTTATCAGGGTAAGAAATCCACCCCAAACAAATCCACCAACATTTGTAACTTTGACCTTTCCATTCCAGAATCCGGTCGCGCATTGTTGGTCGGACGCGTTTCATCACAAGAGAAAATTTTGCAACGTATGCAGAAAGAGATTGGACGACAGCGAGTCGATCCATTGCGAAAGTGAGTACCGATCCCCCGATCCGGGCCTTTTCAAATCGCCCGTTCTCTTTCAGTATGCGAGTATTTCGTGCACGTGGAGTGCCAGGACTTCGCCGTGGCGGACTGCAAGGAGAACGCGACCTACCTGCCGGGGAAACAGCTGGTCTTCGTGCGCCACCAACACCACTGGCGCGAGGGCAATCTTCCGAGCAACTCCAAGTGCGCTCTGTGCAAGAAGACCTGCTGGACCACCGAATGCTTGTCTGGATATCGATGCGAATGGTGTGGAATGACGGTATTGGATGGCTGGTTTTCTTCGAGCGAGTTTCATTGAAGGAGTTTCGTGTTTCAGTGTCACGCGTCCTGTCACATGAGCATAAATAATGAATGTACGTTCGGTATTTTGGAGCCGATTTACCTGCCGCCTCATGCTGTCAGCATACCAAGAACGGAGGTGCCCATGGAGGCGATCATCGGTGTCCAAGTGCGCAGGAAGGACACCCTCTCCCGTAAGTATCGCTCGCAGAAAGGATGTTACTAACGCAAATAATGAATTTTTTAAAATTTTAATTCTTCCTGTAAACATGTCTCCACACGAATTCGCAATAGCTTGTTTTGGCCGGATTTTTTTTTGTTTCGCCGTTATATGTTGGAAGACCTTTTACTGCTTAATTTTTTTTTAATTTTTTATTTTAAGATATAAAAGGAATGATTTTGCAGTCATCTGTTCGGATACGGTAAGGAGAAGTGCTTCACTGTCGAGTGTTTTGAAGCGCCTTTCTGTTGTTTTGCCGAACTCTTGCCAAAGTATTAGCCAGTCCCAAAAGACACCTCCTTATGTTAGAGGTATTTTTGTGTTCTGTTTGGGGGTTTTCCGTTTTATTTTGCATTGTTATGTGTAAATTGCGGTGTTTCTCTTTAGTTTTTTCTAACAACTAACACAGGGTTCCTATCGAATATTTGTACCGTTATCACTGTTTACAAATTCCACAATTATTATTAATACACTCTATAAACTCCTTCGACCTTTCCTAAATTGATTAATTGGTTACAATAAAGATCCTTAAGAACATATTCCACAAATTACGAGTGAATACCAGAATTCCCGTTTATCGAATTTAATGACCACAATTTTATTTACATCCACTTGAAATTGAAGTTTGTAGACAGCAATAACACTTTTTACAACCAATTAATCGTACCATTAAATAATAAAGGAAAGTACATCCTTGAAATACAAGCATTATGGTTTGACTAACTCATTATTTAGTCGTATTTTTTTACTGAAAATTAACTACTTACTAACCGAATAAAAACCAACAACGAATCGATTTAATTAACTGTACTTCTTATAGCGAGAAGCACGTCGGAAGAATTTAGCAGCGGCGATGCTGGCAGATACCGAGACTCGGAAGATTATGCACAAACACACGCTCCTCGGGATAGTCGACAGGATAAACAGAACAAAAACCAGGAGGAAAGAGACGAAGGTAAATATTTTAGAGGAGAAGCACTAGAACTAACATAGTCGTTTTTCTACCACAATGAACTCCGTATTGCCAGGGAAGGTACCTTTTCCATTTTATACTGTAGCTGGTTTTCAATGCGTCAAACTTATTCATATTTAGAGTCGAAAACCATTATTAACCATTATTAACCAATACCATTATTAAGAGCGTACCGGAGCTCCCGGGCAACCAAATTTCAATCTTATTTTGACACCTTATAATGATATAAAAATTTCAGGGAACAACTGGTTTGAAATGCAACACAATACAAGGGTTTAAATGAAAAAGATGAGAAAGCTTCTCATTTAAAATTTACAAATAATTTGAAAATATAAGAAAAACAATTTTTTTGAAATAATCTATAGAATTGCGCAGACTCCCTTTTTTCCTAAAATCTTAAAAAATTTAAAAATTACATTGAAAATAGAAGGTTTACAAAAATTTTAAGGAGTCTGTGCAAAACAATTATTATTTTTAAGTAACTACCCAAAATTTCATAAAAATCGGATAAAAACTAACGATTCTAGAAGTAAAATCAGTTTTATAGGTGTCCGGTACGCTCTTAAATCATTATGGAACATCTGAAATCTTCCACTTTGCGCATCTATTTACAGAAGTGATAAAGGTGTACGACGGCAACAACTCCTTCCGCAGGAAAATATTCAGATTGATCGTGGTACCGAGGCAGGCGCCGCTCAAGCAAGTCCTCACTCAGGCTCTCCGAGCATTCCACATAACCAAGGACCCGAACTCATTCCATCTGACGGACTTGTACTCGCCGGACGAAGCCGTGCTGCAGGACCCCACGCCGGTACTGAGCATGCACAGGAAAGAGGGCAAGCGACCGGCGGTGTTCCTTAGATTCAAGTGAGTTGTGGCGGTTTCGCGAAAGCGCCAGCTCGAAATGTTGTTTGATTGCAGGGACCGCGACAACGATACGGGGGAAGTGCGCGTATATCCAGGAAAACTGCAAGTTTCTCAGACACACTGCACCGTGCCTGTGGACTCGAACACGACAGTCGGGGATCTCATCGGGGAAGCTTTGCAGCGCTTCTCTTTGGAGGACAGCAAACCCGAAGATTTTCGATGCAGTGAGGTCCTGTTAGATAGAGGCGGTGAGTTCTCTATAATTTTGTCATTTGGTGGATTATGATGTTTGCTACTGTCTTCTTTCAGTTACTGAAAGGGTTTTATCGTGGAACGAACGACCATGGGAAATAATGAAACAACTGGGCAAAGATAGCATAAGGCAAATGGAGCTGATGAGGTTCTATTTGCAATTAAAGCAGGATCCCCATGGACCAAATTTAGCGTTATTCGTGGGAAACTTACCGCCGAATCTATCCGAGCGGAATTACGAGAATATTTTAACGGATTTTTTAGGAAGAGGTGAACGAGCAAACTAGTAAAATTATGGAAATAGTAATTCGAATTGATGTCTTTTCAGAAAATAAATTCTCCAAAATCGGTCCTATTTATTACGAGTACGGATCTATGGTGATCACTTACGAAGATTCGGAAAAGGCTGTGAGAGCGCTTTACGCCTTAAGAGAATCCAAGTACGAGGACAAACAACCTTTACTTGGTAAGTTAAAAATATTTTCCATCTAACATGATATACTCAAGCATTGTCCACTTTTCAGTAATGCTCCTACCGAACATAGAACCGTCGATGATTCCTCAAGGCGTTCAACCGCTCCTAGTTTTCGTTAACGTAAAGTCGGGCGGATGCCAAGGCTTAGAACTAATATCCAGCTTCAGGAAGCTGCTGAACCCCTATCAGGTGTTCGACCTCGACAACGGCGGCCCTTTGCCGGGTTTATACGTATTTCGGAACATTCAAAATTACAAAATACTCGTTTGCGGCGGCGACGGCACCATCGGTTGGGTGCTGCAGTGCCTGGACAACGTCGGTCAGGATTCGCAGTGTTCTTCGCCCGCTTGCGCCATCGTGCCCTTAGGAACGGGTACGTACTCCTATTCGATTTTGTCTTTTCAAATGTGTTAAAACAACATACGCAGTGACAAATAAGTACCCGGAAAATTGGAATACAACGCAAAATTCCTAATCTTCATTAATATTTCTTGAGTGTTCTTCAAAATATGCTCGTTTTGAAGCGATACACATAGTCAGAGGTCTTTTCCAATGATAGAAAAATTTTTATAGCCCCTTTTTGGCACGGCTTTTAGCTCGTTCTGCGAATTTTCTTAGGTGGCATTTATGAAGTCAAAACGGGATCCCCGAAGTGGCGATTTGAGTTTGGGAAACATAAGAAAGTCGCACGAGGCTAAATTTGATGAGTAAAGTGGCTGGTCGATGGTACTTCACATGAATCAGCATTTATGCATCAACCAGTCGAGGATATCGTTTCAGCTCTATCAGAATGAGCCGAGCCTCAATACGCAGCATGTTTGATTGGTTGAGCAAAATCAAACGATCGGGGTTTAATGGGAGATGTTGAGGTCACCTGCTACTTTTCTAAAACTAGCATTTTAGAATTCAATTTCCTTCATTTTCTCGCTGTTATCATTGGTTGAAGAGGTGGAAGACCGTCCCGAACAAGGCAAGTCCTTGGCGATCTCCTGACTGTCCTTAAAAGTTTTGTACCATTCGTTAATATGGGTTGTCGATATAATAGAGCCACATTAAGCATTTGCATCGATTCGGCCAATGATATTCCGGTTAAAACCCAAAATATGAGACAAAATCTTGGTTCATTATTTTTGTCCACTGAAAAATTCGCAGAGCGCTACTGACATGAACTGATTCAATCAGCTGCTACAACCAAACTGATTGAAAAATCTATCTAATTTTCTGTATGCTAATTAACCTAAATACAGAAACTTGAAATAGTTAAAATTATTAAGTGCCGGTAAATCAAAATTTCCGAGTACTTTTTTGTCAAAAGGTAGATATGCTGCTTGATTGTTTTTTTGGACACTAAATTGATTTGTTTAACTTGTTAATATGTTCTCTTGAAAGCATATATTTTTGTCACAATTTAGTAAACTTTAGCGTCTTAGAAATGAGTCATTTACAGTAGCTGTACCATTGTAACCATTTAAGAGAAATTTTGAAACACTAATTATCGCGCCTAGTTATGAAAAATTTATATTATATTTCTCATTTATCACAGAATCAAGTAATTGATACATACTTTTCCTGGATAATCTTTCCACTTTTTATTATTAATCATCGATATTGCGCGAGGGAATGTGCCTAAAGTTGACCAGCATATTATTATTAACCGATCGCAGTAACTGATCTATACCAAGCGTAATAAAAGTGGTGTAATAAAATCTTAATTTTAACAGTAGTAATTTAAGATAATACTACTGATCTACTTCTGGTACTTGGCTTATTATTGGTAGATACACTCAAAATCGATTAATTTAGTAAAATATTCTAAAAAAAAATCATCAAACTCCCTCCTACAATCTAAAAATATTCCAAATAATCCTCGTTTATTAAAAAAAAACTTGCAAAGACACCCCTCAAAACCTTCATATTCCATCGTTCATAATTCACTAGAAAATCCTCGCCCTTAAAATCGCTCTTTTCCAGGCAACGACCTAGCTCGCGTGTTACGCTGGGGGCCGGGTTATACGGGCGGTGAAGATCCGCTAAACCTGCTGCGAGACGTGATCGATGCCGAAGAGATCCGGCTGGATAGGTGGACGGTGGTGTTCCATCCGGAGGACAAGCCGGACGATAGCAGCGTCAAGCAGGTCAATTCCACTGGTAAGAGGAGGCAAAAACTGTCCAAAATGAAAGTGACCAATGAGCAAATTAGAAAAGCAGGTCAATCTTAATGTGTAATTAGATGTTGTTTTGCTGTAATGAGACTAACGACACGTATTGATACAGTTGATATTTTGTGTGGTACCTATCGATGATCGTGTAAAAGATTGGTTGTATCTAATTTGTGAGTAAATTTAAGTTGTGAAAAATCATCGAAAGGTCCATTCTGTACAGATTGGTTTAATTGTAATGTTAACAAAAATAACGTTAAAAAAACTAACCTTAAATAAAAAAAATATATTTGGAAGATATTTATCTACATAATCTACATAATCTACTCATTACTTAATCTACATTTTTATGTATAGTCTGTTAAAGAGAAACATTCAATCAAAATATTTCATTTTATGATAATATCCATTTTATCAAAATATTTCAGTTTCTAATCATATCATTCAGCAATTTCAATTGCTCTTTTCAATTCAAATCTTGCTTACATTGGTAACACTTTATATCGTTGAAATTTTCAATCTCAAAACAACTGCCTCTATTTAATTTATCTATGGAACATTTATTTTCCGGTATAACACTTCCTAATTTATCGAGTTTTCCAGAATCCGGCTGTAATTCTATTCAAATCAGCACTTATTAATATTTCCATGTTCTATTTAGAATTCTTCTACCGCTTCTTGCTTGGATCCCGCAAAGTCAACTTCCCTTTCTGCTGCGAGAGGCGGTGGAGGAAGAGGATCCCGATTAGACCGGCTCCTTTTTAACAGGCTGTAAATAATTTGTAGCGAATTGCATATATTTGATTTTCAAATTTGATTTGTGGCGAAATAAGGTAACGTAGTATATTTTGCAAATTACGCATTTTAGCGATTTGGTTTGTTAATTCAACACTTCATTTTACTCGCATAACTAGAGCTTCCAAATATTTGTTTAACTTAATTAACTATAGCGTAAAATTAAACAGAACTAATTAAACGCATTATTCGAAAATATGCTGAAATACATACCGAATGGAAATTATTGGAAGTGGTACTAGGTATTGTTCATTCATTATTGAACGTGGAAATTTATTATAATAATTAAATATTCAGAGCTGCTGAATTATTGGAGTAAAATTTTCAGCAATATTTTTGAATATCGGTTTGTAAGATTTTTTGTTATATTAGGAGCACCACACTAGAACAGCGCCTTCAGGCATGGCTTTTGTTGTGTATTGCAGCTAATTCATATTTATTTTACGGCAAAACAACATTAATCCACTTATACTTATCGAATCTTTTGGAATATTAATTTGGTTAATGAATTGGCCTATTGATCAATTTCGTCTAAAGATTTATTTATTGAATGCTGAACGATTATTACCTATAAATGTCTACTTTTTTTTCATGGCAAATGTGCGGCTTGTTAACGCTTGTTTATTTAGCTTTTTTGTTAATTTTGAAACGAAATTAGACTTTCCTGAAATGTTATGATTGTAGTAGACAATAGAAATTTATCGTAGAAATTTGGATACCTACATTACTCGTTCATTAATAACTCCTTGTTCGATTGCGATTTTACGAATTATGAATCGTATTCAATTTAGTTTCTTCCCTTCCGATTCTCTCTGGCAATTCCTTTACGTTCGCTTTGCCGCGCCGTTCGATAATTTCTGTTCGGACGATTCTAATTTCATGCTAATTAGTTCCCGTTGGATTGGCAATTTTAGGCGATTGACTCAATAGGACTCTCCGTCCGGCTTTTTTTTAACACACATCAATCATTTTCAATTTTTTACCGATGCCCTTTCAAAAGCGAATTACAACACAACAACGAACAATGTCAAATTCCAATTCGATAGACGAATTATCAACACGCGCATTTGTATCGTTCGCTATTAACGGTTTCGATTGATGCAGTTGTAGCAAGCTCGACGAGCGAGGACAATTCGCAGATATTCGTGATGAACAATTATTTCGGCATCGGCATCGACGCCGACCTCTGCCTGGACTTCCACAACGCGCGCGAGGAGAACCCCGGCAAGTTCATCAGCCGGCTGCACAACAAGAGCGTCTACGTGAAGATGGGCCTGCGGAAGATGGTCGGCCCGAAGATGTGCAAGGACCTGCACAAGGAGGTCAGGCTGGAGGTGGACGGGAAGCTCGTGGAGCTGCCGCAAGTCGAAGGAATCATTATTCTTAACATCCTAAGGTATGGAGTTTATACCACTAACGTGGAACATTTCAATGCAACTATGTGGTTTTTTTTTCCAGTTGGGGATCGGGAGCGAACCCGTGGGGTCCCGAGAAGGACGATCAGTTTTCGAAGCCGAATCATTGGGACGGGATGCTGGAGGTGGTCGGTGTGACGGGAGTGGTGCATTTGGGGCAGATACAGTCGGGGCTGCGCACGGCTATGAGGATTGCTCAGGTATAAATTTCGTTCTTCGGGACGTATTTGTTTATGTAAATCTTGCCTTTTCAGGGAGGACATATTAAAATCCATCTAAACTCGGATATTCCGGTTCAAGTCGATGGGGAACCGTGGGTGCAAAGCCCCTGCGATGTCGTCGTGCTCAAATCTGCTCTAAAGGTAGGTAGAAAGTCTGGTAGTTCTCTTCCTTTATTTAGTACCTTTTACCTTAATATGTAGATAATATCACAAAAAGAGATTATACATTTTTTAACGACTTACAATTCACACAAATTATACGTAATATTAAATTGTCATAAAAGTTGATAAAGAATGTATCAATCCATTTTTATTGTTCTTTAGCCTTTCAAATGCCTGGAAACATATTTATAGCGAGCCTAAAATTAAGCAATTAATCAATTAACTACACCAAATGAAGGTGTACTTATTGGCCGTTATAAATCTGTATCATCTGTTGAACTTTACCCTTTACCCCTAAAACACAGTAAAAATGTTACCCCTATCACTTCACCGCTAAGTTCACAAAAAATCGATAAAAGAATTTCACTTAAGGACACGTGAAATGAATTTGCTTTGCAATAATAATGCTTGTTATGTGCTGTTTTCCCTTCCCCCGAGGCTGTTGGCAATTTTTTTAGCTTTGTACAAAAATTGCAGAATCAATCGACAAAATTCAACGAATTTGTTATTTAATTCGGCCGGATAAATGTTACATGTTTTATGTTTTTTAGTTGTTTTATGCGTAGTTTCCACTTTCACGTTTATGTGTTTAAGAAACAAATTTCACAATATCGATGAAATGATACAGTGTGTTGTGAATTAATCGACAAGATCAATTCGTTGTTTTGCATGAGCCACCTTAAACGTGTTGAAATTTTTTGTAATTTGGTGTCGGCAGAGTTCTTAGAAACAAATTTGCTTCAAATTATGATTCACGGGATACCCATAAGGTATGAATTGTGGTCAGTCACTCTTCTGTGTTTGAGGTCTATTATGTAGGTACCTAAGTTTCACATAATACAAGTGCTTGTTAGCAAAACATACTTAACTCTTTACACTGAGAAATTGCCGGTAAATTATTGTAAGAATTCTTGTCTTCTAAGGATTATTTTAAGAATCAATAAAATTAAGGAAAGAATGAAATCACATTTATTAATCCCACGGTTACTCTTCCACAATAGAGCTGAATCTTACCTAGTGGTAGAATTATTTTATCTTTACTTTCACTAGTTATTTTAAAATAGACTTTTCGATCCATTAAGCCTAAATGAATTAATATAAAGTGAAAAGAGTTATTCTTGACTGAGCAATAGAAAAATTTATTTTTCTCACAATACCTACATATGAACTCATAATTTTTCACGTGTTTTCACGAGTTTGCCTCAACGTTTTTGAATTCGTCAGTTTCGGATGTATGTTGAAAGGAGTTAGATAAGTTGTTAGTGTGTTTTCGATGTAGCTCTCAAGTACCTATTTATTGCTTTGTTTAGGCAACCATGCTGAAGAAAAATAAGTTCAAGCGTCGACCTACTGAACCGAACATATTACCGGCCAACGGGGAGGGGGGAAAGAGCACAGACGAATAAAAATAATAAAAAAATAATAAAAACTAACCCGTTTCATAAAACACAACATGTTCTCACATAACTCATTTTCTATGATTCTCGTAATATTTCTGTATTGTTTATACTTTTTTTCCATATATAGGCATGAGTATTTTTGCTTGATTTTATAGGTAATCCTAAATCGCTTAATATGATTCTTTAAAAGTAGGCTACTCGAATATATGAATTTTAAAGAGTATGCGTTTGTGTGTACCCCCTCCTCAGGCCACCATGTTGAAGAAGTTGAAGGGTAAAATGAAGCGGCGCAATACCGAACCTACGATGTTGGTGTCCCCCGGCGTTCAACTGGTTCCTTTACCTTCCAACGATGGTGAATCCCCCACGGATCCGAACAACACCAATTTTTAGTTTGAAAAAAAAATGAAAGTTAAAAAGTTGCTTTGTGTTTAGACATTAGTCCACCTTTTTTGGACGCGTTATACTTTTTAATTTATTGACTCTGGTAAACGTATTTTTAAAAACAGTAAAATGTAATAATTATTACGTTAGAGTATGGTATTTTTACCAAATTACTGGTGAAAAAAAAAACAAAATGAAAGGCAGTCGGCCCGTTGCGTTTATTTGTAATTAAAAATAATTTGTTTTAGTACAAGTCATGTACTAGTTTGTAGTCACATTAACTGAATATTTATTTATTTCGTTGAAAATAGTACATTTTATGTAATTGAAAAGATATGTAATACATATATTCATTCGGAACATACGTGAACAACCAGATAATACATGCAATTATGGGAATGTACCATCTTTTCCCAGAGTACAAGTCTGATCACCTAAATTTCTGAGCGCCTTCGTTGTTGGAATTAATGGTTTACAAAAGAATCGTGTAAGTGAAAGACTCGAACTGCTTAAGTGTAGAGAAGTGATTTTAAGCTCGTTAAGATACCTCAGAAATTGGTGATCAATTAAAGTAGATTATACAATCTTAATAGTGACCCTTTCCAAAGATATGGAAGCCGTCTAGTGCGGCAGGTGTGTTGTTAATACATATATCTGTCTAATTGTTATATTTAAGCCATTTTTGCCGCTGTGTAGCCATAAAAGAAATGTTTTCGAAATGAAGTTTTATGGAAACATGGCTTACTGAAGGTGCCTCGAATGTACCAATCGAAGGATATGCGTAGGTGCTATCAGAGAGAAACGTTTGTTCTCGCTAGCCAGGAAGCGACAGCGAACGTTCATGTTAATCTGCCTTAGTGCTAAGGGCTCAAGTCTTCATGGAAGCCGCCTGGAGTAGAATCCATGAAGACAGTGCTTCAGGCAGATTTACAATTCGAGTCGATCCATAATTTTAGCTGATATCTTAATTTAATTGATGTGCTGTATTATTTATAATTATATTTCTCAAAAATATGTACTTAAATTAGATGAAATCGCCAAAGTCACTTTTTTATTTCATCTATCAGAAACAATTTGATAATCTGTTGCTTCTGTGTGATTATGTGCAACTTTTAACGGTTTCATAATCACACAGAAATTCGGTATATGTATATACTTATTGTGCGTAGATTGTTAAAGTGTTTCTTTGCATATGAAATATATGTATATGTGATTAAAATAGATATATAAAAAATTGTGAAATATAGAAATAATACATATAAAAGATTCTCTTTATCTCCCGATCAATCCCGTATTGTACATTTTTTATTCAAACGACTCTCATCTTCACAAACATTTAAAAGTAAATTAACCTCATCATGTTTCTGTTATCCTGTTAGTTTCAGTTCAAACAAATTCATATAGCCGTTATAAATAGTCCTACGCGGACGCACCGCTGGAACTGGAGATTCGCTGGGCGCCTAATGTTGCTGAATGAACGATTTGTAAAGGGCATACAAACCGTAAGATTTATACAGAAAGAAAGAAGAAAGTGTTTTATTTTGTTTATATTATTATTATTCTTCTCATTATATTTCATTCTAATATTATTAAATTTTCTTTAAATGAGAACATAAATTATTCCTATGTGATAAATAAGCCATAAATAGGCTAATGTTTGTAACTGCGTACAGACCTAAACCAAGACCTAACCTAACTTTTTCATGATTTATACGTCAAAAAAATAAAAACAAACATCAGAAAATTTAGTTAAAAACTATATTTCCATTGCTTTTAGAAATCATTGACTAAAAATGTCTACAGAAGTGAATTTAAAACAAGGTTTACGAAAACTGGAATATCCTATCTGTGCGAAGGAAGCTTTGTATAAAATATACGACCTAATATGCAGCCGAATAACAAGTATCAAAAATATGGATTTAGCCCTGGATCTTATGGCAGAATTTGTATTTTACGAAGTCGACAGACGCGGTCACAAACGGGCCCAATCGCTTTCACCACTTCAAGAACTTCAGTTAGTGAAAATACTGTATGAGTATTTCGATACTCTTACTAGTGAATCTGGTAGAAATACAGTATTCCTATCGTTATTTAGTGGCACTACGATCAATTCAAGATTGGGCGTTCTTACAAAATTCATATCAATGGGTATAGGTATTCCATCTACCAAGATTTTATCATCTGCTAGTGCCTGGATGCAACAATTGGGAAATACGTCACCTAACAGCTGTAAATTTGCAGAAGGCCTAATTCAAGATTATTTCCATTTTTACGTATCAAGCACGGAGAAGATAACTGCCTTGCCAGAAATTTCATTGGAGTTCACCGCTAATTTTTTGACCGCGATAGCTGAAAATTACTACAATACCTCAAATAAAAAAACGACAACTTTACCACCGTCAAAATTCATATTTCCCCCACAAAAATTATTAGAAACTGTCACATTATGGATATCCCAAAACACTAGTTTATGCATAGCTGCCCAGCAGAAACAAGCCGTCTTGCCTCCTGGAGCTATAGCAATGGAGGCCACAACACCAATCGCAGGTTTACTGAAATGGTGTATTTTAGCTCCTATTTATAGACAAGACAGCAAAGAGTACACCGATCTCCACTTAGCATTATTAAATAGTATTATGGAAATTCCGAAATCGACGCCTCCGAAAGCCGTGTGTGCTCAACACCTAACGTCCTCTATAAATCCAATTTTGACGTTCGTAAACGACTTGAAGAATAAACAAGAGAAGAAATTCAGCGAAATTATAAACGAAGACGCATTGCAACTTTCCCTTGATAGATTTGCTCAAGCAATTCAAGTTATCGCCTCTGTTAATGCTATGTATGGGCACACAGACGATCTATATCATCAAATAAAAATATTACCATTCAATAAACTGATGAATATTATACAAAATAATTATAAGAATAAAGTTGTAGTTTTGTAATAAACGATAACAAAATATTATAGATTATATTTACAGTACATATATGAAACAGTATTTTCCATTAAATAAATTCATAACAAGTTTTGGTATAAAGTAACGCATTCATTCCCAGTCTTCTTCTTCCCACCCTGTATGATTATCGTCATCATCAGTTGCATTTAAAACAAGTTTATTGCTTAGTTCTTGTTCAATGCTGCTTTTGCTGTTAGTGTCGATTATAAATTTATTCGAGGCTTGTATAACGGGTTCCATGTCTTGGAAGAAATTAAAATCGGCACCTTCGTCATCTACTTTTTGATTTTTTATGTCTAATTGTAATATGTCTTGAATTATGGCACTTGATTTTTGTTGATTAGCGTCGGTTTCAGAATTTAGTAAATCTGATTGTTGATTATCCGTTATTTCTTCCTGAACAGTAGTTGTCGGATTTTCATTTATATCCCAATCTTCCCAGTTGTCTACATCATCCTCCATTGAGGGATCTACATCTTCCGTTGACGTTTCACCTTCTTCACCATCAGGTCTTTGCCGCTCTGGCAGTTCGTTTACATTGTGTAAATCCGTTGTCGAGGTGTTTATGCTAATCTGGTCGGATTCCAGGGATATTTGGGAGGTTTCCGTAAACTCCGCAAACCTTACCGTTCTAGTAGATGGTTTCCTTACTGCATGTATTGGCCTGCCGTCGTTAAATAGCTTCGCTCGTTTGCCCCCAATGACCACAGATGATCCCAAAATTGGAACAAGATTTGCTAATGTTTTCAATGTCATCGACACTAAATGATCATTAGTGTCTTTGATGCCAACCAAGAGCTGGAAAATAATTACATAACGTAAGATTTAAGTTGAAAATATTAAATAGTCACCTCAGGTAGAATATTAATTTGCAAAGCTTCTTTCGTAAATGCGTACATAAACTTTGGAAAATAGTTTAGCAATAATAAACGTATTTCCACATCACGAACTTTAAATATTTCCAGTAGTTTCGGGCAAACGAATTTCTTGAAATTGCTCTCGGAAAATATCGAAGTTGATGTTTCCTCAGTGCCTAAAAGTTTGTAAAAATTAGTAATTGTAAATTTATATTTAATAAAGAGAAATAATAAAAGTTACCGTTACGTGGTGTTAGTAATTGAGGTAGTAGATTATTCTGCGCGATTTTATTCAATAATACCAATCTGGAGAGTAATAAACCGCTCAGTTGAGAAGCTACGATGCCCTCATCGAATTTGAGTAATTTTTCCGATAAGTTTTGGAAAAAATGCGTTTTATCATTGTCGCTTTTAAGCGGTAGTTCCAGTAGATACGAGTGAATCGTTATGAAATCGTGGTTGAAAAATTCGTGTTCCAATATAGTTTTAAATGTAGGCCTTTTCGATACATCTGCATTTTTCAACTCATTTTTACAATAATCGAGGAAAGGTACCAATTGGGGCAAATCAGCTAAAAATATAACTATATATCAAGTTGCATTAACAACAAATAATTAAATCCTACCATCTGATTTGGATTGGAAAATTTCACAAACCAGCACACCGAATCCATAAATATCTACGGCGTCTTTTCGCTTTGATTTGTTATCAATAATCTTTTCCTCGTTAGGATCTATCGATTTGTTGTATCTACCAGATTTAGTTTTCATGAGATAATCACAGCTCAACTCGCTATATTTACACAGATATTCCATTCCTGCCAGCTTCCAGTTTCCATCAATCGATAAATAAATCGATGTTAAGCAAATATTATTATGAGATACTGATGCATTCGAATGTAAAAAGTTTAATGCCTTCAAAATTGAGTACAACCCCACTGATATTTGCAATGTGTCTAATCTGGACAATTCATGAGCCAATGGAAATATCTCTTCGACAGCTAAATAAAACTTTGAGTTCTTCTTCCATGAAGATATGTATTTTACTATACTCGGATGACGATATATCATTATATTCTACAAATAAACGCTTTAGTAAAAGTGCACTTGGATAAACGAATTCAAGATTACTCTGGCATTTTTCTCTAAGGGCGTTTGAGATACCCACAATGTACCATTAACAAATAATTCACCACTAAACACTGTTAAATGATTTAAATTATCTTGATTTAAAATAGCTGCGGAATGTTGAGTCCAAAAATCACAAACTTCGATAGCTTTTTCATCTATTTCTATACCAGGAATAACAGACTGTTCATTGCCCATTTTTATAATATTTGTTATTTGTTTTAAAACATATAAATATTAAATTTAGGTTATAACAAATTGATATTTGACATAATAGATAAGAGACTTGTCAGCCTGTCAGTTTTTCTCCAATGTCAAATCCAATACTATTCAGTATTTCAGAAAGTAGATCAATTGAATAGATTATTAAAGATTCGATTAGATTTAATTCAAATTGTCGACTAAATACTGATTACCGTGATATTAATAAATTGGTGTATTTGTATTTATTTATTATGTTTTTTTTTTCAATTAAGGAATTAACTGAATAGTAAAGGGCCAAAATTGGAAAAGGTTAGGAATTATAAAGGCAATGTACAATGTATAATGTGCATGTAAATGGACATGTGCAATGTCAAATATACCATTAGGCATACATAACATAATACATTGTATGGACCTAGCTAGTATATAGCATAATAAGCATACAAAATCTCAACATATACATGCTATATGCCAAGCCTGAGTATCGTCTGACATAACCGTTTGACATAATTTGATTATTTAATTAGATTTATATTACATGCAAGTGTGTGATAAGCAAAACAACCTTGCCGATGACCTTTCATTTAAATATCTAGTGAAGTAGAACTCCTTTTTACAATTTTACTATGTCTATTATTTACAGAAAATGTATGGCCGCTATGGACAAAGTTGTACCGTCTAAATTACAACCCCTATGGCAACATCCAGCTGGTAAGAATGCATTTATTTTGAAAATTTCCACCAAATTAATTCCATTACTTTGCTTTTAGGACCTAAAACTATATTTTTTTGGGCTCCACTTTTTAAATGGGTAATTATTTTTATCATAATCATAAGATGTTAATTTTATTGTTCATATTAATTACAGGGTCTAGTGATAGCTGGAATAGCGGATTTACAAAGACCAGCAGACACAATTAGTATAGGCCAGAGCACATCATTACTGGCAACTGGCCTTATCTGGTCTAGATACTCTTTGGTCATCAAACCAAAGAATTGGTCATTATTTAGTGTCAATATGTTCGTGGCATTGACACAAGGATTCCAAACATATAGAGCTATGCGGTAAGTAAAAATTTTTTTGGAAATGATCCGTACCTTTCTGTTTGTAACACGCAGTTTTAATTGCATAATTTGCTAATTTGTTTTCGATTATAATCTATTAGTAAATTTGCTATTAATGTTCATTATAATAGCTTTGCATTTGTCATGCAAGTGTCGATGACTACATTGACAATACAGTGAGCATTATAAGTGTTACCCCCCCTATCCAACTCGTTACTGGACTCTTGTTAAGAACATCGCCGAGACACGTCAACTTTTGATTTTTACAAGGTATTCTTTGGTATGAATTGTTTATTCCCAATTTCATCCCTTACTGGAGGGGAGGAACCCTTTTGAAAAATTTAAATAGTATGGGGTGTGAGTGATAGCTCATTTAAAGGGTGGTTTTATTCTCCATTCAACTATGCAAAAAAATTGAAATTGAAATTGGGAATACACTATTCATACCAAAACGTACATTATAAAAATCAAAAGTCGACGTGTCTCGGCGATTTTCTTAACAAGAGTCCAGTAACGAATTAGATTGGGGGTAACACTTATGATGTTCACTGTATAGTAGTTTTAATTCTGGGGTTTATGGGTTTTTGGTGCAATAATTTTCTTAATGAAGTCAATGAATTATTCAATACATAATTTGAATATGTTACTGGTGATTCACATGTAATTGGAATAATGTTTCTGTTGACTCATGTAATTAGAAAAATGTTTTAATTGATTCCGTTGTTTATTACACTCAAAATTATTTTTCAGCTATCAAAGGCAGATGCAAGATGTGAAAAAATAAATATATATTATTATATTGTCTAGTGTTTAAATTATATTTTTGTTAAAATAAAAGGATTATAGAAAAAGGGATAAATTTTCATTGTCTATGAAAATTTCAATCCGGTCTAATCCGATTAGAATTATATTAATAAGATTTGACCGCGGCGACCAAGTGACCCATTAAATTTTAAAACTGGCGACTACTACTACAATAACAGGAACTCCAAAGTTTCGCCTACGTAGTACAGCCCAATTCTGACACTCCAGAAGAACGTGGTCCGATGTTTCATCAGCCATGCCTCAGCCCCTGCAAAGGGGACTCCTCTAAACCTAGGTTATAGAGGTATTTCTCCTAACAGTGCCCCGTTAGGAGTCCGGCTATCTTTTTTAACCTACTCCTTGGTAGTTCTACAGCTGCCCTAGCTTGTCCAGCAGTCCAGCCCCTAAGTAGGAGCTTGGATTGTCTAAGACCCTGCAGAGCACTCCAATAAGCGAGATGCTGATTTCTCAGCCAAATTCCCGCCTCCATGCGAACTGGCGACCAAGTAGGAATAGGGAACCCTGCTGGCAAAATTGACCGCGTCGACCAAGGGACCAACACCCGATTTTAAACTTCTTTATTTACCAAAGGAAAAACGTTTTCATGGCTTCGGCTGCAATTTTGGCATCTTCATTGTCGTTTTCATAAGGCCTTTCTCGGTGGGGCGTGAGTTCTGGGCCACCCTATGTACATGTTAAAATTACAGTTCAAAAAACAATAAAGATAAAAAAATACGTAAGAACAAAAAACCGTATACACGTGGGTATCCGTTACTTTGAGGATGTGGTGAAAAACGTATTTTTAAATTACTTATCAATAGGTAATTTTATTCTTTATTACGTACATCTTACTACTGTGTAAAAAGCATTTTAGCATTAAAATGAATACGAGTAACATTGATTCGTTAAATAATCGAGATTTAGTGATTTTTCTTCAGAAGGTAAGGATTCAAAATTTAGGGAAAGCTTCTAATTTTTAATCATTTAAAATTTTAAATCATAACTTCTTTGCTTTATTATGCCATCATTTGTAGAATTTTTCTACTGAGCTTCCTTTATTTTTCAATAATTTCTTTCCCCAGTTTTTTGTCAACAAACGAATTTACAGGGGTATTATTTTAGATCGGACAACATGAAGCTGCTAAAATTATTAAAAAACACAAGATGAACGGAAAGGCCCTACTGGTAAAATATATGCTGTTTTTCAAAAATTATTTTTAATGAAAAATTTTTAGTCCTTTAGGAACAAAAATACTGTGGATATGGAAGACGTGGAAAAAACTCACTTATGGCGCTGCTTAACTCTGATACAGTTGAACCCATTGGTTGGCGTTCAATTGCCCTCAAAGAGTCTCGACGATTCTATTTTACGACATATGCCAGAAAAAAGTATTGCTGAAAGTAACAAAGACAAAAAGATCAAATCGATAACCAACAAATATGTCGAGGATGAAAATGGCTATATTCTAATGGAAGCTAGATCGCTTCAGGAAAAAGATAAGCAGTACTTCAATTTTACTAGCGAGCATTACAAGTCGCTCGATACTCCCGATAGTATTGTCCAAAATTCGGAGATCAATATTATAAGTAGATCTTCGACCACGTCCTCTGGTTACATACGTCCAATTAACATCCAACGATATGAGGAAATATCCGTCAATCGGGCAATAAAATGTGCACACCAAGACGAAATGAACGAGTCTGAATGTTTATACGATTACATTTTGCAACCCCCGAGTATCGTCGTAAATTCGGGGGAAGAAAACTGCAAAAAGCGTAAAAAATCTTTTGTTCTGTGCGATTTGCTCTTGAATATTTGTTGCTTATCGTGCACTTTTGGTTGCAAAAAAAGATAAATTAATTTTGCGTCTTAGAAAAGATTAGCTTGAATCAAACGATCGGATAATAAATATTGAATTGTATTAAAACAAATGTTATATTAATATTAAAAATAATTTATTCCTTATGATTTAAATTAGTTTGTAATTTTAATATCTTCTAATGGATTTGGAGTAAGATTCCTTTCTTCTAGAGTAATAATCCCTTCTTTCTCTACTTCTTTCGTAATTTCGTTTGTGGTCCCTGTCTTTTTCTCTACTTCTATGATGACGATCTCGATCTCTGTGTAATTGTCGAGAAGTGGGTCTATTGCGGTGGCCTTCTCTTTTTTCACTTTTCTCGGATTCAGCACGATGATTATTACTATCGGAACCAATTGGAAAACAGTCTTTTTCTATTTTTATGGGAATATCTGCGTCATAATCATAATTGACGTTAAAGCTAGCATTACCATTTATGGTACTTTCCATGAAACTATTATCAGAAGTTTCAAAAGGATCTATACCATAATCATACACAACATTCGAGTCACTCTGTGGAAATTGCTCATAAGCTTGCGCTTTTTCCATTAATTCTTGTTGACGATGGCGTTCAGCCTCTTCTTCATCTCTCTTCTTATCCTTCAAATAATCTTGAAACAGCTCCATTTGATTGTGTATCACTTCTCTCATTACTTCTATGTGACTTTTGTTGCGGCCCGTATGAACAGATTTGTATTTTACCGGCCGTCTTTTGGCGTTCCTTTCTTTTTCTAATCGCTCTCCTTCCGTCAACGATTCCTCCTTTTTGCCCTTTTCCTCCGCGTTCCTGAAAATATTACCATATAAACCCGTTTTGCGGAACGTTTTACATTCAAATGTACTCACGTTAGGAATTCATTCGGAATTGGTGGGGCAACTGTGTTCTTTACGCAATAATCGTAAAGAGCTAGCCTTTCGTCTGCTGAAAACGTGGATATAATTCGATCGCTTGTCATGGGATCCGGATCTAATCCATTCCAAGCTACAGGAAATAAAATTTTTAAGATATTAAACTGATCATAGCGTATTTGTAATATACAGGGTGTCTCTAAAAGGTTGGGGCATGGCTTAACTACAGACTTCTGGGAGGAAAATAAGATAATTTAACATAACTTACCTATATCCAGAAGTGCATATCCCAACCTTTTAGAGACACCCTGTATTTTGCTGATAAGCAATATTTGAAAATTTCTGATATATTATTTGCAAATTAAACTATTACTAACAATTTTCTGAACATTAACAAATCCATTTTAAATTAGTGAGAAGGACGAAAATGCACACCAAAAAATTTTGGTAAAAGGATATCTAAAAAAGGATATCACATATTCATGTCAATAACATTTTAATGTATAGATAGAATATTTCTGAAACAAATAATATATGTTATCCACTGATAACATGCTTGCAATAAATAAGGATGTTTAACAAACCTGGTCTAAATTTGGGATTGAGCTGCCTAGCCTCGTTAAGAATATCTATCTTTTTTGGCACATCTGTAAAATCAATCAAATTAACAAAGCTATCTTAGCAAATGATTGTAACAATGCAAACCTAATGTAATAGAACTCGATGATGGAGCTTGAGGATCCGAGAGAAATTCCTCGTTGCAATCATATCCAGCAGACTGAAGGCAACATTTCTGAACGTGCTTTTCTATTTTTTCAATCGGAACTCTATGATTGGCATTCAAAGGACATCTTATCCTTTCCGCATTCTAGAAATTGACAACATTATTAACTACCAGTATTATAATTAATGTACTGGTTTGTAGTGTATTACCTCTTGTACTTTCCTTCCATTCCAACCGAGATAATTCAGTATCGAAGAGACTTTATCTTTGGAAGAATTTATGTATTGATTTAAGCTATGCAATTGCTTTTTCCTCACTTCGATGTTAAAACTCATTTTTAATCAGAATTACCTTTTTTATAACCATTTTAATTCACTTCACATTTACACTATTTGACCATGAGCGCTCATGACAAATGACATTTATTTCAACGACAATTGACAAGAGAAACCACCAGCCAATAGAAACCGTTGTTCGACAGATTCTTTTACTTACAACGTTCAAGACCATAAGTCGAATGATATATTACATATTACTTGTAAATATAATAAGAATAAGTTAGGTTATAGGTGAAGTGTTCTTATTTTCCCAAATAAAAAGAATGAGTTCCCTGGCAAGAGCTATTCAAAAATTCAGCCTTTTAGATCTAAAAGCATCCAGTCCGATAATATCTAGTGTAAGATACAAAGCGAAAATTGTCGAAAAACCACCAATAGGCGGTGGACATTGCTATCGAAGAATAGTACATTATCCAGAAGAATATACAGTAAAGCCTCTAAATACCACTAACTTAGGAGGCAGAGACCCAGTAACAGGTCGATTAGCTGTGAAAGGCATCGGCGGTGGCATCAAGCATAAGTATCATTGGATCGATTGGAAACGAGTCGGTCCAACAGAAGAAGGCAAAGTACAAGAAGAGAAGGTCATTAAAATCATTAAAGATGGGAATCGAACAGCGTTTGTAGCACTAGTAGCTTACGAAGATAAGTTAAAATATATTTTAGCCACTGTTAATATGAAACCAGGTGATATTATTAAAACATCTTGTTATATTCCTAGGAATCCTGGTGAGTTATTTGGTGTACATTACAAAACAATGTATGAATTACTTTGTTTTTAGTTCGAGCAAATGAAGGAGATGCCTATCCACTAGGTGCTTTACCTCTGGGCACACAAATACACAACATTGAAAAATATCCTGGTAAAGGAGGCTCTTTAATACATTCTGCTGGTACGTTTGCAACTATACTGAAAAAAGCTCCCAATGATCGTGTAATTGTTAAGTTGCCATCAAAGAGAGAATTCAGTTTACCAGCTATTTGCATGTGTACTGTAGGAAGACTTAGTAATGTAGAACACTCCAGCACACCGCTGGGAACCCCACAGAAAAACAGAGAATTAGGTAACAGACCGAGATCTGGTTTGTGGCAGAGGAAAACCGGTTATCATGGGAGAAAAATACGCAGGCTTCCTCCCGTCCAAGAAATCACAAGTACATCTCCAGACGATAACGAAACTATTGTATTGAGTACCAGCAAATCGTTTGGTTATAAACCTAAAATTCAATTTTGCTATTAAATTGTAAATATTTGAATGACCTGATTTTTTTTAAATTCTTAATTAACCCAGATCCTTCAATTCCTTGAATAGCCAGTCTAGTACGCAGTCTACCCTACCTACCGCATCTGGTTAAGTAAGCGGTCTACCCAAATTTATTTATTCCAAAGTATTTACTACAAAATATAACGGCAAGATTTTGAAAATTGACCCTTCAAACAAAACCCTTTAAACAAAAGAAAAAATTTGACTTATTGTATTATTTATAAAACAGCATGTGGGTAATTCAATTTATCAAAAGAATTGGGGAAGTACCAGTATTTATTTGAACGTAAATATATCTATATTTATTAAACAAACGAAAAGATTTTACTAGTATTGTACAGGGTGACTAGAAGTAAAATTCGGTTTTCGAACGTGCCCTGTGCAACCGTTTGAAAATTTTTTGGGGGATATATTTCGATCGAGGCGGTTTCTACAGCGAACGCCAGAAAACATTGAGATTGAGCGCCTCAGCTTTTCAGTCGCAGCACATCGCTCAATCTCAATGTTCTCTGGCGTTCTGATAGACTTCTGTTGACCTGGGTGTTTCCGATTTACCACGAAACAACGTTGCACAAGGCCCGTTTGAAAACCGTATTCTACTCTGAGTCACCCTGTATTATTAAGTATGGAATAGCATAAACAATTCAATTTATCGAGAATTACGGAAGTATCAAATTATACAGGTTGAGTTTTTTTCGATGTTTAGTACAGGGATCTCGGAAACTGTAAGAGACAGAAAAAGTCTAAACGGACAAATATTTGCAGTTTTGTGAGACATATATTCACAATCAGTTTCAGCTTAGCGAAATATAATACCTGTCGAAGTATTTAAATATACTTTGGCGACGAAATATGTTAGGTAGATCGCAAATATTATGGTAGACCGCAAACTAGACCGGCACCGATATGTCTACTGCTGCCGGACTCGGCGGAATGGAAATAGCAGAAAAATCAATCCGCGCACTCCAGCTCTTTGCGCTTCGTTTCCTGATTAGATTTCAAGCCCTCTTAACGCTCGGGTCAAATTTATCGAGCACGCCCCCACGTAAACTCCAAACTTGATAGTGGGTAGTATCGATAAAAATTGCAACACCTACATATTAATAAAACATTTACTCGCACTCGTAAAATTACGCTATAATTTTCACTTTCATCGCACAACATTTTCGAGCGCAATGAATACAAGAATCTGAGAAGTAACTTAAGATTTCCGGCATGTAAGTAACAATAAGTTTAGAATACTTCGTGTTCGATTAGTAATCCCGTGAAAGTGGATTACGTTATTTGTCGTTGAAGGTCTCTTATTGGCGTGAAATTGAAGATAGAAAATTTCGTGCGCCTTGTATAATTTGCCCTACTCTCTAATAAGCGCGCACGACAGAAACGTCGAAGCGCACAGCTTCGAATCTGGCAATTCGCAAGAGCGAAGATTGGGCATGTGTTGCACGCAGGATACACACAAACAGTGAGACAAATCTGTGTCAATGCAAATGCCAAACACGATATGAACGTAATGAACGGCAAGTGAAGATAAATCCTATTGTTTGTATTCGATAAGATCGCTGCGTCAAAAATGGCGGAGTTCACCCTGGATTTGAACAATTCGATGGATATGAAGGTGGCGGAATTCAAAAATGACCCGGAGAAAATGAAAATCGTTAATGACTTCTTGGGCGAGTTGTTCGAAAAAGCGCAAAAAGAGGCAGAGAGAAGGAATAGCAAACAGAAGGGAAAACTGGTAAGACGTTCGATTGGCAATAAAATTTTCGCATGCTTAACATTTTTAATCCAACACTAAAATGCAATATAACAACGTTAATGTTTCTATTTCAGGAGGTCTTAGGATTTCAAAGTAAGTGCTACAAGTATCGCTTTTTTCCATTAAAATTACAATTTCAAATTAATACTACCTACGTTTACGTTAATCAATAACACACTTGGCGCATGCCTTTATCGACAGGTGGGTATTTAAATTTTCATTTCATCCTTCTGTATACTTCACCGCACGCTTCACCTAGGGACACGAATATCAAACCTAAACCGGGATTGAAATTAGTCGAATGCAATCGATTCATTGTGTTTCGCAAATTTTCATATCAAGCATTCTTACCTTCATATGTACATCTTTTTTATATGGTGGTATTAGTTTTTATGAACATCTTTCTATTCGAATTTTCTTAAAGTATAGAATATTTTATTATGAATTAACAATAAACATGTAGGATAGGTTTTAAAAATTATAATATTGGCGCATGCATGGGAAACGAGGTACCTCTAAGTTAAAAATTTTGAAAAATGAGTTACCTGTATTAAATGCTTGAAAAACACTAATCTTTATATAGGAAGAGGAATATAACTTAATTAAGTTACATAATTTAATGAAGACTTGAGACTCTAAACTAGCTAATTTTCACATTTTCAATTTTTTAGTAATCTTTTAATCTGATGAAAGAATTTCATCGTTTTGTTTTCATCGTTTTGTTTTCAACGTTTTTTTTAACTAATATTTTTGACATACAAGGTGTTCGAAAATTAGACGGAGATATTTTAGAGGGTGATTCCTTGTTTAAAAATATTAAAATAAGTTTCTATAACAGGGGTCCGGAAATGCAGACTTTTCAAGATACAGGATTTTAAATAAAAAAAATGATTAATATGTTTTAATCAATAATATTAATTTAGGTACTTGACTCTGCTGAAATTTGGCAATGTTATTTGTTGCATTGGGAGACTAATTTAACCTTAATAATAATTAAAATTATTAAGTCCAGTCCAGTGTGATTTTTAGCAAAAATTTGATAAACCAATTTTGTCCAGAGACATGCAATAAAACAGTTTTATTTTTATTCTCCAAAATCGAAGTGAGATTCGAAGTGAGAAAAAAATTCAAGAGATATTTAATAAAATAAAAATATTACAGTTACAAAAAAGGCAGTGACGTACATTTTTTTTGACAATAATATTCGCTAAGGTGTCCCAGGGACGCCACTGGACTTGGACTTATAATTTTAATCTTTAGGGCTAAATTAGACTCTTAACTCAACAAACAATGTTGCCAAATTTCAACAGAATTAAGTATTTTTGATATTAATAATTTGTTTTAACATTACATACGGTATTTGGTAAACTGTGCTTTACCGGATCCATGTTTATAGCATAAACTTTTTTTCATATTTTTTAACAAAGAATCACCCTCTAAAATACCTCCGTCTATTTTTCGAACACCGTGTATGCCGCTTTTCCTAAGCACGCGCCAACTATTAGATTACCTTGGGAATTTTTCATTGATATAAGTACTAAATAATATTTATTTTAGATTTGCGTTCCTTTATGATTGTAAATAAATAATATCTATTGATTTCAGCTTCATATCAGAAGGTATTAAATGTCGTAGGTTAAAGGCCCTTTTTTAATTATTTATGTCTCCTGTACAAATATAGTTTTTAAGTAAAATTTCCGCCCTATTACCTGTAGTAATTTTAAACAGTTTCACATTATCTATTTCCAGACTTGAAAATTGAAATAATGAATTAAAATAATCACCAAGTGATTGCACAAATATTTGTAAAATAAGTGATACCTACCCATATTTTCGGTGTTACCTTTTTACTATCCTGAATGCAGCAAAACCTCGATGTAATCTTATTTCAATTCTTATTCCAAATCATTCAATGTTAATTAATTTTCACCAGCCAGTGGACGGTTCTTGTTTTGTTAATTTTAAAGACACCAATTGCAATTCCGTAACATTTTGATGCCAAAGTGCACGAAACCGTCAGTGTTTAAAAGTTAATATCACCATATATTTAGCTACAAAAAAACTATCTGTTTGTGCAGTCAGTGTGAAAAAATTGTGTCCGCTCTAGAGAAAAACGGCTGAACCGATATTAACCGTAATTCGCAACAAATATTGGTCGGGGTGCAATGAGGCAGGGATAACGCCGGATTGCTAATCAACTAATTATACGGCCAAACGACATTAGTGTAAGTAAAGGAATAGTTTTTAGGGGAATGATTATTTGAATTGGCATATAGTACATTGCTAATTATTGCTTTTTTGAACGATTTTTTTTCTTTAAAGACAGTCTAATTTTTGGTATATTTGATCGATTACTACTAGAAAAATAAATGTCTTCGTTAGGTATACAGATATGATGAGTGTTTGTTAAAATATAGTCTCAAATAGCAGAATCCCTCGTGTCAATAGATTGTTAAATTAGTCGAGTTAAATTATAAACCAGCAGCCTTCCCACGTAAGGAATTTACTGAAATTGATTGCAATAGTTTTGAATTGAAACGGTGTTGAATACACGGTGGTGTTAATATTAACAGTAGTAATTTGCAGGTATTAGTTTCTATTCTATTGCCCAAGTAGATACGTGACGGCTAACTAGCAATTAATTACTTACGACTAGTTTTAGTTTTTAGTTTTAATATCAATTACGCCCGTATTGGAAATACCAACGACTTAGTCCTTGTCGTTATTGCTCTATTGAAACAATGTAGCTTATTTATTTTGTTCTATTAGCAATGCATTTTCCATAGTGGTCAATCATGTTTTGTCTATGATTTTTTTTATTTTCTAATTATGTTTAATATCACTTATTATCACTTTCAAATCAATGATTTTTTCCATTTATTTTCCATTTCATGAAGCTGTTTGCTATACCTAAATGCCAGATCTTTTTTGGTACAAAATGCGACAAGAACATTAGATACAAATACTAATAGGATTTTCGTTGCTCATTAAATATTTTTTCTTCATCATTCTTATCAAAAATCGCTTTCTTCGATCGAGCTTTCAAGCGCAAAGTGATCTAGCTAGCTCAATTCATCCTATAGCAAGACCACCCTTATTAATTTCCACTTAACAATATTATTGCTTGGGCATGTGCCAGGGCTGAAAAGCGAATTCCTTCATTTATTAAACCGAGATCTAATATTGCTTAACAGCTTATAAATGGTACACGTAAGTACGCGGATGAGAGTTTTCATAATTCATATTCAGGCCAAAAATAAAGTATGTAGCGCGAAGTTCGAGTAAGGTTAATTATCAAAATTAATTCCAGTCAATTTGCGTTTCAGATGGATCCAAAAAAATAGGAGTGTGGTCGAACAGGGCGAAAACCTCGGCCAGGACGTTCGCTTCAAGGATATTCACTACAATATGCAACTGCACTAATTCAGTGAAAACTTCGCTAATAACTCGAACTAACAGCAATAACTAATCGATCAAAAGAGGTCTGAATTGTTTGGGAACAATTTTGAATATTTTAATAACGGGGGAAATTTGTTTGTCGCATGCCAAATTGTGGTCTATTAGACACGACAATCGTCTTAATCGACCGAATTATTTTGGCTTCCAAAAAATATAATCTTCCGATTTCGATGTAAATTATTTTATCCACGTAACTGCCTCTTACGAACAAGTATATGGTGTTTTTCAATAAAACACGGTGTTCAATGTTTTTTTGTTTATGGTAAAAATGTGTTTTCATGCGGTTATGACAAATCAAATTGGTACGTTGATGAACGTTTTGTTTAATACGGTGCAGGTTAATTATCTAATTTGGTGTTGATGTGAATTTTATTGTTTCATGTACCGATAATTGTTTTAATGCTTAGATGTTTACTAAAGCATAAAATGTTTAGAAATGTTGAGTTCTACGAAAATATCTGTCCAATTCCATTACCGTACAGTTCATTCCTTAACTGTTTAAACTACATCTACAATCACATATTTTTACCTTAAGATGCAAATTTCTAGGTAATATATGTGTAAAATATATATTCGTGTTTAGCCTAAAACCATGTAAACTGTAAACCTTTTCCCCACAGGCACTTAATTAATTGCCATTAAAAATATGATTGAATTTCGCCAATAAGCGAACAGCGATTAAAAATGGGATATTATATTATTTTGTTTTACAAATCCATATACTTTCGAGTTAGGTCATAATAATGTTTTTCCACACTATTAAACTTTCCATTATTTTATTAAATAAAAAATACCAATACAATATTTTTTCTTAAAAATAAACATACTTAAAAATTAATTGGAATCGTTTATTAATAATGAAATTTTAATATCTACTAATCACGCAATAAGTTCCAATGAAATAATATATTTATTAACGAAAGTTCAAAACGCCAAACACACAATAATATATTTTACAAGGCGGTTTTTAAATGCAAATTTGCGCTTTGAATTTTCTATTGAAAATTTAAATCAAAAATTTGAAGAAAAATATAAGTGATGAATATTTTTGTCTGTATGGAAAGATAATACAGGTCATCTACACATATTTGACAATCAAAATATGGAAAAATCTATATGTTAGTTTAGAATAAAATTAGTCTCCTCCCTGTAATGTCCCTTCAAATATGAATATTTTAGTTTTTGATAAAATACATATACCTCTTTTGAAAATCTTAAATAATTTTTTATTCAATTTGGAATAAAGATTTTAAAATACCATTTGCTAATTAAACCATGTTTCACTAAGAGTTTTTAGACTACTTTATTGGAGTTTTTACACTTTTCTTTTCCTTTGGTTGGAATTAGGTAAAAATAATAAAGGAATAACAATGATAGTAATTAGCGAATTTGGGAAAAGGAAAAAGAGTTGTTTAGAACCATCAAAACATTGGTTAGTAATTAGTGAACTTCAAATAAAGCCTGAGTGTGGTTTGAGTTAATGTTTACTGTAACTATTTCTTAGTATAATTAATTTTTTAGTTAAATTCTGTGAATAAATTTCATAAACTTTTGTTACATATAAGTATAAAATGTTGATGATTTGCTAACTAGTATTATAACATGGTTCTCAACATATTATTTATGCATTCTTTTGCTTTTATTTTTGACGGATCCTATGGGTTGTCACTGCAATACCTTATAGTATAAATTAGTATTAAATATATTTATATTTACCGCAAGCAATATCTGTTAAAAGTATACCTATGAACTGTTGTTAATATGTTTTTAAATTTAAATAATTTTAATTGTTTCAATAAATGTCATTTAACTTGCTTCTGTAGTTTTATTTCACAAAGTAGGTATATTGGCTAACTAATTTTAGTTACATTATAATAACACAATGTTTCTTTAGACTTATAACAAACTACTCTAAATTCATAAGGTGGATACAACTTATATACATTATTTTCTACAAAATTAATGTTTTCTAGATGACTGATTAAAATCAGCATTAAATTATTTTTGGTATCATTTAATGCACTGTTTATCTCACCCTCGGGGTTGGTTTTTTTAATATTCTTACACTCCAAAATTGTATTACCGTAATCTTTTCTAATATGTAAAACTATGAATTCAATAAAATTTGTATTGTCTATAGATTTGTTCTTAAAAAGTTCGTGTTTCCAAATCGAAACTCTATTTTTTTGTAAATTTAACACTTTTTGAAGTTTATACGCGAGCCCCTTCTTTTTATACCGTTTACGTTTTTTCGGAAGTTGATAATATAGCGAGCTCAATGAGTTTGTGCTACTTTCAGTGCTTTTATAGCTTGTTATCTGACTGGAAAAATTAACAGAACCACTACTAGATTGTAAATCAGCAACATTTGTTTCTGCACAAGTTCCAATTGATGCTACGGGTGAGGTTTCAACATCAGAAATCAGAGTCTCCGGGGATACACTTTCTATAATTTGCGAACTTTGAGATTTGAACATATCAGGTGACTGACATTGCTGATGAATTTCCTCGATTTTGCAAATCCTTTTAAAGGAGTGTTTCGCCTTATTAAACGTCCTTTTCTGGCCTAATATTGGAGACGTTTCATTCAACGAACCCTTCGCTAAAATGGGAGAAGCTTCTTCTACACTAACACTATTTATTACCGGGGACATGTCTGGACTCCTTTCACAACTCGACTGGTCTATATCAGGCTTTATCCAGCTAACACTAACCGATGAATCGTCGTGTTTGGTTTTTAATTTCTTCAAATCGCGCAATTGATTGGACTCGTTTTCTGAATCAGAGCTGCTCCATGATATATCTGCTACAGTTTGATTGAAGTCGACTGGTTTATTCGCCATTTCGTTAACCCAGTAATTCTTATCGATCATTGTTAAATAATTGTTTATTCAACACATGAATTTGAAAGCTTCTACCATAACCTCAAACAACAAAAAACAGTATTGACGCTGTTGACAGAATGACAGATGACAATGAATCGGAATCTGCAGTTTTGGATATACGAGGGGACGTAAGAAAATTCTGTCACAATGATTGTATTTGGAAAATAATAAAAAATCTTGCATACCGTTAATGAAAACGTTTAGATCTAAGATTTTTGTAGAATGAGGAGATATTACAATTTATAGCACATATTCGGCATTTAACCTGTACAGGGGTGTTCAACAATGATATGCTTATATTTAAGGGGGTGAATTTTAAAGAAAAAACTTCACATGAACCTATCATAGAGAAAATATAACATCTTCCTTCCTCTATGGAACCTATGTCCTAAGCGTCCTAACTTTTGATATACAGGCGGGTGGTAAAATTTACAGAAAAAAATATCAGCAGTGCCGTCCGTACGGGTTTTGCATTGAAGATTTTTGAAGAAAAAATTGGTACGCCAGTGCCTAATCTTGAAATAAAAATTATTTTGGTAATCCCCATTCATTTTAGAACAAATTTGATTTCTTGACTTTTTTTCCGAACGACTCACCATTTCACATAAAAAAATTAAATGCATTAATTTGTACGGTGTCACTACATTAGCCGCTGTGCTGAAATTAGGTAGGTAGTAATAAATTTTAGGTTTAGGATGTTCATTTAGACCGTTGGAAATTTAATTTCGCATAATAGGGAAAATGAACGTTAAATTCTTAGCTGTCTACAGTCTAAATCCAGTCTACCAGTGTACATTTCAATAGAACGTCGCGATAAATTCTAATAAATTTAATTGTTCAACTGGACCGCACTCCGCGCTTTGGTTCGTTTATATTGATTTCCTTATTATGCGTGAATTTATTTCCAATCCCGTATGTATGTTCATATGAAGCTTTTTTCTTAAAACGGGTCCAAGAAACACCCCCTTAAATATTAACATGTCATTATGGAACACCCAGTATGCATTCAGGAAAGTATTCAGGAAAAACTATCTTAAATAAAACATATTTATCCCCATAACCAGAAAAAAACCAACAAAAAACAAACCCGAAAACGATTAGATTGAAATTTTAATACTTTACATTATCTTCATAAGTATACAACACTATATTCACAAAGTTACGTTATATTAAATTAGATTAAACTTCTTTTTTCTGATCCGCCTATTTGATTTGTAACAACCGGTCGCTTATGCGAAGCGCGTGTGCTTGGAATCCTGCAAATAAGGATGCAAGTGCTGATAAGAATGGGCGATGCCGCAGTTGTAAAAATTGAGCATATCCGTGTAAGCGAGATGATGTTGCGGCTCCGACTTTATGCTCGGAGTCTCCGGGCGGAATTTTATGTTATTTTCCGTATGCCCTCCATACGCCATGTTGAACAGCGCCTCTGGATCACACACGAATTTGTACACATACCTTTCACCTACGAACAAATTATTGATACAGTGTTAATAGGAGATTCGAAACAATTAGATTTGAACGAGTTACGAACCTGCTACTTTTTGCATTATGCCTTTCTCGTAATAGTATCTCAGCGACCTGCTTAACTTGTCGTAATTCATAGCTGGTCGATTCTTCTGTGCGCCCCAACGCCTCGCCACCTGCAATCAAAATAAATAGTGCTAATAGGATACGTGGAAATTTATGATTAGCTGGTTACCTCTTCGGGTTCGATCAATTTGAACTCCATTCCTCTGCCGGTCCAAGCTATGCAGCCGGCACTCGCGTCCGGAGCGTCCAGCAGGGCCACCAGGAATTGCCACAACTGCAACGAGCCCCTTCTGCCCGTCGAATTTACCACTCCGCTGCATTTGGGGTCCGGCGTGTCTTTGAATTTGTCTGGAGAAAGTTTCTCGGTATATTCTGGAAAGGAGATATCGGTGGTGTTGATAATTTAGAAGCTGGAATTATACGTCATTTAGGTATATGCAGGAGAATATGTTAGTTTTAAAAAGAGAATATCTTGATTTTCGGAGTCATATAATTGAAGGAGGTGAATCAATGTCGTCTTGGTTTGATAATAACGGGATTAATTATTGAAGGTTATTAAATTTTTCTATTAAGAAAATATTTGTTATTAGTTTGTTCCAAATACATATGATTAGAACATGACTGGAATATTATTTGCTTGAACGTTCGTATTTATAAATTACTTTCTTTTATTAATTTGTTTAATTGGTTTTTAGAATATTTTATAAGTAAATTGGACGATATTAAAACACTGTAATGACTAGAGCCTGAAAAATATGCAAAATGCATGTAAAGTGCATGCATGCATATTTCCCCCATAAACTCAAAATACATATGCAACTTAAAAGAAACCCTAAATGTTCATTCTGAGAACTTTTAAATATAGTGTTCTGAACAGTTCTGGAGCATTGTAAATGGTTCTAGTTAGTTTTAAATGCTTCTGGAGCCTTCTAAATGGTTCTAGACAGTTCTAAATGATTCTGTCCTATTTTTCTAATGTTCTAATAAGTAACATAGTCTGATTGTATTTGTATATGTTATATATATTTCTTTTAATAAAATTTAAAAAACAATTATTTAAATCTGGTTGTTACTGATTTTTTCATCGAGCATAAACGCATATAAAATAAGTGCATATTTATGTTATGACTAAATTAATGGATTATTTAAGTTTACCTACTGTTTAAAGCTTCCACGAGAAGTAAAAGAAATTCTGTAAAAATCGCTGAAAAAAAATTAAAAGAAAACAAACCGCAGATATAATAAAATATTCGTATTGGCGTTCGGCGACATTTCAAAATTCCCCGCGAGTACGCGTACACAATCTTCCATCGATATGGAAAACGTGATGAAAATATCGTGCGGCTTTATTGAAAATCAAAATTCATTCTTTCGTTATTAAAATCTACATGGAGTGCCACCCAGGGATAAACACATTATTCGAGATTTGAGGTCGCGTTCTCGACTGGTTTACCCGGCTTTTTCGGCTCGAGCCGCGGGGAGTTAAATTTGATTACCGACTACAGCCTGCTCCTTAAATTCTCCCTTACATGTCGCGAATAGGTTCCTTTAAAAAACGTTCTTATTAATCTCTTCGACATCCTTCTTGTCAATTTGTATACGCGAACAGCAATCGCAGCTGCGTAGGTATTTGATTTTCGTTATTCGCTTTCGTTTTTCGAGATGTGTATTTTATAAAAACAAATCGGCCGTAGAAACTTAATTAAAAATGTTTGAACTCGCCAACAAAACGGAATATCAGCGCGAGGGACGAGATCGCGGCGGCGGAGCACTCGAATGCCGTTCGAAATTTACCAATAAGGGGTTTAATAATAATCGGCTTGTTTTGGTAAAGTAAACTTGCATACACGGAACGGTTTACATTTAATGAAACCCTCGGGTATATCGTAGCGGCAGCCGAAGATTTTAATTGAAACTAATCAATATTAATACGGCTATTAAACGCACCCCTTAGTCCATTACCAGTTCGTCATTATAAATGAAAACTTGATGTGCATTCTCCACCTATTTAATTATTTCTGTTGTTCCATGTATTGCGACAAAAATATCTATACTATTTCAGAAAATATGCTACTTTTTTATATGGAAAGACGAAATAATAATTTAGATTTATGAAAATATGTAAAACGAAGATTTATTTGTTATTAACAGGAACTAAAACTGAACCGATTTAAAGTCAATCGGTCAATTGTAAATCATCTAAAAACGCTCGGATGTATTTTATATGATATCTCTGTTAATAATGCACCTAGAACTTTGAAAATTGGTATCGATAATGTCCAGACACAGTACTAAATAAAACTAAACTGGGTTTTCATGTTCCATTTACAGGGCGTGTAAAATTGCCATACTAAAACTTTTTATCTTGGCTAACTTAAAGTGGTCATAACTTTGTTATTTCAAATTATTTGTTTATTTTTGGGTATTGGGCAGTAGATATTATCAATCTCTTTTAATCCATTTTAGTACTCTAAATAATGCTCTAATTATTAACATTTAAATAACAATTGACAATATTTTAAAACCTTTTTGTTTTTTCATAATTTCTCGGAACTTTTTCGTTTATTTTTAGATGCATAATCACCCCTCAAATTTTTCTCACCTCTCAACTCTCTACAGAAAATTCCTTGAATTGAACACCACAAATAATAATTTCCATTTAAAATCACTCGTTCCTAATACATTATACCAATATCAAATATCATACCTTTATAATCTTTATCTGCAGGCTCCTGTTTGATGGGGAGGTGATTTTCAACTAGCGACGTTCCGGTCAAGTTGGTCGTACCGGAGTGCTCCGCCCTGCTGGAAATATTGGAAATTTTATTGTACAACGTATTTGAGTAGAAGCATCCGGCGTGCTGGTAGCTGCTGCCGTAGATACCGTCGAAATTTGTACTTGTCGCGTATGAGGAAGGGCTGTATCCGTGGATTTTGGCGGTTTGTGGATGCTCCAGAGGCCTACCCTCAGCTTTCAAACCTGCGAAATTGCGTTAGAAAATTCAGCATAGTTAATAGAATAATGAGATAGTATTTATTATTATTCACAAAAAAATGTAAATTGTGGGAAAGCGAATCTTATGTTTACGGATACAGGTGTATAAAGAACAGAAGTTAAAGAGATGAGAAAGCTGGATGATTTACTTCCACCTCCCGTACATGCTATCGCCTGTAGCAGTGGTGGTTAAGTAGAAGGCAGTAATCTGGGTGCACGCTGTGCTCAGAGATCAGCCTGTCAGTAGTTCTTTTCGAGAAACGTAACATCCATTTAGTTTCGTATATGTTGATGCGGGTAGCTTCGCAGCAGGATGCACCCTCTTTGTGACGACGCCGTATTTTCTGTCATTTCTAGAGGTTTTTGTGCGCCTTTATGAAGCGGTCGCCCGACGTTTACCTATCTGTATTAACGCAACTGGCAAAGCGAGGGTTTTTTTACAAATAAATCCGCGGGAGTTAATGGGTTTCTTACCGTTTAGGCCGCTCTGATGGATGTACTCGGCTTCCATGTTGTACGGTTCGCTGTCGTCTGTTCCGCAACTGCTCCCTAAAATCAGCATTATCCACAAAAAAAATTAATCAAAACATACAGGATGTTCCAGTCCTTACAAGCAGGACTTCGTCTGTGTATAGGTAGACCAAATTTTATAATAAAAGGGTCGGGATATACGGCTTTAAATGTAAAATAGCGAAAAGTCTTGCCGTCGTTTTAAAAAGTATTTCTATACAGGGTAGGGTAGATTATAGTAGAGAGTATATAGAGTAGTGAATAGAGAGTAGAGAGTAGAGAGTAGAGAGTAGAGAGTAGAGAGTAGAGAGTAGAGAGTAGAGAGTAGAGAGTAGAGAGTAGAGAGTAGAGAGTAGAGAGTAGAGAGTAGAGAGTAGAGAGTAGAGAGTAGAGAGTAGAGAGTAGAGAGTAGAGAGTAGAGAGTAGAGAGTAGAGAGTAGAGAGTAGAGAGTAGAGAGTAGAGAGTAGAGAGTAGAGAGTAGAGAGTAGAGAGTAGAGAGTAGAGAGTAGAGAGTAGAGAGTAGAGAGTAGAGAGTAGAGAGTAGAGAGTAAAGAGTAAAGAGTAAAGAGTAAAGAGTAAAGAGTAAAGAGTAAAGAGTAAAGAGTAAAGAGTAAAGAGTAAAGAGTAAAGAGTAAAGAGTAAAGAGTAAAGAGTAAAGAGTAAAGAGTAAAGAGTAAAGAGTAAAGAGTAAAGAGTAAAGAGTAAAGAGTAAAGAGTAAAGAGTAAAGAGTAAAGAGTAAAGAGTAAAGAGTAAAGAGTAAAGAGTAAAGAGTAAAGAGTAAAGAGTAAAGAGTAAAGAGTAAAGAGTAAAGAGTAAAGAGTAAAGAGTAAAGAGTAAAGAGTAAAGAGTAAAGAGTAAAGAGTAAAGAGTAAAGAGTAAAGAGTAAAGAGTAAAGAGTAAAGAGTAAAGAGTAAAGAGTAAAGAGTAAAGAGTAAAGAGTAAAGAGTAAAGAGTAAAGAGTAAAGAGTAAAGAGTAAAGAGTAAAGAGTAAAGAGTAAAGAGTAAAGAGTAAAGAGTAAAGAGTAAAGAGTAAAGAGTAAAGAGTAAAGAGTAAAGAGTAAAGAGTAAAGAGTTAAGAGTAAAGAGTTAAGAGTTAAGAGTAAAGAGTAAGGAGAAGTGCAGCATGTAGGTAAAAAAAAATTGATGCGGAATTTCCTTATCGGATTAAAATTCAGGTAAATTCTGTGCGTAGGTCCGGAGCTCCCGATAAAACTCTGTATATACTAATCAAGCTATTAATAAAAGATAGGAACCTATTGTATTAAATAATAATAAAGGTAGTAAAAATTCTAGTTGGGTTTTGGAAGTAACTGAAAAATAAGTGCGCCTAAACGAAGAACGAAATTCCACCTCGCTAACACATCGCGTCGGCTCGAATTTTTCGCAATGCACGTACGCAGACGATTCCCGGCGGAGCGCAGTCCATTATTTAGCCCTCTGAATGATTGATAAGTAACAACAGGTGAAAAGCTCCGTTCCAGAATTACAAAGGCCATTTTGCTGTCGATGGTAGGCGATCTCGTTCGCCGGCAGCGCTTCGGACAGAGATAGAGCCAGCGAGCAATCCCGCCGGTAAAGAGGGGTTAAATGCTCGCATTTAGCCTATTAATTATGGACAAGTTGGTATTACTTACCTTCTTGATGCCAGGACTCTCTCCAATCCGTTGGGAACGAGGATGCTGTAATATAAGTGCGGAATCCCAGTTAGATTTGTCCGTGGAATATTGTATTAAGTACAATTTAAAATATTCCTACTAAATTTTATAAAAAAAAAATTGGCATTACAACTTAGGTACTATTATTCATATCTTGTTAAGGTTTTCATTACAAAATACTATAGTTAGGTATAATGGTACAATTATCTTTGTAATTACATAATCAAAAGAAAAGGTATACATAGAGCCTACAGCAGTATCTGGGGGAAGCTTAAATATGGTGATTTAACAGAACTTATACCTTTATACCAAATTGCACCCATGAGGAGTTAAAGACCATCAAAGAGGAGTTTAAAATTTTGAAAAATCAGTATGAAATATGAGTAAAAAATGAGTAATATTTCAATACAGAAGAACCACATTCGGTTTACATTTGAGGTGTATCTATAGGAGTATTTGAGAGTTATAGAGATCAGTTAAAGTATTCTAAAGGAGTAACTGGGAATAAAGCTTCCTTAAAATGTTTTAGAAGTGTTTAGCGAATTTAAAAGACTATTAATTCATTTCATGAAAAATTTTATTCTAAAACTTTTTTATTCTTGTAATTTTTTTAAGAAAGGATCGACAAAGCTAAAATATAGGTACCTGAAATTTACTGAAGTTTACCAATGTTTACTTAAAATCGTCGAAAATATTTAGCTATGAAATTGGACATCAAATTTAAAAATAAGCAAAAATATGTCTAAAGCTTTTATTTAAAACATTTCTTCCCATACCACATTCGATATGTATAAAAGAGCAGAAGCAGAAAAAAAAGTAGAGTGGTTTAATTCCAATTTAGGCATAAATAAAATATCTAATGCCCTTTAATTTTCTTTTAAACTTCAGTATTACCTTACATGTTCACCAATACTAACTTGTTCCTACTTGTCTACTAAAATAACAAGTAGAAGAATAATTTTTCCTTACCATGTGTTTGTTGTGAGGATTTGTAATGATCTTGGTGCTGCTGGTAACACGAACTAAACGGAGTGCCGAATAGACAACCCTGAAAAGCAATAATAAAAATTACTGCAATAGCAACGAATTATCACGTTTATTCCTACCAACATCTCGAGCTTTTTCAGAAATAAATTACAACTTCGAGTTTAGATATTATATCGATGGATAAGGCGGATTTAAATTCGCTTATTTGTTGTGAATTCGAAAGTGATTTTTAATTAAAGTCTCTTTTGTCTAGGTGATAAAGGAATTATGCGAAACAATCGTAAAAAGCAATAAACACCTAACGTTATCGGAAGTAAAAGTCGATCGTAAATCAACCCGCGCAAATCAAATGATATTTTCGAATTAATTTAATTTTGTAATGTAAAATTGAAAATTACGCATGAAGAAAACTATTATAAAAGTTCAAAAAAGATAACCGGGCAAACTTTTTCATATTGGTTTCTTTGAATCAAAATTATGCCTAGAAATTTTTAGAGATTAAAAAAAGTTCATGGTCTAAATTAATTACGGAATGTATATTAATTACAGTAATAGTTAATGACTTGAAACGTATTCGTAAAGGACCTCAAAAACATACTCAATTGATGATACCTAATACAGGGTGTGTCAGGACTAGCTTAAACTATCTGTATATTGGAAACTACTTATCCCAAGATGAAGATATAAAAAATTTTACTTAAAACTTACTTTTCTGTCTTATTCTTAAATAACTCGGGTTTACAAGTTGGTCATGTAATATCGTACAAGTACCATAATTAATAATCAATTAATCAAGAAGAATTTACATGGCCAACTTATAAAACTAATTAATTATTATTATTTTCTTATAGTAGGTTGGTAGGCATTGACTGTTACATCGTCATTCGATCGGTACTTTTAATTTTTAATTTCATCTTCTTTCTTCTAGTTTACTAGCAACAACTACTAAAGGCTATTCAGCCGAATAATCAAAAAATAAGAATTTTATGCGTAGTTATCTTTTCAACATGTTAAAAATGACACAATTTGAGCTCTATAATTCGGATACAGAAGTTTTTTCAGAAATTTCACTGTATACACTTTTAAGGGTCAATAGTACACTAAATTTTTTACCAGCACTGTTAAATATATTTCAGATGGTAAATGAATTTGATGATTAATTATAGTGAGCCCCTGAATACGTCCGCCGTTTAGAAACGTTAAACAGGTACTCCTAATTTCCAATTTGTTCTTGTCATATTGCCATTTGACAATTTTAGAAAATTCTTAGATTTTGCAAACTCTATAGAAGTTCGGCAACACTGCCTACCATCAATACCTGTGACGTAGTAAATTATAGGTGACGTGCATCGATATTTGTTTTGCACCGACTGTAGCTACAAAGATAACGCCGTATTGTAGCTCCTGTTTAGTTTTTTTAACAATCGTCATACTATTAGGTAATTAATTAAATTGAACATCATCAACTACCAGTTGACGTTATTTGTGTTAAAAATTGATTTTTTTCAAGAAAACAGGTACTATTAGTATTAGTTTCTGCTGCCTATCGTATTGTTTAGAAAAAAAAAACTTTCTTTCTTGCACAATAGGGGGGTTCCTAACGGTATTCAGTGCGAGATCAAAGTGACAATAAAGGTGTCGCGTTACTATTGTTTACCTTTGTTACTTGTTCCTTTTGTCAATACTGCTTGATGGCCAATTTCATTACTTAATTGATGGTGCAATCAATAACACGCGAAATCGCTCGCCGTATACCTGCAATCGAAATTTAATCGTCTCCTCGAATTTTTTGATTCCGCCTCGAAGAAAATTACCCGTCGGTTTTTTCGTCGCTCGTCGCGAGAATTTTACGAGGCGCAAAACTGTTCTCAATAAGGAAATAAGACAATTTCGCGACTCTACAGGTTGTCGAAAACCCCAATTTCTAATCCTATTTGGATGCAATCAATCAATCTGTTTGGAAAGGAAAATACGGGAAGATTTTCGCTTACTGCCGTTTGGAAATCTCACAATGTCGGAGTATTAATTTCCTAATTATCGCAACAACTCTATTGAAATTAGGTGCTTTATGGTGGTTTAGTAAACGCTTTATTATTCAAGTTTGTATTATCATAAAATTATATATTTCTACTTGAATTATAATAGAATGTGTTTAATTAAAATACTAGCAAGACGATTTATTAAGTAATTAGTAGATATTTATTATGTAAACGTGAAATTTAATATGTAGGAGAATAATAGGCACTCGCTCCTCCCTAGGGACTAACCCTTATTGACACATCTGATTAAATTATATGCACCTAAGTTCTTAAGTAAATATAATTTAATTAAAAAAGCCTAATTATATCGAAACAAATTTATAGGATTATTGTTAAAATTATCAAAGATATTAAAAAAGTTCGTAGGCATAATAGCTTCAAATAGGTTACATTGCAGAAGGTAAGGATTTTTCAGCATTCTTGATATTTTCGAGGAAGTTGATTGAATTTGGGTACAATTTTTCCACTTGTGAAGGTTTAGATTATATTAAAATAAGTTAAAAAAATGTATCTCAATCTAATTTTGTTAAATGTTCATGTTACTTCTCGCTATAAACAAAATAACAAAATTTAAACAACAAACGCGGTGTAGAAAATATTTTAAGTTTTTACTACTGGCAATAAAATTATTATAACCTCCGGTGTTAATTTGTTCTATTTGCTTTATTGCACACTTTAATTAAAATTATCTTAAAGTAATTAAATCCAGGGGAATAAATATTTTTGCCTAGCGCTTAAAATAAATACAACTTTAGTTACTTTTTAATCAGTTTTAAAATATTTCTAATTATTTTTTCTGCTAATTGAGTATTTTTAACTTTGAATTCGTTAACAGCTAAAGGAATTTTCATTTTCCCCAATCAAAAATTAATGCAAAATAGGTACGTTTAAAAAATAATAAAATTTCATGCTCCTTGTACTTCTAATATATTATTCTACAAATTTTTCAGAGATATAGGACAAAAAACTCACCAATCTTCCAAACTCTCCAAACGAAGCGGACACCTCCTGATCTTGGCTCATGTCTCATCGAAACTAAATCACCAAATCATTTCTGGAGCGCGTATCGAAAGGTAAAAATTCGCTCCGGCAGTTTATTAAAATTATTAATCGACTGGTAAAATCCCTTTAAGGGTTCGCCTGAAACCGGTGATAACAGGAAATATGATGTGCCAGAAGATCCAAGAACTCGAAGCACCTGCTGAAAACAGAAATTACGCGATGGTGGGAGTGGTGAAGACACGCCTCTGGGGGTGCTGAACCGCCCCTATGTGTGTGGAATCTTAGTCTATTCCATGCATATTACTCGAAACAATCCTGACTTTTATTTATTTAGGTCATGAGTTTTGTTTGGTAAATATTTACTGGATTACTGGATACTCCAAGCTTCACTTCTATATTGCATTTTTGATATTTGCATACATATACATAGGACCAGCTAAAATTTAATTAACTCTATACATCTATAAGTATTGTTTCATATTGTTAACTAATTGTTATTTTTCTTTACTTACATTTGTAGGTAGTAGGTTGATTCAAAAATAAATTAAAGAGGTTTTAAAAACTATTCCATATCCCTTATGATAGGTAGGTAGGTACTAGTAGAAACAATGTATAGAAAACAAATTAAGAAAGGATTATTTATTTATTATGTTGAATTTTAATGAAAATTGGACAAAATTGGTGGAAATAATTGTATACAGAAGATTAACTTCACCGTTTGTCTATGGTATCTTCTTTTCTCTCGATAATTTAGGTGAATTAAAAGACTTACTCAAACATTCTATAATGCTTTCTTTTGAAGACATATTATTTTTTTCTTCATTTTACAAGTACTTCCTGAGGTCTTTTAAAATATCCTTGATTGATTGATGTCCTTGATGTGGAGGGGTCCTTGCCTATCCAGTGCCATTCCAGGTAAGAAAGTCAGCTTACTTGTTTTCTAATTTTACTCGAATGGCACTCAAATCAGGATTTTAACTTGCACATGACACCATTATAATATCATTCTTAATGTTTATCCATTTATTAATGCAATAGATCTTATTATCTTCAATGCTCTTACATTTCTTTAACCCCTATATATCAACAGCCAGTTTTCGTTTTATTTTATTATTGTTAATCGAATAATCCCTTTAGAAATATCGTGAAAATTTCCAAATCCTTCTGTAAACAATGTTAATGATTCCTTATTGAACAAGGTTTATAGTTTTCCTTTCGCACGAATCGCGCTGTTATAGATGAACCTCGACTTGTAAGTCATCGCACATATCAATAAGCGGGAATTCGGCGGAGAATTAAATCCTTTCAGGAGCTGCAGCAGGATTGCGCGCGGAATGTCGAAGGGAAACCGGAAGTACGATTGGCCTGCGGGGGGTCGACTAGCGCCAATAAACGTTGTGACCCCGCCTTCGGGGTCTTCAATATTTAACTATTTTGCATGTTTGGCTTCGGCAACATCGTCCTTTTGGATTATAAACTTCGCTCCGATAGTTCGGTTGTTCGTTTGTAATTAAGTTCCAGCCGCAGCAGGAAAAAAATGTTTACGCTCCCCGAACGACACAAATGTTTGCCGAAAGTTAATCTACATCGAATTTGATGCAGAGAAAATGCACCGTTTTTATAACTTTTTAACTATTTAATTTTGCAATTGCATAGGTCAAATATGGCTTAGAGAATTCGTTAAAGTCTAAATTCCCAATTTGTGTAGCTTGAAAGTTGATAATTTTCTTGTAGATAAAATTCTAGTAACGAAAATCAGCAGCACAAGCATTGACTTTGAAAAAGACAAACATTAAGACTATTAGGAGCATTCAAGCGTTTGAAATGTGGTGCTATACAGAAGAATGTGGAAATATTAGGGATAGAAAAAGTAACCAATAGATGTTATAAATCATACAGAAAATTGAGAAGGAATTTGAAGAAGTTAATAGAAAACATTAATAAAAAGGAAAAAGCTGGAATATCTAGGACACATAATGGGAGGAGAAAAATATGAATTACTGAGGTTAATAATACAGGGAATAATCAAAGGAATGCGAATTGTAAGAAGGGTTTCATGGGCGTAGAAGGTTTTCATGGCTGCAACTCAAAGAATCTGTTTAGAGCTGCAGTTAATAGAGTAAAAATTGCAATTGGTGATTTCCAACCTCCGATAAATGAAACTGAAGGAAAGAAGAAACCAAAATTGATTTTTTTCTCAATATACAGTTTACAATTTAAAAACTTACTAGTTCAGAACATATCAGTTCATCTCAGTCGTGATCTGCGAATTTTCCAATGGACAGAAATAATGAACAAAGAGTTTGTCTCATATTTTGGGTTTTGAACTGAATTTCGTGGGGAAAATAGATTTAAAATTGTTTAAGGTGACAGACAGTCGGGAGATCGCCATATACTTGCCTTGTTCCGGACGGTCTTCGACCTCTTTCATCAATGATAATGGCTGAAAAATAAAGGAAATTGAGTTCGAAAATCATCATGTTGGTATTAGAGAACTCAACATCTTTCGTTAAACCGCTCGTTTGATTTGAATTTTGCGTTTTATTCCAATTTTCCGGGTACTTTTTTGTCATTGTGTATGTTAGATTTGGAGACCTAATAGACAAATAAGAAATTTGTATAAGCAAGCTTGTATTTGTTTGAACTATTTTGGGATTCCCGGAGCAATTTCATTATACATTATAAACTTGTTAGTCCTGTGCTAATATTATACCAGTGTTAACATGTTTAAAGATACAAAATGAAACACTTCCCACCCTCTGCTAAACTAGAAATAGAAACACCATCGATTATTAGAAATTTCAAACAATTTAATTACTCGTATAAAGGCAAACTGTATGGATATTTTTTTGGAGTTTTAATTTAATTGTACCCTTGAACTTTGAATATTTTTAGCAAATCAATTTCAACTAAAAACGCATTATTTTTATTATTTAAGGGAAAATAATCGTCGAATTTACTAAAGAAAGAACAATTTAATAATACCAAAAAAGCACTCAATACAAAAATTTCCAACATTAGCTAATATATTGTTCACAACTAATACACAATTTTCTAAAAATCAACTTTTATTTCAAATGAACTTTATAAATAATCAATGAAATTACTTCTTTATTTTACAATTTCCTTTAGTTTCGATTCCAAGTATTGTACTCTATGCACCAGTTTGTCTCTTGGTTTAAATTCAGTAAACGGTGTGACTAATACTTTATATCCCTGGGTTTCCAACATTGTTAAAGCAAAACTGTTAACACCAGTCGGTTCGACTTTTCCCTTGCACATATCGTGGTAGTCAAGCGCCATTAAAGCGATCCTGAAAAATAATTTTAAATGAAATTTTATCCATTATACTGCCAACAGTAGCAAATGCATACTTGCTAGCGTCTGGGTTTGAACTGGCCTGATCCAAGGTTAAAGGACTGCATTTTTTATCAAAAATACATTCTGCATCTGCAATAAAAAGAATGTAATCTTCCAGATTAAAATAAAACATGAATTTATTTACCGATGTAATATCCAAATTCGGTGCATATGTTTGTATTAAGAAATTTATCTGATTGTATCAAGTTCTTCAAGGTGTCTAAAAGAGATGATACAAATTCTTGCTTCTCTTTCGACCGCACTAAAGTAAGACTTCTTAAGTGCGAATCCTTAGGTATGGTAGGCCCCTCATAATTAGATAACAAAACCTGTGCAGCACCATTAATGTTCAACAGTTTTAATTTTGTGGAAATTGATATAGAATCTTCAACAAAAGTAAGTTTTTATAAATAGTAATATGTAGTAACTAGAATTATCTGCAGTAGAATAATTTATACGCACCACCTAATTCACTTATGAATGATTCATTCAGTACACTAGCTACATGATCATTAGTGGCCTTGTTCAATAAGCTTAACGACCAAACAATGTCTAACCAAATTAAAGGCTTCCTGGCCTCGGATGGATTTAATTGAGGCAACAGGACCTGAAAGAATTCATTTAATACTATAGCAAGATTACTTGTGCTTCAGCTATGTATACCTCAAACAGTTTTTCTGAGTTATTTGGTACGTAATTAACGACAGCCAATGTGATAAGTAAACTAAAAATATCTTGAGGTCTGCAAATTGTATTATTGCTATGCACCCATTCGCTCAAAGTATCTAACAGCGCTAAAAGTATAATACAGAAAAATTAATACAATTTTAAATAGGTTGTATTGTTGTTGTTGTTGTTTGCGGGCAGGTCTTTTGAGCCCTGCAACCACCAGATCATAGAATCATCTTTAATTTTCACGTTGTTCTAAGGTCATTGTTTCTCCCAAAGATCACTAATAAGTGTGAACCTTAAGAGTTCCAACGCCCTTGTTGTGTCTAGATCTTTGGAATCTAAAAACATTCGTCCACAGGTTTTGTACCTCCTTATAAATAGTGTTGCCCTCACTATACATGTATTTAAATACACAAGCTTCATTTGTATTTAAGACACATGTTTGTTCAAAATTTAAAATACTTGTATTAAAAGTTTAAATACATTTTTGTAAGCAATGTTGAGAACACTCACTCAATTATATTTCCCCTGAAAACAAAAATTCCCAGTATCTAACTTCGGATTATCCCCTGACGTAGACATAAATTTTGTAAATTGTTATTTTTGACAATTTTCAACTAAATCCAGGTTATCCAGGTGAAATATTGTTTTAACAGTAAGAAATTTAAATGTATTTAAATACATTAAATACATGAAGCAAATATTTGTATTTGTAATTAAATACATTATCAAGTCAAGTATTTAAATACAAGTCAAATACATTTTTTTAAAGTATTTGTATTTAAATACATTATTCAAATTATTTTTAACAACACTGGTTGCCTAATGGCACCCTTCCTGGCTAGTTCGTCAGCTACCTCGTCCAGAGATCCACATTAAGGTTACAACATTATTAACCCCTAATCTGGCGAAAACAACAACAACAAATAGGACAGATGACATAAGGTTTTCACCACTGCGGAGACGATTATTTTTGAATTCAGAATAATTATTTCTATCGAGATGAAAACAAGAGGAGATTTTACATTATTTAGTACCTGGGTTTTTGTACTTAAGCAAACCGATGCTAGTCAAAATGGATCCGACCACTGAACTTTTCCTAATATTTTTCTCAATATCTAATGTTATGTCTCCGGAAATTCTCGACAAAAGATTTTCATCCGGATAATTCAGGATAGCCATGGCGTACAACAAATCACCGCATTGTTTCATGTTTAGGTGGCTCGTAGATCGTGTTATGTTGTACGAAAGAGAACGTAATAATAACGTTGATCTTCTTTTCTTCTGCGCCAGTGCAGTCATTACCTTAAAGAATGAATTAAATATTTGCAAATATTTGTTAAAGGGCTACTTACTTTAACCATTTGAGGTAGTGTAATGTTGTCTATTAGCTTTGCAGCTTCATCATCAGCAGTTATACTTAACACCGTCGATAAATCCTCGCTGCGGGATACGGTTTTTGGTGATTTATTGGGGCTGTAAGTCTTTGTTAAAACGCGACACAGCTTAATGAACCTCGGATCGCTTTCGAAGTCTGAAATATTCGCTTTACCGGAATTGGACCAGTCAGCCAATATGGAAACCACCTGCAAGTTATAAATTACAAATCTGTAATTATAAATAAAGAACAATAGTTGATACCTTTAAAGCGTGTCGCCTGGAAACTCCGCTTCCTTCTGATAAAGAAAGCAGCTCATCGATAGTTTTAGCGTTCGAAAGTTTCCCATCGGTTTGGGGAGTTTTTATGTCATTTTCCTCGAAGTTGAGTGAAGCGAAAGCAGCAGCCACCATAGATTTATGCGACACAAACGCTTTACCTGGCTTTTGGATTAAGTCATTGCTCTGTACTGGATTGGATTCCGATAGCGGGGAATTTGGAATACCTTTCTTTAATTCTGGCGATGAAGAGGAGAAATTGCTCAACCTTATTAGTGAAGATATACTTTTGTGAATGCCATTCCTTTGGATGACATTTGTAATCTTTAACATCTTGATAGAATCAGCTAAATTTGATAGTATTTTTGAATTGATGTAAAGGATTTATAAAAATCCTTTAGTTACATATTATTTTACTATTTTAAAAATGATCATGTTTAATACGTAACCACACTTTTTTGAGTCATTAGTTGAAGGAAAGAAGATTCATTGCATAACATTCATACGTCAATTTTGCCTCTTACTATTTTGCTATTTAGTTATCCTAAAATCTTCTTTTAAATTGAAGTGTCTGATAAACTGTACAATTCAAGACATAACTGGGGTAAAGGTTAAGGTTATGTTTATAAAATTTTTGATTATATGTTAATTTAATTTATTATTCCAGCTCACCTTCCATACCTTTCACTTAAGTAATGTAATGGTAATTCGCTTTTAATTAATAACAATGTGGTCAATGGTATTGGACGAAATTTGCCTACTTTTAGAGACCTATAAAGGAAGAGATAAGGTAAGATTAACATCAAGTCAATATTAAAAGATAATACGTTTCCTTAATTGCAGATTTTAAGAACGATAGGTTACTTGACGAAATACCTGGGAGGAATACAAAAAAATGAAGCATTGGCCAAAAAATTTTTCATCTTTAGCTCCCAAATGTCGAGTGCTCGAGCTACACTCAGGCTTCTCGATGATTTTCCAATGATCAAGTACAGCTTAGAATATGGGCTAGGCAAAGGGGTAAATACTATTTACAAACTTTTTTTTTTTCATTATTCCACATAAAAACTACTATGATATAATATTTATTAATTACGTTTTTAGGAACCAGACAAATTTATGGCACAACTGGGCGTCCTTACAAATATAATTGACCAAGCATTTTATCCCATTGAAAAAATGTCTTGGTTGGCCGAGCACAAACTCATAACCGGCATAGATAATACTAAATGGGACACTGCCAGCTCAGTTTGCTGGGTTATATCGATTTATTTAACTCTTGTTAAGTAAGCATTAGTTTACATAATTTTGAATTACTAAACATTAATTCATTTGATAATGAAAGCAGTCGACACTATTCGTATTATATTGTAATGTGGTCTTTTTATTTGCAGGACTTTAAGGTATTGGTTAGTATTAGAAAGATGCAAAGCAGGTGGAATTAACTCCGATAGGTAAACAATTTATATTCTATAGATATATAAAATACTGAATGTTATTTTATTGTAGCATTCCGATGGCCAAAATTGTATTGATGCAAAAGTATGAATTACTATCAATTATAAGGCTGTGTTTAGATTTAGCTCATGCTGTAAACACTCTTCCTCCAGGGTTTATGTGGTCCTGTAAGCTTAAAGTATGGCATGTGGGATTAATAGGAACTTTATCATCATTATTGGGCATTTATCAGATATTTTTTAGAAGGTCTCTGAAGTAAGATAACATTATAATATTGAACTATTTTTTAAATTCATATTGTATTGAAACAGCTTTACATCCAATTGTTGATTTTTATAAGATTTTATTAAAGTGTTGTTGGATATTTTAAATCTGGAATTTATATTTTTTTTGATTCAATATTTAAGTGAATAGTTTGAATAATCTAGAATGAAAAAGAACGCTCCTCAGTACCGTTTTAATATAGAAAACAAAAGTATATTTAAAGCCTTTATTGATAAAATAAAACTACTCTAAGGCTGAAAGTTTGAAGTTCTGGATGCAATAACTTACATACTAATTATCCCAAAAAACATGTCATATTTAAAGGTACACTCGTGAATTTTAAATATAGTATGCATTAAAATCGTATCTTGAAATATGGCATAAAATTCTTCTTTAAAATATTACAACTGGGAATTTGCACAATAATCTTATTTTTCAGTAACATGCTCAATATTTATAAATGAATTTTTTACGAAAAATAAATTTGTTTAATTGAATAAACATGAAAACATTTCCGTATTATTTTACAATGAGAATATGATCAAATCCTATTGTGCTGAAATTCCCATTTCAATTTTTAAAAGTAAAATTATATCGAAATATTAAAATTTTTTTTCTAAAATTCTTTTAAAAAATTAAAATTAGTAAAAACAAAAATAGTAATCACTAATCTTAATCCAAGTCGAGATATTTGCAAATAAGTTTCATTTCACAATGAAAATTAATAGTCAATACTCAGGAATTTTTATCAATTTATGTGAAATTTACAATTCAATTTTTTTTCAGAAGTACATTACTTCTCAATTTAATTGATTAGCAAAATGAGAGAATTACGATACAAAATATTTGCAAACATCTCTTATTAAATAAACAATATTTGGTAGTATTATTAAAACTAAATTATCACCAGATAATAATAGGTAACTCTACCAAATAACTAAAAAATAAACACCAACACCAAACATAATAAAAATTAAAATTCGTCTAAAACAAACTATAAAAACAAAAACAAAGTAAAATCAGTAGAACTCAGTCAAATGAAACAATAAAAACAAAATTAAATTAAACTACCCTAAAACTGCATGCAGCATGCTTAAAACAATACAGTATCATCACCACCACCTTCAACAAACTGTAATAAAAAGAACATGTTTTAATGATTTGTAACCATATTTAATATTAAACTCTTTCAACATAATAACAAGTTGATATCATGTAAGATTTATAAACAATTTTTATTTAAACCATTTAAACTGAAATCGTAATAGCCTTTTCCGTAGCGAAATTTATATCCAAAGTGACAAATCTTCATCAAAATTACACTTAAATTCATATGCAGTTCTCGACTGCAATGAAAACAATCTTAAAATTTATAAAAATATTTAAATACCCCAACGAAATAATTCCAAAGTTAATTTTAAACCACTTAACATTTAAAACTTTTAAATATCAATACTTAAAACTACACTTACGTTAAACACTAACAAATCCTATAATTTTTATTTATAAAACATTGGGTTACTGCTAAAATGAGATTATATTTTCATTTTTAAATTGAAACAGTAAAATTCAACGTTTAGGGGAAATCTAAGTGTCCCGGGATTATTGTATTAGTAAATCGACAAATATACAGTGCTATAATTTTAAAATCATTACCCTACCCCGATATATTGATTTCAAAAATGGTAGATAATTAATCAACAAAAATTTATGTAAATTTTTTTTACATACAAAATTACTTCAAAATTAAATCCGAGTTTTTGGTTTAATTTTAAAAAAAGAACATACACTATATAATATGTGTGATTATTTTTTAAATAAAGGGAAAAGTGAATAAAAATGATACTGTCATTTTTGTGTTATTAAAACCAAAATCGAAAGATGTCAAAAAATAATTGATTTTGTGGAAAAATTTAACACTTAAAATTTTCTTATTAATAAATTACAGACTAATATTTAACTATATTTTTAACAGTCTTTGATTTACTAAAATTAAAGTTTTTGGTTGAGATACGCACATAGCCTCGTCTACAAGGCTAAATTTTTCTTATTAGTACTCCTTGCAAATGTAGAAATGAAACCAATAATTCGAATTGGTTAACTCCACACATTTTGAATAAATTTCAGAATTATAAGAAAGTCCAAATTAGAAGTGTTAAAAAAATGAATGAACAGTATCATTTTTATAAATATTCTCAAAAACGATTAAGATTAAATTCATAATGCCAGGTAAATAAACGAAAAACATTTTCAAACTACCTCTATCCAAATTAAAATACAAATATGCTTTTTATAAACATATTTAAAAATATAAAAAGCCAAAGCAAAAGGTATTAAAGATGTAGAAATAGTTTGAATGTAAAAGATTTAAATGGTACACATCGTCAAAGTGGCCCAAAGCGTACGCCCTACGGCGCCACAATTAAATGTACAATACTCGATCGACTTATCTACCTAAATACAAACTAACTACTAACAGTTCAGAAACAATAACAAGAAATAATACTACAAATAAGGATAATTAAGTGGTTAATATACAAACCGAAAATAGGCTTTTTACAGCTTCGGCAAGCCAAACAGATTGTTGGGAGTCGTAGTCGGAGACGATACCGGATTGTTAGACACTCCCAATCCAACCACTTGATTGTTCTTCGAATTCCTCATGAGCGGCTTGTGATGGCGGAACTCGTTGATGTGCTGCCATTGCCAACAAGTGCGGCAAAAGTACCGGAAACAATTCATATTCCTACAAAAATAGGGTCCCTGCTGAACTTGGCATATGGAGCACAGCGAATCCTCCAAGTACGGATCTACTTGAACCTGCAGAAACATTCCAAATGAATACTAAAAATCATCAATTATCTAATTACGTTACCTTTTTAATAAATTTGGCCGTTTTTATCTCGATAAAGGCCGCGTTTACGGCTTTGGTGTAGGATATCTGATTGTTGAATGTTACACGGCCGGAACCTATCGGGTATTTGTATTTATCGGTGTCGATGCCTGAAACATTTATAAATGACAAAGTTGAGTTTTCGACATGAACTATTAAATAACAAATTGATTCGATAAACCACTATAGCACCAGCCCTACTATAAACCACTATGGCACCAGCGCTACTATAATGAATATAACGAATTGATTCGATAAACCACTGTAGCACCAGTTCTACTGTAATGAAAATATTAAATTGATTCAATAAACCACTATAGCACCAGCGCTACTATAATGAAAATATCAAACTGATTCAATACACCTACTATAGGATCATACCTGCATATACAACACCATCGAAAAGATCGTTCATAATTTGCGCTAGTCCTTCCGCATTCAACATGCCGTGCAGCGCTCCCACAAACACAGTTTTACTCGGATCCAATTTTTGGGACGTCGATTTCGTGAAATTGGAATCGTTGATGATCCAAGGAATCACTTGTACCTAAACATTACTCATTTTACTCGATATTTTAACAATCACCAACAACCCAGATCATCAAGTTACTGTGCTTCTTACCTCTTTGGATTTCATTCGTTTCGAGCTAATGGTATAGTACCAATTCCCGCCGTCCGTGTAATCGTTCGTGCACGATTGCAGCAAAGCCTTCACGTTCTTCTCCGATTCGAAGATGATGTAAACGTACCCCTTGGGCTGGGAGGCGGCCTTGTCCTTACCCGGCCATTCGACGCGAATCGGTCCGAACGGTTTGAACGTCTGTATCAGCATCTGCTCGGTTATGTCCCAAGGACAACCGCCGAGGAACACTTTGCTCGAGTACCCGATCGGCTTGACGTTAGAGCGAGGCGGCAGGACGCCGCTCCACGTACACGTGGCGTCATACAGAGCTATTTACATTCGTCGTTTAATCGTACATTTGTGTAGAATTATCGAACAAACAGTACTTACAAGCTGCGGAACGATGGAAGCGAGCCGCCCTGTCTAGCTGGAGATTCTCCGGGATAAAATTCAAGTTCCACTTGTCTAGTATTTGCTGCAATTCCAAAAGTTAACGTTAGCTTATTCTAGCGTTAAATTACGGCGAAATTACCTGTACGTTGTTGTGCGAACAAGCGGACGGCAGCAAAGAGTTGAGTATGGCTGGACTGGCTGGCTGCTGTAGATACTTGAGAGTTTGGAAGGCTTGCAATTGCTGCAGATTGGTAATGTCCAAATCGTTGGAACCGTTGCAAAACAGATTCCTCGAGACGTTATCGTTCAAATTCAACGAATTCTACACAAACAACTCAATTTATCCGATACTACATATTAAAACCAATCACTTACGAATAACTCATTAACGTTTAGATCCGATTCTGGCGAATTACTCCTCGAGTAGTTCAGATGCTCGTGAAAGGTCGGGCTGTTGCTGCCGCAGCTATCGCTGAAATCGCCGTCGCTATAATAGATTTTACATTCGATTAACATTTGGATTTCGACTTACCTCAAGGACGTGCTTCTCAGCGACCGGGCGGAAAAGTAACTGGGCGATGTCGAGGTACAGGGACTGGAACCGGCGCTGCCCAGCGACACGTTTCTGTTGTATTGTAGGGCGCTAGGCGTGGAAATTACCGACGAATAATTGACGGTGTTCGATTGGAATTTCGAATCATCTAAATCTAACTGCGAATCGAAAAAAATATTAACCTTATTGAAGTTGCAGGAATTTATTAATAGGGGTGAATGTATGGAAACGCAGGAGAATGAAGTAGAGGTAAAAAAGAGAGCTTATGATCCGTACTTATATGTTTTCGTTTAAACATTATTAATAATTGCAAATAATTTGGTACAATAAATAAAATAATTTCGACTAATCGGACCATTACAGGTAGAAAGTACCCGCTGGATTCATAGCTGGTAAACTCTAATAGTCCATATTTATAAAAATGAAGCATTTACTTTGAAGTAAATGGTAAGAGAAAAAGGTTTTGCTCTGATCCATATTCATAATCTCCGGCTTTTTCCTTGGAAGGAAACGCTTCGGATAAATAAAGTAAATGGTACAGAGATTTTGTCAAACTAGTCGAAACTAGTATAAATGTTCTAATCAGTTCTAAATAATTCTGAAGCGTTCTAGATTAATCTATTCAGTCTAAAAAATTATAGACAGTTCTAAATGTTTCTGGAGCGTTCTAAATGGTTCTAAACAGTTCTAAATGGTTCTAGACAGTTTCTTAATGGTTCTAGACAGTTTCTTAATGGTTCTAGACAGTTCTAGATGATTCTGGAGCGATTCTAACTTGTTCTAGACAATTCTAATGCGTCCTCGAAGCAAAATCTATTTCTTTACCTATTTTTATGCATATGTTACTGGTAAAGTTAGATAAACGACTAAACCTAGGTTTACCCGGGTAAAATGCGAAATGCGGGTAAGGTAGGGTAGGGTGGGTTTCTTGTTGCATGTGGGGAAACCCAGGGCAAACCCTAACGGAACCCAAGAAACCCAAAAAGTCTCCACTACACTACCCTAGCTTGCCATATCCATGCTTCTAGGGTATTTCGGACTTTACTCACGTAAACCTAGGTTTAGTCGTTTATCTAGGTTTATCCGTAACATTAAATTGTACCTTGAAGCAATTCCTTCATTTTTATAAAAAGGCCTAATGAGCCTATTGTGGATTACAGCTCTGGATTTAATAGTCTTCTCATTTATTTCTGGTAGTTCTATACCTACCTCTTTAAATAATGAGAATTTAAAGTGTAATTTGTAAAAATTTATGTAGTTAGGATTTTAAATTCGAGGGGAGGAATAGCTAATTTCCAATATATGAGTATAAAGTAATGATAATTTATTATGATAAGATAATTTATTAGAAATGTAGAGGCTAAATTGGTAGATAATACTGGGGTCACAAATTTGAAAAGAATGAAAATTAAAAAAAAAAATAGCTTCTTAATAAAAAAATTTCGAAACATTCAAATCGGATAGTAAGAAGATAAGAATGAAATTTAGCGAGATATAAATTAGTGTATTGTTGAAATTGAACATGTTTCAATAAACAAAATTTATGTAAATATTCATCTTTTTTCGGCAATTTTAATGGGAAATTTACTTCTCGATAACGTCCATTGCACGATTATGAAAATGTTGTAAATTCGCTTAAACGACTCCATTAATGGACAAATTAAACTGAAATGTGATTTTGGCAAACGTCCTAATCGATTTACTAAATAAAGACAAAAATCATAAAATTTCTAAAATAGGGATATTCATTCAAAAGCCGGTGAATTATTCCCCAGAAGTTGGCAACAGACATAACAGTAGACTTTCGGGAGGAAATCAATAAATTGACACAATAAATCATTGAATTTCGAATTTTCATCGCAATTTTCATAATTTTTTTTAACAATAACAGCATTTATTGTTACAGCGAAAAGTTTTTCTCTTACCTGCAAACTGGGAAAACTGGGAGCATCCGGTGACGCGTAGGAATACATCTCTTTGGAATTGTTTCCGAAACCGAGCAATCCCCGCGGCGAATTCAATCCCAACAATTCCGATATGGACGACATGTTCTCACCTGCTGTTCGATATCGAAAGAACGCAATAAAAATTCGTTAAAATCGATTAAGTTAACGTTTAAAAAGTTTGGTCAAATTACTTATGCACTCTTGAACTTCCACTAAATTAATGAAATCGACGCGAATTGATTGTTAACGCGCAGTTTGTTAAGCGATTTTTGACAGGTGAAAAAGTACCAGCCTACTCGCTTTTTGTCTTCGACATTGTATTTTATCTTGTTTATGTGCTTTTTTACGAGGATGTCAAAATATTCTATTCCATTTCAAATGTATCGGGTGTCCCTAATAAATTTTACACATTAACAAGTTCTAATAAAATTTAAGTATTTGATTATAGTATTACAATTCAGCTAAATAGAAATTATTTTTAAAATACTATTATTTTAGCTGGAATTTTTCATCTTCGAAATTTCAAGCCTGTTTAAATCAAATACCATAGTAAGCGCTGGATGTTCGGGTGTGAGATTTTTAGTCCCGTGCAATTTAAAAGGGAGTAAAGTCCTGTAATTTTAACCAACTTAACCAGCAATAACAAAATACTAACTTTACCGCAAAGTTATACTCTAACTTCACACTTAACTTAAAGAGGTGAGTTTCACACCTGACTTATTTGTCCATATTTATGAAAATGAAGAATTTACTTTGAAGTAAATGGTACGAGGAAAAGGTTTTGCTCTGATCCATCTGAAACGCTTCGGATAATTAAAGTAAATAATGTACAGATTAGCGATTTCGTCAAATTAGTCGAAACGAGTCTAAATGTTTCTAAACAGTTCCAAATAATTCTGAAGCGTTCTAGATTGAACCAAACAGTTATAAATGATTCTAGACAGTTCTGGATGATTCTAGAGCGTTCTAGATTATTTTAGACAGTTCTAAACGATTCTAAACAGTTCTAAATAATTCTAGAGATTGATCTAGTCAATTCTAAATGATTCTAGGTAGATCTAGATGATTCTGGGGCGTTCTAGGTGGTTCTAAACAGTTCTAAATAATTCAGGATCTTCCTAGATTGTTCTAGACAGTTATAAAAGATTCTAGACACTTCTAAATGATTCGGGAGCGTTCTAAATGATCAAAACAGTTCTAAATAATTCTTGAGCGTTATAGATTGTTTTAGACAGTTTTAAATGATTCTAAGTAGTTCTAAATGATTCTGGAGCGTTCTATGTTGATGTAGACAGTTCTAAAAGATTCTAGAGGGTTTCAAATAATTCTGAAGCGTTCTAGATTGATCCAAACAGTTATAAATGATTCTAGACAGTTCTAGATTCTAAACAGTTTTAAATGATTCTGGAGCATTCAAGATTGATCTAGTCAGTTCTAAATGATTCTAAAGCGTTCTAGAGATTGATCTAGCCAGTTCTAGATGATTCTGGAGCGTTCTAAGTGGTTCTAAAAAATTCTGGAACGTTGTAGATTGATCTAGCCAGTTCTAAATGATTCTAGACACTTCTAGATGATTCTGGAACGTTCTACAATTGTAAACATTCTACAGTTGTAAATGATGCTGTAGCATTCTAAATGGTTCTAAGGAGTTTAAAACGATTTAAGACAGTTCTAGATGACTCTGGAGCTTTCTAAATGATTGTAAACAGTTGAATTTGAATTTAAACACATGAAAAAAAAAGTATTCAATACTTCTAGTGCCTATTGTAAAGGTGATAATTAGCGCGAAATTGGCCAGTTTGATATGGGTAATTTGAGACCTTTGAGTAAAATTCTTCACATTAACAACAATATATTTTATCCAAATAAATAAAAAAATTGGCCTCAATCAAAACTCAATTTTAACCAAGCACCATCTTCAATACTTTCTTTCCGAAACTGCAATTATTACAAACCGCAATTATCGGATAAGAAACGTTTTTCCTAAATGAAACCATCCGCTTTTCCTCGCCATATACCGGAGGTAACTCCGGCCTGACGAGAAAGCATAATCACATCGTAAGAACGTTACTTTTAATAAAACGCCAATAATCAACATTACTTCATAAAAGTAACAATAATAATTACGCAAAACGTTAATTAATTGGAGATATTTAGAAATTCTCGCTTGAAGATGGTACGATTCGGTTGAAATGATACAGGTATTAAACATTGTTAACCCAGTTAATAAAGGGGTCAAAACTTTTTCAACATCGAAGATACATACTTGGATAAATTCGCGTTAAAAGTTACATACGTAATGAAAAAATATATAATATGTAATATAGGAAAAATAAATATCGCTCGTTTTGATGGTATAAATATATAGTGAAAAGTTCACGAAAACTTACCTTTGTTCGCCGACAGCATTTCAGATTGATCCAATAACGAATTAATGGAATGCTTCTGAAGGATTTCAGCGTAACCGTGATTGAGGCAATCGGACTTTTGCAATGGATTCAACAACTACAACAAATTATAAGTTTCTAAAAGAAAATGCGTTGAAATCGAATTTGTCATTTTATTGCAATAATATGTAAGAGCTTATAAAGTCATTTTGGAACCATTTTTCCTTGTACCTACATTAGAGGTGCTTTAGGAACAAAATGTATCCTCTAAATCTTTTGGTGGACATCTAGAGAAACGGTAAGATTTTCTTTAGCCGATAAACACAAATATCAAATGTGGAATCGAGGCGTTTCCGCGAAAAAACGCCGCAAACACACGATATATGTGAGACCCAAGAACCGTAATAATCTAATGAAAAATTAATTAGCTCTTATTACGAACCAGTAAGTTTCGATGTAAATACGTATACGAGAAGATATTGTTCTGCGGAGTAGATCGGCCAACACAAATCATTCCATTATAGCGGTTTATAACGATATCACGGTCCACATAACTTTTCAGTTAAACGTGAATTATGGCGTTTCCTGCGTTCGATGGTTCTAAATTCGGGCGGAATCGAAGGTAACTCTTGTAATTCGAATTAAAAGAGCAACGTACCATCGATGTTAATGACTTTACCGTCGCGTTTTTGATAATTTTCATATTTTGTGATATGTATCTCAAAATACAGCAAATTTATAGAAAACAGAAGGGTTAATTTCCTTACAACTAATAGTATTTTTAGAGAGTACAACCCCGTAGATATTATTATCAAATTAACATATATAATATTGTTAATTCCATTTGATCCTTTGGTAAACTGGACTTTGGGTTTGATTTGATTTTATATTAATTACCCATATTGATGAAAATTTTGTATCTAATTTTTGACACCGAATGTACATACCTATTACGCTATACGATATTCTATTCAAAAGCTTTGATTGCAAAAATATCTAGAATTTTTTATTAAATAGGTAAATACAATCACCCCCCAAGAAAGGAAAAATGTAATTTAATATTAAAATTCTACAGCCTCATTGCAAGACGAATTTAAGAGATTTTAATTTAGTTATGGGTTTATTTTGAATGTTTTTATCGAAATAATTGATAGTAAAAAACAATAAAAATAACTCTAATTAGTACTTAAATGTCTTTGGGGTGCATTTGATGTTATTGCATCCAACCCAGCTAGTAATAAATTATCAAAATTAAACTATTAACTACAAGATAACCTACTTAAATTTACAGAACAGGTAGTTTTCCATGGTAAACATTTTTGTATCCATAAAAAATACCATTCTAGAATTCTTATAAATGAACGTTATTTTCAAAATTTCAAACCATCTCTCATATTAACACAAACTACAATAAATAAGCAACTTCACTTAAAAAATACAACAAATTTTTTATAAAGAAAATCTCTTACCTTTTGTAAAGCCGGCATCGTGGAAACTTAATTTTTAGGCACAATATTACCGATAAGTAAAAAAAGTCAATAGTTAAAATTCCAGAATTACCACTTTACATAAAAAACCGAAAATACATCACACAGCAAATTCCGGCCAAATTCAGACAATAGTGCAATATAAAATATAAAGACAAAAAGCACATGCCGCAGGCGAATTTCCTTTCGATGAAGAGGGAGAAGAGCAGCGCAAGATTGGCCAATTCGGTTTTAGGTAGGGGAAAAACGCACGTGTATTGTTGGCCTTTTCTTTTGCCTATCGCCAACTAACTTCGAGGGTAATCAACAATGCGCAAAAAATAGTAGGAAAACACGCAAAACCGCTTTTTATGCTTTAACTGCTACTCGAATACAGAGATAAAATTGTGTTACTATGACAAATTTCGACCAATTAGATTTAAAATATCACCCGATTTTGGATTAAATTAAAACGAAATATTTAAATCTATTCAATTAATGTTTTTAAAGCTAGTCGAGTAATTAATGAGGATTCTCTGGCTCGTTTTAAAAATATCCAGACGGTTATTGCGAAATAGAACATAGAAAAATTGTATTGGGAAAGTTTTTTGTTGATATCTTAAGGGCTTTTTGAGATACAATACAGGGTGTCCCAAGACGAGTATCTGTATATAGGAAACTACTTATCCGATATATGTATTTTAACAGTTTAGACATCTTTGAGGAAATCCTCGTAAAAAAATTACATACATATGTATAAGGGTCTGCATCGGTAAAATTTTTCAAAAAAAAATTAACTCAAAAAAAACGAATTTTTGTAAAAGGTGTTTTAGACAAAAGTACCCTAAAATTTTACGTAGATTTTGAAAATATATTAATATACAGGGTGTTCCATTTGAAGAAATAACAGAGTTGATGTCTACTTCCGGCATATGCCGAAGTGGTGCGACTGTCAAAATATTATTAAGAGGTTCATCTTATTGCATAACATATGTATACCAAATATTATTAAAATCGGATAAGTAGTTTCCAATATACAGATAATTTAAGCTCGTCGTGACAGTAGTTTCGTATATACGGATAGTTTTAACTCGTCGTGGGACATCCTGTATATTCATAAAGTGTTTTCTATGTCTATTCATATAAGTTTTCTTAAGGGCGCCACTTCAAGGTATTTTTATGGGTAAACAGGTTTAGTATTTCTAATAAGATTCAAATTTGACTTCATCAATTGCTTCTATTTTTGATAACAGAATTAATAAAAAATGGTCCTCCCAATGAAGATTGAAATTACCTTTCAAATGAGGTATCTTAAGCCTACCTTTCAAATTTGAAAGTATAGAGGTGGTAAGTCTCATACTAAGGCTTTACGAGCACTTTAATGGCAATTTGTAAAACCCTACTTTTATCTTTTCAAATTGCAGGGAAAAGAGAATTTAAAAAAGTTTGTTTGTTTTTTTGTAAAGTGTAATCAAACACGGAACATCTTGGTTAAACTATTCTCAACCCGTTTACTGTGGAGAAATTTTACCAACATTCGGAATAGTTATATATTACCCAACTAATTATGAATTTGGGGGTGTTCTTTAAATGTTACAAAAATACACATTGCCAAATTTACAGATTTTCCCTCGCTTCTTGACAAAAGAAATACAATAAATTCTGACACCACCTCTTGTTAAAATTAAAATACAGATTTAATCAACTTAAATAACATTCTGTTTTATTACAAATCGCTCTATAATTTTTACAAGAAATTCAAAAAGTACACGAGCTTCGCAAAGCTCATAGAATACAAGCGATAGACTGGAATATTAAAAACATAATCAAATAAAATTGCGTTAGACTCTAATACCATTAAAATAAAAACTATAATTATTCTTTAACCATTCCACTCACATCGACCATATCGACCTCTATGCTCATATCCGATATTTGATTATTATCGCTCTCGATCACGGATATAGCATCTTCGGCGATACTACTAGAAATCGTAGATTCTAATACCCTGGGTTCCACACTGAAAGCTGGTATATCGACTGGGCAATCTGCAACAGAAATCCCCTAATTAGTTGTTGATCTATTTTCGATTTAGACGAATAATTTTACCTGGATACGGTGGTTCAGCCTCGGTCAGTTGTTCCATTATGTAATTCAACATAGTCGTACTAAAAGTATCGTCCCTTTTCAAGCCCAGAGCCTTGTGGAACCATTGCACCGCCTCCTCGTAGTTATCTATTAGCACATACACATACGCGATTGATGAGTAGATACCAGCAGATTGAGGAGTCAGTAGAAGGGCCTAATCAGACAAATTTACAAATCATTAATTCAATCTACTGTTGATGCAAAACAACAAATATCAATGTACGTCACTACTGTCGTCATACTTGCCGAACATTGTGCCCAACTTTTAAAAATAAATACACAAAATAGGTGAGCTTAATACCTGCAGAATTTAATTTAATATTAACAAGGGATGATAGAAAATGTTAAAAAGCATAATGATTTTGTTTGGGGGACTTCTTTTGACGTTTTTTGAGGCTTGAACGAGCAACCCCCTAAGAGGTTTCAACACCTCAAAATTGAATAGGGGAGAGGGGTTGAGTGATACTTCATTTGAAAGGTATTGGAAGCCTCTTTACAACGGTGTATGAAAAACGTAATTTTGATGAACCGTTTTCGCCAAAATTGTCAATGGAGGACAATTTGAACATTTGAAATAAAAACACAGATTTATTTTTTTTGCATGAAAAACAATTATTTTTTTTAAGAATGTGATTTTTTTTTAAGTTTGTAAAAAGAGCTTAATAAAAATGGACTTGTACATTGTAAAAATAACCAAAATATTTTAGTGTTAAAATATTAAAAAAATACATTATTTAAAATAATAATTCAGATTCAGAAGTTTTTTCAGAAATTTCACTATGTACTCTTTTAAGGGCCAATTGTACAGTTGTATTAAAAAAAATACAAGTAATAGAAAGTGACATTAACGTCATCTTATTTGTGTAAAACCGGCTCGGATTATTAGAGCTTATCAAATGTCAAAACTTGTCAAAAATAAATAATTTAAGTATCATTGGTCATTATTTCGTTTAGTTGACTCCCAACGCCAATGATGAAAATATGACATTTGATAAACTACAATATTTCTAGCCGGTTTTACGCAAATGGGATGACGTTAATGTCTCTTTCTATTACTTGTAGCCATTTTTTTAATACAACTGTACACTAAAATTTTACTTTACTCGCACACTACTAAATAGGTATATTTCAAATGATAAAGGAATTTAATGATTAATTATAGTGAGCCCCTGAATACGTCCGCCGTTTAGAAACGTTAAACAGGTACCCCTAATTTTCAATTAAAGTTTGGCAACACTGCCTATCTGTGACGTAGTAAACTATAGGTGACATGCATTGATATTTGTCTTGCACCGACTGTATTACTAATTGTACCTGATTGTGGAAATGCAATGCTTCATCGTATTTTTTCAGTTTTCTGCAAGTGTGGCCCAAATTGTTCAATAAAGGACTCCACCTCTGCGGAATGATGCCCTTTCTGATCCTCTTCACTCGTTCTAGAGCTTTTCGAAATTGCTCATCTGCTGCTACATAACTGTAATTAAAACATCCAATCAAATTACCGTAATTTTCTGTTCAATTCAGAGTACACTTACTCTAAATTTTGAAAAGCTATGACGCCCTTTTCGTGCATTATAAAAGGATCATCAGGCGCAATGGTTTGGGCCTGTTTGAAAAACTTATCCGCCAATCTGACATTGTTCGTCAAGCCGCATTCCAAACCAATGTATAAAAGAGGCAAATGGCATCTAAAATCGCAAATAAACGTTAATCAAGTTGCGCTACTTCAAAAACTAATCCTCGTTACCCTTTCATCAGCTGCGATGCTTTGAAGTAAGCGGCCATGGCTTGATCGTGTTCGTTTTCGATGGCAAACGAATGTCCATATGCCAGCCAAGCCGGTCCGAATAGCCTATCGAGACAAGTCGCTTTCGCTAAATACCTTCGAGCCAAATCACTTTTACCTATTATGTAGTAATAACAACCTACAGCAAACCAAGAGATCGCCAAATTCGGATACAAATCCACCAAGTTGTGGGCCAACGAAAACAATTCTGAAACAAGACAATGCATTATGGAAAGGTGTATTACAAAATTAAATTGTACTCACTGTTGCTTTGTTTAAGTTCAACTTGGCAGGATATGTGTATTGGTAAGCAAGCGTCGTGGTAAGGGTCCACTTTTAATATCGTTTCGGTTAAAGAATTACATCCTTGGTAATCACAATTGTAATACAGCCTTTCGGCTTCGGCCACTTGCAAGTCCAGGCTACTACCTAACTTGGTTAAAATGGAATTTTCGGGACCTTCTACTTGCATTTGTCGACTGTCGTCTTCTTGCATCTCTAGCTTGGATTTTCTCAGGTTACGATCGTTATTTCTCGTCACGTTTGGCGTGCTACCCATAGTCGGGGATAGTATGTCGAAATTAATATTTTGTATAACGGGGTTCGGTGTGAAGTTCATGATATCTATCGATGCGTTATTTATGGCCGATATGTTGTCGCACATCATTTTCATTTCGTTCGGATTCGAGATTGTGTGCGTGTGGTATTTTTTCAGTTTCGATTCGTATAGTAGCCTTAGAATTTGGGCTTCTTCTTCCGAGCATTGCTCGTTGATGGGCAGCGATTGTAATAACTCGGTCTCTAAAAATAAATACACCAAAGTAAATAGTGATTTTGATTATTGTGGTAATTATACCTTCAGAAAATGTTAGCATTTGATACTTTATTAGCGAATCGAAAGCTTCGAAACAGTGCACATCGAAATGGAGGGCTTGCTTATAACAATCGGCCGCTAATCCTCGGTTATCCATACCCTCGAGTATTTTTCCTTTCAGTAACAGCAAAGAGCATAGGGTCGACTAAAAAAACAATTATTACAAAAAATAAATCTCATTTGAACAAACTATGTACCTACTTACATTTTTGGAATAACCTGATGTTGAATTTATGCTCGAGTCGAAATTATTGAGTACTTTTAGAGCTTCGTTTAGCTCATTAGCTTCAAAAAGACAACGGGCAGTTAAACAGGCGCATTGCATATTAGCCTAAAAGTGTTCATTAGCATTTAATATCTAACTAATTATCGTTTTTCATTATTTTACCTTCTCTAGATGTTCTAATTTCATTAAGTGAGCACCCCTGTGATACTGTTTTAAAAGATACATGCATTGAACGAGGGTATAAACATCGTTAGAATTTTTTGTAATTGCTGCAACTTTATCTGCCCAAAATAAAGCGGTTGTATACATATGCTAAAAAGTTGATAAATAAACCGAAGAAATCATTTCACTACGAACTACTTACTGAGTCCATGTAATTTTGGACTAATTTCCTGTAATTTTCTACAAGCAAATTGGTTTTATCGCTTTTCTTTTTATCCATTTCCTTAAAATTGTTTTACGTTAGAGAAACAATATTTTCCAACGAAGTGTAATTAAAACGAAATACAACTAAAACGATGGTAAATTAGAGATATTTCAGCAACCTTCCTAATTCTTTCTTCGATGATATATTATAAAAATATATATTCTTTGTTAAATAAAAATTAAAAAGCCGTTTCAAATTTGTTTTTTTAGGTTAGTTAGATAAATGTCAATGTCAGTGTCATGTGTCAAGTCGACTTTTTCTTCTTCTTCTTCTTCTTCTTCTTTTTTTAATGGCCTGCAATCCAGTCCTTTTGTCAGCACATTTTTTCATTAATATTCCCGTTTGTCTCACAAACCATACAATCTGCGGTCAAAAATAAGGAAAGTTCATGTTTACTTCCCTATACCTAAACCTAGATTTGAAGATATTAAAAATTTTACATAAAACTTACATTTCTGCCTTTCTTAAATAACTCGATTTTACATGTTGGCCATGTATAATATCGTACAAGTACCAAAATAATCAATTAATCAAGAAGAATTTATAGAGCATGTTAATTTTCAACTGTACTTTTTTAATTTATTAAATATCTCATTTATTTTCTTATTAGGCAATAGGATAAATTACTTGGCCAATCAACTTTGCATTTTCGAATAATCGGCCAGTCGTTTATAATGATCCAATTGAAAATAAATGATAAGAATAAAATGTTGATATTTATTCTTAATTTTTTAATAATTATATTTTTTCATATAGGTTTTAATGAATTCAACTTTTTGGCTATTTTGGTGAATTTTTGTACCCCAATCTTTGAAATTTAATTTTTTAAAACTTTTAAAATTTTGTCAATGTACTTAAAGATTTTAATCATATAATTTTGTTAATCCTGTACAAGGAAATGGATTATATACATACAAGTATAACATTTACACACACATACATATAATTTATTTTTAATATTATCAACACAGTAACAATGTAAAATATGCACGACGAATTTTCTTTTATAAACATTCACAATTACTCTATTACAACACCGCTTTCAATATAAACATATAACCGACTCGCCCTATTCGCCGATTATAATTCAATTATCTCTGATGCTATTGAAAATATCACAAAGTTTATTTGTTTTTTTGTCGTTTAACAATCACTCAACTACTTATAATTCGGTGATTTTGATTTTTTTCCGCGACCGATCCGACCACTTCCTGCTCTTCAAGCTCTCCGAATCGGCGCTGTTCGTTCTGCGGACCGGAGCTTGATCCTGCAGCGGGTTTCCGTTACGATACCGCTGCTCTTTGTCCCTGGGGCTGGTGACTCGGATTTTAATTGTTCCATTACCACCTGAAATCGATACGCACCATTAAATTCTTGAATAGTGGGAATTGCCTTCCTGTTAAATATTTAACGACGAACCACACACAAACATTCTTCGGAGTCATAATTCAACGAACTTTTTACTTATTATCCAGCTGCTACACTATAGCCAAAGGCATATTTATCATATTTTTTTATTAGCTATGTAGGTAGGTATGAGTAGAGTAAGTGCGCCAAATATGGACCGGTCTTATAATATGGACCAACGGCATTTTAAGAAAAAGGTTCTTTATATCGAGTAAATGATCATCACACACTAAGCATCACTCCTCCCTTGATCCATCTGTCGCTTGCAGTGATCCAGGATGTACGCATTTATTTACGACAGCCTTTTTTAGTTTAGTTTTTTTCTACAACGCGTCATCTAATTTTTTTAGCAAACTTTGAAGTTTTTAAATCCAAAAAATACTATTTTATGTGAAAGTGGATAAGACCACGAGGAAAGTGAGTCATGTTGCAATTAATTGTATTAAGTTTTAATATTCTATAATATTCCAATTTTCTGAAAAAAAAAATCTCAAAATGAGTAAGTATCACTATATGGAGCAGTGGGATAAAAAAGCAATGGCGGAGGCAATTAAAAATGCACGAGAAAATAAAATGGGCTTTTTGAATGCTTCCAAAACATCTTAAATAAATCACTTAATGATATCACCACCCAAAAACTTGGGAAACAATCAACATTACCGAGTTAATTGGAAGATGAATTAGTCAATTATATTCTAGAAATGGAAAAATCTGGATGTGGTCCATATTATGTTTACTTTCTGAAAGATCATAAAAATGATATACTTTAGAAAATGTCAAATTTATTTATTTCATATATAATTTATTTATTTCAAAGATTTTTTTTTTGGAGAATTTTATTATTGAGTTTTTTTTGAGTGGTTAAAGAATTGTTTAATATAAATAAAGCTGATCAAAATTTAAAATTCGACATTTTACTTAGAAAAGTGCTTATGGTGGTCCATATATGGCGCACTTCCTCTACAGTTTATCTCGTGAAAAAAAAACTAAAATAAATAAAATAAAAAAAAAACTTATGACTTAGGTACTCATCTTATCCGCTTCGCTTTAGAAGCCTTTTGATTCTACAATAAAACGCTTGAACGATTTTTATGCAGATACAGTTTTCAATCATTAAGGAAGCTTGTGCGTACAGTTTTCTCGTTTACAAAATACTTCAAGTTTCCAGACCTTATGAATATACGACATAAATAGGTATTTATAAACTATACCTGATTTTGAAAGCGACTGAAATTGTCGGTCGTTGAAATGCTGCGATTCTTCTGTGTTTTTCCTGCGGGCTCTGCAAGTTAACCCGGCGCACACGGCTGATTTGAAGTATTTGCGAAACCTATACACAAAGTTTATCATCTCAACTAATGTTTGAAAGATCAGGTCCGATTTACCTTCCATTCATCCAATAATAGATGAGCGGGTTGACCATGGCGTTCGACATGGCGAACCAGTAGAATCCCAGATAGACGTGCTGGGTGTATTTTTTGAAGAGAATATTCGTGTCGAAGTAGACGTAGATGAAATAGCCGTGATAGGGGAGCCAGCAGACGCCGAAAATCACGACGATCGAGACGAACATTTTCACCACCTACAGGAACAATTCGATCATCGTTCAAAGTCCCCTAATTGAAATAGCTAGTTTACTGCGGGAGATAAGAAATTGAATACCGAAGATATTATCAATCCTCTTTACGTCTTCCTGCTGTAATTTATAGCCGAATGGGGCTATGAATACTTAAGTGGCAAACTTTTCGACGGGCCGTGAAATAAAAATATAAAAATCGAGCGAGCAGGAACTGAAATTTACTGCAATTTTCTGCTGCGCCTGAAACGTATCGATGCGAAGTATATTTCATAAATTCTTAATTTGATTGCGATAGATACTTTTTACCAAAAAAATTCTTTAGACTTGAAAAAAGTACGGATTTATCGTCAATTTTTAATAGGAATGAATAGGATTTTTCATCAAAAGAAATCCTGTTGATTAATGTATCATAAAATAAACTTTTACATACATATAGAAAAAATTGGAATTAAATTCGTGGACAGATTTTTAATACACGCGGCCATTTTAAAATTCTTTAATTAAAGATACCATACAAAACATACACAAGCAATTGCGATTTTTCTTCCGATCTGATGATTGGACTAGATTCACAGTAACAGACCTATGTAGAAATGTAGCTTAAGAATCGTAAATTATTGTGCAATACAAATTTTTTCTATATCTGTACATGTTTTTTACCAAACGGAACTTACTTTCAGGACGCTCTAGTAAATATATTATAAGGATTGTTTACTGGCAATATAGGGTCCTAATTAGTAAAATTTCCATCGCATTTTTACCGAAATAACGTATTTACCGTTTATTCGCAAATAATACTTAAAATCCAATATAAACTCCGCACGGCGATGTTTATCCTTGAGGGTATTGTTGGGAGCCTTTAGAAATAATAGGCGTGTGTTGACAGGGCACCGGAAAACTCCGTTTCAATTCGTTATGCCGAATTAAACTTACCCTTCGCTTCGATTTTATTGCGTCAATTTGCCGTTGGGTTTTTTCGCCGATCGAACGGGATCCCCAGAGTACGGAGCCCATGATAGTGTAGCAAATCAACATCAGAACCATCGGAATGATGTACGTAATGAGCAAGAAGATCATTTGATACCTACAATTAAAATACATGATTTTATTGCGACCAATAGTTGTGAAGTTTCATCAAATCGTAATGACGGCGAAACTATACACATAGCGACTTTAACCGCATTTTTATCTCGCTCACGATAACGAATTTAATTATGGCGAACAATGAGGACGGTCTTCTCTTATCGTCTCTCTTTCGATCTGTTGCTGACGTTTTGCGGAATCTCGTTGGAGAACAACGCTTTATATATCGATAAATTACGTTGTTCTATACTAGAGTTTGGACAGACTCGACGAAATTATCTTTTTAACTAAACGCGCGTTGGCGATTTATTATTATGAAACATTAATTGGATGTAAATTTTTAGTAGATTTAACTCGAATTGTGCTGTTAATGGTCGATTAGAGTGAATAACTCCGATGAGCGTATTCGAGTAATTCAATTCTCTCCCTCATTGCGTCGCCGAATTGCTTAATGAAACCTGCAAAAAACGGAATTCGATACATTTTTACGAAGATTTATTCGATTTATTCCCGACGTGTTACGCAAGCATAGCGGATATAGAGAGTAGTTCGAGTAGCTATTCGAAATGCTCCGGAAGGATGCAAATATATTGGATTACATTAAAATTCCGCTTCTCGTCGACTCCGGGTAGTTCGTGTAGCAACAATAGAAAAAAGAGCCGGAGACTTGAAAGGGAGTTAGAACAGAATTAAAGTGAATATAACAAATTTCGCATGCTGAGACGCGACTTACCATAAATCATACGTGGATCCATAAAGCTTTTCATCCGGCCACACCAGTATGCAACCTGTTCTCGGCTTATCTTTCGCACTGAAAAATGATTACTAAAATTTAATAAACGCCCTTAAATTAACGCCCGGCTACCCAATAAATTTTATTCTATGCTAAGCGCAGTTTTTCCAATGTGGCGCGAAAATACGGACACAATAAAAACATTTTTTTTGCGGAAATTCATCGATATTGGAAGAAAAACTGCACATACAAAAGCTCTGTAAATCTTTTCAAATCGTTCTCGTATAGTTTACTTACGGATATGTCACTGTTCTGGAATAGAGCAAACACGGTATAGCAAGCATCAAACTGGCTGTCCAAATAAAAGTGATTGTGAAAATTGACGAGGATTTCGACATTCGGGGCTGCAGCGGATATACAATAGCCAAGTATCTGAAAATTTAACAAGAGTACAAATAATACACTGGAAATAAAAGCTGACCTATTTGAACACTACAATATCCGAAACATTTAGCAGTCAACTCGTTTATAATCAAGTTAAGGTCGATTGTAGAAAATTTATGACCATATTTTTTTGTGGAAGTTCGTCGAAGCAAGTAAAATACTAATTTTATCTGCGTAACATTCTTATTTTCCGAACAACTTTCCAACTTCAATGTCGTTTAAAGTTTCAAATTAACTCCTGGCGAGAAGGAAGTCAAAAAGGAAGTTAGAAAGACCTCCCTGCGGGTTGATTAAATTGTGCAAAGTGAGCGAATGCAGGATTAGTTCACTTCAGTAATCGATTGATTGTTTTGATAGTGTTTTTCTTGAATTGTACATAATTCTGTGAATCTATGTCAAACAGAAACTACAGATTTTATGTCTCGTCAATGTTTCAAATTAAATCTATTTGTGGAGTTGTTCAAACACTTTTCCATTATTACATGAACCATTATAGATTGAACTTCTCTAAGAACTCTCTAAGAAATTTCTTATTGGTATCTAAATTTAATTACAAATTTCATATTCAGCACACTATCTTCAATTAATGAATTTCTTCCTTCATTGTATGATCTGCATAATTTTAAGGGATTAATTTTCACGTCTGCAAGAGATTCAAGTGCCTAATTACAGTACATCAACAATTCGTTAATACAAAATCACTGTGCAGTAAGGGAAGCCCTTTAAGCTGAGCGCTTCGCGAAATTGCTCGCTTAAACATCGCTCGGTCCTCGGGCATGAGACTCGAAGGTTATTCGAAGAGCGCCGGAATCGGTGAGTTATCGCGTCGAAATTACGATGGTGCGAAAAAGGAAGGGGCGTCGAATGGACACCGAAAGTCCTGAATATTACGTGCATTGGAAAGAGCCCGGGTTTAGAAACTTTAAAAGGGGCTTAAAAGGACTGTAGTGAAGGTATGGTAATGACTTCGGTTTATACAACTAGTTTAAGCTTAGCATAAAGATAGTTGGGTATACTGGAAGGAGATTTTAGAAACCTTATGATTAGTACTGTTTGTTTTCAAATAATTCTGAATGTATTTTCCAAACTTGTTGAGGCATTCATAAAAGTTTGCCGTGGATTATTAGATATAATCCAGTTCATACGGAAAATAACGGTTCATTAAACATCAGCAGAAGAACAAAATTCAACCCGGAATTCGCTAATGTTATTATCGTTAGTTTCTTTTTATATTTACAAGAGACTGAATGCCGTCCGCATTGTTAAATTGTTTCAGCGAGCACGAGCATTCGGAATTCGAGGGGGGAAGAAACCGCGAAAATGGTTTTCCCGTAGAATATCGCATGCACTTAAGAGGATCTGTCGCATCTATTTTCCTTTTGACTGAAATCGCACTATTTTAGCGCCGTTTCGATTCCACTTGCTTCCCCGGCCTAATCGGATTGCTAAATTTATAATGCTGCTATCTTTGGGGGCTAAAAAATTGAGCTCATTCTAATTTCAAACGGATTTCGTGCTCGGAAATACCTTTTTACATCAAGGTAATCTTCAGACGCCCTATACGCTGTAAGTAGTAACATTTAACCTTGTTAAAAGGTTAAATTACAATTACAATAATTCGAATAGATATTCTATATACAGAAATTCGGTTTCCAGAAGTTCTAAAGGTAATTAGCGAACTTGTTGTTTTGATAATTGGGCTCTATTATGAATAGAGCGTTTCCAGATCTAATGAAAGGATCTTGCCGTATATCTAACCATACTGTAACACGCTTTCCTTAGAAACGTTGGTTCGTATTATTGCAGTATCTCACGAACCTTCTTACAATCATTTTCAATAACCCAACATCAAAATAATTTATGAAAAATCACTAATACCAACCTGTCGCATGAAATTCCCGTCAATGTGAAAACGCTTGCGGCAACCGTAGCATTTGCCATAAAATTGCTAATCGTGCAGTACCAACTACCGAACGGCCAATTTCTGAAAATGATACGAAAATATTAAATTTTACAACCTCTAATTTTATTGCGAAACAATAAAATAATACGACCAGTAACGGCATCATTGATTTGTTAAACCTACAGCTAAAACTTGACATTATAGCAGCTAAATCTAAACAACTTGGATCTAGCTTGAACTACACTTCTTGTTATTGTCAATATACAATTTTTTCTTGTCGCTTGTAAATTAGCGCAATTTTTAAAATACAATGGAGGATGATTTTGGAAATGCATTTTCTTCGAACGAAGAAATTACATCGGAACCAGTAAATATGTTTGTTACGGACGAAAGCAATGAAAGTAACGCCGGTGGGGAATACGAACTAGCCGATCTGGAAATTGGCGGAGAGGAAGCTGAAGAATTCGATGGAGAATTCCAAGAAGAAGGTATATTAGATTACACAATATTTTTTGTTCAGTTAAGTTCGAAGCTAGAATATAGATTACCATGCATTGCAATTGTAACCCCTAACAGTCACTCTTTATCGCTAATGATAGAGGAAGGAATAAAGAGAATGTAAATGTAGACATATATTTATTCCAAATTATCTTCTGAAATGTTATTAACACTAAAGTATAATTTCCAATTTTGTTAAATTTATTATTAATGATTTCAGCGAAGATGAACTTAGTACTACCAGAAGACCAGCTAGTAGCAGAAAAACCTACTATGGAGGATTATATTCAGTACGAGTTGGCCGGAAATCTAGAACGGCAAATTAGCGGGGATTTCCAAAGGCTAACGTATCCTCTGAAACCGTTAAAAATGGAGGTGTACCACGAGGAAAGCGTGACCTCCGTCCGCACCCCTTCCATCACTACAATGGTCACCAAACGCTCAGCCCCAGCCCCAACCGCCGATGCTGATGGTTCCGTCGACCAATACAGGAAATCTCTCATCGCCAGATGCACGGAGCTTCAAAGGCAGCGGCTCGCCTGTCAAATTCGCAACAGATTGCTGCAGTCGCAAATCGCCAATTACTACAAACGCAGGAAAATGGAGTATTGCCTCATCGAATACGGCAACATGGATGAGCTTAAGATAACGTACAAAAACAAACTGAACGAATTGGCCGCGTACAATCGCAAATCCGGCGCGCAACAGGCGAATTTGAACAAAGAACTAGAATTATTGAGGTCAATACACAGAAGCAAGGAAAACTTCGTGAACAAAACGATGAACGAATTGCACGAGCTGGTAACTAAAGTCGGCCACGGTTTGATCTACGCGAAAACCGGAAAAGTCCTCACCGACAAACTGATCGAAACCTACATACACAGGCGAACAATCCAAACCGCGGATCTCTTCCATCTGCGATTCCAGTACATCTCGTTAAAAGAGCAGATAATCGAAAAGGAGGAGATGCTCCGCAATGTCAGTTTCATCACCGAGAATTTGAGTCTGCAGAAGTACGACGTGCTGCAGGAGCTCAACAAGAACTACAAGAGCAAAAAAGAGGAGCTGAACGTGTTGCTGACGTTGGAGAAGGAATCGCTGAACGAGAAGCAGCTGATCGTGGCCAATATGAGGGAGAAACTGTCCAACCTTAACGATGATCTTATCTATCTGGTCGATTCCCATGATCTATCGACTAGACAGCTCGTCAAATCCCGCAAGGAGGTGAATACAATCAAATTGGATCGGAACAAGTACCGTTCGATGATCCAAAATCTAAAAATCGAGTCGGGACTCATGATGTGTCCGGATTTGTTGAGCGATATGGAGATATCTATCGAGGAACAACAGCGTTTGAAGAGCACGCTGACCACTTTGGTGACCGAGTACAAAAAGGCCGTAAGGCAAACAAAGAACGTCCGAAAGGTTATGGAAACCATGATTCAACAGAGAAAACAACGACTTCATGAAAATATTTTGCACCGAACGAAAATTCCAAGAACTCCCAGTCTTAATGTAACAGTTAAGAAAATTTAATGAAGAATTAGTTACATAATAAACATATTTTTAATATTTTTATAATAGGTAATTTTACAGAAATAAAATTATATTTACCCCTACTTATGCATTTCAATTAAATTAAATAAATTAGGAAACTAAATTAAGAAATAAATTAACTATGCTGTTAATAAAGTTTGTCCGTTTTAAAATGAAACTGATGTCACATCAGGCCAGCATGTTACAACGTTGCCCGGTTGTAATTAAAATCCTTTATATCACAGGTAAGGTACATTTAATTTAAGGTTATGTTTACCTTCAACGTTTATAAATTAAAAAAAGTGACAATTTGAAGTATTTAAATATGAAAAAGAACACCGGGAGGAGATACAAATTCGCGAGTATTAATTTGACTAAATATTATAATATATACACACGAAAATTACACGAAAAACTCACGAAAAACTCATAGGGAATGCAGGAGAAACTGGTCTAGAATCATTTAGAACTGCCTGGAATCATTTAAAACGCTCCAGAATCATTAACAACTCTAGAGAATCCATTAGAACGCTCCAGAATTATTTAGAACTATCTAGAATCATTTAGAACGGTCCAAAACCGTAAATAACGCTCCAGAACTATTTATAACTCTCTATAACCATTTAGAACGCTCCAAAACCATTTAAAAAGCTCCAGAACAATTAAGAACTGTCTAGAATCATTTAGAAAGCTCCAGACGAAGACAAAAATCGCTGGGAAAGTCAAAAAAACCACAAATTGTAGTCAAAATGTGTCAAATAACAAAGAGCGGAATTTCGAGAGTAACAATATGGCAAGAACGCATCGGCAAATCAACCGCCCTGGGTAAAATTCCCCTAGTCAAATGCCAGAATTACCATTGGCACTAGGGAAATTTTGAACTGCGCGGAAATTACTAAAAATTACGTCATTGTCATTTTAAAATGTGCGAACTTTATATTTGTATTGAATAGTTCGGTTCTAATAAAATTGTTTCCTACTAATGATTTCTTCAATTCAATTAAAATAGTACATTTGTGCGAATGGCCCGAAAACAGGATTTCCGGAACGTGTATTGTGTCGGAAAGCAGCGATGAAAATTTCACAATAACTGTTACCAATCCATCTAAATTAATCTTTAAAGCTCCTTTCTCGTTTGCTGCGAGAAGTTAAATTTATCGAATAACTGTATTTGCTCTACTTGCTCTATTTTCCGATGGTTCGAAATCCGGAATAAATGAGAGGAAGAGCGAATGTCGCAATCGGCTTGTTTTAAATGAGAAATTCCATCAAATTCAATTATGTATGGATATTAGCTTACTGATTGGGTACAGAAATATCCCAATGACTTGTAGAAAACGTGTTTAAAACGAAATGGTTTTCCATTTCGTCAATTTATTGGAGCAAAAAATAATATTTACGAATACACTCTCAATTAATTTTCCTGAATAAATAAGGGAATGAAAGTGAAATAAAAGGGGATTTGGATTGCTCAATTTTGCAAAGAGGAACTTGAAAAACCACAAATACACGAATACATTATTTACATAGGTGCTCACTGTTGACATTTGCATGTTTCAATTCTCTTAGTTCAAACAAAGAAGAGTAAATAGAAATTAAATAGGATTGTTTGAGGGATTAGCTTAATTAGCTTTAGAAGCAAAAAAATACATTTATTTCCGAATTTAATTTGTACAGCCATTACAAGATAAAAAATATGTGATTTTCACAATACAGTGAGATCGTTGTCTCAGGATGTTAAAGATCCAAACTTTTTATCCCTCCAACTTTTATCAATACAAATGTACAAAATGTATTATTTAACTCTTTTAATAAGCGCTTCTAAACTCTCCCTTTATTTGCAGATATGCCCTTTCAGATGCTGGTACAAACGTCGGGAAACTTTTTCAAAAGAAAGTTGGCGCAACTCCAGTAAGACGAAGTGATTTGTGATAGTAAAATGGTCGGTCACAATGTTATTTTCTGCAGCATGTGACAATAGAAAAGTTTCATTAAATTTTCTAGGATAAAAAAGTCGTCCGTTCGAAGATAATTCAATTATTTAGCGCGATAAAAGGGTTAAATTAACATTGTCTTCTTCTTAAGTTACATTAGCCATGGCCCTGAAGAATTGGTATTAATTGGATCAATTTGTTTGTTCACTTAGAAATTTGCGATTCTGGAGAAAAAATCAATACTGTGTATTTTATTAAAAAGGAATCAGATAGCTACAAATAAGTTGAATTCATTCTCTTGTGGATTAAATTTAAAGAAAATCACTTTTGAATGGACATGTTTTCTAAATGAAACATCTATAAATAATTTCTAATTCCCCGATTATGTCTGATGCAATTGCTTATTATAGCTGATGCTCTGGTATATTTTGCTTCATTAGGTTTTAATAAATTCGAGATTTTATAAGAAGATAAGGGTAATTTTCCAAACAAAATCATTATTTTTCTTTCTCCGTATCTCTACACACAATACAACTCACTTGATTGCGTACATTTCTGATATTTGATAACCATTCCGGATTTAAGTGGCTTATACACCGATCGGAGATACATATAATTGAATAATTAGAGATTACATTCCAAATGATTAATAGGTGGAAGATCGTATAACGTATAAATACAAACAGTTTATCTTACGCGAGAATTCATTCAATATTATTCGCACATTTCGATAAAAATGTCGATCGAAATTAGCGACTCGCAGCGACAACTCATCGATAAAATCGCGAAAAAGAACAATTTCGATAAATATGAAGTGACGACGCAGGCGGGTTCCACAAAAGGCGATAATTTTATGGGCGTACTGACCACGGTCACCCTAAACGAAGCCGGAAAAACGCTGGAGCTGATCATGAAAGCTGCGCTGGAAAACGAAGCTCTCAGGAAAATCACACCTATACACGAAATATATCTACGCGAAATCTACTTCTACCAGAACGTCTTGGACTCCATGCGGAGATTCGAGGAGCAATACAACATAGAGCGGCCCTTCGCAGGCTGCCCTAAACTGTACGGAGCCTCGAAGGCTGATAGAAGCGAATGCTTCGTGTTGGAAAATTTGAGAAGCCTGGGATACACGCTATGGGACAAGAAGAGTCCCATGAACTCCGGGCACATCACAGCCGTACTGAAGCAGTACGCCAAATTCCACGCCATCAGCATGGCCATGAAGTACACCAAGCCCGATTTGTTCGAAGCAGTCGTTTCGAAAGTGTCCAAGTACGTTTTCGACTCCCCAGATATGCAAAAAGATGTGTTCGAGACCATAGCTACTACTCAAATGAGCGGCGCTTACAAAGCAGTAGAAGGTGAGCCGGAAATGACTGAAATTTTAAATTTTGTTAAGGAGAAGCTGGTGGAGGAAGTAGTGACAAGAGATAGCTCGAAGGACGAATACCGACTTACATTAATTCATGGTGATTGCTGGTGTAATAATTTTATGTTTAAATACGATGTAAGTGTATGGTTTTATCAATTATGATGAACCTATATCATCACCTTAATGTAGAGTATACAATAGACAATTGAAGTCTTTTAAAAGAGATGTTATAGAAAACTGTTATTGAAATTTATTTGGAGTGTATGTACTTTTATGTTAATGGGTGATGAATAGATTCATTGAGTTCGACTATAATTTTACGATTGATAAATTTATATTTAGAATGAGGCTAACACAGAGGCGCCGAACAATGTGAAAATCATCGACTGGCAACTTTCGCATGTAAGTTCTCCGGCATACGATTTTTGCTATTTCTTCTTGGCGAATAGCCCGAAAGATATCCTGGATGATTACAAAAGTTATATGAAAATATACTACGAGGCGCTTGCTGGACATCTGAGGGAGTTTAATTGCGATCCGGACGATATTTTCTCATTTGCCAGGTAATCAAATAACAAATTTGTTACTAGTGACGCAATAATTTGAATCAAAACGAAATTTGCAAGGTTAAAAGATAGATAGAAATCTAATCATTAAAATGTAATTTTCGGATTATTTTTTTGTGGTAATTAATATAAACAATGTATACTTAATGTATATACAATGTATACTTAAGTTTGATTTAAATGTTATTCGTTTCAACGCAGATAAATGTATAGGTAAATATGCTTTTGAACAATAATAAGCTCAAGAGTCTCAGATAAGTTGGGCATATCAGATCTACTAGAATGCGTTCTCTAATTAAAACAATTACATAATAAAAATTGTATGTTTTTGACGTATCAATTTTGAGTAATGCTTTTAGAGATAACTACTGATATATTCCTGTTTTATGACTATCTGTGCACTTCAGAACAAAAAGATATAATTGTTTTTGAGTTCATTCATCCTAAAGGAATATTTATTTTTTTTAATTTTTTAGGTTTGAGCGGCACGTAGAGAAATTCATGATACATGGTTTCTTTATATCATTTATAGTAATGAAAGTAATGCTGTGGGACCCGTCAGAGGTGCCGGACATGAGCAAATTAAAAGAGGAAGATTTTATGAAATCGTTTCAAGCAGATAATACATTAAATAATGACACTTTTAAGGAACGAATAAAGAATTTAATAGTGTTTGGAAAAAAGCTGTACAACAAATAAATTTTTCTAGGTACTTACATGTATATTTATTTTTATTTTTAATGAAATGTTTTCTGTAACTTCTAATGTGTAATGTATGTATGTATAAATAATTAAAGGTTTTGAGCTGCGTTGAAACAATGTCGATGTAAGGAAGTCTGCATTATAATTAAACGAACCAATGAATTGCTAATGATTCCATGGTATTAATTTATTTTATAAAAGCCTTAACATTTTTTTATATTTTTGATGACATGGTTAATTACATAAAAAAAATGTGACAATCTTGCTCTATGGGAGTTGATATGTAATAAATATTATATCTCAAAAATTACCTTCCAAAAAAAGATTAATCAGTTTATGATTACGTTTTTTTTAAAGATTATATCGTAACATACAAATAAATGTGCGTGTAAAAAGAATATAATTTAGAACAATTTTATAGACTGCAGTTACATTACTGTAATTGCATATGAAATATTTCTGTCATCAACCATGTGCGATAGCCATGTATTTTTTAAATTATGAATCATCATATTTTTTTCTATTCAATCGATAGATACCATAGAATCTAAAACAAATATTAACACATTCCAACGTTAATTGAATCCTGCAAGTGTGAAAGTAATAAACATGTAAATTGAAGGAAAATTAAAATTTATTTCCATAAACATGTGCGTGTAAATAAAAACCCTTAATTCGTACATACGAAGGTTATTTCGCAAAGTTATCTTAATTAAAACAGTTATTTGGAATAACTGAAATAAATTAGATTCATAAATTAATTTATGTTATTTGGAAAACATGCCAATAAAAAAAAATTCATTGATGCAAAATTGTATAATGAGGTTGTGGGGTCCTTTAGTGACGAGAACAAGGATTACTAATGCAAATTAATTCTCCTCCACAGTTATCTTACTTTTTGTACCTTATAGTTTACATATAATAGTTTCACTTTTCTAGGATAACAAATTTGCATTTATGAATTGCATACAATTTAAATTTATGCATTGTCCAATTTTAATTGTATAAAATTAGCATACACTGTACAAGGGCAATTATTTCTCATTATCACAAGCATCAAAACCGATCGCAATTTGAAATAATTTCGCTTGCAATAACGCGCGATCATCAGTTCTGATGATCCTTTGGACCAACAGTCCCGATCATCAGTTCCATCTGAAAAATGCCAATTACATTAAACGATGCGGCCCTGGAATCGAATTCTGTAAAATAAACGAGCAGTATTTTACAGTAAGGTACAAGGTCGCTCCGTTGAAAACAAATTACGTGCTATTAGATAATTGTTAATATCAATTCGCCAAAGCATATCTGCTTCAGTATGAATCGCGCGGATGCTCGTACAATATGTCAGCTCAACTAAGACCCGTGCAGGCGGAATTAATAGGAAAAATCGCAAAGGAAAACGGCTTCGATGAATACAAGGTGGAAACGAGCTCGGGTTCCATTAAAGGCGATAATTTCTTGGGAATAGTGACGACAGTCTGCGTGAAAAACGACGATAAAACACTCGAATTGATACTGAAATCGGCTCACGAAAGCGAAACGTTCAGGAAAGCAGCGCCCCTTCGAGAAGCCTACTTAAGGGAAATTTATCTGTACGAAAATGTCTTCAGTCAATTTGATAAATACCAGAACGACTACAACGTCGAAGACCCGTTTAAAAGCTACGCGAAATTGTACGGTTGTAATAAGGACGACGGAAATGAGTGCCTGGTGATGGAAAACCTGAAAACCCAGGGCTACCAATTGTGGAACAAACACAATCCAATGAATCCCGGTCATATTTCGGCCGTGCTGAAGGAGTACGCGAAATTTCATGCCACTAATATTGCCATGAAACACAACGATCCCGACGCTTATGAAAACCTCGTTTCGAGCATATCAAAAAACATATTTGAACTCGCCGATGACGAGAAAACGAGTAGAGAGAAATTACAATTATTCCTGAAATCTACGTTCGATATTGGTTATAAAACGGTCGATGGGGAGCCAGAGCTCATTGATTACCTGAAAACACTGGAAAACGATTTTCCCGCTTTATTTTTCGACGAACTCAGTCAACCCGAGTACAAAACGACGCTAATCCACGGCGATTGTTGGTGCAATAACGTTTTGTTTAAATATGAAGTAAGTAGGTTACCAGTTTAAATACATATTTACAAAACAGTTAGCTTTAAAAACCTAGTGTTAGTTATTATAGGTGCATGGTGATAAAAGCTACGAATTTATTCCCAAATAAAACCCTGTATATAAGTATAGGTATTAATTACAAAACCATCTTAAAGAAAATTTACCGCCAAATTGGATTGTCAAAATTAAAACATTTTTCAAGTCAATGAGCAACTTTTGTACAAAGGGTAGAGAAATGGCTTCAAACCAACTCCGGAAGGAAAGTTATTCAGTATTATATTGCAAGATTGTTCCGAGAAACCTTTGAATACACATGCTTGAAGTAGCAATTGCCTTTAATGTAATTAAAATTAATTAAGAGATGAGCTAAATTTATCGGCTTCACATTGCGTGAAAATTATGAAAACCTCTTCAAAAAATTTCGAAAGACCTCCTAAAATAATAGTAGTACTTTATGAAGTGCAGGTTATGTTTAAAGAATTAAAGAATTAATTTAAAGAATATAAATGAAAATGCTCCATATTAATTAGTTTGTATTTGGTTTGGTAAATCTAACCGATTAACCACTTTTAAATAATAACTATATTATCACTTGCAACAATGTTACAATATTAGCATATTTAAATTGAAAAGCTATTGAATCAAGGTATCTCGTGAGTCATGTTTCACTTTTGTAGCTTGCAAGGATTCCGGGATACGCACCATTATGTTAAAAGTGGCCCAATATTAGGTAGATTACTCTCGTCTTTCTAATATATTTTACTTTTTGCAGGATTCTGCGGACAAGACGAAGCCTTCTAATGTGAAAATTATCGATTGGCAAATTTCCCACGTTACTTCGCCAGCTTACGATTACTGTTACTTTTTCTTGGTACACAGTTCCAAAGAAATTCTAGAGGATTATAGAAGTTACCTGAAATTGTATTACGAAGCGTTTTCGAAGCATCTCAAATGCTTTAATTGCGACCCGGAGGAAGTCTTTTCTTATTCGAGGTAAATATCTATACAAAGACTAAATGCTCGTATATCTCCTTTTTGATACTTTTCCATTGATAAGATACAACAAAAAATATGTTTTTGAAAATCATTAGATACATAATTAACAGTAATATGTGTGTAACTGAATTTTTTATGAAAAAAATCGTCTTTGTTTTAGATTCCTGAACCATATTGAGAAATTCATGAAATTCGGCGTTTACACGTGTTTAATGATCTTGAAAGTGATGCTTTGCGATTCGGACGAAGCGCCGGATTTCAGTCAAGCTAAAGATGAAATGGCGATGTTCGAATCAATGAATTTCGAATTCAAAAATTACGACGTTTACAGGAAAAGAATAAAGGACTTGGTCACGTTTATGAAAGATACTAAATTTACAGAATAAAATATTTATGCTAAATATAAATAAATCTTATACTATTTTTAAAGAACTTGTGAAAAATTTGTGTCTAAGTATAAACCTAATAGAAATTATGTAATTTAATAAAATATTTAATTGGCAAAATTGCAAATAATCGTGGGTGTGGAATAATATTTTTTTAAATTTTATATAAAAAAGATTTTTATTAAAAATACTTAATGAGTCACTCTGTACATATGTAGTTGAATGCAAAAATTCCGAATATAAATTAACGTTGATTCATTAGTTAAAGTTGGTGTAATAATTTCATGTTTAAATGCATAGTAAAGTAAAACTTCAGTAACAGTAGTACATAAATCTGTGAATTTTGTGTGGTAATTAGGGGTAAGAGTTTACGTCGCGCACTGGTGATTTTGTAGTAAGGTACAATTATTTATTTCTGAATAGGTCTTTCAAAGTTAAATACAACGATTGCACTCTCGTGATTACTGAAAACTTCTTCAAAAGTTACAGCATTTGACAAATTAAAAACAATCTTTTAAAGTATTTACATATTATACTTAATTTGTTTCACAACATCTAATAAACATTATCGTATCGTATTCTTACATTCGTTACAATAGCCTGTCATTTTCACCAGTCGATTTATTTTTATATCAATTAATACAATTTTCAAAAATATAAATGTTAGATTTTAAAGAATTGTAGGTGTGTAAATTACATTGGGAATCACAAAAAATTGTCATAAAAATTAAAGAAATCCATTCCATAGGCGTCACAAAATGAATATACCTTCATAAAAAGTTAATAGGAACTAATATTCTCGGTGATAATCAAACGCCGGTGCACTTTAGAACTCATTTTTAAGATACCTCCAGTATGTCTTAAGGCCACTTTTCAAAAGTGCATTATTCAATAAAATAAAAGAAATTTATATTTCCTACCTATGCCTAGTGAGAAAGGCCTTATCTTAACAGTCCTGCCTTTTAATTAATATAACTGTTTAATACACTTAAATACCCACATTTATTACCTATGTTGAGATGTGATTCCATAAAGGTAAAGTTAACTGTTATGGGAACCCTTAATAGTTAATGTACCTACCTATGCTCGGAAATTACGTGGAAATTGACCAAAGCGTTATGAATTGAAAGTGGGTATATGTATATGTAAGTAGATGATCCTTCCCTTTTCTAAAGTTTAATATTAAAGACGAACATCTTAGTGAAAATTAAAATATGACTCTTCGGTTATTATAAAATTTTTAATCAAAATCTTATTAAAAATTATACATATATTTTAAGATAGGCCTTGTTTAGTTAGTATTTTAAAACAGGATTTATTAAATAGAATTAAAAATATATTATTTAAAATATATCTTGTTAAAATGTATCTAGGTACATGATTTATTCCTTTGACAATAATATTTAAATTGCATGAAATATAAATTGAATTGATTACATTGATTAAATTGCATTGATCTTTCTGTTTTCTGTATTCTCCCTAGCTGTTGTTCCATTTTAGATGAAGATATGTTTTATTCAATCCACCTACTTTCAGTTCAGGAATTCAGTTTCATAGTCTTACACTCGGTCTTACATTGTAGGTATACACAGAATAATAATAATAATAGGACATTCCTTTGAAAACTCCCTCCGTCACTGGAGCTATACCTACAACCGATAAAAATATTTATAAATTACGATAAACATTTCCAGTTGCCATGTATTTGTACTCCGCCTGCGCTCGTGTCGAAAATAAACTCCCAACGATGTCGCAGAAACTGATCGAATCGCATTCCCGGATAATAGAAAAAATCGCCGAAGATCAGGGCTTCAAAGAGTACGAGGTCTACGTGAACTCCGGCTCGGAAAAGGGCGACAATTACCTCGGCGTGTTAACGGCAGTCACAGTGAAATCGGACGGGCGCAAATTGGAGCTGATTCTGAAATCCACCCCGCGCGACGACAACGCGAGAAAATCCTCGCCGATGCGCGCCGCCTTCCTGCGAGAAATCCACCTGTACGAGCGGATCTTCCGCGCGCTCAGGAAATTCCAGGACGAGTTCAACATCGCGGAGCCGTTCGACTGCTATGCCAAATTGTACGCCACCTCGACGGAGGAGTTCGACGAGTTCCTCGTCATGGAGAATTTGAAGAGCGACGGGTACCAGCTGTGGAACAAGAAGATCCCGATGAATCCCGATCACATATCGCGCGTTATCAGGGAGTATGCGAAATTCCACGCCGCCAACGTGGCCATGAAGCACAACAACCCGGCTCTGTTCGAGATTATTACCGAAGACGTGATGTACAGTATCTGGGATAACGAGGAGGTCATGAAGAACAGGACAGTGTTCAAGGATTATCTGAAGACTGTATTAGATTTGGGCTACAAAACCGTCGGTGAGGATGCTTCCTTGATCGGGTTTCTGCGAGATGTAGAAGAGGAAATCCCGAAGATCATATTCGATGAATTTAAGAAAAGCGATGAATACCGGCAATCTTTAATTCACGGAGATGCTTGGTGCAATAACATTATGTTCAAATATAAAGTAAGTAAGATAAATTTTGTGTGTCTATGTTTATATTTACTTTTAAAAATAGTACTTACTAGTTTTTGTAAATAGTAATCAGATAAAAGTCTACCTGATTTCGTTTAAAACGATCCGATTAGATATGAAAAATAACGCTATAAAATTTTAAAATATTCCAACAAACAAGGAATTTTAAATCTAATATTTATGCAAACTATTATTACACGGAACAATATTTGAAAATTGAGCACTTATGTATGTATTTACATATGTAATTCACTTGGGGATATTATTCAGGGTATTTATAGGTATTATAGTATGGCATTCAATTGATTCAATTACATCGAGTCCAGCATTATAGCGAATTTCTTCCATAATATTCTATAACTTTAAAATTTAATTCAGCACAGTTCAAATAGAACTCGTTAGGTACATGAATATTGTAGTAGTAAATTTAAACCATTAGTAGGAGATTTTCTAAAGAACTCTTGATACTATCCATCTTAAGCACATCTTATACAGCGTTTTCACAAAAACGTTGGGACATGATTCAATTACAAACTTCTGAGACGAAAAGATGGTTTAACCTAATATACACAGTGACAAAAAGTACCTGGAAAATTGGAATAAAACGTAAGATTAAAATCTGTTTACTAAAAAATCTATTTTTTTATTATTTAACTGTAACACCTTGTAATTTTTTTTGGTACTAAGCATTTTTTTGAAAATTGGAATAAAACGTAAGATAAAAATCTGTTTGCTAAAAAATCTATTTTTTTATTATCTAACTGTAACACCTTGTAATTTCTTTTGGTACTAAGCATTTTTTTGAAAATTGGAATAAAACGTAAGATTAAAATCTGTTTGCTAAAAAATCGATTTTTTTATTATCTAACTGTAACACCTTGTAATTTCTTTTGGTACTAAGCATTTTTTTGAAAATTGGAATAAAACGTAAGATAAAAATCTGTTTGCTAAAAAATCTATTTTTTTATTATCTAACTGTAACACCTTGTAATTTCTTTTGGTACTAAGCATTTTTGGATACAGGTAAAATATCTTATTTTAGCCCTAAAAATCAATACTAACCGAAACAAGTTTGGCCTTTTCCATCTCGGAAAGCAAGTCAATAAAACCTAACCAACTAACATCGCGAATGTCAAAGTAATATTTTTGATTGATTTACAGGACCCCGATGACACCCGTACGCCCGTAAGCCTGAAATTCATCGACTGGCAGATATCGTACGTGTGCACGCCGGCATACGACTTTTGCTACTTCTTCCTGGCTCACAGCCCCAAGGAAGTTCTGGACGACTACAAAACCTACTTGGAATTATATTACGATACGTTCTCGCAGCAACTCAATTACTTCGGCTGCGAACCCGAGGAGGTCTTCTCGTATTCTAGGTCAGTCGGCGCATAAAGGGGATCTGGCTTAAAAAAATTACTAACTGGCTTTTTCTATTTTCAGATTTATCAGGCACATAAATAAGTGCATGGTTGTGGGGCTGTTTGCATGCTGCACTGTATTGAAAGTTATGTTGTGCGAGCCGACTAAACATCTAGATGCGAAAGCCGGCAAACAAGTGGATTTATTGGAGTCGTTAAATTCCAACGTTAATGATAACGAAGTGTTAAGGCAACGCATAAAAGATATTATATTGTTTGTCAAAAATAATAATTTCCTGTCGAAATGAGTCTCTCGAAATGAGTCTCTCGAAATGAGTATTTTGTGTTATATAGCGCCGTTAATTTCCTTTTACAATCACAGTATTACAATGTTGTTTTCGGTCTAATTTTGTAATCATTCGGTTAATTGATCAATTTTTTTACGGAACTATTATTTCATGCTTTTCAACAATTTTTTGCTGTTAATTAATGTTTGACTTCCAAATGGAGGAAACAACTAAGACTGGTTAAGGCCGTCGAATTGATAAAAGTAACAAACTGCAACAGATGCATTATTTGAAAAAAAATGCAGCTTCTGCCTTTTCTTTTACATAAAAAGTTTGTGCTTTAGCTGTTTTAGATAAGCAAATATTTGTCATTTTTATGAATAATTAAATTATACTATTTTTTACAATTAAAGCAAATAAATCAGTTTTTTAATAAATATTTTCATTAGCTTCAATTTCGTGCTCTAACTAAACTTTCCTATTTCTATCCTAAATGATGTTCTCTTTAATTATTATAAAAACCTAGTTAATTAAGAATAAAGCAGACTTTCAATATTTCAACCCAAAGAAGTCATAGTAGATTTTGAACTAAGCATTCATAACGATATGAATGTTTTGGTAGAGATCAAAATATTTGTGGTTGTAAATTTCATCTCTGTCAAGCTTGGTTTCGAAAGATTCAGGAGTTTCATTTGGTACAAGAGTACAGACAGAAAGATTGCGTAATTGGCGACTACTTAAAAGTACATTTCGGAATGATGTATCTTAGTCCTGAGGAAGTTACTTATTATTTTTTTGTGATTTTTTTTAATAACGAACTACATTTTTTTGCTTCCAAACGATGAGAGTGTTATAGAATTTCGCAATTATGTCAATAAAACATGTAGGTATATATAGGTATAAAGCAAAATTCGACAACTAATTCTTATGAGAGTTTTAATTCCCATTTTAATAACTCTTTTTATAAAGCCCACCCAAATATTCTCCAATTTACTAGGGTGTTATTGGGCTTTCAAACGGATTTATACGCCAAAATTCGTTCGGCGAACCAAAATCAGAAAAAAACAAAAAAATTATTGATTCAAAAATTAATTTCATTAATAATCATACGGAAAAATATAAGAAATATACTATTTCTCACTTTATGTTTGTGAAAACGGTGGCATGTAAAAATCTTCCTCACATGTAATTTTATTTTTTGTGTATATATGTATAAAGATATTTTATTATAATGTACATGTATTTTTTGTGACAAATATACGTTGAAACTATATTATGAAATTGTTAAATCGGATTAAACAATTAGACCCCTACGAGTTTAGTACTTAATCCCTAAAATTTTAAAACCATGGCAGAGTTCGAACAATCCGTAATGACTACCTGCATTTTGTGGCAGAGTTCGGATATTTCGATGTAAAATTTTTAGTAAGTATCATCAAAACCATTAGGTTTAGGTATAGGAGAGTAAACACGAACTTCCCTTATTTTTTACCGCTGATTTCATTAAAATAGAAAAAAATGAATAGAAAAAATAACTTAGACCCTTCTAGTATAGCCACCTCTTAGAAACCATATTCATATCTTTAAAGGAACGCTGATAAAAATAATTTATAATGGTCTGCATCGGTCAATTTTTTCATAAAAAAATGAATATCTTAAAAAGTATTCATTTTTGGAAAAAGTATTTTAGACAAAATTACCCGGAAATTTTACGTAGTTTTCAAAAACACGTCAATATATAGGATGTTACATTTGAAATAACAAAGTTTACCTATACAGATAGTTTAAGCTCGACGTGACACACCCTGTATACATTGCATGTTTTCTAACTATTTTTAAATACTCCCAAAGTTGAATTATATCATTGCAACTTCGTTTTTTATGATTTTATTATTTGTCGAAATTAATAATTTTGCCGTTATTTTGTTCATTAGGAGAATTTTCGAGATTTTTTGAAACAATTGAATAATATTTTGTAAATTAATGAATACCTAATTAAACGTTATTTCAATTTTATTCGCTATATCATATCTATGTATGTACCTACCTATTATAATTCAAGTTAATAAATGTTATGTCATATGTAAATATGGAAACAAAAGTTATTAAAACGGAGCTATTATATCCAATATTATCAGGAAATAACAATCCGAATATAGAATTTCCGTTATCCACAATTTGTGAATAACGATACATTTTATGCGCAACTTTAAAAATCAATATTTATTTGTCAAAAAAACCATTATAATAACACAACTATATCAAATACTAATTTATGCAGCTATAAACCGGTTATCTCTCAAAAACACCAATATATTCTCGATCCTCTTTCGAAATTCCACGGAATCGGTCACTTTAAAATCCAAACCCTGGAATACGTTTCCGTCAGTTTCTGACAGCTTCTCGAAATTCGGCGCCTTCTCGGAGTCCACCAACATCAGTTTCAGCACCAACAAGCACATGTAGAAGCCGAACAGCATGAACTTGTCGACGTGATCTTTCATCTTATCGAACGGAAACACGGTGTCCGGATCGCACCCGAAGCACTTCAATTGCTTCGAGAACGACTCGTAGTACAGCCGCAAATAAGCCGGATAATCGTCGAGGATCTCCTTTGGGCTGTGCGCTAGGAAGAAGTAACAAAAATCGTAGCCCGGCGAGCTCACAAACGACAATTGCCAGTCGATTATTTTTAACCCAGAGGGTTGTTGCGTGTTGTTATTATCCTGCAATAATTATAATAAATAGATAGGTGCAATTTCCATGCCTATACATGGGTATAGCACTAATTTTATTAAAATTAGTATTCTACTAATACTACCTATAGTTTATTTTTTTGAATGTTTTAGAGTGCTACTAAACAATATAAAGTTTAGACTGTAATCATGCTTAATTAGGTGTGATGGAACATACATCACTTGATAAAATAATTCATGCACAGAGCGAATTAACATTGTTTTCATCGAGTTAATATTCGCGTAATTTCGACATTGAAATCAAATTTTAATTATTTTATGCATCAAGTATTTTATTAATAGTAATAGGTATCTAGGCGTTCGTTAAACATTGATTTACAATTTTTCATGAGTGTTTCAAATAATAGTAACGATCCTATTTTTCACTAACAACGATTAAAGATAATTAAGTAAAAGGTAATATTCATTATTACTCCTTCCTGATAACCTTGAGAATTTTAAGAATTTAAATGATATACAAAGAATGTATTAAACAGAAGTACTATATTATGTTTACATGCTTTATTTACAGAATTCTGAATTATGAATTATAAATTATGAATATCTTTGTTTTGAAAATTTCCATTTAAATTGTTTTCATTTAAAAAATTAAATTGATTTGTAACGTTGAAATTAGTTAACTGGTGCAAGTCATTCCTATAATTTGTAAAATCTTGTTTACTAGAAAACACTTATTAAATTTATTCTTCCAAAACACACTCGTATGTATGTTGTGGTATTGTAATCGCAATGACATATAAAAATGCCGATATACCCACTTCCATATTCGATATATTGATTAATTGATTAGGTAAAAACTGGTTGCGAAAACCTACATTGCAAAAGAGTGTAATAATACTCACTTCGTATTTGAACATGAAATTATTGCACCAACAGTCCCCATGGATAAAAACAGACTTGTACTGCGGCGATCTGTAGTCGTTAAATAAGAAACCGACAATTTTCTTTTCGAATTTTTTCAGAACATCCGTCATTTCATCATCGTCTTTGATGGCTTCGTAGGCGCTCGAGCATATCGCTTGAATGTAAATATTTACTTTTTCCCGGCGCTTATCAGATTCCTCCTCGTCGAAAACACTAAACTCCATCGATTCGGCGAGCCTGCCGAATAAGTCGGGTTTTTTTTCCTTAAACGCCACCGACGTGGCGTGGAATTTCCCGTACTCCCTCAGCACCAGCGATATGTGCTCCGAGTTCATCGGCTTCCTCTTATCCCACAGCCCGTAGCCGCTGTCTCGAAGATTTTCCATCACGAAGCACTCGCTGCCGCTTTCCACCGAGCTGCCGTACACTTTCGCGTAGCTCTTGAAGGGTTCCGAAACGCCGTGCTCATCCTGGAACTTCTGGAATTCCCGAAAAAGGGTGTCGTACACCAATATCTCCCTGAGATAAGCCTTTCGCAGGGGCACCGCTTTCCGGAAAGCGTCGCTCTCGTGCGCCGATTTCAATATCAAATCCAAATGTTTGCTTCGGCTTTTCAGAGTGAGCGCGATTAAAATGCCGAGGAAATTGTCCCCTTTGCCAGAGCCTTCGGCGGTCGACACTTCGTAATCACTTAGACCGTTCTCCTTTGCGATTTTATCGACTAATTTTTGCTGTTCTCGACTCAGTTGCACCATTTTCGATTCTTTAATACGGGAAAATTAACTATAGTGATTATATAGTTCTCGCAGATAATAAAGTAACCTTGTACTTTAAAGCATGTGCGCAAGTGTACATACGAAATAACTAGTTTCGATTGATGCGATTCTATTTCATCTAATAACTGAATGTGATTTGATTGATTGAAGGTAACAGCGATCTTTGTGCATTTTGCCACAATTATTTGTAAACATTCCTTCTGCATTTTTGCAAAAGTTGCTTTAATAGATATTTCTTCATTGCAACTATTAATTTCAAATAAATTGATCCAATTATTCTTACTATAATATACATATCAATTATGACTCACGTTGATTGAGTCCGTAGTACAAACTGTTTTAAATATGTATGTAAAATGTAAAACGTTGCACAATATTAAATTTATAATTTTTCTAGAACATAGCTATCAACCACAGTTGCCCTGCAGGCCTGCAAGTCAGCTAGTTCCTATTTTACACTTTACTACCTATATTCAATTAATTCAAAGTTTTAATTAATTTAAAGTTTTTAAATTAGGAGTAGTAGGTTAAAAACAGGGATAGGACGTATCTATTACCCGACTGACCTTTCGAACAATTTCTAGAAGCTTACTAAATTCTGTACTAAATTGCAATTGGATCAAAATATACCGAACAATTTAATGCGTTTCCTATTATCTTTGGATTCGGGAAGGACCTTTTCTAAGCACTCTCCAAAGAAATAATAAATTGTTTTTATAAGAACGATATAGAGACGAGGCGTAGAGGATAAAGGGCTCCTAAGTAAATTAAATCCCGCATAAAATCGATTTAGTCTTTATATGTGACATTTTTTTAATACGAAAAGTTTGGATCTTCATAAAAACCGAAATTATTCAAGTTTTGCAAAAATGTGAAAAGAATTCAGCAGTTTTAGTGAAATGAAAAAATTAATAAAAAAATAGAATAAAAATAGAGTGTAAATGAATAATAAGTTATATTCAGCAACGTGTTTACGTTGTGTAAACATTGTTTTTTCCTCGTTTTTTAATTCAGTCATGTAACGTTCAGTTTTTCTCCCTGTGGGGACAAAATTAATTAAGCAATAATAACAACTCGCAATCCTATTAAAAAACGCGTGAAAAATGAAACGAAACAAAATTTCGCTCGTTATTAAATATTCTATATCGATTTTCCCTTTCTCTGCTATATCTACATACATACAATTTCTCCAACAATCAACAGTTTTTTTTCAATTTAATTAAATTCAATCAATTTCACCCGACCCAAATTTTCCTATACTGAAGACCTCCCATTATACATGGTAATTACATAGATACAAGAAACTAATCAAAAGAGACACCCTACCTTTGAAGCATGTAGATGAAGTTGAAGATGCAATTGAATGTGGTTAGAAGGAGATCGGCCACGCTTAAATTAACAAGGAAGTAATTGGTAACCGATCGCATCCTTCGATGAGCTGAAACAAAGCAATATTCAAATGAAAGCAGTTCCTCTGATTTGATGGAATACTAATGTCTTTTAATGAATTATAAATACAATCTTAGTAGAGAGCTAAATACTTGCCAAATTGTCTATTAATTTTCGGATTTTATTCAATAAAAGAACAAATAATGTTTGATTTGTAAGGAGTTTTTTATGTATCAGTCTTAGATTGAGATGGTGATTGTGCAATATCTGTCAGTTTGATTGTGCAATATCTGTCAGTTTCGTGTAAGTGCAAAAAATAAGATGGATTTCTAACGAATATTCAGGATGCATATTTTAAGTTGTGTGTGTCAAATAAGAATTCGTACACGCTTGTTGGCAGATATATGAATAAAATTTGTAGCCTGTTCAAGCCAGACATTTTTGAAATCCTGTATGAAATAATAAGAAATTATGTCAGTTTGTTAGAAAACAAGATATGTATATCCAAAACGATATAGCTCATGTATAATAATTACAACATTTGCAATTCAGTAACTAGTTATTAATTCATAACTATAAAATATCGAGAACTCCGTGACATTTACAATTAAACTCGATATTTCGTATTTCAAATAAATTTTGCCTCACTGCACTCGCAATACCTTTGTGCTCGTCGGATCGAAAATTGACTTGCAATTTTCCTTAAATTGAATGTGCATGTAATGTTCGACGTTTCAAATAAATATGCATTAATGCAACGTCTATTCCCCTACTTACAGGAACTGAATATAACGTATGACATCCTAAGTTTGAGCATCAGGCAAAGTTATTCCCTTTACGACAGAATTTAAATTGACTCGATACCTATATACCTACTACTCGAGTTAAGAGGTGTTTATTCTTGTTTACTTAATTTAAATTATTTATCGGTACTTAGAGCGTATGTTCATAACTATTTAATATATGTTTGCATTAAATTTTGTGAAGGCAATTTTGCTTAAATTACGTTATAATCGCAGTATTAGACTAAATATGTTTGTATATCTATTGATACCAAGAGATATTATCAATATTACCCTAGAGACGTGATGAAATATTACGCTGCATTATCGCACACTAATACATGAATGAGCGACATATCTACACATTAAGTTAATTACATTATTAATTAAATAAATAACCCTTTGCTTATACTACACGCCACTGGTGATAAGTAAACTCTTTCATGCCTCATAAAACTGTAATCGAGTATGATACAAATGTTATATGAATAATAAAATAACCTAATGAGACATAAAAAGTTGGATCCTTTTGAAAGTGCTTTCAGCTTTTTAAACACACACTGCATACAAATACCCAAATAAGAATATTCCTATTAGATTTTAATCAGAATTAGGGTACATGATTACAAATGTGGAAAAAGATTTTACTTTAAAGGAAATGGCATCAAACAAGGAAAAGTGCATTATACACCAAAGGGTCCGATATCATGCAAAAGAGGAATAAGCGGAGCTTATTCGTATACTTATCACGAACGCAATCTGGGTCATTTGCATTAAAATTAGCTGGAAATGTAGAAAGTTATGGAATAGATTCAAGAACGAAATTAAAAATTTCCATCGATAAGAATATGTATACAATGAATAAATATGAAGCAACTGAATTTACTTTGCCTAATCTGTCTATACGAGTGGGAAGAAAGGGAGAGATTTGCTCAATAAATGTAGACGCGACCCTTTTTTCTTTTCAAAATTGAAATCCTTTTAAGAGTATATTTTCAAGCAGTGTTGCTAATTATTCGGATTTTCTTTTTAATGTGGGTTTTTCGTAGATCGATGGCAACGCTTTTAAGAGAAATTACGTTTTGAATTAATTCTCTAATGGTTTGCGGTGGGACGAAACAAACCCAAAAGTATTAAATTTAAATTTCATGGTAATTATTTCGGAGTAATATGGAAACTTTGTTATTGGTCTTCGGAAGATATGTATAGGAAAATTAAACAACCAAATTTATCAAAAGCGAATTGCAAATTTTACAAGTTAATTTTATATACGACGTTATAAGCACATATACAGTACACCGAGCAAACAAAGAAGTTTAATCAGAAATAATTGCGTTTATTTAATTCCGGAAACTTTCCGGAAAGCGTTTATTGCTGCATTCAGAAATAATATTTCATCAGCGAATCCCATTTCTAGTACCTGTTTCTGTTAATTAATGGAAATTTATTTTTTTATCCGTTCCTAAATATTCAGGATTTATTTTTCAGTAATTTTAGCTAAACATATCTCTACATATTTAAATATCGCACACGAAGCATACTTTACATTTACCCCCATTAGCAGAGATAAGTGCTCGTACCAGCTCGTATTTAAAATTGGGCAATCTGTAAAATCCCAGATTAATGTAGGCATTAGACATTTGAAATAAGCATTCGCTATGTTAAATCTTGAAAAATTACTTAGTTTTTCAGGATAGGTACTTCAAAAAATTCTATTTTTATATTTAATTTTGTGTTGGCATAATAACAAATTTTAAAAAGTTAGTAGACTATTTAAGTTAAAGAATCACGAAATACGAGCCAATTAGTTCAGAAATTAATAATCGCGACCTTACCTATCACAATCCAAATAACGATGCAATTCCCGCAAGTTGCGGTCGTGATCATAAACAAGAATACTCCGCTCCAGGCGAATTGGACTAATAGAGACATCGAAGGGTCGTAGTGGTTAGAAACTGAACTTGGACTGGAATTCGCCGGCACCAATACACCGTAGTCTATTCCCTCGAACGTTCCGTTATACGACTGCGGTGGCTGCAAAAATTATTAGCACAACGTTAGGATTGATGCTCCTGTTAGGACCCGAGATGTTTTGTTTAATTATCGCCAGTAAATGTTGGAAGTGTGTATAACAAGATAAACTAGACAATAAAAGAGAACAATTTTCATCTATGTTTTGGCTGAAATACGAGTAGGTATAGTTCATGGATAAAATATAAAAGGGTTAGGTTTAATAAGGCATGAACGCCGGGTATTTCCATTTGTTCGTGAAAACGTTGCGTTTGATGCCATATTTCGTTTGATAGACAATATACATTGGAAATTACAAACTACCAGCAATGTCATTAGCAACAGAACATTTTATATGAGAAAATAAATCAGATTAATTAATTGCAGCTCCAACAAAGGATTCGCATAAATTCATAATGTAATAGATTATTTCGCTGCTACGTATGTACACAATACAGGGTTTCTCTAAAAGGTAGGGACATGACTTAATTACAGACTTCCGGGACGAAAATAAGATAAATAAAATAAAATAATAATTTAAACTAATAACTTATTTACCTATATTCAAAAGGGCATAGAAAAGAATTTATAGGGTATTAAAGTTGAAAATAAAAAAGAGATTTTTTGATATTGGGTCAGAATGGCTGAAGGCTTTTTCATTAAAATTTCTTTGCATAAAATATTGTTGCTTAGTGACCTAATATTGTGTAATTTTTTTATTTTAATTATCAAGCCGTCTCAGATATAATTCGGGGCCCAACCTTCTTACAGCCCTAATTCTTCGACTCTTGTTATTTAACTATTTTATTTCAGAAGTTAAGACCTGTCCCAACCTTTTAGAGACACTCTGTGTATTGAATTATATTTATATTAAAAACTTTGAAATCAACCACCAGCACACGCATCAAGTCTCATCTTTACATTTTTCTTTAATAAATCATACCTATATAAAATTTCCCGAATTCAGAAAGTAAACTAGGGCACAAACGATTCATTTCAAATGAATTGGATTTTATATTCACAATAATATTTATGAGGGAAAATTCGCCTTTTATATTGAAATGTTGAAAGCTTTACCTCCATCAAGATTTTTTTGATTAGGTATAAATACCTACAAGAAAATATCCACTTTCTATATATGATTCTTTTTTGAATAATTTGTTATTGCCTTATTAAATCAGCTTTTTCCAGCAACTGAACAAAAAAGCCTTTGAGTAATTAGCTTCAATTTAACAAAGGCAATACGTAATTAATTAAAACACATATTAGCTACTAAATGTTTAGAAATATGAACTGAATAAATGGAAATGGGGAAACTGATCTTCCTATAAAGGAAGATATAATGAATGGGTAGGCAGATATAGTATTTCACTTGATATAAGTGGAATGGAATTAATTACTATCTAATGTGCCTTATAGGTATTATTACTTACAGTTGCGAGTTATTAATTTATAGGTACCTATAAAATGTTTACCTGTTTAACAGAATATTCCGTCATATTATCTTTTGTTGCAAGATCCTCAATACGATTGAAGGTAAGTTCTATTCATTGCGAAACTTGAATTTTCATCACCAGCCCTGTAAAGGAAATATCTTCTGTTAATAAAGAGTGTGTTTATAAACAAATATGTATATTTTTTTTCTTTATTTAATAACAGCTATAACATAATAATAAAATAAAAAGTAACAATAAAAATAAAACAATTTGTGTATTTGTTCTTTTTGACTATCCAACTTCACTTAAATTTCCAGCTTAACCTATTGGAATAAATGAAAATATACGTTCCAAATTATACAATTCCAATTATACAATAACGGAGTTTCCAAATTTGCCCGGAAACAAAAAAATGATCACCCCGTTTGTTATTAGTGCACAGTGCTCGTTAATTTTGTGCCAATTAAATTTTGGAGGAACCATTTTTTTAGGTAATATTACTGAAATAACCATTATTTATAAAAATCACAGGGAAATGCTCGTTTCATTATTCCTTTCTTTGAAATCGACAATACTTTACGGTAATTGATGACAGAGTAATTAATTGGAGAATCTGGGAGAGTTTCGATACCCCTCGACCTAACAAAAAAATGCCCTTGCTGACATATAAAATTCCGTTTATTAAATTTGATGAAATTTTTTTATACGACTAGGCTTCCTACATGAGCTGTAAAAAACGAATCAACACAGGCACAAGCAAAAAAAACTCATGATGAAATTTAAATGTGTTTCTTTCCCTTAATAACCCTGACATGCTGCAGTTAAAAGCTTAACTTATTGTCTCGACGCACAAGGATGAAAAAAGCAATTTTACCTGCCGGCAGAAAAAAGACTAATATGCCAGAAAAATGACAAAATAATTCATCCAAGTTTCAGTTCTATTAGTGTGACAAAAAAGTACCCGGAGATTTGGAATAAAAGGTAAAATTCGTAATCTTCGTTAATATTTCTAAAGTATTCTTCAAAATATGCTCCTTTTAAACCGATACTCGTAGTCAAATGACTTTTCCAATCATCGAAGCATTGCCTTTTTTGGTACGGCTTTTACGATAGCTCCTTCTGCGAATTTTCTTTGATGGCATTTATGGAATCCGCGTCAAAACTGGTTTCCTTAAGTGGCAATTTGAGTTTGGGAAATAAAAAAAGTCGCACAAGGCTAAATCTGGCGAGTAAAGCGGCTGGTGGAGCGGCTTAATACGCAGCATGATTGGTTGAGCAAAATTAAGCGAGCGGTTTAGCAGGAGATGTTGAGGTCACGTGCTACTTCTCTAATATCAGCATGATCATTTTCCAATTCCCTTCATTTTTTGTCGTTATCATTGGTTGAAGAGGTCCAAGGCCGTCCGCAACAGGGCAAGTCTTTAGTGATCTCCCGACTGTCTTTAAAAGTTTTGTACCATTCGTAAATATGGACTTTCGATGAAACATAGTCACCATAAGCATCATTCAATTAGCTGCTACAACCAAACTGATTAAGAAATCTCTTGAGAATTTTTTGCATGCTAATAAGAACAGTGTTACCTACGTACAGATACTTGAAATATTTAAAAATATTAAGTGCAGGTTAGTTAAATCATAATTTCTGGCTACTTTTTTTGCCAGAAACGTTATTTAATTTAAAGGCAATACAATACAAAAATCGACAATTATGAAAATATGTATGTCGGGCTCGAGACCTTTTCTATTAACTACATAATATATTCGAGAATATCTGGTATAAAACAAATTAGTTCTGAGATATTCCACGACTTTATACGATTAGATTCCAAGCTATTCAAATGTTGATTCTGAGCCGCACTACCATCATGGCCATTTTCTAGATATTAAAGCGATAATTACCTGCCACAAATTGGAAATTCTATGAAAATTAGTTATTTGATCACATATATACATGCTTGATAGGTTCATGCTTCTAATAAACTGATAATCCCGGCGGCAAACCAATTAGTCACAAATGGAACGCAGAACGTGATAATATATTACTTGTTTATTACTACTTCCAATAATTCTAACGGCAATCACGCGAATCAACGGTTTGAGTTTTACTGTCGGAATTAATTATCGAAGCTACTAATACGTCTGGAAAATTACACTGCACCGAAATGATAATGGTTTCTGTAATATCCAGTCGATTTGAAAAACGCGAATGACATGACATGAGTAGACACAGAAGAATGAAAACATTTCCAGTGAGTCTGAAACCGAAATGATTCGATTGAAAAACAGCGGGATAAAAAGGTGTGCGTATTATTGATAAAAGGTGAATTCAATAGATTGAAAAAAACAATAAAGGCACAAGTATTTGATGAAAAAACAATATTTATGTAATTATTTTGAAGGAAAAATGAAGAGCTTCATTTTAGAAAATGCCTCAAAATATAAACAGAGCTAGTGTCTAAAAAGTATGGAAACGCCGAATTTTACTCAAATTTATGACTCGAATGTAAAATCTAAAATCTACTGAATGTTAAAGTTATCCATTGTAACCAATATCGAACTGCCACTTCACCTCTTAAGGGAGAGGGACTTTAAAAACTTGCCGAAATTAAATTTTCCCAATTTTCTGCACTTACATTCGGGCCTAAAATTTGACTGAAAATTTACTTTTTCCTTGCCTTTCGGACACCCGGTTTATATTAAATGTTTATCTGGTATTCAAGTGTCTAAAAAGTATGGAAACGTCGAATTTTACTCAAATTTATGACTCGAATGTAAAATCTAAAATCTACTGAATGTTAAAGTTATCCATTGTAACCAATATCGAACTGCCACTTCACCTCTTAAGGGAGAGGGACTTTAAAAAGTTGCCGAAATTAAATTTTCCCAATTTTCTGCACTTACATTCGGGCCTAAAATTTGACTGAAAATTTACTTTTTCCTTGCCTTTCGGACACCCGGTTTATATTAAATGTTTATCTGGTATTCAATAAACTTAAATTCCCAATTGGACGAATATCACCTTCTTAATGAAAAATAGTGATAAACAAGATTAATGGAAAAAGTTTGTAAACTAAATATTCCGACTCACGAGAGACTTGAAAAATGCCGTATCGTATAGAAACTTTCCCAATCTGTTCACCTAGTGTTTCAAAGACGACGTGATTTTCTCGAAAACTGCGTTGATTGAGTATTTTCAAAACATCAGAAACTGTTGCAAAGGAAAGCGAGGTCTGTTTATTTTAATTTACATGCACCAAATATAGCAAATCCAAGTGCCTAAAATTTCACACGACATGTATGTTTATAGTTGATGTTATTTGTGTTTAGACAGGTGTGCATAAGTGAATAGTACCTACGTATGTACGTCTGTTCTGAATTTCATTTGTGGGCTAAAATTATAATTAAACCTTCTATTATCTGTAGGTAGGCATAGGATTCTATTGCATTTGTGGGGATATTCAGATGATTTAACCGTAAATTTTAAGTCACATCGCTCGAATCGCAGCATGGCCATTTGTAGGAGATATTAGTCCTAAAAGCCTTTCAATTACGGCTTATCCTGGCAAAATGGACTGCAAAATTCCAATCATTGGCCTATGACTGTCAAATATATTCCAATTAACTAGCACGTACGTCTTCTATTCGTGAAATTCGAATCGTTCGAATATATCAACAAATCTGGCATGTACTTTGACCCTTCTCTGTTATTTGAGATTAACGCGCCCTCAAGAGTTGGCGAGTAATCGATGATTTCAGCTTAATCCGAATTATCACGCAATCGACAAGGATATTCGATAGATTGGAAACCGGATTTAACAACTTCGAGTTAAAAAAAGAATGTGCCTAGGTTGTATAAATCCTGAATAATGCAAACGTTATCGTTTTCAACAGAGTTTTTGACTAAATCTGAGAAAAATGCTAATGTGAAGAGCAAGCATTTGAATCTCCGCGAAACATTATCGAGATAAAAATGATTGAACCACCCCTTGCTGACTCGAATATAATTTTCAGGATTAAATATCATTAGGAAATCGCAATTCGAATTGGAATTCGAAACTACTATATTTATGAGATATAATTATTCTAATAAATTCAGAAATTCTAATAAACCTGTATATAACAATATAAATTTACCTAAATTGCGACAATTTCTCTTCGGGCGAATCTAATTTCAAATGCAGGTTTAGCTGACTCATCAAGGGCAAGTTTACAGAGTGAGTTAAATCTCTTTAATATATATGCGGGTGCTCTTAACAACGTTTAACTCGAAACTAATACCTACACGAAGAGAAGATAATGTCCTCTAACGAAAAAGTTCCCTGGTAAATATGACCACGTTCAGTAAATTTACTTTTGGACAGGTCTTGAGAAGGGTTGGATTCATTAACGTAAATAATTTCAACTCTATAACCCATCTTTTCGCAGTTGTAACGTATCCGTCATTCAAATATAATTAACATTCTGTAGTTACACGAATGAAATGCAGATTATTAAAGCGATATAGAAGATTCGAATGATATATTTGTACTGAATATGCTTCATATTTGTTTAAACAAATTAACTTAAATCCAGCCGTATATAGGTATATTCGCTTGTATGATAAACTGATAACTTAAATATGCGGCGCGACAGGTTTTCCTATACATTTTTCTAGTGAATACGTATCCTTATGATCGGTAAAATAATATCCTGTGCGATGCAGGAAGCGGGGTTGTTTCCATGCATGGAACGGATTAAATCAGAGAATGCTGTCGCTTCCAGTTCTACGGGTAAGTCGGTATTTTTATTTTCGCGTTCGGAAATGGAATTTAAAATTGTATTATACTAATCCCCGCGTTGTTTGCGGCTTCGGAAGAGATACGATCGCCCCAAAAACCATGCTCCGATTTTAATTTTCATTCCAATAACGAAATGACCAAAATTTGATTGATGACCAAGAACTGGAATCGTTTATGAGCAAATGGAAAAGTCAATTAAAAATAATTATAATGCTTTGTTAAACATCGTACAAATGATGTGTAATTTTTTATTTTTTAGCATTCGGAATATGTTTGGAACATACAGACATGTTGATTATTTTCCATTATGTTGATTTCATTATATTTTCTTATTAATTATTTTTTTAAACGTAGCTTGTAGATTTCACTATAAAAACAGAATCAGAATATACAGTATGGTATACTTAATTGCAAGTCTAAATATAAATTATATTATTGAGAATATGCATTCAGTTATGAAATATGCGATTGTAAAAAGTTCCAGTGAATTCTGTTAATTAAACGTTCTTTATCCCAGTCAAACTTTTAATTGGATGCAAATGAAACAAGCAATTTTCTTGGAATCTAGCAGCTTCGAGATTTGTTACCAAATAAATTTTAATTTCCAGGAAAACAAGTATACAATGACGGCATAGAAATTACTTATTGGAGTGTGAACGTACCTACCTATATTTCATGCAGTAACACATACAATAATTCAGTTTCCTTTTCAAGTCGGGCAGCTCAAATGAAAAATTAGTTAATTAATTTTTCTATACGGCGCGTAGGCTTCCTTTCGGATCGCTATTAATCGGGAGTTTTATGAATTACCTACCTTTGCGCAAAAAACACCAATATTTTTTGAGTTCCTACTCCTGGTAACCTCGCCATTTCCTGCTATACGCATCAATATATTCAATAGACCCTTTGATGACGAAAATAAAAGAGTATTTTTTATTACTGCAGCAATAGGATATTAAAGTGAAAACAAGTACAAAAACAACAACAAAATAAGTCACTAAAAAGAGAAAATTTGCTATGCACGCGTATTAGATCCTCATAAAAATATTAAGCAACATTCATATTAAAAAACCGCTAATTATAGCAGTTAAAATCGTTAAATAAATTGTTCTAGATGAAAAGTTGCGTTGGTATTCAAATTTGAGCGAATTATATTAAAGTGCTCTTTACTAGTCGCAATCTGCATCAGAAACTTCATTTTAATTCTGAGCATACGCCCCGTTAAAAGCGTTTTGTGTTTGGAAAATTTAACTCGGATAATTCAGTCTGAACTGAATGCTTGACGACAATATCATTGTAAAAAAAAGATCCAAAAGATATTCGTCTATCCTTCAAACTTAAATCCCTAAGCAAATAAAACAAAGAAAAAGTTTCAAACAAAGAAAAAGTTACAATATAATATTCTCCACATCCCCACATATCCAACATTCTAAATTCGATTCTAAATTTATTCAGATTTAAAAGAAAATTACCTCGATATCCTTCGACCCTCTAGACTGTCTACTGCACCGAAACAACAATCATCGACAAAAAAATATAACGGCGGTTCACTCAAAAAAGTTCACGCGAAAAAGTTTGCCCGTGACCGTCGAACGAAGCGAGCGCGACGCGTCGAAAAGCGACGACACGGCCGACGCCAAGCGACGCCCGATCTCCGAGCGCAATAAGGAGCGACTACCAGCCGCGTCCCGAGGATAGGGGCTCCTGTCTTCCCCGTAGGGGCGCATGTACGCCCGTACGCACCTATCCTAAAGGGTTGGTGGTCTTGATTTATGTTACACTTGCGATGAAAAATCCCGCGATTTTCCGAAAGGTGAACGCCGAGGATGAGTCTGGAAGACGGCGACACCGTCCATCATATTTGCTCGAAAAAATATGACGAAAAGAAAGTCTCCTTGCTTGACCACAGGATTTTTGTTATGTAGAGGAAGTGCGCCATATATGGACCACCATAAGCACTTTTCTCGATAAATAGGCGAATTTTAAATTTTAATCAGCTTTTTTTATAATTATCAAACAATTCCTTAACCATTTAGTTAAGAAAAACTTTGAAACAAATAACATTTTCTAAAGTATTTCATTTTTATGAACTTTCAGAAAGTGAACATAATATGGACCACATCCAGATTTTTCCATTTCTAGAATATAATTGACTAATTCATCTTCCAATTCAGTCGGTAATGTTGATTGTCTCCCAAATTTTTGGGTGGTGATATCATTAAGTGATTTGTTTTGGGTGTATGTTTTGGAAGCTTTCGAAAAGCCCATTTTAGAAAGCCATTCTAGAACATAACAATTAATTTTGAGCCAGTCAATATTTAAAACGTGCCACTGGTCCATATTGTGATACTTACTCATTTTGAGATTATTTTTTTTCAGAAAATTGGAATATTATAGAATATTAAAACTTAATACAATTAACTTCAACATGACTTACCTTCATCGTGGTCTTATCCACTTTGACATAAAATAGTAATTTTTTTGATTAAAAACTTCGATAGAAAATTAGATCGCGCGTTGCAGATAACTAAAAAAAGGCTGTCGTAAATATATGGATCATCTGGATCACTGCAAGCGACAGATGGGTAAAGGGAGGAGTGATGCTTAGTGATGCTTAGGATGCGTGTGAGGATCATTTACTCGATATAAAGCACGTTCTTTTTAAAATGTGGCGGTGGTCCATATTATAAGACCGGTCGTACCATATTTACGTACCAAGACCTTTACTGGCTTAATTTTAAATTATGTTTATGCAGTCTGTCCCTGCACTCTAGTCCCTATTATAATAGAAAATAATACTGATTAGCGATAAATTAATGAGCTACCCACTTTCGTTTGTTTACTGCATCCCGCACATTTTAAGCCGATTTAATTTCGATTATACGTCAATCAACAACACGATATATTACACATTAATAATTAATAAATACATATACATATTTTATACAAAAAAAATAAATTTAAATAAACAGTCCTGTCCGACTAACGCACGTCATAATTTCTCGCCACTCAAACTCATTACGTTGTAGTAGGAATGGTCGGGAAACCTCTCTAATTCAATGTAATCAGTTTCGGTCATTAGTAATTTTTCTAAAAGCTCCAGGAGCTCGGAGAAGGACGGTCGCTCCTTGGGGTCCTTGTCCCAGCAGTAATACATTATGTTGTAGAGCTCCCTCCTGCAATGTTCCGGCTTGTCCAGCCGGTAGCCGTCGCGAACCTGCAGGAAAAAGTACAATTATATTAATAGGGGAATTACTAAACGGGAAAATTCGCCCGGAGTTTTGCCTGCGTGCGGCATTTAAATGTCGATGGTTTGATTTATTTATGGAGTTATTTGCATAAAATGTGGTTGTGAATGCGAAACAGATTCAATTAACTGGATAGGAATCAAAATAAGGTAATAGATTTTGAAAAAGAAAATTAATTATAAAATTCAATGGGATTTGGATGTTTCAATGCCTGCTAACTTTCTCTTTCTTGTTACTGTTGCCTATATTTTTCCGTCAATTTTCTAGTTAACGATATTGCGGGGTTTCGTTTAAAATTGTAAGGCGAGATCCATTAAAATTGAAAAAGATCGTTCGCAAGAAAATTAAATTTTAATGAGCTTTCCAATAAGTAGGTTGCACCGAGTTTTACGCACCGAATAATTAAAAAACATGGAGAGAGTAGGTTTAAATTTTACTAGGCAATCTCTATTTTATTATCGAGATATTATTTTTACGAAATTTGAGAGCAAACTTTAGGAACTTGGGAGAATAATATAATTCCGTTAAATCGTCATATTTTGAGTGAATAATATACTTTCTCGAAGCTTCGATTGCTATAGGATCATTACTAAAGACTTTCAATAACTACCGATTTTGGTTTAATAGAGTTTTGAGCAAGATAAATTGTCATCCAATATATTCTGATACCACCACATTATGAACCTTGACAATGATCGATGTACTGACAATAAATTGTTCTTCTGCTTAGAATGCTACTTGAGGAAAAAGTAAATGTAAAATTTATACTCAAATTGGTAAGTTAATGAGCTGATTAATGCTAAAGAACGATGAAGCTAAATTATGAAAATTTGATTAAATGCCATTTACAGTAATAAACTAATAATCTGTAATTAGTTCGTTTATGATACATAAACCCTTTACTAGCTTATTTCAAAAGTGGAATTAGAGGTAGATTACACCAACAATATCATAATGCTCGCACCCAAAGTGAATTAACTGAAAACTTCTCTCAAACAGGCCTAAGTAAAAGAGTAACACATCCTCGGGGGATTTGCTTTATCCTGTTGGTAATTGAATTGCGACAACGCATTAGTAGGAAATTAGTCGGGTGTGTGTAAAATGTTGGTTGAAAATTGGAATGTTGGAATGATAAATTTCCCGATAAAAGCGAATTTTGAATGTTCAAGTAGGTCGAAATAATTTACCGTCTAACCGGACACTTTTGTGCGTTAATGAGAAAAGTTTAATATGAATTTGATTCAATTAGGGAATGGCAAAATCCTTACCCTTTCGGATTATACACGAAATTTTAAAAAGCAAAAAATTAGAAGTTTTTATTATTTCTACGGATAATTAGGTACAGTTCTGCAATGTTTATAAATTGATATTTATATTCATTTTGGGGAAAAGAACAATAAATTGTTGCTTCTTTAATATAATACCATTATAAAGCTACCTTATGTGTATTGTATATTATACTTAACTCCCTGTTATAAATCACATCTTTCTGAAATTACTGCTTTAGAGTTCTAAAATATGTTTCGGAAAAGTTATGATACCTTCACCGTTTGTATTAAATGCTTAACTAGGTATTTATTATACGAGAGCAGTGTATCAGCTTAAGTGTCATATACAAAAAGAATTACGGAGAAGGGTTCGTACAAATCCTCCTAAGCTCATCCACTCACCTTTTTCATGACTTCGACGGCGGACATGCCGGGATACGGAGTACTCCCGAGCGTCACGATCTCCCAGATGAGAACTCCGAAACTCCACACGTCCGATTTGACCGTAAAAATATTATCGTAAAGCGATTCGGGCGCCATCCACCTGATCGGGAGTCTGCCCTCGCTCTTCCGCTCGTAGATGTGATTGGCGATGATGTCTCGGGCGAATCCGAAATCCGCCACTTTGCATACGTGCTCCTCGGTGATGAGCACGTTCCGGGCCGCCAGGTCCCTGTGTATGATCTGGAAGAATCGAATCCATCGGATTAGAGGGAGAGATCGCGCTGTTTGTGCAGTTGAAAGGGTAAAAATTATGATATTTACGTTGGGAAGAATGTGAATGATCGAAGGGAGTAACCGAAGATGCGAAGGTTGGAAGAGCATTGGTAAAAGTACATAATGTACAGGGTGTACCTAAATAAAACCGATTAAATTTACGGGGTGATTCTGTGATGAAAATTAAGGTGGATGATTGGTATAATTTTTTTGAAAAAAACTATTTCTTTGGTTGGCTTTTGTTCCTGTTAAATGCTATTTAAAATGAACTTGCAATAGGTACAATTTTTTATCTTGAAAATTGTTTATTTTTGAAAAAAACTTGTAGAGATAAAAATGTTAGTAAATGAGCTTTTCATGAAACGTTTCAGCCATATTTTTGTAAAAGAAAAGTTTTCATCTAAAAAAAGTTATAAGAAAATTTTAATTCCTTCTAAGCATAGGTACGTCAGGGTTGAAAAATTTCAAAACGTGTAGTTTTATTTACAAATAATATTCTCAAGTTTCGTGTCTTTAGCTTTAAATATACAGGAAAAATAAAGAAAAAATATATTTTTTTCAATCTTTGGAGGGATATAATTTTCCGAGTGGTAGTTTTTCAAAAAATTTATACCAAGTACTCACCTTAATTTTCATCACAGAATCACTCCTTAAATTTTTTCGGTGTTATTTAGATACACCCTGTATAGATCTCGGGAGGTTCTTAATGATTGAATTATACCAAAATATACTCAAAAGACAGTAATACTCAATTACTGATACCTAATTTTCTCATTTGTATTTCTATGTATACATACATAGAAATACATATTGTCGTAGATATTTAGAGAAAATTATTATTTGCAAACTATTTCAATGACTTGGCGTAAACTTTTTAATAGCTAAATGAAATAGATAAAATGAAAAATAAAGTTGCAGGATGAATACTAGTAAAAAATTCTTCCAAATTCCCTGAATCCACATTTTACAAACACGTGATTTTGGATTTACCTATGCAAAATCAGTTTTTCACGAGAACAAATCCTATCAAAACAAACCCAACTAATGAAACCCCGGGAAATCAAAATATAATGAAAAATAGCTTATGTAACTCGTGATTAAAGACATTTACTATACCTATATGCATACGCTTAATTTGCAGCAAATTATATTCGATCAAAATTTCGAGCGTACTTTAACAGGAAGAACGAAATGCGAATAGACTAGCAGCAGCAGGTGGATTTTATTCGTTTGAAATTTTACTCGGTTAGAATTTTTGAAACTCTACTATAACTTTTTTAATTAGAATCGTCCATGCTCGGTTTTATTTATCCCTAGAGGTGATTCGAGCTCGACGTTTGATGTAGGATCGCCGGCACCAAAAAAGCGCCAGCATCATTTATTTGCACAAAAATTGAGACCAATCCGTTTGTTAAAATTTGAAGCTTGAATGTATCGACTGTACAAGTGAGTATACTTAAGTCGTGGGTTGTTAAATATTTGCTGAGGTTTGCAATAAATGTTCGTATGCTGACAAACAAATCGGTTTACAAAACATTATCATTTATTCCAGTTAGTCTGAGTTGCAATCAACGTTCAGTTTCAATTTATTTCTAAATTATTTGTTTCGATCTAAACGGTCTTATTGTCATCTAATATATCTTAGTTGTTTACAAGTTGGAGAAGACTTTATACAAAGCAAGACACTTCGAGTTATTTGTAAAGTCTATCTTCGTTAATTCCAACTTTAAATTATCTACAAATGAAATTGTTTTGATGAACAAATAGATTTTTTAAAAATAAAAATAAACTAACCCCTATAGTTAAAGGCTTTTGAACGAGTAATCATGATTGAGTTTAGCGACTCGTTTAAATTCTCTTTATGATCTGCTGTTAGTTAATTACTAAATTGGAAATAGAGCCTTTGTAATTTTCTTTTGAGCACGATTTTTTATAGATGCCGTAAATAACAAAAGAACTGGCAGAAACATGGGCCACAAATATCAGAAAAAAATATTCTTTTTCCTGACCTCTTCACACAAGTGCTACTATACTCTATTTCCAAAATAGTAGGCACTAAATTCTCGGAAATATTGTTGCTTTTCTTATTTATTACATAATCCTTGCTCTTCTAATTATTAGTCTCCTGCTGATTTTCCCGTCAAACACACTTGTAGCCTACGATATTTTCCGTACGCCACTGGGAGAGACCCATTATCTCTATCATTTCTGAGAATTTAGTGCCTACTATTTTGGAATTAGTGTATAGCCACTTAAACGATAATAAAACGCACGGGAAATAAAAAATAATTAAATGAAAGCAAAAATACCATTCAAACACAAGTCGATTTAATGGTCTACCAGGGTAGACCGTTCTGCTGTGTTGACATCGTTATGAACACCCTTACTGAAATAAGAGGCCATGAAACATATAAAAAGCTGTTATTTTGTTCCTTCCTCGTCGTACTGTGTAATAATATAAAATAAAATAGAGGCCCACCATCGAATAAACATGTTGTCAGTTCGCTTTCTTTATCCATTTACTTTATCGCCAAAGAGCTTTCACAAAGGAAATTGCGACTTCGAATTCGTCGTGGGCTTAATTTAGTACGTTTTGATAATAACGGACTTTAAAAATAATTCTAATAAATTTCTTTGTTGACTGTAAGGGTGGTACAAATTTTTGTTTAAATTTCCATTCTATTGACGAAGTCAAATTACTAAAGGAATTGTAATCTTTAGAATCGGTTGTTCGTAAACATCAATTCTGATTGTATACAGGGTTGCGGTGCATTACAACATTTAGGAGTTTCTGAAGAGTCAACTTCGTTATTTCAAATGGAAAGTACCAATGAAATTGGTCCTTTAATTAATGATTTAATTAATGATAAAGTTCGATTATTTCAGAAACGACTGGATTTAAGTATATGGAATCAAAAGATATGTATATCAAAAGATCAAAAGAGCTTCAAATTATCCATTGAACAATGCCTAAGAGTACAGGGTGGTCTAATTGAAATAACAAAGTTATGGCCACTTTATGTTTGTCAGATAATTTTAAACACCCTGTGTATAGACCATGGAAACCCTGTTTAGTATCATTTACTACTGTTTTTGCATATTATCGATACCAAATTTCAAACTTCTAGGAGAATTATTAACAGAGACTCGCTAAACGCTCGGAAAGGGGGCTGTGCCCCCTTTCAACCCCCCTTCCTTATGGTGGCGGCTTCGCCGCAAGACAGTTTGCTAGATGGATCCTCGTTCGCTTCGCGAGCTCGGTGCAATTGAATTTTCGTTTGGAAATTAATCACACCCCGTATATCAATTTTTTTAACAACCAGATCTCGCTCTAGTTAACGATGGGCTCTGCCGCATAGACCCGCAGCTCGGAGGCCTAACGGCCTCCTACGCAAAGGCTGTTAATCAACTAAGGTCTCGCTCGCTGCGCGAGCTCGACTAAATCGCTCTAGTTAACGATGGGCTCTGCCGCATAGACCCGCAGCTCGGAGGCCTGACGGCCTCCTACGCAAAGGCTGTTAAACAACTAAGGTCTCGCTCGCTGCGCGAGCTCGACTAAATTGCTCTAGTTAACGATGGGCTCTGCCGCATAGACCCGCAGCTCGAACGCCTATCGGCGTTCTACGCAAAGGCAGTTATATAGCCGGATCCTCGCTCGCTTCGCTCGCTCGGTTTATGTATAATTAACATTTCCTTAAATACGAGTCACCCTGTACTATATTTCAATTCAATTGAAAATAATTTTTCATTTAAGGTAAAAAAACGCCCCGTATATAAATTTTTCCGATTTCCTTAACGAAAAAACACCCTGTACATCAAATTAAATGTCAATGTATCCCGTAGTAACGGAAATGACAACTTTGACAGTTTGAAATTTGTTCATCGCCGCTGTCATTAGTGTAGTTTTTTTAAAAGTAATTCGGTCGTTTCTCCGTTTTTGGTAAGTACAAATGACCAAGAAACGTACATTTTTGCGTATTATTGCATTTTCTTTTATTCTCGTCCATTAAAAACGACGAAATTGTCTAAATAACGAAAAAAATCTCTCATTTCGGTGTAGTTCCGTTTAAACCAAACGAACGGGCAACGTCCATTCAGTAATTTATTTGGAAATGTGTCAAAAATTTTACTTTTAAAATCGAATTACGGAAAATTTCGTTTTTTCCCAGAGAAAAGAGGTAGATTTTCGTAATCGGCGAATTATTTTACGTCCCCCCATGTACCTCCGTATGCCCCAGAAACTCCGTTTTAGTTTCGGTCTTCCTCCTTCATTTGTTTTTTTGGAGTTAGAGCTATATATATATGTGACTCGCTTGTCAGCTCGGAAAGGGGGCTGCGCCCCCTTTCAACCCCCCTTTCTTACGGTGGCGGCTTCGCCGCAAGACAGTTTGCTAGCCGGAGCCTCGCTCGCTGCGCTCGCTCGGTCGCGATCATCCTGTACATCAAATTTTCACATTTCCTTAACGTAAAAACACCCTGTACATTAAATGTCCAGTCGACGTTTCCTTAGAAACGTCAGTGACATTTTCAGTCAATGTGAGGTTGGTTCTTTGTCGCTGTCATTAGTGTACACTTTTCGATATTAATTAAAACATTTCTCGATTATTCGTCAATAAAATGAGGAGAAAACTTGAAGGTTAGTAAATTATTGTATATTCTTTCATATTCAACCGTTGAAAGCGGCTAAGAGGGTCAAATTAAGAAAAAATCTTGCACCGCGGTAAAGTTCCGTTCAAACTAAACGAACGCAAATCGTCCATCAAATAATTTTTCGAAAAATGTGTCAAAAATTTCAACTTTAAATCGATATTGTAAACGAAAACGAATTTAGCTGGGAAAAAGAGGTCGATTTTCGTAATCAGCGAATTTTTTCACGTCCCCCCAACTACCTCTCTACGCCCAAGTAATTCAAATTTAATTTCGATCTCCAATCGGTCTATATCCCCTGGGGTTTTATATATATAGTGATATCCTAGAAAATACACGCGACCGTTTTCCCAAAAAATTTCGAAAAAAATTAAAGAACTTAAAAACTAGAACAGCTCTAAATAAAGCTATAAAAAATTTAATAATTTTCCCTATAATGGTAGAAAAAGTAATGTGTTACCGTAAAGTATTCTGCTCATAATAGTGTTTAACCCAATAGATGTTACTCACCCCGTTGTTCGATAAAAATTCCATCCCCTTCGCCACTTGATAACCGAACGACGTCAAATCTCTGGACGTAAGCGATCGACTATGACCGTGCATGTTGTTGTAATACCTTTCCGCCCTGGAATTTCGCAAATAGCTTTGCAGCTTCCCCTTGCTGATGTACTCCATAATCAGGAAAATCGGCTCCTTGTCCGTGCAGCAGCCCAGCAATCTGACGACGTTGGCGTGCGGCTCGAGCATTTTCATCACTTGCAACTCCGACAGCAGATCGGATTTTTCCTTTTCGTTGGCGTTTTCTTTGAGCGTCTTCACCGCCACGACCGTCACCCCGGCGTCCTTCTCTGGAAAGGGAGAAATTTACGTTCTAATTTGATTGACGAATTAAAGAGCAATGAAGATGATCATCGAATCGAGGGAGAAGTTGATGGAGTTACGACGAAATAATATTAATTTAGCCGCCGAATTTATTTAATTTGGACGTCAAAGTTGAGCTAAAGTCGTAAATTTCGTTCGTTCGCAAAGCGAAACAAACTGACGTAAATATTCCAGACTGAACGCTGTTTTTTATGAGAATTTATTTGTTGGGTTTAAAAGAATCTAATATAGCTATAAAAGTTTCAGGATAGTCTCTTGTGTACACTAGGACATACCGTCGAGATCCAGTGCTTCGCATTTCCAAACTTGCCCAAACGCGCCCTCGCCTAAAATATTAAAAAACTTCAATCGATGTCTAGGAAACTCCCATCGGTCCGCGTTTTTGACGGTGGTTGATAGTTGATTTCCCACCTGAAAATAGACAAAGCGTGCATATTTAATAACGTTCGCGTCTGGATGGAAAATCTTCAGATAGCGAGTGAATCACAGGGTGACTAAATTACCGAATAGAGTTTTCCACGGGAGTGAGAGTGCATGAGGCAATTTACTTGAGTACGTTTATAAAATACATTCAGAAGTATTTGAAAATTAGGTACCTACCTATACAATTTTTTATCATTTAGAAACGTGGAATGTATAGAATGATTTAAATGAACTAAAATTGGATAAGTTTTCTAATTAGTTAGATGTTAACTTCCGCCAAATTAAAACTCCCGTTAAATCCACAAGAAATTTTATTCAGAGAAGAATAATCATTCTCGCGATAAATTTCGCCTGAACATAATTAGTATTCAAAGCTAGCAGGTAAATTAGGAACTTCTTCGTCTTTCACAAGCACACCAACTATTATTTTGTTTAGTTTAAATTCATCCATTAATCATTTCTCTTTAGGGCAGGCATAGAAAATACGTATTAAGTTTCAAATAAAGATTTCGACAAGTTTCACGTAGAGCAATTGCGCTGCCACAATTTATATCTTTTAATACATATAAATTCCTGGCAGTCGTCATAAAGTAATAAATTTGCGGTATATACTGCCGTCGGTGTCGTAATTGTTCCACATTCCGAACGAAAGTGTAGACACATCGAAGATTTGTGCTCTCTGTATTTCCGCTAACGCATCAATCCCTTGAATTTATAACGATCATGCTGTGGCAAAAAATATTAAAATACCTATAGTTTTTTTTCACAAAAAATAAGGATTTTTATTACTTTTATTGTATGTTTAATTACGCTTGTAGCAGAGTTTAATTGTGCAAAATGAAAAGGGAAAGCCTCCTAACAGACGTGTAATTATTGAAGAGTTCCAAAGTAATCAAATAAAAGATAAACCTGCACAATAAAATGCGATGAAACTCAACCTTATTCGCTTATTTTAATATTAAATTAAACGAAATTGGAACAATCGTGATACATTTTTAAACAGTCTTGTAAATTAACAATTACCTGGCAATTTGCTCTCCCTTGAATTATTTTTAGAACACCGTCTGAAATTGAAATCGACACTTTTCAACCGCTTTTCTGTCGACAATATCGCGTTTCGCTCGGAAATTCAACGAGAACAAGAAGTTCGCTGGATAATCGTTCGTTAAGCAATACACGGCGAGAGCTATCGAATGTGAAAGGAATGAACTTTTGCTCCTGAGACACCTGTAAGTGTTAACAAACAAGCTATCGAAATGCAGTTATTCCGAGCAGAAGGAAGCACTGGCGAAATAAAATTGGACAATTTATTTATAGGATCAACGCGAAGTTTGTGTACTTGATTGATGGAATTTCATTAAACTGGAAACTATCTTAACTAAATTTACTAAAATACGATAGAGTCTTTTTGTGTAATTAATTATTAATTAATTATATAGTTCGTCAAAATTAGCGAGTCGCTTTTTTGAAGTCCTGTAAAATTTGCTATAACCAAGTTAGAGACGAGAAATTTTCACAAGGGGTTTTGCCTTTACATCAATTAAGTGGAATTATCCCCATTCAACTCCAAATGGTCGAACTACCCCTTTGAATCGTATACACAAAATGGAAACTTTTTGGGGAAAATTCGATCCCTTTGGGAAGTCCTAAGAAAGTGATTTATTCTGAGGAGCATCCCCTAGTATTAGGGTATTATTGCAGATTAAATAAACTTATAAACTAGATAAATAATTACTGGATTCGATAAATTTTGATTGAATGCACATATTTGATTACGATCATCACCAAATTTGTACTTCCATTTATTCACCTAATAATTTTGTTTATTCTTTTAAGTGATTAATATTTCATTACATCCATTGATTATGTCATAGACTAACGCTTTGTACCTCATGATTGATCCATTCTTATGTATTCTAAAGATTAAACAATAGAAATATTATATAAAAAACTTACTTGTGTTCGATTGCTTTCGCCTTGCCATGATTCATATCGATTGCTGAATGCCCTGGGTCCTCTCCATTCTTGCAAATTCAACCCAGAATCATCTTGTAACACAATAGCGTTACCGTTACTCGACTCTTTTCTCTGAAAATTCAACATTTTTAACTCCCACTTAGGTATAAAATTGTATATAGAACTCACCATGTCATCTTTGGAATCCTTCTTCTTCGTGCTGTAAATCTTCTTTCTGAATACGAACGCGATAACAGCGACCGTTAAGAACACCCCGAACACTGCCACAGCAGGAACGATGGTGCTGGATATTGCCTGGACGGACTTCACTGGAGTTTCGGAAGTTAGTAGATCATTGGAGGATTCTACGTCGAGTTCCGGACGTTTTGTAGTCGTGGTTTTTTCTGTCGTGGGTTTGGGAGTCTCGTCGATGTCGTTCTTCACGTCATCTTTTGGTACTGGTACCGGTTTCAACACGGTATTAGAGTTCTTATTCTTTCCGTGAGCTCCCAAAGATGATGGGTAATAAGGCGGCTGCTTCGTAAAGAAAGGCGGGTTGTTTATCACAGGCTGGTCGGGATAGTTGGACGGCGGGGAAGGCGGTCTCTGGATGATCGGGTGATGATAATTGGGATAATTTATGTTTTGAGTGAATATCGGGGGTCTCTTGGGTTTCGACGGATTAAAACTGTTCTTCGCTCCGATAATATTTACGTTCGCCTCGTTTTTGGAATTGTACTTGCCATCGCTTACAATTACGTACAGATGGAGATTTTCCTCGGCCTGAGAAAACACGTGCAAAAACATAAATAGTTTCATTAATTTTAAACTAAGAGGCGAGGACGCGGCATTTGAACAGCTTCTAACTAATTTTAACTAGCCAAATTTCACCGAGAATTATCAAGATATTCGTTCTATCAACAACTTGGAAAGATTTAGTGGTGTATAATCTAAGTTGCACATATTTGGCTTTTGTACTATAAAGTTTTCTTATTCCTGTACCAAATAACATTTTACTAAAATTACATTAATTGCTTTAGAGTTTAAACTTCCAACTCTAACTTATATTATAAATATCTACAAGAATATACCATTGCGTAGCATTTATTTTGTTCTAGAGATTTTTATGAAATTCTTTGGATATCTCTGAATTCGAATGTATATGATGTTAGATATCTCATATAAAAAATAGTTACTTACTCTTCCCATAAGAGACTCGTTCAAATATACGGTTCCAGTTTCGTTGTCGATTCGAAACGGCAAATTTCTGTTCGGATATTTGCTGATATAAAGCGGGCTAGGCTCTAATCCGTACGTTAGGGGCTCTCCTTCGGCGTCATCTGCGTGAACTTGAGTCACCCTGAAACCAACAGTTTCATTTTCTCTGATGTTCCATTCCCTGCTCTCCATCCAAACGTAGGGCGGCGTGTTGTCTTGGCATTTACCTAATATATCAAAACAATAAATCAACCTCGCACGAACGTTTTATTTCAATACAAGCTACCGTTTTATTATAACGTTTAGTAGGATTTGTATTGTTGGATTTGTAAAAATAAAACGGTCATTTTCCGATTTGAATTGCCCACCGCGCCGATATTTATTAGGGCAGTTATGCACAATTTCCTGTTTTCTCTTCAACACGTCCGTCCGCAGTAAATTCCCATTTATAGTTGCTGCGAGACATTTGAATAAATTCGTAGGGGCGTTTATCCCATTGCAAAATCGAAACAACCGGCATTTCGTTAATTGCGTTTTGTGATCTTTTACGATCCAAATCCTGATCCTGTATTCTACAATTACACAAGTGCCGTTTGGTATTTTTTGTTACGTGGTTAACGTTAGTATTTTATTAGGTATCGGTATACCTATAGTGTATTTTTAATTCCATATAATAAAAATTTACTGGACTGTTAAGCGCTAGTATGGGAAAGTTTAGCGATGAAACTTCATTTTTCCACTATTAGATTTTAAAAAAGGAAGTATCAGTCGATCATCTAATTGCTGACAATGAGAAGGAACTGAATAATATATGTTGTTTTCAAATATTCTGGAAATATTATTTACTGTGAACTGTAGCATCGTGGAATTGAAAAGAATCGCTCGACATTAAGTGTCAACGTTTCAGAAAACGCAAAACTAGAAAATTGAATTCCTTTGTTGTCAAGAGATACGTTTCTGTAACCTTACGCTGGAAAGAAGCTTTACCGTAAGTATCTATATTTTCCCTTTTTGATATTCGCAAATTCGTGAGCGTTCTGATAACTGGAATATATTAAAAAACAAAAAAAAAGTTTTTATTCTACAAACAGTCACAACCTACAAAGTATGCATACAAACACGAGAAATATTCCACATTTATTAGGTAACATTAACTTCTCCACAAACAATGTAACATAAGTTACTAACTCCTACAAAAGTGGAATAAAATTCTCTCTCTTCGTACCAATTATCGAGAAACATACAAATTCGACGCTTGGCTTATTGTGTACAAGACCGGCAAATTGATAATTTAGATATGAACAGCTTCCTCGTACTTTAATTTGCCAAGTGGCTCAGCAAGCAATAAAATTGCAAATTTAATTGCTATCCTGGAAGAAGGGCCTTTCTTGCTGGCAGTGATGTGGTTGGGGGAGTGAATGTTAATATACCAAGCCTGGCATCGGTCACACCATTTATTAACTCCAGTAAAATTAAACTACATAGTTAAAAAGAAGAAGCTGATGCTTGATATAAATGAAGAGAAATATGAAAGTATACGTTGGTAGATACTCTTACGTCTATAGTATAAAGATATTATTACAGTATCTTTAAAGAAAGTTGTTTTGGTAGACTATAATAAGATAGTATTATTACGATTATTGAAGCATGCCTTTGATTAATATTAGTTGATTTGGAAATGAGCATAGTAATTAAATTACATCAGTGTTTATTGATTGGTATTATCAATGATTGGTGTGTTTTTGTAAGAACTGGTCGAAATTAAATGGGATAAGCCACTGTCCTAGTGCCGTTTTGCCCTTTTTAATTCACTTCGTCTAATAAAAGACAAAGCAGAACTAACAAATACCTGCTGTTGTTCGACTAAAAAGAGCTGGTAGGAAGCTTTTTTTGGATGTTGTATTTTGCGCCGAGTAGAAACTGAGAGAATGAATTATTTCGTCGCAGGAGCTCGAGTGCAAATGACTATTCGAGTGGTAAATTGTGTTCGTCGGGGTCATTCCGTGATGCATCGCTATTGTGCTAATATTTTAGTGATCGTTTTGGTTTTTTTATACATATAATTCTCTTCTAAAGCAGCTATTGTTTGTTTTATAAATGCTATCTGGAATGAAGTACCTATAGATATAACGGAGTAGTACGTCTATTTATTGAGTGAAACTAGTTTGGTTCGACTGCGACTAATATAAAAGAGAAATTTTTGTGGACAAAACTATTATCGTTTTATTGAGGTCACCGATGGCGGATGTAGTGGACCTAATATTTTAGCAATATGCTGCATATTCGTTGTTCAATATTGAATGTATTATAAATCGACAAAGGAAATGCAATTAAACGATAAGCCAAAACTGATTAATGAAATTTAAATTGGAATACAGAAATCTAGAGTCGGCTCGAATGAAAATTGAAAACCTATTGATGATGCTCATTAATTTTATGAGCGGTTTAATGGGTTTTAAAGTAAAATTGGTTTATTACTAGATTCCATTTTGCTAAGAATTCCTTTTTAACCTTTTTCCTTTTTACTTTTCCTTTGCAATAAAGATTACTTTTCATAACTTATTAAAAATATCGCTTCTTGCTATAAAGAAAAATCCTCTATTAGGAAGATTTTTATTAATTCGATAATTGATAATGGATTTATCTACGAGTATAATCGTTTGCACGTACCTACATTTTTTAATATAGCATCATACTGATTAATCATATTTCATAATAAGTAGGTAATATGTGAAAATTTTGAATAGTGGTATGCATGAATAATTTATTTATAATTCAAAAAGTTTATTACAAATCGATATGACAAATATAAAATTGATATAATTTTGTGGAATTCCAAAAAATACATATCTAAAAATATTGTTACTATATTTTATAAAATGTGTGAAATCTCAACTTACAGTTATATTCTATATCTATCTACATATTCCATAAATCCCTATAAATAGGTAATTCCGTACATTTATATAGTGAATTAACAACAATTATTATCTTAATCGTATTTTAACACGTTTTTAAACGAATGATGATACTTAAATTATAATTACTTGTTTACAAACCAATTCTCGCAAATTTATTCCGGCCTTTGAAGTAATAAGTACCACTACATCGCCTTATCCCGCGTAATATTTAATAAATAAAAACCTTATTCAAGAGCATAGCTTATTCATTATCTATTTGCGCAATCGCAATTCATACTAAGAATATATTTAATATACCTGTATACTCGACTTTAGCTCGATATTTCTCACTGTTTGTTTTTCTCCGATTCAAAAAGGAAGCAGGAATCAAAGCGAAGCAGTCGGTTCTCTAAGGTCGACCTCTTTTCAATTGGGAAATCTTATTATTAATATTAATAAGTAATAAATAAATACAAATATAACCGTCAATTCCATCAACATAAATTTATTTTAGACAAAACCCCGATTTGTCAAAATCTACACACTTCTTCAGTTTTTATTATTTATTGGGAATTAAAAACAAGGTAAAAATTATGTGACTTTGGGTATAAGCATCAGTTAAGTGTACCTACATTGCGTTTGATTATACCAACAATAAAATTGGGAGTTTTTTTAAATAACTTGCTTCTAAAACACATCTCATCATCATGTAGGTAGATCTACTTGTTCGTTTATTCATTAAATGAGACCATCGGAATTATTAGCAAAGTTTTTAACGGTTTTTCTACCTCAACATTCCTCGCCATAGATGTCGAACCAGCTAACCCAGTGGATAAATTCGCGTTGACATGACGTCATATCATATCAACAACGAGGTGTTAAAAATAAGCACGGACAAAGAATGTCGAAATCCCTAACCTCAGCAGTGAAAGTAACCGAATATACATACATACGTCGACTGCTGTAAGTTGGAAATAAATTGTAGGTATTCTCAAGGTCTCTGTAGGTCCGGATTGATTTAAGACGAAGAATAATCCGATTCGAATTCGAATTCCTACATAAGTAGGCTTATTAATAAAATACTCATCGTTATTAATCGGTACGATAAGTATAAATTTAAGTAAGTAATTAAAATGCAAATTCGATAGAGTAAGGTCTATTTCCAAGTACAATTAGTAGATTTTAATTAGTTATTGACGTTTATTTTAAAGTTCAATTTGTGTACTATAATTGTTTAATTGATTCCTAAATTAATGATGATTTTAGGAAAATTATTTAAAAATAATACATGTGACTAAAAAATATAGATATCACAAATTAATTGGTTTACTGAACAATGACTATAAAATAATATTTTTATCAAGTTCAACGAACTTGCATCCAGCTTTCATAGTTTTAAACAAAGTATTAATTCAATCGATTTTTCGATATAAACACGGTCTTTAGAGATCGCAATCGGACATGCTTTCTCGACTCACCTTTCATTAATAGAGAAGCAAAAGAAAGTAGCACAAAACAACTATTCCAACACATATCGAACGCGAAACGTAACTCGAAGAAACACCGATCGCACTTCAAAACCCACCCTACAAATTCACAAATTGAACAATTAAATGGGGTTCATTAAGCACTAGGTTTCTCGCCTAACGTCGTATCGATATCTCCGCTCTTCTGCGATGCTTCCTCATCGTCGTCGCGCGTTGAAAATTACACCGCTTGCAGAAACGAGATCTGACCGATACTCTTATCTAATCTATCGCGAAAATTCGGAAAAGATCATGTCAAATTTTTCGTTCGATCGATCTATCGGCGGAGGATCCAACGGCCATACTCGCGGACGCGCGCTACGGCGAAATCGCGGTGTGTACTAAAACCTCATCGGCTCGATGATGGAGGTGATTCGTCGACGATTCCGCTTTTTAGAAAGCAACATCGACGGTAACGGTATTAGAACGCGGTAATTTTAAACGCAAACAATTCCTATTATTCATGGAAGTTGTCTCATGATTGAATGATTGATTTGTTTCAGCCGCGAGAACAATTAATCCGCTCGTACAGGTTATACCGGTTTAATGAAGATTTTACAGGTTTACTTAAGAGTTGATTGGTACAAGGGCGCGTATATTCTGCTAATTTAGTTGACTAATTGAATAGTGAGTAAGTGTAATTTACTTGTAGGGTATTGCAAGGTTTGCAATTATAATGGTGTGAACTTTTACAGACTAAATTTCTACCTTTATTATTTCTATTCATGTTTTCTTAATCACTTGGAATTAAACCATTAATTATTTAAACATAGCGAGGAAATTTTTAATATATCTAACCTTATTTATATTATTATCTAGATATACCTAATTATATAAATCATCGAACTAATTAATACTTCAACGTATAGCCTTGTTAAATTGTTGATAATCAGAAGATGTTTTAAATATTTTACCTAGGCCTAAGATTTATCACGTTTTAATGCAATATTATTATTTTTCTGTATAATTTTAAGGTAATCCGGTATGTTCCAGGTTCCAGTGCATGTATAAAAAGTTAAGTAGGTATTCAAGTCCCTGACAAAATTTTTATTCTTAAATTTCTTTAATTTTATAACATTTTTTTAATTTGAATCATGGACCTACCCATCTATATTTGAAGTGAAATTTATCACAATATTCTTAGATGTCGTGAAGAGAATAATTATTCTGAATAGAAGTAAAGTTATTGCTTATAGGTAATTAATGTAGAACGTACTAGTATATTCCTGAGAATAGGCAACAACTTTAACGATAGCAGTATTGTTGGAAACCTAATGAATAGTAAAATATTTTTTATTTTAGGAAAATATAGGATAATTAAAGAAAGTTTTCCTAAATTTAGATTTAGGTGTAGTCAATGTTGTGAGTTTTTAGTTTTTCTAAAATATTTTCAACCATATGTGACTTACGGTTATACCGGAAGTAGATGTCAACTTTGGTACTACAAATGGAAAGTGCCATTGTTAAGTTCATTTTTGGGTTCGGTGGCTTTTTTTAACTAGGCTTTGATAATAGCAACATATGCCAAAAATGCACAATTTTTTTTGAGAAAGGGGCTTGAAATTTTCTATGGACACTGTCCAGACACAGTACTAAATGAAGCTAAAATGGATATTTATGGTCCATTTACAGGGCAATTAAAATTATCTGACAAATTTGAGCAACTTAATGTTGTCATAACTTTGTTATATCAAATGGATCACTTCAATATATTTAGACATTAAGCAATTGATATTTTTAAGTCCTTTCGATCCATATAGCTGTTCCCTATACCGAAATCCAGTCGTTTTGGAAATAATCCAATTTTTGTTAATTATTCTATGATAACTCTCTTCTATTGAGTAAACTATTCGATGCATTTAATAAGACATGACAACTAGGTCTTATATGTTGGCCATGTAAATTGTTCTTGAATAATTTATTGATAATTTTGGTACTTTGTACAGGGTGGCCAACTAAGAATGCGAGATACTGTATATGGGAAACTATCCATTGTAAAGGCTTGCGGTAAAAAATATTATTACTAAAACAGCTAAGAGAAAAGCCTGGAAAATAATTTCAAGTTTCTCAAATGGCAGCTTGGGGGTGCAACTGCAATCTTGAATCTAAAAAAGTGATATTTCTGTGAATTCCGCTGTATTAACCTAACAAAAATACCAGATCTTTAGAGTCGAGTATAATATGAACCTTTAAATTTTTTAGCGAAATTTTTGCTGTATCTCTAAAAATAAAGTGGTGAGTGTATTCAAATGTTTCTCTAAAAAACACCCCTTAATTATTATTATTAATAGGGCTTTTCAGCCATATTTCTTAAAAGAAATTTTTTTTTCTAAAAAAGTTGCAAGAAAAAATGTCTTAGGGGTTGACTATTTGAACCCCTAAGTTTTATTGACAAATAATATTCCCCAGTTTCGTGTCTTGAATATACAGAGAAAATAATGAAGAACCGTTTTTTTCAATCTTCTCTTATATAACTTTTCTGGAGTTTTTTAGAAAAAAATACCAAGTCCCACATTAAGTTTCATCGCAGAATTCCCCCCAGAATTTTTTTTGGGTTATTTAGATACACCCCGTATAAGTGTATATTTTGAATTTTTTCTCTTTTTTACGCTATATTTTACTCAATACAATTCACATTTGTATTATAATTAATAGACATATAATGGTACTTATTAAAATTACTAAATTACTTATTAAATTCCCACCAAAAATACCAAAATTTGCCACTGCAACAAATATCGCGCTATTAATTAATTCACAAATCTAGTAAAAAAATATTTATTCTTTATAATACAAAACGTAAAACTTTTATACTCTTAAACTCTTAAAGTGTATAAACTTTTATAATACATTCCATTTTCGCCATTTTCACCCGATATAACTAAAATTAGGCACGTAACAATACATATCGGCCATATCGGCCAAATAATACAATATACTATTAATCCTCTCGTAGTAATCCTCCCCGAAGAACCCCATCCTGAACGAGGAGTACTCCCTCTCCATATCTAGCACGTCCTCCACCACGGCGCCCTCCCGGTGCTCCTCGAAGTGCCCCAGCAACCGCGCCCGACTGGCGAACTCCACGTCGCACGCGTGACACGCGAACACCGGCAGCTTGTGGGCCTCCATGTGCAACCGGAACTCGAAGGCGTCGGGAAACCACCGGTTGCACAGCCTGCAGAAGGGCTCGTGGGCGTACGAGTGCTCCGCCAGGGCGGCCTCGGTGGCGTAGCCGTTGCCGCACGTGGGACAGAAGAACCGCTTGCCGGGGTGCACCGCCGGGCGTCGCGGGGCCTCGGAGGCGGTGGAGGAGGCCGAGCAGGAGTCCGTGTCCGAGGTGGGCGCCGCCGCGAAGGGGGCGCGGGCCGAGGCCCAGGCGCAGTGGCATTTGTAGAAGGTGCCGGTGCGATCGTCCAGGGACGTGCCCGGCGGGGGTTGTTTCGCTCTTGTTCTTCTCGGTGGTCTTTTGGAGGTGGTTGGAGTGCTGGAAATTTATTGGGTTTTTTTTTTATTTCGTATGAGATTGATTTGTTTTGTGGGGATTTCGAGAGACTATTTGACGGTTCATGAAGCTTTTGAATTTGCTTCGTTTAGAAGTTTAGAGTAAAACAATGTTAAACATTTTTGGGACACTCTGTACAGTCTATTTTAACAATTCTAAATAATCCTGGAGAGTTCTAAATGTTTCTAGACATTTCTAAATGATTCTGATGCGTTCTAAATGGTTCTATAGTCAGTTCTAAATCATTCTAGACAGTTCTAAACGACTCTAAAGGGTTCTAAATGATTCTAGACAGTTCTATATGGTTCTGGACAGTTCCAAACGGTTCTGAAGCGTTCTAACTAGTTATAGACAGTTTTAAATCGTTCTGAAGCATTCTAAATGATTCCAGTGAGTTCTAAATCATTTTAGACAGTTCTAAATGATTTTGGACCGTCCTAAATAGTTCTAAACAGTTCTAAATAGTCCTAGACAGTTCTAAATGATTCTAGAGAGTTCTAAATAGTTCTAGACAGATCTAAATGATTTTAGAGAGTTCTAAATAGTTCTGAAGTGTTCTAAGTGGTTCTAGACAGTTCTAGCTAATTCTGGAAGGTTCTAAAATTGAATGACTTGAGATTACCCCATAGAAAAAATCAGGTGGCGTTAAGTCTGGTGATCTCGCTGACCACTCTCCTTCCAATCCATTTTTTCGGGTAATTAATATTCAATTAATAGCAACCCTACAGAAACCGTTTCCATATCTTTAAGGGGATCCCCGTAAAAAAATAATTTATAAGGGTCTGCATCGGTCAACTTAAAAAAAAAAATTAATAACTCAAAAAGTATGCATTTTTGAAAAGAGTGTTTTAAACAAAAGTGCCCTAAAATTTTACGTAGATTTCAAAAATATATTAATATACATGGTGTTCCATTTGAAATAACAAAGTTGATGCCTACTTCCTGTATATCCGAAAGTGGTACGACTGTAAAAATATTTTTTAGAGGTTCATCTTATTACATAACATATACATACCAAATTTTATTAAAATCAGATAAGTAGTTTCCAATATACAGATACTTTTAACTCGTCGTGGGACACCCTGTATAGGGTATGGTGAACAATGACAACTTCTTTTAGTCTCATATAAAGGAAAAAGAAAGTGATATTGCGTGATTGTAATTTTCTCACTCTAATCACCGTCATTTTAATAATCATTTTTTGTTCAACACACAGTATTGACCATATTGCAAACAAATTTGCCCTTGGAGAAGGGGAGAAGGGGAGAAGGGGAGAAGGGGAGAAGGGGAGAAGGGGAGAAGGGGAGAAGGGGAGAAGGGGAGAAGGGGAGAAGGGGAGAAGGGGAGAAGGGGAGAAGAGGAGAAGAGGAAATAGAAGATCTCATACATGCAAATATGTGCATACAAATTTGCAGTATGGTCAATTCAATGTATTAAAACAATAAAAAATTACAAAAATATAAATCCCACAATATCAGACTTTCTTTTTCCGTTATAAGTTAAGATTTGCAACCATTTACAACCATTTTGTAACGGTATGAAGGTATATTAAAATAAACAAGCTAAAAAGAGATAAAAACCCTGAGGAACCTTCTGCAGGATAGCAGTTTTGTATATATTGACCTGGCATGATTTTGTATTATTTTATTTTGTAAACAAACGAATAAACTCACCATTTTTCACTGTCCCATTCCGGCCTACTCGATGCAGCTCTATTAAAATAAAATTCCTCGATATTATTATTCGAATCGCCGTTGATTTTACACTTTTTTCTACGGTACATTTCCGTTTCGTTTTCCGGGATTTTCCTCGATCGATTCGTCGATTTCCTCGTGAAATTTTGCCGCGAATGCCCTTCTATCAGCTCGCGTACAATTTTCCGCTTCGAATGGCACCGCAAATAGTGAATGAATAGGATTTTTACATTTCGAAATCGAAGAAGACAAATCGAACATCTTGTTGTAAACATTGCTTTTGTTTTTTTTTAAATATTCCGAAGAAAAAACGAACAGTCCGTTCGAATTTTCGAGCACCTGACATGTCATTACTGTCAAGCTTGTCAAAAACGTCCAAAATCAAAACTTTAAAACTTAACGTACTTTTACCACGGTCTTACATGGAGGTCTGAAAACTAATTCAATTTTGTGGTGTGGAGTGTCCTGCTAAATGAAGAACCGAAAGTCGCGAATTTCGGACATTTACTTACTGAATACAGGGTATGTCACGACGAGCTTAAACTATTTGTATCTATTTTTACAGTCCGGTTGTACCGGAAGTAGACATCAACTTTGTTATTTAAAATTGAATACCCTGTATCACGGTCGTATAATAAGAAAAGGTCGGGCAACTCATGTTGAAAATGTGTTGCGTATGATGTGACTCTCGACAGATGGCGCTAGTATCGGGTAGTGTTGTTTAATCGTACGTTTATAACGTCAATTTTATTCATTCCACTATTTTGCCTTCTAAATATCATTTTTATTTAATTTACGACAATTTTAAATTAATTTAACGATAATTCAATATTCGTATATCGTACGAAAGTGTATTGAGAACCCTACCCGATACTAGCGTTCCTAGCGGATTTTCCGTGAGCCCTCGAATCAAAGTCACAATAAGCGCAACACTTCCTACACTAATACAAATACAAAAACACTAATACAAAATAATCAGAGTTTTCAGACCTACCAAATAATACACGGCCGTGCCCTGTATATTGTTGTGTTTTTGACAACTACGTAAAATTTCGGGGTACTTTTCATAGACCTATTAAGTTAATAGGACTATGGTACTTTTCTAAAAAAAAATTTTCCAAAATGCAGCGTTAACAAAGATAAAGATGAATGCTCGTTTTCCTTTTTTTATATTACAGTTACGTGTACTTTACACGTGTATTCTACTAGTGAATTGATTTTCATAGATTTTTTTCCCGCAAATACTCTAATTATGTATGTAGTAATATTAAAGATGTTTTAAATGAAAGGTTTATAAAGAAAATAAAAAGTAAACGTACAACGTAAATTAATAGCTTGCAGTAATATCTTATGAAAAAATCATATAAATCAATTTTAAATTCTCTTCCGTAAAATTAGCATAAACGTTTAAACATTGATTGAGAAAGCGCAGTTAGCATAAAACAATCAGCAAGTATTTATCACATAACGAAAAGTTTCGGATCATTATCAGATAAGTGAGAAAAATGACGAATCAACAATCAGAATTAAGAAAATCGTTGAAGTTGCTGGAATTCCTGTTAAACGTCAACGGGCTCTTACCTGGTAAAAAATTTAAATTTTTCTATTCGATTTTTTCGTACGCATTCGTGATTTTCTTCGTCATTATGATACCCGTTCTGGGTTACGTGAATATTTATCTGGCTGAGCCGAGTAAAAGAGTCGATTATTTGGACAAGAGCTTCGTTTACCTGGAAATGTTCGTTTTGGTATTCAAACATTGGCCATTTATTACGAATCCAAACTTGACTAAAATATTACTGGATAGATGGAATGAAAGCCTTTTTAACACACAAGTGGATGTCGATAAACACATCATCGCTGAAACTCTTAGAAGACGTAGAATTTGGATAGTTCGAAATGTCCTGATAACTGCGATATCTCCTATAATACTTATCCAGTCGATGATATTTTCATCGCATGATGAATTGATGTTGCCTATTTGGTTACCTGTGGATGTTTCTAAAAATCCTGTGGCCTTCACTGTAACAAATATGTACATTGTTATAGGTACGTAACAATTAATTTTTTAATAGTTTCATATAGTTATGTGTAGAGCTTGGAAAATATGCAAAATGCCTGTTAAGTGCATACATACATATGTCCCCTACAAATTCAATATGCAAACCTATGCAAAATGAAATTTTGCATTTTTTATATATCTATTTTGCCAACAAATAATTAAATTAATATTAAATATTTTTAATAGACTTTAATAAAAGACCCATTAGTGCAATCATTTCTGAGAATTTAGTGCCTACTATTTTGGAATTAGTGTATAAAACCATTTAGAACTCCCCAGAATCATTTAGAACTGCCAAGAACCATTTAAAACTTTTAATATTAATATTAATATTAAATATTAATAATAAATCCACCAAATATTAATATAAAATATTTTTAAATGGTTCTCGGCAGTTCTAAATGATTCTGGGGAGTTCTAAATGGTTTTATACATTAATTCCAAAATAGTAGGCACTGAAATATAGGCGGTCAGTGAAAAGCTCGTGAAACATTAACTGTTAATCAAACATTTGCTTGTAAAAATAAAAAGATGATCACAAGACATAACTCGTCCTTTGGGGAAATCTTTTCCCGATATATTCGAGCAGCTTCTCATGCGTTTCATCCACATTCTCCATAAATTATAATTATTTCCATGTATTCGGTGTGCAATGTAAATTTGTCAAGTTAAAGACGCGACCTTAGAGTCACTCTAAATTTAAACAGGGGCGCTGAATACGGGCCTATGTACATACATATGTAGATAAAGTATATACGACTGCGTATGTGGCAACACCGCAATGGTTTTTCTTGTTTCTGGACACATAATGTAACCGTCCATTCCTCAATCGGTTCCCCATGAATTTTTACGATCCAGTAATATTTTCCCTTTTCACTACCGACAAGAGAGACGCGAGAAAGTAAAAGGGCGGAGGGTGGATTGTGGAATAGTTGTTGTCTATTGGGAATACGATAATGAATTGCCTGCCAGATGTTACGTAAGACGGTTGGTTTCACAAGCGAAATTGCTGTACAGCTCTCCTAAAAAAGGCATTATCGATGTTACTATATTGTATAACTTATTAAATTGGTTTATTTTGATGAAATTTGCCATTACCAATTTGAGAAATTGCCCAAGATTAGATGAAAAGGAACAATTTCACCAACAAAACCGACCGTTTAAAACGCTTTATTATCGAATAAAATTACTCCATTATGACCCTAATGGTTTCGGCAGCGGCCAATACACCATGGTCCAATGATTGCCTATCACTTTTGCAGGAATCATCATCAAATATGCCAGTTTCATTGTATATTTTATGTATACAATGTATACAATGTTTTATAAAACATCGTCATACCCTTCGAGAAAGTTTAAGAAATAATTATTTCGCTGAGGTGTATGACTGGAAGTTCCAAGTCGCATTTATTACAATTGAGACAGGTCCAATGAATGCGTCTTTTTCTTGTTCATCACCAATAACAACTCTTGTGAACGAAGCAATTTTCACAAGTCCGAAGTCCGAAGCATGTCTGAATTATATCCGAAACTTTCAGACATAATTCCGTTTTTTTCTATATATTCAAGTGCGTTTGTCATTAATCCTCCTTCACATCCATCATCTTGTTAATCACAATCTACCAAATTTTGCTTAGAGAAACCAATTTTCCGCATAAATGCGTATGTATTTTTTCGTATGTTTTTATTGACCTGTAGTACATAAATATGTATGTTTGTATAGAAATAACTCACGGGAAACGTGAACTCACTTTTTTATAAAACAACTTTACTTTTATTTCGAAAACTACAAATTAAATCCCGACAAAATACTACGTTTGTTACTACTTAAACTAAATATGGCAAAAAGCTCGATTCCTAGACGTATCCTCCTATTTATGCGACTAGGGATGTCTAGTCGGCAAAATAGTCGCAACGTCGTCAAAGTCGGTGAAATGATTATACATAGATAAGCTTGTGCGAATCAATACAGTTCGATTATCCGAAAAACCCGGTTTTCCGAACCCCTATGTCCCCCAATTAGTTCGGATAATCGACGCTCTACAGTTAGTATAAAAATAGTGTTTGATAGTCGGGATTGCCTTATCTTTTTCTTTAAATAAAATTTTCAAAAAAATTGTTTAATAACTGGTTGTTTCTGATTTTTTCATCGAGCTTAAACGCATATACAATTTAAGTGCACATTTTAAGGTATTTAGGCATATTTGAATGCATATTTTGCCATTTTTAGTGCATATTTTCCAAGCTTTAGTCATTTGTAATATCAATATAAACAATATACTTGTCATGTTAACGGAGATGTACGATGTAGGCATGGCGTGTCAGTTGTCAGTCTTTTTTAATTGCTTATTATTACTTAATACGATACTTACATATGTTTTTTAGGTTACATGCATGGATTTTTCGGGTATTTTGCTGTGGATATTCTGGTAATAAGTTACATAATGTATTGTGCAACAGAGATGAGGCTCATTAAATACAAACTGAAAAATGTGGAGAAATATATTGAAAAAGAAGCAACGAATAATTCTGACAAAACAACTAGTGATGGTTTGCCGCATAAAAAAATTTACGATCAAATTATTCAGTGTGTCAAAGTGTATGATGCTGTTTGGAAGTATGCAATTATTAAAATAATCGATTTAAATTTGCATTTAAGTTTACTAATATTTAAAAATATTTGGAGTAATATGAAAACTGATAGAAAAAAAATGTTTTTCTAAAATTATAACACCCTGTGTAGCTCGAAAACCAAGAGGTTTAGGACATATATTGATATAAACTTTTCTTCTTAAAATCATCCAAATATTTACATTCTGAAGTATCGACACTCAATTAATTAACACCCTGTTGACCATGTATACCAAAAAGCTTTAAAACCCAAATCATTTAATTGAAGCTTTCTGTAATTGCAGAAACACTAAAAAAATCAACCGATTTTTTTAAAATCCATTTAAATCATTTCTTTCTGAAGACGTGTCAAAAAAATTAAGTACAAAAACTTTCTTACATCAGCTTAAAAAACCCGCAGAAAGAGCGTTAATAATAATTTCATTAAAATCACCACTTTAGAACAATAAAAGTAAAACATATAAATTAAATAGATTACAAGAAATATTTTACTTGTCTATTTTTAATACAAAATTTTCTTTAGAACGTTTTCATACTGTGCAATATATTGCAGCAATAAATTAATATAGCGTTAATAAAAATGATCGCATCGCATAGGTACGTGTGAAAACAACGCATTTTAACTGCAATGCAATATCGCAGCAATTTATTTACAATTTTTTGCTGCAATTTATTGCACCGTGTGAAATAGCTCCTAACTGAATTCGGATTTTCAGGTATGCTCAAGAATTGGAAAGTACTTATTCTTTTGGAATATTTATACAATTTTTCGTTGCATCAATGGTACTTTCCATTTGTATGTATAACATATCAAAGGTGAGATATTTATGGTGTCTATGGTTTGAAATGATTTCCTTTCATTGCTAAAACAACATTCATTTATTCCTTTAATTATTGGTTCAATTAATCATAAACAGTAATGAAAATTTAGATTATAATTATGGGCATTTTTAGATAAAATCAATAATTGAAATATTGTACACTGCATCATTTTTACTACCAACGATATTAGTAATATATTATTATTGTGACCAAGGAAGTCTTATAATTGACGAGGTAAGATTAATTACAATGTTTTTCACGCAATTTAAAATTTAATTTATGACAATTTGAAAGTGAAAAAATTGTAGATATATTATGAAATATAAATAAATTTCAGAGCACAACAATTGGAGACGCCATCATGAAAAGTCCCTGGTATACATATGATGAAAAAACGAAACATTTACTGATAACTTTTATGGAAAGAACAAAGAGGCCTATTAAATTTACAGTTGGTAAATTAGTCGATGTATCGTTGGAAACATTCGTTCTGGTTAGTAACAGAAAATAAAAAATAAAAATGAAAATATTCAAAATAGTTCTAGTAGGTATTTAAAATAATACATAAAAATATTTTTCATTAGATTTATTAATTCATTAATTATTTCAAATTAATTACACATAATCGGAAAAGTGACAAAAACATATATTTTTAATATACTTTAGTTCATTAACTTTTTAAATAAAATATAGCTTGAGAATCTAAATAAAACAAATTTATACATATATTTCTAAGTAATTATTTAGATCTATTAGTTATTACTTGTGCATTGATTCTGGAAACAATACAGTTACCAAAAATATTATTTTTTAGATTATAAATCGATCCTATTCACTGCTCGCTGTACTCAAAAATTTCTATTAAATTGAAATGAAACTAACGAATCCTCAACGAAAAATAAGGAACAATAAAAGGACAAGAATTTTTTATATTTCCGCTTTCAGCATTTTCAATTTAATATTGCTTAGTGACGTAAATAAAAGTAGAACTATCAGAATTTCAGCACGCTTGTAAAAATATTTAACTCAAATAATTTATATAATTTGACTACTAAACTTTATTAAAACTTACACAAATACACAAATGCTAAAATGTACACTTAACAGTGATAACGATGCAATGAATAAAATAAATCAAGATTTCCAGTTGGCTTTAAAACTTATCCCCAAATACCATCAAAATATACAAAGTAGAAAGAAATTCAATTGTAAAAAATGGAAAGTATTTCTATTTATTTTTGTAATCAAATGAAGATAGGTAATAATTCGAGAGCCGGCTGCAAAATTGGAAAAGGTAGTACTCGATGTGATCAACGAATGGGAATCCTAAAAAAAGAATTAAAAAAACGGCAGCGACTCAGGTAAATTGGCCCTTGAAAACCAAATTGAACTTGCACCAAATTGAATTTTACTGAAGTATATAGAAAACAATAGGATGTCACGGATAACATGGCATGTCTATGGGGTGCCATGAGTTTTTTCATGCATTTTTCAGTGCGAAATCCCATGGACCATGGACGTGCAGTGATTCTCATTTGCGCCAAATTATAATTTGAACTTTGAATTATAATTATAATGGGTGCCACGAATTACTTGGCTTTATCTATGGGGTGCCGAGCTTTGAAATCGAGCGCTACTAGTCTGTAAGATCACAGGGAACGTTCATAGTAAAACACCCTTCTTTAATTATATGGGACCGTTCATTTTTATGTTTTACATTTTGCGGTTTGCGGTCAAAGGAAATATCGATGTGGGGGCTTGATGTGGGTGTCCCAAAAGTATGGAAATGGTCGATTTTCTGGCAAATTAAGACCCGAATGAAAAGTTGAAAAAACACGTATCCAATCATTTTTCAAGGGTAAGCACCAATATCAAATAATTATATTGAATAAATTGCAAGTAATTATTTGATACGCCATTCTAGAACTATATGTATGTATACTTAACTCCAGGATTAGATGATATCGAGGAAGAATGAATTTTGAAAGAAGGTACATGGAGGCAAAACAATAACGACCTGACATCATTACTGCATATAAGAAATATTCCTAGACTCACCTGCACATCTCAATGCAATTAGAGAAGAATTGGCTGATTATTTTACGAAAGAAGGAAAGGTTTTTGGCAAGACAGATATTAATAGGATAATCCTTACCGTTTTTTTTCTCTTTCTTGGTGTGCTCCTGTCGTCTAAGAACTTTAAAGCATCAGAGGCAAACTATCGACTTGTGTATGTGTCCGAAGCAGCTGCAACCAGATAAAACAAAGTTAATTGTTTAGGATAAGTAAAGCAATGTGTGGTTAATTTTTTTTGGTTTCACAATGACATAGATTTTACGTAAATACAAAAATGTAACAGTAATTAATGTTATTACCTACTGCTTGTTAACCTTAATAAATTAAAAAAAAACAATAATAATATAAACATTTATTATTCTTACCTTTTCCAGTTCTCTTTGATTTTTTTCCTTCAGCTTTTTCGCGACGGTATGAAGAGAGAAGCTAAAAATTTTGGTATTGCATTATTCCTCAGTCATTGATATCAACTTTGCTATTTCTAACAAGGCATCTCGTTTAAGATGTTTTTTATAAAAGTTTTCATTTTGCGGATTTTGCTCAACACGTTATCCTCTTGACTCTCCATGTTCGATTTGTGCACGAAGTTTTCCCGCGGAGCTATCAATAATCCTATCGAATTTTTATTCAAGATTTTTGCTAACGTTATGTTTTCATTATCATCTGGTGTTGATGGACAAGAATAAGGAGTAGTAGAAAAACTTGCTTTCAGCGAATTTGAAGCCAACATAGGAATTTGATCTATATTAGAAAATATACTTGTAGATTTGTTCAAATTCAAAAAAATGATGCATATTGTCGAGAAATGGAATTCCTATAAAATTCCTCCATTCTTCCAAATTAGACTCGAATAGAATTACTGTTCCCATATCATATGGGCGAAGTATTTTTTTATATGTAATATTGTATTTTTTATATCACTAGTTAACTCAATTTGATAATCTTCAGGTCTTAAAAATTAGTTATTTTCTTTAAATAATTTTTTTGTTTCTAATTTACTTGCTTAGCAAAGCCTACAAAACTTGAAAATGATTGTGTGAAATTAAAAAATTAATGAAACCTAAATTATCACCTACAAATCTAGTATAAAATGAAATTTCATGGTACTTGATTCATTTATGTTTATGTCTAATCCAGTTTATTCCGTCTTTCCAAGATTTTTAAAACAATTTTTATTGCCATACAGTCTTTAGTTTTTAAAATAGCCGCCAAAAATACATTGTTTAATTTAGAATCTTGTTCAAGACAGCATAGACATTACAGATACCATGTACTTTGGCGTGTGTTCCTAGCAAATTATTTATTTCTCTGTCCTCTATACAGGGTGTCCCTGTAATGTGTGGGAAATCTCTGGGATGCAGATAGGACATAAAAAAATAAGATCCTATAAAACCCTCCCTACGGAGATATGCGCCCCTGAAAAACGCCGCTGAAAATAGATTTACCTTAAATATCTTTTAAAGTACTTGATATAATTTAACATAAATCTAATAAGGTGGGCACTAGTAAGGACCTCAGAAAATCGCGTCCTTGAAACATATTTAGCTTTTTTAGTTTACCAAGACTGGCTAAGGTTTACAGCTTAATGCCTAAATTATCAACACCCTTTATGATAAAGATTTAAAAAACATAAATCTGGAAAGCTTGAACCTTAAACTTAGAAAAAGGTACTCCTCTCAATTGTCGAAAAAATGAACCGTTTCGAAATTTATTTTATCTTTTTCTGATATGTTTATTCAAAATATTATTTAAATTTTTTCAGTAAATCAATGTTTGATGTCCATTTTTCCAGTGCTATTCTCTAGCACAAATACATACTATATAGGCACGTTTACTAAAATAACCTAAGGTAAATGCCTTAGAATTTTCTTCGCTGGTCCATCTGGCTTTGGTTTTTCTTCTTCAATGAAAACTTCAACTTGGTTTGGTGTAAAAAAATTTAAAAAGTATTTTAGCTTTGCATCCAACGTCTTTTGACTATGATCAGCACGAAGTTGCAATTCCTTGTTTGTGGCAATAAGGTTCTTTATTTCTGTTTTGTCTTGTTGTGCTTGATTCTTCAATTTCTCACATTGTTCTTGAAGAGCGGTGTATTTTTGAAATAAAATTTCATATGGACTTTGGTTACTTATATCTTGTAAAAGGCTGTTCGAACTACAAGCTGGCATATTCTGGGGTAAATTATGCTGTTTGGGAGCCTCATCTATTAAGGATCTTTCAACAATTCGTTTCTCCTTTTTTAATTTCATTCTCCTATTTCTTTTAGTAATATTTCGTTGTTTACTAATATTCCGTTGAGGTACCGATGGAAGGTTAAGTGATGGAATAGCTAAAATATAAACAATAAAACACTTATTTTTTCGGGCATGACTTCATTAACAAATTTACCTGTTTCTTTGAGTCGTTTTGGCATTTTATTTGTTAACCGAGCTTCAATCATGTCTTCATATTGATCTAGGTCAAAATGTTTACTGCAGACACGTTTATTTTTTGGATCAAAGGGACTTTTCCTTCTACAAAGACGAATCCATTGTTTTAAAACTTCCGGTTTTTTGGGGAAAGTAAAAAATCTTATTAATTCCCCCTCCTTTTTTGCCCTTTCACTATTACTTTTACAAGTAGCCACAGTACAAGTTGTTCCAGTCATTTCTACAATCGAATATAAAAAAAAAAACATTTAAAATTATTACTACAGATTGATTCATTTTAGTTTACAATTAAGCTTGTATCGATTGCTTCAATTCAGACGGCAACATGGTCGTTTCTATGAGTTGAACAAAGAAAGATTAATAAAATAACAGTTGTCAGAGTGAAAAGTTGCAATGACATAATGTCACTCTTTCCTTATTCTTTATAAGTGTTCAATTGAAGTTGTCTTTGTTACACCTATAGCCTATGTTGCAATGAAAAATGGAGCAATCTGTATACACTGTGCTTCATTCCAGATCGCAATATAGATTATACACTGTGTTATTTATAAGATGCGACATAGGGATTCCTATAGAAATGTGTCAAAAACAAGCTAACTTTTTTACCAAATAACGTTCATAAAAAATAATAACAAATTTGAAAAGATCGTAAAAAAATAAGTCGAAATGGACATTAAATTTTCTTAAATTCGTTCTGGTTTAATAAAAAAATGTATAATTAAGTTGAAAAAAAGTCGTTCGTCATAAACGTTATTTTTATGTCACTATCTAATAATTGTTAAAAGTGGCGGAGTTAACAGGGTTGGTTGACGCTCTGAAATTTAAAAATTTCAATGGGAAAGAATGTGGTTCAATCCCCGCAGTGCTGAAATTCAAATCTGTTATTTGCCAGTCATATCGCCAGTCAATTAATTGACAACCTGTGTACGGGAAAATAAATAAGAAAAACCAAATACCCAGCTTAATTTTCATTACAGAATCACCCCTTAAATGTTTCGGTGTTATTTAAATAATATAATAATAATATAGTAAACATTTGATTATGATTACCTGACTCTCCGCGATGAAAGAAACAAATATTATAGTATTTAGATAAGTTTCATTTAAAATAGTCTATAGATATACTAATGAGAAAAGTTTGCAAATAAAAAAACACGAAAACTCAAAAAACTTCAAATCACAATAAACAACTACACCAATACCTGAAAACTACAGAAACTCGTCAGCAGAATCTAGCATACAGTTGACGTAGCCTGTGACGTTTGACAGGACGTACCGCGGTTGTATATTTATAAGGCCTGGAAACTTGACTTATTTTGTATTATTTTCTATGCTAATTTTTGAAATAAACTTGAAAACTATAACAATTTTCAAACCTTTCAAACGATATATCGTTTGCTCCATTTCTGATTGCAACATGGTCATTTCTATGAGTGGAACAAAGACAGATTAATAAAATAACAGTTGTCAGAGTGAAAAGTTGCAATGACATAAATCATAGAGAAAGAAAGATTTTTATTTTGTCTATGACATAAATGTCATGTCACTCTTTCCTTTTATCAAAAATGGAGCAACCTGTATGTATCACAAAAGCCTATACTTCCCATTTAAAAAATAGGGGTTGTGACTGTTCTTCGAAGGGGATTGAAGATAGGGCTCATATTTTGAAGTTGAGGAATGTCGCATTATAATTAAAATTTGCCGTGTGACTCTTTCTCTAAATATGTGCAGGAACCGAAATAATAACTTTAATCCATTTCGCGTTTTCACCCTGTATGAATTTATAACATTTGTAGACAAGTAAAATAATTGAGCAATAAGCTCTATAAACAATTATTAGATTATTAAAGTTATGGTTGCATCTCCAGCAACCTAATGCCCGTATTCAGAGTCGTCCCTCAAGATAAGGGCTGAGGGTCACTCAGGTAAGGGACCCTTGGCACTCACACTCAACTTCTCTTTCATAAACGTCACTCAAGTAACCCTCAGCTGAGTACTCAATTTAAGTTGGTAACATAACGAAATTGATGCGATAACTTAAGATAATTATACAAAACGTGTTTGTACTCATGCGCCAAAGATAGCGCTCATATTTGAAACTGAAAATTTTAGGAATTAGGAAATTCCAAATCTCACACAGATGTTTTATTGCTATAACAACCCTATTATTTTTGTACCTAAACTAAACAACCATTTCTGTTGTAACTTCGAAGTTAAAACAACCGATTTAGAAATTATTTTTGATTCAACTTGTAACGAAAATAGTATAATAGAATGTAAAAAATTGTTCAAACTCTTCCCTACTAACAAAAAATAATAAGAACATTAATAATTTTGCAACTTTTGAATGATTTCATATAGGTACTTTCTCCTTATTACTTTGTAATATAACTTCAAGAACAAACAAATATTGTCAACTGTAAGAACTACTTTATTTTCATGAAATTTACGTGAAAATTCTATTAATATGCTACTAAACATAGACGTATTGGGAAATGTCAATGTCAATAGTGTCAAATTTTTAATTTTGCGATTAAAATCATCCCTCAAGGGACCTATCAACCACACTTAAGTTGAGGGTCCGTTTGGGTCACTCGCACTCAGTGAGTGAGGTTTCTGAAACGGATAAGCTCACTCACACTCACCCTTGAGGGCCCACTCACACTTAAGGGACGTCTCTGAATACGGGCATAAATGTTGAAAATCTCTTTACAACATCGCCGCCTACCGGTCATTATATGAACTAAGTACTTTCCGTGGCTAAGTTTCCAGACCTTACGATATACGACCGTGCGCATAGTTATCATCATCAGACGTTTGACAATTGACATGAACTTTTGAGGTTAACTTTATGTTTTCAAAAAGTTTTTAAACTTTTTTCCTGATTTTGAGTTTGAATCTTTAACTATAAATCCTGAAACTAAAAAAAAAAGAAGATAATGAAAATATGTAACAATGATTAAATAACCATTTACAAAAATTCACATTTCGTACATAACGTTTAAGAAATTAAAATAGATTGAAGTCGAGGATTTTAACACCTTGTAACTAATTACTAGCTACAACACAGAAGACAATAATTATACAGAATATAATACAATGCAGACAATGTAATAATGCAAAATAGAAATTATATAATCATGGGTCGAACGAAACGAAAACGAGCACGATCAAAATACCCTCGCATATTGAATGAAACTTTAATACGGTTGCAGCTATGGCTCTCCGAGAACAATTGGAAGAATGAATCTAAGCTCAAAATAAAATTATTCAATGAGACAGGTAGAGGGATTGCCTCCAAGAAATCTATTACACCTAACGATATCCTAATTTCAATTCCGGCTAGTTCTCTAATAACCTTCGCTCAGGTTAAAATTAGTTTACCTAGTGCAACGAAAGTGACAATACACGAAGCGCTAGCGATGTTTCTGATTGTGGAGAAAATGAAAGGTGTAAAATCACTTTGGAGTGAATATTTGCAAAGTTTACCTGAAGAAGTACCTTTGTTGCCTTGGTTGGCTACACCAGAAGAAATAGACTCGTATCCTGCTGATTTTAAATTGGCTATTGGTAAGTTCTACGCAATTTATCTGGAATATATATCTCAGTTTACTATCAGTTACTTTAAATATCGTGGTGAATAACAAATATTAATTGTTAATCGACTGTTAAATTTTAACAGACTAACAGTTATCAGGTTTATACCCCGAAATTGGAGCGTTAGTAATATAAAATTTTTGTCTATTTTAGATCGACCACTTTCAGACTATGCATGTTTCCTAAAAAAAGCATGTCAATTGATAGGAGATGTATATGAGCCTTTATTCCCATGGGCATTTGCTATGGTCAATACTAGAGCAGTGTATATCGATCATGATCGTGTATCTACGGATTCGAACAGCAATTTGTTGTTGATAGACAAGCCTTCGATGGCATTGTGCCCTTTTCTGGACATGTTTAATCATCATTATTTAGGTATTTGTTATTGTTATTAAAGCCTTTAAAAATGGTAATTATTTAAATTTTAAGCTAAAACAGAAGCCGGTTTAGTCGAACACGATAAGAAATTTTACTACGAACTTAAGAGTCTTAACGGATATAGTAAAAATGAACAAATTTTTATATCTTATGGTCCACACGATAATTTAAAATTACTAATGGAATATGGTTTTTTCATTCCTGGTAATGTATATGATACAGTGAGATTTCGATTGGAAGAAATTTTGAAAGAATTAAATTTCTCTTTAGATGATAACAGGTAAGCTAATTTCTGGAGCTTGGAAAATATGCCCTAAAATATACATGCAAATATGCACTTATACAGGGTGTATCTAAATAACACCAAAAAATTTAAGAAGTGATTCTGTGAGGAAAATTAAGGTATGCTATTATGCTCTTGCCATGCGTTTATGCTCGATGAAAAAAAAATCAGAAACAACCAGGCATTAAATAATTTTTTTGAAATATTTTTTATAAGAAAACGATGTTTACACTTATTAAAACATTAGAATAATGGGATAGAAACATTTAGAAATGTCTAAAGCCATTTAGAATGCTTCAGAACAATCTAGAATGCTCCAAAGTCATTTAGAACTGTGTAGAACCATTTAGAACGCTCCATAAGCATTTAAAACTATGTAGAGCGCTCCAGAACCATTTAAAACCGTGTAGAATGGTCCAAAACCATTTAGTCTGCTCGAGAATCATTTAGAACTGCCTAGAACCATTTAGAACACTCCAGAACCAATAGAAATTAGAACGCTCCGGAACAAGTTAAAACCATGTTGAATGCCCCAGAACCATTTAGACTGCTCCAGACTCATTTAGAACTGTCTATAAACATTTAGAAAGCTTCATAATCATTTAGAACGCTCCATAGTTATTTAAAATGATCCAAAATTATTTGGAACTGTCTAGAAATATTTGGAACGCTCTAGAACCGTTCAGAATACTATATTTAAGAGTTTTCAGAATGAGCATGGGTAGTTTCTTTTAGTTATCCGAATGTGCAAGTAATTGTTAACGTTTTTATTTTATTATTTATTATTAAGTTTAATCTATTTTAATTATTTATTGGCAAAATGTATTGAATGAAAAATGCAAAATTTTATTTTGGGAAATGAATATGTATGCACTTTACAAACATTTTGCATATTTTCCAGGCTCAACTTATTTCATTCGCTTAAGTTTTAATAATTCTATTAAATATTAAATTTTCCAGGTACAAATTTATTAAAGACCACAATTTTCACCATAATCTTCATCTCGGTTACGCCGGAGTTTCTTATAATCTTAAGATAGTTCTTTTTTCTGGCTACACAGAGGATATGAAACAATTAAATATGGTGGCTTTTAGTGATTCTTATCCTGAGGATTTCTTAATAAATTATTTAACCAAATGCACAGCAATTTTACTTAATTATAAGAAAAATTCGTGCCTTAAAGAATTAAATACATTGACCAACTTAAATCAGTTAAGCAATTGCGCCAGAAACGTTGTAGAATACATTAGATATCGCCTTTTATTTGTAGAGGAATTAAAAGTTATTTTTAATAAAAATTGTAAAAGTTGAAGTATAACAAAATTTATTCGTAAATCTATATAACAAGTGATATGTTTCTCTATTTTTATATTTAATATCATCTTATTATTGTTTTCGACTAATGGTACTTGAAATATTGCCGAGAAAAGTACCAATAAAAATTTATCTCTACAGTAAAAAATAATTACATAACTATAATGTTATGAGAATATGGAATTACTAGAGTGTGAAATAATATAAGCCCAAACGAGAAATTCGTTGATATGAATAAAATATACAGGGTGGCACATTTGTATGGAAATGCTCAATATATTATCGGTTATTGTAGAAGATATCAAAAAAAACTTCTTTACAAATGTTGTAGATCTCTTTAAGCTGTAGGTATATTTTAAAATTAGTTACATTTATACAGAGTGTCCCGTTTTTTCCTGGTTGATCAACTTTTAAATGGAACGCCCTGATTCTTATTAAAAATGAATTTTTCGCTCGTTTTCACCTTTCCAAAAAATATAACATTGTGCAATGTTATACTGAGTGGTTTAAAAAGATACGAACATTTTTTTTATGAAAATTGTACTAAGTTTACCACTATGGTTAAAAACTATCATTTTTGAATTTCCTTCATTCTTATATTCTCATATTAAATTTAATACTTTTCGATATCTTGTACAATAACAGATAAATTGAGCTCTTCCATACGAGGGTAGGGTGAAAAGTTCTCTGCCTGTTAACCTTGTACTAATGTGTTACCCTGTATATCAATGGATTATTTATTAACATTGGATAAGGCACCTAGGAAAGAACCGGCACTATCAATACAGAATTGCATCACGTAAAGTCCAAAATATAAAATAAAAATTACCGGAAGAGATAAAAAAGACAAAATGGATCATTTGTTATAATATACAGGTGTAACAATAAAACTTACTATGGTCTACATCTCACAAACGAAAAGTGAAATTAAAAAATGCCTAAAACCGTTTCTAAGGTAAGAAGAGGCCACTAAAATTACATAAAAGAGAACTAACTCCCACTAGGACCCACTTACCCCAACTAAAAAAAAATAAATAGCAAACCCCTACTTATGATAACATCATAAAAAAAGCTTATAAAGATGCTATTCAATAGTAAAATGCCACATTAGCATATTCGTAGCATTCTTAGCGCTCATAACGCGAAATATTAGGCACCCCCGGTACAAACGACCGTGTTGAATTATGCCTAGCAATAGTATAGTATAAATAATAATTGTACAGAGTGTTAAAAAATTACCATGTTATTTAATAGTTTTAAAAACAAACAAACCCTAACTTGTGATACAATGTTAAAAAACTGTAAAAGCCAATAAAACCTTGTCCATAGGTACTTTTTTTGTTATATCAATATCATCTTTCGTTTGTGAGATGTAGCCTATTGTAAGTTTAAATTATCACACCGTATAATTATCAATATTAATGTTCTAGAAGAATTCACTATTTTAAAATAATTATTTTAGTCACTTTAAAGATAGGTAAATAACACGGCATTTGATTTCTTCCTACATAATAATATCTTTAAATAGTCTGTGCATTAAAGATAAATTGTGTTTGTTAAACCGATGTTATAAAATTAGGTACATAATTATGTTTAACAACTTTGGACAAATTTTTCAACAATTCTGTATCGGCAGCGATGGAATCTTCTCCAGTTTTTTGCGCTACGTATTCCAAAAATCTCCTCTGCTGCTCTTTCATGGCTGCTAATTCCTCTTCTTCCAATACTTCTACTAAGGCCTCTTCGATGGTTTTGCCCACCAGCACCTCCACTATCGGTCTAACTTGCGTATTGAAATCAAAAAGCTAGAATAAAAGAAATAACTTATTTGTAGAAAAAACAATCATTATGCAGGGTGAAACGAAAAGGTTGAGGACCACAGGGTATACCACATATTCTGGGTTGAAAATTAAGTTCTATTTAACTATATTCAAACTGCTACACAAATTAACTACAGCCTGTTTAATCCTAAATAAACGTCGTTTTTTTTAGTGACCCCAAAAGTATTCAAAAAACCTTATAATCTCCCCTAGTTTTTTTGTTCTTTACATTTAGGTTATTTTTTATCTCTTCAATTTGATTTCAAGCAAGTAAGTACATGTAATAAATTTTACGAAATAAAATGCCTAATTGGCATTTAATTACAAAAATTTATCATTTTAATTACAAAACTTTAAAACTACGAGTTTGGATTTAAAACACAAATAACTACAGTACTGTATTTTACAAGAATTGAAAAACCCATTAGGAATGCAGTAACAAACTTCTCGAACAAACCTTTATACATAGTAATTCACGGTATACGACTCTCATTAACTGTCCATTTTATAAAAATTTTGTTAACGTAACTTTTGTGTATGTCTAATTAAGCTCTAATTAGTTTTAAGTATACAGGATGTCCCAAAAAAGCTACATATCAAAGTTTTTTTATGGAACACTCCGTATATTTTTACATTTTTGATTCTTCGTTTATAATAAAGGTTATTTTTATTCTAGAGTACAAAAAATAGGATTTAAAATTTTTATGTCCCCATTAAAATTTTATGGGGGGTTCGATGTTGTAAATTGTTTGTTAATAATATGTTCTTGTTATAAAAATAACCCGCCGTGCTAAATTTCATGAAGATTCATTGAATACTTCTGAGTTAGAAAAAATCGATTTACAGTTATTTTTTGAACAAGCTACATATAATTTGTTTTGTATCGCATTTTAGATATAGGTAAATAAGGGTCCAATCGACTTAATTTTGATCCCAAAAGATATAGTATATTTACAACTCGTCTTTTTGTCGCACTCTGTATATCTACAAGTTTTTAACATTATGTCTACAAACTTCCGAAAAAATGCTGATGGACTTATGTTCCATAGGAACTTGAGATTATCCACAATATACCTATCAGGGCAAATTTACTTACATCGGTAGGATGAACTTGGATCTGTGCATCGGAATAGCACTTGAAGAAAACGTCGTCATCATCAGTTTGATCCGTTTCATCAGTTTGAGTGGCCACGTCGGTTTTTTCCGGTACAACCAAGATCCGTTGCAAGTCGAGTAATCTATCGCGGAACGCATCACACGTAGTGGGAGACAAAGATGAGCCGTCTTCTTTGCCTTTGATCTGTTGACGTTTCGCTTTCTTCCTGGCTAAAGCTCTCCTTCGGGCTTGTTCCAGTCTCGTTGCCGAATCAATCTAAACAATCATTATCTTAATACCAATTCATTTAGTAATGTATATTCAAAGCTTCCATGAGTAAAATAGTCAGAACTTACTAATAGTTATTTGACTATTTCCAAAGGGTTGTTTCCAAAGTTTTGGGAATTGTGATTTAATTAGATTACGCAGAACTTGATAGGAAAAGTTATTGGTGATTGACATGTTTATGTAACTAGACTAGTCAAGACTTGTCTGTAACCAATACTTTTATTGCCTATAAGTTCTGCGTAATTTAATTACAGCACAATTTCCATAACTTTGGAAACATCCCTCGTATTTTAGAAGTTCTCTCTTCAAAGCTCAGATAGAGGAGATGGCGAAGCGTGCTACTGTAATACACAGTGACAAAAAAGTACCTACCTAATGACAAAAAAGGAAAATTCTTAATGGTCTTTAATTTTTCTTGAATCTCCTTTAAAATATGTTTCTTTTGGAGCAATACACATAGTCAGACGCCTTTTCCAATCATCGAAACATTTTTACAGACCCTTTTTGGTACGGCCACGTTGCTAGATCTGGTGAGTAAGGCGGCTGGTCGATGGTACATCACACGAATCAGCATGTATGCAGCCACCAGTTGACTTTACCGTTTTTGAAGAAAGTCAGCTCTATCGGAATGAGCCGAGCTTCAATTCGCAGCATGCCTTGGTTGAGCAAAATCAAACGAGCGGTTCAGGTCACGTGCTACTTCTCTAATACTAGCATGATGATTTTCGAACTCAATTTCCTTCATTTTCTCGCCGTTATCATTGTTTGAAGAGGTTGAAGACCGTCCGAAACAAGACAAGTCTTTAGCGATCTCTCGACTGTCTATAAAAGTTTGTACAATTCGTAAATATGGGTTTTTGATAAAACAGAGTCACCTTAAGCATTTGCATCAATTCGGCCCACGAAATTCCGATCAAAAGCTAAAATATGAGACAAACTCTTTGTTCATTATTTTTGTCCATTGTAAAATTCACAGAGCACTACTGAGATGAACTGATTCAATCAGGTGCTACAACCAAACTGACTTAGAAATCTCTCTAATTTTTTGCCTGCTAATTAAGAACAGTGTTACCTACACACAGAAACTTAAAATAGTTAAAAATATTATGTGCAGGTAATTTAAATCAGATTTATCGGGTACTTTTTTGTCACAGGGCAAACAATCGTATTCTCTTAAGGAAGGAGGGTGGTTTGATTAGGAAAAGTTTCGTTTCTTGTTAGTAACACTGATAATGTTTCGTTGCTTTAATTGGTAGGTACTTACATCATCTCTCGAAAGCAGTTTGGCATATGCAAAATGCGGATTCCATTTTGGCTGCCGAACAGTACGATACACTTGCGTTATACAAACATTACTTACTAGACATAGGTATAAAAAATGCGAAACAAAGAAGTAGAAGAGAAGGTGATGTAAATTTTAGAAAATAAAACTAGCCGATTTCAAAATGTATAGGTGATGTAAATAATATGTTTTAGGGATGAAAATATTAAGTACACAATTCATTTACCTGGTCTTCTTGTTCTCTGTCTTTGGTTAGTTTCTTTTGTTGTTTTTGGGTACTTATATTCCTGAAAAAATACCAATAAAATTTATACTACAATACTATCTTTGTTTGTATTAACTCTATTTAATAATTCGTCCTTATTAGATACTACAGTTAAATGAAAAAATAGGGCAGTTTCACGTAAACAGTTTGTATTCTTATAAAAGATTAATTACCTAATTGTATTTACTTTATATGTCTATCACAGAAGAGAGAATAGGTAATCTTTCTTGTTTATTGCGAGAATTTCACGCAAACACAATTTATTTGACTCAAGTTGTTTTCTCGTCGCATAATAACGGAGTTTTTCCTAATTTCCATATTTGATTTGTTTGTTTCGAAAGAAAATCGCGTGCCGTTTTCTGTTGCGTCCTGTCGACGACCTTGGTCAATTCGTCGTAGTATTTAAACGAGAAGGACCAACATTTATAAATAAACGGACCTAACACGAAAGCTTTCTGGTGTTTTCGACTGGCCGATCGTTGCACAACTTAATTTACAGTTGTAATGCAGTTATAGATAATGGGTTTCCCATTAAGAATATTTTTAAATCAAAATTAAACACAAAAAAAATACAGTAAATTAATTTTTTTGATTTGAAAGTTTCAACTAGGACATTTTTATGGTTTAAATGATAGATCATTCAAATGTCCTCCACAACTATATGTATGTTAATCCCAGATCGAATTCGACGATCCCAATTTTTGATAATTTTATGCAATATATCCGAATTCGTTTCAAGATCGCAGCGTTCTATGTCGCTTTTTGAAGTCCTTTAACATCTGTGAATTATTGGCATAAACCAATGATTTAACATAACTCCATAAAAAATATTCCAACGGTGGTAAATCGCAGATTCTTGGAGACCAAGCATCTGGTCAAATTTGTTCAATTCTCCTTGGATCTCTCGCTTCAGGAAACTTTTCTTTCAAGTCGATGGTTTCATTAGTATTCATATCTTCTAAGAGGGGCCTCAGAAAACGATACAGCTCATGATATTGGCCTTTTTCCATTTAAAATGGCCACATTTTCTATTGTCCTTCAGCCCAAACGGCTTATTTGCGGACACATGTTTATTAAGACTTTTCTGCATATTTTGTGCCATACTACCACCCATTTCGTTTTGTAGTACTTTTCTTAACATCCTGTATATCCTATTGGGAAGTTCTATACTATACCTTATAATGCGGGGTTCTTCTTGTCGAACTCCTACAACTGTTCCCACCAATTTGGCCGCAGCCCATGCCGCAGCTTCGCATCTACTTTGCAGGAGAACAAACAATATTACGTAATATTAGTAATTTTCAAAAAATTATTTCTTCATACCTGGTTTGATGGACGTTTTTCGGCGGAGTCCGACTGAGCACTCTCGGTCGACTGGCGAAGGCGTACAATTTCCCGTTTTCCTTCGGAATTTTCCTTTTGCTTTCTTCGGTTTTAATACCGATGAGTGTAGCTAATTCCGGCGGCGGTTCGAGGAACTGGCCCTTCTTCACCGTAGTCACGAACGGTTTTTTACAGCTCGCAGTCGCCGGCGCCGCGTCCACCGTTGTTGTTGTTTTCTTCTTCAGTTTCGTTTCTTCTTTTTGCAGTCTTTTCAATTTGGAGTCTAAAAAAATTGCAGGACTGAGAGCAGTAATCTAGGGCACCACTTTAGAGCATATGATGGTCGGCGGACCTATCACTCACCGTGAATTGTCGCTCCTTTTTTAGCACAACCCTACACTATTATAGATAGTAAAGAAGAGAGAGTTAGGAGTAAGCGATAGGTCCGCCGACTATCATACATAACTATGTTACTATCCACACGCAGGTGCAAAACCTGTGGATGAATATTTTTTAGACTTCAATAATCTAGACACAACAAGGGCGTTGAAACTCTTAAGATTTACACTTATTTTTGACTTCTGGCAGAAACAATAAGAGGTATTTATAAAAAGAAGTATAACCTTTTGCTTTCAAAAAATGAAGGAATTGCTTCTAGGTATATGCATAAAAAGAAGCGAAGGAAGAGAGATTTTGCTTCGAGGGCCCTGCTGTTAGGTACTTTAAAGCAAAAGGTTTTATGTTTTCTCTTACATTTTACATTTTTATAAATATGAACTAATGACCTTACAAGCAGCAACAACAATAACAAGGATGCCAAAGTGCTAAATTCGTATAGTAAATATTTTGTGGCATTTTAGATAAGAGGAGTTTTAAAAATTATGTACACAAGATTAAATATTCTTACCTAGGACTTTAGTAAAATGTTCAAGTTCATCTATGTCTGTCAGTTCATCCCGTTTCGCTTGATCCAAGCTATTATAGTGACGTAAATATCCGCGTGAGTCGTTAAGAGATTTCCTGGAAAAAATTATACTTTACTATTGTCAATACCTACATACAATACAATATCTAAAGAACCTAGACGATATAAGTTAGCTATAGGTATATTTATAATCAAATTGTTAATCAGGTCATGAGCTTTCAAATACCTCGGCGTCAACAGCAAAACATCATCAGCAAAAGGAAAATAAAAGAGGTAAAAACCAGGTGACTAAGCCACCATGATATCAGGGTTCTTGAGCCTCTATAACGACAATATAAGAAAACAGTGTGATGTGGAAGACGTGGAAAGATACTTAGAGGCAAAAGGGGGGAATGGAGAGACTACGTTGATAAGATGACTGAAGGCCAAACAAAGGAAGGCCACCGAAGCGGTGGTATGAGAGTATCAGCAGTCCAAGAATGAGGCATACTCAAATTTCAAAAACCAATCTTAAATAAAAAAGAAGAAGAAGACTATTTGCAATAGAAATTTTAACACCAGACCTACCCAAATCTCTACAAGTTCTCTCTTACACGTCAGCATTAAAATAGTTGAAGCAATTTACCGGTTGCTATCGAAAGGATCACCGCCGGATTCGTCGAAGGTGCTTTTCTTATCATCCCTTCGAGTTGGACGCACCACCAGGTTGGGTTTATCCGTGCCGAAAGGTTTCAAAATCGGCCGACCGATGATGGCCATGGGAAGGTCGTCCCTGTTGAGGATGCGAAAGGCTGCATCCTCTTCGGCCGGTTCCGTCGACGGCACTTGCGGAATCGGCGCCATTATTCATTAATTTACCGTGTAAATCTGAAATAAAAGAGTTTTATACATTGTGGTCAATCGGAGGCACGCAAAACCTACCAAAAAGTGATGAAAAATGTAATCAAGAGTTAGAGCCACTTTAAGTTAGCCAAGTTCGTCAGAAAATTTTAAATGCCCTGTAAATGAACCATGAAAGCCCAGTTTAATCTCATTTAGTACTGGGTCTAGACATTATCGATATCAAAGTTCCAACTTCTATACTTCATCCATCCAACCAACGGAGTAACCAAAACAAGGTTAGACGCGTGATCACCACGCACATTTGCATCTATTGGGTAAAATAAAAAAGCCTCCTTACGCTGGCCAATCACTGGTGATCACGCGTTAATCCAGCGTCTAACCTTGTTTTAGTTACTCCATTGGTTGGATGGATGAAGTATATGTAGGTGCATTAGTAACAGAGATCTAGTCTAAAGACAATAACACTTTTGGATAGAGAATGAAAGGACCTTTCAAACAAAATATCACTAGCCTATGCTTCCCATTTAAAAAATTTGGGGTTGTAACTTAATTGATTAAATTAATTATTTATTAATAAGAATACTTTAGCAGAATAAATGCTAATTTAAATAACACCTCTCAGGAGCCAACTAGATAGCACCAAAAGCTATTAATTGTAATATTGCGAGACTGAATTTATTAAATTGAATTTTTAGTATTTTTCTTTTCTTATTTATCAAATAAAACATTTTTTTCTAATTTTACCTTGTCACATACATACATAAATATCAATGTAGATATAAATTACGAGAGATTTTATCTTTAAAGGTAAATATTTCAACAACGAATCGACAGATTTTAATCATTTTTTTGTTGTATTCAAAAAATATTTTCTAATGATGTATTGCTCGACTCATATTCCCTATTTAATTTTTAAGGGTTGGGGTTGCTAAGCCAAGCGGTGATTTTCAAAAAATCATTTTTTTCTACACAAAAACAACTCTGTTTGTTTTTCAATGTGACACCTTGTTTAGCTATAGGAATATTATTTTTAATGCACACGTTGAATGAATTATGTACCTTCATATGAAGGCCAATCTTCTAAGGGTACCTGCATTATGTTATACCGATAGTGCAATATTTCCAAAAATATGTATGAACTTAACGATTTTAAAACAAAAAATTCTATTTCAAGTGAGTTGAATGTATGTAATTATGAAAGCAAGTTCTTTCAGAGCTTGGAAACTTTGTGAGGCATTTTTCGGACCTCCTAATTTTCGTTAGAGCTTGGAAACTTTGTGTTGGGACCTCCTAATTTTCAATTTAAAGATCAATTTATCGATCTGTGAAAATCCCACCCATCTTTCAACATCCTCGAATATTAAATTATTACGTGTGGTATCGATTACTTCGTTCGATAGTCCTTTCACCTCACTATTAACTGTACTTTACAAAAAAAATTCGTGACATTTTCACTTGTTCAAGGTCATCGGTCGCAAAAATGACCTTTAGGTTACATTAATCCAATTCAAATGAAGTCTTATCTAGTAGAATCAAATCAATTAATGGCCCGCAATTTTGTCTTGGTCTTTATTAATTCTATTTTTATTTTTAACTTGGTAAATTAGTCATCGTATTATTATTCATATTAGAAATAAATTTATCCCTATTTTATTTGTGGTTAATAATTATAAATAATTTTCCTTAAAAAACTAAACTATTACAAAAGAAAACTGTAGCAGGAGCCTACAACAAAAAGGGTTAAAATGATACCCTTAAAACTGTAAATATATGATGTAATTTTTATATTATAATTTTTGAAGAATATTTTTAAACGTGGGTAGAAAATATTCGACCAATCTAAATTTATAAATTTTTAAAAGTATAAAAAAATTAACCCTTAATTGTTTATATATTTTTTAAAACTTTTCATACCGATTGCTTCAATTCAGACCGCAACATGGTCGTTTCTATGAGTTGAACAAAGAAAGATTAATAAAATTACAGTTGTCAGAGTGAAAAGTTGCAATGACACAAATGTCACTCTTTCTTTTTCCTTTATAAGTGTCTAATTGAAGTTGTCTTTATCGCACCTATAGCCTATATAACCTATGTTGCGATATGGATTGAAGCACAGTGTATATCTAATTTCGGGGTAATTACAGATTTTTTTTGGAAATTATAAACTTAACATATCAAATTAATTCCTACGCACAATAAAATAACATCATACCTAACCCAACGCCTAAAAAATAAAAAAAATAATTGAACTATAAAAGTGAAAAAACTGTCATACCCTCCTGTATTAGTTTTGATTAAATGTAGATGTACCCAAATACGAAAATAGTAATGCCTACCCAAATATAAAAAAATTCCACAATACCTCCCTTATTTATGTTAATTTTGAAAAACAAGATAAATGCACAACAAAATCGAATTTCTCACCTTCTCATTATCGCCGATTCTTCTTCTTCAATTACCGGATACAGGCACTAATCGAATCGATCGATAAAATTAAACAAATTTTTAAAAGGTAATTAAAAAAATGAAATTTATCCACCGTAGTAGTTCGAATGTGCGGGTGACCCCGTCGACGTGGCCTAAGGCTATTTTCACGACTGACCGTCGTCCAGTCTTCTCTCTGTAACCAGGAGGACCGGGCGCATGCTTTCGATCCGGTGGAAATTTACGGCCGGAAAAAATTATTTCCTCTACGGCTATTTTCTTCGTCGTATCGATTATTTTCAGTTCGCCGTCAGTACGTTTAATGTGGATATTTAAAAGTCGATACAATTAGATTCTAATTTTATACAATATTATTTATGCTTATTTATATCTGATAATAATTTATTCATGTATACGTTTGTGATGGTTAATCGAACTATGTGTATTTTCTTGCTCAGCTGGTTGAGCAGAAAATTGTGAATTAAAATGGTGGTGCTAAGTTTATAAAGCTAGCACCCCACATTTAAATATTTGAACAAAATAAAAAATTAATAAATATGGATTTATTGATATTTTTCATTTTTCATTAAATGTTCCTAAAGTATTCCGGCGCACTGGAAATACCTTATTTCATCTTAGTTGCCCTTTAAAAAAGGGACAAATAATTGATAAAAATGTCTGAAAACGAGAACCACTGGCACCGCTGTTACTGGTCAAAAATGCGAAATAAAACAACTGTCTAAAACCACGTAGAACCACCCAGAACCATTTGGAATGCTCCAGAACACTCCAGGACCATTTAGAATAACTGTATATAACCATTTAGAACGCCTTAGAATCATTTAGAACGCTCAAAAATCATTTAGAACTGTCCAAAGCCGTGTAGAACGCTCCAGAATGAATTGAAAATATCTAGAACTATTAAGAACAGTCTAGAATCATTTAGAACGCTCAAAAATCATTTAGAAATATCCAAAAACCGTGTAGAACGCTCCAGAATCATTTGAAAATGTCTACAATTATTTAGAACGCTCCAAAAAAAGACAAAAATCGCTGGGAAATTCACAAATCAACAAATTGTTGTTGAAATAACGGGTCAATTATAAAGAGCGGAATTTTGTAACTAACGATATGGCAACAACGCATCGGCAATTCAATCGCGCTAAGTCAAATTCCCCTAGTCAAATGGCAATATTAACGTTGGCACTAAGGAAATTTTGAACTACGTGAAAATTACCAAGAATGTCATTGTCATTTTATATAAAACGTAGGTACGAACTTTGGTTAGGTGAAAAGTAAGAAAAACAAGTGTATGTATACCTAATTAACTAATAAATTATATTACTTAATAACTATTTTAATTGTTAATTTTGATAACAATAGTCTTCGGTAACAGGGAGATATTCTTCGAATAACTGTTCGAATCTATCCAAAGGACAGAACTCATCGCAAGCTGGAATTTTCAGTAACACTGGGCTCTCCGTCACGTAACGTTGATAATACAACTAAAAAGATAATATGAAACATATTAATGTTATATTCCAGAAAATATCCAAATATCCAACACAGATAAATAAGTAACTTCTTCAGAATGACATACCTTAATTCCAACGACGTTATTTATATTGTGTACCTCAAAAATAAGGTAAGATCCGTACGTGGGTATGTGCGGGGGACTGAAAACATTTAAAAGAATCAACATTTCAGCAACGTTGTTCTCGTGACCCGAGTAAAGGTACATTTTCGGGCCATTCGCTACACTGGCACTTCTCACTACCCTTTTAGTATCTTCTATGATTTTCTTTAAATGGTAACCTGAAAAAAACAATGCATAATTTAGGAGGTACTCCTTTCACCGAAGTAATGCTACTGTGAATAAAAAAGTACCCGAAAACTTGGGATAAAACGAAAAATTTCTAATCATCAATAATATATCTTGAGTGTTCTTTAAAATATGATCCTTTTGAAGCGATACACAGACGCGTTATAGTCCCCTTTTGGTGGGCTTTTAGCTCCTTTTGCAATTTTGTTTAGCATTTATGGAGTTTTACGGGATCTCCGAAGTGGTAGAGATATATCCGAAGTGGAGGAGATGAACTGATTCAATCAGGTGCTACAACCAAACTGATTCAGAAATCTCTCTAATTTTTTGCACGACAGTGTTACCAACATACAGAAAGTTGAAATAGTTAAAAATATGAAGTGCAGATAATTTATTCATCTGAATTTCCGGGTACTTTTTTGTCAGTAGGTAAGTTGACATCTGAAACCAAGCATTTCTTTACCTTCGCACAAGCTTAACAATTGTGAAGTGGACGTTTGTACGTAATAATGCTTGATGGCCAAATCTGTGACGATTTTGGGCCAAACGGCTTCGGTCCATTTGGGCAATTTGTGGCCCCATTCTTCTTCAGTCGATAATCCGAAATACAAATTGTATATCTGTTCGTAAGTGGTCACGTTCAAGCCGGAATTCTTCGATATGTAAGCGAAGACATTCTTGTCCTTGTTGAATTCGCTCTGCCATTTCCTGGACCTTACGACGCTGTCGTACTTTCTCACGTAATTCGGGCAATTCAGACCGATCAGGACCTGTTGAGGTGTAAAAGGGAAAATTTAGATACACCAATGATCTTTTAAAATAATTTGTTTTGTCTTATTTCCCAAAAACTACTAGAACTAGAAAAATTTAATATGGGCTTACCGGATCTCTGTCAGCAGGAAGGAAATTATAGGGCACTGGTTGCCAATTGAGAGCAGTGTTCCAAACGTTGTCGCTCCTGGGTGGAAACAGTCCAGCCAGCGCTAAAAGCAGAGATGCCTTTGTCCTATTGTAATCCGTTGAAACGGCATCCACGATTTCTGGATAGAAAGTCGTCGCCCAAGAACTTGTCGTAACGCGTTCGCAGCTCTCTGCCCACGTTGTATTCTCGCATTTTTCCCACCTGCAAATATTTCAAATAAGTACCTATGGTAAAAGAAGAAGAGAAAAGTATGATTTCCGACACTTGATGAACAGCTGTCATCGAAGCTGTATTCGATTCATTTTTGTTCTAACGTTTGCATTTCTCAGGATTTTTTTACTTACATTGGTCAATTGGCCTCGTCCGAATGGAAAGTAATCGAAATTGTAATAGGGATCTCTAGGATAGATTTCACTGAGTTGGGCGGTTCTGTTTCCATGCCTGAAGACCTGGAAAAATAAAAACAAAGAGTTAGCAATTCATTTACACTTTTTTTTTAATTCTTCATAATTTTTTTCTTCTTCCAGGACACAATTTTATAGTCTCTACAAATTTAATAAAAAAATAAAATCAATTTAATTGTTTTTCATTTAAATTCAAACATATTATAATTTATTTAAATATATTATTTTACTGTCTGCTGTTGTAGATACTTGATAGATATAATATACATGCAGTAGTATCAATATTGTTGTTTTTTTGTTTTTATTACCTTTTTACCAACCTATTTGTGATTATCTGCACTAATTTAAATATAATTGATTGCAATAAATAAATTTACATATCTCACGTATTTTGTAAATAAAGTCTATTACTAAATCACCCATTTTAATCCTATACAAATTCAATTTATTATCAAAAAAAAAGATTAAAGTTGTGGTGTAATTATTAAAGATCATTATCGTTATCGTTATCATGGATTGAAACAATGTTGTTAGGATTAATGCTAGTTTAATAATTAAACACGTACCTAATTTAACTAGATTCAACAATATTGTGTACGTCGTAATTAAAAGTTATAATAATTTAGAAAGCATATTAGGTACACTTTCGATGAAATTACCAAGTAAATTACTAAGTAAATTGGTATACATACATATGTACAATCTTTTAAAAGAAATGCTTAGAAAAAGGTGTAATGAATTTAAAATTTATTATTATCTACTTAAACATTTTTCTTTACAAATCTTATAGAAATGTTTAGGTAGATTATAGTTTTAAACAAATATTTAATGTTTTAATTCCTGTATAAGAAGCTTTTTGTTGTTCTTAATATTGCACAACCTTATGTTCTAGCCGTTATTTAAATAGTAGGAATTTTTTAAATTTATTTTCCTATTTATTTTAATTTATGTTTATCTTATTTTAAAGGTTTTTCCTTTTTTCTATTATTTCAAACAAGTCAGTATATAATTAAAACGTTGAAAAAGGCACGTAGGTACGAATTACCATTAACAATATTAACAAAACAAATTAGGGAAAAATGTCACCTGTTTCTAGTAACAAGTGATAAAATACCTCAATAATAACACTTATTGCTTTTAATATTCTTCAAAATTGTTAGGCATTTATCACTTATCTTTTAAAAACACTATTATTCCTTGTTAGAGCTGTGAATTAATAATTGACCATAACGGTTATTAACAGAGCTTGGAAAATATGCGCTAAAAATGCAAAATACTAAAAATGCTCAAAATGTGCCCTAATATTATGCGTTTATGCTCAATAAAAAATCATTTTAGAACTGCCTAGAACCATTTAGAACTGCCAATAATCATTTAGAACTGTATAGAATCATTTAGAACGATCCAGAATCATCTACAACTCTCTAGAATCATTTAGAACGCACCATAATCATTTAGAACTGTCTATAATAAAATAAAATAATTCTCCATAATTATTTAGAACTTTGAAAACCATTTAGAACGCTCTAGAGTTATTTAGACTATCAGACTATATTAGGTATGGTTCTAGACTCTAGAACCATTTTATTGCTCCATTCAGAATTTTATTTTGCATAATTATTTTTAATTTTTGGGGGAAATGTGCACGTATACACTCTGCATGCTTTTTGCATATTTTCTAGACTGGTATTAATAATTGCCTATTTAATGACGATTGTATTTCAAAAATTTATTTTGATAGTTAATTATTTTTTTGTATAATAAATAGTACTTCATTCTTTACTGCCTTTATAAGACATGTAGTAACAATAATTATACTTGTATCGTATATCATAAACGAACGTGAAAAAACATCGCCCTGTATGTATGTAAAAATGACCTGATTATTATTTTTTGTATGTATTGGATCATTATTCATAATTATCAATCAATATCAATATTCATATCATAGTTTATTAAAACTAGAAATTGTGTCAAAATAAACCTCATAATTAGTTGTATCGCCAATAAAAAATGTACCTTTATAATTAGGTGTAAGTCAATGCATAAAAACTTAGGTATTTTAATCTGCAAAAAAGTGTGAAACGAATTTCCTGTTTGAGAAAACGCAATCGAAAAACCAAATTCTAAAATCCGGATTAAGATTTTTTCCTATTTTTATAAACCGCTTTACCGGTGATTTTATCTCATTTTCAAATTCGCGGCTTGCGGTTGTAGACATTTTTTTTAATTTCTCTAATTCGAAGGATGTGGCCGAATTGATAATTTCAACCTGATTGCATTTTAGGATATATTGCGATAAAAATGTAATTTTACCCCCACGGCTTATTTTGCATCAAGCTCATCATTTATCACTTAGATAAATAATTCGTATTAAAGCGAATAATACATTTCCTAATAACGCATTTGCGACATGGTTTTTACAAATTGCCTTCATTAAAACAATATTTTAGAAATAATAGAAGCTCCGGCCGTTTCGTATGTACTTGTTCAATCATTAATGTTAATTATTCAAAATGAGAGTCTTAAATATTTTGTTTTCCAATGAGTTTCTATAGAATTTTACGATGTATTTGACGTATTTAAAGTAATTACCGTATTCATCGTATTTAAAATATATTAAAAATTTATTATTTTTAGTATTAATAAAATAAAATTCTTCACAAATAAGTCTTGTTAATTTGAATAAGTCGTGTATCTTTTTTAACACTTCATTAATATTAATGTTAGATTGTTCCTATATAATTATATTATTTTATATCACTAATGTTGTAAAGGTAAGTACAAATTTGTTTGCAATATAGGATCAATTCTATGAGTTGAACAGAGAGCGATTTTTTTCACAGACCTATAATTTGCACTTCTGTATATTTTATTGAAAAACCTAGGATACTTCTAATAGAAAATAATTACTGATTTAAATTATTGTGCCTAATATTAAATTTAGAAAATCATGACAATAATATTTCAATTGTTATATAATTTACTGAAACTGCTACAAGAAAAAAGTAGGCTTTGTGAACCACAAAGTATTTAACTACAAACGAAAGTTCCATTTACGAGTAAAAGCTTCAAGTAGTCATAAAATAAAAGAGCCTATAAAATTACTGTATACTTACCACATGCGTTAAAATAACGGTGGAATCGGCTTTCTCGACGTTGGGGCCGCTGCCCGAATTCGGTCTACCATATTGGCTGTTGTGCGGGGTGTAAGTCTGTCCGTGGAAACTGGGACGATGGTACGACGAGTACCTGCAGGAGCCCTGGTCCACGAGGCAAACGCAGAGGAAAGCGAGTACCGACAAACGCGAAGCTGGCGACATTTTTCTCGCTCGAGACGCTTTTTCGAACTGATAGAAACATCGACGATTGTGCGGCTATTTATTTTCATTTTTTTACCGATAAGGTAGCACGTTTCGAAATTTCTATTAGGGAAAATCTACCACAAGGTCTCGGGGACAGCAGGTGGGTAATGGGTATTTAATAAAAAATCCTTGTAGGATCGTTTTGGAAATTTTCGCCTGACGGATTTCCGTTTCCTTACTTATTTCAGTATATCCACAAAACTTTTACCTCTGGGGTTTTCAGGCGAATTTAATAACTAATTTATAGCATTATCTATCTATTCATTATAATACAAATAAGAATGGTATTGAGTAAAATACCATGCAAAAAAGAGAAAAAATTCAAAATATACACTTATACAGTGTGTATATAAATAACAGCGAAAAAAAATCTGGGGGTGATTCTGCGATGAAAATTAATGTGGGCACTTCGTAGTTTTTTTTTAAACCCTCCCCGAAAGTTATATCTCTTAGAAGATTGAAAAATAAAGTTCTTCAATATTCTGTCTTTCTCAAGACACGAAACTTCGGAATATTATTTGTCAATGAAATTAAAATTTTTCAACAATGAAGTATGCTCAGAAGGGGTTGATATAGTCAACACTATTTCTTACGTTTTTTTATACACATTAGGGTAAAAGTAAAAATTTAAGGGATTTTCGTACAACATTTTCTTTGGCCTAAATTTTAGGTTAGGAATAAATTAGGCAGTTGAGGCATCATTTAGTTACTTATTCATGAAAAAAATCCTACCAATGCATTTATTTTTTTTTTGAGAAAATTAACAATTTCTGTCGGAATGTCGAACAAAGCACTCTACCAGCGACACGTAAATCTAACGAAACTTTAAATAATCTAACTTTTGCAGCCCAAGAATAGCTCTTTTAAACTAGGGTGTTAGAACTAGGGGTTAGATAAAGGGTGTTTTTAGGGAAACATTTGAATAACACTCACCACTTTATTTTTAGAGATACAGCTTAAAGATCTGGTATTTTTTGTTAGATTAATATAGCAGAATTCACAGAAATATCACTTCTTTAGATACAAGATTGCAGTTACACCCCCTTGATACCATTTGAGAAATTTGAAAATATTTTCCAGGCTTTTCTCTTGGCCATATTAGTATCTAATATTTTTTTTACCTCAATCCTCTACGATGGATAGTTTCCCAGATACAGTTTGTACCTGGCATTCTTAGTTGGTCACCTTGTACATAGGGTTATCTGTGGTTACAATATTACCTTTAAATTCCCAATGAACTAGAACCACCCTGTACAAGTTGACTTTCGTATTGTCAAAAAGAAGAAAGAAATTGACGTAACGAATAAATACACAAATAGATGTTGAACTTGTCTTCTAAACCACTCAAATAATATTCCAAATTCACCCGATGGATCCGAATAGCACCGTGTGCACTTGCAGAGAGACCAGCTATTTGCTGAATAAAATAGTGTTGCTTCTGGAATGCGAGATAACGAAAAACGATGTTCAGCGAATCCTGGACATGATGTACAAGTTTTTGGCGCTGTCGCAATACGGAATTGTATCCTTTAAAAATAAGGATTTCTCTTTCAAAAACTAAAATTATAGCGCTCGATCGTAAAATTAGTAATACGAGTATTTGACCCTGTTTCTTGGTGTAACCAAGATTTATTTAGGTAAATAGGTGTTATTCATTTTATTGGTTCATTTTATTGGTTGCAACGTTGCAACCTTCAATGTGTTGAGTTTATGACTGCTAATCTATTAATTTCAAAGGTAAATAACTCATCCCATGAATTTTTAATCAAAACATCCATTTCAACTATTGATGATATTCATCTTTGTGTTAAATCGTGAGATACATTTTCCTAACTAGTTATTATCCAGTATGCCTCAGATTTGGCTAACATTATGCGATTGTTGGAGATTTGTTGCGAAAAATGCGTGGTTACTCCCGCTTTCTCAGACATCGTGAAGCACGTATTAAATATTTGCAAAATTCCCATGTACTTGAAAGTCAGCTCTGACGTCAATAGGTATTCCACGGACCTAAGGGAGTTCTTTTCAGTGTTAGGTATATACGAGTATATTTCATTATGTTTGTATATTATATTGTAGATAGATACAAATGAAGTACAGGGTGTCCCAATGAAAAGTAGCCACTTTAATGCGCTTATAATTTTTAAACGCCTAATCATAAAAACATGCGGTTTTCTCAAATATGTTTTATTTTATTACAAGTTTTGTCACAGTGATACAGAAATTATGCATTACCAATACAGGGAGTTTTATCAAAATCTCCTCTTTTAAATTCACAGACACCAATTTTTTTAATGGAACCCCCGTATTTGTAGAGGTATTTTGAAAGAAGTACTCTTCTACATTTCAAAAATGTATTATTTGTACTTGTCATTCTATAACAGAAGACGTCCTATTTCATAAAAGTTGGTTAATGTGAATTAAAAAGAGGGAATTTTTATGAAACACCCTGTATAGGCGATACAAAATTTTTGTGTCACTGTAACAAAAAGTTATAGCAAAATAAAAAATATCTGCGAAAACCGCATGTTCTTATGATTAGGCGTTTAAAAACTATTAGCTCACTGTAGGGGCTAATTTTCATTGGGACACCCTGTATAATAGGACTCTAATGACTAGAGGCTGGAAAATATGCAAAATGCATGTAAAGTGCATACATGCTTAATTCAACCAAAAAAAAAAACACAAAATGCATATGCAAAAAATTTGCATCTTTCAATATATTTTGCCAATAAATAATTAAAATAGGTTAAAGGTAATAATAACAAATAATAAAATAAAAACGTTAACAATTAGTTGCAAATTCGGGTAATTAAAAGAAAGACCCCCTTATTCTGAGAACTCCTAAATATGGTGTTCTGCACGGTTCTGGAGCATTCTAAATGGTTCTAGTTAGTTCTAAATGATTCTGTATCGTTCTAAATGTAACATACAGTTCTAAATGCTTCTGGATCGTTCTAGATGGTTCCAAACAGTTTCAAATGATTCTGGGGCATTCTAGATGGTTCCAAACAGTTCCAAATGATTCTGGGGCGTTCTAAATGGTTTTAGACAGTTCTAAATGATACTGGAACGTTCTAAATGATTCTAGACAGTTCTAAAGGATACTGGAGCATTTTAAATGGTTCTAGCTAGAAAGTTATAAACGATACTGGATCGTTCTACATGGTTCTAGACAGTTCTACAGGGTGTTTCAAAAAAAGGTTCCCCCTTTCTAGGGTAGATTTGATTTTCAAATCAAAATATTTCGAAAACGATACACATTACCGAGTTTTAACAAGAGTACCTTTTTGGTGTAAAATTGAATGGTCTTTAAGATCACAGAAACTTTGAATTCAAAAATTTACCCTCAAAAAAGTTTGTGTTTAAAACTAATAGGTACCAACCGTGTAACTAGTGCCTTCTACAAAAGGCAGGTATAAAAACAAATTTATTGGATGAGTTAGCATTCCAAACATACTCGTACAAAATTTTATTACAATCTTGTCAGTAGTTTCGCCACAATTGTAAAAAATGTGTAAAAAAACATTTTTTTCAACAGCCGTTACGAAAATTTTTTACTGAGCAACCCCCACTTATTTTGTAATGTTCTATGTACCCTAGAAAGGGGGAACCTTTTTTGAAACATCCTGTATATGATTCTGGAGCGTTCTAAACGTTATAGACAGTTCTAAATGTTTCTGGAGCATTCTAAATGTTTTTAGACAGTTCTAAATGATTTTTTCATCGAGAATAAACACATACATAATTGCATATTTTCCTGCATATTTCCTTGCAATAATGACGCTTTTAAACTCGCGAAATTGCTTTATTGTTGAAATATTTCAGGGTATCTGTTAATATTAATCGATAATACTGAGATCCAACGTTGTATATTGGAAACGACAAAATGCCTGTTGGAAGTGCCTTCGACTTACAAAAGCCAATTCCCTTTGAAAATACGACGAAAAGAGGCCGCATCAGGACGCTTAGCCGGTTTGTTGGGTCAAGCGCTGTTTCTAATCAACGACGAAGTGTTCCCCGACGTGCTGGAATTCATCATCAAATTTGCCTCTACCTGTCCAGAAATCTGTAAGTTCTAAAATACAACCCAAGTAGCATTTTTCTATACAATTTAGGCATCCACTGTTAATATTTCCCGCATACATTACCCGTTTGCAAATTGTAATTTTGTCGAAATGTTACTGATTTTTGTGAAAATACACTATTTTTGAAAAGTGCTGATACAGAAATATTCACATTATCTAATACAGATTCTGATATACAGGGCCTTGAAGTCATGACGATTTGAACATTTGGTCATAACTTCTTAAATACTTAGTATACTCATATGAAATCTTATGTTGAGAAACTCGTGAAAAGAAAACGAGTTGAAATCGAATATGAAAAAAAAAAGATATCATTACCTTTAAAAAAAATGTTTCGAAATAATTTTAAATTGTGCACCTAAAGGTGCTTAAAATTTTTCCTATTGCCATTATTTCGTATCTATTATAATAACTGAGTAAATGAACTTTACCGCATTATTGGGACACCCTTACTATGCAATGAGAGGAACCTTTTAAAATTATTTGAATATTTGTACAACTTCTATTTGCACCGAAAGTATATAGGCATCGACTTTGTTATTTCAAATAATTAAACCCTATATATTGATGTATTTTTGAAAACTATAACGTAAAATTCGAAGGTACTTTTGTCTAAAATACTTTTTTCTTACAATGCCTAGTTTTTGAGTTATTGATTTTTTATAAGAAAATTTACCAATGGATTGACATGCAAACGGTTTCTGTAGGGGGCTATTAGAAAGGTTAAAGGTATTTGAGCCTTTGTAGAAAAACTCTTAATTGCATATCAGGCGTGTATAAAAATAGTACAAAGTTGAACTTTCAAAATATATTTTTTTTTAATTTTTTTTAATGGAAGTTCATGTTACATTAAACCACGGCCCTATATTTCTAAGGTCTGGAAACTATGCTTATGCATTAGAGAATGTGTCCCGTTATTTGAGGACCTTTTACTTCACTTTTGCGCCGCACCGTGGCGAACGATCGGAAGACCTACTTATCTCAGCCAATCAGCGTTGTGCTACATATAAATCGCGGTTGTGATACGACAGTTCAAGCTGTCAAAGCTTCAAAAATTATTATTTGACATTTCGAGGAGAAAATGGAGAAATACATTAACCGAAGATACGTGAGGCATGATGTTAACAACAAAATCATCGCTGATTTAAGTATATTTTTATATTTTGTATCTATTTTTAGTATCAATATAACCTTTCCTAATGCTAATTCTATATAATTCGTACGCAAAAAACCGCGGTCCTTTAAAGCATTGCCTCCTGGCGGCCGTTTTATAAACCCTGTATTATCCTCAAATAACGGGAAACTTTTTCGACCTATAATTCCAGACTTTAGAAATATAGGACCGTGCATTAAACTAACATTTGTTATATCCATTGGGTACGAATCTGCTACATAAGCGCTAAACTAATTTTTTTCTTTTATAAAAACAGGTGAAGATTTAGCAAAGAATGACGCCCTGAACGCTCTATTAGCCCGCATGGAGGGCACGTGGAGAGCTCGTATACCTCATGTTCATCCCAACATGGCGGAAAAACCCGTCATCAATCACATCGAAATCCAACTGAATCTCGCCATCTACATATTGAATTATTTGAAAAAAAATCGCGTTGTGTTGAATGAAGTTCCCATTATTTCTCGTTTCTCCCTGTGGTAGGTACCTATACCTTGTGACAAAAAAGTACACGGATATTCTGATTTAAATTACTTCCACATAATATTTTAAACTATTTCAAGTTATGCAGGTAACACTGTTCTTAATTAGCAGGTAAAAAAATTAGAGAGATTTCTCAATCAGTTTAGCTGTAGCAGCTGATTGAATCAGCTCATCTCGTTATCAGTAGTTCTCTGCGGATTTTGTAATTGACAAAAACAATTAACAAAAAGTTTGTGTCTCATATTTTGGGTTTTCAACGGAATTTCATTGGCCGAATCGATGCCAATGCTTTAGGTGACTCTGTTTTATCGAAAACCCACTATTTACGAATGGTACAAAAGTTTTAAAGTCAGTCGGGAGATCGCTAAAGACTTACCTTGTTCCGGACGGTCTTCGACCTCTTCAACCAATGATAACGGCGAGAAAATGAAGGAAATTGAGTTCGAAAATCATCTTGCCAGAGTTAGAGAAGTGCCACGTGACCTCAACATCTCTCGTGATACCCAGTCAATTGGTCGATGCAGACATTGCTGATTCGTGTGAAGTACCATCGACCAGCCGCCTTACTTACCAGATTGAGCCTTGTGCGACTTTTTTTTGTTTCCCATGTAAAAAACTGCCACTTCGGGAAGATAAGAAATTTTACGTTTTATTCCAATTTTCCGGGTACTTTTTTGTCACTGTGTATAATTTGGATTATATATTTTCTAGATGGTAATCCAAAGAAATGATCAAAAGTACAGTTGTGAAGAACTTTAACCCCTTATTTTTAGGAATATCAAGTTCCTGTTTCATCACATAACAGTAGTTACTGATTGGGGTACCGTCAGGAATTACCTCCTCACAGTAATACTTTGCTTTTTGGATATGTTTCCGAAAATGGAGTTTACTTCAAGCGGATTAGCTGAAGGTATTTCGATGTTTTCATTTTAATATTAATATCATTAAAAAAGTGTAACCAATGTGCAGGGTGGCTCATTTAAAACAGTCCACAAGCTTGTAGAGAAATAACTCCTGAAATGATCCGCAATGTTCGGGAATATGTTGAACAATGATTTTATTACTGCATGGCAGTGAATGGGTTTGGACATTTAAATAATAAAAACTTGTTCGGAAACTTTTTTTCTTCTGAAAAGATAATTGAAATATCTTTAAAATAAAACTTGACTCCTAATGCAATTTAGTTTTTTTGAAGGGGTTGCCACCCAGCTCAGAGGGATGAACCTACATCCATGAATTAAAGTTCAAATGAATTCCCTCTTGAAATCAAAATCGACCGACCTCGGATGTGTCCCAAAAAAAATCTCTTAGAAAAATATTGCAGGTGGACTATTTTAAATGGGCCACACTGTATAACTAATTTGTGTCTTGAATAATTATGAAATGAAATAAAATGCTTCTACTTCTTTCATCTTAATCTTTTATCGAAACTTGGAAATTATAATATCAGAGGAAAAAAAATATAGAAGCTGTATTCAAAAGGGCTCAGGTTTATGCTGCTTCCAGAGCCAGACATTCGTCTGATATTATTTTTAATACATAATTTCCTTAAGTTTCAATAAAAGATGATGAAAGAAGCATTTTATTTCATGTCATAAATATTCAAGACACAAACAAGCCAGTTAATTATTATTGACCGTCTTGTATAAAGATTTTGAATATTTCAGGACTGATTGTCGACGGTCATACCATTTGCATACGGTCGATGAATTTAATAAGAAAGCGAAACAATATAGAATCTGAAAATGGCTACTATTTTATAAAGACGTTCCTATTTTGCTTGCCTTTGTACGTAAATTTTCCGCACGGATTATTCGTAAGTCTGAATTAAAGTCGAAATAATTAATTCTAGACGGTTCCACTTGAATTTGGAGCGTTCCAAATGGTTCTAAACAGTTCTAAATAATTCCGGAGCGTTCCAAATGTTATTAAACAGTTATGAACGATTCTGGAGCGTTCTAAATGGTTCTAAACAGTTCTAAATGATTCTGAAGCTATCGAAGTAGTTCTAGAAAGTTTTAAACGATTCTGGATCGTTTTAAACAGTTCTGAATGGTTCTGGAGTGTTCTGAATAATTGTAAATAGACAGTTTTAAACGATTCTGGAGCCTTTTAAACAGTTCAGAATGGTTCTGGAGTGTTCTGAATAATTCTAGACAGTTTCAAACGATTTTGGAGCGCTCTAAGTGGTTCTAAACAGTTATGAATTATTCTAGAGCATTCTAAATGGTTCTAAACAGTTCTAAACTATTCTGAAGCTATGGAAATAGTTATAGACAGTTTTAAACGATTTTGGAGCGTTCTAAACAGTTCTGTAAGGTTCTGGGGCGTTCTGAATAATTCTAGACAGTTTTGAACTATTTTGGAGCTTTCTATATGGTTCTAAATAGTTCTAACTGATTCTGAAACATTCTAAATGGTTCTAGACATTTTTAAATGATTCTGGAGCATTTTAAACAGTTCTAAATAGTTCTGAACGATTCTGGAGCGTTCTAAGTGATTCTAGACAGTTCTAAATGATTCAGGCCGAGAAATTTTCACTCTACCTTTGTAATATAAAATCGATAAGCTTTGTATTAATTCTAGGTACTAGAAAAATGCAGAATAATCACAAGAACGTTAGCTTTAGTATCGCATGGAAAAATCGGTGAAATGCCGAACGAGCACACTAGCATCATCGAAATATTGACATTCAAAATTTTTAATAAAATGGTGCCATTTTTACAGGAGGAGTTTATCGAAAATTCGGGAGCCGTCGTGTAATTACGGTTGATTCTATAATTGTCCATAATCTATAATAGCTATTTTTTTAATGAACACCTGATTACTTTGAATATCTTGAGACCTAATACTTTTTTTACTAATTTAATACCTAATAATCGCATTTCGCAGATTGCTGACATTTTTGAAGAACATCAATATGACACCTCTGGGTAAAGCTGTATGTTTAAATTGCTTGGACACGATGAGATGTGTCCTCAAGAGCGATACTACTAAATTTATCCTGAAAGCGGTAATGTTTAATCAAGGAGATTCAATTTTACTAGGCAAGTATATTTTATGAAACATGTGGACAATTATGTCTTATTCTTTTTATTAAGGGTTAAAATTAAATCGATTGGACCCAATTTACATACAGGATTGTCCGTAATTAATGGTCCAAAGTGAAGGGGAACATTCTTGGCCACAAAATATTCTGACTTAACCCAACTTGATTTAATAAAATATTAAAAATGGCCGGCAGGTGGCGTAACCGCCATCTTAAATTTTCAAAGTGATTTTTCTCTAAAATCCACCCCGTAAATGTACCAAAAAAATATATTTATTTTAAAGATAAGCTAAAAACAACAACAAACAACAACAACAAAATAAGCCTCATTTTAGTAATTTTTGTTCAAAACCTTTTGACGTATCTTTTAAAATAAAGTAGTAGCGGGACTTTAGTACCTAATACTCTTAAAGAACTCAACAGATTTCAACGAACTTGGTCTCATTTGAAAGAGCATGAATTGCTCTAAATTTGACATGTATTATTATTTTTTTAAAAGAAGCATGTAGTAAAAAAATTACCAAAATCGGTCCTCCCAATAAAATTTTGGCGTTGGTCATGTACATTTAATCCCCCATATTTTTGAGTGCTTAAAGATCTTGGGATTTTTCTATATGTTCTCTAGTTTAATTAATTCATTTGGAACATATTTAGTTCTTGATTTAATTTTTTTTAAGAAATTGATATTTCCACCACAAATAACTACAGTACAAGATAATAATGCTCACCGTAGATATTGAATATGATCACCGTTTCTTGCAAATACAATCTGTGTAAAGTTTTAACAATAAGAACGAATATTTTGGAATATTAAAGGTTTATTATTTGTGAACTTAGTACTGCCACCATAATTCTGTTTTTTTTTTTGTTTTTCAATTCGTGGACTGTGATTATTTGCGTTTAAATTATTCCAAACTCATTTTTTGTTTTTTTATTGAATCGATACAATTTATTCTGTTGTTTTGTAATTAAAATGATCAAATTTTGTGTTCCACAACCTACGCAACATTTTATTACTTAAAATTTATTACATATACTTACTTATATAAATTCAATTAGTTCTTTCAAAAAACTCGCAATAATTCGAAAAATGTAATTTTTTTGAATAAAAATTAAGAGGTAAAAATTGTACAAATTGAATTAATAATTAAACTAGTAAACATAAGAAAATAAAATAAATCTAAAATAGGTGGTACCTAAAAAATATGTATGTGGGACTAAATGTACATAACCCACTTAAAAATTTTATGTATGTCCGCTTTAGTTATTTTTTTGATAAAATCCTATTGCTATAAAAATAATACGTGCTAAATGTCATTAAAATTCATTGAATACCTTTGGAGTTATTGAAAAAAATATCATTTTGCAATTTAAACAGGCTATGACTTGTTTTGTGGCATTTTGGCATATATGTAAAAAGGGTCCAATTGAATTAATTTTAACCGCAGAATACTTGGTATAATTTATAACCTACCTTTTCGGTATACCCTGTATAGATTATGCAATTATTATACTGATTATGTTATCAACATACGTGGAATAATTAAAAATATGAACAACGGAAAGAGATATTAATTTATAAATGATGCGGTTTGTGGTTCAAAATTGCATAATGATTGCAAAGATTTATAAGAGGAAATTCTATCTGTTTCGACTAAAGTCATTATCTAAATATAACACTCAATACATTATGTAATAAACTAAAATGTTCAAGCATTAACGTAAAACATGGAACAAAATTATCCAGATTTTACTCTAAAGGCTATTCATAAAATAGACGAAGATACTATACAGGGTGATTCCTTGTTAAAAAATATCACCCCCTTAAATATTAGCATGCTATTAAGAAACACTCTGTATAAAAATATTTTTTTATTTAACATCATGTGTCTTGAAAACGGTGCATTTCCGGACACATGCCTGCTTTAACAGAAATCGAACATTATCTACCGATTCGCCGTAAGATTCCGCCTCGAAACTTTTTTCTTATTTTTTAAGAAGGGACCACCCTCTAAAATATCTCCGTCTATTTTATGAACATCCTATACGTATACAACAAAATCCCATCGATAAAGCGAGAACAGAGTAATTTGCCTATCAAATCAACCGTTTGATTCTGCAGATTTGTGCAAGAAGTTCATGGAGATGCCCGTCTTCGATAAGAAAATCGAATTGTGTTTAGAGGAAATTTTCAGCATCCTATCCTTGCTCTTTATGAACGCGACTAGTTCTTTAGAAAAGACCGAAGTGGTTAACGTAACGATAGCCATGATGAACAGGCTCTTGTATCCCCTACCAGCGGAGCCGATTTACGATAACCGAATCGCCGTCAACGTCATGGATTTCATATGGAACGTCATCTACAAATACGAGAACATATGCCAATTGTTCATCGAAAAGAATGGAGTTTACGTCATGTTGGATATATTGCAGGTACTGGATACACTATTACAATATAATATAGCAAAGGATTTTCAAACTTTGAAGTATATTGTAAACCCAGATAAACTATTCTAATGCTTAAGGATGCAACAGATTCAAGCTTTGAAGTATATTGTAAACCCAGATAAACTATTCTATTGTTTAAGGATGCAACAGATACTTTATCATGCACATGTGATAAAATGGTTCCCGGATTTTCTGATTTAAATTAACTGCACTTAATATTTTTAACTATTTCAAGTTTCTGTATACATATAGGTAACACTGTTCATAATAGTATGCAAAAAATTAGAGAGATTTTTCAATCAATTTATATCGCTTCAAAAGAAGCATATTTGATTACTAAGCATATTTGAGTTTGATAATTGCAGCTTATTTCGTTGCTTTGTTTTATAAAGATCCTTAAACTATAAATATTATCGTAAAACTATTATTCTTATTGCTACAATGTTTCGAATTCCGTAGGCATTTCCAATGTCAGTGAAAATCATCACGTTGGGTACGTTGGTAGACATGTGCGACTTCAGCGAAGGTAAATGCATCCCTTATATGTTAACCTGGAAGGGCAAGAAAGGCATCACCCTGATACCCCTACTCATGGAGATCTTCCGAGTTGAAAACAAATTGCTGCAAGTGAAAACAGAGGCGAGCGGAATAATTGGAGGTAAAAAAAAGCTTATTTAACTTAAATGAATTTTCTTCTTCTGTTATTCTTTTATTAAGGTCCTAACATGTTTATCTTTATGAATTTATGTCTCTGATGAAGTTGAGATCCAACTTTCTATCTACCTCTTTTAAGGTCTTTCAGGATTTCTTTTTCTGGTTTGTCTCACAATTTTCCATATACCTAACGTTTCTTAAATAACCTAATCAACTAGAATCATAGACCTATTAAGTATGGACGCGGCACTATCGGTCTATGACTAGAATACAAAATCTATTATTTTCTAAGTATCATCTACTGGCCAGCTAGATATGGTAACCCAGTTAATGTTTGGTTTATACTGAGCATTCTCAATTCTACAATACCCCTCTTTTAGATCCCGATCATCCGCTGATGGGTAAAATGCAATACGATTTGATGTTCGGGAAGAAGAACTTCGAACTGGCGGCGACTGCCGATTTATTCGCCAGCAGCAGACCGAAAATCTACGCTCTACTATCCCTAATGAACGAACGATATCAATCGATTGTCGAGATCACGAACGAGTCGTACAAAACGTTCAACGATGAGGACTTGCGAGTGGAGGACCAGGTAGGTCATTAGCGGATATATTCAAATGGGCTACATGGGGTAAATTAAAAAAACATGTACAGATACAAAAAAATACAAATTTTGTTCTGTCACTTTTTCACCAAGCTACTTCTTTTAGTGATTTTTAAGATCTAGTCATATGTGGCCCCTTTGAACTGGGGGCTCCATATTACACTACGTCCGCCCCTGAAGTGTATTCACTTGATTAGGGAAGTAATCGGTCCAATTGGTTCGCAGATTACTCTGGTATTAGCAGAAAACTTCTTGGGTTTGAAGTTCGGCGAATGCTGGGAAGAGATAAAATGCTTCTTCGAAGCCATCGAGTTCGAGCCGTTGCCGGTCGATAAAAGCATCATTAATTCGATCGTGACGAGAACGCAACGATGGGGACAGGCATTGAAAGAAGCGCAGAAAGAGCTGCTGCAACAGAACGACCGACAGGTACAGTTCGTACGATTCCACGTTGACGAAATTTTCAGTTGGTTTTAAATTTGTTTAGAACGCCATGGAGGAATTCGACTATTACAATCGGTTGCAAGATAGTCGAATAACGTCTTATCTGCGATACATAAACGAGGCCAAATACATAGCCAGGTGCACGGAGCGCATGTTTCGCATAGCTCACAAGTTCAATCAAGTCCAGCAAGTGGCGAAAGCCATGAAACATATTCCACACAACATGTATCTCCACAAAACATTTATGAAAAGTACGCCCATCACTGTAAGTAAAGTTGAAACCTCTACTAAGCGCTTTTTTCCATTCTTCTTCTATTATTTTAGGCAATTTGGCCTGTTTTTTTTTCATTTGCAGCGTCCTTGAAGATACTGCAAACTGTAAAATCTCAAAGAATCGGTTCACCAATACAAACTACTTTTGGATTCTGTAGGCTCACCAAATACTCCTAATAAATAATACTCTATTCAAATACTCTGAATAATTTCATAAATGTTTTCACGTGTTTTATCCATAAAAAGAATGTTTTTTTTAGTTGCTCTTTGAGATTTTGCTGCCTCATAAATAGTTCCTTGTGACAAGAGATTCTGGATACTGATTCTGGAGAGTTCTAAATGGTACTAGACAGTTCTGAATGATTATGAAGCGTACTAAATGCTGCTAGACAGTTCTAAATGTTTTGGGGCGATCTAAATGACTATGGAGTGTTCTAAATGTCTATAGACAGTTCTAAATGATTATAGAGCGATTTAAATGGTTCTAAGCTGTTCCAAATGATTTTGGAGCGTTCTAAATGGTTCTAGACAGTTCTAAATGTTTTTGGAGCGATCTAAATGACTATGGAGCGTTCTAAATGTTTTTAGACAGTTCTAAATGATTATGGAGCGTTTTGAATGCTTCTAAACACTTCTAAATGTTTCTGGATTGTTTTACATCGTTATATGCAGTTCTAAATGATTCTGGTGCGTTTTAAATTGTTCTAAACCCTTCTAAATGTTTCTGGATCGTTCTACATCGTTCTAGGCAGTTCTAAATGATTCTGGAGCGTTTTAAATGGTTCTAGAGAGTTTCAAATGGTTCTAGAGAGTTCTAAATGATTCTAGAGCGTTCTGTTTCTAGGTAATTATAAATGATTCTGAAGCGTTCTAAATAGTTCTAGACAGTTTTAAATGCTTCTGGAGGGTAATGTTTCTAAACAGTCCCAAATGATTCTCGAGCGGTCTAAATGGTTCTAGAGCGTTCTAAATGATTCTGGACATCAAAATTGAATATATTGACCAAAATTAACCCAAATTGACCAAAATTGACCAAAATTGACCCAAATTGACCAAAATTGACCAAAATTTACAAATTGACCATATTGCGTACAAATTTGCACTAACCCATGATATTTAAAATTTCAGTGCGTGTTTAAACATAAAGTCGATATAAAAGACGACCACACTAATTTTTTGGAAATTTGTCATGTCAAACATCTTTCGAAGACCGTCGAACAAGAAGGAAGCGAAAAGTCTCGAATAATCGAAGTTTCAAGCTCGGTTCTCAAGAATTTCACTGACAATGTGCATATACCTGAGAAAAAACAAATCCACCCGTTAAGTGGCAAGCACGAAGAACCGAAAGTGTGCGAGTCTCAAGATCTTTGCTTAAAGGATGAAGTAAAGATATTTTGGAAAGTTGACGAAGAGCAGCCATCGAGCGTGTAACTGATCATTAGTGGTTTATTTTAGCTCTTGTAGATAATTATGTAAAAATCAGATGTGTACTACATTACAATGCTGGATGGTATGGTTTGGTAGTATTAAATAAACTTGTAGAGTTAATCTAGTGTAGCTAACCGTACAAGCTATTGTAAGCAGCTGAAAGAGTTCTCTTATTTACTTCATAACGAATCTTGTATTCGTTTCTGGAAATCTAAGAATCATTTGCGTAAAATAAAAAAGTATTAGGCACCCTTTAATAAAAATTTAAAAAAATGCACTTCTAGAATTTTCGCCAAAATTTAATAAACATATCAAACAATTTAAGCAAGCACATGATTTTCCTTTCCACATTAAGTTTGATTTGAAATTCGATTTTGAAAATATAACAAATTTAACAAAACGTTATTATATTAACTAGTAAAAAATAAACTATCAAGCAGTAGGTGGTTTAACCTGAAAAAGATTAATAAAGTTTGTACGTTTCAAAATGACAATTACGTCATATTTATTAATTTTCACGCAGTTCAAAATTTCCCTAGTGCAATTCCTTGGTAATTTTACGAGGCGCGGTTGAAATGCCGATGCGTTGTTGCCATATTGTTGGTCTCAAAATTCCGCTTTTTGTAGTTAACACGTTTTGACTACAATTTGTTGTATTTGTGACTTCCCCAGTGATTATTGTCTATTTCTGGAGCGTTCTTAAGGGTTCAAGAGCCTTCTTAATTTTTCTAGACAGTTCTAAATGGTTCTGGATCGTTCTAAATGATTCTAGACAGTTCTAAATAATTCTGGAGCGTTCAAAAAGATTCTAAATAGATCTAAATGGTTATGGAGCGCTCTGAATGATTCTAGACAGTTCTAAATAATTCTGGATCGTTTTAAACGATTCTCAGCCATTTTTTGCCTTTGTCCTGTTTTTTTTCAAGTTTACGATTAATCTACAATTCGTGCTTTGTGGCAAATGCTACATTTTGTGACTTTTTAATTTGTAAACAGATTAAAAGTAAATATAAGCCTAAGTTAAATATATCAGTATCTGAAATAATGGATTTCGATTACAATCCGGCAACGTTGCAACAGGCTGGCTCGTGACGTCATTGTCATTTTAACACGTACGAACTTTACAATGAAACAAAATACAAATATTTAAATTTTTTTTGTTATATTACAAATTAATTAACCCTGAACAGTTTTAAAACAACTAATATTGCAGGTATACTTACCATTAATTTATTTACATAAAGACTCTGCGAGCTTTTGTTCGTGTTGTCCAAGCACTTGTAACCATTCGGTTCGTAATTATTGCATTTACTCTTTTCCCTTCCACCGGAAACGTTGACTCCAGACCAGGTCCAATTGACGCAAGCTTCTTTGCCGCAATTAATGTAAACAGGCATAGAGTTATTGTAGACGTCCAAGACATTTCCATGGATATTTATCAAGTTCAAATCGATAATCGGAATATTATTGTTGGGTATTCCGGTTGCTGAACCGTTCACGTAGTCCTGTTGGACGTTTATCCCGTAGTTATGTATACCTGATTTTGAATACATATTATGTAAAACGAGGATGATAAAGGTAATTGTATCGTTTATAACAATTTTAAACTATAAAACTATAACAATTTTGGATAGAGAATAAAGAGACCTTTCAAACGATATACAGATTGCTTCAATTCGGACCGCAACATGGTCGTTTCTGTGAGTTGAACAAAGAAATATTAATAAAATAACAGTTGTCAGAGTGAAAAGTTAAAATGACACAAATGTCACTCTTTCTTTTTCCTTTATAAGTGTCTAATGGAAGTTGTCTTTATCGCACCTATGTTGGTATATAACCTATGTTGCGTACACTGGAATGAAGCACACTGTATAAACAGGGTTATTCACGGTATACGACTAGGTCTATATCTCATTAACGGTCCATTTTATGAAAACTTTATAATGTACAACTTGTGTGTATGTCTAATTAAAAAAATTATTACGAATTACATACACCCTGTATGTAATAATGATATTTTAAAAATTGGATGATAAAACGCGATTGATGTTCATGATCTGGTGCAAATTTCGTTCCAATAATTGAAAAACGGCCTGAGTTATTAAAAATATAAAAATAGTGTACATTTTAACAAAATGTTAATTATTTACGAAACCTTAACATTTAGGTATAGCAAGTCCCATTGAAAATGACCTTTATTTTAAACGAAGAATCCAAAAATGTAAAAATATACGGGGTGTTCCATTTAAAAAAACAACTTTGATATGTAACATATTTCTGGGACATCCTGTATACTTGAAACTAATTTTAAATTTAGCTTAATTATACATACACAAAAGTTACATTACAAAATTTTCATAAAGTAGACCGTTAATGAGATATAGACCGAGTCGTATACCGTAAATAACCCTGTATACCAAAGGAAAAACTTTTTCATGTTCTCGACTGCAATTTTGGCATCTCCATTATCGTTTCCATAAGGCATTTCCCGGTGGGGACTTGAGAAAGATATCGATACAGATTTCAAAGTGAATACCGTTTTTACATACCCGATAGAAATATATTGCTGTACGTAACGTTTTTGATCTCTCCTTTGAAAGAGTCCGCGTGCGTTTTCACGTGAATTCCATTGTCCGACCTTACGATAACGGAATCCTCGACGGTTACGTTATAAAGAGTGTTTTCTTCAAACAACGTGTAATTGAAGCCCGTCGACAGGCTGATGCCGTGCCCTCCAGAGCAGAACATGTTCCTAACAAGAATGTTGGCCCCGTGACGCAGGGCAATGCAATCGTCTTGGTTGATTACTGTGGACTTTTCTATGACGAGGTTAGTCGCTGCCGATACATCGAAACCGTCCGTATTGTGTCCTGTGAAATTGTCCTACAAATAAAACCTTATACACTCAGTGTTCCGGGATAAGGATGCACAGCTGAGGGGATCTAGAAAGCTTCTGGATGCTGCAACTAGTTCTCCCATTGTTCAAAAAAATTAAAGGCCGAAAATTGAGGAATATGGGAAAGAGCACGTTACAGAGAACTTCTAGTTCACATGTTCCCCGGACAAGTGATCTCCCTACGGGAAATGCCAAAACTGCAGTCGAAAACATAAAAATGTTTTTCCTTTGGTAAATAAAGAGGTTTAAAATCGATAAATCTCAGTAGGAGTTCAAATCCACGACAATGACATGAGCTATACACCAATTTAACATTATTGAAAGATTCAATGTCATTTTATTTGGTTTTAAATTGACCAAAAAATGTATCGTTTGATTCGAACCACTTTTGAAGCAATCAAAAATTCTGTACGGTTGGTATCATGACGACGAAACTCCTGAATAATCGATTAGTAAGCAAATCATTGATCATTAGTCGCAGCTGATTTTGGCAGCTTTTGTTAACCTTGAAAGTGAAAATGACATTGAATCTTTCAATAATGTCAAATTGGTGTATAGCTAATTCACGTCATTTTTGCGTATGTGAACTGCTACTGGGAATGGTCAATTTTAAACCTCTTTATTTACAAAAGGAATAACATTTTCATGTTTTCGGCTGCAATTTTGGCATCTCCATTGTCGTTTCCATAAGGCATTTTCCGATGGGGCGTGAGTTCTGGGGCACCCCGGAGAAAAGCTTAAACTTTTTCTCCATACAACTGTTATATATTCTAAGATCCTCGTGCTATTTATCCTTATCAGAGACGCAGTATGTAATAACTACACAATTAATGACGGTACGTACATGATCTCCATATGAATTATCTATAATCCAGCCGGTTATAGTCAATTGATCGGATTTGCCGATGTAGATGCAATGATGAGGGCAATTAATGATCTTAATATCCTTAAATACTGATCCATCGAACGCTTCTATTTTCATGAATTGTGGTTTTTTTGGACCTTTATCTCCCATGTGATCCCAGTATAGTTCTCCTTGTCCATTCAGCAATGAACCTAACAATACATACATGATAAGCTAACTAAAGAACAAAATTATAAGAGAAGACTTTAAAATTCGCATTGGAAACGCTTTGGAAACACTCTTCATAAATAACCAGCATGTCCACCAATTCATTAATTGTGTAAAGATGAACCATTTTCAATTCAACAATCGAAAAATTAATTTTTTGTACTTAATTATTTATTATTTTTTGACACCTGTATGGTAATGGCAGGTACGTATTGGAAAATATTCGAAATTTAAAGAAATTTTAAAAATTTCTATCTTTTTTATTTTCCAGAATATAAAAAAAATTACTTAAAAAAGTTGTTTAGAATACGCAGTTAAAAAAAAGTACCAACTTGTGAGACACCCTATATATTCTATTTATTGGTGGGGTAAGGTTTTATCGTATATACACGGTGTTCTTAAAAAACGTAGAAAATCTCTCGGATCCAGATAGAACATGAAAAAATAAGATGAGAAGTTTCTTAAAAATTTTTCACTACATTAGATTTTTATTAAATTATATCAAGTAGTACTTTAAAAGGTATTTAAGGAAAACCTATTTCCAGCGGCCTTATTCAGGGACGCACATCTTCGCAGGGAGTGTCTGTAGGGAAAACTTTATAGAAACTTATATTCAACTTATTTTTTCATATTCTATCTGGATCCAAGAGATTTCCTACATTTTACAGGACACCCTGTATATCACAAGCCTATACTTCCCATTTAAAAAATAGGGGTTGTAACTATCCTTCGAAGGGGTTTAAAAATAGGATCTTACTTAACGTGTTTCGGGTTTTTTTTAAATATGTACAGTAACCAAAATAATGAATTTATTCAATTTGGCGTTTCCACCCTGTATATCAATTACTAATAGCCACAAAAGTATTTTTTGCATGTCTTAACACTAAAATTGAACTAAACGAATAGGTACCGGAAAATCTTACCTGGAGCTCCTTGGATAGTTATGTTGTTTCCTCTGACTCTTATTAAGGGACCAGACCATTCCTTGTGATCGAAAACCGTGATTCCCTCGAAAGTTAACGTAGTTCCACTGTTCAAATACAATTCTAAAGTTTCACCACCGGGTACCACCAAGTTTGATACAACGATATCTTTGCAATTTTTCACTACGTTTTCGACTTGAGAAAACTCAGTTACTGTACATTTTGTAGACTCGCTTGAACCTTGCGCTACAAGCGCAAGTAAAACTGCTGTTAACCTAAGTGGAGTTAACATTTTGATATTTTATTAGAAATAATTGTAACTTTTATATATCGAGTTTGTTAATTACATACATATCTCCAATGACGTTCATGTATCATGTATGATAAATAATTATATGATATTTTATCTATATAAATATTTATTTGAAGTACTCTCATAGATTTTCAAATAAATTGGTTTTTGGAATGAGACTTATCAATCAATCGAACATTATTATTTAACGTTGTTGCGTTAAAATAATTATCTTTGCGAAAGGAATTCGAGAAAAAAATTTATTAAAAAAATTACAAGTTAATTCATTAAATTACTGATCAATAATCCAAAGTAAGTTGACTCCGGCTCGTCCTAAGTTAACTCTTCCTAACATGCCATGTTCTAGTTTATTTATATGATAAATAAAGAACAAAATGCTGTGGAATAAATTATTATAACCCTGAAATGAAAAAGGATATTTTAATTTTAATACGTAATTAAGCATCTAAAAAAATCAAGTGATTCCTAATCAGAGCTTGGAAAATATGCACTAAAAAATGGCAAAATAAAAAACCTTCAAAATATTGTACTTATAAGTGTTTATGCTTAATGAAAAACTGAAAAAAGTAGAATCATTTACAACTATCTAGAATCATTTAGAACTGTCCAGAATCATTTAGAACGCTGCAGAATAATTTAGAACTGTCTAGAATAATTAAAACCTAGACTAGAACCAATTACAATTTTACTTTGCATATGCATTATGAATTTTTGGAGGATATATGCATATTTTCCAGGCTCTAGTACCTAATCAATCGTCGATCAATAGTCGATTGAAATTCTTCAAGATACGCCGAAGTAATATGAATTTTAAATGCAATAAACAAACTTGTATATTAATGTAGTTAGTATTTTATACCTTCATCATTTCATATATTTGTCCAGAAACTATAACACGATAATGTGGGGGCTTCTCAGACACTTCTTGTATAAAGAGACTATTCGAATTCAAAGCAGGCATTTTGTCTGTGATTTTAATATAATGATGTCCACTGAAAGGTTTTGTATCGGGCATGTTCGGTAAAGGCATCAATTGCGTGTCTAAATAAGATGCTAATAAATGCATAATCACCTGAAAATAAAAATAATCAACTGAATAACAAATTATTATTTTAAACACATTCATTAATATTAATTAATGTTCCATTTGTTTGATTTACGGTCGATTTCATAAAGGGGCATTAGGGATAATATAACTTTAAAGGATCCTTTAAATAGAAGTAACTGATTTCATAACCAAATTTTTAGAGATAACGATTTTATGTATGTGAATCAAAGTAGGTGTCGCCAAGTTAAACTTTTTGTCAGTTTTGTGAGTTGGTTAATTTAAAAAAAAAATCAGAAACTTTTCGAACTGTCCTGAATAATCTAGAGAATTTCAGAGCTATTAAGAACTATTTGGAACTAGTCAGAACCGTTTAGAACTGTCTAGAAATATTTAGAACTGTAGAGAATGATTTAGAACAGTCTATAATAATTTAGACATTCCAGAAAGAATAAGAAATCTTTAAAATCATTTAGAAGGATCCAGAACCATTTAGAAATGTCTACAAACGTTTCAGTGCGATTCAAAACAGTGCATAACTCTTTAGAACTTTCTAGAATCATTTAGAACTCATAAGAACCATTTAGAACGCTCCAGATCTATTTCTATCTTTCTATCTTTCTATTTCTACTTCTATCTTCCAGATCTATTCTTCAGAACGATTTAGACTAATTTCAAGCGATTCCGAACTCTTTATGAAAAAAATTACAACAGTTTAGAACAATTTAGAACGTTCCAGTGCGATTTACATCAGTTCATGACTCTTTAGAACTTTCCAGAATTATTTAGAACTGTCTTGAATAATTAAAAACGGTCCATAATCATTTAGAATCGTCTATAATCATTTAAAACGCTCCAGAATCGTTTAGAACTGTCTAGAATTATTTAGAAGCCTATATAGTCATTTAGAACTGTCTAGAAACATTTAGAACACTCCATAATCGTTTAAAACTGTCTAGAATCATTTAGAGCGATCCAGAATCATTTGGAACTATCTAGAATCATTTAGAACCCTCTATAGAACTCTATAGAACTATTTAGATCGCTTCATTACGATTCACACCAGTTCACGAATCATTTGAACTGTCTGGAGAAGATCATTTAGAAACGATCCAGAACGTTGATTCCTTTACGTTTCTCTAACGTACCGAATTAGTTCAATTATTCCCGTTGCTAAAGGACACTTAAACGCATTATTATGAAATCGACCCTTACAATTTGGTACATAAATACTCACAGCGCAATCTGTCGGTAAGGATTCATCCCAATCTTTAGACAAAAATTTACCACCTCGATTCCATTTAAATTCACTCATGCAACCGCCTTTCGCCAACTCTCTTATTCTCCTTTCCAAATACTCCTGATTGCTCGTGATTTCCAAAAATGGAATAAGCGCAGGCAAAGAGGGTATGAATTGCGTCACAAGCGTAGTTTGCGCCGTTTTCCTCAATCTATCCAGACCGACAGCTCCGATACGAACGTCTGATAAACCGTGTTTATCCAATGCCGTATTAACTCTATCGAATTCCGCCACCAAGCGCTCCAATATAGTTTGGGAAATCCACTAAAAAGTACATAAATTACATTACAAATATTGGGTGTCAGTGAATTGAGTGTCGATACACTAGGATGTGAATATTTGGATGATTTTAAGAAGAAAAGTTTATATCAATATATGTCCTAAACCTCTTAGTTTTCGAGCTCACGGGTAAAAACGAACGTCACGGGTAAAAATAAAAAAAAATTGCCTCAAAAAATGCTCCTTAATAATTAAAAAGTGTGTAGAGAATTTCTTAAAAAATATCTGAAGTAATAAGAAAATTATGATAGAAAAGTTTTTTTTTCTAAAATTTTAACACTCTGTAGCTCGAAAACTAAGAGGTTTAGGACATATATTGATATAAAGTTTTCTTCATAAAATCATCCAAATATTCCCATCCTGAAGTATCGGCACTCAATTAATTAACATCCTGTACTCGTCAATTAGGAGATTGATCTTACTACACGTAAATTTTCGTTCCATTGCGTCAGGGCTACACTATCGACGTTTATGCGAGTCCAATTTTCCAAAGATCCTTTTGTAGGACTCAGGGTTTTTTCGTCCGATTTTATTTTGCCGCTGCCCGATAGTTTCACTGCAATTTTTGAATCGATTAATTACACATTAGAGCCTTTTTCTAATAAACCTACTCGACTGGCTGGAAAGCTGGTACTGGCAATGCTTTAAATACTCGGATACATTCTTCGCAGATTGCGTGACCGGGTGGCTCCAAAACGAGCTCAGCAAATTAGACGATTGCTGTTGTTTGGTGGTCAGTTTGTTCACTTTTTCCATTTCTTCGTATTCCTTCAAGTACTTGTTCAAGGAGTCTTCATCGGATATGTATTCGACTGAAGTCGCGTCTCTAAACGAGGATTTGTTCAAATTTAAAGGTGTCGGGGACGTGGATGGAGATGATTTCGGTTTCGGTTCAAGGGAAGTTTTGAACTTCCAAGATGAGGACGACAACGAATAATTTAAACCTGAAAAATAAGTAAATTATTTCTTGCTCGATATATATCGAAATGAATACTCACTTTCGTTTTGGGATAGGCTTAATAATCTATTCATTGTAACGTTCAAAGGGGTAGAGGTAGTTATGTTTTGAGCTGTTTCTCTTTTGGGTGTTTCTATGCGATAATTGGGATCTTGAAAAAATAAAAAATAACAGAAATTGATTAATTATACAGGCTCTTCCATAATGACATGCTAATATTATGAGGGTGATTGAACAATCCTAAAACTTTTGAGATACAGGGTGGTAAAATTTTCAAATTCAAATAAATTTTTTTGTAATAACTGTGATATTATTGTAGATATCTTTATGAATTTTGGCACATGTCTTCTATGAATCAAGATACATTTTCTGATGTACAAAGAATTTTATTATTTTCAGCAGTGGCGTCCGTACGGGTTTTGCATTGAATATTTTTGGAGAAAAAATGGTACGCCATTGCCTAATATTGAAATAAAAATTATTTTTGGAATCCTCATTCAATTCAGAACAAAATTGATTTCTTGACTTTTTCAGTACGACTCACCGTTTCGCATAAAAAATGCATTCATTTGTCGCTAAAATAAGATAATAATAAATTTTGGGTTTAGGACATATGTTCATATGAATAACTTTTCTTAAAATGGGTCCAAGGTTCACCCCTTTAAATATTGGCATGTTATTATGGATCTCTCTGTAGATTATTTTCCTTACCAGAATCGCTAATGCCCAGCAGTTTCTTCTGTTCTTTTGTAATGCTAATTGGTTCCGGAAAACTCAAAGAGTGTTTAATGATTTTTCCAATGTGGTAAAATAAATTCAACGTCAACACTATTACCAAAACATACTCGAAATAAACGTAATAACTTACATAGAAAGGGCAAGATCCACTTCTAAAATACAAGAAAGAATAGTAAACCACAAATATATCTAACTTACATCTATGCTAAATGTACTTACAAGTCATACAAAACTATTAGTAATACGACAAAATTTAACATTCCCCACAGAAAAGCATTTTTCATCGATCGTTTATTTCTATTTAAAGTTAAACTTCTTTCCAAAAGCGGTGTACACCGGTAGTTTGCAAAAGAAAAACTACAAAAGAATTATCAGAAATTGATGAAATTTCGAAAAATGAAGCTTACCTTTGAGCATTCATTCTCCTTTTACGAAATTATGCTGTTTCTTAGTTATAATCTAACAAAAAACCTAATTTATATTTAATTTAATCTAACTCAACTAAACAAAACTTTACGACATGACCTAACCAAACATCGAAACATCTGTAATTTTTATAAAAAAAGAAGAATTTAAATATAACATTTCTTCTTTTCTGAAGGTGGTTGAACCCAACACTACAAAAGATAGAGACCAAAAATATGACATTTGACATTAACTTGTCAAAAAAAATTCAATTCAAATATTTCATTAGTGATATTTTTTAATTCTGTTATTTGGAAATTTAATTCACTACTGTTACAAAATGGATGAAGATTCTTTGATGTTGCATCTTTATGACTCTACTGTAGAATGGTATATATTAATTAAAAGTTACTTTTTTATTGCATGATATTCAGAAGTAATATACAGGTAAAAAGATAGAAAATTGTTTGCAATATGCACCTTGGTTGGTTTCAGTTTGCAATATGGTCATTTCTATGAGTTGAACAAAGAAAGATTATTAAAATAACAGTTATTAGGCTATGGGTGCGTTAAGACAACTTAGCGTTAGAGTGTTAGGATTTCCATTGACAATCTGGCCACCAAAAACACTTTTGCAAATCAAAACAGTCGCACAGTCCACCAAATAAAACAAAAATTTTGCTTTGAGTGCACTTTCAGTGCGCAGAATTTTACCAATGGAAAACGCCATTATATTTTAATCTCTCTTTGTTCAACTCATAGAAATGACCATATTGAAAACTGAAATGCACCTTAGAATATAACCTATTGCAAACAAAAATGAATCAACCTGTGTAAGCTACCTATATGGGTGCATGCAACAGAGACAACTTCAAATAGTCTCATATAATAGAAAAAGTAATATTGTGGAATTGCAACTTTCTCACTCTTTCTTTGTTTAGCTCTAAAGGGCCAACGTGTATAGAGCCACCTTGGCGATTGAATTTGCAAATTCCTGATTGGCGACCAGTGTTGGTAGACAAACCGATTGTTGTCGGTTTTTCGTGCATAAATCATAAGGGCCCTAAACACGTTGGGCCAAATGTACAGGGCCAACTGGCGATTGAATTTGCTAATTTGTGATTGACGACCAACGTTGGTAGACAAACCGATTGTTGTCGGTTTTTCGTGCACAAATCAAAAAGGATCTTATGGCAAATTGCAAAATAGACTGAGCGCTCGACCAACGTGTAATGATTATTCCTTATTGGCCCAATATTTGGCCCAACTGGTTGTAGTGTAATCACTGTTCTGGTTCAAACTTATGGAGCACAACTTATTGGTCCAACTAGTTGGCCAAACTTGTACTGGAGCCAATAGAATTAAATTTAAACATATTGCAAACAAATTTACACTTATCTGTATATCCTTGCCAATTCCAAGATTAATCATTAAGAAAAAAAATGCATAATAGCGCGCGATTTTTGCTACTTTCAATTCGGTATTTTAATTTCCCATTAATATTTAAAAATACTCGTATAACAATTAATTTATTACTATTTTTTCGCAGCTACGAAGAATTGCTTGGATTGTGTCAAACTGATGGTCCAATGAATTCTATGCAAATCAAATTAAAAATGAACGAGTGTTCCCGAAAAATGCAAAGCGTCATAAACGCTGAAGATAACAGTGGCCCATATGTGGAAAGTATAATTATATTTATTACATTGAAAAGAAATATTCTATATAGAGTGTCTCTGATCTAAGAATTATCTGTCCAACCTCCTTAAAGCCCTAATTCTTCCGCCCATATTATACAGGGGTCGGCATAAGTCAGTTAACCTGCATAAAACCTGCAGAAGCGTAAATATTAAGCGGTGTCATATCTGCATTCAGAAAGGGTCTGCAGTTTGAACACAAAATGAAATTTTTAAATTACTTTTGTATACAAATAATTAAAGCAATAACTCCCTGTATGTACTTAATTTTTTAATCTTGTTTATAAACATTTTGGACTCTTTGTAATTTTCTATAAAACCAACATTTTTGGAGATAAATCTCAATTTTTGGCATTTATATGGCAAGCTTCTAACATGTTGACTATAAGTTGTCAAAACTTTATTATTATAACGTTTACATCCCGGGTAGCAACAAGGATAGAAACCGCGTCGCGATAAAGCTTATTACATTTTTAAATTGCTATATGAGAAGTTTATAAAAATTAAGTCTTGAAATTTCATCTTTTAGGTACATTTATTTCAGCTGAAACAACACATGCAAACCCTAATAAAATTCGTTAAAACTAAGGAGAGCAAACGACTCGTACCGGACAAAAAATCGACCTCTTCCAAGGAACTTGACCAATTAGTCGAGGACGCTTTGGAGAGGCCCCGCGTACAAGGATTCCAAGATGTGGCGGGAATGCGAGACATTAAAGGGCTCCTGCTCAGTTTGATAGTACTGCCGAAAACCCAATCGCAATTGTTCCAAAATCAAAAATTATCCAATAGTTTTCTGCTCTTCGGTCCGCCTGGTACTGGTAAAACGCAAGTCGTTCACGCCCTGGCTTACGAAGCCAACGCGAATTTGTATTGCATTACAGCCGGTGATCTCATGTCGTCTTATGTGGGCCAAACAGAGAAGTGAGTATTAATTGTAATAATATACCATAATCTAAGGTTCTTTCTACGGGATGTCCCTTGACTGGATGAACATAGCTTAGGAGGGTATACTGCTTGATAAATTTTAAGGGAAGGGGTTTGGGTAGGGTAGGTTAGTCTCAGAGGGTATATTTTCAGCAGTAAATAAATCTTTCGCTTTTTAAAGCGGGTTATTTTTTTTCTTAATTTTTTTATTGTTTCATTTGATTGTATGGCATGTCTGCTTAAGTTCTCGTCATATGGAAAACTTTTTTAAAAAATTAACGTTTTAAGATTGTTGTATTAAAATTTGAAACAAATCGGAGCAAAACTGACGAAGATAAAGAACTTGACAATTTTTTTTATTAGATTTACTAGTATACAAAACGATTTTCTGGCACTTTTTTAAGTCGATGAAAAGTTTAAATCAAAATCTGCTCGATTGATTTATTAAAAAGTTTGTGTAGGTACCTGCTACTTCTTAACATATTATGTAAATGACCAGGTATTCCTGGAAGCTTCCTACGAGCAATTTTTATATCGAATTGGAGATCTTTTGATCATAAAACCATCTTCATATTCTTATTTCAACCCTTTACCCAGCAACCCCAACCCTTAAAAATTGAATAAGAAATATATGGGTCGTCGTGCAATACATCATCAGAAAGATTTCTTTTTTCTGAAAATAACAAAAAAAATTATCAAAATCCGTCGATTGGTTTATGAAATATTCACTTTCGCTTTTTTGAAGATAAAATTTCTCTCCATTTAGGGTAGATGCTAATTTAAATAACATCGGTTAGAAGCCAACCGGCAGTGTTGTTAAGTAGTTAACTACAAGTAGTTAAAAATGTAGTTCAACTACTTTTAATGTATTTAAATAACCAACTAACTACTTTTGTAAGTCCGGAAACTTAAATACATTTAACTACATTTTTTTTGTAGTATTTAACTACATCATTTAAATACATTTTCAAATATTTTTTTTCTCTATTAGGTACCTGAATTGTTATTTGCGATCAAAATTTATATAAATTCCTTTGCCCATATTGGAAACGAACTTATTTTAAATTAGAAGATAATTGCCCCAATTCGTGGAATTTTGTCATTACAAATTTAGTTTGAAATACTTTTAACTACAATTCCGATATATTTAAATACGTAGTTAAATACTTTAAAATAAAATGTATTTAACTACGTATTTAATTACATTTTTTACAAGTAGTTGTAATTGTAGTTAATTACATTATACAAATGAGTTTTAATAACACGGCCAACCGGATAGCACCAGGCTATTATAATATTGCGAGACAGAATTTGAACTTTTGGAATTGGAGTTTTTATGTTTAGGAGTAGTATTAGATTAGAGTATTAGAGTATTAGATTAGCGTTTGCTCCATCAGAAATTGTTCACCGTTAGACAAAAATTAAGTGATATTTTACCTTTAAAGGTAAATAAATCAAAAACGAATTGTAACATTTTTTTGTTATTTTAAGAAAAAATAACCTTTCAAATGATTGCTTGGGGTTGTGTGAGCAAAGGGGTGAAATAGTATGATGATGGTTTTAACGTCAAAAGATGTACCCCCCGATATAAAAATTGACGTGTCTCAGTGCGAATTTCCAAAAATCTTTTTTTTCTACCCGGAAACACTTCTGTTGAATATTATTATTACCAGCAATAATAAATCGACTTTTGGACAAAAGTGTATAAGGCATTTTCGAATTAAATTTGACCAAATTTGACCTTAAATTTAACCAATAATATGTAAATTCATAGTTAACGTTGATATATTATAATCATTTTTATACTTATAGAAACGTGAAATTTTTATTCGAGTACCTCAGAAAAAAAGATTCATTATCCCTACTTTTTATCGACGAAATAGACGGTTTTTGTAAAAAACGATCTGAATCCGAAATGGACCATAATAGAAGGTAAAAGCAAACGAGAATAATATTATGATTATTATATCTAAAAAATATCACAAAATTCTAGAATCAAAACGGAATTGTTGTGCCAGATTAGTCAAATGGATGACCAATCGAACTTTTTTTTAATATGCGCTACGAATTGCCCTTGGGATTTGGATTCGGCTTTTTTGCGAAGGTTCCACAAACGATTATACGTCCCTTTGCCAAACAGCGCTGAAAGATGGGAACTTTTCGAAACGTTCATCAAAAATGCCCCTTCGAAAGTAACGTTTTTCGACAATCGAGAATTTTTAATTTCCAACACGGAAGGCTGGTCTGGCTCCGATATATCAGATTTAGTACAAGAGGTAATACATATAAACCGCATGTTTTCATGATTAGGCGTTAAAAATTATTAGCTCACTAAAGGGGCTACTTTTCATTGGGATACCCTAAATTAGTATTTTCTTAAAATATTACTGTCTAAACATAATGCTTATTTTTTATTACCCTCATAGATAGAGCCTGTAAAAGACAAAATGCATATTTCCCCCAAAAATTCAAAATGCATATGCAAAATTAAATTTTGTATGTTTCAATACATTTTGCCAATAGTTAAAGTATTTAAACCTAATAACAAATAATAAAATAAAAACGGTAACAATTACTTGCAAATTCGGGAAACTAAAAGAAACACCCAATGCTCATTCTAAGAACACTTAAATACCTATATAGTATTCTGAAGGGTTGTGAATAGTTTTAAATGGTTCTAGACAGCTTTAAATGAATATGGAGCATTCTAAATGTTTTTAGAAGACAGTTCTAAATTATTTGGAGCATTCTAAATAGTTTTAGACAGTTAAAGATTACGGAGCTTTTTAAACGGCTTTAGACTAGTGCTAAATGACCATTTAGAATTGATTCTAAACAGTTCTAAATGATTCTGGAGCGTCCTGATGAAAATACTGACCATTCCTACAAGTGCATATTTTGAAGATTTTCAGTGCATATTTTCCAAGTTCTACTTATACCAACTTTTATTATTTTTATTAGACGTTAAATGCTCGAATTGTGGAGCTGCAGTACACGAAAATCTGGAAAAAATGTCCGGACGGCTTCTACGAGCCTCTAGATGAAAACGGGCAGGATTATAACGGGAATTTTACATATGCGGACCTTAAGGATTTACCGTCTTGTTCGATAAGGGCGAGAAACGTTGAAACGAAGGATATTTTCTTTGCGTTTGAGCACGCCAGTCCCACCGTTACCAAGGCAGAAGTACGAAAATTTGAAGATTTTTGCAAAGTTTAAATGTTTGTTTTATTTTATTTTTCTTGTAGTTAGTTTAATTCAATTATGTAGGTAGTGTAAATTATCAGCTAAGATAATTAAAATAAAATTTAAAACTTCTAAATTTGTCATCCACTCTCCACACTATTATTTTAGCCGAATATTTAAACTGGGCGTTTATTAAATTATTGAGTGAGCGTCTTTTATACTGCTCCACAAAAGTTAAAGAAGTTGACAAATATTGAGATTAATATGAAAGTTGCAGGTTTTTTGATCGCCAAATTTAGTATGAATTGCAGAGGTAGGGGCAAAAAATCCACTTAGATATGAGAGAAAACATTTAATTTCGCATATTTGAAAATTTGATGATCAAAAAGTCTGTAACTTTTAAAATAATGGCAAAATTTGCGAACTCTCTTAACTCTTGTGGAGCAGTTTATTTTAAATATTAACAACCGAACATTTATTTTCATATTATGCATTTTATAAATATTACTTGGAAACTGAACTTTGCATTTTGAATAATCAGTCAGTCGTTTATAATGATGCCTACTATGTCCTGTTTTCTTAAAAAAAACTACTTTTCTTCGTTTTTTAAGAATGGAAAATAATATTGACTAAAAGACTAGATAGACCGAGGCCAAGATTTCTGTTGTCATGCCAACCGTTATGTCAACACTAAAACTGACTCACAACACATAAACGTCAAAACAATTTTATTGATGTTGTTTTCGCAAGAAAATGAAAAATAGGCATCAATTCCGAATAAATATCGAAAAAGCGACATAGCGAAATGAACTTTTCGTTTTGGTGGATCGTAACCTATTATTTTCGTTCAGCAGTAAAATGGTTTTTAAGGAAAACAACCGGTTTATGTGAACTGCAAAGAATTTGTTATGGTGAAATCAGAGGTCCCCAGAGAACTCATGCAATCGAACGGTCATTGTCTCTGTCCAAACACAAGCACATCCAACAACTCATACTGCAATTGAACGACATATCCGGCAAAGAAGAATTTTTGGGATCGCAGAAGAAGCAGGTGCTGCATGATGCTGTTCGAGCAGTGCTGTTAGCAAAACAGATCAATCCAAGAATACATAGACAGTTCGTTATTAACATGGGGCAATGTATAGAGCATATATGGGGTTACAAACAACTTATTTCCGAGGTGGAAAGACTAAGGACAACGCAATATGACTGTGATAATATCGAACACGAAACTCAATTGTACAACTTGTGGAGAATGTTGAAACCTGATGAAGAATTAGAAGGTAGTAGTACTATTTACTCTACAAATCTACCATTGTATTATTTTGGTTGTTTTTGAATTACAGGTAGAATAACGAAGCAATGGCAAAACATTGGTTTCCAAGGTGAAGATCCAAAAACGGATTTTCGAGGAATGGGCCTCTTAGGTTTAGAAAATTTAGTGTTTTTCGCAACATTTTACTGTTCTGCAGCCCAGCACGTACTTACACATTCTTATCACCCGCAGCACGGATATTGTTTTGCCATAGTCGGTATCAACTTGACCAGTTTGGCATGGACTTTATTGAAAGAAGGTTGCGCAAAGAGTTACGTTTATAACAATATAGAAAATGAAATTTCTCTAAAAATGTTTCATCATTTTTATTGTTACTTATTTTATGAATTCGATAGATTTTGGATGGAATGTAGGCCCAAGGATATTATGGAGTTCTCAAATATTAAAAGTAAATTTGAATATAACATTAGAAATTACCTGAAGGATCCTAACAACGATTTTCGAATTGGTGTAACTGTACACAATATTTAATTTATCTCACGCGCAATGTTTTTAAAATCAATAGTCACAAAGGATTTATCAATGATTTTAGAATGTACTTAAAAATTAATTTAAATTTCACAAAATTGGGGAGTTATTAAAAATGAAAACATTTAAAACAAGCGTTTTTTAAATTACTTTCTCACATTTAAACAAACCTCCCAATTCCAGCAAAATATTATATTACTTAAAACAAAACATATATAAAATTAGAGAACTTGGAATTGCTTCATTAAATCAATACAGTAAAAGTAAAAAACAAATACTATACAGGGTGTTCAAAAAATGGATGGGGATATTTTAGAGCGTGATTCCTCGTTAAAAAAATATTAAAAAAAGTTTCTATAAACATGGGTTCGGAAATGCAGTTTTTAATATATCGGATGTTGAATTAAAAAAATGATTATCTTTAAAAAATATTTACTTGAATCTGTTGAAATTAGGAAACGTTATGTTGTTTTATTAAGAGGCTAAATTAACCCTAAATAGATTAAAATTAAAAACCAATTTTGTCCAGTATTTAGAATATCTCCATCTATTTTATGAACACCCTGTATAGATAGCTCTTCTATTTCTTCAAGAAAGTATCAATATGCGCATTTATGTAATCAAGCAACTCTTGCAAATTTTCCATTAGTGCTGCGTCTTCCCTGTTTATTTTCTTGACGATTTCTTCCCTTTCGAGCATTTCTTCATGCGCTTGTTTGGCCCATTCTTCGAAAAATTTCACGCTATTTTTACCCATTCCTAATAAATCCAACTTTAAATTGAGCTCTGCTTTTTCCAAAGCGGCGATATTTTCTTTCTGAGTTTCAATTAGCTTTAACTCATCTTGCATATCAGAAATGTATTTGGCTTCTTTTTCTTCGAAATCTTTTAATATCTAAAAAAGATTGTGGTATCAAATATAATTTCGTGGGTTTTATTAACGGTTTGTTACTAAAATATAAAAAGAAAGCCTTAAAAATAATTAAACGATAAAATGTATGTACCTTATCTTTCTTATTACTCAAGTGAATTAATTGATCCTGCTTTCTATCTTTCTCCAATACAGATAACTTTTTCTGTTTCATTTCATTTGTAATTGCATCTTCTAGACGACGAATTTCGTTTGCCGATTTTTTTATATTCTTTTCAGCTACTTTCATAACTTCTTTTATATTCTCTTTGATTTTTGATTGCAATGCATTTATTTGTTGAATCTCGGCTAAAAGGCTTTCTCTTCTCAAATTCGTTTCTTCTAGAATCATTTTCTGGGGCATTTCATTGTCTAGGAAACAATAATAATCCATCAACGAACGATTATATTGGACAATTTTAGAATGCAACTGAAAAAAGAAAAATAATAATATGCAATTTATTATTAAAAAAAATTTCGTACGTTTTAAAAGGACAATGAGGTATTTTTTAGTAATCTCCACGTAGTTCAAAATTTCCCTAGTACCAATGTTAATTCTGCCTTTTGATTTATTAGGGGAATTTTACCTAGCGCGGTTGAATAGCCGAAGCGTTGTTGCCATATCGTTAGTATTAATATTCCGTTATTTATAGTTGATACGTTTTGACTACAATTTGTTGTTTTTGTGACCTTCCCAGCGATTTTTTTATTTTTCCGGAGCGTTCCAAATGATTCTAGATAATTCTAAATGGTTCTGGAGCGTTCTAAATGTGCGTTCTACAGTGCCTTAAATGGTTTTCCAGAGCGTTCTAAATGATTCTAAACAGATCTAAGTAATTGTTCTAAATGATTATAGAGTTCTAGAGTTCTAAGTGATTCTGGTTAGCTCTAAATGATTCTACGCAATTCTAACTGATTCTAGAGCGTTCTAAATGATTCTAGACAGTTCTAAATGATTCGAGAGCTTTCTAAATGATTCTAGACAATTCTAAACGATTCTGGAGCGTTCTAAATGGTTCTGTAGCGTTCTTTATGATTCTTGACAGTTATAAAAATGTTTTTGGAGGCGTTCTAAATGATTCCCAGCGTGGTTCCCAGATTTTTGCTTTTGTCCTGTTTTTTTTTTCAAGTTTACGGGTAGTGCTCATTCTAGATTGCAACAAAGGTTATATAGGCTATAGATGGGATAAAGGCAACTTCCATTAGACATTTATAAAGGAAAAAGAGTGACATTTATGTCATTGCAAACGACCATATTGCGGTCTGAATTGAAGCAATCGGTACATCAGTAATATAAAGGGTTTCAATTACAACCCGGCAACGTTGCAACAGGATGGCTCGTGACGTCATTGTCATTTTAAAACGTCTGAACTTTACCAATGTATTATCGCAAGTGTAAATTGTTTCGCAATGTGGTCTATGGGTGCAAGCAGGACAACTTCCATATTAGTCCCATATAAAGGTAAAAGGGGTGATATTATGTTCAAGTCTTTATCTTTGTTCATCATTCAAGTCATAAAATTAATTGCATTGCAAACAAATTTACACTAACCTGTATAAAAATGTAATAAATCATGTAGTACTTACAATATCTAATTTTTCCGTCAAAATCTTCTCTTTACTAGCTTTCAAATTTTCGGCATCGCCAATTCGAACTTTAACATTGCCTATTTTACGTTTAACATCGGCGATTTCTGAAAGAAGAACCTCTTTTTGTTGAAGAGAGTACTTCTGTAATTGTTTGGTTTCCCTTAATTCAGCTATTTTAGACAAGTGTTGCTTCTGTTTCATCTTTAGGCGATTTTCTTCTTCTCTTAATTCTTCGAATTGAATCGCAAATTTTTCTTTAACATTTTTAGCTTCCAAGAAAGTATTCTCAATTTTGTTTTGTAGATGGCGTTTCCTATTCAGCAGAGACTAAAGAGAAATTGAACATTAAAAATTACATGTTATTACCAGCAATCATAAACTAACTTCATTTTTCTCTGTTAAATATCTAATTTCGTCTTCTAAGGCCGTTTCGTAATTTCTCCTTTTTTTCGTTTTGAGCCTTTATTTCCTGGTACCTATGTTCATCAAAATTGGAAGAATTATAGAAGTGTTTGATGTGTCTTATAATTTTAATCTCTTCGTCTTCGCACTGATCTTCGCAACCATGGAAATATTTGAATTTTGTATAGACAATATTTCGTGCGAGCTGTAAATGAAATGCAATAAAATACACTTAATTTAGAAGAAAAACAGTAAATTAAAAAAATATGCAATGCAAATTAAATTTAATAATACAGGTATTTAAAATTGAAATGTTATTACTAAAGTGCAAAATAATAAGCTGATTATTTACCTGTTGGGTTAATGTCTTTTGATCTAATTCATCTTCTGTCGGTTTTAGTGAAATACTTTCAACATAATCAATCAACCAGCACCACAATGACAAAACATGAGGCCACGAGTGTATAGTGTTGACTAGAATAGAAAACATGATATTATTATATATTTTAAATTAATCCAATCACCCTTAAAATATATGCTTTGCGTGTCACTTATTAAGGGCTCCACTTAAAAAACAGTTTTTCTTAAATATCTGTTGACAGGTGTCATATTTTGCAAAACTGAAACTTGCCATTAAACATTTTTCTATGGCCAACAGTTTCCGACACCCCTATACTAGACATCGAAGAAACTCACCCTGTATTTACACTAACCTGATTTCAGCATTGACTTGGAAACGACCCCATTGTATCTCAAGACTTTCATGTACTCCGGCAACATTTCAACATAATTTTTTTGAGTCAATTCGACGTCTTGCAGGATTTTTTCCAGCAGAACTTTCACGAAATGTAAAAAACCACCGATTGTAGGCGGTTTTAGTTTCTCCTTCGTAATCAAGTCTGGATTGAAAATATCATTCTCCGACATGAATTCCATCACCTAAACAAAACGGTAGACTAGTTTAGTACGAACAGAGCATGTTATTTTAAATAAAAACCGTATGAAACATTGAAATACAGTGTGTTCCTAAACATCGTGTACATCCAAAAGGGGGTGAATCCTTGGCTTATTTTATGACTAAAAGTTCACATAAATGTGGTTCCGAAAACGCTTCATTACCGATCTACAAGGTGTTGAAATTTCAAGATTTTTTTTGTTTTTTCTTTGTAGCTCCTGCAGTATTGGAGATATTTAGCTTAAATTTTAAATCTAGATTGATTTAAAGGCACACATTATTGGGTATGTCAGATGGTTGTTGAATTCTACAGGGTGATATTTTTTCAGGGGTCATGTACCCTTTTTTCCCCCGAACTTTTTGCTATGTGCCGCTGGTAGATTCTAAAATACAGAATGAATTGTCTGTTTTCCGTTTCTGTGACAACGTGAATTCCGAGAAAAAATAAATAAAAACGATTTTCTTCTACAAATGATTTATTTTACAATACAACAACCCTAAATAATAATTATTAATCTAGATTATAATAAATGTTGAAAGTGATCTCCTCCTACTCAAATTATACTCTTTACCCTATAACCTATACCAAATTTGAGCTAAATATCTCAAAAACTACAGGAGCTCAGAAACAAAAAAAATCTTGAAATTTCAACACCCTGTAGATCGGTAACAAAGCGTTTGCGGACCTATGTTTATATGAACTTTTAGTCATAAAATAAGCCAAGGAATCACCCCCTTTCGGATGTATACGATGTTTAGGAACACCCTATATATTAATCTTACTAAAATACTCACTGAAATGACTAGCATGTAAATGCATAATGCTTGAGGTCTCGTTAAATTAAATTAATAGAATGCTAATTGATGCCCGTTTAGTATGCGGTCTATCCAAATTTATTTTATACAAAGTTTTTATAACTAAGTATTATTAATTAAATATACCTAAATATCTTCATTTAGCAAATGAAAAGATTTTACTAATATTATGGTAGACCCCATACTAGACTGACACCTGGTAATTACCTTTCTAAGTTCTGCATGTTGTCGAACATTGGTCAATTTTTGTATACTGGATTTACTTCTTTTGCTCGAAGAAGACTGAAAATAAAAAAATCCAATAAGTCGAATCTACTTACTTATCTACTCATAGAACTCTTTAATACGTAAATACTGCATCTGAAACACGGAATCGTGGAAAAAAAGTAGTGAGCGACTGATATAATGTTGTATCTTTTCACAATAATATTGTTAAATAGACTAATTCAAAACGTGTACATATAACTGGTATCCCGGATACTTCATTAGCCACCATGGGCCGAAAAATTAGGATGCAGAATTTAGGTATCCAGATACTGAATCAGGCAAGCCGCTACTTGTAAATACCTCCGTATAAACATATGTATTTGCTCTATCCAAGATAATATTTCAAATAAAGCATCCACCGTCTAAAAGAGCTCTTGAACAAAAGTTAAAGGAAATCAACTTACTAAAAACTGGCATGGTGTTGTAATTGAATAAGTTGAAATTTTAGGAGTTCCTATCTTAGCGGAGTAAAAAATGTCCGACCTTTTCGCAGGTTCCAATCTAAAATGTGCACACTTTTATTATTTTTGATGTTCAAAACTAGCCACCGGTTTCACAATTTTTGGGAGATGTTCCCAACAAATGTAAAATGTTACCTTGATGCCGACGAACTGCGTTTCTTTGAGGAGGAAATCCTTCGAGGTATCAATGAGGAACTGTTTGATCTTCTCATTGTACTTCACATAAATAATGAGTTTAAAAGGGAATTAATGGATATTATTAGAAGAGTTCTTGAGAACTAAGTAACAGATCGGAATGAAACCTTTTCTTTAAAAAAACCGAACTTTTTTATGTTGTTAATTAGTAAGTCGACGGTTATTTCTTTGAAACACAGATTGATTTATAACCTATACCACAGAACGACTAGTTTTGACTTGACAGATGTCAAGTGACTACATCAAAATTCTTCGCGTCAACGTATTAGTCCTGGCCCTGCACTATTTGACTATTAAGCAACTCAAAGCTTCGGCGCGATGAATCGGCGGATGAATGCAGGGTCCAAGGGTACCGCTCGGTATAAAGTATTGACAAATGTATATGAAAATGTATAGACAAAATATAATGAAAAACATCTTTCTTTCTCTATAATTTCACAATACAAAAAAATAAAATGCATACAAATTTGCACGTAACAATTTTATATTGACAATATTTGAATTTGTAGATTTGTACAGTTTGCCAGTGAATGATCAATATTTAAAGTGTCATTTTAGACATTACCATACATAAATAATCAATTGAACCATTTTTAAATTATAGAAACTGATAATTTATATAAAAAAGTACTGAAGAGATAAATAAGAATGGTTTCTAGATTAGAAAAAGGCAGTGTAAAGACATTCGGTTCTTCAAAGCATGTAAGTTATTCAATTATATGATTGAATAAAATTTAAATTTGTTTTTATTGAATACATGTATTTATGCAATATATTTTTAGTCTGTGCGCAATGAACCATTCTACATAAAAGAAACTAACATCAAAATCAAAATAGTAATAGAATGTTGTGAAAATATAGTAAGTGTTTTTTTTATAAAGAATGTATCTAAATAATACCGAAAAAAATTAAGGGGTTGATTCTGAAGATTATTTAAATGATTATTTATTAATAGACAATTCCTTATTTTACAGAAGCCTTTTTTTGAATTCTCCGATATTCAAGTAAAATGCCTTTTTGGAGAAGAGGAAATCGGACAATCCCGGCCATTTCCCATAACTGATGCAAAAATCATTAAAATGGATTACCCTTTTGAGTTCCAACTGAAAAAGAAAGCCAAAGATTTTGACAGCTTGGCTACCTATCCAATATTTTGTAAGTCCAAAAGTCAAAAAAAACCTCACACAAATTATTCATATCCGGGGGGTTTTGACATTAAAACCATCATCATATTATTTCACTCATTTGCCTAGCAACCCCAACCCTTAAAAATTGAATAGGGAATGTGGGTCGTGTAATACATCATTAGGCTACGAAAGACATTATAAACGACTTCTGATGAGTTCTGACGAATCGTCCGAAAAAACAAACTCCTAGTTTCTAATGAGAGTATTTACACTGACAACGATAAAAACTTCGTACGACATGGGACGTTTGTTCGTCAGAACAATTTTTCGTCAGAATTCGCATGCATAGTAACTGTAGCCTTAGAAAATTGACCTGTTTTACTGATTTTCCAAAAAGAATTTAATTCTACCCGAAAACACTGCTTCTGTTTCCTTTTCAATGGGCCAACCTGCCTGCGCCTATAAGCCTTCTGATTGAAAAATTCATCATCAGTCACACAATCCTATAGAAATAAGTATTTAATGCATTAAATTTAAAAAAAACTTACATACTTGACATAATTTTTCAGTAATGTTCGACCAAATAGAGGCTACTTACGACCACAAAGTATATCCTCAGTTGCAGCTGAACAAAGAAATTAAAAAGTTGACGCCAGTTAAATCATTTGATAGCGTTGTAAGCTTATATGAGGCCTTGTCAAGAACAACTAGCCAGGATGAACTGGACCAAAAAAAGAAAATCGTGGGACCATCGAAAAGTAACACTTTCAAAAACAAAGGTAGGTATTACAAAATGTGTTCGTTATGAGCAGGGTAGTTAATGCTACAAAAAGTAACGTAGACGAGTTTTAGTCATATTATTAGAGCAGTCCTGTTAGGGCATATCCGACCGAACTCTGCCACAAAATAAAATGTTACCTGAATTGTATCAATTTGGGGATTACCGAATGGTTCAAACTCTGCCACGACCATTAAGTTTAATCCTATTAGGGTCATTAGGGTTTATTATAATATTAGCTAAATAAAACTTAAAATTTCAACCCAAAGAAGTCGTAGTAGATTTTGAACTGAGCATTCATAACGCTATATATGAATGTTTTTGTAGAGATCAAATTATTTTTGGTTGTAAAGTTCATCTCTGTCAAGCTTGGTTTCGAAAGATTCAGGAGTTTCATTTGGTACAAGTGTACATACAGAAAGATTGTGTAATTGGCGACTACTTAAAAGTACATTTCGGAATGATGTATTTTAGCCCTGAGGAAGTTGTTGAATTTTTTATTACATTACATTTTTTGCTTCCATGCGATGAGAGAGTTATATAATTTCGCAATTATGTCAATAAAACGTATATAAAGCAAAATTCGATATTTCCACCACATATTTGGGCAAACAATGCAGACTTTCTTAAGATGACAACTAATTCTTGTGAGAGTTTTCATTCCCATTTTACTAATTCTTTTTATAAAGCACACCCAAATATTATCCAATTTACTAGTGTGTTATTAGATCTTCTTCAGATGTAATTTTATTTTTTACATAATGTACATGTATTTTTTGTGACAAATATACGTTGAAAATATATTATGAAATTGTTAAATCTGATTAAACAATTAGATCCCTACGGGTTTAGTACTTAATCCCTTAAATTTTAAAACCTGACAGAGTTCGAACAACCCGTAATGACTACCTGCATTTTGTGGCAGAGTTCGGATACTCCGTCCTGTTAGTCCTGTATGCCTCTTTTTCTAATGCAATTACATATCTCAATAGCAGAGAAAGCAGAGAAAGCAGAGAAAGCAGAGAAAGCACCGTTAAAAACGAGAAAAGAATCAAAGTCTTCTCTAACGAAAGTCTTACTACCCTCCGTAACAAGAAGTGGCGCTTCATTGGAAAGTGGTAGTTACAATATTCAAAGATTCGCAGCATTCGATCCAATATCATTTGGAATGTGCACAATAGATCTAGTACCATTATTATTAGGTAAGTTTAGGGTAGGTTTATGATAAGTTCATGTACACAGTGACAAAAAATTACCCGAAAAATTCGTTAATAATCATCTTCTTTAATTTTTCTTGAAACTCCTCCAAAAGATGCTCCTTTGCTCCTTTTTTTACTACTAAAACTAAACTACTAAACTATTAAAAAACTTTTACTACAGTTCGCAGGCGAACCTTGACAGCTCAAGCCCATAGATATAGTATAACTAAAAGCTAAAGCCAAGGTTCAGGCTCTAACCCCAGCGGGGCCATTGTGCCATTCCTGCTGCTTATACATCCATAAAGCCGAGTCCCTCGATGAAGGCCTCAGTTCTTTTCAATAGATGCCTATATATTTTTGTCTCCAGGGGCCATAACAGAGACCTGCCATAAAAAGATTCGCCTGCGCAGCCAAATTCTGACAGTCTAGAAGAACATGGTTATTCAATCAGCTGCTACAACCAGACTGATTTAGAAATCTTTAATATTGCCATGCTAACTAAGAACAGTGTTACCTGCATACAGAAACTTGAGATAGTTAAAAATATTAATTCCAGGTTATTTAAATCAGAATTTCCGGGTACTTTTTTGTCAGTAAATATACGCTCCTCATACTTTCCAAGCTGTATTTATATTTTAATCTGAACGTTTCTAAAAGGGTCTACCAAAGTCACACAATGTCAACTAATTAGGCCGATAACTGAGTATATGGACGAAAAAATGAACTCGTACAAATCTCATCCGAGAGTCACTGTAACGGTGTCGACTAGCGAAGACTTGGATCTGAAGGATATTACTTTTTTGAACTTTACTATCGAGACGATTTACAATATACCTCAGCATTTCATAAAACCCAATTTCGACTACAAATTTTGCTGCGTGTTGCCGTCCATAAATGAGGTAAGTTTTATATTTTTTCCATTCATACAGTGCACGAGTTTTATTTTTATCCCCATTATTTCAGCATAAAATCCCGATGGTATTCACGAATCCAGTATTTACGAATCAAACGGTCAATAATATAAGTAAATGTTGGCCGGGAATTCAGAGATTAGGCAATGATACAAACACAACTCAATACAGGTGTACAATAAACATTATTTATATTTACAGCCTGGAAAATATGCAAAATGCATATAAAGTGCATATTTATCCGAAAATTCAAAATGCATACGCACAATTTTATTATACAGGGTGGCCCATAGAGAAGGAAACAGAGGTGTTTTCAGGTAGAAAGGATTTTTGGAAAATGGCTGAAAATTAAATACGGAAATTGACACGACAATTTTTATATCGAGGGAGACATCTTTTGATGTTAAAACCATCCAATCAATCCATAATATCCAATCAATAATATTTCACCCTTTTGCCCAGCAACCCCAACCCTTAAAAAATTAATTGGGAATATATGGGTCGTGCAATATATCATTAGAAAGGGTTATTTTTTTTCTGAAAATACCAAAAAAAATTATTAAAATCCGTGGATTCGTTTTTGAAATATTTACGTTTAAAGGTAAAATTTCTCTTAATTTATGCCTGTTAATAACATATTTGATGGAGCAAAATTAGAAGCAATTATTTTATTTAGTTGGCTTCTGACCGATGTCATTGTACTCTGAATGGAGAGAAATTAATGATTCTAGATGGTTCTAAATGATTCTAGACAGTTCTGTAAATGATTCTAGACAATAAAGCAAAAAGAAAAAGTGATATTGTGCCATTGCAATTTTCCCCTCTGACAACTATTATTTTAATAATCTTTCTTTGTCTAACTTATAGAAATGACCATATTGTAAACTGAAATGAACCAAGGTGTATATGTCTTATCTTTTTCTTTTAACAATACGAGTATTTTCAAAAAAATATTTACTATCTGGTTGTTTCCGATTTTTTCAACGAGCATATTTGCATTCATATTTTGTCATTTTTTAGTGCATATTTTCCAAGCTCTATTTTATCATATTATTATAGCAATATGTGAAATTTGTTTTTTTTAAGAACTTCTGAAGATTTGAAAGACATCGTTGTAAAATTTGACAACAAAGTCGAACAGTACATAACTGGAGAAAGTCTCAGAATACAATTCGTAATGATAAAAAGACACCTAATGTCGAAGGATTCGATTTGCGATTTAACAGTGCACGTAAAGAAATATCGAAAAATTGCATTGGAATTTTTAATCTCCCCGAAAGGTCTCACTACCGAAGCGGTAAGTTATCAATTCAATTTTGATCATTTTGCAAATGATTATCTATCACCATCTGAAAATTTTGTCTAAGAAATAATTTCTTGTACCTTTCCAGACAACTACTAAAATCTTACAAAGCTCTAAAAAATCAATGTTGAGCACACAATTCTTCCATTACATGGCTCTTATAGACGTTTCCTCGTTATTGTATCCAGGTGGTAAGCGGGAGGTTCTTATAACATACAGGGTGTCGCAAAAAGGTTGAGAGGTGGCTTAATTACAGATTTCTGTGGTAAAAAAGAGGTGATATATTCAAAAGTGCTTAATAAAAAAAGTTACAAGGTGTTAAAAATATTAAGTGTTCCTTAATGTCATGCTAACATTTAAGGGGTGATTCTTTGACCCATTTTAAGGAAAAAGCTTCATAAGAATATATAGTTTAAAAAAAAGATTTTTAAAGGATATACAGGGTGTCCAAATAATAGATGTCACTAATTGTGTGAATAAAAAAATATATAAAGTTACGTCACGACCCTTATTTTGATATTATCTATACGCTGTCGAATTAGTGACATCTATACATCTATTCCAATATAAAAATTCTCTACTTTATTTTTAACGTTAACATCTCGTCACTTCTTTAGGTTACTTAGGTTATAACTGAGTTAGGCTAAATCATATTAAATTCATCTCAGATATCTGTGGGTACCTAGTTAAGTCATGATTCCCAACTTTTTTGCGACACCCTGTACAACATAAATTTCAATTAATAAAATTAGTTTATTATAAAAGTTATGAAACTGCGAGTTGCTACCCAGTTGCAAACGTTCAATTTGGAAAAGGCTTTCAAAGAGGCCGGATTAGAGGAATCGTTCTTTATGCAAGATATGAAGATTACGCATGCGAGATCGAGCAGACTCAACGAAATTGAAAAACCAGGGAAAGACGACAAAGAGGCCAGCATGAAGAATGTACGTTTAAACTTAAACTGGCTACTCCACATACAGGGTGTCCCTGAAAGTGTGGGAAATCTCTCGGGTCCATATAGAACATGAAAAAATAAGATGAGAAGTTCCTATAAAGTTTTTCCCTACAGGCCCTCCCTACGAAGATATGCGTCCTTGAAGTGCGCCGCTGGAAATAGGTTTTCCTTAAATATATTCTAAAGTACTTGATATAATTTAACAAGCTTTCCAGATTTAAGTTATTTAAGTTTTTGTTAGCCTTAGCCCGGCCCTGGTAAACTAAAAAAAAGCTAAATATGTTTCAAGGATACTAATTTTTGAGGCCCTCAGTAGTGTCCATCGTAGTAAATTTTTGTTTAATTATATCAAGTACTTTAGAAGATATTTAAAGAAAACCTATTTCCAGTGGCGCCCTTCTGGGACTCATAGCTTCGTAGGGAGGGCCTGTAGGGAAATTTTTATAGGAACTTCTCATCTTATTTTTTCATGTTCTTTTCATGTTCACTTTCAGGGACACCGTGTATAAACATGATCCTGAATGATTGGAAATGTAACAAAACATATAAATTTTCAGAAAGCGCCTGCTGCCCCTAAGCCTGATGAAAACGATGACGACGATTTCCTTTATGATGACGAAGAACGTCCCTGTTTCGTCGTGGTAGAATTGGAATTGACGCATCCTCTAATACCAAAGCGAGAAATTGAAGATTTGAAAGCTAGGTAAACATTTGCTCCTAAACAAATTTTAACTGATAAAGTTCGTACGTTTTAAAATGACTATCATGTCACGAGTCAGCCTTTTCCAACGTTGCCGGGTTTTAAACTTGAAAAAAAAATGAAAAAACAACGGGACAAAGGCAAATTGCTGGAAATCATTTAGAACTGTCGGATCATTTGGAACGATCCAGAATCATTTCGAACTGAGAACTCTCTTAAATCATTTAGGAAGCTCCTGAATTATTTAGAACTGCCTACAACCATATACATAGATCTGTCTAGAATTATTTGGAACCATAGATAATAATACAACGATAATCATTTAGAACTGTCTAGAATTAACGATTTGGCAACGACGCATCGGCGATTCAACCGCGCTATGTAAAATTCCCCTAGTCAAAAGGCAGAATTAACATTGGCACAAGGGAAATTTTGAACTACGTGGAAATTACTAAAAACGACGTCATTGTCTTTTTAAAACGTTCGAACTTTAGATATAAAATTAGATTATGCACCTTACAGTCTCGCCGAAATAATTAAATCGAAACACGAACTACCTCCAGATTTGCCCAAAGTCGTTTTAACGTCCTGCATCACGGTCGATTATTTCAAAGAACTAATCAACGGAATGGTAAACGATTTAAACAACAAATACATGTTGTATATAGAGGAAAATAACATGTACCCCAAAGGCATGGATCGAAACGGAAGTTTCGTCGACTATTTAAAGAAGAAAGGTATTTATGAATCGTACATAAATTCGATGTCGAAAGTGATAACGATGTTAATGGGCAACAAATTTCACCTGGAAGACTCCCAAGCGACCGTCCAGTACCAGAAACTTATCGGTGATGTAAGTATAATGCTTAAAAGACATAATTTTCTTAAACAGGGTGGCCTATTTAAAACAGTCCACTTGAAATATTTTCCAAAAGGATTTTTTTTGGGAAATCCCCGAGGCCGGTCGTTTTTGATTTTAACAGGGAATTTATCTTAATGAATGATCGTAAATTCATGGATGTAGATTCATCCCCTTGAGCGGGGTGGGGTTGTCACCACTTTTCAATAAAACTAAATGGAACTAGGGGTCAAGTGGCACATTTTTACAAAGGTATTTCAATTCTCTTTTTAAATATGCTGACATTTGTGTTAAGTCTGTGTTAAAATTACATTAATACACCAGTTGGCAGTGTCGGTGAAATAAATCGAAGAAAAAAAAAGTATCCAAACAAATGTTAATTACATAATTAAATGCTCAAATGCGACCTATTTACTTCCATGCAGTAATAATGTCTTTAGGTCTTCTTTCAGGGGTTATTTTTCCACATGTTTGGACTGTTTTAAAGGGCCACCCTGTATGTATTTTTAGAATATCAGTAAAGTAGATTTTCCTAAATTTTAGCTATTCGTGTTTTTGATATCCGAAATGAACGGAACAGTTAATAAGTTAATATGCCATGGAATGGATCCCGTCACTGATATAAAACGTGTCGAAAATAATTTATTTTTTGCCAAAGAAGCTCTAGAAACCAATCGAATAGAAATAGCAGATAGATATTTGTTAGAGGTAATCGTTATTAATTTAAGCTCAAGTCTTTATTCGATCGTTTTCTTATTTCGATTCAATTCGGATTTTTCCAGAATTTGTGTTACGACAGAGAAAATTTGGAATATTGGTTCCATTACGGCTTATTTCTGCTTCAAACGGACCAAGAGGATAAAGCATTCGAATGCTTCAGAGAAGCCTTATCGAAGAACCAAAACCACAAATATTGGTAATGATCCGAATATTTTTTGTTTCTACCTTATGAAAAATATTAGGAATTTTGCTTTTTGTTCTAATTTTCCGGGTACTTTTTTGTCACCGTGTATACTGAAACTCTCTTTTATTTACTTAGCATTCTGCTGGTAGCGGCTCATTTGTGCAAGAAAAACCAGCTCGAAGAGGCCGAAAGTTGTTTGCTGGTGTTGATGAATAAAGCATTCTCCTGGCTCGAAGGTAAATTTTGAGAATTTTTTAAATTATTACCTGTTTTTAATATTATTTGTTTTTATTCCAGGATGGGGCGTCCTCTACTTGTTCTATTACAAGACGAACAATTTCGAGGGAATGGATATGGCCATGAAAAACGCAAAAAAGTACTTCACGGCAAATTTATCTAAACAAGACGCGTTCATGGAAAGCGACGAATTAATTTGGACCCCCGCCATTATTCCCAACACTATTTTCTTTCGTACAGCTGTCTTATTATTAAAGTGCAGGTTATACGAGGTAAATGCAATACGAGTGAATTAATTCCAGCTCCTCTCTATAGCCTTTATTCTACCTTTTAGTGGTGCGAACTGGCCTTGTCGCAGGAAGTAAACAATACATCAGGTCTAGTCCATTATCTATTGTCTGTGATAAGCTACTATAAGAAATCTTACGATCATGCCTTGGATCACATCGATGAGACTAAGAGAGTATACGGGCCGGTAAGGAGATATGGAAAGCAATCTACAGATTGATTCATTTTAGTTTGCATTATAGGTTATACAGGGTGGAAACGCCAAATGGAATAAATTCATTATTTCGGTTAGTGAACATATTTATATAAAAAACCGAAACACGTCAAATTTTAATTGTAATTTGACATTTCTCAACGTCAAAATGTGAGACCTTTATCTTCAACCCCCTTTGAATGACAGTTACAAACCCTCTTTTTTTAAATGGGGAGTATAGTATAGGCTTGTGGATATATCGTTTGAATGGTCTCTTCATTATCTATCCAAAAATGTTATTGTTTTCCAGTTTATTTCAAAAATTAACGTAAAAAATAATATATCTGGTGGCTTAAATTCAATATAATACACTTAGTATGTACTACCTAATTGTTCACAATGTAAAAAAATATAATTCTCCTCACCAAAGCTGTTATTTTATGCATTTCTGTTAATCTAACCATTTTCCTTAATTGCAATTAACGAAATTCAAACAACAATTATAACACTAATAACTACTCTCACGCAGTTATAGTTCACAAACTATAGTTACAAACCAATTTGGTAAGGCCTTTTAAACAAACTAGTCCTATTATTAAAGCTAAAACGGGAAAAGTGATTTTATTTTTTTAACGGTAATTTTTGAAATAAACTGGAAAACAATAACATTTTTAGATAGAGAATGAAGAGACCAAAGGGGGTTGAAGGTAGGGCACACATTTTAACATTGAAGAATGTCAATTTGTAATTAAAATTTGACGTGTTTCGGGATTTTGTATAAATATGTTTACTAACCGAAATAATGAATTTATTCCATTTGGCATTTCCACCCTGTATATACATGTGTGTATATTTTATTTGCATATTTTTATTTTTTTCGGGCATATTTTTAAAATATATTATCGACATATTTATTTGCACATATCGTTTGCTCCATTTCCGATTGCAACATGGTCATTTCTATAAGTGGAACAAAGAAAGATTGATAAAATAACAGTTGTCAGAGTAAAAAGTTGCATTGACACAAATGTCACTCTTTCTTTTTCCTTTATAAGTGTCTAATGGAAGTTGTCTTTATCGCACCTATAGCCAATATAACCTATGTTGCGATCAAAAATGGAGCAACCTGTATGCAAATATGCATTAGATTTTATTTGCATATATGCCTTTCTCTATCAATCTATTTAATTTCATGTCGACGAAGGAAAAAATAATTCTTTGAATTAACAGGACTACGCCGTGGCCAGTTTGGCTGGACACTGTTACTTGGCCCTGGACAAGAAGGAGGAGGCGAAACAGCAATACTATTGGGCGATGGAATTCTTCAATCGACCGGACAGCATGCATTTGGTTAGCATACAATTGGCCATCATCTTGAATGATTTCGGTAACGATCAGGAGGCGAGAAAATTAGCTTTGTTGGCCTGCAAATACAGTCCTACGCCCTACACTTGGTTGCTGGCCGGAAAATATTACCTTTTGGTAAATACCTTACCTATACAGTGTAGTGTCTTGAGATTATGTTTAGTAGATACACGTAGGTTTAGTAGATACCCAATCTCCTTATACTCTATTTTTTTCCGAAGCAAAATGATTTGGTGAGCGCGGAAGAATGTTTGTGCGAAGGAAATGCAATGGATAACAGATATGCGGAAATATGGGGCTACTTGTCGTTGGTGAATGCAAAAATGAGGAGGGCGGATGAAGCGGAAATTTGCTTCAAACAGGCTATAAGGGTGAGTAAATTATCAAAGAATCATCAATAAGAGCCTGGAAAATATGTAAAATGCATGTGAGTGCATACTAGCATATGTATATTAGTATGTATTACGAGTATGTCCCCCAAAGATTCAAAATGCATATGCATAATTAAATTACATACAAGTTAACAATTACAAGTTTTACAATTTAATTTAAAGTTAACAATTACTCGGAAACTCGGGTAACTAAAAGAAACAGCCGAGAACTCTAAAATAAATGTATAGTCTTCTGAACGGATCTGGGGCCAAATGGTTCTGAATGGCTAAATGGTTCTAGACTCTAAATGATTCTGGAGCGATGTTAAATTTTTCTAAAACGGTAAGTTTTAGAACCTATGTTGTAATAAACTTTTTTGCAAAAGTCGTAAGACATAGAATCATCGTTTGAAGTTACATGACTTATTTAACTTACACCCTGTATATATATTTTTCGAAGGTTTTCGAGGGCATCTTTTCCAGGCTCTGTTAATAACTATGCATGTAGGTACAGTAGATAGGTACATACATATGTTGTAGGAATTTACAAGTTAAGAATTTTATTGTTTTAGAATAATTTGGTTGATCAAAAATTGAAGGTAAATATAATTAACGAATTGAGTAATTTCGGCAGGGAAGATTTTTTACATGTTTATTAGATACCTACTTCTTTACAATAGACAAATTTATCGGAAAATAAATACATTTGTTCGGTAAGTACGAGTTTTATTTACTTCTATAATTACGATTTTTAAATATTACGAAAAATACAGGCCTCCTATTTAGTGTCAAGAATCTACAACTAAATTAATTGACTATCAAATAAATAATAAATTAAATATGTACATACATGTATGTTACTAAACTGAATATAAACTTAATAAATTATATTATCAATATGGCTCGTTTGGAATTTAAATAATTTTAATGAAGATTATCTTAATTTACATTGAATTGCATCAATTGAATTACACATGAAGACACCTAGGTGTAAGCGAATAAAATTTTGCAACATGGTTTCGATGAGTTGAAACAAAGGAAGATTGTTAAAATAACAATGGTTAGAATGAAAAAGTTGCAATATCACAATACAATCTCTTTCTTTTTCCTTTGTATGACACTAATGGAAGTTGCCTTTGTGGCATCGCATATATGTACTGCAAACTAATTATAAGATGTACCTACCTATCAACCTGTATAACGAAAAACAAATTATAATTCATTAATTATTTTTTATTAATTATAAATTATGAGCAAACATGCGTGGGAGTATAAAATCGATTATTATTCACGAGAATGTTATCAATGAAAAAAATCAAAATAATTAAGCGCGCTTAAAATTATTTACTTGCCAAAACAAATTTGCTACAATAATCCAATCGATTAACTTAATTAGATTGTATATGGGATATCTTTTTATCGCGCAAATTTATTGAAACACAACATTCTCATTAATCAGGGTACATTTTGTATTGTTGATTTTGCGATTTTCAAGACCACTTCAAGCGAATGTTATTAGTTTCAATGTGTAATAGTAGATACCTATTAGGTACCTATGCTGTGATGATCAAATCGCAAATAAAATGAAACTTCGCGAAGGTATGAGTCGCAAATTGATTTTGTTAATGTAAGTTAAATCAAAATGTATAAATTTCTCAAAAATCTCAAATGTATTTTTCCAGAATATCCAGTTTTCAACCGAGTAAATGGAAGGTATTAGTTTTGATTGCGATTATACTTCTGTTTCTTGGATCGGCTTTTCTAGTGACGCTGAAAAGCAATCGGGGAAAGTTCGATTTAAACGCTAGCGTAAATTATTCATTTGTGAAAACCAGATTCAAGAGTAATCTAGTTCTAACAGAAAAGCCTTCATGCAAGTTTTCACTAAACAGTCAATGTTCTATTAGTTGCTATTCAACAACTATTAGTGATATTGTCGCGATATCTACTTATGAGGTAAGTTTACTATTTTACACTTATAAATTTACGTAGATATATACAAAAAAAAAACATTTTCAGCCTTGCGGAAATGCTACAGTTTTTCTTACGCTTCGCAACGTTTTGTTTGATAACAAAACCATAGCAGAAGGTTGGCTCAAGGAGTTTCCCAAAAATGTAACGAAGCTAATGATAGACTCTAACAATTTATATTATTTGGGCAACAGAAGTTTCGCAGGAGACCCGTTTCGCTATCTAGATTCGCTAACACTGACAAACACCAATATTGTTTACTTGGAAAAAAGCAATTTCGAAGGAATGAATGTTTCTATTTTAGAATTTCGTTGTGATGACTACCGAGAAATTAAGTTCGAATATGGCGCATTGGAACCATTGGGCTATAACTTAAGCTCTTTACAAATCAATAATTACGAATTGAAGCCACAGGTATGTTATTTTATTATGTAATAAAATAGGTAAATACTGAGAATACTGAGATCATTTTTTTGTTAAAAAATTTCAGGGACTCGTTAATCTTACGGGATCGACTAATTTGCGCAAACTACTTACCTTAGATTTAAGATATAACAAAATCAGTGGAATAGACGATAAAGCTTTTTCTGGAATAAAATTTGTGCAACAATTATATTTAACGTCGAGCCACGTGAAACACATAGCGAAACATTCTTTGGCTGGATTGAATGATTTAGTCACATTTTGTATTGAAGGCAACGAATTGACCACACTTCAAAACGGCTCCTTTGACAACTTTCAAAATAATGGTAAGAATGAAAATAAAGGCAAAATAAGAATTCAAATATGCACTAAAAATCTTCAAAATATGAATTTAATAAACTTCATTCCAAATCGCAACATAGGTTATATAGGCTATAGGTGCGATAAAGACAACTTCCATTAGACACTTATAAAGGAAAAAGAAAGAGTGACATTTGTGTTCTGACAACTGTTCTTTCTTTGTTCAACTCATAGAAACAACGATGTTGCGGTCTGAATTGAATCAATCGGTATAATCGATATTATTTACACATATAATGCCGACTATACATTTATTATTTTAATTAGAATTATGTATTAAGTGTAACGTATTTAAATTTAATTATTGGCGAAATATATCGAAATGTGCAAAATTTTGAATTTTGAATATGCATTTTGAATTTTTGGGGAAATAAGCACGTAGGTATGCACTTTACATGCATTTTGATTAAAAGTAGAAAAATATCTTAAAAATATCAACAGGGTTTCTGTTTCAGGCCAAACACGCTTAATAACAATGTCCAATAACCCGTGGAATTGCAATTGCGATCTCCAATGGCTTAAAGATTTTTACACTAAAACCATTGCAACGAATTTTAGAAACATTCCATTACAATGTAAGGTAGGAAATAATTGGAAATATTATTATGAAATCGATTTTTGTCCATCATCTACAACAATTGAAAGTACAACCGTCACATCGACAACAAATTCAATCACCACTACTATGGAACCTGTCAGTTCTACAACGCGAGATACAACACCACAATATTCAACCACGCCTAGACATCTTAGTACTTCAACTGAACATACAACTTCCAACGTACCAAATTATCCAACTACAACTTCCAGTACAGACATCACCACGAAATATTCAACCTTATCGACGTCAAGCATAGCAAATATTACAACTACATATTCTACTATTTCAACTACACCGTCAAACGGTAAAAATAACATCAGTTTGCTATGCAGGGATAATTCTCAGAATCCACCCATTGACATGCGACTTAGCAGGTCTTACAGTCACTCGGTACTTGTTCGAAACGGTACGATAACTTACGACTTTTACAAGATTGTGGGAACCCCTAACTATGATATCTTTTTGGAAAATTCGGAAGACGCCGATTATTTGATTTACATTAACGTGAACGATCACGACGATATCGGATGCATCTTTAACATTCAAAATAAAGTGAGTTTAAGTAGATTAAAATATTCGGAACATTACATTTTATGCTTACTTAATGAGAATAAAGTTGAAGTGTCACCGTTCGATTGCACATCGTTGCAGGTGCCCCCATCATGGGGCGATATGCCTTGGATGTTTAACAAAGATAAAACGTTGGTGATAATACTGTTAACGATAGCGTTTTTATTAACTGTTATAATAACAGCAACGGTTATTTACACAACTTTGAGAAAGAATCCTAAGTTAATAAAAGCTTTTAGAAAATTCGTTGTTCGAGAAAACACCTTTCAGGATAAGGAATACGGTCGCTTAACGCCGCTTTCGTTTTATTCAACTAGTGATGGTTATTTAACGCCGAAATTTAGCATAAGAAGAAATTATCAATTGGATACGATTTCTGAAAAGGATTTCATTGGGGGTATTAACACGTGCACTGATTCAAAATGGAGCAAAGTAGATGAACAGACTCCACCGCGATTGCCTCCAAATCACCCAAATCTAATAATTGCTAGTGATGAAAATATAACTCCCTTTATCCCTATCGCCTAGGTAATTTATTCATATTATTGATTCTATACAGTTTGTGCAAAACAAAGTTCAATGCACGTCAATAATGTCGTCGTATTTGCTAAGCATTGTGCTCAACTTTAAAAAATAAATACATAAAATAAATTAAGTTTAATACCTATAGAATTTAATTTCATATTAACAAGGGATGATAGAAAATGTTAAAATTTAATGAATTAAATCATCAAAAAAAATAGTATACAGTATGACAAATTAAAAACATACAATGTCTATACCTCCCAAACGAAAAATGATATCAAAAAATGATTAAAACCGTCCTCGATTACACGTCGTAGCTGCCCTTTTTAATCTACTCAACGATCCGCTATGAAACCCAAACGAAAATCCTTCCACGTGCCATAACAAATCTAAAAAACATTAAAACATTTTTTCAAAAAAAACCAAATACTTCAACACCGATACGAAACTAACTTATAAAAACGTACAAACACATGTATAATACACATTTCACAACATCACTGTAAAAACCATCGTTAAAATCAATTAAAATCCTAACTCTTCAAGTCCCACTCGATACTACTCTATACTGTACCATATTTTTGACTTCATTTTTGGATTCTGTGACCTTTTAAATTAGACTTTGAAAATAAAACCATACGACAAAAATGCTCCATTTTTTTCGATTTTTTTTGGAAAAAAGGTTTTTTCTGGTATATCTCTGTTAACAATGCACCTCGAAGTTAGAAATTTTGTATTGATAATGCCAAACACTGTACTAAATGAAACTGAATTGAGTTTTCATTGTCCATATACAGGGCGTTTAAAGTTGTCTGACAAACTTGTTAACTTAAAGTGGCCATAATTTTGTTATTTTAAATATGGATCACCCTGTATTTTTTGGCATTGAGCTATGGATATTTTTATGCCCTTTAAATATTTTTTGAATAAATATAATACGTTGTAAAAGCCTACTTTTTTATTTAATATGCTCTTTACTAAAAATCGGTAAATAGGAAAATTTTATAAAGTATAAAGACGGTTCAGTTAGGATGTTCAACAAAATTAGCAATTATCAATATTTTTATTCGGTAGATACTTCATAAAGTCCAATACTAATACAGGGAGACTCAGAATAGAATTCGGTTTTCAAACTTGCCTTAGAACCGTTTGAAAAGTTTTTGGGGGACAATTTGTGGTGGAATACATGCGGATTTTCGTTTTTTTTTCGAGGCGGTTTCTAAAGCGAAAGATTCATATGTAGTGATAATTCGACGTTTTTGCCACCATCACAATATTCGGCGTATACGTAATGCTCCCTGTGACAAATTAAGGCCCGGTTTTTAGGCAAAATTTTATTCATTTCTAAACGAATTTTCTTTGGTTTTTTTTTGCAAATTTTTGTTTGTTTTCAGACGAATAAGGCTAATTATTTTTATCAATATGCAATGAAATGGATATTCCAGAGTTTAATCTGGGTGAAATGTGAAATAAACATGTAAATGATTAAAATAGATTTTATTCAGGTTATCTCAGTATCTCAAGACGTACACATTGGGGTTTTTCGTGAACTTTTCGAATCTTTTTACAGTTATACCAGTTTGATACCATGTTCGTATATTATATTTCTGGTAGGTCTGGAAAATATAAAAAAAAAAGAATTGTAAGTTTAAAATAAAATTTTAATAATTAATTATATTTACCGACTGTTAATTCAATGATAACAAAAAAATAAATAGGAACAGATTGCAAGTTAGTACAAACGACAATTAAAAAAATGAGGGGAAACGAAGCATATTCATATAAAATAAAAATTGTATCTTCAGACAAATCGATTGTATACTTATTATAGTTTCACATTTAAATATTTTTATGTTAAATCAACAATAATCATTAAAGATCAATATCGAAATCAGAATCATCCATATTCCAAAATTTTCCAAATTTTTTCGAATGTTTATTATTGTTTGAACTACTTGGTAAACTCGATGTACTGGTATTGGTTGAATTAGTAATTTCACAATCATTGGATTGCGTTACTTTAGAACTTTCACTGTTTTTGTCCCATTCCATATTCCAGTCTACTTCTAAATCATCACTAGCACCTTTTATGCAATTCAACATGTCCAGATTACTTGTCATTAATTTTGTTTTATCGATAATTTCATTTTCATTTTCTATCAATAATTCGTTTCTTTCTTTTTCTTCAACTATTTCAACCCTCTGTACATTATTTATTTCACCACCGAAATTATTTATTTCCGTTTCCTTTACAACATTGTCATTATGGTAATTTTGATCCTCTTTTTGGTTCCTTTCGGTAGCAAAAAACCTGGATTGTAAAACTGTTTCTCCCCTAAATTGTAAACTATCCATCTCTTTCTGTAGAATATCATGCGCTTGAAGTTTATCAGATATTGTCTCCAGTAAGTGATAGTAGGTCATCTTTGGATGTTCAGGAAATGTTGAAATAGCTGCTACATTTAAATTGAAAATGGAAGTTTCCATATCCATCGATGTATCAACTAAAAATACGGCGAAGACACTGTCTATTATTTCGACGTTCTTATGACACATCAATCTGGCGTGGCCCTGTGATAATCTGAAAGAAATTAATTAGACTAGAGCTTGGAAAATATGCACTAAAAAATGGCAAAATATACAGGTTGTCCCTGAAGGTGTAAAACGATTTAATGTTTTATTTTTACCGGAAATGGTATCACCAATTTACACAATTGACATGATGTATGGGCTGATGAAAATCCGCCTTGGATAACTTTAATCGATAACTTTACTTGGAGCTCTTTCATAGCGCTTTTCGTGATTTAATAGAGCACTTACCACTTAAACCACTTAACCATCATATTAGACCATCATATTACCATATATTAGATTTTTGTTAAATTATGTCAAGTATTTTAGAAGGTATTTAAGGAAAACTTATTTTCAGCGGCGCACTTTAAGGACGCATATCTTCGTAAGGAGGGCCTGTAGGGAAAAACTTTATAGAAACTTCTCATCTTATATTTTTATGTTCTATATGGATCCGAGAGATTTCCCACACTTTCAGGGACACCCTGTATACTAAAAACCTTTAAAATATGGTTTTGAAGCGTTTTAAATGGTTTTAAACAGTTCTAAATGATTCTAGAGCGTTCTAAATGATTCTATCCCATTCTACTAATGTTCGAAATGGACCAGTAAATGAGCTATGAAAATCAGTTTAGTTTCATTTAGTACTGTGCCTGGACAGTATCGAAACTAAATTTTAAACTTCTAGGTGTATTATTAACAGAGATATCACAAAAAAAACCTTTTGACTCTTTTTCCAAAAAAAAACCTCAAAAAAAACTAAATGACTTAAAAATGGTGAATTTTTAAAATATTAAATGTTTTTTAAAATATTACTTGGTACAAAAAAAAGGTTCATAATCGTGTTCAGTGGGCCCAAATTGACAGGGAAAGTGAAATTGACAAAGAAATAAAAAAATTTACAGTGTTATTAAATGATTTACAAGTTTTTAGTTAATATCAAACATACCTGACAAGACTTTCCAATAGCCTAACAGTAGTCCTGGCTTTATTTCTGCATGTCAATCTTCGCTGAATATTGTAATAATTATTTAGTATCGATCTAGCCTCGTCCGTTAATTTCGGCTTTAATGTTTTTATCAAACGGAAATAGGTCTAAAACAACAATAAAATCAAACTGGCTATTATAAATTATTTTGATTATACAAGTCCAGAACTCGCGCCCCACCGGGAAAGGGATTATGAAACGACAATAGAGATGCCAAAACTGCAGCCGAAGACTTGAAAAAGTTTTTCCTTTGGTAAATAAAGAGGTTTAAAAATGTCTAATCCCAGTAATAGTTCAAATCCAGGAAAATGAAATGATGCAAATGAGCTTTAACAATTTGACATTATTGAAAGTTATTTTTGAAGTCCCTATATACTTAAATATACCTTGATTGACTTTATAACTATTTTTATTCTTTTTTATTGTATTTTTTTGTAATTTTGTTTCGTTCTTGAAATATTTTATAAAATTTGAGCCAGTGCACCACTCAGTTGCAAGCATTAATAATTGTCATATCATATAATTGTCATAATATGTAGTATACCATGAAAAAATCAAATATGAAATTGATCATTTTTACATTCTTAAAACTGAACGAAATTGCATATTTCAATTATTTGTAAATAAAAATTTCGAAAAGAATCATGTCATATTGATCATTCATGGCGTACTACATGATGGATAATTAATGCTTGGAATTATTAATACTGGCTGGTGCAATGGCTCAAATTTTATAAAATATCTCAAGAACGAAGCAAAATATCAAAAAATTACTAGGATAAAAATAGTTTTGAAATCAATCAAGGTATAGACCTAAATAGTTTAAACTTTTAAAAATTATTATTTGTAAAAGTTTGAAAAAAACTTAGAAGAATGTAGCACCTAACGACCCCCTTTACAAAGAGTGGGTGCTTTCATACTCAGAAGGCTTATGCAAAAAGATAAGAAGTGTTTCTGTGTTAAATTTGAAATAAATGGGAGTACAGAATGGAAAGTTATAAATAAAAAAAAATAAAAAAAAGTCAACTTCAATGCCCAACTTCATTTCCGAAACCAAGAGGTTTTTGGAGGTTTGATGATGATGAAAAAATAAATGAATATACATACTTGTAGATGGCTTAGAGACCAATGTTTCGACTCTGTTAACTTTGAACATTGATTTCCATCGTTCAATATAAAATCAACGACTTTTTCATCCCACTCCTCATTAACGGTGTCTTTTAGAAGATATACCAAATCGAAACGGCTCAAAAGCGGACTCGGAAGCGCCACGTTCATCGATAACGGTTGCATCAAATCGATGTTACCTTTTGGATTGCAAGCGGCCAATATCGAACATCTTGTATTCAGTTTACACACGATACTGGCCTAAAAAATGATTCATTTCAACCAATTTCATTGGAAAAATAATAAAATAATAAGTATAAATCAATTAATATACATACTTTAGCAACGCTAATGGTTTGCTGTTCCATGGCTTCGTGTATGGTCGTTCTATCGTGTTCTTTCATCGAATTAAACTCGTCTATGCAACATATTCCGCCATCGGCTAATACTAAAGCACCAGCGTCCATTTGCCATTCGCCATTTTCCTTTTAAAATACATAATAAGAAGTGCAAAAAATAATAATTTTGGTTTCGTTACTCGTTACTATGCTACTAGCGTATTAGTACGAATCGTGTACATACAGGATGTCCCACGACGAGTTAAAACTATCTGCATATTGGAAACTACTTATTCGATTTAAATAAAATTTGGCATACATACAGGGTGGCACATTAGTATGAAAAAGCTCAATATATCCCTAAAAAATATCACCCTGTAGATTAAATAACCATCTGTCATACCCAATAATAATGTATGTCCTAGATACAAAATTTGAACTAAATATCTCAAAAACTGCAGGAGCTGTAAAGAAATAACTTGCAATTTCAACATCCTGTAGATCGATAGTGAAGCGTTTGCAGACCTATGTTTGTAAATATGAACTTCTTGTCATGAAATAAGCCCTTCCGATGTTTAGGAACACCCTGTATACAGTTCGTAAGAAAGGTATTTACTTTTAAAGCGGTCACTGTCAGTCCAGCAGCCGTCGATCCAATTCCTGTAGTTAAAATAGATCTGGGAATGAGTTTTGAAGCAAATCTAAGCATATGCGATTTTCCTGTGCCAGGATCACCTATTAACAATAAATGCGCTTCAGATCTAGTGTGGACTTCTGTTAAATTGGTAATTTCTATTGGACATCCGCCTGCTAATACAACAGCCATTGCTAGTTTGGTAGGATATAAACCATACAACTAAAAATAATAGTTTCTATTATTATAAGGTATACGATTGAACTATTAATTCTTCAATAAAATAATGCCTACTTCTGGACAAAACGATTTCAATATGACGTCTCTTCCCTCCAAAGGATTGTGCTTGTAATTATTCCAAAATTCTTCAAACACGTTTTCCATATCTCGAGTTAGTGTTAGAAAAGAACTGATATTTGAAGCGACTTGTAAGTGATTCGCCTTAAAAACTAAATCGATCTCGATGGATTTTCCTAGTATCAATTCGCCCCATTGTCTCTTTACTATTCCACTAAAACAAAATGTTTTCTTGAGTTTTATCAAAACAAATAATACTTTAATAGGTAATTCTAGTAGATTAATTATTACCAAATGGTAACATCATCTCCTGGTTGACAACTGTTGACCAAATCATCTTCTAATGTAACTTTCATGGTGCTCGGTATCGAACCAAATTCTAATTTCTTAACCAACTCTTGAACCTTAATTTCTTGGTAGTCTTTGCAGTTTTCGCTGTTCAAATTGCCAAAGCTCAGAAATTTGGTGCTGTTGCAACCTTCATTGGAATTTTCACATCGTACGGGTGGTTCTATTTGGTATTTACGAGCAAAATCTGCTCCAACAACAATGGGTGTTTTGCATTTAGCACAAATGTACTTTCGTTGATATTCGAGGCATTTCGGGGCGGAAATGCGTGTAACTGTACCTACAAAAAATACAGAATAATTGAGAAGTAATAAGGAAGAAGGTATTAAACAAAATGTCCCACATAAGAACACATTTTGGACTCCCCTACACGCCCCTGCTCTGTGTCGGGTTCTTATGTGGGACACCCTGTATATGGAACAAACCTTGTATTTGCCAAAACCTTCCGACTTCTTTATTCCCCGGGAAAATGTACTGCTTGCCTAAATGGGCCAAACAATGTATGCGACAATGAATTTTATCTTTTATTTCACATTCTTCATCTATTTCACGGAGTAATGCTGATTGAGCGGATAGAGCCGCATCCTCCCATTCTTCGAGCGTATCCTCGGGATTATTAAGAAGTTGATTTCCTAGCTCTATTTTACGTCCGAGCAACTCTAAAAAACTGTAACAAACTAAAAATTTGTGGAATAAAAGAAATTCACAACACTTACTTCACATCAATTGAGTAATGCTTCGTGTTATCTGGGTTTTTTAAGACTTCGAGCAAATCTTCTCTATGATGGGACAATAAATAATTTTCAAACATGATAAATAAACATTTATATAAACTTTTTGGGACTATTAAGTTTTAAGTGTTCTCTAAAGAACTAACTTTTAACAATTTGTTTTTGAATTTTGGCATTTGACATGTCGGTAATTTCTTCTTTTTATTTTGCGGAATAATTTTATATTGAATAATACAGCTAAACAGTAATTTAGAAATTTAATATTTTAATAAAAAAAAGCAAAAAAAGAACCATAGAGAATGAAATTAGTACTTACATTTTATCTATAGAAATTACAAAATGAATAGAAATTGAAATTACTAATCAACAGCAAAAACAGCAATCTTCTAGTTATAATAAAAAACGGAATTGCCAGTTTTCTTAAAATTAAATATAAAAGAAATAGAGCTATGAGTATTTTTAAGCAAATTTAAACTGAATAATAAATTATTTTCAATATTACCCTGTACATGCAAGTAATAAGTATAAGTAGGTACTTCGAACAACTTTCCAAGTTTCTTTCATTAAAACTATTAGAGAACTTCATTAAAAAATAATTCTACTTAATTCACTTGGTAACTATTCCGACTTAGGATTATTAGGTAAGTACATATTAAAATACTCCTCGATTCTATTTCTCGTATGGCACATTCGTGTGGAATATTCTTGCAAAACTTTCAGTGCAATTATGACTCGCCGCAATGCTGAAACTGAAGGTAATTACAATTCTACAGAATTTTTACATTCGCATAATGTACATGATCTGTTGTAAATATATTTTTTATAATATGTAAAAAGTTTCTATTCATTTTTAGAATGTTCATACGAGTTCTTGCGTACAGATGATTGTTCTAAAAAAACCCTTCTCCTACCCGAATGTATACTCAGATTCATATTCATGTGGCCGAGGTCCGATGTAAAAAAACAAAAAGTGTTTTACTTGTTTTCCATGATTTTGTTCATTTTTACGCAATGGGGACTCGTAAGATTTTTGATCGTTAATTTCGATGATTACACAAAGAGTTTAAATGTCGTTTCATCCATGTCTACAATTTTTCAGGTAAATTTTTCGCTATTTCTAATATACAGGGTGTTCAATAATGATATGCTAATATTTAAGGGGGTGATTCTTGGACCAATTTTAAGAAAAAAGGTTCATATGAGCATATTATGTCCTAAACCTAAAATTTATTACATTTATTTTTTTTTAATAAATAAAATTGTTTGTACATCAGAAAATGCATCTTGATTCATAAAAGACGTGTGCCAAATTTCATAAAGATATCTACAATAGTATCACAGTTATTATAAAAAATATATTTTTTTAATTTTACCACCCTGTATGTCACAAGTTAAGACGTTTAGGACATAGGTTCATTATGAAGTTTTTTCCTTAAAATGGGTTCAAGAATCAACCCATCAACCATAGTCCCATTTCTGGTACAGAACTACCAGAAATCAGTGTTGTTAAGTAGTTAAAAATGTAGTTCAACTATATCTATATCCATTTATTTCTGGTACTAGTTTACCTAATACGAATTTTCTCAAATCCACTTAGCGCAAAGCAACAATTAATTTCGCTTATTTACAGGCGAGCCTAAAAATGTCAGTTCTACTCTACCACTCTAGATCATTGAGTTTAATTTTGAACGATATTTCTCATCGATTTTGGCCCTACGATCTCCTACCCAACTGTACAGATCGTCTAAGGAACAGCTATCGCACTAAATTAGTAGCGATGTGTACACTTTCATTTACCGGATTATTATTTTCTTTGGGATCCATAGTGATGCCTTTACTATCCCACAATGCTAAGGAATTGCCTTATAAATGCCTCTACGATTTTGATACCAGTGTTACTCCGTTGTATCAAATTATGTACATAACTGAGAGTGTTTTGAACGCGTACATTATCAACTGCACAGTTTTGGGTTTCGATTTTTTATTTATGGGAGTTGGAGAGAACCTTATAAACCAATACATCATGTTGAGATTGACTATCGAGAATTTTGGTACAAAGTGGGTTACTAATTTTAATAATAAAATTCGTAAACTTGGACTAGCTGAGCATTTAGAAGGTGAAGATAATACAGTTTTCTTAAAAAACTACATTAGTCACCATCAGATTATTATTAGGTGAGTATAAAATCAATTTCACTGATGAGGCTTAAGTGAAATTAACTTCACGTTGTAGGTCTACGAAAATAGTGGAAAATATATTTAATTTGATAGCTGCTCTACAGCTTTGCAGCAGTGTAGTTGCTATATGTGTATCAGCTTTTATTGCTACCAGGGTAAAAAGTTATAATTTCATTTCAAAAGAAATAAATATTGCATTTTAGGAAAATGTTGGTACAGCCCAAATAGCCACAATGGGTTCCTACTTAATTGGACATTTGATACAATTAAACTTTTATTGCGCCGTTGGAAATGATTTACTTTACGAAGTAAGTTGATTAACGTAAAACAAAAACTAATGAAAACTGTTTTGTAAATACCAATATTACATTAAATTTTTATTTCTAGTCTAATAGCTTAACGAATCACATGTTCGCTAGTAACTGGTACAGAATTAAAAACATCTCACTACAAAAGGATTTCATTTTCGTAATAAAAAATGCTCAAGTTCCCGCTAAAATTACGGCATTTAAAGTATTCACGCTGGATTATTCCACGTATATTAAAGTAGGTACTTGCATACAGAAATAATTACTAAACGACTAAAATCGAAGTTAATAATATAAATTATATTAAATTATAGGTTCTACGGCTGTCATTCTCTTTCTACACACTTTTATCCTCATTAGTTGAAGTTAAAAATTAACCAATAATGTATTAACACAATAAGTCAATATTTCAATATCAAAATCAGAATCTCAATTTCAAAATGTGCACAACCACTATGAATTTAGTTAAATACACGAACATTGTATGAGCACAAGTAGACTGTAATTAAATGAATATATTGAATTGTTTTTTATTACAAAAGTGAATAAGAAAAAAAGTTTTCAGAAAATTGTAAGTTTAATAGTACATTGAAAAAAATATACATACAAGACAAGATTACTACATCAAAAATATATTATAAAAATGATAAAATCGTTAGGCAAGAATAAGAGATCTTATTGAAGAAATTAATTTGAAATAAATTATTTTCTATCTAGGTATTTCACTGCCATTTTTTAAATATTAACCGATTATAAAAGAATAGTAAAAAATCGTCCAAAATAGTATAATAAAGGCAATTGGCACGTGAAAGTGTTAGAAAATACCTACCCTGTAAAAACGTAATAACCAAAATTTAAATGTTTTTCTTTGGTTATTTTCAGTCAAGTTTTTGATGTAACATTACATGTAACCGTTACAAAACATTTAATTTCTTATAATTATAGATACTAGTAAGTATAAAATTAAGTAAAATATAGCCATTGACTTTTAAAGCCTAAAAACTATTTAATCAACGAAAATGTAACCTTTCTTTGACGTTCCTCCGCCACCTCGGAACCGCTCGAATTTCCATCTAAACTTTGTACAATTGAACTACTGAATGTAAATCGATCTTCCGACACATTATCGGATGTTTCACTGACGAGCGACGAGTCTTCAAACGGCGGCAATTCCGAGGCGTCCACGAATTTCACCTCGTTTTTTATACCGATATAAATCCCGCGTTTATTCGATCCCAAATAATCGAACGGATCCATCTCGATCCTGTAGCTTTCAGTTTTCTCTTCAGCTCCGTTACAAGTTTCGTCCGTTATTTTGAATACTTCGATGCCGGAAAATTGCGATACGTACAAATAAGGTTTGGTGTAGTGGAAAGCCGACGGTAGCCGGTGGGATTTCCATTCCCTTTGACGACTAGATCTACCGTACTCGTCCACGAAAATGGAAAATTCTTTATAGCAAAGAAGGTACTCCTTGGGATTGGTGCACACCTGCATCACCGCCATCGGGAAGGAACCCATTTTGTAACAACTAGATGGAAAAAAATACGGGCCAATGTAGCTTTTATGTCTCTTTACGAAATCGGTCGGAAGTTATAATGTATGTAGAAGGTGATCCTCTAAGAATGGGTCTCGACTATATCACGCAAACTAATTGTCGACTTGCGGTAAAAAATCTTATAACTAAATTGACGAAAAGAAAATGCTGGAAATTATTACTTTTTTTTGGTTTTCAACTAGTGCGAATAGAAGAAAAATCCAGTAATTATTGAATGAATATTTATTTAGCTTTGGGTTTTATCATCCTTGAATATTAATAATAAATTAGATGCTTTTATAATGGAAGGTGCTCCAAGAATATGCCTAATTTTTTGGTTTTTCCTTTTTTTAGATATATTTTAGATTAGGAAGGGGATATCGAGATACGGTTTTCACAGACTTGTTTGGCAATTATTTGACTATTTTTCTACAAGGAAAAAGTTATATCGTTGCATTTAAATTTTTTGAGAAAAACGATGTTTTCTGAGGTAATGTCGGTAAATGTCATCTAGCGGCCAAGCAAGTACTTGCAATAATATCTTACATGGTGCAAGTTACAGACCAAAGAAAGTCCTTTTCAACGATTTCATCTTTAAGAAAATCCGTTGAGGCGTTTAAAAGTTATTAACATTTATTTGTTCAAATATTCAAACAACACCCACCACTTTATTTTAAAAGATAGAGTCAAAGATATATAACAAAAATGAATCGAAATTATCTCTACTATCAAAATAAAATATATTTTTCAAGATGGCGAATGCTCCCTCTACATTTGAGACATAAAAAAAATCCAGCATTTTCTTTTAGGCCAATTTAGTAATAAGATTTTTCACCACAAGTCTCTACCACAATTAGTTTGCGAGATATAGCCGAGGGCCATTCTTAGAGGACCACCCTGCGCATGTTATGGGTAAAGTTAGATAAACGACTAAACCTAGGTTTACCCAGGTAAACGGCGAAATACGTGAATGGTAGGGAAGGTTTTTCGTGGCATAACCCAAGAGAAACCTACCCTACCCTACTCATGTTTCTTAGGTACTTAGTTTACTCGGGTAATCCTAGTTTTAGTCGTTTATCTAACTTCACCCAACATTTACATACAAGAATCAAACCAAAATAACTCTGTTATACAGAAGATATGTAGTATTACTGCGTTACAGTACCAATAAATATGTTCTCACCTTTCAGTAGCCCTCAATTTAACATCGGACGCGTCCAAAAATTCCTCCGCTTGAAATGTCACCAAATCCACCTCGAAGAATTTATCGGCTCCAACTATGAGACTATTTTCGGTGAATAGAGCGCAGGTTGTCGGTTCGGCCGTATCTAAAATCTTTACGGTCGTAAATTCCCCATTTAACGAATCGAAATTCACAATGACCAGCTGACGAAGGGTGGCTGCACAAAATTTTTCTTGGTTTTTGAAGGTGGATACCTAATCGATAAGATCGAATGAAATATACTTGAAGAATAGGCGCAAGACTCTTTCTGAGCACGTGAAATCGTACAGTTTTAGTTCGAGTCTATACAGGGTGTTTCATTGGGAAAGGGCAATATTTTAACCCTGTATAGAGGTCACCCAGGGGATTACAAAAAACCCATATACTATGGGTCTTGCGTCCTTTATAACCGAGTTACAGGGTGTTTTTTGAATTTGGCCCATTTCTTTCGACACCTATAACTTTTGAATCACTCAGTATATTTTTTTGATATTTGGCATAGATATTCTATACCTTTAGGACAATTTATTGCCACATTAAAAAATTACAAAATCCAGGTCCGGATTTAGAAAAATTAATAAAATTTGACCGACCCTAAAACAACACCCTATACATCATATTTTTAAAAATTGAATTTCAAATTCAGAAAGAGCATAAAAAACTGAATGTATTCATCAACTTTTTATTTTCCCGCATGCCGTTTTTCTACCAAAATTTAAACGTTAAAATGTACATTATGAGATTTTTGGTCCATGTAAATGGTAATTGAAGGGATTTTAATTATTTTTTCTTTAATAAAACCAGATTTACTTAACACTTTCATGAAAATTCTTGAAATACACCTATTGAACTTGAATTAACATTCACATAAACCAATAAAAATTACAATTACAGATCCGCACTTAATAAAATTAAAATGATTTCAATTCATTTAATAATTAATCATTGATTAATCAATGTTTACATTTCTACGTGAGAAAATTCAAAACTTAACTATGTAATTTATTAGCTTCTTTACAAAAGATACTAAAAGTACTCTTTTCAACACCACCAAGAGATAGAACACATTTACCTAGTAAGCACTTTTAAAGAATTATAAAACAATCCCAATGTTCTTAGAAGATTTATTTGCAATTTGATTAGGAGAGCTAGATTATGTATCAAACAAAATGGAGAACATTTTGAGCAATTGTTAAAATGACTTTTTTTCTGGTGTTTTTTGTTGTTAGTTTGTTAGTTATCATTTTGTTATTTATAATTAGTATTAAATTAGTAGATATTAATTATTTGGTTAAAGAGTTGTTTTTTGTTAATTTTTTTGTTTATTTTTCATATTTTTTATTCATTGTTTTATTTTGCCAGTTCGTGTGGATTAGGCCTTTTGGGGATACCTCATTAGAAAAACGCGCCTTGTGTTCTTGGTGGTGTGGAAAAGAATACTTATTCTAGTATCTTTTTTGAAACATCTAGTAAATTACTTAGTTAAGTTGTGAATTTTCTCATGTAGAAATGTAAAAATTAAATAATCAATGATTAATTATTAAATGAAATGAAATCATTTTAATTTTATTAACTTAAAATTTATTAACATTAAATTTTATTAAGTGCGGATCTGTAATTGTAATTTTTATTGGTTTATGTGAATGTTAATTCAAGTTCAATAGGTCTATTTCAAGAATTTTCATGAAAGTGTTAAGTAAATCTGGTTTTATTAAAGAAAAAATTATTAAAATCCCTTCAATTACCATTTACATGGACTAAAATTCTCATAATGTACATTTTAATGTTTAAATTTTGGTAGAAAAACGGCATGCGGGAAAATAAAAAGTTGATGAATAGATTCAGTTTTTTATGCACTTTCTAAATTTGAAATTTATTTTTTAAAAATATCATGTATAGGGTGTTGTTTTAGGCTCGGTCAAATTTTAATAATTTTTCTAAATCCGGACCTGGATTTTGTAATTTTTTAATGTGGCAATAAATTGTCCTAAAGGTATAGAATATCTATGCCAAATATCAAAAAAATATACTGAGTGATTCAAAAGTTATAGGTGTCGAAAGAAATGGGCCAAATTCAAAAAACACCCTGTAACTCGGTTATAAAGGACGCAAGACCCATAGTATATGGGTTTTTTGTAATCCCCTGGGTGACCTCTATACAGGGTTAAAATATTGCCCTTTCCCAATGAAACACCCTGTATAGGGCGTTCCGAAACATCAGGTACATCCGAAAGAGCTTATTTCATGATTAAAAGTTCATATAAACATAGGTTTGCAAACGCTTCGTTATCGATCTACAAGGTGTTGAAACTCTTAGTCATGAAATAAGCCAAATAACTACCCCCTTCCGTATAAACACGATATTTAGGAACACCCTGTATACTTATCGCGATGAATTATTTAAAAAAAACTCACTTTCAAAAAGTGGAAACCGCTCAAATTCGAAACATCCACTTCATTGTATTTCAAAGTCGGTTTGACGCAATGCGCACATTGCGTTATGTTTATGTAATGATTTATATCGCATTTGATTAATCTTCTTTCTTCATCGACGATCATTATTATTTGATTGATCATCGACATTACAGCGACATGATGAACCTACAAGTTATTTAATTTTTTAACTTTAATTAAATTTATACAGGACATAGATCAGTGCAAATTTGTACGCAATACGATCTATTGGTGCAACAATGACAATTATATCCATTAGTCACATACAGGGTGTTTCATAATGTTCTCCCGGCACTAAGGTATCTTGTTCTTTACGTTATTTCTAATAAAAAAGTTCATATGAACATGTGTGCTTTAATCGAAAGAATTTTTAACGCTGCAACCCAAATAAAAGACAACCGTGCGAAGATAAGAAAATTAACGCGAGCAATTTACAGACGTGCAGAAAAATGTATTGAAGTAGGAGGTGGAATTTTCGAAAATTTAAATTACTAATGTATTGTTATTACTGTTATTACCGATTGTTCTAAATATTAAAATTAAATTGAATTGCTATTTTCAAATTCGTATACCTCAGTAAATAAAGCGAATCGGACACATGATCATATGAACTTTTATTAGAAATAACCTAAAGGACAAGATCCCTTAGTGCCGGGAGAACTTCATGAAACACCCTGTATAAAGGAAAAAGAAAGACTTTTACAATTTAACTCCCATTTAGATTCGTCTTTCTGATGTGACGTTATTGTCAATTCGCGCTTGTCATTTTAATAAAAAATTGAAAGTTTTGTTAATTAATAATAGTAAGTGAATAATTCACAAGAACTATTTCAATTTAAAAAAGAATCTCGGAAGAACTGACCAATATTACGAATATTAGATTGAAATAATTTGCAAGAGTAGATTAGAAATGTAGTGAGATTGAAAGAAAAAAAAACAAAATTTGGCAACTATGTTTTTTACTAATATATGCTAAAAAAACCAGTCAAGTGAAGAGTGTTCTTGTTTTAAAATATTTGAAAAATATGTTATAACTAGAGATAACATTTCAAAATGATTCTGCAGCGTTCTAAACCGCTTTAGACAGTTCTAAATATTTCTGTAGCATTCTAAATGATTGTATTTAGACATTTCAAAATGATTCTGGAGCGTTCTAAATGATTCTAGAGACTTCTAAATGATTCTAGTCAGTTTTCAGTTCGAAATGATTTTGGCTCGTTTTAAATAATTCTGGATGGTCCTAAATGATTCTAGACAGTTCTAAATGATTCTAATAGTAATGATATTGGAGCATTCTCACTCTAAAAACTGTTAATTCAATTAATCATTGTTAAAATCACAGAATTGACCATATTGCATCAAAAAAATCTTCGTAGATTCGTTACCTTGTCGATTCCATCAATGCGTATCAGTTTATTTTCGTAATACGAATAAAGCCCCGATTCTGTCCCGAGCAATTTCAATCCATCGGTTAAATCGGCCACGCAAACGATCCTCAACGGTTCCTCTACGGTTAAGATCGTCTCGCATTTGGGACGATCCACGTCGTCGTAGTAGATTTTCTGCAAGGCAGCGAACCACGCGTCCTTATCCTGAGCCGAAAGCGTCAGAAATACCAAACGATCGGTGGGAAGATTCGATTCGTTGTCGGAGAATTCGATTTTCAGCACGAACGGCAAGTCGCTTTCGGCGGTCGGTACGCCGATTTCCGATGGCAACGGTTCCGATACGACCTTACCGGTCCCGTTCGACGGTCTCAGTTCCAACGTTCTGAGCAAGGTACATGATCGTTCCTTCGGCGGGGACGTGTATAAGCGAAGGGAATTGTCCGTCATGATGGCGTATTGTTTTTCCCAACAATTCGTTGATCTAAAAGAAATTAAATGAACGTATAAAATAGTTCTTGAGTGTTCTTCAAAATATGCTCCGTTTTTAAGCTATACAAATAGTCAGACCACTTTTCCAATCATCGAGACATTTTTATAGGCCCTTTTTGGTACGACTTTTAGCTTCTGCGAATTTTCTTTGATGGCATTTATGGAGTCAAAACGGAATCCCCGAAGTGGCAATTTGAGCTTGGGAAACAAAAAAAAAGTAGCACGAGACTAAATCTGGTGAGTAAGGTGCACACGAACCAGCATGTCTTCATTGACCAGTTGACGATATCTTTTTTTAAAAGAAACGAGCAGCTTAACGGGAGAAATTGAGGTCTACTGTGCTACTTCTTTAATAGTAGCATGATCATTTTCCAACTCAATTTCCTTCATTTTCTCGACATTGTCATTGGTTGAAGAGGTCAAAGACCGCGACTATCTTTAAAAGCTTTGTGTCATTCGTAAATATGGGATTTCGATAAAACAGAGTCACCTTAAGCATTAGCTTCGATTCGGCCTACGAAATTCCGTTCAAAACCCAAAACATGAGAGAAACTATTCGTTCATTATTTTTATCCATTGCCAAAATTCACAGAGCAGTACTGAGATGAACTGATTCAATCAGTTGGTACAACCAAACTGATTGAGAAATCTCAATCGGAAAAGATGGAACTTACCCCAGAACCTTAATCCATCCTTGAATGTTGACGTTCTCGTCGTTGGATTGATTGGTAATGGATCGAACGTCGTCTTGCTTCGAATTGTCCATGAAATGCTTGGCATAAACTTCGGGCAGTCCGCAAGTGTTGGGCATTCGATTCTTGCAATCGACGTGAGTGTACACATTGCATTCGGTGCATATGGCTACGATGCGGCCCAACGAGACCGCTTCCGAACAACCGGCGCATTTCGTCGAAGAGTAACTAATTTTTGATTCGAATCTGTAAAGTAACGTTCATAGATATATAACTAAAATAGATGAAACTGTTTACAAAATAATAGGGTACCAACAATAGGTCACAGTCTAACAGAAAATAGAGGCAAAACATTGCATGTTTTATTTTTATATCCTTAGTATGTAATCGTCTTAATAATAAAAGCTAATGTTATTAACATTCTTCAAAATACACCCACAACATATAATAAATTGCAAGTTTAAGAAATATAGTTTCAAAATGTGACGAATTATATATTTCAAAATTCCTGAAATAGATAAACTCTTACAAATTTGGCAACGTTGTACTACCGCTGGTAGTAAAATTTGTAGACGATTTCGACTAAAGAGAGATCAAAGAACAGTATCAATCAAATAGCGAAAACCGGGAAGCAGTTGTCACTGTTTTTTCATAAATAAATAATAAAATTTTCATACGTAATAGTAAATAATGTTATATTTGTGCCATAACAATTCTTAACATAATTAAATTCTTATTTAAAATAGATTTGCCTACGATCAAGGCGCCTGATTGGATCCGCCATGTTACCTCTATTTTTCTATATTACTTTTTCTGCCTCGTTTACTTAATAAGTGACAGATAATTTTCAATGTTGGCGTTAAAAATTTTTGAATTCGTGAATGACTGGTTGGGGATGTGGTAACGTTACATTCTTCGTTCATTGCGTTTATACAGGGTGGTCCGGAACTCGCGCCCTACCCTGTATAATGATATAATCTTACCTGTGTGGTATATTATGATGCATTCGGTTCAGAGAACTTTGTCTGTAAAATTTCTGTTCGCTGTCTTTCGTAACAATTTTATTCTTGGGCGATAAAATTTCGGATTTGTGACGTTCGACTTTCGATTTAACCGCTACAGCGTCTTTACCCTGTAAATTCAACTTCAACTTGAATATTTCTTCTTGGAGATTTTTGTTAATCTGTCTTTCTTTCGACAATTGGCTTTCTAAATCCTTGTAATTCATTACCATAGATACGGGCGGTTGGTTTTCTTTTTTCGAACTGCCGAATAGAACTTCGGTGAAAGTTTTTTTCTTATTCGTGTGCTCGTCAATCTAAAAAAATTAACGAAAATTGCATAGAAAGAGTAAGATAATTTCCGACGAAATAATAAAATAATATACCTTTGTTTGCAAATAATCGATCAATTTAATCTGTTGCTTGATCGTCGCCTCGGACTTCAACTCCCTTTCTTTGTAATAGTTCGTCTTCTCCATTAAAATCCTTCGGGTTTCGCTCAAGTGCTGGGACAACGCGACATTCTCCTCTTTCTCTTCGCCGAGTTGTCGACGCATTTTGTAATTCGATTCTTTAGATTTGTTCAATTGGGTCAAATAATCGGACGCTTCCTGTTTGAGTTGTCGCAATTCCGATCTGACAAAAAATATTTAAAAATTAGCATCGGTGTTATACTGGGAATATACAGGGAGTTCTGGAACTTATGGCACTAAATTTTAGTGGTGGTAGTTTACATAATTTGGGACCGATTCGCAGATTTCATTTTTCAAAAAAAATTATAGTACATCTACGGAGTGTTAATTAATGTAATGTACTTATTTTAATGAGTGATTCTTTAGCTAATTTTGAGTCGAAAAGTTCATATAAAGATATGTCCTCCGAAGTTCGGTTTTCAATATACCTACAGGGTTGTATTTTTATTTTGAAAATTTGAAAAACCGTTTGCGATAATGCGTTATTGAATCCTATAATAACATATTATGGTATAAATACGCATGTACAATATCTATGTACATAAAATGTCTTCTTCTTATTATGAATTTAGGTAAGTAGATAGTTTTTGGTGTGATGGTTTAGATGTAACAAATAGAGTTTTTAATTATTTTCTTTAAAATGATAAGTTCTACGCCAAAAACGCAAGAAGCTTTTTTTGTTTAAAATGAAATGGTTACCAATAATTTTTAAAGAAAGTCTCTAAAAACAGAGGCGTACTACTTTTTTAAATAAAATTGTACCAAGACCTACCCAGATCTACGCCACGGGTTAAAATAAAAAAAATATTTTCTGTTTAAAAATGCGTATTGATACCATAATATGTTATCCTAGAATTCAATGTACTATCGCTAACGGTTTTTCAAATTTATGAGAAAAACCTAAATAAAAAATGAAACTTTACAACCCCTGTAAATCGAAAACCGAGCTTCGGAGGACATACCCTTATATGAACTTTTCGACTCAAAATTAGCCTAAGAATACCCGTTAAAATAAGCACATTGCATTAATTAACACCCTGTATAGTATGAACGCCACTAGTACATAGGTGACAAATATCAACCACCAACCTTAAATCATCGATCTGTCTTTGATACGTCTTAACGGTAACATCCAAATCGCTGATTTTTTCCTCGGCTACCGCCAATTCGTCGCTCAATCCGGTCGAAAACTGTTTGAAATCGAAGCACTGTTGCCGATAGTTCTGACATTCTTCGTTCAAACGGGCGACGTCCTCGTTGAGCCGTTTTATTTTAGATTCGGCAAGGATGTTGGCCGATTTCTCTTCGTTGATGCGCTTCTTGGCTTCCTGCGTTTCGCTTTTCGCCTCGCACAAATCTCGAATGAGCTTCTCGGTGTTGCCGTTCAATGAGGCTTGTTTGGCTTCGTAGGAAGCGTTGATCTTCTCGTATTCGATGACCTGGTTCTCTAATAACGTGCAGGCTTCTCGTAAAGCGTGCAAATTCTGTAATAATTAAATGTGTAGAATTGTACTTCTAGCAGGATGTTAAAGGATGAGTATTATCTAGTATACCGTATTATCTATGTTATAAACTAGTGATTGGAATCTGAAGCTAAGTATATGGTGTCCCATGACAAGTTAAAACTATCTGTATACCGATTGCTTCAATTCAGACCCCAACATGGTCGTTTCTATGAGTTGAACAAAGAAAGATTAATAAAATAACAGTTGTCAGAGTGAAAAGTTGCAATGACACAAATGTCACTCTTTCTTTTTCGTTTATAAGGGCCTATTAGAAGTTGTCTTTATCGCACCTATAGCGTATTATAACGTATGTTGCGATCTGGAATGAAGCATAGTGTATATGAAATTAATTATCCGATTTAAATAAAATTTGGTATACATATCTTTTGCAATAAGACGATCCTTTTAAAAATATTTTGACAGTCGTTCCACTTCCGGTTATACCTGAATTAGGCATCAAACTACATAAAAATTCAGGGTACTTTTGTCAAAAATACTTTATTCCAAAAATGCATACTTTTTGACTTAATTTTTTTGTAGAAAATTTAACTGATGTACCCTGTATACCGGAGGTTTTGTTTTGTTAAATGACTATTTATAGCGGTTTATTAGGTTTAACTAGGTACACTAGGGTACTAGTTTTTTTTTAAATTCACGCTTACCAAATTAGTATTTTGCAATTCTCTTTTCGTTTTATCCCATTCATCCTGGATTTCCCGTTTCTCTTTTTGCAATAATTCCACGAATCCCGTCAGTTTGTCTTTTTCGCTTTGGGAACTTTTGAGTTCGTTCTCTAAATTGTTGCGTTCCTTTTTCAGTCCGCTCAAATCGACAATTAACGAGTTTATTTGACTGTCTTTGGTCTTCGTCATATCTCTGAGTTCGGATATTACCGATTTTTCGATTTCCAATTTTTCCTTTTCGCTGGACAATTTCTCTTGCAAGTTTCTAGAACAAACAAAATTGAAATTAGTTTAGAAATATATCGTTGACATATCAACAACATTATGGTCTGCATATACAGACAAAAATTGTACAGTGTACAGATCAGAATCACTTTATTCAGTTAAAAAAACCTAATAAATAAAATATTTTAACAACGTACTTGTAACTATCTTTAGTCTTAATCAATTCCAATGACAAATTTTCGTTGATGCCGTTCAATTCCAGGAGAGCCGCTTCGTTGGCCTTTCTAGATTGCGCCAGATCTTCTTCGATAGTCTTGGTTTGCTCGGTTAATTGCTTCATCTCCTCTCGAGCATCCTTCAATTCCCTCTCCAAGATCCTTCTGTCGATTTTGGCGTTGCTCAAGTCCTTTTCGGCGCGCCATAACTTGGTCCTGAGTTGTTTCAATTCCTGGTTCTCCGTTACGGCGCATTCGGATTCTTCCAGTCTTTGTCTCAACGTCGAACATTTTTCCCGTTCCTCCGCCAGTCGGCTCTCCAGCTCAGACAGTTTCTTGTCGTTTTGCATCATCGATAGGGTCTTCTTCATTTCTTCCATTTCCTTTTTGCATTCCTCCGTGAAGCGGGAGTCTCTCTGCAGGGAAACGTTCCGGTTCTCCAGGTCCTTTATCGATCTGCGATCCTCGTCGATTTGATCGCGCAATTTGGATATTTCCTCTTTGTAATCGTCGATTGATTTAACGTCGTTTTCCAAAGCGATCGCTCGATTGTTGAGCAATTTCATCTGGCGTTCCAAGTCGTTGGTTTTCGATTTCCAGTAATCTAAGTCGCTGTCGCGATTTTTGAGCTTTTCTATCAAGTTCTTTTCCTTCTCTTCGGCGTTGGATAATTTGTTTTCCAATACGTTACGTTTGTGTAATTCGTCGGTTAGTTTCTTCTGCAATTCGGCGATTACTGTTTGCGTTTCGTTGGTGATTTCGTCCAATCTGGATTCGAGTCCGATTACGCTTCTCCTGCTTAATGACTCGACTTTCTCTAAACTCTCTTTGCCGTGCTTCTGCAGCTGAAGGGCCCGTTGAAGTTGCTGGTTTAAAACGTCGATGGTCATCGTTAATTCCGATATTTTCACCTTTTGTTGTTCAATTTCTAACGTTAGCGATTCGGTTTTGGTTTTTTCCGACGTCTCCCATTTTAGTTTGGCCGATTTTATTATATCGAGCGCCTTCTTTTCTAATTCCGTTCGATCTTTGCGCTCGATTTCTAAAGTTCTTTTCAAAGCCTTAAAAAAAAATAATATAATTATAATTTTGTACAGGGTGTTCATAAAACAGACGGAGATATTTTAGAGGGTGATTCCTTTATAAAAAATATGATAAAAAATTCTATAAACATGGATCAGGAAACGCACAGTTTTCAAGATACAAGGTGTTAAATGAAAACAAAAAAAATAATATCTTAAAAAAATATTATTAAAAACTTGATACTGTTGAAATTTGGCAATATTATTTTGTTGTATTAAGAGGCTAATTTAGACCTAAATAGAATAAAATTATTAAGTCCAGTGGCGTCCCGAGGACACCTTTGCGAATATTGACAAAAAAAATGTACGCCACTGTCTTTTTTGTAACTTTAATATATTTTGTTTTATTAAGCATCTAAAAATACAACTTCTTTACCTCTTGTATTTTTTTTGGATTCCAGTTCATTTTTGGAGAAAAAAATAAAAACCGTTTTATTGCATATTTGGACAAATTTGGTTTAATAAATTTTTGCTAATAAAATCACAGGAACAAGATTTAATAATTTTAATCTATTCATGGTTTAATTAATTATTTATTAAAAAATTATTAATTTATTTTAATTTAACATCCATAACTTGAAAACTGTGCGTTTCCAGACCCACGTTTATAGAAGGTTTTTTCATATTTTTAACAAGGAATCACCCTCTAAAATATCTTCCTTACCGTCTATTTTATGAACACCTTGTATATACGCATTGAAAACGGTATTCATTACATGATTTTAATTGATAGAAATACAGGGTGTCCCTCGTAAGAACCGACACAGAGCGAAAACTTGTAAGGAAGCCCAAAATATGTTGTTTAATCTAACTCAACCTAATACAAAGTTACATAACTTCTGAGAAGTCCTTCAAGCGAAGTAGACGTTCAAAATGAAGTAACAGATTTAAAAAATATATAATATGTTATGAGTGTACTAAGAGCATTAACCGCCAATTAGGAGAGATCTATTAATCTAATTTTAAAGGGCTCATCAGGGATGATGCTTCCTTTAAATGTTACAGGCATTTTCTACCTGATGGATTATTTAATAAATGATTAGTTCATTTCATAGGTAATTTAGTTTTAAAACATTTTTTAGTCTTTTTATTTTTAAAAATTCTTTGTCGTTTTGATGAAAAATGCTAAAAAAATCAGTCATATACACTATCAAATCGTCGATAATTCAAAACTTGGCTGTAATAAGTTAAAGTTGGGTTAAACAACATATTTTAGGTCTGCTCTGTGTCAGTTCTCAAGCGTGACACCCTGTACAGTCGATAAAATCAAAACTTACTGTATTCTCCGCTATACTCAAACCCAATTCCCTCTCTAACCGATCCCTCAGGCTCTGGGTGTTCTCCAATTTTCTCGAGATTTCCTCATATTTCAATTCGGTATTTTCCTTTGATTTAATCAAATTCTGGCTCGTTATCAAATCGTTTCTTAACGTTTCAATTTCCTTTTTGAGACCTTCCAAAAATACATCTTTATTCAGGATTTTTCTTTCGGAAGCGTTCTCGACGCAAATCGAATCTTGAACGTAAGTGAATCCGACGAACGGTAGATTCCTCCCGGAAAAATGAGTACGTTTCTTAAACGAATCGACATTGGGATTGTTCTTCTTTGCGGTCACATCGGTAAAATTACTGGTATCTTCCTCGGAGGTGATTTTAGGTACAAACGGTGGGACTTGTTCTCGCAGGCTGTCGAAGCACGTACTTTTAAACAAACTGTGCTCTTTAATTCGCTTCGAATCCAATCGCGAATTAACGTCGGTCAATAATTTTTTAATTAACGAAACGTACGCTTGAGTAATAACTAAATCAGGGGGGAATTTTAACGATTTACTATGATTCATAATCTTCGAATAAACTGAACTGGTAGTTGCGCCGGTGAATGGAGTGTTTCCGATTGTTAGTTCGTAAGCTAGGACTCCAAGGGACCAAAAATCGCAAGATATCTTAAAAAAAACACAAATTAGTTAAAAACCAATAACATGAATCATCGGTTAATTAAAATATTTACCCCATAGGCGCTATTTTGACCATTCAAGGACTGCAAAACTTCAGGTGCTATATAATAGGGAGTACCCACTGGAGGACCTTCTGTTACTAATCCTTTATCGTTCAGTTTCGCAGCTGAACCAAAATCAGCTAATTTTATATGACCGCAACGATCCAATAGGATATTATCTGGTTTAATGTCCCTGTGAACGTACCCCATCTTGTGTAAATCATCCAAAGCCACAAGCTACAAAAAGTTTATTACGTGATATTCACATTAAAAATTCCAAACTTCCGAGAAGTGGATAAAATTAACTCCTTTGCTTTATTTCCTTTATATTACTTATATTTTGTTAGATATAAACATGTTACAGGAAAAGTTAACGTGCAACGTTACGGATAAAGACTAAACCTAAGTTTACCTGGGTAAAGTTCGAAATGGGAACCCAAGAAACCCATAAATACCTCCCTTACTCTACCCAAGCATACCTTACCCATGTTTCTTGGGTATTTCGCAGTTTACCTGGGTAAACCTACGTTTAATCGTTTATTTAGCTTTATGAGTAACATATATTTAAAATAAAATATAGTTAAAATTAGTGATATCAAACATAATACGTACCAATTCAGCTAGATAAAAAGTTGCAGCACTTTCGGGTATAGTACCACCTTGTCTGTAAAGTAATCCTAAGAGATCACCACCAGGAAGGTATTCTGTTACAAATACCAAATAAGTACTGTCTTGAAAAGCGTACTGTAAAGAGACTAACCAATTTGAGTTAGAAAATGCCATAATATTTTTCTCTTCTTCGAAGCTGATTTTACTTAAATCACTGTCGAATTTTCTGATGCTTTTCATAGCGTATACATCGCCGGTTTGCTTTTCTTTGACTAAATGTACTTCTCCAAAATGACCCCTTCCTATAACGTTCCTTATTTCAAAATCGGTTATGTTTACTCTTAGCCTTTTTATATCCTTCATGGTTTCTTTGTACTTTTGAACGAACTTTGTAATGTTTGGATCGTACTTTTGCAGCGATTCCGAACAACATTCTTCGTACAAAACTTGCAAAATGTCCAAAAGAGTTTCTCTCGCCAACAACGTATTAGATTTGTTTATTTTCGAACAAGCTCCAGATATTTCGGAGTTTATTCTGGCGATTCGGACGCTAATTGGCTCTTTATGATGTTCCATATTTTTACAATTTCACCAATATCATTCCTTAAATAATAATCAAATAAAAACACTCAACTTAACTACACAAAACTCAAACACTAACAGATGAGATGAGATGACGGTTAACAACTTGAACAAACGGTCGTTACATAAATTCGAATGAACGTCAATGTCAATGTCAAATTTCCGTTATAGATCTGGACTTTTACTCATTGAGTATTTAGTTCATGAGTATACAGCAAAAGTCGACAAAATATAAAAGCGCCATAAATTTTGGGCTTCCCTTGTCGTTTATTAGACAAAATTTATCAATATTCTGTTTAAAAACTAGGAGGAGCGATTTGAGAAGTCAGATTTACACCAAAAACAGTTACTAGAGAATTTGCAAGGCGACAAATTCAAACACATAAAAATAATAATAATAATAATAATAATAATAATAATAATAATAATAATAATAATAATAATAATAATAATAATAACAATAATAATAATAATAATAATAATAATAATAATAATAATAATAATAATAATAATAATAATAATAATAATAATAATAATAACAATAATAATAATAATAATAATAACAATAATAAAAGAAAGAGTGACATCTGTGTCATTTCAACTTTTCACTCTGACAACTGTTATTTTATTAATCTTTCTTTGTTCCACTCCTAGAAATGACCATATTGCAATCGGAAATGGAGCAAGGTGTATAATGATTGTAACATACAGATTGCTCCAAAGAGTGACATTATGTCATTGCAACTTTTCACTCTTACAACTGTTATTTTAATATTATTTCTTTGTTCAACTCATAGAAATGTTCATGTTGCAATCCCGAATGAAGTACGGTGTATATTATTCATTTAAATAAAATTGTAGTAGGTCCCATAGACAACATACTGCTAGGTCCTGTATCATAAGAAATATACGACTGCAGTGCTCGTAATTAAGAGACGAATAGAATAATAGAATAATAGCTCCATTCGCGGGTTGCGTTCGGAACGCGAACCGAAACCGAAACATTTTAGATTCGGTTTAAAGGGAAGAATGGAGAATTTTTACCCCGAACGCAGAACTATTTAGTAGTTGAAATTTCACGTAATACAGATCCAATTATTGCCATTTGCTGTGCAACTAGGATTCGGTTCGCGTTCCGAACCGTTCTATAATTATCGACCCGCAAACTAATAAGCTAATATGGCTAAATCATAGACCTCCTAACTTATTGGTCGATGGGCTAAATATTTAATTTTCAGACTAATAACGCCATCTAGTTTAACCAATATAACTACAAAAACTTACCAGATTCTAGGGTCAATTGGTACGATTGCAGAACTACCACATGCCCGCCCCTCCTAACAGAAAACGAATCGAAACACATTTCAGTTTTCGATAGCAGCGCCGTTTCATATAATAAACTGCTCCACAAAAGTTAAGGAAGTTCGCAAATTTTGCGATTATTTTAAAAGTTACAGACTTTTTGATCACCAAATTTTCAAATAAGTGAAATTAAATGTTTTCTCTCATATCTGAGTGGATTTTTTGCCCCTTCCTATACAACTCATACTAAATTTGGCGATCAAAAAACTTGCAACTTTTAAATTAATCTCAATATTTATGTACTTCCTTAACTTTTGTGGAGCAGTATATATGATTTAGCGCAAATATAATATTTTTTGTTATTAATTTTTTTCAATGTTCTTGCTTTAATGTTCCTATTTTTTTATTTTTTTATTACAGAATATAGTTTTTATTACTTTTGGGAGTTTTTTTATTACTTTTAAATTTAAATATGTATATTTCGATATTGCATGTTACGCACACTGTACCTACATTATGGACAATACAAAGAATCTCATGTCCTACAAAATAATAACTTTTAATCTAATCATTAATTTTTAATTATTGTTGGCAAAAATATTCCTGACGCCTATGGAAAATGTCGCCGTACTGCTGGAAGCTCATTGTGTCCTTCAAGAAGGACATTTAAATTCCGGCAGGACCAATTCGTTTGTCCAACTGTCCTTCCCGAAGGAGCTTATTCCAGCAGGACAGAGTGCTGGACGTTTTATTATTAACGAATACAAAGCAAACGATCTACTATTCAACATACACGTGTCTTCTTTTATCCCACAACGGCGTAATTGGCGTGATCTCTCTTTCTTCCATGTAGGAAACACAAGAGTCATAAACTTCATTTATGTGATCTAGAAGCCTCAACGAACCATCTTCGACGTAAAAAACTCCCTTCACTCTACTCGCAATTTTAAACCTTTCTTCGTTCGAGAACAACGTGCTGTTGTAAGCAGCCACAGCAAACGGACGATTGTGATGAAAGCGCTCGAGAAGTTTTTTCGAAGCCATCGCAGGATTTATTACGCACACTTCCTGCGCCGCATAGGTCATCACAATGACGTAAATTTTGTTCGTATCAGCAGGATTTATGATATTCTTATCACGAGGGATGATGCTCAGCACGATATTGGTCGTAAGAACTTGTGGAAAAGAGGAAACTCCCAACATCTCGCCCATTTCCGCCAACGAAACCGGTCGACGCACGCTTATGGTCGACGAATCATCCAGAAACGAGACCGATAGGTCTGGAAAACACGCAGCGATTCTGGCTAAAGTGATCCTCGTCCTCGAAGAACCCGAATCGCCGGCGTTCGCTTTGGATACCAACGAATATCTCTGGATTAACGTATCCAAAACTCGCTGATCCATCTCGCTGATCCTTCTCTTTATGTTCTCGAGGTTTGTTCCGCGCGTAAAGAAAAATTTGCACATCGTCAGAACGTCGTTCTGTTCGTATTCGGGATTTTCCATGACCGTTCTGCGCATTTTCGACGGATCGAAGCCTTGGTGTCCACATATATCAGAAAAATCCATATCTTCCAGTTTCGCCAGTAATGCAGAAAACGACCTTCTCTTCTCTTCGAGCGTGCCGGATCCAGACGGATTTTCCGAAGACATTGTCGCAGGAACTGCAATCGATCAACTGAAATTAGACGAGACGTTTCTCAGGAAATCGATTCATTCGATAAATACGATAACCTAATGATAGAGGAGGGTAAAAGGGGACGCGGAGGGGTAGAAACGACTGGAAGGGGAGCCTAGAGGAGAAGAAATCGGTAGGAAAGAGGTAGCGAGGGGTGGAAGGGGGTATGGAGAGGTAGGGAGGGTAGATGGGAATAGGGAGGGATAGAGAAGGGCAGAAGGGTATAGGAAGGTGTAGGGGACGGTAGAAGGGTGTATGGAGAGGTAGGGAGAATAGATGGAAGTAGGAAGGAGTAGAAGGGGGTATGGAGAGGTAGGGAGGGTAGACGGGAATAGGAAGGGGTAGAAGGGTCTAGAGAGGGGTAGGAGGAGGTAGGAAGGTGTAGAGGAGGGTACAAGGGAGCAGAGAGTGATAGAATAACAGTAGGGGAGGGTAGAAATGGGTAGAAAAGCATTAGAGAGGGCTAACGAGAGTATGGAGAGGTAGGGAGGAGTAGTAGGGGTAGTAGGGAAATAAGTACAGCGTTGCCACGTTTAAAATAGTTACTGAGAATTTGTATTTTTTCTAATGGAAATAAATTTCCAAACTAAACGACTAAACGTAGATTATCGGGTGTTTGTTTATATTTTTTCAGTGCAAATTTTATCAAAATTTCGAACGTAATTTATTATTATAGGTATGCAAATTTAATAAACAAATCGTTTTACGGGTAATAGATGAGTGATAATTAATTTTGATTAAATCGATAGGTAATTAAAATAAGCCAAAAAGTAGATAAAAGTTTTTAAAAAAGGGACAAAATTGAAATTATATAAAAAGTGATTAATTAGTTTTCCATAATCCTTAATCGAATGTTCTAAATCATTTTGAACTGTTTTGAATCATCCTGAAGCGTTGTAAATGGTTTTGGAGCGTTCTAAATGGTTTTAGACAATTCTAAATGATTCTAGTCGGTTCTAAAACATTATGAAACGTTGTGAGTGGTTCCGGACAGTTCTAAATGATTCTGGAGCATTCTAAATGATTCTAGGCAGTTCTAAATGATTCTAGACAATTATAAAACATTATGAAGCGTTCTGAATAGTTCTGGACAGTTTTAAATGATTCTGAAGGTTCTAAATATTTCAAAATACGCGAAATTATCAAAAACTGTCCGAAGAATAGGTATAGGGAACTTTTAGTAAACTGGCATTAGTTTTTTCAAGTGGATTTCAAAAATGCAATAATAATAAAACATATAGGGTGTCCCATATTTCAATTTTCATAGTAACTTTTTAATAATACATAATAACTCTAATATTTTTTCTCGAAATCGGGACAAACTCTATATGTCTAATGAATTTTAAATTATACATGCATATAATACATTTGACCCGAATGAATTTAAAAAAATCTCTTACCGTTTTGCACAAAATAATATCCGTCCCGTCGAGCGTGATTCACCCTGTATATTTTAAATATTGTCTTTTTAGACAATTCGAATTTTTAGACAAAAAAAACGATAATTCCCGATTGCACGAACACTAACCAATACTTTTTTTCTTATATTAGAGTTTGATTTTATTTTTTTTTTTATTTTCTTTGTTTTAATAAGTTGAGTTTTGATCATGAATTAGTAAAAGACTATACACAAATGTGTTCAACTAACACTTTGTGATGTTGTACAAATTATGTTATCCAGTTTAAAACGTGCTTTATTTGCAATGTCGCGATAAAGCAATAAAAATTTATGAGGTATTTTAATTTTTTAATTTTGTAATTTGTAATTTGACGATGCGAAAACTGTATATGGTACATATAATCTATTTCCAAAATAGTAGGCACAAAATTCTCGGAAATATTATCGCTTTTCTTATTTATTACATAATCCTTGCTCTTCTAATTATTAGTCTCCTGCTGATTTTCTCGTCAAACACACTTGTAGCCTACGATATTTTCCGTACGCCACTGGGAGAGACCCAAGTTATGTGACGCGCTATAGCGGACGTAGCGATTCCAATTACAACAATTCCATATATGGTCATCGTTCGATGTACGATCAATTGCTGAGTGGACAATATGCATTTTATTCACCTTAATTCAAATATTGTAAATTCAGATTGAATATAGACTTGTTTCGATTAAGACCATTAGTTTTTGTTCCTTAACTAAATTAAATAAATTTTTAAAAAATACTTTTTCGGAGTTCGGAATTATAAAGCCCATTATCTCAATCATTTCTGAGAATTTAGTGCCTACTATTTTGGAATTAGTGTATAGCCATACACGATACTGCCTATCGTCCAATCGGCATGACGTTACCGATTGGATCAATTAGAATTGACCGTGTGCGTGGGCATGGATTGGCATGACAGTTATACTTAACGGCATATAATCCAATTTCAATTCTTTTGGCTTGATCATGCCGACTGCCGATTGGATCATGTCGATTGGAGCGTGTATGGCGGTCGGCGATTTTCGATCGTTGGTAAACTGATGGCTTCAACTGAACGTCGCTGCCGATTGGACACTTAAAACTGATCGTGTGTGATGTATATGGACAAACTGCAGATTGGATCAATCCTGCAGCGTCATGCCGATTGAACGATAGGCAGTATCGTGTATGGCTACCATAAGGTTGTATGACCTTTGTCAAACTAGCAGGACCAAATGAGCAGAATCAATTCGAACAAATTGCATTATTTAGTGCTTATTTTGTGCTAATTTGTGGCACTAATAAAAATTTTGTGTTACGTGCCTTTTTGACAAAAATCGTACGTGGCACTGCTAGCTTTAAGCATTAGGCTAGCAGGACCACATACAAAAGTAAAATAAAATAATAAAAAAAGGGTAGGGTAGAATTTGTAGGGTAGAATACAACGGGTAGAATTTGTGCTAATTTCTGCCATCCAAAACAAGCAGCTAAATAGATTAATTCCCCTTGAAATAAGGGCAAATTATATTTACCACAATTGGACTCAAGAGTAAAGTACCCGTTTCGACCAGCAGAATTCAATTTATACACAAATATACACTCACGGATTTAAAAAAGTATTTTTTAAAAGGGGTTATGGTTTCCACAATTTATTTAATCGCTAACCTGACACTATCCACTATCTACAAGACGCCAATAATGTTATAAATGTCCTTAATAAACGAAATCTGTTATAATAATACAAATTATGCCTAAAAAATATCTAAAAAAGACCGATTTTATTATACACCATAAACGTAAACAACAGTATAATCATAGATATGTAATAATGTTATAGATAGGTAACTCCCATCAGAACAAAAAATCACTGCGAACCTGAGTATAATGGTACTTATGTAGCTAGCTTTCAGCTGTCACCACCATGGCGCTGCGATCTTAACCCGAGTTGTCTATAAATTTTAATGTAAAAAGGTTCCTATTAGTTCATTCAAACATTTCCGATTTACATAGACGATATGGGACAATTCGCTAAAATATGACCGAAGCCACGACCTGGCCGCAATACCTAGCGGCAGTCAGCGTATGCCTAGGTGCCTGGAGTACCGGGACAGTATTAGGCTGGACGGCGAACGTTACTGACGATTTGAAAAGCGGCAAATTAAACGGCTTGAAGATGGCCAACGAAGAGCTCGAATGGGCCGGATCCTGTTGCACGTTGGGCGCAATGGCAGCCTGTTTGCCCATTGGTTTCCTGGCGGATGCTCTTGGAAGAAAACCAACTTGTTTGGCAACGGTCGCGCCGTTTGTACTGGGATGGCTATTGATAACCTATTCGATGAATCATTTGATGGTCTACGTTGGGAGAGTCCTAACCGGAGCTGCCGGTGGCGCTTTCGTGGTAATAGGACCGATTTACATAGCTGAAATAGCCCAAACTCACATTCGCGGACGATTAGCGACCTTCGTCCAGGTCTTTATAGTGGTAGGCGTATTGTACGACGAAGTACTGGGCTGGGCGTTGCCCATGTTTGCCTATAATGTAGCATGTCTTGTAGTGCCGATTGTGTTCGGGGTAATGTTCGCCTTTCAACCCGAGACGCCGGTCTACCAGCTAAAAAAAGGACCGCCCGAACAGGCGGAAAAGAGTCTGAGGCACTTTAGAGGGAAAAACTACGATTTCAAGGAGGAACTCGCTCTGATCGAACGGGAAATCGAGGAGGAAAGAAAAATGGGCACGTTTAGACAGGAGATGAAAACTAAAGCGAACAGAAAAGCTACTTGTATCTGCATAGCATTGATGCTCTATCAACAATTGACCGGAGTGAACGGTCTCTCGTTTTACTCCAAGGACATTCTATTGCAATCCGGATCGATTGTACCGCAACATTTTGCTGTTATAGCGACAGGAGTTGTGGGATTGATATCGACTCTTTTAGCTGCAACGATTATAGATAGAAACGGAAGGAGAGTGTTGCTGCAATTATCGTGCGCTTTGTGCGCGTTATCTACGTTCCTTCTGAGTTTTTATTTTACGTTAACATTCCGGTTGTTCGATGCGGTGAAGAATGTTCAATACATAAACGTCATTCCGCCTACAGCTTTTTTGCTCTTCTGTTTGGGATTCAATGTTGGTTTAGGCCCGATACCTTGGTTAGCTGCGGCGGAATTGGTCTCGCCTGCGGTCAAGCAATTCATCGGCTCGTTGGCGTGCTTTACCAATTGGCTAACTGCCTTTTTGGTAACGAGATTTTGCCTAACCATGGCGGAACGAATAGGTTCCGATTACACATTTTACATATTTACCGGCATTACTATTTCGTGTATATTTTTCGTGTTTTTCTTTGTACCGGAAACTAAAAACTTGCGATATGATAGAATTAAAGAAGAGCTAGAAAAGTAGTTTGTGACTTAATTTCATTGACAAAGAAGAGGAAAATTATTTATGAGAATCTTCTTATTGATTATTTATGAGAAGCTTCTTTTGATGTACTCGCATACAGGGTGGCCCAGAACTCGAATCACGCCCCACCGGGAAATGTCTTATTGAAACGACAATGGAGATGCCAAAACTGCAGTCGAAAACATGAAAAAGATAACGGGACACTTTTTCGACCTTAGTTTCTCAGTTAACAGACCTTAAACATGTACGACCATGACAAATTTATGTTATTTTAAATGGAAACCATATTTTATTTTTGTCTTTTTTTTTTTAAGAATTTTCTTACGACCTTTTGACACGTGCCATATTTGCATAAACTTCATAATTTGCCTAAACTGACCCTGGTTGTAAACACCTCTCAAAAAATTGCAAATATTTGCTAATTTAAGCTTTTTTCCATCGGCTACAGTTTTCGATATCACTGTAATAAACATCGAAAAAACCACAACTCGATGAGCTGTATGTCTCACAACAAGAGGTCTCATAAACGAGGTAAAGAAGAAGAACTGTCGTACGTCATGTCACTTTACTCGTTTACTTCACCTATCACATGTCACCTGAAACTTAACCGATTTAACCAAAAAATAGTTGCTTTATTTTTATTCATTGTGGTTTTAGATATTTACAAATTCTTCTAATACCCAACTAATTAACGAAATGGTATTAGCATCTAGATAAAAAGGGTTTTTAAGTGTTTGCAATCACGTGCGTGTGTGTGAGTATTTTAGTTATTATTATTGTTATTAGTTCAAATTATTATGGTTTGTAAGCCGGCTGTGAACACACCGAAATTAGCCCTGTATTATCAAATTTACCGTAATTTTTAACGTTTTATATCCTTTTTATATGGGTTTCCTATATTTTCGATGGATATTTATGAATTCTAATAATGCTCATTAATTTGACCATTTTCCACATTTTTGACAATTTGTAATGTCTTTTGACAACATCTACAATATTGTGGCAATTTAAATCATAACAAAAAATTTGGAAACTAATGTATTTTACATTAATTACAATCAAATTCGCATTAATTTCTTAATTAACCAATTACCTTGATTACCTATCCTTGTGTTGGGATATTCATGTGCTACTATTAGTGCAATTTATTATGGACGGAAAACCGGATTTGGAAGTGGTGAAATCAGCCGTATCAACATTATACAACAACCCGGATGGCGGTGAAAAAGAAAGGGCCTCCCGATGGCTATTGGAATTACAAAAATCGGTAAGTACTTTCCACTTTTGCATACATACATATCAAACTAAATACCTGTTAATATTAACATTTCTTTTCTTTTTAGGTTCACGCATGGACCGTTGCCGACGAATTGCTGCGCCGTTGCACGAACGCCGACGATCTCCAAACCCGCTATTTCGCCGCTCAAACGATGCGAACCAAAATTCACCAATCCTTCCACGAGCTACCCAGAGACGTCCACGAGTCTCTCAGGGACTCGCTTCTGGAGCACATGGGGGCTTGCGCTGGCGTCGATGAGGGCGCAGGTGCCGCCATAGTGACGCAACTATCGCTAGCACTTGCGGATTTGGCGCTGCAGATGCCCGATTGGCGAACGCCTGCGCTGGATTTGATCGGCCGATTCAGCGCGGGGAATAACGTGTGGCCCTTATTGGAGGTGTTGACTGTGCTCCCTGAAGAATTAGAGAGCAGATCAGTGAGGTACGTTTATGAAGCTCTAATACCTACATTCGATGAATCGTTATTTTCTTTTGCTTGTAGATTAGGAGAAAATCGACGATACGAGGTATTAGAAGATATGAAATTCTGCGCTCCCACCGTGAATGAATTTCTGAAGCATTGTTCGAATTTGTACGGAAGAGGAGGATCGGAAAGGTTAGCGGCAGGCGATAGACCGATAGATGTGAAAATCCTCAGATGTTTCGCTTCTTGGATATCAGTCGGAGCAATTGGACCGAGTCAATTGAGCGAGGATCGGGTGGTGGTTGACATGGCGTTCGACGTGTTGAAAACGGACATAAGGCCAGATGAAAAAGAAAGCGTAACAGGTTAGCTTTGGGCAATATTTAAATATTCGAAATTTACCAAAAATTTTAAAAAATGCATTTCAAACGACAAATCGTTTTAGGCCAACTTCACGAAGCCGCCACGGATTGTATTTGCACCTTACTGTTACGTCTCGAGGATAACAACAACCACGTCGCATTGGAAACGCACTTATTTGAAAATATAGTAAATTTAGAAGTGGCCTATCATGCATCTGTCGCCCTCGAAGATCAAGCAAAGTCGACGGATTATTGTCGGCTATTCACCGAATTGGCGGAATCATTTTTGGGGAAGATTGTAGACGATGGAGGAGGCGGTGGTGGCGGCGACGGCGGCGGCGGAGCCAAGAGGCGTACCGTGTACGCCGTTAAATGTCTAGATTTGGTACTGATGTGCGTCGGCCATCATGATTACGAGGTATATTTTTAAAGCGAATTTCATAATGAGTGCGTCAACCTCTGTGAAAGATGTGCTGGTCTAGTATGAGGTCTACCATAATGTTTGAGATCTACCTACATATTTCGTTGCCAAGTATGTTTAAATACTTTGACAGGTATCATATTTTGCATAACTGAAACTGGTTTTAAACATGTCTCAGAAAACTGCAAATGTTTGTCCATTTAAACTTTTTTCTATCTCCTACAGTTTCCGAAATCCCTGTACTTACTATCAAAAAAACTCATCCTGTATAATTCTGACACTTCCCTAATTCTAGATAAATTGAATTACTTACCTCTGCTATTCCATACATAATATAATGCTACTAAATAATTTCGTTTGCTTAATGAAGGCATGCATTTACGTTTAAACAAATACTGGTACTTTTCCAATTCTCGGTAAATTGAATTATCCTCATGCTGTTCTATAAATAATATAGTACCAGTATTTTTTTTCCTTTTCATAATGAAAGATTCATAATTTTTCTTACACTTTATACATAATAAATACTATAAAATAAATTTGGGTACACTGCATAATAGACCGGTACCAAATTATATTAACGCATGATTACTTTTTAAATTGTTTATTTTCAGGTGGCCGAAATAACATTTAACCTTTGGCATATGCTAAGTGAGGAATTATATCAGAAAAATAATAAGGAATTAACTGAATTATTCAAACCATACGTGGAAAGATTGATCACGGCCTTATGTAGGCATTGCCAGATGGAGCCAGACATGGAGGGTCTACTCGAAAAAGGAGATGAATTTAAAGATTTTAGGATGAAAGTAAGATCATTACGTATTACATATAGGTTTCAAGTTATTAGTCCATATTTATAAAAATGGAAGGTAAGAAGAAAAAAAAATGCTCTGATCCATATTCATAACCTTGCAAGGAAACGCTTTGGATAAATAAAATAAATGGTAGAGATTATCGATTTCATCGCTAATCTAAACTAATCGAAACTAGTCGAAACGAGTCTAAATGGTTCTAAACAGTTCTAAATGATCCTGGAGCGTTTTGTATTGATCTAGACAGTTCTAGATGAATTTAGGATAGTTTCAGATGGTTGTAGACAATTCTAGATGATTTTGGAGTGTTCTAAATGGTTCTAGACTGTTTAAATGTTTCTGGAGCATTCCAGATTATTCTAGTCAGTTCTAAGTGATTCTGGAGCGTTCTAAATGGGTCTAGACAGTTCTAACGTAAATGCACCCCTTTAGCCATAACAAACTTGGGAAACACAGCCAAAATAGACAAACATTTTTCTGTTATAAGCTGTGTGGTGGCTGAGTAACTACTGAAAATATTATGAAAAGTTTATGAATACGGAAAACATATAACCTTTTTTTTAAACAACAACAGGGTTCTCGAAACAAAACCTCTCTTCATTCACTTCTTTTTATGCATATACATTGAAGCAATTTCTTCACTTTTCGAAAGCAAAAGGTTATGCTTCTTTTTATAAATACGGCCTATTATGTAGATAACAAGTATATTTAAAATATTAGTATAGAAACTGATTAAGGTTTTTTTTATTTTACAGGTCTCTGATCTAATAAAGGACGTGGTCTTTATAGTAGGTAGCAGCAGTTGCTTCAGGCAAATGTTCATCAATTTACAAACCTCCGGTGTTACGTGGGATGCCAGCGAAGCCGCTCTCTTTGTAATGCAGGCTGTAGCCAAAAACGTTCTACCGTAAGTTGTACTAAAAAAAAACTGCTTCAATTTAATACTAACAGGTCATCTTTGCATTTCTTTAGCACGGAAAACGAAGTTGTTCCTAAAGTCGTCGAAGCAATATTGAACATACCAATCAGCGCACACGTCGCTGTGAAGTACACCTCTGTCCTTCTACTGGGCGAACTGGCCGAATGGATAGAAAAACACCCGGACGCTTTGGATCCCGTCCTGAATTTCCTAGTTTGCTGCCTTCGGAGCGGCGCCGAAGGGGGAGGCGTCGCGACGGCGGCGGCGTCCGCGCTGCAGAACGTGTGCACGTGCTGCGGCGCTCACATGGGCAGGCACGTTCCCATTCTGTTACAGGTATGTAATGCTACCTGTGTATTTGAGAGTTTTTCTGAGAGCAACTATCGAGAGTCACGTGATGCTTCTCTAATACTAGCATAATCATTTTCGAACTTAATTTCCTTCATTTTCTTGCCGTTATCATTGATTGAAGAGGTCGAGGACCGTTCGGAACAAGACAAGTCTTTAGCGATCTCCCTAATGCTATGTACCTGTCCATTTGAGAGTTTTTCTGAGAGCAACTATCGAGAGTTACTCTTAGGTTTTTGTTTATCTGAGAGGAAACTCGCGAATTATTTTTATTCTCTGTGAGTGGCGAAAATGCTAGTTGCGAGTTTTATAAAATGATTACTCTCAACTGTGTCCACTAGGTTTGTGCTGAGAGTTTTGTGAACTACAGTTTGAAACATTTTTAGCACGTTAGTACCTTTTTAATAGATTAGGTTACTTTTATCAAAAATCTATTTAGTAATCATAATGAATGCCAAATTCAACAGCTTTTATAAATTACTGAAATATATTGTTTACTTTAACATTTTCTACCAGTATATTGACTAATAAAAAGATTTTTGCTGAAAAAGGTGCTATCAAATTAATTTTATTATTAATAACGGGCTAAAATGTTCCAAACTTTGGTTATTTAAAAATTGTATAAATGGCAAAAATTGAGATTTGTCTCCAAAAATGTAGGGTTTATAGAAAATTACAAAGAGTCTAAAATTATGAAAAATAAGCCGATAAATCTAGTTTTGATTCAAAAATTAGGTACCTAAATATGTATAATATGGGCGGAAGAATTAGGTCACCAAACAAAGATATTTTGTACAACTTTTCACGAAAAAGAGTTGAGCCATTCTGGCCCAATATCAAAAAAACCTCATTTTTATTTTTAACTTTAAAACCTTGTAATTTTTAACAAATACATATTTGAATATCTCTTCAAAAGTAGTAAAGGGACTAGGGTGATTTATGTATGTACCTTTACTCTCAGAGAGCACTCTCAGAATAATGATTTCATTTGAATTTTTCTAGTTACTCTTGATAGTACCAAAAACGATGTGTCGACTTGACAGCAACTCGCGAAATGCTAGCATTAGAGAGTTTTATAAAATTGAAACTCTCAGAACCGTGTCCAGTAGGTTTTTGCTGAGAGTTTTGTGAACTACTGTTTGGAACATTTTTAAGCGCACTTTTAACATAGCACCTTTTTAACAGAAAAAAATCAATTTACTAATTATAATTAATGGCATATTTAACAGTTTTTATAAATTAACAAAATTATTTTTATTATTAATAACTGACTAAAAATGTTCCAAACTTTGGTGATTGAAAAATTGTAAATATGCCAAAAATTGAGATTTGTTTAAAAAAATGTGGGGTTTACAGAAAATCACAAAGTGCAAAATTATGAAAAATAAGCCTATAAATCTAGTTTCGATTCAAAATTAGGTAAATCATAAAAGATATTCTGTACAACTTTTCACGAAAATAAGTTAAGCCATTCTGGCCCAATATAAAAAACCTCATTTTTATTTTTAACTTTATAACCTTGTAATTTTTAACAAATATGCATATTTGAATATCCTTCAAGAGTAGTAAAGAAACTGGGGTAATTAAATAAACGATAGATATGTGACTGGTCTCTCACTATTTATTTATGCACCTTTACTCTCGGAGAGCACTCTCAGAATACTGATTTCATTTGAATTTTTTTAGTTACTCTCGATAGTGCCAAAAATGATTTGTCGACTTGACAGCAACTCTCGACATGCTAACTCGCAGAGAGTAATCATTAACTCTCAAATAGTTACTCTCACAACATTGTCTACAGGCGAGAACTACCTCGATAGCATCTCTCGAGAGTTTTTCTCACAAATGGACACCTGGCATAATACTAATTCGGGAATTTTCGCAATAATATCATTGTAGTTGCGCAGTTACAATTTGTTTTACGTTTCAGTTACTTCAACAGTCGGATTCGTTTGGCGTCGGCAACGCGGCGGTGGTGGGATTACTGAAAGGCGTCGCGTCGGTGGTGAGTTGCGGCATGGGAAGCGGCGCCGAAACGGCGTCGGCCGTACGGGAATTGTGTTCGATGCAATTGTCGCCGTTATGCAGTTTGATCGAAAACGACGTTCGACCTGTTAAAGGGACTCTAACGGATCCGGTGCTGTGGTTGGATCGATTGAGTTCGGTTCTGAGATACGTTAATGTCAATATTGTCGAAGGTAATGGTTTTTGTTCGACATCGAGAAACTTGTCATTCTTTGTCTACTCTTTTTTTTCTTCTATTTTTGAATTTTACGGTATAAGTTTTCCACATGACACCTGCGTCCTTCGTTTTAATTCAACATAATTAACACTTTCAGTCTTATTCATGGTCGTATTTAGTGGCTACTAACACACTACTAACATCCCACTAAAAAAAATCGAATTCATAGTTCGATTTAGTGGCTACTAAAATATTATTTTTGTTAGTAGCCACTAAATTTATTAGTGGCGTTACAAGGAGTGTTTAAGTTACTTTTAAACATAATTTAAAACGTCAACAAATGTCTACCCTTTTGCTAAATATCTCTTCGTTGCTAATATTTGAATTTCAACTGGATTTTGTATTAATACATTTACTTCTTCAGCTTCTTACATGCACCTTTCTATAAATATCTAACGGGTAACTAATACCGATTTACTTCATTTGAAAAGCTGGTAGTCCCAATACTTCAAAAAGACTGGCAAAGATGTTGAAAAAAAACAGTTTTTAGTCTTTTTTTTAATTATTTTTTGGGTTTTGAGAGGATGTTGTACTTTCAAATACTAATAGCTAGTTACCAAAGAGGTATACATCGTTCAAACATTAGTATCAAACGTACTTGGTCAAAGTGTATAATTTGCTAATAATCATGATTTTTGTTAAATAACGGGTTTCGCCATAAAAGTTTTTTTGTTTCCCCAAAAATAAGGTTCACTGGAATTTTATCCTCTTTCCCATCACCTATTCAATTGATCTCGGCACATTCGTCTGACACAATAACGTCAATAACATAACCAAAATCTCCAATATAAAATAAAATTTTAAGTTATTGCCGTTGTTGCCACATTCATTTTTCTGCTAGCATTATTTTAACTGGTGGGAAAGAAATATGCAATTATGAATAGGAAACGTTAGTGGCTGGTTAGTATGATATTAATGGCCACTAACTAGTGGTGTTTTCACATAATTTTAAGGAGGCGATTAAGAATAAGGCTGTTTACCTTTACTGCGTATTTTTTTAGGTGAAATCCATCCTTGCAAACCGGTAATAATGGAAATGTGGCCGATATTATCCCGAGCATTCGACGCATACCACAGCGACGTTCGGATAATGGAAAGATGTTGCCGTTCGGTGCGTTTCATGTTGCGTTGCGTGGCCCGACAACTTCAAGATTTGCTGCCTTCGTTGGTCGGACAGATCGTAAACATTTACTGTCTCTACGGACATTCGTGTTGTTTGTACGTCGGCAGCATTTTAGTGGACGAATACGCCGGTGACGTGACTTGCGTTAGAGGTCTCCTCGACATGTTGAACGCTTTTTTGGAGCCGACGTTTCGTCTGTTGCAAGAAGAGAACGGCTTGAAGAACCATCCGGATACCGTCGATGATTTCTTTAGGTACGTTTTCTTTAGGATAGTTTTGGGAATACCCATAGATATATAACGAAAACAGATGAAACTGTTTACAAAATTTTAGCGTACCAACAATAGCCGACAATAGGTCACAGTCTAACAGAAAATAGAGGTAAAACATTGCATGTTGCCGCGTTACAATTTCCTTCTGCTATATTTTTTCTTTTTATATCCTTATTATGTAATCGTCTTAATACTAAAAACTAATCTTATTGACATTCTTCAAAATACACGAACAACATACACCGTGCTTCATTCGCGATTGCAACATGGGCATTTCTGTGAGTTGTACAACGAAAGATTAATAAAATAACAGTTGTCAGAGTGAAAAGTTGCAATGACATAATATCACTCTTTCTTTTTCCTTTGTAAGTGTCTAATTGAAGTTATCTTTGTTGCACCCATAGCCTATGTTGCAATGAAAAATGGAGCGACCAGTATAATAAATTGCAAGTTTAAGAAATATAGATTATAAATATATATTTCAAGATTTCACGAATTATATATTTCAAAATTCCTGAAATAGATAAACTCTTACAAATTTGGCAACGGTGTACTACCGCTCGTAGTAAAATTTGTAGACTATTTCCACTAAAGAGAGATCAGAGAACAGTCTCAATCTCATTTTCAAAGCGAATAATAGCCATAGAGAATATAGAGTGGAAAAAGCGTGTATTCGTAGATGGCACAAATTGAATTTTGCGCATACTGTCACTTGTCATTTAAGGTAGATATCAGTGTTGCCAGAAGTAGCGGAATTTAAACACAGCGTTGCCAGAAGTAACGGAAATCCACTACTTTTAGGCGATCTTGTGTAGGCCTTATATAGTTAAAATCTTATATACTAATAGTATATATGATCTAAGGTTAAAATAAACGACTAAATAAATAAACGATACGAAATAAAATAAATGTTAACAAAATGAATGAAATTTTCTATTACTACAAGTATCAAAAATTTTAAATCATAATAAAAATATACCATATGACCGAATTATTCCGCTGCAAGCATTAGAATTAGAATCTCAATCAATTCTATAAGATAGTAAGGAACAGGAACTTGTTTATCGGTTATTTGCTTCGCTTCGTGCGAATACCGGGCATTTGCTCTCTTTATTCCTTACATAACAAAAGTTCAATTAGCTATCTCATTATTCTCATTGACTTTTCTACCTTAAATGACATAACAATGTCAAAATTGTCAAATCTGTCAAATTCAATTTGTTCCATTATTTTCACGCGCATCCGTATGCTCTTGCCACTCTATATTTCTCTATGATAATAGCAAATAGCGGAAAACCGGGAAGCAGTTGTCACTGTTTTTTCATACAATATCAACAAAATTTTCATACGAAATATTAAATAATGTTATATTTTTACCATAACAATTCTTAACATAATTAAATTCTTATTTAAAATATATTTGCCTACGCTCAATGCGCCTGATTGGATCCGCCATGTTACCTCTATTTTTCTATATTACTTTTTCTGCCTCGTTTACTTAAGTGACAGATAATTTTCAATGTTGGCGTCAAAAAATTTTGAATTTATGAATGACTTGTTGGGGATGTAAGAATACTTAATTTAACAAATGATTCGGTAATAATCTAGGTACGTTGAGAACCATTTGGAACTATTTGGAAATACAAAAATTTTGAACAATTTAGAATGCTTTAGGATTAGGAACTGTCTAGTATGATTTAGAAAGCTTTTGTGGGGATTTAGAGTTGTCCAGAATCATTTGGATTGTTGCAGGACGAATCATAATTGTCAAGAAACATTTAGATCGATCTAAAATGATTTAGAATTGTCCAAAATGATTTAGAACTGTCTAGTATGATTTATATGGCTTTTGAAGGAATTAGAACAACTTAGAATCCATTTTTAATTTTAGTCAATTTTAGTCCAGAATTATTTGGATTGGAATTACGAAATCGACCCTAAACTGAGGACTTTTATATTGCAGGTTGTGCGCTCGGTTCGTCCAGAGGGCGCCGAAGGCGTTTCTAAGCGGAGGCTCCCATTTGGCGCCCATTATACAATGCGCTCTTCTCGCCGCCACCTTAGATCACAAGGAAGCCAACGTGTCTGTTATGAAATTTTTCTACGATTTAATAAACCAGGGACTGAGCGGCCGAGGTGAACCCGATTTCGACGAGAGAAAAGCCTTGGTTAGGAGGTATGTTTACTCAATTCTACGGTCGTTTATGGTCTGGAAACTGCACGTATTTTGTATTATGCTACCTGTCCTTTTGAGAGGCTTTGTCCATTTGAGAGCAAATTCGCTAATTATTGAACTCTCTGAAAAAATCCAAAATGCTAGTTGGCGCTTTTTTACCAGATTAATGCCCGATTTTACCAACCACTTCCTAAAGTTAGGTAATACCTAAACTGGATTTGGGAATTCCTAAGTACAATTTGCGTTTCACCATGCACTAAGTAATACCTAAAGGTAATAGGAAATGGCTAAAGTTAGGACAGCTCCTGCCTAAAACATTTAATAAATACTTAACCATACTTTTCATGTGACTTAATACTTGATTGTCTTTATACTCTTTAGTTGAAAATTTAAAATAGGAGGAGAGTTTTTAGAAACTGGGCGAAACTAATTTTTTTTCGTCTTTTTCGATTTATAAAAATACGGTATTACAAATATTCATAAGTCATATGAAATCACATGAGTAATTCCTATCTTAGGAATTACCTAGTTAGGAAATGCATTCAGTTTGCATTTAGTCGAGCATTTGTTCTACAAGTTCTGTAAACAATTGTTAGATTAATGTAAATTTTGGCTGCATCTCAAGCAACCTAAATGTTGAATTCAAAAAATATCCTTTACAACATCGACTCCTACCGGTTGGTTTTGGAAGTACGCATTTTCCTTTCAAATATCGGGACATCTTTTCAACCGCAGTTTTCAGATCTTATGGTGTACGACCGTGCTAAATTCATATTGCTAACAAACTGATGATGGGAATGATATGTCTGTTTTTAGTCTACTGAACGAATACGGTCAACAACTCGTGTCTAATTTAATTCACTCTTGCGTATTTTACTTGCATTCGTACATGCTGAGCGAAGTGGGCGACGTTTTTGTACAATTGTTGGATTTCGATAGACAGATCACGAGTGAATGGTTAGCGAACGGTTTGGAATTGTTACCGAAACAACAGAATGGTGGAATAATGGCGGCCAAGCCTAAACAATTAAATGATGTTCATGCTTCTATAACGAGGTAAGTAGAAAATTACTCTGTTATTGTTGAAATTATATGTTTTTTTTTTTTAGATCAAACAGTTCAAAATCTGTGACGCACGCTCTGAAAGACCTAACTAGGCTATATCGTTAACTATAAATCTTGTCTATATAGTGTTAATTGAGTAAAAAGGCTTAATAACAGAGTTTAATATTTTCTTAAATCTAAGAAATTAACGAACTTTGGAAACGTCGCAAGACATATTTTGTGAATTTATTGAAGAGGGTGAATTTGTATCATATTAGGTTATTGGCGATATCTCAATCTCTCAAGATTAACGAAAAAATTTTATATTTTTGCCACTTTTGTGTAAATATTTTTTTCAATAATCAAATCGATTCGAATAACCTCCACTATATTTTTTAAGAATATGACGGAACGTGTAAACTTATTAAAAAACGAAAGATAAATGATTGTATTTTTATTTGTCCTAGAATTAAGAATAAAATTAAATTTAAAAAGGAAACTTTGTCAATATTTGTTAATACTCGGTAATTTTACTTATTTCCTTTATTTTTGTAACAGATTCTAATGAATAAGTTCGTTTATATTAAAATGACAATGACGTTACGATCCAACATGTTGCAACTTTGTCAGATTGTAATCGAAATTCTTTATATGACGAATACAAATTACAAAAGTCTCAAATAAATATGTAGTACAATTTAAATTAAACATGAAGAACGTTGGGAAGAGAAATGAGCTTGTGATTTAACTTAATGTTGTAATACACACGCAGAAAAATTACACCAAAAAGTCACGAAAAACGCATAAAAAACGAAAAACACAAAAACTACTCGTAAACTTGAAAATCAAAACAGGACAAGGCAAAAAACGCTCCAGAATCCAGAACTGTCTAGAATGATTTAGAACGCTCCAGAATCATTTAGAACTGTCGAGAATCATTTAGAACTCTCCAGAATCATTTAGAACGCTGCAAAATCGTTTAGATCTGCCTAGAATCATTTAGAACTGCCTAGAATCGTTAAGAACGCTCCAGAAAAAGAGAAAAATTGCCGGTAAAGTCAGAAAAACAACAAATGGTAGTCAAAACGTGTCGACTACAAATACCGGAATTTTTGAGACTTATGATGTGGCAACAACGCATTGGCATATCAACTGCGCGCCATAAAAATCCCCTAGTCAAATGACCAAATTAACATTGGTACTAGGGAAATTTTAAATTGCGTGGAAATTATTAAAAATTACGTCATTATAATTTTAAAACGTACGATAACTTTATTAAACCGATTGGTGCAGATAAAAGATATTAGAATTTCTTTTAGCGTATTACACGTTTGCTTAAATTCAATACAACAAAGGTAAAACTCGCTTGATAAATCTGAAATAAAAAAGTAACAGAAATTGTACGAAAACGGCAAACATTTTATGGAATGTTCTTTTACCTTTACTAACAGTTCGTTACTCAGTATAACAACACCGAAAGATTCCAGTTTTAGGGCTTTTACTGTTCTCGACATCATTATTAACATGGTTCTGGTTATTTCAACAGGTTGTCCGTACCAATTGCTCTTATAAATGAACGTGCCCAATTCGACGCTCTAAAATATACACAGGATGATACACCCATTAGTGTAAAAACAAAAACGGTGATTTTTACTTACTTCGTTTGAGACATTGTTTGCACAATAATATAATATGCTAACTTGCGTGAACAATAACGCACCAAGGCTGACTTTGAATATTTGCCAATGTATGGTAAAGAAGGCGGCTGTGCTTTCCTGAAAAAAAACCAATGTAGTTTTTAAAAATACATATGCACAGGGTGTCCAAAAAGTATGGAAACGGTCGATTTTCTGGCAAATTAAGGTCCGAATGAAAAATTGAAAAGACACGTATCCAATAATTTTTCAACAGCTACCCATTGATACCAATATCTAATAGCTACCCCACCTCTTAAAGGGGGAACTGGGGGGTAACTTTAAAAATTTCAATGGAAGCCCCGTTTTTTTTATTGAAGATTCGGAATCCTGGCATCAAAATAAGCAAGTTTTGTCTGAAACGTTTTTCAAATGTATTACAAAAAATGCTAAAATTTCGAAAATTTAATTGTCTCAATGGTCGTAAATTTACCATACACCATACGGTATAAACAAATCAAGATTGAAGAGTAAAAACACAATTAAAAGTTCATTTTTTTAAAAAAGTTCAAATTTTTTAACAGCTCTCTATCGACGCTAATAACGACCATCTACACCATCACCTGGTGTTGGGTCGGCGAGTAGCTTCAATAAATTGAATTTTGAAAAAATTTAATTTTCAAATTTTTAACATTTTTTTGATAATTTCGAAAAAAATTTCAGAAACAAACTTGCTTATTTTGATGCCAGGATTCCGAATCTTCGATAAAAAATAGGGATTTCCATTAAATTTTTTGAAGGTAACCCCCTGATCCCTCTTTAAGGGATGGGGTAGCTATTTGATATTCTTATTCTTATCAATGGATGGCCCTTGAAAAATATACGTGGTTTTTCAGTTTTTGATTCGTACCATAATTTGCCAGAAAATCGACCGATTCCATATTTTTTGGACAGCCTGCATATCTCAAATTGTGTTGGATAGTATGTAAGTTAACTTACGTCGAGAAATGTCACCAAAATTAAACAAATGTGATAAGATTTCAGTGTAAAATCGATGAAAAAGAACCATTTAAAGTTCTCGTTCATCTGATTCACATGGCTAAAAGAAAAATTCATTCGTACAGTCATTAGGAAATACATGAATGCTTCAACATACTTGAATACCATATAAATATGATTTATTACCTGATAATGTCCAAGTGCTTAATTACCATCGATCTTAGAAACCGTACAGTCTCTTCTTTACTTCGGTTTTCTACCGAAAATAATTGGTTCATTTCCATCCCGAGTACTCTGATTCGGGCGACGGTGTAATTAATGAAAGACAATATTAGTGAATCGATGAACGAAACATATATTCCCCCAACTAACCCGCACACTTCCTAAAAAGTTAAAAATGTATAGACATTATGTAACAATTAAGAAGACGAGTATTTGGTTCAATTTATGCATCAATTCCATACTAATTATCAGAATAAATATGAAGAATAAGGAGCTAAAATATATTGAAGAATGCATACTGGATATCATATGTACTTGTATGTATGTAAAATCGATTGATAAGAACAATACAGCAACGAATCACTTGCCTGATAAAAGAAATAGTATGTAAAATATTTGTCCACATTCGGCAGCAACTCGGGAAATTTGAGGTGTTTACCGCTGGGAAGTCCCTTGGCTTCCAATTTCACCCAGTTGATGTAATCCATTATCGAAGCTTCGACGAAGAAAAAGTAACAGACGGATGTTACTAATGGTAAGCATATTATCAATTTAACATTGAGTTTATTCTCTTTTTCATAAAGGTCCTGAAATGTCTGATCATAATCTAAAATAAAAATTATTCCATTATTACTCAACCCCGAAAACCCATATTTACGAACGTATATAAGACTTTTAAAGACAAAAATAAGGGCATATAAAAATTATTCCATGATTAAACAGGCGTCTTTGTGTAGCGCTTCAATAGGAGCTGTTTTAAAAGAGAATCAAGAAAAATTAAAAAAGATTAGGAATTTTGAGTTTTATTCCAATTTTCCGGGTATTTTTTGTTACTGTGTGTCTATAATAAAACAGAAAAATACTCACCTTGCAGGGTTTTTTCGAAGGATGCCACATCTCTGATCAGCTTCTTGACGGGTTCCTTTTTGATTAGCTGCATTTTCCAGAGCCCTATGAGATAGATCAGCATGAAGGTGGCCAGATCGGCTTGTTCCAGTAAAGTGAGGCCTGGAAATACCCTCAAACCGCCGATTATAAAGGTGGACAGGAAGAAAATGAAATAAAATTGAATCAAAAAGCTCCACACTCCGTATATTATTTTATGTGTCTTCAGAGGCCACAAACCGGAACATATTAGAAAATAACTGGATACTTTAAGAAATTTCGATTTGTATTCGTCGGTTTCATCGTTTCTTTCTATTTTATTTCCGTCCATTTCAGTTATTGAAACGAGAGTGTTTTATCTGTTTTACACCCTAATAGTAGAAAGTGGCTTTGTTTTATATATGACTTATTATTTAATAATTAACAACTTCAAACAATTAATTATACTCTGTAAAAATCAACCTAATTCAAGTTTTAATGTTAACTTACAACAGTTCAAGAAAGTTTTTAATTGATTATGCTAATTGGATATTCGTGTGTGCCTAAAATAAGTATAAGTAAAGTAATTAAGAAAGTTCGTATTCCAAAAACTTTTTGTTTCAGAACCCTGCTATTAAAACATTGTTTTTAGTTTTTAGACATCGAGGCAAGTACAAATAAATTAATAGGTAAGTACGTTATTATAAACGACTGGCAGATTATTCAAAATGCAAAGTTCATTTTCCAAGTAATTTATCAAAATGCACAATAAATGTTTGGCTAAAATAAAATACGCTCAGTAATTCTAGTTTACATTTTAGGACATCCTGTATATTAAAATTATAAGTGTTCGCATAACCTATGTGTTTAAGGCTAAATCATTAGACCATAAAATTCATAAAAAAGAAGATTAGACTAATTTAGTTGAAAGGGCAACACAACAAACACAAACATTTCGTTATTTATTTTGCGATTATATCTAAAATGAAAATTTTATCTAGATAAAATAAAGTGAATATAATTATGCCAAATTAGATTATTTATCAATTACATTCAGTCATGTCGGATAAAATATTAGTAACGGGTTTCGGTCCATTCGGGGAACATGTAGTTAATGCGAGTTGGAAAGCTGTGCAATTATTACCCGATGAAATCGACGGAATTAACATAATAAAGGAAGAAATTCCAGTCCAGTATTCCCAAGTTGAACAGAAAGTGCCGGATTTGTGGAGGCAACACCAACCTTTGGTGATTATTTCTTTTATTTTTTAACTATTCTAAATCTACATTTAAATAAGCCTGACGCTCAGAATGTTACAGTCGATTTAAATTAATTGTTCCATTATTTTAGTTGGTAATTCATGTCGGGGTATCTCAGGAAGCTAAGGTGATTACAATAGAACAATGCGCGAAGAGATATGGTTACGATCGGTGCGATGTTTTGGGCCAGAAACACCCAACTGGGGAGGCCTGCGTTTCGGGACAGAATTGCATATTTACTGGAATTAATGTAATGGATCTTTGCGATAAAATTAACAAGGGTGGATACGTAAATGCTTGTGCATCCACTGACGCTGGAAGGTATTAGTTTTATGTATATTTTAATGCATCAAAAGTTTACTCTGCTGTTTACTCTTCTAAAAGAGTATTGCTCCAAACTGTTGCAGTTAATATGCTGATACATTTGTATATTTTTCAGGTATCTTTGTGAATATATTTACTATACTTCTCTAAACATTGATCCATCGAAAGTACTGTTTGTACATGTGCCGACTCTCGACAATCCTTACTCAGCTGGAGAACTTGCGCAAGGTTTACTTAACATTATTCAATTTACTTTAGATCAACTCTTTGGAAATTACCAGTAAATGTATTTAATATACTTTAATAATTTGGTTATGATATACATGTAGCACAGTATTTAATTTTAATAATATAACGATCATGGTTTTTAACACAAGTGTTTCCTTTAAATGATATTTCAAATTAAATTTTAGTATAAAATTCAATAAAGTACTGAATAGTGAATGTATGGTGTTGGTTGCCCAGTCACTGTCGAGGACAATATGTAAAGAGGAATAAAAGACTTTACTTGTCAATGTCAAAACAGTTTTCTCGCGCTAAATTATAAGCCGTAAGTTTTAGTGTTCACGTTTAGTTTCTGTGCGAATTACAGTTGAAATATTAATATAATAATAAAGTGTAATAGTACAATTGAGTTGTTGATTACCAACCAAAATAGTAGTAGTTACTTCCATAAAAAGAAGAATACAACGATATTGACATTTGACAAATATTGACAATAAAATTTTGTGTCATTGTCATTTGTCATTGAATTTTTACGTAACCCTATTTTTAAAGGAAAAATAAAAATTATTTCATTTGTACTACACAGTGTGAATCTTTAGAACAAGTACATCTAGAACAGTAAAAACCTCGATAGTCGGCTGAAATTATTAGAAAAAAATATTACAAAAATGTCTGCGGCGAGTAGCAGAGGATTGGTGGGCTTATTTAAAAGAGGCTGGAATGAATACCCAGAAATCGTTGGTAGTGGCGCTTTTGGCTTGGTTGGAATCGGAATAATCTTGTATTCATGTCGCCTATACTATCTGAAAGACGGAGACAACAGAAGATACAAAGAAAGGTACACAGTGTATAGATATGATGATCCTAGAGTGGCCAAAATTAGAGAATAAATGAAGAATAACTTATTAGTTTGCATACGTGATGTTAATAAATAGATTTATATCAGCTGGTATCGTTTTGAATTTTCATTTGTATATTGCTTGTAATTATTACCCTTGACTAGTTATTCACAAATAAACATGATTTAATAAAAGTGTAATTAATTATAAAATAATGTGGCAATCTTTACTCAACAGATGTGTGAATTTAATTATACCAAAACAATTTATAATTGATAATTATATATTAACTTTTTAAAATAAATACATGGTTTAATAAAGTAATATAATCTATATTTAATTATACAATGAAAAATTTTCACATATAAATAGAAAAAATAAGGATGGATAGCTTTTGTCGAGGGACTCCAAATTAATATTAACATAGTTAAAAATCCTTAACTCTTATTTACCTTAAATGAAAAAAAAAATGTTGATTCACATTAACTAATGCTAATATTATTAAACATACTTTGAATAAAATTTAATAGATTCATAAAGCGACAATGGAATGATTTTAAACCTACTTATGCTCATCAAAAAAAGCTAACCATTTATAATTAGGTTGAAGAAACAGATATTCAAACAGTTAAAATAACATTATCACTTATTTTTCAATCACTGATATTACAAAATATTCAACAGAACCTATCGACTTAACACCAAGAGAAAAATGGACTTTTGTCTTGGAAGCGTTGTGTAAAATTGAAAAACCTAGACGTATGTTGACCTTGGGACCTATAAAATAAAATGAACATTATTAAAAAACGTCCTTAATAATACCAAAAGAGACTAATGATAATAGTTAATAGTATTCTTACTTTTCAACAACAACGGCCGGCATCTGAACTAATTGAACCGGAGATTTGCCATCTTTGAGAGCTTGAGTTAAATTTAAAATTTGGCCCCTCATAACAGACATCTGACGTTCGTATAAATTTCTATCAAAACCCTTATCTTGTTTAAAAAGTAAATATAAATCATCACAGAGGTCCTGAAAAGCACAGCGGTAACGAAAAGGAACTAGATTTCGATTAGTACCAATTCACCTGCACGAAATTCATGTCTGCTAACAATGGTAACACTAATTCCTTGGTACACTTGCTGAAGGGTACTTTTGCTTGGGGCAACCATGCCCAGTGGTATGGATACGCCCTCCAACTATCCGGGTGTTTGTACGGAAAAGCCAAACCGTTGTCTATGGCCGCTATTTTAATCTCGGGCAATTGGACGACATTCCAATCTGTTGTATCTACATGTCCATTCTGAGCACTTGTGTTGTTCTCTAAAAAAATACCTAAATTATAGGAGTGCATATGTTACGGTCAGAAGTCGAAGTAGGACATATCTAGATCTCCACGATCAAATCGCCAAGTCTTCTTTGTCCAAAAAGGAATTTATGAGTAAAATTTCTTTATTGACCTACTAGTTTAATAACTGGTGGAAGGAATTTTCTGGACTCGGAGATCGCCAGACCTAAACCTTTGGTCCTTTGGACTAATATCTTTGGGGACATTTGAACAGTTCAGTATATTCTTAGAGTAGCAAAAAAGTATTGAAACAGAGTATACAGTGCTTTTCAAGGAAACCGTCCATTAGAAGTTATAGGAGATCCTAAAGAGTTAGAAATCTGAAAATTTAGGATTAAAGAATAATCAATGTTGTGAGTTTTCCTAAAATATTTTTAACCATATGCCACTTCAGGCTATACAGGAACTTCGTTGTTTCAAATAAAAAGTAGCATTTTTCATTTGGAGATTCTGTAGCTCTTTTTAACTAAAATTTGATAATGATACCAAATGCCAAAAATGCGCCACTTTAGAGTTATTTAATTTTTTTCGATTTTTTTTGGAAAAACAGTAAATGCATTATCTATGATATCTCTGGTAATAATGCACCTGGAAGTTTGAAATTTGGTATTGATAATGGCCAGACACAGTACTAAATGGAACAGAATTGAAGCAGAAGTCGAGAATTCGAGATTTCTTAGCATAATGAACAAAAGATTGATTATTTTAAAAACCACTGGATTTGGAACTCAATGCCTAAAAAATACTGGGTGACCCATTTGAAATAATAAAGTTATGCCCACTTTAACTTAGCCAGGTTTGTCAGGTAATTTTAAACGCCCTGTTAATAGACCATGAAAGCCCAATTTAGTTTCATTTAGTAGTACGTCTTACATTTATCGTTACCAAATTTCAAACTTCTAAGTGCATTATAACCAGAGATATCATAGAAAATGCATTCGACCGTTTTTCCAAAAAAAATTCGACAAAGATAAAATAACTCAAATGTGGCGCATTTTTGGCATATAGTGTTATTATCAAAGTCTACTTAAAAATAGCCATAGAAGTTGACATCTACTTCCGGTGTAACTGGAAGTTACATACGGCTGAAAATATTTTAGAAAAACTCACAACCTTGATTATCCTTTACTTCTAAATTTTCAGATTTATAACTCTTCAGGATCTCCTATAACTTCTAATGGACGGTTTCCTTTTAAAAAGTCCTGTATATAATTGTAGATTTTCATTTTGGAATGGTAAGTGAATTTCGTAAGATACCATTACAGTTTTAACTCTTCAATGGGGAAATATATTTACCATTAACAATGCTTGGTTGATCGTAGTGTATCAGCCAATTATCGTTTCCTCTATCAGTATTCCTAATAATATAATCTAACACGACTAATTTCTCGAATTGCAATTGAAATTTTTGAGACAAACCAGCTGGCAACGGCTCAACTTCGAACCGTCTCAACCAATAATCGGCGTCCTTGTAACCATCTACGAATAATTGGAATGAACCCACCTGGAATTGACGAAACAATAAACTGTTGAAAAATTCAACGAGATTCGACAAATACTTACTTTAGGTGGTAAGCCTATCCTATTGAACCTTAAACCAACGTTGGGAAACTGCTCCATAATTGCCCTTTTTACCCTAGCTTTTTGCCTATCTATTCTTAAATAATTAAAAGTTTCTGATACTAATTTAACTACCTGAAAAAAAAAACACGAGGGTTCGTTAATCCAGACGGTTTCTGTCAAATAACACTTCACTTACTCTAGTTTTGGGTACGATATTTAAACTTAGTTTTTGATCGACTAGTGACGCTGCCGCTTCTGACAAATATCCTTGATTCGGTATAAGGCATGATCGACCGAAGCAACAAGGACAACACAATTTGTGCATCCATTTCGTCCATTTCGGATTCAATCTACCATATGGTTCCTCGTCTTTCGGTTTAAATACGCTGATGATTTTCTACAATGCAAAGAAAAAGTTATTGATAGAGTACATATGAGTCGCTCAGCGCCAGAGTGGTCCAACTGCGAAATTGCATTAGCTGGTATCGATCAGTAGAAAGTGCTGCATATTTTCTCAATTTCAAGTCCACATTGGCCCAAATGAGCTTTTCAAGGTAACTAATAGTTGTAGCTTGTATACTTGGGCCATTTGGGCGCATGTAGACTTAAAATTTAGAAAATATGCAGTACTTTTCCTAATTGAAACCAGCTAATACAATTCGCAGTGTTGGACCACTCTGGCGCTGAACGACTCATATGTACTTGCAATATTTATTTATTTATTTATTCTAGGAGATTTATATCTATTACGAGTATAACAGTAATCCTACAGAGGTGATTCAACACCTGTGCTTAGGGCTGGAGATTACAGGCACTTTAGATTATGTATTTACATACTAAGCTTAAAACTGCAATTTTTATTTCATTGTATATATTTGTTTCCTAATTTATTGTTTTTATTTTAGTATTTGAATATATCCAAATCTTCAATTTTCTTTTCATTGATTTTATTGTTCATGTTTTTTTTTTCAATTCTATCATTCATTATTGGTCGTGAATTAAATAGCACCATTGTTGGTGCCGGTCTAGTATGCGGTCTACCTACATATTTCGTCGCCCAAGTATACAGGGTATTAATTAATCGATTGATGAGTTTAAGAAGAAAAGTTTATATCAATGGATTTTCTAAACCTCTTAGTTTTCGAGCTACAGTGTTACAGTTTAAAAAAATAACTTTTCTATCATCATTTTCTTTTTACTCCTGATATTTTTATGAACTTTAAGAAACTTTTTACAATCTTCTTAGAAGATTGTTCGTATCTTTTTAAACCACTCAGTATAACATTTTACAATATTAGATTTTTGGAAAGCTGAAAAGGAGTTAAATTCGATTTATGAATAAAAAACAGGGCGTATCATTAAAAAATTGTAAGTTTGGTCTACTACGGAAAAAACAGGACACTCTGTATAAATGCAACTAATTTTAAAATATGTGCCTTAAAAAGATCTACAACTTTTGTAATGAAGTTTTTTTGATATATTCTACAATAACTGATATATTGAGCTTTTCCATACTAATGTGTCACGCTGTATATGGGCAAGTGCAAATGTATTTGCAGTAAGTCGCAGTTTCTATGAGTCAAACAAAGATTATTAATATAACAGTAGTTAAAGTGATAATGTTACAATCCCTCTTTATATGTCACTCTTTCTTTTATGGGACCAATGGATGTTGTCTTTGTTGCACCTACAGCCTATATTGTGAACAATTTTGCATCTACCCATATATGGTTTGGCATTTATTTAGAAAACCTAATATAATAAATAATAAAGAATTTCAGTTTGAATGAATCTCAATCACTAGTCAATGCAATTACTTTCAAGAAACACATTACAATTATCACAAATTCAGTAAATTAAAAAGTTGTTTTCTTCAAATTGATAACCTTTGTTCAAACATTGCAAACAATAATTATAATGTAATTTTAAATATTTTTAATGGCACATTTTAATTGCGTTAGACTAACAAACAAAATATGTAGCGGTTCAGAGAGGAACAAATTGTGCGAATTACACCAAAGATTTTCAATGGGCGAATCTCAACAGCCAAATCTCCCATGATAATTCGTTTTATTTTCCGCATCGAATCCAACTAACCAATGATACCTTAACATTAGTAGCTGAGATTATAGCGGAAGTCAAAGGGTTAAATGGTATTAATGATACTCACTCCCGATTGGTTTTTTACGAAATACGATCCACTCGAACCCTGCGATATTCGTTCAGGAAAAATTCCATGATCAATAGCAGTCTCAGATTGTATAACCAGCTCATTGAATTCGGGATCATCTAAAAAATAAACATATGCTGCATATAACATAATCGAAAAAAAAATTACAAGCTACACTTATTACTACGTTACGTTCTATAGTAGATTAATAAATTACTACGCAAATGACTTACCTGGGAATTGATTATAAGAGACATCAAGCCCTCCCAATAAAGGCTGTGATTCTCTATTGAAGCCTGGTGAATCCAATGTTGAATCGAACACCACCTCAGGCACAAGTGGTACGTCTTCGCTATCACTACAGACTATACACAAGGCCCCGTGTGCTTCGCCCTCAGAACCGCTTGTATTTATGAGGATTGGAACAGTCTCACCACTCATCACCCAGAAAAAGAGGATTTTTTATAAATAAACATTTACAGTTCGATTTTGGACCGTTTAAGCGTATATAATGTAGTATTTATAAAAATGTTCCGTTTCTATTGGTGTAATTGACCGAAATTTTCGCGCACTTGGCTTTTAATTAAATTAAGTTTAGGGAAAAAATGAAAAAAAATAAAGGGGTAATAAAGACGGTGACATCATTTGATTGTTAAATGACATATGACATAGGCACATAGCACATACATCATGCGACAAGGACATGAACCATGGACATTTGTTTACTTGTCAATTTTTTTAGCCATTTATTTGCGTGAATTTTGGTACTTTTTAACTGAATAGCCCCTATTACTTAGGCTACTTCTTGAACAAACAAAATACAGAAGAAGAATGGAACCAATTTTAAATACCGATTTCCGAATAATCTAGTAGACGAGGCCTAATAGTAGTGTAAAAAAAAAGTTAAAAATTCTTAGATTTGTTGTTATTTCATTTATTCATTGTGTGGTGTGATTTACACTACGAATTATGGAGTTTCCTCCAATATTGCCGTCACTGGATAACGAACTAAGAAAATATCTACTTTGTCCTGAAAATTTGCCCATTCATCAATATGAAAGAAATCAAAAGTTTTGGCCCCGCGAACCGAATATCAAGGAACTATTACATTGGGAGGGATCGCCTATAACGACAACGTTACAGGTACAACTTATTTGAATGTTCCTGCATTTTCTACGTTACTTATTTTAAGGTGCAAAGAGATCCCAACGATGGTCGAGTTATAGATTTCAAGGAAATTTCTTTACAAGCGGCCGGGGCCACTGCGAAGAATTCAATGTCATTGAATAGAGCCCCCGTCGGACCGGCTGAAGCTGTTAGGGGTAGCGCTTCTTTTAGGCCATTTTGGCCGGGTAGTTTTCCTCTACCTAAATCAACTTTAGACAAACAAATTGCCCCTGAAAAAGGTTTTTACTTCTTGCAATTTGCAGTCGTTTCGAAATTATTGCAATTTTATTTGTAGAGACATTACTGGTCATACCGCCAGGTTTTAATAGAGGTTTGAACTTTGCTCAGGATGGTGTAACTTTGTGTAAAGAAGGAGATAATTTTGTTGAGGAACTTCGGAGCCCTCCTAATGTCGTCAATTTGTTAGAAATCGTTCAAAAAGAGCAGGATTCTTTAGGTATAATTAGATATTTTACAAAATTCACTGCAATTAATTTCATATCACTTCTAGCTGCTTTTGAATCAGAATATACTACAGCTACCGAAGGAGGGGAAAAAAATAATTATCCACATCTATCCGAAGAAATTGAAAATGACGTATTACCAAAAGACATTCCAATACTCGATATAACAAACACAATAAACAGAAATCTTGCCAACACGAGCGAATGGGCTATTCTATTAGACACATCGAAGCCCGTTAAGAATTTTAAGGAAAGAATCCCCGAAATGGCCATCGAATATCCATTTGAGTTGGACACGTTTCAAAAACTGGCTATTTTGCAATTAGAGCAGCACAATCACGTGTTTGTAGCGGCACATACTTCAGCAGGAAAGACTGGTACTATTTCGTCGAATCAAATAGTAAATCAAATAATTTATAAACGAATTTAATTTTAGTTGTCGCTGAATATGCCATAGCGCTCTCTCAGAAGCACATGACTAAGACGATCTACACGTCGCCAATAAAAGCACTGTCCAATCAAAAGTACAGAGATTTTAAAGATAAATTCCAAGATGTGGGCCTGATAACGGGCGATTTTCAAATTAATCAGAAGGCCTCTTGCCTTATTATGACTACTGAAATTCTAAGATCGATGCTGTATTGTGGCAGCGACGTTACCAGGGATTTAGAATATGTTATATTCGATGAAGTAAGTTGAGTTTAAATGAGATATTTCAGAAATGTCTTAAGCAAATAGGAGTAATTACTAGAAAAAATTACCCCCTTTTGGTATTTGCATAATGTTTAGGAACACCATGTACGTGTACAGGGTATTAATTAATTGAGTGCCGATACTTCAGGATGTGAATATTTGGATGGGTTTAAGAAGAAAAGTTTATATCAATCGATTTTCTAAACCTATTAGTTTTTGAGCTACTGGGTATTACAGTTTTCTAACACAATTTTCTTATTACTCCAGATATTTTTGTGAAATTTTCGGCACTTTAATTATTAAGGAGCTGTTTTTGAGGCACAAGATTTTTGTCATTTTCTGGAGCGTTCTAAATGATTCTGGAGCGTTCTAATTGATTCTAGACAGTTCTAAATGATGCTGGAGCGTTCTAAATGATTGTGGAACGTTCTAAATGATTCTAGAGCTTTCTATATGATATCTAAAATTTAAATTTAAATTTTTACCAGTAACGTCCGTACGGGGTTTGAACTAAATATGTTTGGAGAAAAAATGGTACGCCATAGCTTTTTCTAAATACATACCAAAATTATTTTAAAATCCTCATTTATTTTGGAGCAGATTTCATAAAAATATCTGGAGTAATAAGAAAATTATGATGGATTTTTTTTTCTAAAATTTGTAACACCCTGTAGCTCGAAAACTAAGAGGTTTAGGTTATATTGATATAAACTTTTCTTCTTAAAATCATCCAAATATTCACATCCTGAAGTATCGGCACTCAATTAATTAACATTCTGCATATTTAACTTTGCACACTTCACTATTTATGAGAAAAAATGTTACAGTGATCATTTTTTGTTGCGTATTTAGGTTCACTACATTAACAACAGAGAAAGGGGCCACGTATGGGAGCAGGTTTTGATCATGTTACCGGCTCAAGTGTGCGTCGTGCTCTTGAGCGCTACAGTTCCTAATACTTTGGAATTCGCCGATTGGCTGGGTAGAACTCATCAAAGAAAAGTTTATGTCATTACTACTTCTCAACGGCCCGTGCCGTTACAACATTATTTGTACACCGGAAGAGGAGGAAGCACCAGGGACAACAGGTTTTTGATTCTAAACGCTCAAAATTGGATTTCGTATGGGTATGTTAATATAATTAAAATTTAAATTAAGAGTGGATGCATAAAATACACTGCGTGGCGCAATTTTTATAACTCAAATAGTATTATTAATTTAATTATAATCAAATGGCCTAATGATATGGGTATTTAGCGCGTCACATTTCTTAGATATGGTCTTTTTGTATTTCATTTACTCTCATTACGAGTATATTAACACTATATAGATACAGGCAGAATTCAACGCAATATGGTCGTTTCTATAAGTTAATAAACGTTATTATTAAAATAACAGTGGTTTTGTGTAGAAGTTACAATCCCACAATATGGGTATTCTTTTTATTCTTTTTTACTTTATGGGTATTCTTTTAACTGAGATCAGTTAATCGTAGTTGCTTAGTTATTATAGCTATTGGCCCGTATTCAGCGCCTCTGTTTAACTTTAGAGTGACTCTAAAGTCGCTAGAGTCGCTCTAGAGTCGCTATTATATTAAAATATAATAATTAAATGAGAGATATCCTTCTGGTTATATTTATTCTGTGGTCTATAATATGATTCGAAAGGCTTTTGAAGAATTTAGAACTGCCAAGAATCGTATAGATTGCTTTAGGATGAATCGGAAATACGAGAAACATTTAGAACTGTTTCTAAACAGTTTCTTCTCTAAACTGCTTCTAAATAGTCAAATTGAGCATAATCGTGTTCAGCAGGCCCAAATTAAGAGTAATTATCTATCTAAATCAATATGTTATTAAAAATAACAAAAAAATTCCACAGAGTGTATGCATTTAGTCTCTTGTAATATTTTTTTTGAAATATCATTTCAGATATAATAAAGCAAAGGAATCAATCAAACCCGATGCTCAGAAAACCATGAATCAAAGAATGACGCCCGCCCAAGAGAAAACCCTCTGGTCAGGCCTAATAAGTCATTTGAAAAAGAACGATCTGTTACCGGTGGTGGCGTTTACGTTTTCCAGACAAAAGTGCGACAATAACGCGACTAATTTGACCAATATAGATTTGACGAACCAAAAGGAGAAATCTTACATAACGCTCTCCTTCAACAAATGGATCAGATGCCTAAAGGAACCGGATCAGAACATTCCACAAATCGTAAAGATGAAGGACATTTTAGTGAGGGGCATAGGAGTCCATCACAGCGGAATGTTGCCTATTATCAAAGAGATTGTCGAAATGCTCTTTCAACAAGGATACATAAAGGTAGAGTTTGTACGATTTAAAATGACAATACAGTTTAATTTTCATGCAGTTTAAAATTTTCCTAGTGCCAATTCTGTTGCCATATCTTCCATCGTTAGTTCTAAATAATTCAAGACAGTTCTGAATGATTGTGGAACGTTCTAAATGGTTCTGGAACGTTTTAAATGGTTCAAGACAGCTCGAAATGATTCTAGACGGTTCTAAATGATTTTGGAGTATTCTAAATGGTTCTGGATTATTGCCTTTATCCTATTTTTTACGAGTCTACGAGTAGTTTTTGTTTTTTTAGTCAGTTTTCTTGCGGTTTCTGAAAGGGAATAAGAATGAATTTTCCCAATTAGTTTTGATGATTGTTGTATCTTGTATTTATTTCATTTTTTTCTATTACAGTTACTTTTTGCCACCGAAACCTTCGCTATGGGCGTGAACATGCCGGCTCGTACGGTGGTATTCGATGCGATAAGGAAACACGACGGCAAGGAATTGAGAGATTTGGAATCGGCCGAATATATACAAATGGCTGGTCGGGCGGGCCGACGAGGCCTCGACAAAGAAGGCACGGTCATCATATTGTGCAAACAATCCGTACCTTTGGAAGAAAATCTCAAAAAGACGATGTTGGGTAAACCGAGCATGTTGGTTAGCCAATTCAGGCTTACTTATGGAATGGTGAGTAATGATTCCACGACACGAAATCAAGACTTTTGGAGACAAAATTATCTAATGGTCGTGCTCCCATGACGGTAGAAATTATATTTTATTTGTTTTGGATTCTTTTAACTTAAATAAGTATTTCCTCACACATTTATTTCTTCATGGTTGAGATAGAATGTAGAAGCAAGTGAATACTCGCTTGAAATACTTTCATATTCACCAATGACTGTTAAAACGAGAATAGAATAGAGTTGCTCGAATTGTTCAATTCATCTTCCGAAGATAGTGTTAGAAATAGATATAAAGTCGATTGAAATATTCCAAAATAGAATTTAAAAATAGGTTATGATTATAGGTGTTGAGTTTGTTGAGAGTGGAAAGTTTAACGGTCGAAGGGATGATGTCTAGGAGTTTTCGAGAGGCAGATCACCAAAAAAGTTTAGTCGATATACGAAAGAAACTAGAAGTAGTCGAAAAGCAAGTATGCGAACTATCTAGACAACAAATCAGCAGTTATCTTCTACCTTTGATTAAATTTTACGAGACCTCCAGTAGTTACCTAAATATTAGAAAAGATAATATGGTGAGTTAAGATCTTTATAGATTTTCTTTTTTAATATACACCGTACCATATTTTTTTAGAATACAATTTTATCACACCCAAAGGTTCAGAAGGTTTTAACACCAGGCAGGTTATTGATAATAACCCATAAATACCACATAAACAAGCTGGCATTGTTGTTGAAACCGGTAACAGGGAAAATTATTTCATACAAAGTGTTAGTACTAAATGATAATTCCAATGAAAAAGTTTCCAATGTAAAAGAAAGTTTGTGGTATTACATGTTATCGCTAACGGAAGAAAAATTGTATTGCCCCAATGGACCGGCCGGGCATGAAATTTTAACTGTCAGGGCTGAAGATATTTTCGATATATCTGGTAAAAATATCAAAGTAAGTTAATTTTACTGCATTTACTCTCCGTACTCGATTTACATTGACTCATTTTTTAATTCCTACTATTATTTCATACTCTCCATATAAAGGGTGACCCATTGAAAAGGAAATAGAGATGTTTTCAGGTAGAAAAAATTGATTCTTGGAAAATCATTCAGATCCTTCAATTTTTATATCTAGGATGCATATTTTGACGTTAAAACCATCATCATATTATTTCACCCCTATGCCCAGTAACCCCACCCCTTCAGAATTGAATAGGGAATATGGCTCATGTAATACATCATGAGAAAGGTTGTTTTTCTGAAAATAACAAAAAAAAGATTCAAATCTAGTCGACCCATTTTTTTTAAATACTTTTGAATTTCTTAAATTTTATTCTTTGTTGACCTAAGTAGGAATTGACTTTAAAAATATTTATTTTTACATATTACTTGTTATTTTTAGATAAATACTGATTTTGTTATACAAGATGTGGAGAAGCGGCAACTAGAAAGGTTCAAATACGATACGCCTAGTCAAACTTGCCTTGAAGCCATACAGGAATTGCATAAATTAACTATATTAGTTAATAATGATTCCAACTCATTAAATCGTTTACATTACATCAATGACTTGAAAGTAAGTATACATATAGTAGTCGTGCATTACGTGCAACTTTTAGGAGTTCCAGAAGAGTTACGAATCTGAAAATTTAGGAGTAAGGTATAGTCAATGTTGTGAGTTTTTCTAATATACAGGGTGTCCGGAAATACAGGTTATTAACCTCGGGGATTTGTGGGGGGAGGTTAGTCAAGCATTCTGAACAGAGGAACTTGGGGTCACCGGTGTCTTCTAAGGGAGCTATGCGTCGTCAAAGATGCTTCCATCCAAACTCATAACCTTTTAATTTTACATAATGTTTTCAAAATGACCCCTGCCCTTTGTAACACAAGCGTGGTGGCGCCGCAGAAGAGACGCTCTCACTGATTGAAATATTCCAGGACTGTCTCTGATCTCACCAGCAGCAGTAACAATTCTTGGATGGTTTCGGCTTGATAATCTATCTATATGGACCATGAAACCCCTGTTTAGTTTCATTTAGTTGTGCGTCTGGACATTATCGATACCAAATTTCAAACTTCTAGGTGCATTATTAACGGAGATGTCATATAGAAAATACATTAACCGTTTTTCCAAAAAATTAAATAACTTAAAAATGGTTGGGATCATTTTTGGGATATGGTGTTAGTATCAAAGTCTGATTAAAAAGGGCTACAGAATCCAAAAATGAAGTCAAAAATAGTACTTTTCATTTGAAATAATGGTGAGTTGAAGTTTACTTCCGGTATAACGGTATAACCAGAAGTCACATATAGTTGAAAATATTTTAAAAAATTTGCAACATTGATTATACCTTATTCCCAAATTTTCAGATTCGTAACTCTTCAGGAACTCCGAAATGTTCTAATGAATAGCAACCGCGTGAAAAACCCTGTATAAAAAAACACTTACAAATGCTGAATTATTATGAATAATAAATAATTGTCGATTTTTAGGTAAACGATCAAAATTTATACACGATGCTTACGAAAATGTACGATTTAAAAGACAAACTGATCGATCACTTGCCCAACACGAAAATACCGAATTTCGAACAGCAATTCCTTACAGTATTCGACAGGAAGTTTCTCGAAGATAGAAAAAAAGATTTGGAGTATCAATTGTCGAACGCCAGCCTATCTTTGTATCCCGATTACGAAAATAGGATAGAATTGTTAAGGAAATTAAATTACGTCGATGATCAGAATAAAAGTAATAATTTTGAATTGATTAGATACTACAGGGTGTTCATAAAATATATCTAAAATGATATATTTTAGGGTGATTCCTTGGTAAAAATATGGACAGGGGATCTATAAACAGGAATTTTAAATTAAAAAAATTGATTAATATCTTTTAATGTTTAATATTTAGGTATTTAATTCTGTTGAAATCGGACAATTAAAATTATTAAGTCCAGTGGCGTCCCCGGGGACACCTAGGCAAAAATTATTGGTAAAAAATGTACGCCATTGTCTTTTTAGTAACTTTAATATTTTTTGTTTTATTAAGCATCTAAAAATTCAACTTCTTTATCTCTTGTATTTTTTTCGCATCTCACTATACGTTTTTGGAGAAAATAAAACCGTTTTATATTTTTACTTGATATCTTGAAAACTGTGCATATCCGTACCCATGTTCATACAAACTTCCTTGTTTATATTTTTTAACAAGGCATCACCGTCTAAAATATCTCCGTTTATTTTATGAACACCCTGTACAAAATACTTTAGTAATAGAAATTAGGCAATTCATAGTTACTCCACGCTACCATTATTATCTTCTTTTTAGTTCAATTAAAGGGTTACGTAGCCTGTGAAATTGGTATGAATGAATTGCTCATCACCGAGTTAATATTGAGGAATATTTTATCGAAATTGAGAGCGCCGGAAGTGGCCGCGCTGCTCTCGGCTCTAGTGTTTAGAGTACGCATGCAAAACTATACGTTTGACGATGAGGGATTGACTCCTGATTTGAAAAAGGTAATCTTTAATTAGTTCTCTAAATATGTAGGTACCTATTTCGTTTTAATTACTTTGTATAGTAGAATTCATTGCTTCAGGAGAATTAAAGAAATGCTATAAAAATAACAAAGAATATCGGCAATAGAACAAATGGACAAACACATAGAGTGGTGATAAAAAGGAGTATTTGCGTGTTTGGTGTAGTTTTTAGGAAGCTGATCAGAGAGTGACTTCTTATCAAGTACTTCACCTAAAAAGGTGTACATGGCATTTTTTGTGAATTATGGTAGGAAAAGTAGGGTAAATTTTAGTTTATACTTCTAACAATCTAATACTACTACTACTACTACTTCAGGCGAACCTTGGCCGAGACAGCTCAAGCCAAGGCTCAGGCACTGAGGCCTCTAGCGGGCCCATTGTGCCATTCCTGCTGCTTATGCATCCATGAAGCCGAGTCCCTCGATGAAGGCCTCAGTCCTTTTCAATGGATGCCTATTTGTGTCTCCAGGGGCCATAACAGGGACCCCAAAGGTTCGCCTGCGTAGCACAGCCCACTTCTGACACTCCAGAAGAACATGGTCCGATGTTTCATCAGCCATGCCACAGCCCCTGCAAAGGGGACTTTCCTCTAAACCTAGGTTATAGAGGTGTTTTCTCAGACAACAGTGCCCCGTTAGGAGTCCTGCTATCTTTTTTAACCTACTCCTTGATAGTTCCACAGCTGCCCTAGCATGTCCATCAGTCCAGCCCCTAAGAAGGAGCTTGGACTGCCTAAGACCATGCAGAGCACTCCAATAAGCGAGGTGCTGATTTCTCAGCCAAACTCCCGCCTCTTTACGAATCATTTGTTTTGTAAGGCCCAGGGTCGGGCCCGGGCCACTGAAAGGAGTTGCCGTCCCCTCCACAGCCAGCGCATCCGCCCTCTCGTTGCCCTCAAAACCAGAGTGGGCCGGAATCCATTCTAGCCGCACTACATTCCGCCTCGCTAAGTCAGCGAGCCGTCCCCGACATTCAGCAGCGAGCTCAGAGTTGATGGTATACCCACTCAGGGCCCTGATTGCCGCCTGGCTGTCGGTGTATATGGTTATGTGACGGTTCACATAACCTCTGTCTAGGTTCATCTGCGCACATTCCAAGATAGCGTATACCTCAGCCTGATATGCAGATACCCCCTTGCCCAAGGGGACACAAACTTGTGTCTTTGGGTTCCCAGAGTAAATTCCCGCCCCAGCCCCATTACTGGAGCATGAGCCATCTGTGTACCAGACGATCCCATGAGGCTGTGAATTTCCCTCTCTTTCCCAGAATTCTCTATTCCGGATCTTCACCATATAGGGAGTTGAAAAGGAGTACCTGCGCAGGCAAACGTCTGCCGCTCGAGCCAAGACTGGGACATCTCCCAGGAGCCTAAGCTTCTTGACGTGCCTGCACCCTTCCTCACTTCGCACGTATCCCAAACTTTTCAAACGCAGGAGTGCCCTCCCAGCCTCGGCCTCAATCACATAGTGAAGTGGCCGAAGTCCAAGAATCACCTCCATCGCAGCAGTTGGTGTAGTCTTCATGCAGCCAGTTGCTCCCAAACTGACCACCCTTTGAAGGCGTGTCAGTTGCGTTCTAGCCGTGGCCAGGGTTACCCTCGGCCACCAGACCAGAGCCGCGTATGTGAGCATAGGCAGCATGATCACTTTATAGAACCACATGATCGTCTTTGGGGTTAGTCCCCACTTCAGACCGATGGCTCTCCTACAGGCCCAGTACGTGTTAGTCACCTTGTCTAGGCGACTATCAAGATGGGCCTTCCATGTCAGTGACTTATCCAGGATCACCCCTAGATATTTCACCTGTTCGACCACTGGAAGTGGTATTCCGCCAAGGTGCAGACCCTCCGGTCTTATACCTCTCCTTTTGGTGAAGGCAACTACCTCAGCCTTGGCAGGATTCACTGCAAGTCCGTGCTCGTTGCACCACCCCTGTACCCTATTCAGGGCCCTTTGCATTAGGTCCCTGAGGACGGTGATATGCCCTCCAACAACAAGGACAACGATATCATCGGCATACCCAATTGCTAGAAAGCCCTCACCGTTTAATAGGGTTATGAGTTCGTCGATTACTAGGTTCCACAACGTGGGCGAGACGACGCCCCCTTGCGGACAACCCCTGTCGACGACCATTTTAGCCACATGTTCTTTCCATGTGGCCTCTACTGTGCGATTGCGTAACATGGCCCCAAGCCATTGAATTAACATTGGCTCTATTCCATGATTTACCGCAGCTCTACACATTGATTCTACAGGTGTGCTGTCAAAAGCTCCCTGTATGTCCAGGAATGCACCCAGTGCGATCATGCCATTTTCCAGCGCCTTTCCCACCTGTGTTACCAGCTGGTGTAAGGCACTTTCCGTTGACTTCCCACACCGGAACGCATGCTGGTTGTTGTGCAAAGGATACCTGAGCCCAACCTTCTCCCTCATATACCGATCAACCAACCTCTCCAGTGTTTTTAGCACAAAAGATGTTAGGCTGATGGGTCTGAAGGACTTAGCCACGGTGTAGGTAGTACGACCTGGCTTTGGTATGAAGACAACTCGCACTTGTCTCCACTCTTCAGGAACATATCTGCTTGCCAAGCAGGCCCGAAAGATATGCACTAAGATTGGACCAATAGCCTCCCAGCCCTGCTGAAGTAGAGCCGGGAAGATTTGGTCCTTTCCCGGAGATTTGTAGGGCCTAAACGTACGTATAGCCCAGGTACTCCGTTCGTAAGTAACTATTTCTTTTGCCAGAAGATAGTCCTCTTTACATGGTCGTCGTGTTGCCACGTGTCCCATGTCAAGACCCCCCTTCCCGACTGCTTTGCAGCCCGGGAAGTGAGTCTCTAATAGGTGCTGCAAGGTGTCACCCGGGGTTTCCGTGAAAACACCCGGTACGACTTCCAGGCAGCCAAGAGCACTGTCAGGAGACTTCGCCAAGATACGACGCAGCCTTGACATCTGAGGTACCGAGACGATATCCTCGCAGAAGGCCCGCCAAGCATCTCTCCGAGCCAGCCTAACAGCACTCTTATACTCATTTCGTTTCTGGCGGTATTGTTCCCAGTCCAGATCCGACTCTGTCTTCCTAGCCCTATTAAATAGACGCCGGGTTTGTTTTCGCAACGAGTCCAGAGAGTTGTTCCACCACTTGTGTCCCTTACCCTCTTTCCTCGTTTTTTCCACGCAATTATCTTCATACGATGAGACAATAATCGAGCCCAGCTCCGCTACGGCCCAATCAATCTCATCGTTATTTCTGAGGCTCCTAGGGAACCGCTGGAGCCTCCCCTCGAGATCCAGTTTATACCGTTCCCAATTGGTGGCCCTAGGGTTCCTATACTTCACTGCCTGTTTTTCAACAGCAGCATTATATCTGAAACAGATGTAACTGTGATCCGATAGGGACGGATCATCATTAACATGCCAGTCTTTTACCATACTCACTATGGCACTGGACGCAAGCGTCACGTCTAGGACTTCAGTCCGAATCCTATTGCGGAAAGTCGGCTTCGTCCCTCGGTTAAGTAGCTGAAGATCGGTGGTGCCCAGGTAGTCAAGCAAGGCCTCTCCTCTGCTGTTAACGCCTGTGCTGCCCCACATAGTGTGGTGCGCATTGGCATCACAGCCAATAAGGAGAGGCAACTTCCTAGCCGTGCAGTAGTCCACCGTCTTGCGGAGCTCCTCAGTAGGCGGTAATCCTGGTGAATCGTAGGGCAAGTAAGCAGAGCATACGACCAAGGTACGTCTCGTGCTATTCTCACCCGGTAAATCCACCTTCACCGCAACAAGATCCCTGAAACAGAGTTCCCTTATCAGTGTTGTATTTACACTATTATGTGTAGAAATACACACTCTCGGATTAGGTTCACCCACAGCGTAGAATAAACTACGCCCGGGTGTGCCCAGACCTCGCACATGACCTCTATACACCCATGGCTCTTGTATGAGGCATATGCCTGTCTGCAACCCTGCCATCCGCTGCGCGATTACTCCCGCGGCGGCCCGGCAATGTTGCAGATTTATCTGCGTAAATTTAAGGTCCCTGCAAGCAGACATCAAGAGTCTGAAAGAGGTACCTCCTTTACCCATTTACTCCGGGGTAGTCTCCGTAGTTCCCGAGAAGATAATTTTTATCTTCCCGAGCCCATACCGGATTTCCCCCTTCGTCCGTTCGAGCACCTCAACCGACCGAGGATCGAGCCCCAGTACGATGCTCTGCCTCAACGAGGCAGCATCCCACTGGGAGGCCCGAATCACCCACCCTTCAGTCCTAAGGGCCGGATTGCCAGTCCGGATCCTCCTAAGGACCTCCTGGGGAGGCGTCTCGATCGGCGCTGGTACCCAAACCATCGCCCTCTTGAGCCTCTGGAGGGCCGACTGCTCAATAATCTTGAGCGTCTGTCCCTCCACCTTTATACCGGCTACAGCCCTCTTCAGCCAAGCCAGAGAGTCCCCGTCCGTACAGATCACCATAATGGCTCCCCGGGCAAACGAGTGTCCCTCAAAGCTTGGCACGAAGGTGGTGCCCGGCTTGTACATATCCTCATGCAGGCGCGTGAGGATATTCGCGTACTGCTCCTTGATGAGCAGATTGTCTGGGTAGCCATCACGGATGATGGCCACCTTGAGGTCGCTGCTTGCAGCTTCCCCATACGACATCCGCCCACCAGACGCAGTACACGCCTTTTTGGGGACCGGTCTGGCCTCCGGGGGCGTATCAGTCACCCGGGGCCTTTTGGTCCCCCCTTTGGGGGCATCGGGCTTGACTCCGCTAGGGCCGGCACTCTCGTGCGTGCCCCGGCTCGGTCCTGCCGCCGCCACCTTCTTGCAAGGGCCAGTTGGGCCACCTTTCGGCGTCCCTTCCGCCGCCCTTGCAGCTTGGCGTCTCCGCCTCTTTTCCGCGCCGCAAATGCGGCGCCTCCTAGGTACCTCAGATGAAGGGCCAGTTGTTCCCGGCAAAGCCTGGGCGCCAACCGCTCCCTCCACCTGGTGTCCCGAGGTCCCTGTTTCGGGATCCCTCTCGGGAGACTGTTGAAGGGCCCTTTTTAGGTCGCCCATCTCCAGCGTCTCCTCTGAGGTCTCCTTTTCCAGAGCCCTCCCTCCGTCAGGTTTGTTGGTGGTTTCCATAAATGGTCCCACGAGCAGCTAGGGAAGTATTCGGTCCACCTCCGCAGAGCCCCGCATGCGGAGGTAAGGCTACTTACAATGGGGTTTCGCCCGGTTCCCCAAGGTCGGAACCGGTAAAGATCGATCTTCTGTTCGACCACGCATCCTATGGGCCCGGTCCCCCGCCTCAGGATTCAGGTTTCTTGTTGAGGTTGTCTCCTCTTAGTCCAGGCGGCTAAGCCACGACCCCCGACTCTCTGGCCCGCGAGACATGACCACAGTCAGCCAGGTTGCCGGTCTCACAGAGGTCCCACTCGGGCCCTCTGGCATCGTTCACCCCGTGCAAACCCTAAGCCACGACACTACAGCCGGGTTGGGGCTTCTAACAATCTAACCAAAGTAAGCACTTCCCATCAAAGAATTTACTTCATGTAAAAGATTATTTCCATAAAATATGTAGTAGGAGGTAAAAACTCTTACATAAAGAAGAAGCATATACTCCTTTTTATCATACCACTCAAAGACTCTTAGTTAAGTTGCTCTTCGAATCTCCGCACAGTAAAACTAATAGCCAAAATATAGACAGTGTGTGTGTTATCGATATTAAAGTACTTAAATATGCCCAGATGCATTAGTATTTGTTCTATTTCCGATATTCTTTGATGTTTTTATAGCTTTTTTTCATTCTCATAAAGCGATGAATTCTACTATATTCGTTGTTTTATACATTTACAGGCGATCAAAGAGATACAACAAGTTCACGAGGAAATCGCCGCGCAGGAATTGATTTTGGGAATCCAAACGGACGAGTTTCAAGAAGATTTGAATTTCGGTTTGGTGCATGTCGTATACGAATGGGCCACTAATCAGGTATTAATTAAATAACTAGCGCACACAGGGTATTCGATAATGACATGCTAATATTTACGGGGGTAATTCTTGGACCCATTTTAAGAAAAAAACTCCATAGGAACATATTATGTTCTAAACCTAAAATTTATTACTATCTAATTTTAGCACAGCAGTGGCTAATGTAGCGTACAATGAATGCATTTCATTTTTTTATAAATAATCAATAACAATAATTACTCCCGTCAATATTTATCATGTCATTATGGAACATCCTATACAGGGTGTCTACTATAAAAGCCGCTAAACTTCAGAAGGGAATTGTACAACACTTTTTTGAAAAGTTGATAGTAAATTTAGGTTTAACGACCATTAAAAGATACAAATAATTAATTATGTTCATTTGAAAATAATCAAATCTTTTAAACACCCGATATTGAACTTTTTATAAAACTAATAAATACTTTTTATACAAATTTGCTGTAACTTTACGAATAAAAGTGATATTTTAGTCTTTTTGGAAAAAAGCAAAAATAAGCCATGAAATGTTAAATAAAAGACAAACTAAGTGTTATATGACATTTTTGGGTCGAAATTAGTTGTATAATCACCTCTTGGTTTGGCGGTTTTATAGTAGGCAAGACACCCTGTATAGTACATGTGCGTCCAGAAAGTAAGTTCCGTTTGATAATTAAAAAAAAGTCATAGAAAATATTTATTGCTCGATAAACTACGATAATTTAAAGGAAAGTTAAATATGTAAATGCGTTTATTCGATTAAAAGTATAATTATGGTATACTCCGATTACTCCTAATTACAAAATATTAATTAATAGCGAATGAATATGTAGAGTGATCAAGAGATTTGTAAAAATTCTTAATAAATTACACAGGCAGCTACCTTCCATTGAGAATGTCATACAAAAACTTGTGCCACGCTCTGAAAAATACCCGGAAATTTCGGGAAACATGTAGAAATGTATCGAAGAATCGTAGAAGCTTGTGCAATAAATATTTTTTATACAGTAAGACAATTTAAAAACTTACAATGGTTATAACTCACAAACGAAAGAGGATATCAAAATATGCCTAAAAACATTTTTAGGGTATAAAGGGGAAAACTAAAATGGCATAAAAAAGAATTCACCATATTATTTTTATACACCGTGCTTCATTCGCGATTGCAACATGGGCATTTCTATGAGTTGAACAAAGAAAGATGATTAAAATAACAGTTGACAGAGTGAAAAGTTGCAATGACATAATATCACTCATTCTTTTTCCTTTTTAAGTGTCTAATTGAAGTTGTCTTTGTTGCACTCGTAGCCTATGTTGCAATGAAAAATGGAGCAATCTGTAACTGTATATAGCATTTTTATAAGCTTTTTCAGTGACCTATCACAAGTAGGGGTTTGCTATTTATTTATTTTTTAGTTGGGGTACGTGGGGTGTAAGGGGTTGATGGGGGTGAGTTCTTTTTTTGTCATTTTATATCTTATATTTTATTTTGTCCCCCTTCATATCCTAGAAACGGTTTTAGGCTTTTTTGGATAACAACGGAACTTAAAATTACTTTCTGGACGCATCTGGTATAGACGTATTTAAGAGGGGATTTAAATCCATTGGACAACAAATCAGTGTAGTCAGCATAATCTTAACCAATTAAGGCAATTAAAAAAATCTCAATACAAAGTCATGCTGTGCTTGTATAAAGACAAAAAGAATTAAAATTTTTGTGTATATTCCCGTGTAGCCGTTTGCCGACATAATGAAACTAACAGATGTTCAAGAAGGGATTATCGTAAGATGTATTCAGCAACTAAATGAAACCATAATAGACGTCAGGGATGCCGCTCGAATCGTCGGTGATCCCGAGCTGAAGAACAAAATGGAAGAGGCCTCTGCAGCAATTAAGAGAGATATTGTTTTCGCCGCTAGTTTGTATACAATCGGTGATGCAGTTCTATAAATTTTTTTATGAGTTTATGAAATTTGTTACTCCATTTTTAACTATCCAACTATTTAATTTACACATTTATTAGCACCTGGTAAAACCACAATAAAGCTGTTAATGACGAAAAACCCTTAGTAAGTAATTTATCAATTCAATATGTACTTCAATTTATTTTTCAGTGTATTATACTCATTGTTCTGTTATCTGTTAGACTCATTGTTGCCTCATTGGTCTCTAAGTTGACAGTTGTGACTAGAGACGCGATTTTAGAGTCACGTTAAAATTGAAATGAGGCGCTGAATACGGGCCATTAGGTTTTGACCTGTACATCAGAACACAAATGGTACTGTTTACAATGCGCAGTAAAAGGCCAAGAATTTGAAATGACAGATGATGTTGACATCATTGACAGTTTCTTATGTCAAATGATGTCAAGGCAAAGGAAAAATAAATTTGTACAGGCGAAAATTATTTTCGTATTCAATGAATAAATGTTAAATATGCAATTTGAAATCGAATCAATTAATAAATCAACTTTAAATTATACTTATAATATAGACGAATCTTTAGAGGTATTGGATGCGAAAGATGTAAGTTATAACTATTTCTTTCAAAATTTTATGTTACCCAACAAACCCTGTGTTATCAAAAGTATTTCTGAAGACTGGAATTGTCCGAAGGATTGGATAGAGAACGATAAGATTAATATAAAATATTTAGGGCAGCATTATGGCTCTGATGAAGTTACCGTTTATGACTGTAAAGAACGATACTTCAATACACAAAAATCGAAGAAAATTACATTTAAAGAATACTTAAATGAAGCACAAGTGTCCGAATCGCACGTTTCGTTTCCTTTGGAAGAATACGTAAAAAATTGGCATTTGAAATTAAATCATACGGATGATAATTTCTACGAGGTGCCAATTTTCTTTGCCTCAGATTGGCTAAACGAATTTTACATTGAAAATACAAGCGACGATTATAGGTTTGTTTATATGGGATCAGATAAAACTTGGTAAGAAATTAACTGTCCCTTATTTCGTGCTATACATAATAGATTCTATTTAGGACTCCATTTCATGTAGACGTATTCACCTCGTACAGTTGGTCTGTGAACGTTTACGGCAAGAAAAAATGGCTGTTATTTCCTCCAGGCGAAGAAGAATTTTTAAAAGATGAACTGGGCAATATACCTTACAGCATACTGTCCAAGAATTCTACATCCATTGGAGATAGAAAATATTATGAAGTAATCCAACATTCTGGAGAAGCCATTTTTGTTCCTGCAGGTTGGCACCATGAAGTCTACAATTTAGGCGATACAATATCCATAAACCACAATTGGATAAATGGCTGTAACATTCACAGTATGTATCGAGCCCTACTTTCTAACTTGCGGGACATAAAAATCGAAATCCAAGACTGCAAAGATATGGAAGATTTTGAACAACATTGCCAGATTATGTTGAACGCCCTATTTGGCATGGACTTGAAAATGTTTTACGAATTCCTTAAATTCATAGCTACGAAACGAATTAGAATGATCGAAAACGAGCCGGAGAGGGTGATGTATCACGGTCACATTATCGGTATTAATCACATACTATTCGACTTGAGAGCTATTAGGGAAGTTTTGGAAATCTTTGTACAGTATGAAGAGATCGAGTTATTAGATTATTTCAGCGATACAAATTATTCTCCACAACGTTTGTTAGAAGAAATAGATTTTAAATTAAAATTATCAGACTGACATGAATTTTCAATTTGTTCCAACAGGTTATCTCTACTTCATTCTAACTGTTAATAATTGTTGTAAGTAAGCAAATCTTGCAAGTGGTTTTGTACACTGTAACAATGGATTAAAATATGCGAATTAATTTCAAGAGTCACTAAAAAACAATGATAATAATTACCGAGTACAATTATTCCATAAAAAATCATTCCACTTTTTAATTAACATTTAATGGCAACGTTTCTCAGTATTGTACGTTTCCTCTTTGTTGAAATATGATTTGTGAAACTTACTTGTATAAAAGCTTGTGCGCGATAGGTAACGATTAACTTTCGCGAGCAAGTAACCATCAACAATATTGCACAATATTGCAACGCAATAAGTGGGCTGTAAACATTCAGAGCGTTCTCTTCCACTTCCAGCTGTTTGTTGTTATATCGTTTTAGTTTAGTTTTCAATTGCAATTTTATACTGCAGTGTAGATTGCGCGTTGATATTAACGAACGTATCGGTCAGTCGATATGGAAGTGACTGACAAAGAACCGATCCCTCGAGCTATTCAGGATATTATCCATGAAACGGTGGACAGAGCCATTGCGACGTTATTGGAAAGTGGATTAATAAAACGGGCCCGATCGCATTCTAGATCTCGCAGTAAAGGTAAAAAGGGAAAAGGAAAAAAACGAAGTTCCAGTTCATCGTCGAGTTCTTCGAGTTCGAGCTCTTCGGAAAGCGACAGCGACCGCAGAGGACGAAGAGGAAAATCAAAGAAACGCCATCGTTCTAGATCATTAGACGGGTCGAAAGGAGGTAAAGGACGAAGGGCGAGATCCCGATCTGGAGGTAGGCACTCCAAGCACTCAAAGCATCACCATAAACAGGACAAGAGGGATTGGTACCGTCATCACAAAACATCATCGGCGTCCCTTCTGCCCTTATACTACTACCATTATTTCAATTGTCCTCACAACGGCAAAGAGGGACTCGAAACGGAGGTTCACGGTAAGAGAGGCTGGCATAAGAAACATTCTCGAAGATTCCGTTGCCCCTTCGCCGGAGTGGCAGGCGCGCACACCACTGACGATGAGAAAAAGGGCCCAGATGCTGATAGAGCCGCGCATCTGACCAAAGATTTCGAAAATTTGGATGTCGAGGACAAGGAGAAATTTTATTTGGCTTAAATTACGCCGGTTTTTTTATTTTTTTATACTAACATAATTGAGTAAGATGTAGTGTAGGAATATGTACTCGTAAAAGTTTATGGCAATAAACCTATATTGAATGGTTAGTATAATTTTTATTCTTAAATTTCAAGGTAAATTTTTAATTTGGTTATAGCATTTTTTTTATTAAAAATTGTTAAGTAATCGTGTTTTTATTACCATTAAAAATGAAAGTATGCAGTAATTTATAATAGGGGTACTGTAAAGCTTGCTTCCGTTGTGTTTCAAAATTCAATAATAGAGAGTAAAGTTACTTTTATTAGTTTGTCCAGCCTTCGATACATTATTGTATAGAGCAAATTTGCAATATTGCACATTACGCTATCTAAAACCCTTCTGCTTCACCGAATATTAAAAAATACGATAGTTCAAAGACCGTATTTTATGTACAAGGTGCAAATTGAAGTTTCCAAAAATACAGCACGAAATTGTTGTCGTTTGCGATAGCCATTTTTCATACAGTACAGAAGTAAATATGTTTTTAGTATGTGCAGTATAGCTACCCGTTATCTACGTAAACAATGACGCACATCGAATTATTGAATATACACTAACCTTGAAGGCATTTTTGGTAAATTTACGATTTACGACCGACAATAATAGAGTAAAATCACATTTTTTTACGTTAATTCTGTCACCCAATGACAAGTGGCAGTTTATTTTTAATGCCAAATCGCATTACCCACCTCATCCCTTGTTCCCATGGAAACTAAACGAAAATCAAGTAGGTTGAATAAATAAAACTTCAACTCGGCTGCCAGTTCAACGACAAAAATATTCACACAAGATCGAGCAGTATTTATTATTTTAATCGAATCCGGTAGGTCCTATCAGAATAATAACATAATACATTTAAACATTTTGACACCAACTGTACTTTTTATCGATCAATAAGCACCGGTTTCAGCAACTCGCCATTCTGGCTTGCGATGATTTAAACAAAATGTCGATGACCTTACGTCACGTCCAAATTGCTGTTATATAAAAATACCGCAACGCCAGTTAAAAAAAAATACAGCGAATATCACAAATATCACTCGTTCCTAAAGCTGATTATAGTGTGAAATATGTACAACGTATTTATATTGGCTTTGAAGCACAATAACCAACCACCACGGACTGAACTATCGACGGGAATGGCAGGCCAATGAATTTGGATCTCGCTTTCGCCTCGACAGCGAACCGAGCACGGCGATATCGCGTATTCCCGACCGCATCGCAGTACGAACCGTGGTGATGGAAGCGCTCCGAGAATACGTGGCACTCGGAACCCGAGGACCGGTATTTTTCCGTTCGAGTTGGAGCCGGAGCCCGCTCGTTTCGCGGCGGTGCGGCATTCGGGCCGATTCGGGCAGCTCTCGGCCCGAGACCGTCCCGAACGAATGCGCGTACGGCCTTGCCTTTTCCTTTTTCTCTCGGTTTTTTTATTAGTAATGGCTGGCGATTGTGCCGTATTGGCTTAGTGAAAAAGTGAATATTTCGAGCGGTAGGTACGGATTCAGGAATAATCGGGAACTAATCTAGAACTGAAGGTAAGACATTTATTGACGGTTATTGTTAATTGCAATGTGTGTGTCGCGATAGAAGCTGAAATGGTACGCCATTGTCCTTATGCGTTCTTTAATGAACATGGCGCTTCCACGAGCTCGGGAAACGAATGTGCTTAAATCTTTTTTCGACGGTGCCCCGTATCCGTGTTGCCCAGTGAAATATTAGTATAAGACTATTCAAATTTTGTTAAATTTTTTTGTGTATTAATTATTAAATGTAGACTTAAATCGTCGAATATTATGTAGCTTAACTAGGTTAGCTTGCAATAGAATAGGTAGTATAGTATAACTAGCAGTAATGAATTCCTTACATTTGTACCTAGTGTGAATAATTTAATTCTATTCTTTATCCTGTATTTAAAATGGTAGGTATATTTAAAAGTATAGAAATCGACTTCTTGGGTAGATTTAAAAATGTAATTTTTATTTTTTTCACTTTATAAGTATTTTTATAATATTTATTGCACTCTCTATTTACTGAGACTTTAATGAGTACCTACCCTTTATTTGCTCTATTTAAATTGCCTACAGGTTCATTTCATTCAAACGTCAATTGAATTGAATATAATATAAAAACCAGTTCTATATAAAACTGCTTTTATATGGTACAAAATTTGTTTCATTATTTTACTTATTTTTATACTATAGGGGAATGTGCCAATTTGTTTGCAATATGTTTTGCAATAGTTAAAGAAAGATTATTAAAATAACAGTGGTTAGGTCGAGATAGTTTCAATCCTATAATATCACTCTTCTTTCTTTATACGTATGAGACTAATAAAGGTTTTCTTTTTTGCACTCAGATCATATTGTGTGCAAATTTGCACTTACCTGTATATTCAATTGACTTTGATAGCGAGTGTTCTCTAATTACACTAAACTTTGACACGCACTTACAATTGTTATGTTCCTTTTGATTTTTTCATCTTTCTATTGTTTCTACGAGGTACAGTAATTTCGGTTAGTTACGACTGATCAGATTCAAATAGCAATTCTATTTCACCTATAATTGCAGTATACTCGTCCATACTATTAAACTACTGTACCTGGTACTGCACTGTTGTGTGCTTAACTAAACCAATTATTAATGAAAGGTCAACAAACAAATTAAGCTGCATTTAATACTATTTTGGAAAATGTAGCTTGTACACAGTTCTGTTGATTAGCGTATACTTAGAGCCTCCAAACTCTAATTTCGTGTTCCTAACTTTACTGTGGTTGTTAAGGATAAACTAAGTTAAAGACTATCTCTAGTGCATCTCAAAATATGTCTTGAAGGTTATACCTAATAGTGCCTTAATTATGGGCCTTATGAACCCAACTTTTTTCATCACCGTTGTAGACTGTAGAAGAATGTAATTATAAAAAGAAACAATTCAAATTTTGCGTTGCCAAGTTTTTTGTGTATATTGTTATTTTAATTATTTTAGCAAATCGAAGCATTTTTTATGCATTGTTTTTTTTTAGATGGCGGACGACGAATATAACAATAAACTCAGAAGTTTGCAGCAGTACATACCATTTCTAGAAAACATGATTACTCAACTTAAAGATCCTAGTAAGAAGAATAGAGAACAACAGCTCAATAAAATGGAATCTTTATATGCAATGATAACAGATAAGAAAAAAAAGTAAGCGATTAATTGCTTCTGGTAGTATCACTATTGGGATGGCACTTGTTTCACTTGTTTGGAACATTTGAATCAAAATTGTGTTGTTGCTTTTGGAATACTTCTTATTTCAACCATTAATTTTTAAAATGGTGAAATAAAATAAGTTGGGATTTAAGTTTCATCTGTTAATAAAGAGTGTATATTAATTTTTTGTTTAACAGGATCTGATTAACTCTTGTCTTCTAATATGTTTTATTAAAGCAACAACACAAAAAATTACATGAGGTACTGTAGAAAATGAATGCTATGTAGACAACAAATAGAATAGTTTAGTTAGATCGTGTAGGACCACTAACATTTTAGTAGAACTTTGCAAGACTTCTTGGCCCTTTCTATCATATTGGCCCTCTTTGTATACAGTTTAGGACAGTATTTTACAAATAGTGGGCCATAGAAGAAATTAAGCCAGCTGCTTCTTCACTCACAAATATGAAAAAGATAAAAGATCCCATCGCTTCCTTTCATTACTCTCCTCGTCTAGCAACCGAATTCCAATTGGAATCTGCGATACACGTCGCATATTTTTGATGTAGAATTCAGCAATTCCGTGTTACTAATTTTGGTCGTTAATTGCTGCTCGCGGCTCCTCCCTTAAGCCGTGTTGAATAACACAAGGGAAGTAGAAAGTGGGATTATGTTTGTGTTTACCCACTGTCCCTAAAATATTGTCCGAATCTGTATAGTTTCACTTACTTCACTGTAACTTAAAAAAATAGCAAGTTGTGCTTTCTCTACTTGAAAGCACTGAAACATTTGAATATAGGGTGTCCGGAAATTCAATTCGGAAACCCATATGCTCAATTTGTTACAAGGGGTGGGTGTCATTTTGAAAACATGATGTTCATATGTTATTGAGTTTGGATGGAAGCATCTTTGACGACGCCCAGCGCACTAAGAGACGCCGGTGACCCCAAGTTTCTATGTTCAAAATGTTGTAACCTGAATTTTCCCTACCCTACCCTAGAACCCCCCGGAGTTTGTAACCTGAATTTCCGGACACCATGTATACTTGTTACTATACCTTTTTCCTATCCTTCATACAATTGACTGTGAAGAGAGAAATCATTGGTAGAGACATTACAAAATTGGAAATGAAAAGAAGAGTGTGCACAATTGTTTGAATGGCTTACAGTGCCTGTTCGTTCATGCTAGATTTTGGCCCTTAAAAAACAGTCCTGCCTTTGAAAAAATCTTATGAACTGTACAAAGAACTGCGTAATAACCAGAAATGTTAGTAAGTGGAGAGCAGAAAGATAGCATTCTTTACATGGGCTTAGACTTTCGTAAACTTACGCCTTCTCCAAAGGCAAGAAGTTTTGGTCCATCTACAACGGAACATGTAGCATTCCTGTAACAAGCGCTTAACCTTTCTTAGGCCTACGCTTTTTCCAGGGGCAACAAGTTTTGGTGCAGCTAGAACGAAGCAGGCGCTCTTTGTGCTCAACTATCCCTTCTTTTCGGATTTAGGCCGTAAGCCTAACCTATAACGCTGATGGATCAAACGTCACCATGTATTCCATATCTTTATGTGCTGATCATAATTTATCACTTACATTTTTTAAACTGTCACCTTTTTTATATATTTGAGGACTTGATGGAATTCTAGTCCAATGAAGTTCATTTACAACCTTTATTCACTTAACTAAAGGTTTACTTTCGCCAATAAAGGGCTCATTAACTACTATTAGTTTGAAGTATTTCTCTTGTTAACATTCCTTTCTTTGTGGCGTTTAGTCATCATGTTACATTTTTTTCGTTTCATTCTTTTTAGGTTGAAACTTGAAACACTTAATAAGTGCGAAGACGTTATCACTAAATTATTCGAAAAAGTTGTAAGTACAACCCACTCCATTGTGAATAGGTGTAGTTTTCAATAAATGAATTCTTTGCAGAATCACAAAACGCTTAACATAAATACTGTAAAGAAAGATCAAACGTACAGTCCCCAATCGACTCCCGCTAGTCCTTCGCCAGAACCGAATGATTACGTTAATCCCACGACTATTCCAACGGAAAGGTAAGGTTAAGCCTTGCCAATGATACGTGTAAATTAACGTTTGGACATTTACAGATTGGAACCAAAGTCGCACCTTCCCAAAGTGGATATTTACAGCAGTGCTGCAGAAAGTTTAAGAAAGCTTAATACATGCAACAAAGAATCCCTCCCCGCCTTTTCGGCGAAATGCCCCGATTTGACCAAACCTCCCATTAGCCTTGATGATTTGAGATGTTTAGAAGTTGACGTTCAGGTAAAAATAAACGAAAACGCTTCGCTAAGCGAACTCAAGAAAATGAGAAACAAAATCGCCACGGAACTGATGTTCGAAGATATTAAATCAATTTCTAAACCCGGTAATGCGGAGTCGAGTCGATCGGGATTGGATAGGTCGAATAAGCCTAGTACGGTTGCTTGTAGTGGATCGTCGAGTGATAAGATCTGTACGAAGAAATTCGAACCTATTACAATAAAACCAAAGCCGGTTCCGAGAACTTTGAAAGAACCGCATAGTGTATTCGGTAATGTTCTGTCGAACATCGATGAGAAGCTTTACGAAGAGAACAAAAAGAAGACTGAGCGACGCAGCTCTGCGAGCAAAGAGGAGAGTATTACCAAAGATAATGAAAGTAAAAGGGAGAGGAGGCATTCCAAAGAGACAAGAGTAGAAAAAGATGAGAAAAAAGGTAAAAATATTCGCAGCGATGATAAAGGCAGCAAAGATCGAACAACCGACAGGAAAGACAGCAAAGAGGAAAACATTATTTGCATAGACAAAACTGCAGAGAGCAACACAACCAAATCCAATACTGAACCATCTTCTAATGTTAAAAATACAAAATATTACGATTTGACGGGTACAAAATCGTTCAAGGGAAAGGAAAGTCCTTGTGCTAAAACACAAACACTCAGTACATCAAGCATAAACAGAACCGTAATTATCATCGATGATGATGATTCACCAGCGAACGACAAAAATGATCAACCTATTGTAATAGATGATAATAGCAGCCCGAATTCAAAAAGAGAAGAAAGCGACAGAGCGAAGACTGACCAATCGCAAACGACGCAGGAATTTAGAAGGTTAGCGGATAAATATAACCCGAAACCTCGGAAACGTTCCGTCGATGTCATCAATGTAGAAGAAGAAATAGTGAACGTAATGTCACCAATACCGTCAATAACAATCAGTCCCGATCCTCCACCACATCTAGCAACATGTACTTCGCAACCATTCGACAAGGAATTCGTTCCGTTTAAAACGAATTCTTCATTACCAGCTCAACCAAGGCCGTTTGTTACCTCAGCCATACCAAATCAAGTTCAATCCTCTCATCAATCTACGATGGACAATTTCGTATCCGAATATGCCAGAGAAGAATTTCAATCGGTTAATCGCAGACCAAATCACTTGAACGTTCCGCTAGGGCATTCGCCAATTTTGATGTCTCCAAAAGATAATTTCCCTTCGGATAGTACCAGGGAAAACTTCGGCTCATCGCAACACCGAAGGTTTAATTACGAACCAACGAGTCATCATAGATACGGTCCGCCACCTCCTAATCAAAGGTACTTTAAAAATTTCAATCAGAAATTTCGCGAACCTCCGATGTTGGATTTTCAACCTCCGAATAACATCCCATTAACTCAGAATAACCCCTCTCATCACGTTTACGATCATCGTCCACCTGTACTGTCTCCGGAAACGCCGCATTATCGTGAACCCAAGCACAATTTCGGAAATCACATGAACAGAGACACGTTTCTACCTAAAGACGATTTAAGGTGGCGGTTGGGGGACAGCCGGACGCCTTGGGATAGATCAGAACACGAATCTAGGTTTAGGGGCCCTATGACATACAAGGAGCATAGGGAAATGAGGGAAAACAGTCGGGATCCTCGGCTCCTCAGAGATCCTAGGAATAACAGAGAACGTCTAACCTCGCCCGAGAACAAATCTAGAGAATGTAGAGATACCTTTAAAAATAAGGAAACCGAACCAGTCCAGAATACCAGAGATCCTAGGGTAAATAGGGATTATACTGACAGCGAGAGAAGCAAGTCAAGATACCGATACGATTCGAGATTCGATCGATTATATTCCGCCACGAATAAAGATTTACCTTCTAAATCGTTCTCAAAAGAGACTGATACGTTTATGTCGCCTTTGGACAGTTTGTATTCAGGAAAAGAAACCAAAAGAACGGGCAAAGGATACGGTGTTCAACCGTTTCGTATACCTAAAAAGAAAAAGGAAGGCGAAAAGGACGAAAAGGAATCCGTGGTAGACATTGACAACAGTTCACAAGATAGTGAACCAAAAGTTGCAACTAAAGAATCGGTCAAACAGCTTGAACCAGAGTTCATTGATAATTCTTCAGAAATATTTAAAGAAACAGAAGAAAATGACAAAAATGTTAAAGAGGACCAAGCAATAATAAAGACTAACATCGAAGATGCTAATATTGAGGCAATAGAAGAAAGCGCAACTGCCACTGAAACTAATAACGAACAAGAAGTATCAACAGAACCTCAAGAGAATAATACCACAAAAACGAATGAACCGGAAAAGAAAGAAGAACGAAAACAACCTTCCACTGAGCAAACTATCTTAGCAAATTTCTTCGGCAACCTCCTGTCGAGCCAAAATAAAAAAGACAAAAAAAGCGCCCTCTATTCTTTGATCAGCACATTTTCGGATACATTCAGTACCAAAGAGTTAGCCAAAATAACTAAAATCATCAACGCCAACGATGAAGATGATTCGAGTGACGATCAAGAGAAGGTTGTTGCAGATAAACCGAAAGAAGACAGCAAAAGCGACGAAGTCGAACAGAAACCAGTGGAAAAAGATGAAAAAGTCGAGCCTAGTTCTGATGTAGCCAAGGAGGAGAGTGAACCCGAAGAAGAAATAGCCTTGCCGAAGAGAAGGTGCCGAACCCGAAGAATATCCTCATACACTTCGCCTACCAAAGATAAATTAGACGACACCGCAATCAAAGAAAGCGTCGAATCTCCAGTTACTAACGACGAAGCGGAATCGCCTACGGATAAGGTGGTTGTCACAGTGAGTGAAAGAATTAAATCGCGTAAACGAGGTGCTAAAAAGCCGAAGAAGAAATGCCGTTCCGAGTTGGATAAATTACACGAAGATATTAAGGAAATGTTCATTAGAGACGGGGTATTGACGGCATCGGGAAAACGCATGTGCAATTTATTGAAAGACGATCCGTGCGTTTTGGCTAATGACACTTTCAAACTGGACTCCAATGAATCCGTGAAAGGTCGAAAGAAGCCGGTGACCAATTTGAAGATCGCCGACGAAATGGCAATGAAGGCCATGAAGAATGTTAGAGTTTTAATTCAGAAGATACCTGATGTGGAAGAAACTGCGACGGTTAGGAGATTGACGAGAAGTATGACGGCTTCTGAAGACCAATTCGACGATTCCGCGGAAGCTAATAAGGAAGATTTTGATGAAGAAGGTAACAGTGAAGTTGAAAAAGAATCATCTTCTAATGCCGATGCCCAAAAGAGACAAAAAAGAAAAAGATTAAAGAGTAATTGGGCGAGCGGCATTATTAAGAAAAAGAAGAAGAAACAGTCAAGCGCAGACGATACGCAGTCTCAGAAATCCACAGACGATGATTTGCAGTCGCAAAAATCTTCGAACTCTGAAGAAAGTTCTTCTATTCATGATAAGGGTTATTACCTCGACTTCTCGTCGCCGAAATCCCAGAAATGCAAATTATGCGACTACATCGGAACAAAGATTACTACCCATTACGTATTCCATCATAAAGGATCTGAAGTCTTGAGTTCCAGGTTTAGCCCTTCTATGGCGACCGAGGCTATTCATGATGCGAAAAATAACTTGGCGAAATACGAAAGTCACCAAATGGCGAAAAACAGTCAATTATCATACACTTGTCGTTTTTGCCAGTTTCAAGCCTACGCGATTCCTACAATTTTCTACGATCACTTATCAAGGCATACTGGCGAATACAGGCACTTGTGTCCGAATTGCCACGTTGCTTATCGCACCAACAAAGTACTTAAAGCTCACATGAAGACCAAACACTTGGAGGACAAAAAGCCTATAGTACGCAAATCACATGATAATGTGATACTCTTCGGTTATCTCTGCGGCAAATGTAACTATGTACAAATCCTTAAAGAAAATATGGACAAGCACGTGAAGGCGCACCATTCGCATGATTCCGTAGTTCACAAGATCAATTTATCCACGCACTTCGACGAGAGGATCGAAACGTGGAATCATAAAGTTAATACCAAAGAGAGCAATGCAAATACAGATTCGAGTAATAAGAAAAGCGGGGACAAAAAAGTCGCAAAATCGTCGGAACCTATCAAAAAGAAATATCCCATTCGCACGAAGTATACGAAAAAGGACGACGATTCCCAGTCGAGTGATAAGGACGGCGATGATAATTCATCCGAAGAAGAAGAAAGCGCCCCGACATTACAAAATGAACAACAGCAAGTCAGTAAAGTAGACTCGTTTAGGCCAGTTAGAGCGAAACGGGCAGCAAAGGAAAAGGCCCAAGAAAAAATGAAAGTTATAATGGAAATGGGCGAGGTTCCAAACCGAAAGAAAACTAGTTTAGCCGAAAATAATGAAGACTCAACTAATAAACTGGAATTTACTCCTGAAAATAAAAAACACAATACCTTTATTACAAAAGAACCAATGAAAGACGCTAGCAAAGAGATCAAACAGTCTGTGTATACCAGTGTAACTGACTATGAAGACGACGATAAAAAGAACAAATTGATTGATACCGTCGGTAAAGATATAGTGAAAGTTAAGAAAGAAGTGGAAATGAATGTTTTCACCTGCAACACGGACATTCAAGAAGAAAATAAAAAAATCGAACAAGAGCGATTACAAAAAATGGAAGAACTGAACAGATCGTTCGGATCCAGGACATCCTTAAATTTCGTAGACAAATTGTGCGATCGTCTCAATCAAAGCAACGTTACGATAAAAGATGAGCCGCAAGAGGAGTTTGTGGATACTAAATACCACACTCTGTCGAGCAAATCGCCGGATATTTCGCCAATTTTAGAGAAGACTGCTACATTGGCAGCGGATAAAGCGCCTGCTCAAAGTAGAGTATCATTACTCGAATCTCTGAATTCCAACGTTGCGGCGCATACTTTCGACGTAGCTCAGAAGAATGACAAAAACATCATGAACATGATTGAAAAGCTCAAAGGAAACTTGGGCGTCGACGATAATTTCAAACTGGAAGATCAAGATGTCGATGAAATAGATAACGATAGTCCTCCGCCATTGACATACATTAATCAGATAAAATCGCAAAACTTGCCAGTAAAGACGCTTGAAATTTGTGGTCTGTTGAAAGTAGTCAAAACCGAAGAATCAACCACGTTTTCTTGTCTCGTACCACCATGCGTTTTCTTCACGGAAAATGAACAACATTTCCACGACCATTGCAAAGAAGGCCATGTAAGCGGTCTTTGGGGAAGGAGCAGTTCCTTATGCGAAATGTGCGGAATGGAAATTAATAAGACTGATGACGCGAATCTACTGGAGAACGTATATAAACACTTGTTTATTCACCACGGCGATTTCATTAAAAGCAGTAGTAAACTTCAGCCTGTTCCTGCCACCAGTATGATAAGATTAAGGAAACTAAGCGGTGATGCTTTATCGTTAAGCGCTTCCTTAGACGTGGAACATAATGACGTTGCAAATGTTGACATTACGAATCAAACTTCCATCGAGCAGTCGGAGTCTGCAAAAGAAACGGACGATAATCCTTTTTCTTTCAAAATTACCGACGTTATTTCTCTGGCCGGATGCGAACCTCAGGTGCCTGAAGACGAAGATAAACTGCAAATATCTCTTAACGAGAGCCGTGCACCAGGACTCGTTGCCGAACATCAACCTACTGTCATTCGACCGACTGTATCTCTTGGCGAATGCCAACCTCCTCCATTGACTCCTATACTAAAAGTAACGAGGCCGTTGCTCGTCAAAGAGGCTAAAATGTCGACCGCCGACATTTTGAAACCCAAAAAATCCACACAAGCTCTAAACAAATTCATCGCGGAAGTGGGAAATTTGTACAAATGTCCACAATTCACTTGTACCTACAGCACGATCGTAAGAGAACTTCTAGAGCAGCATTTGAAAACGCACGATTTCGATAAAAACGAAATGGTGCCGTGCGTTTACTGCGACTTGCGAACGCCATGGGAACATGTCGGTGTACACATTGACATAAGGCACAGCAACTGCAAATTCACCTGTTCGTATTGTCTGTATCGCGCGTGCGCCAAGAATTACGTGTTTCTGCACCAGGACAAGGTCCATCCGTTCCAGGACTATTCCGTTATCGTTTTGCGCGCACAGAAAAATCAGAAGAAATTCCACATCGCCGATTCCAAAATCGACCTGAAGACGTTGTGTGAACCATTTAGATGTCATAAAGGTACGTACCAATTTTTTTTATTGTCAAAATGTTCACTGACGGGGCAAAAATGTCGTGTGGAATATCGCAAAATGACAAATGCGGTACTTGTCAAAGATTCGAGAACAAAACTTAGAGGAAAGTACGGTCGTATAATAACAGGTCCGGAAACTACTGGGCAGTGGGGGTGTTGGGGATGATATAACTCTGGATATAGGGCGCTAGTATCAGGTAGTGTTGTTTAATCGAACGCACATAAGGCCACTTTTCCTTTATTCCGCCATTTTGCCTTTCAAAGCGACTTTAAAGTCGCGTCCATAACTGTTGTTATGGAGTAACTAGGGACTTTGTTGACGTTAAAGTGACCCTCTAAAGCTGTGTTTAAGGTTAAAGCGGACCTCCGAATGCGGGCCTATGTACTCGTATATTCAGCCATTTTTAACTTATACATCGCTCTAAAGGGTTACTTTAAAGCAAACAGTCCCTTGTTACTCCATAATAAAAATGTACAACTATCAAGTTAGAGACACGACTTTAAAGTCGTGTTTAACGTTAAAGTGAGGCGCTGAATACGGGCCATACATTCTGTATCTGTACAATCAGGGGCTTCCTTACCTATAAGGTTTGTTCCAAGCCAAGCGAAAATAGTATTATTACGTAGTACATGCTGTATGCTATAACGTAGTACATGCTGATGCTTCAAGTATGTACTACATTTCTGAAGTTTATACTGCACAAATGAAGTATTTACTATCCTCTGTAGCATATGCTATATTTTAGAAGTATCTACTAGTTGAGTAGTATTTGCTCCAGTTTAAGTAAAGTTGGTGTATGATCAACTTCGGTTATTGTAAATTAAGTTATTTTTCGTGTTATAATGGCAGCTTTCATAAATGTCCGCCGTAGGAAAGTGTATAAACAAGGATGGGTTTACGATGAAGAGATATTCGTAAATTATTTAGGTAATTATCATGAATTGTGCAAATTTGTTAGTTACTTTCATTATTTTATTATATTAGGTTAAACTACTCCATTTTAGTAGTAGGTACTGTTATTGTTTCATACGGTGAAGTATGTTCTTCACCGGTGAAGCAGATACATTTATGTAAAAGCAAATACTATGAAGTGGATACTTTTTGGGGAAGAAGTAGCATCTACTACTTTTTATGCATTCCACCCATCTGGCTCAGTGTCAATGTCTTACTTTAGCGGTACCACGTGTGAACTGACGAGATTAATAAATCAGTTATTATGGCAAATGAATGTAATAATGAGTTATGAGTTTGTTGCGCCTTTCATTTGTTTCGTTTTGAGAATTATTAAAGAACCAGCCCACATTAGGTAGTTACTTTCCTCTACTCGTCAGAGATTCCAAAAAAACAACTTACTATTCTCTTACAGCTTGTAACGTGCAATTCCTTTTCGAAAACGAATTCACCGAACATTTGAATCAGTACCATTACGGCCAGCGGTTTTTCACTTGCGGCCACGAAGATTGCTCCAGTAGAATGATCATCAGTAAAATGGTGCACCATTGGTCGGTGGCTCACGCCGTATCGACTTATCAATGCGCTTACTGCAAAACCAACTCCAATGAACTGAAGTTGATGTATTACCATTTGGCGATGTCGCATCAGCATTTGCTACCGGAGATATTCGTCAGGATCGTGTCACCTAAACCGGTAAGTTTATTTATTGTATTGTTTAACTATACTGCTTAAACGTGGTTATGTATAGTTATGCGCTAAGTGCTATGTGGTTCTTCCATCATTCCTGTGACTTAGTATACATATACACCGTGCTTCATTCGCGATTGCAAAATGGGTATTTCTATGAGTTGAACAAAGAAAGATTATTAAAATAACAGTTATCAGAGTGAAAAGTTGCAATGACATAATATCACTCTTTCTTTTTCCTTTATAAGTGTCTAATTGAAGTTATCTTTGTTGCACCCATAGCCTATGTTGCAATGAACAATGGAGCAATCTCTATATAGTATATTCGGCAGTTTTGGCATCTCCATTGACCTTTCCATAAGGCATTTCTCGGTGGGGCGTGAGTTCTGTTCCACCCTCGATAAAGAAATGTCGCTGAGTCGCTATCTGCCATGTATGGGCAGTTTCTGCATTGAGGCTCAATACTTGCCGCGTTTGGAAGACGGAGTAATAATGTCAGGCGGTTACAAAATATCCCTACCCCTGTACGGCAAAATCCTGTACAATGATCGATTCGATCGATCGAAATTTCGCACATCGCCTACAATTACTCAAAACCATTCACAGAGTACCAACTTTTAGGCCGGCCATTGGGGAGTGACTGATACCGGCGGATCATTTACACCCCGGGTGGACGTCGGGTGATTTATACAGATTGCTCCATTTTTCATTGCAACATAGGCTATGGGTGCAACAAAGACAACTTCAATTAGATACTTATAAAGGAAAAAGAAAGAGTGATATTATGTCATTGCAACTTTTCACTCTGACAACTGTTATTTTAAAAATCTTTCTTTGTTCAACTCATAGAAATGCCCATGTTGCAATCGCGAATGAAGCACGGTGTATATTTATTACTCCGTCTTCCAAACGCGGCAAGTATAGTCTCATATTGATATTCATCATATATCTACCGTGTGGAGACCTTAACTGGAATAAATTCGCTAGCAGGAAAGTAAATAATGTTATTAAAAATTCCCGAGATACGTCAACATTTTTATATATTTACCTACATTTTGCAAGCAATATGAGGAATATGGGCCTTCAGGGGTAAATAGAACTACCCTGAACATGTTTTTTTCAAATGCAACCCCATGGCTTGTGACCCTTCATTGGAAAGCTGTTGAAAAGTGGAATCCAGCGTACTGATCAAATTTTATTTTTCTCAAATTATGACGTTAAATGTCAATATATTCAGGTATTTATTAAATGTTCCGCCATTTTGATGGCGCCCAGTCGCCATCTTGAAATTTTCATCTGTCAATTTTACTTCAAAATATAGTAATAATGCATTAGTTTCATTATCCCAAATTTCAATTTTCTAAGTTGATCCGTTCAAAAAATAAAAAGGGGGGGACATTAAAGAAATGCACTGTATATCTGTCACATCAAGATTTTCATTTCAACCCGGCAACGTTGCAACAGATTGGCTTGTGACGTCATTGCCTAGCGATCGCGAATGACCTTTATTGTAAGTTTTTAAATTGCCTTACTGTATATCTTAATTGTTTTAGAATTACACGTTGGGGTACAACGACGAAGCTTTTAAACGCATGAGAAAAATTACTTCGTTGCCCAATATTTTGGAAGGCTGGCGAGAAGAAAAGCTGGCGGTGCCATGTCACGATGTGACGGTACCCGTTTCGCCGGTAAAAGTGGCGTCTGCCCAGAGCAACGCCTCGAACAAAAGTCCTTTGGCATCAACATCAGTAAAACTGTCTCCTGGTTCAACTGTAACGGCCACTTCCGACGGTTTGCTACTCGTAGCCAGTAAAAGTGTCGGCGCTATAAAATTAGGATCGCCTTTGGGCAATCCACTGATTGCGGTAAAATCGCCCGAATCGAAATTAAACCTTTCGGGAACAAATTCCCTGTTAATTCCATCGATTAATTCCAATATGCAGACCTCTTTGCTTAATACCGCTAAGACTATTCAAGAGGAATCCATTCCATCCAACTCTGGACAACAGTTGGTTAGTTTATTGAAATCTGTGAGTATACTCGTATAAAGTTCGTACGTTATAAAATGACAATGACATTATTTTTAGTAATTTTCACGCAGTGTGAAATGTCCCTAGTTTCAATGTTAATCCTGTCATTTGACTAGGGGAATTTTAAGTAGCGCGGTTGAATTGCAGATGCGTTGTTGCTACATCGTTAGTCTCAAAATTCCCCTGTTTCTAATTATAGTTGACCAGATCAGCTTGCCACTTGGGATTTTTGTATCGTAGGATGCGTATTGGCTACAATTTGTTGTTTTTGTGACTTTCCCAGCGATTTTGTCTTATTCTGGATCGTACTAAATGATTCTAGAGCGTTCTAAATGAGTCTAGACAGTTCTAAATAATTCTACATAGTTCTAAATGATTCTGGAGCATTCTAAATGATTATCTCGTCAGTTGTAAATGGTTCTAGACAGTTCTGAATGATTCTAGACGGTTCTAAATTATTCTAGACAGTTCTAAATGATTCTAAACAGTTCTAAATGATTCTGAAACGTTCTAAATGATTATAGACAGTTTTAAATAATTCTGGACGGTTCTAAATGATTCTGGAGCATTCTAAATGAGTTTACACAGTTCTAAATAATTCTACATAGTTCTAAATGATTCTGGAGCGTTCTAAATGATTCTAGTCAGTTTAAATCTAGTCAGTTACTTTTCCATGTTTAAATTCTACTATTTTTGAGTTTTTTTAATTTGTAAACACATTGAAAGTAAACATAAGCTTAAATGAAATATACCTGTTATAATATTAAAGGACTTCAATTACAACTCGACAACGTTGCATCAGGCTGGCTCGTGACGTCATTGTTATTTTATAACGTTAACTGTACAAAAGTTTTTGCTTAATTCAGACGGGGACGAATTGTGGTATTCTCCAAATTCCAAATAAAGAAAATGTTGTATTCCAGGCGAACGCGACAATAACCTCGACGGCAACCTCTCCATCTTTCAATACCAACGCGACTTCAACGTCATCGTCGAATCTAGACGTCAGCGTCCCGGCGCGACCGGACGACATAAATTCGAACGTGGCGCCTTTGGAACACATAAATTTGCACGAAGAAAACAACCAAGATTACGTATCGGAGAGCGAAGTCGATCCGTTGGATCTGGGCGACGCCAACACCTTCCTCAGCCTGACCTACAGCTCCGAAGACGAGGGGGACAACGGCAAAGCGAAGAAAAAAATCGGTTTGTTGGGCTACCAGTTGTTCCGGTGCGCTTTCTGCGAGTTTTCCTGTTCGAACGGTAACGATTTCAAGAAACACGTGACGAAATCGTCGACGTGCCGATCTGCGACGAATTCGAACAGACCGTTCGAATGCGTGCATTGCAAGAAGGCCTTCAAGCATTCGCACGTTTTAGTGGAACACGTCCATACGCACGGCGTACTTAGGTACTCGTGTTCGTTGTGCGGAAACAAATTCCCGACTTGCAGTCAGGCTAGGTAAGAGCTCTTTTACACTTATGCCTGATTTCACCAACCGGTTCCTAAAGTTAGGTAATACCTAAACCGGATTTAGGAATTCCTAAGTACAATTTTCGTTTCACCATGCACTAAGTAATACCTAAAGGTAATAGGAAATGCCTAAAGTTAGGACAGCTCACTGGGCTTGCCTAAAACATTTAGGAAATACTTAACCATACTTTTCATGTGATTTCATGTGACTTAAGTCTTGACTGTCTTTACACTCTTTAGATGAAAAATTAAAATGGAAGGACAGTTTTTAGAAACTGGACGAAACTGATTTTTTTTTTCGCCTTTTTCGATAAAAATATGGCATTACAAATATTAGAATGAATTGAAGATGATTTTTAATTTGATACACAGGAAGTTTTTGGAACTATTGACCTGGATCTACACATGCTATGTAACTATGGACTATGGATCTTTACATGCATGTGTACTTTACATGCATGTGTAGATCCATAGTCCTGGAGAAGAAGATGTAGAAATATTTTACAAATCGGAAAGGTTATTTTTCTAATAATGTACAGACTACATCTTCAGCAGATTTAAAAATAACTAACATAGTTTAAAGATGGCCCGGATCGTCAACATCTCTTCTTTTCTCTCAACATATTCGATTCAATTTCGGTTTACACGTCAAAATTAGCCAATAAAATTCAAAAAATGTCGAAATCAAATTTTTACCTATACTTCATCCATCGAACCAACGGAGTAACCAAAACAAGGTTAGACGCGTGATCATTAAGCACATTCGCATCTATTGTGTAAAATAAAAAAGCTTCCTTACGCTGACCAATCACTGATGATCACGCGTTGATCCATCGTCTAAACTTGTTTTAGTTACTCCATTGCTTGGATGGATGACGTGCAGGTATTTCTTAGTAAGGGATTTCTAATGTTGGTGAAATTCTATTTAGGTAAGTATTCGATTTAAGTAATTCCTACCTTAGGAATTACCTAGTTAGGAAATACCTAACAACATGTTGGTGAAATCGGGCATTACAGTTGTATTAAAAAAAGGGTACAAGTAATAGAAAGAGACATTAACGTAATCTTATTTGTGTAAAACCGGCTGGGATTATTGGAGCTTATCAATTGGTCATTATTTCGTTTAATTGACTCCCAACGCCAATGATTTCCATTTTTTTCAACATATGATATTTGATAAGCTAATTCTATTTCTTGTGCATTTTCAGGAAAAGAAATCAATCATTTTTCTTCTATACAATTTTTTTGTGTAACTTCTTTAATTACCTTTGGCACGGTTGTTTGATGTATCCCGATATCTACACCAACTCTCAATATGAGTTCCCAAAAATTCATTAGATTGGCTACCCATTTAACATTGTATGTATTAAAGCTAAAAGCATATAGTGTCTGATAGAAGAAAGTTACCTAAAATAATTGACTTACCGAAACAATGTTCAATATTGTGCCTCTCCATACGTTTCTACGTTCAGATATTTCCCTACTTTTTCTACCATAATTCACTAAAAATGCCATTTTTAACAACTTTTTGGGTGAAGTAATTGATAAGAAGTTACTCTGTAATCAGCTTTTTAAAAACTACACCAAACACTCCCTAATGGAAGAAATACTACACCATTTCCAACTGAATTTCGGAAAGAGTTAGGTTCATTTAAGAATGCGTCAATTGAATTTCAGAATAGTCGCTTATATTTCGGAAAGTATCAATTGTATTTCAGAAAAGTCATTTCGATTTCAGAAAGCATCAATTGTATTTCAGAAATATAAATTTGATTTCAGAAACCATTTGTGCTTCGACACTAAATAACCTTTTTGGTTTGGTTTTATTTCCAGAACACACATGAGAAGTCGTCACAGTATCACTCAAACCACACAAACTCTTCTCAATTCTGCGAGCACTTCATTTTCAATGGGCAACGAAGAATTCATCATTAAACCGAAATTGCTATTGGATGAGTCTGTTGCCGTTAACGAAACAACATCTGATGAATTATCTGCCGACGTATTAAATTCGAAGAACGTATATAATCCCGATGAAATTGACAAAATTCCCATTAGGTCCATATTTATCACAAACTTACAGTAAGTATGTTTCGCTCAATTGTGCGAATTCCTAGCAGCCGTTTACTTAATATCCCTCGGACTTAAGAGCGTCCTAAGTGGTTTTAGACAGCTCTAAATGAATCTGGAGGGTTCTAAATGGTCTTAGATACTTCTAAATGATTCTGGAGCATTTTAAATGGTTCTAGACATGATTCTATTGCGTTCTAAATGGCTCCAGATGTTTCAGAAGGATTCTGAAGCATTTTAAGTAGTTCTAGACAGTTCTAAATGATTTTAGAGCATTCTAAATGGTTCTAGACAGTTCTAAATAATTGTGTAGCGTTCTAAATAGTTCTAGACAGTTCTAAATATTTGTGGAACGTTCTAAATGTTTCTGGAGCGTTCTAAAGGGTTCTAGACGTTTCAGAATGATTCTGGGGCGTTATAAATCATTCTAGACAGTTCCGTACACTTATGAACGAAAGTAATAAAGCAATACCTTTTTGATTTAGATGTGGAGTTTGTACTTACGCTACGAAGGTTCGGACTAACTTGGTTAGGCATTTGCAATTTCATTTGCAAGAGAAAGCGGTGCCCGTCAGTGCTCCTGTGAATCCCGTACCGTGTTTGGAGAAAAACGAGAAAATGTTCGACAAAATGGTAAATCTCGCGTCGAGTTCTCACAAATCGGGCAGTCGTATGGGATCGTCTACTGCGAAAACTGAGAATAAAGGTTAGTTATCGTGTTTATTTTTTTTAATGCAATTTCTACTATTCGTTTACACTCTCCATATATAGGATTTATCTAATAATACCGAAAAAGGGGGTAAAAAATTCTGTGATGAAAAATCAGGTTTTTCAAAAAACCTTCCCTGAAGAAGTTTGAAGAAAAATGGGTTTTTTTATTTTCTGTGTATATTGACCTAAAGACTTTGGAGGAAAGTTTAGGTATATTATTTGTCATTGAAACTACACATTTGGAAATTTTTTCAACCCTGAAGTATGCTTAGATAAAACTGAATGTCTAATGGTTCATAAGTATTGAAGTGCTTTTATCGTCGTATAAAAAATACCAAGCGAATAAATAGTAACAAAAACAATGTTCTTTCTTGACCTAAATAGAAATTGCCTTAATAATTGTTAAGTTGTTATATAATTTGTTCTATTTCCATTTTTATTTGATTTTTGAAATCAACTTTCAGATGCGGTCAAATGTCCGGAGTTTGTGCCGTCTCACACGAGGTACGCCTGTTGCGCGGAAAGTTGCAATTACCTTTGTCCCGAAGAGGCGAATCTCCGTCATCATCTCACCGCTCTGCACGATGGAGAAACCAGTTTCGTTTGCGTCCATTGCAAAGTACCGATCGTTCCCGCCGATGCCGAAGCTCTAATTAAACACCTCAAATTGCACGGTTTGCAGCTTTACAAATGCCAGTATTGCAGCTTCCACCACAATCTGAAGCACAAGGTCGAAAGGCACTCGAACGACTCGCACATCGATTTGCCCAACAAAGTGGTCACCGTGAGAAACTTGGAGTCGGAGACGTCGGACGATACTAATTCCTCGGCGCCCGCCAATCAAAACAAATCGAGCAAACTGTGGAGGTGTTTGATGTGCAAATTCCGAGGTAACAGCGAAGAGGCCATACGGAGTCACGTGTGGGACAAGCACGAGATCGATTCGCAATACAAATGCGCGCTTTGCTTGTACAAAACCGACGATAAAAGCACGTTTTCGAGCCATTACAACGACCACCATCCGAACTACGACGTACACATTATCAGCAGTTACAGGCAAAATACCGAACAAGCGAACAAAGATGATAAAGAAATCAACAATTTCGATACGACACCGTTGTGGCAAAGGGACCGACCTAGGATCAAACACATCCGGGGCATTTTGTTCGACGAATCGGTGCCGAGTTCCTCGAAAAGTCCGAATAAAAAAGTGGGTAAATCGTCCGGAGCTGCGGCTAAGAACGTCTCGAAGAATTTAGACTTGGCCATCGAATCCGTTGCAAAGGGAGATTCAGTTCTACCCGATCCCGATAGCAAAAGTTCGAATTCGGCCAAGAAATCGGAAGATGACGAAGTTTGCGAGCTAGCCGAAGGTACATCCGATGTTATCGTCATCGATGATGATGATGACAACGAAGGGGCCTCTACTGCATCTAAAACCGCAGCTAAGCCTCAGACGAAACGAAAACGTCTTAGGTTAGTTGCTGTAGGTCCAAAAGATAAATTGCTCAGACTGGAAGGTAGTACCGATGTTAGCAATGGCAAAACTAATGATGCTAAAAGTGACAACGTCGATGTTGATGATGACGACGACGAATCTGAGAAAAGTTTGAAATTGTCGTTTGGCGAATTCGGATTACCTTTGAATAAACAACTAAAATGTCCCAAGTGTGAAAAATTCAAATCGAAGCGGATATCCGATTTTATGTTCCATTTGTTTAAAGAAAATCGCGTTCACAGGTAATTCATATTACTTTATAAACTATGTATATCCAAGTTAACCAAGCAGAGATATTACGACATTAATTATTGCTAAATAAATTAAAATAAACTACACACATAAGCGTAAATTTGTACGCAATATGATCTATGGGAGCAACAAAGAAAATATCCTTTAGTCTCGTATAAAGAAAAAAGAAGGAGTGTTATTGTGGGATGGCAGCTTTCTCACTCTAATCTCTATTACTTTTATAATCTTTCCTTGTTTAACTCGGAGATTTGACCATATTGCAAACAAATTTACTCTTACCCACAAATATTACTAGCTAGCATTGGTAATTTTATTATCCATAATAATACATTTAAAATTGTGCATTTAGTACCTAATTCATGTTGTGAATTCGTAGTCATATAGAATAAATTGCCATAATATATTTATTTGAAATATTTTAAGGTACAAATGTGGCATTTGCGGCGATGAGAGCATAACGTACCGTTACATGTCGAAGCACGTTAAAGAACACGGCCACAAATTCAACATCAACGATATAATTCCCATGAAAAAGAACATTCGTTTGGAGCTCTGGTTGCAAATGCTGATCAAATCGCAATGTACGAAAATCGCGCCGATTCTTACACACATTCCTGACGCTTCGCCCAGCGATAAAAACAAAGTGTCTTGTCGGTATTGCAGCAGATGGTAAGCGATACCTCTTTTTTTGTTTGAAAATTTTAAATAATTTGCCATTACAATATGATGTAGGTTCAAATCGGAGCAAGATCGCATCGAACACACCCTTACTCATTGGTTCGCGATGCCGTTCAAGTGCCTCGAATGCAACCGTACCACGTACAATCGCGACCAAATGGAAAAGCATTTCGCTCAATCCCATCGAGGTGTCGCCCTTAATTTCAACGAAGTCGGTCCTACCGTTGCCAAGGAGCTTCAGCATTCCGATTACTTGCACATGAAAGAGGTGGAGGAACAACATTTATTTAAAAACAACGACGAGGTACGTTCGTTGGTTTATTGAATATTTCGTTAATTATCCTTTAATTTTATTGTATAAATTAAGGAGGTGCCGATTCCACCCTCGCCCTATGCCGATACGACGGGCGAATCCAAGCAGCAAAACAGTACTGAGGCAGAAAAACCGGCAAAAGCAGCTGTTCCAATAGAAAAACCTTTTAAAGTAAGTGATTACAAAGTACTAGTAAGTTTATTGTTATGTATAAGGGTTTATAAAGGGTCCTACCCTGTGTTACGTTTATACTAGAGAGTATAGGTTTAGGGCTTCTAGAACTAGCAGATAACAATAACCAGCCTTATTGATAGTCGTGTTTAGTGGCTACTAACACACTACTAACATCCCACTAAAAAAATCGAATTCATAGTTCGATTTAGTAGCTACAAAGATATTATTTTTGTTAGTAGCCACTAAATTTATTAGTGGCGTTACAAGTGGTGTTTAAGTTGCTTTTAAACATAATTTAAAATGTCAACAAACGTCTAGTGCGTGAAATCGAGCGTTCACTGCGTATTTCCTGCCTTTTTACTGTGTTTTTTACTACCCTTTTGCTAAATATCGTTGCTAATATTTGAATTTCAACTGGATTTCGTATTAATACAGTTACTTCTTCAGCTTCTTACATGCACCTTTCCATAAATATCTAACGGCTAACTAATACATATTTACTTGATTTCAAAAGCTGGTAGTTCCAATACTTTAAAAATACTGGCAAAGATGTTGAAAAAAAAAGTTTTTAGTTTTTTAACTATTTGTGGCATTTTGAGAGGAAAAAGGATAAGATTGTTGTACTTTCAAATATCAGTTGATTGACCCCTGGTGGCTCTACCCCGACAGTATATTAAACATTCACTGTGCTTTCAGCCGGTCGAAGAATTGGTAATAATTAGCAAAACCGACAGTAACGTTCCGCAAAACGGAGACGTGTACTGCTGCGATTACTGCGCCTACATGTCGAATTCCGAACCGATAATGATGGATCATTTCTTCGAGGATCATCAAAACGCCAACGTGAAATTCAAAGTGTTGAATCAACGAATTTGCAATTCGAAAAAGGAAGATTACATCGGTTGCATGTTCTGCGACGAAGTGGGATCGGAGATTACGATCAGGCAACATCATATGAACGTACACGAACATGAAACGTTTCTGTATTACAGGTAAAATATACATACTATAGTGTATTTTGTCGACGTGCAAGGTTAATGTAATTTGTTTTAGGTACACCTGTAACATTTGCAAAAAGAAATTCTTGAAAACCACCGGCCTCAAATTGCACAGCCAGCGAATTCATCCGGACGCCGCTGTTACCTATACGGACGTGTTTAATAATATCATAACCAGTGCGGCCGAAAAAGTTTCCAAAGAAAAAGTCCAATCTACGAACGTTGCGGCGCCCAACAGGAATTTATTGTCGTTACTCACGCCTGCGGCCAAGATTTGGAAACGTTACCAATGCACCGAGTGCTCTTACAGAAGAGATTTTCCCTCTTCTAGTATTACAAACGTGAGGAATCACGTTAAAACGCACTTTAAGGCGTACGCATGTGAGGAGTGCGGTTTGAAGTAAGATTTGATACTACTAGATTTTTGTACGAATATGAATTCATTGAATTTTTACTAGGGTTTTCGGATTAACGAAATTATTCGAATTGATCATTGCTAATGACAAGAGCTTGGAAAATATGCACTTAAAACTTTCAAAATATGCACTTATATGGTGTTTATGCTCGATGAAAAAACCAGAAACAACCAGATAATAAATATTTTTTTGAAAATTTTATTAAAAGAAAAAGATAAGCTACATACAGGGTGTTTCATGAAGTTCTCCCGGCACCAAGGGATCTTGTCCTTTAGGTTATTTTAAATTAGCCGGTGTTAATTGTAAAATTTTATTTTGCATATTTACCAGAATCTCAATATTTGAGTACCCACTTAAACTCTCAATTCTCTCTAGATTGGAAATTACTTATCCGATTTAAATAAAAATTAAAATTATTTTGATAGTTGTGCCACTTCCGGTTGTAGATAGCGGAAGTAGTTTTCAATTTACATTAGTATGTACAAGCTCGTCGTGACATAACCTGTATTGTGAAATTTTTGTAGGTTTAAAAACAAACCGGATGCTTTAGTGCACTTTCGCAAAGATCATCCAGACGCAGAAGAATGCATTTTATACGACAAAGACGTACAAGACTCCTTCAACGAATGCATGCGCATAATTCAAAGTGAAGCTATTCGGATAGAAAATCCCAATACCCACCATATATCAACCACATCAAAGGAATGCGCAACAGCCAGAAAATCCACGTCGGCCTTTTACTATCGACCTTTGGAGGAGTTCAGTTATTACGGAAATCCCGTTGAGAAATTAGATATGAGCAAGATAATGTCTACCGTAGAAATCAATGGAATATGCATGGACATGACGGCGGACAAGTTGGGAAAACTGTTCGATTTGGATCCGATCGTGGAAGTTATAAAAATGCAAACATCAGATGAGGAATCTGAGGATGTCGACATTGTTTCATGACCTGAGCTAAACGCCATTGATTTTATGCTGGATGATTTTAGTGTAGATAGTTTCGAATTGGAAAGTATCATTCCTTCGATGGATCATTTGCTCAACGATCATGAATATTTCAAAGATTGGGACGATTAGGTGGCTGATTGCATTCAGGATTTGTAAAATTTTTTCTTTCATTTTCATGAAATAGTTACGACTACGTTTATTTATGTACATTTGTTCCTATTGTAAATATTATAAGATAGGTAATTTAAGTGATACACAAATTAGTTTTTTTTATACCAGAGGATACAAATACATTAGTTTTGTGTTTTTTATTTGTGGTAATACTTTTAACGAAAAATACGTTTATCTACCAATATCAATAGGCCTTATGCTTAACCCTACTGTTAAATAAATAGAAGTAGTTATACATGGAATCTTTCCAAAGGCGCAGGGACACGGATCAAGTAGCTAAAGCAACTTACAAATCAAGTAACTAAATTTAGTTACTTGTATGGTGTGTATAACGTTGTTGTTTAGAGTGAAAATGTTGCAATCCCACAATATCACTCTTTTTTCCTTTATATGAGACTAATGGAACTTGTCTTTGTTGTACTCATATTGCGTACAACTTTGCAATTACCTGTAGTTTAATCATACAAATTTCGTGTAATTTTGTCTTCGTTTAATGCATAAAAATAAGGATTTAACCAACATCAACATGGGAAGAAAATAAGTTATGTCTTAAAAATTAGTACAACACTTTAACTAATGCATCAACGATCAGTCAATGGTAATAAATCCGCAGTTAGTTCGCTATCGCACAAACGCGGTGGTCCCGTAATGTGTCCTTTACTTCTCAGATTCAATTCGGTTTTTTTAATCTTCCAATTGTCATCACAAAAAGGATCTCTCGCTAAGGCAAACACTTGTTCGAACACTCCCACGCACGTCTGTTGGTTGTGTAAAGTTCCGCAAGAGAGGACTGTCACTAAACCATGAGGATCCATCAATCCTCGCGTACCTTCCTTAGAGACGTTGGGATTAAAGGTGAGATTGTACTGCATTTTGATTTTAATTAGATGCTCTGCGATGCCTTCGGGGTCATTTTCGATTGTGGAAGTGTCACGGTCGTTTTGCGAATGGAAATTAACGGTGAAAATTGCGTCTGAATAAAAATGCTCGCAGCCTACACCTTTGTCGTTTAGTAAGGAATAAAACCAAGATGAGAATTGCTCGGCAAGCAGAGAAATGGGGTCATCTTTACTCTGTTCTTGAGCTGTGCTGTTGTTTTGACTAGTTATTTTTTGGTTGGAACAGGATTCAAGGGAACCCACTGAGGAAATATTCCAATATTCAAGAATTTTGTCTATTAATTCATTTTTAGTAACTGGTAACTTGATGGTTACATTTTGTTCATGCAAGTATGAGAACAAAATCTCTCTAGTAACACTTTTTCTTCTTAATATACTCAAAACGTCTGGGGAATGTTTCAAAATTGCTTTTACGGCTTCTGAAAAATAGTAAAGTTTAAAACAAGTCTAAAACGTACAAAATAAACTTGCCATCATTGGAATTTATTTTTAATAGTCCTTGGGTTGTTGTTCTTGCCAATGTAAATAAACTTTCCGAATCTAGTTTCGTCAGAAATTCTACAATCCTAGTATTCTGAGCCATTATAAAATTGGAATATGTTTTACATTGTATAAATATAAATAAACATTGACAAATATTGAATATTTTTAAGGTTATATTCTTCATCTTCTGTCACTGTCACTTTGCTTGTGTCTTAGGTTGCCATTTACTGCTTAGGTCTTTAAAACTTAATAATGACTGCATAATTGTTTTAGCAGAGGTGACAATATTATAAATTATAAAATAGTAGAAGAAAATTGTAAATAAACCTTGGTTTTGTGCATTAGATATAATGATCATTTTATTGTAGTGCATTAATTAAAAGCATCTCCTTATTTAAGCGATATCATCGAAAGAGTGGCACATGAAGGAGTGGCCTGAACCTTTTGGATTTTCGTTCAATTTCGATACCAAAAATGAATTTTACGGCCCAAAACAAGGCGGTTTTTCGAGCGCCAACTGTTATAATAAAATAGCTCATTTTTTGGAGTGCTGGACTCGTAACTAAATAATGTACACATAATGTAAAAAAATATAATAATGCTGAGGTTCGCACAAACACTTTCTTATCAAATAATTCAAAAAAAGGATGCGCAATTGCATATTTTCTATTTACTTTCAATTGATAAGGAACATCCGGGAAAACCCCTAGGGATTGTTTATCTGTTATTTTGTTTATTCTAGAATATTCTCCTCACTTTGTAACCATATTGGTATCGTGCTAGGGTGTTTAAAACGTGTCACAAAATTAAATGGGGGGTGTAGTATGGCCAAAATAAGTAGATAAGTTTAAAAAACCTGTGTCCGCAAATGAGTCTTTTGGGCAGTAGGAGTAGAGCAATAGAAAGGGTAGTCATTTTAAAATAAAACAGGTAAATATCATGAGCTACATCGACATTTAAAATAAACACTCAGACAGGTCGATTTTAGTTTTTAGGGCATTAAAAACTAAAAGAAAACTTTTTTGTCCTACCTTTTCTTGTTCACCCTGTATAATAGGAATAATTGTTTTGTATGGGTAACTGCAGGTTTGTTGTCAATATGGTCAATTTTAAGAGTTGAACAAAGAAAGATTATTAAAATAACAGTGGTTACAGAGTATGAGTGCATAGAATGTTGCAATCCTATCATATCACTCTTTCTTTTCTTTTATATGAGACTATAATACATAATGGAAGTTTTCATTGTTGCACCTATAGCCTATATTGCAAACAATTTTGAATCTACCTTTATACAGGTTGTTTTTGAACACCTGTACAATTATTCTTCATTTTACATCGTTATTATTCGCTCTTTGTTCAACTATTCAACTAATCTTAAAAAATAATAAGATTTTTATTTTTTATAGTTCATTCTTTATCGATTACAAAATTCTACTTTATCATATAGCTCTGAACTACAACCTCTGAACTTAATTCAATTAGATGAATTAGACAAAATACATAACGTATTCTTTTATCATGAAATGTCCTTTACCTATAATGAATTTTTAACTTTAACCATATTTTAACCAGTTATTTAGTTATTACAGATCGTATATGATTTGTAAATAATAAATGCGTCTGGTAACTATAAACATTATCATTTTGATAACCTCAAGTACTTGGAGTTTTTATGTTGCAATAAAAGTGCATATTGCAGTTTTTAGTTCAATCTTCAAACGAAATGAGGTGGACAACGGTTGAGCGGTTTTTAGCGCCGAGCGATTATTTTAAATACATTGAATTTTTAATGAAATATCTCGGCTGTAATCCCCCTAAAAGAGGTTACAAACGAGCAGTGTATATCATATTCGCCATTTTTCACATTCTATGCATATCCATCGTACTGAACGCTCTCGATTGGCTGGAATTCGTCAGGGTGTTCAGATACAACGACATGAAATTGATAATGCTACGAGCCACTATGGTTCTCTTTTCGCTAGTCATGGGCCAAAGGATATTGTTGTTCGCTTGTACTTTCAAAAAGTACCAAATTATTAAAGATGCGGTGAAAAGATCGTCCTTCAACTTCGAATGCTTTGGAATTAATAACATCAATGTGGATAGCGTTTCTAATGGTTCCTGTAGAAAGGAGAAATTGTCGTTTAGTTCCATTTGGACGGGAGCTAAGTTGTCTTTTTCCGAATCAAAGTAGGTGAATTACATATTGACCAAAAAATACCCGGAAATTCTGATTTAAATTACCTGCACTTAATATTTTCAACTATTTCAACTTTCTGTATGTATAAGGTAACACTGTTATTACAATAAATTAGAGAGATTTCTCAATCAGTTTGGTTGATGTAACAGCTGATTGAATCAGTTCATCTCAGTAGTGCTCTGCCAATTTTGGCAATGGATTAAAATAATGAACAAAGAGTTTGTTTTATATTTTGGGTTTTATGGGCTGAATTGATGCAAATATGCAAATATGAAAAATTGAAGAATAACAGAATAACTTTGCTTGATTTACCTAATTTTGAATCGAAACTAGTTTTATCGGCTTATCTTTCATAATTTTACACTTTGTAATTTTCTGTAAACCCCACATTTTTTGAAACAAATCAATTTTTAAATTTCTTTTCAATCACCAAAGTTTGAAACATTTTTACTCAGTTATTTATAATAAAAATAATTTCGTTAATTTATAAAAACTTTTAAATATGGCATTTATTATGATTAGTAAATAGATTTTTGATTTAGTTCATCTGTTAAAAAGGTGTTATGTAAAAAACGCACTTAAAAATGTTTCAAACTGTAGTTCACAAAACTCTCAGCAAAAACCTAGTGGACACGGTTCTGAGAATTTTAATTTTATAAAACTAGCAACTAACATTTTGAACACTCTCAGAGAGTAAAAATTCGCGAGTTTTCTCTCAAATGGACACAGATCTGAGAGTAACTCTCGAGAGTTGCTCTCAGGAAAACTCTCAAATGGACAGGTACACAGCATTAGGGAGATCGCTAAAGACTTGTCTTGTTCCGAACGGTCCTCGACCTCTTCAATCAATGATAACGGCGAGAAAATGAAGGAAATTAAGTTCGAAAATGATTATGCTAGTATTAGAGAAGCAGCACGTGACCTAAACATCTGAGTTTCTTCAAAAATCTTCAACTGGTCGATGCTGGATGCATACATGCTAATTCGTGTGAAGTACCATCGACCAGCCATCTTACTCACTAAATATAGCCTCATGTGACTTTTTTGTTTCCCAAACTTTAATTGTTACTTCGGGGTTACCATTTTGGCTCTATAAATGTCATCAAAGAAAATTCGCATAACGAACTAAAAGCCGTGCCAGAGAGGATCTATAAAAAATGTTTCGACGGTTGTAAAAGCTGGTGGTAAAGCTGTCCTATGTGTATCGCTTCAAAAGGGTCATATTTTGAAAGAGATTCAGAAAAATTAAAGAAGATTAGAAATTTTACGGTCTATTTCAATTTTATGGGTTCTTTTTTGTAACTGCGAATTAATCTATATAAAAGCACCTATTTACTGAAATTTTTAACGTTAAAGATTGTAACTTTGTACAGAGTGTTTGCTGCAGGAACAAACTTATGTTGTTAATATTTTCATTATCTTTTCATTATCTACTTTTAGCGAACTGGAATCGTTTCGTTTAAAAAGTATGGTGGAGATGGGAGCGCGCTGCTCGGCAATTTTAAACGCAGAAATCGCATTGTGCGTAATACTTTCGATATTCTGGAATTACAAGGAAACCCATGGCGAATTGTTCGAAGATTACAATCCGTATTTGAACAAAACTTCCTTGTACAGGAAAACTCAACTTCGGTTTTATATGCCTTTCGATTCTTCTTTGGAAGGTCACGATGCTTTGGCCACTTGCGTTACCTTATACACTCGATTTGGGATATTATTGCTATTTTTACGTAGGTTCATAATAATAACTACTATAAGACGAACAGTAGAAGTGACCTAATGGTTTGTACAAACCATTATTGTGCATCGCAAAATCATGTCTCTAGCTATTCCTATTGATAATTCCTATATAATAATTGTTTCATTAATGTGTAGTTTCAAAATTTTTCTATAAATAAGTATAGCAGCTATAAACTTAAATTATTAATTTGGTTAAATTTTAATTTTTAGCAATTGATAGCGTGCTGCCCTCTATCTTAGCTTTTTTAATAGCTCAAACCAGAATTGTACAAGAAGCGTTTAAATATGTCGATAAAAATATAAGCCCATCACAAAGTCCCAGAAATGTGTTTTTAATAAAAGAAATAAGAATTGTCAAATGTATCAACGAATTGCAGGAGATATACAGGTAAAAAAAATACGTGATTGAGTTCCTTCGTGAATACATCAACGTTCTTTATCAATTAATTCACCAGTACAATTTTCAGGATCCTGGATATGCTTCAAAATTTGTACAGCTTCCAAACGTTACTACAGTGTGGACTTGGAACATTTTTATTGTGTACTTTAGGCTATATTGCTCCAATGGTACGAGAGCAATTAATAGGAAAAATTTGGATAATTTTTAATATTTCCTTAAAAATGATGAAAATAATGATTGTTCTAGGTACAATTCTTTTTTGTCTGATTTTAGGTAAGCGATGGGTCAGAACTTTTCTGCTTCGGAACGTTTTTGATTGCTGTCACCGAAGAAATATTCATATTATCATACGTTTCTAATACTCTAACAATTGAAGTAAGTGCCTAATCTAAAAGAACTAGGAAGATGCATATTTAATTCGTATTTATAGATTTATTAGTGGTGGTTTTAAGCTATATTTTTTCCAATATTTTTAGCTTCAAAATGTAGCGATAGATCTCTACAACATCGAATGGGACTCTTATCCAATAAGAGTGAAAAAACTCATCGAATTTACTTTGAGGCGTATACAAAAGCCCGCTAGTCTGACAGCCTGCAAACTTTTTAACATCGACTTAGCGGTTTTCATTCAAGTAATACATAAAATTCGTAAAAAAAATTACAGAAATTTTCAAAATTTTGTTTTTCAGATGTTGCAAACGGCTTATTCATTTTACACTGTAATAAGCAGTACAAGTGAAAAATTGGTGGCTTAATGCATTCCACTATTGTAGAGCTTGGAAAATATGCAGTAAAAATTGACAAAATATGCACTTACATATACATATGCGTTTATGCTCGATGAAAAAATCAGAATCAACGTTAAATATTTTTTTTTAATTTTTACACATACATAAATACAATGCCGACTATCAGACTATATTGTTTTGCTTATTAGAACATTAGAACAATGGAATTGAAACATTTAAAACTGTCTAGAACCAATTAGAAGGGCTCCAGAATCATTTAGAACTGTCTAGAATCATTTAGAACGCTCTAGAACCAATTAGAACTGTCTTGAGCTAATTAGAATGCTTCAGAAAGATTTAGAATCTTCTGAAACCATTTAGAACGCTTTAGAATCATTTAGAACACTCCAGAAGCATTTAAAACTGTCTAAGAGGATTTACAACAGTCCAGAATCATTTGTAACTGTGTAGAATCATTTAGAACCCTCCAGAATCATTTAGAACTGTCTATAAACGTTTAGAACACTCCAGAAGCATTTAAAACTGTCTAAGAGGATTTACAACAGTCCAGAATCATTTGTAACTGTGTAGAATCATTTAGAACCCTCCAGAATCATTTAGAACTGTCTATAAACGTTTAGAACGCTCCAGAATCATTAAGAACTGTCTAGAATCATTTAGATTACCATCATTTAGACATTTAGATTACTATCTACTATTAGTTCCGAATTGGCAAGTAATTTATTTATTTGAATAATTTATTGGCGAAATATATTGTATGAAATTTTGCATAAATGCATTTTGAAATATTGGGGGAAATATGCACGTGTGCACTTTACATGGATTTTCCAGGCTCTAGTTATTAGAATCAATTCAAAAACATGTTTTTCCAAAACCAATGGAACACACGAAGTAGTTTAGTGAAGAATAAAGATAATTCAGCATCAGCATTAACAAACTGATTATTATTAATTAGATATTAATTATTATTAACGCGTTTACTGGCTAATTTGTCGCCCGTGATTTACTGATAGTGAAAAAAGCTTATCTCTACAATCGCACGTCGAAATAAATACAACAAACCGTTCCACCTAATTTTTTACCGCGATAAATCGAATCGCTTTGGAAATATAGGTCTCCGAGAGGCAAGCCGGTCCTGCGCTTGCGTCGCGCTAATTGCGATATATGGATTTTCCCTACTAACCAACCACCCAGAACAGCGATCGGTCTTGCCATGTGAAAATCTATCGCGAATAGAAGGAGACACGAGTATTTTAATTTCGAGTGGATTTTTTTTGATTTCTTTTTCGAAAATGGCTTACCGAAAGTACGCCGTCGTGACGGTGTTTTTGTGCGTTTGTTCGACTGGATTGGCCGATGATAATGCTGCGGAAAGGAATAGGGAAAATACCGCAAAACAACATCCCGAATTGTCGAAATTGTAAGGATTTGTTATGCTATTATAATTTAATTAAATTCGTCTAATTAGTAGAGATATTGAAAAATTATTTTTTTGGCTGTTTGAAAGTGTGGTTACCTTTTTACATCTGCAAAAGGTGGTGTAACCAGTTCTGATTTGGAAATAATATATCCAAGTTTTGTAAAATCTATGTAGGTATGTAGAAAAATATTGTTTTAGAGTAAAAAATTGGGCGACCAAACTAGGAGGAGAACTATGGCACTTCGGCGATTTGGTTACGAGACAAAATAGAGTTAGAGATGTAAGTACTTATGCAGTGACAAAAAAGTACCCGGAAAATTGGAATAAAACGCAAAATTCCTAATCTTTTTTTAATTTTTCTTGAATCTCCTTCAAAATATGCTCCTTTTGAAGCGATAAACATAGTCAGACGCCTTTTCCAATCATCGAAACATTTTTATAGGCTCTTTTTTGTACGATTTTTAGCTTCTTCTGCGAATTTTCTTTAATGGCATTTATGAAGTCAAAACGGGGTCCCCGAAATGGCAATTTGAGTTTGGGAAACAAAAAAAAGTGGCACGTCTTTACCAATTTAGAAGGAAACCCAGCTCTATCGAAAAGAGGCGAGTCTCAATGGACAGCATGTCATTTGGTTGAACTAATTCTAACGAGCGGTTTCATGAGAGATGTTTAGGTCATGTGCTACTTCTCTAATACTAGCATTACCATTTTCGTACTTAATTTCCTTCATTTTCTCGCCGTTATAATTGGTTGAAGAGGTCGAGGATTATTCGGGACCAGGCAAATCTTTGTCGATCTCCCGACTGTCTTTAAAAGTTTTGTACCATTCGTAAATATAGGTTTTCGATTAAACAGTGTCACCTTAAGCATGTTTGTATCGATTCGGCCCATATATAAAACCCAAAATATGAAACAAACTCTTTGTTCATTATTTTAGTCCATTGCCAAAATTCGCAGAGCACTACTGAGATGAACTGATTCAATCAGTTGCAACATTCAAACTGAGATATCTCTCCAATTTTTTGCATACTAATTAAGATCAGTGTTACCTACATACATAAACTTGAAATAGTTAAAAATACTAAATGCAGGTAATTTAAATTTAAACAATTTCCGAATACATTTTTGTCTCAGGGTGTATTTTGTATCTGTTAATTCTATCAACAGTTTATTTAAATAAATATCGTTTTTGCAGAGTTTTAAGGATACTACTCTAATTGCCAAAGATGGCGAGGCGTTGCTGAACATAATTCACGACAACATATCCCAAATGATGAAAGAAAAAGTGGACGCCGTCAGAAGGATAATGGATCAGGCGGAACAAATCGCTCAAGCCCAAAAAGAATCCGACATTGATTTCAACTTTCCTTTCTACAGCGCCAAAAATTTGACCAATTCGCTAGACAATACCACCGAAGAATCCACTAGGGTAATAAATTTAAACCACCTATTCTCGCTTTTGATCACAAATCGAATAATCGCCGTTTTTATTCAGGAACCAGAAGTGCAGGAAATCCAAGATGGCATGTTTGTATCCGATGAGGGAATTCAGGAGCAGCCCTATCAGCAAGCTCTAGTCCAACCTGATGAATTCAATGGCTTCCAGAGGGACGAAGATACTGAATCATCCGATGAAACCTCTTCCAAGGACGAGGATGTTCTTTACCCGGAAATGGAGGTAAATACACTTCTCTGCGGTTTTTTCAATTTGTTATAAAATAATTATTTATTCCTAGGTTACCGATGGAACTGAACAGGACCCTCAAGCGATACTAAATAAAGCTCCCATAGACAAGTCCCGATTGCCTTTGATTCGTAACAGGAATTTTTACGATATACCTGTTAATATGAACGTCAGCGCCGTCCATGTGCCCAGCAATGTTTACGAACGATGTGAGTTAGGCGGTATAAAAAATATTATAATTTATTAATCATTTTCGATTTTAGCCAAAGAAGTTATAGCCGGAATCAAATGGTCTGAGGAATTGGATAAAACGTTCCGATCAAATTATGAAATCGACCCAACGTTGTCCTGGCAATATTTCGGAAGCTCGACTGGATTTATGAGGCAGTATCCAGGTATGTGAATTTTTTACCTATAACGTTATTAGATTTGTTCTAGCAGATTTGTTGTTGTGCTCTTACAAACATTGTGGGCACGCGCAATGATTTATAAACGTTCCAGCAGGGTGTTATTTGGTATTCTGAATAAATGTTTGCTGTTCCGGCAGAATTCGTTTTTTGTTTGGATCATGTTTGAGATCTGCAAAACTGTTCTCTTTTGAAGTGATAACTTTTAGAACATTTCGAAAATTAGTATGGTTATGCTAGTTACATGTTATGTATATTTAGTTTTAAAATACGGAAATTATTAACTTATTGGAGCTATGGGCGAAAGTAGTGAAAGGGACATTAGTTATGATGAATTATCGGAAGACGATTTTGAAGAATTGTTGGAAGAAACGCAGAGGTCAAAAAATAAAAATTATATCGAGGAAACCGTTCCTCAATATTCGGAAAATGAATTCAAAGAACATTTCCGTATTAGAGATAGGATACCCAACAACTGCTCGAGGTTTTCCAGCAAGAAATGTTCCAATCTTATAACGAACTTGTATACATCAGGGCATGCGCAATACCATACTGATACAAACATAATTTAAACATGCTGCTAGAACAAATCTTGTATCTAACCAATCTCGTTTATTTTAGCTATGATTTGGTCCCAAGAGCCCATAGACCTCTTCGATTGCCGCACCAGGTCATGGTACATCGAAGCAGCCTCTTCGCCCAAAGACGTAGTTATCCTTGTGGATAGATCTGGATCGATGACCGGCATGCGAAGAGAGATTGCAAGGCACGTAGTCCACAACATTCTGGATACGTTGGGAAACAACGATTACGTTAACATTTACACGTTCAGTAACACCACGGAATCTTTGGTGGAGTGTTTCGATGAAAAACTAGTGCAAGTAAAGTTGCTACGACTAGTGAGTATGCGAAAAATTTTAGTATATCTACTAATTGTTACAGGCTAATCTGGCGAACGTGAGAGTCCTGAAAGAGAGCATGGGCAATTTCAAAACCGAACAGATCGCCAATTTCTCACTAGCGCTCGTGACTGCCTTCGAATTACTTCAAGACTATAGAATCAATCAAAAAGGTAAGGAAACTCTGCCAGTTATCGCAAACAAACTCGAATCTAACCATCTCGTTTCAGGGGCCAAATGCAACCAAGCAATAATGCTCATTACTGACGGTGTTCAATACAACTATAAAGAAATCTTCGAGAAGTACAATTGGGAGTATTTGCCGTTCATGAACGTGCGAGTATTCACCTATTTGATCGGAAGAGATGCTTCCGACGTTAGAGAAGTGAAGTGGATGGCTTGTGCAAACCAAGGTAAATGTGGTACCTAACAAATATCTTCTTCTTTTTATTCAGCCTTCCCTCGTCCACTGCTCAACGTAGACCTCTTCCAAATCTTTCCATGTACCTCTGTCTTTTGCTGTTCTTGACCATTGTTTCCCCGCTATATTCTTTACATCATCAATCCATCTCTTTTGTGGTCTTCTTACGCCTCTTTCGGTTTCTCGTGGTCTCCAATTATTTATTTTCCTGTTTCATCTCTTGCTGCGTGTCCTATCCATTGTTACTTAAGTTCCATCGTTCTTTCGTTATTCTTTATTAATTTCGATATTGTACGATTGCAGGATATTACGTCCATTTGAGTACCTACGCCGAAGTTCGAGAAGAAGTGTTAAATTACATACCGGTAATGGCGAGACCAATGGTGTTAAATCCCAGCCACAAGCCCAATCCAACGTGGAGTCCCGTCTACGCCGACGTCACCGATCCGAAATTAACCAATTGGTTGTGGGTGAATCGAGAGAGAAACAGGCAAAGGGAGAGGTTCATGGGATACAGAAAACTGAAACATATGCTCTCATCGGATTATTTGGATAAAACCTTCGTGCACCAACAGAAATTGGTACGTACAAAATCGGTTTTTCAGCGGCGTTAATCCGGATCCGAGAGATGTCCCACACTTTCAGGGACACCTTGTATAAGAATTATAAAATCAACTAATACACTCTTATACAATATAACTACTAATATAGTTTAATGTACAGCATCAAGATAATTACGGTGATACCCAAGTGTACCATCTGATGACATCTGTATCGTTGCCGGTCTACGATAAGAAACCTCGACAGGTAAGAAAAACGATCGATCGATAGTGATTAATTTAATCGAACAATGACTTGAATAGCCTTGTGTGTCTGCAGAATATAACGGAAAAAATCCAAGTGAACGAAGCCATTTGGGTGGAGGTGACGCGGGAGGTATCCGAAACGTCTTTGCGTAAAGATTTAGATCGAAATTAAAGAGTTTTTTAGATTCCAGTTTTTTAGATACAGTGTACAACCACAGTCTTAGGAGTAACCAGCTAAATTTAGACCGTCTGTAGACTTGTAACAGTTTTACCAGTTTGTTTTTGTGTCTAGTATTATTTTAGGTAATGCTTGTAAATCGTCTAAATAGAAGTACTTTATGTCTATTCATTAGAAATGTTATAAAAGTATAGGAATTTTATGAACGGTTCTTTAAAAAATATTTGTTATAGTGGATTTTGAAGAAGAGATTAGTAAAATAACCGACAATAATGCCCATCAAATTAGTCTTCTTAAATTAGTATATTGTAGAAAATTGAGTAGTAAAAATTCTACCATATACTCGTATTCATGGAAGTGTCGTGGAAAATAATAAAAATATTATCCAAACTTTTTTATAAAATAACTTGGATAATACTACTGAAAAGTTAAACCTAAACGGAGTTATTTCATCACGTATAATTCAAGTTTAGTTTACCATTAGAAATTAGTTCTTTAGATTTAGCGAATTAGTGATGAAACCATTGATGTTGATTAAAGTTATTAAATTATATTTTCTTCTTTAGGAAAGAGTAGCTAACCTGTTGGGTGTAGCTGGAACTGATGTACCAATAGAGCATATTCAAAGGCTTATGCTTCCCTATAAGGTGAGTAGTTTTTTTATATATTACCTATAGGTACAGTATGACAATACAAACGGTATACATTGAGGTAACCCCATAAAAAATCAGGTCTCGTTAAGTCTGGCGATTTCTATGGCCACTCAACAGGATGACCTCTTCTTCCAACCATTTGTTCGTATAATTAGTATCCCAACTAGTGCCTAACTGCAGCTTCACATTGAGGAGGTGCTCCATCTTTTTGGCGTTTTGTGAAAGGTTTTTAATGATGTATGTATTAGACAAGTAGGGGTTTGCTATTTAAATTTTTATAGTTGGATACATGGGGCCTAGGGTGTTGATGCGGTGAATTCTTTTTTATGTCATTTTAGTTTCCCCTTCAAATGGTAGAAACGGTTTTGAGCATTTTTTGATATCATCAATATCATCATCTTTCGTTTGGGAGATATAGCCCGTTGGAAGATTTTAAATTGTCATACTGTATATGAGTATTTCTTCCGCAATTTGGAAATAGAAATTGGTGTAGAAGACGGAGCAAATTCGAAATAATCAATTTTATTCATTTTAAATCTCTAACAAGTAATTTTGTGTTTACAGCTTGGGGTGAATGGTTATGCTTTTATTGTAACAAATAACGGCTACATTTTAACGCATCCTGATCTTAGACCTGTGGTAAGTTCGTAATTGTATTTTTATTAATATTAACAACCTTATTTTTACACAGTTTTCATTAAAAAAGTATTAAAAAATTATCCGGAAATTTTCGATATTTATTTGAACATTATTTCTATTCGGAATTCTTTCTTTTTGTTTTTTTTGTCTTTTCTTATTGTGTAATTCTATTACAGATTTGTCCTGTGGATTTGATCTGGCACACTGACGAATTTGTAATTATTAGATAAATTTTTTAAGACGTTAAATTTTATTAGTTGTACATAAATTTTTACTTATTTGTTCATTTTCTTCTTGACATTTGAAATTTCAATTTTTCGCATTCCACGCACAAATGGTTTTCATTTAGTTTTTTGTAGGTACTTTGTTGTACATATACTCCTCGTGTTCCTCTGTTTGTTTAATCTCTGCTAAGCCTATATAGTTTGTAGTTACGAGTTCTGGCTGTTTCCGATTTATTCATTTTTATTGGCGCGACGAAATTTAATAATCAACCAAACATTGTTTTCGAATTTTTCTGAGACATAATTAACGCAATTTCAGTACCAAGGAATCCTGAAACCCGCTTACAACAGAGTCGATATGATCGAGATCGAAATTCTCGACGACGATTCCGATCCCAGGAATTTCAGCGACGTTATCAGGGATTTCAGGAGACAGGTCGTGATGCAGAATAGCGGCAACATCACTTTGAAAGTCAAAGGCCATTTAGATGATATGGTGAGTGTTTCGTTAGCGCAAAAGAAAAGGAAAATTTTTGGTTGCTCTTAAAATTTGAATTTCTTTAAGAACATTTCCTCTCTTCTTTTATGGATAAAATTTTCTCTCTACTTTCATGAACATTTTCTATCTGCTTACTACAGTTCCTACAGTTCTAAATGATTCTATCCTATTCTTCTGAAGTTATAATAAGTAATATAGTCTGATAGTCGGCATATGTGTATATGTCTTATCTTTTTCTTTTAATAATATTTTCAAATAAATTATTTTATTTCATATTTTGAAGGTTTCTAGTGCATATTATCCAAGCTCTGCTTATAAAAAATATACAGGGTGTTCCTAAACACCTTTATCGCACCCATGGCCTATATAACCTATGTTACGATTAAAAATGGAACAACCTGTATAATCATGGGTCCGCAAATGTTTCGTTACCGATCTACAGGGTGTTGAAATTTCAAGTTTTTTTGTTTCTTTTTTTTGAGCTCCTGCAGTTTTTGAGATATTTAGCTTAAATTAGGTATAGGATATAGGGTATAGAGTGTAATTTGAATAGGAGGGGTCACTTTCAACATTTATTATAATGTAATTTAATTGTTATTTTTTTGGGTTTTTGTTTTGTAAAATAAATCATTTGTAAAGAAAATCATTTTTAATTTTTTTCTCGATAACGGTTACAGAAGCGAAAAAAGTTTATAAATGAAAAAGGTTTCTAAACAAAACAGACAATTAGTTTTGTATTTTAGAATCTACCAGCGGCGCACAGCAAAAAAGTTGGGGGGAAAAAGGGTACATGACCCCAGAAAAAATATCACCCTGTAGAATTCAACAACCATCAGATATACCCAATATTGTGTGCCCTATAAAGCAATCTAATGTAGATTCAAAATTTGGGCTAAATATCCCATAATTAAAGTACAGGAGCTACAAAGAAAAAACCAAAAAAAAATTGAAATTTCAACACCCTCTAGATCGGTAACGAAGCGTTTGCGGATCTATGTTTATATGAACTTTTAGTCATAAAATAAGCCAATGAATACACCCTTTCGGATGTACACGATGTTTAGGAACACCCTGTATAGATGATTTTTGAAGAAACTCAATGTTCCGTATTCAGCGCCCCATTTTAACTTTTAACACCACTTTAAAGTCGCGTCTCTAATTTGACAATTATACAATGTTGTTATAGAGTAACTAGCGAGTTGAAGTTTAAAGTAGGGTGCTGAATACAGGCCGTTGTGATTAAGAAAATTAATGTCTGTTTAATTTTTTTTCAGAGACGTATTACTTTCAATACAAGACACTATTACTATAGAGGTATAAACGGAACTCCGTTTAGTCTTGTGATTGCTCTGCCCGATAAGTACGGGTTTTATAGCATAGAGGCGAAAGTCGAGAACGATCTACGTCGTTTAGCCGTTACAGAGAAAAAGTCTCTATTGAGGTATTTTACAGGAAATTGGACCATTCACCCCGATTGGTAAGAAAATAATAAAGTTGGTTTATAAAGTAGATTAAGAAGAATAAATGTATGATATTTATACAGGGTGTTAATTAATGTTATGTGCTAAATATAAATTGTATTAGGTGATTCATGGGTTTGAGTCGAAATATTCATCTAATGCAAGTCCACAGAAGCTTGGTTCGATATACAGGGTATATATTTAAACGAAAAAAATATTTTCTGTTTAAAAATGCGTAAAATTACCTATACAGGGAGTTGTGTACAGAAGAAAATTCTCTTCTTAAAGAAGGAGAATTAAAGAAGAAGAAAAATCTATTAGATTATCTTTAGTTTATTATCTATTAGATATGTCTTAAACCCCATAGTTTTCGAGCTATAGGGTTTTATAAACGCATATACAGGGTGGTCCGTAAGTAATGGTTCAAACTGAAATGTTCAGGTGGCGCCCTGCAGAAAATATTTCAATATGGAAAACATATCATGATTTCCCATATATTAAAATACATATGTCCAAATTTTCACGTGCGTATTTCCAAAACCTTTTAAATTGTTGCAAAAAATCATTTTTTTAGATCGTAATATTGTGAGGACATGAATTTTCTCCTTCACGTTGGACCATTACTTACGAATCACCCTGTATAGGTGTGTATTTCGAAGGTTTTCAGTGCATATATTGCCATTTTAGAGCATATTTTGCAAGCTATAATTATCACCCTGTATACCTTCCTGATACTATATTAAGTTTTTAATAAGATAATGCACTTTCAGGCATTACTGTAGATACAGGGATAACCGAAAACATTTCGAAAATCCCGAGGAAGAATTGCTATACTTCCTGCAAATTATGCAAACAACCTCTTGGAAATGGGCTAAGGGGCCCAAATGTAAGAAAAAATATTTTTACAATAAATTTACTATTCACAAAAATTTTGTTTTTACAGGCGATAGAAGATTAATGGTCCAGTTAGTTTCTGATGTTAAATTGACTGATTGGTTTAATGAAAATATTACCACGACCAGTCGAGAAGAAAACGGGTAAGCTATTATAACACAATTTTACTTTTTTTAATTATATTATTAGATACTATTTTTATATGCATTAATCAATATTCTTTTTATTAAATAAGACCTATGTCAATTTTGATGGCGTCAGCAAGGTACAGTACTTAAAGCTATTATCACTTCAAAAAGAACTTATTATAGAAATAAACCCCGTTCTTAAACTTATGAAGATTCATAATATTATGATTTTGCAATAAATATTAACTAAAACAATATTAGGTACATTTAACGGAATAAATTCGTATTTCTTCATCACTAATATCATTAATATCATATGTATGTATTTAATTTGTTTTTTTGTCAATTTATTATTTATTGCAATTTTATTTAGGGACAACGGCCACAACGGATACGAGTTCAAGGAAATATTAGATTTTTTCGAATTGTGCAAGTGTTGCGAGTGCTCATGTAACAATTCTTTTTCATGCAGAGCGGAATTAGTGAAGAAAATAGGAATCGTCGTCGCTTTCATGGCGACGCACAGCGGATTGACCAGGTGGCAGAATTTCCCGCAAAATATCGAAACACCCGAACATGAACCGTACGTTAAACTTACACAGTGACAAAAAAGTACCCGGAAAATTAGAATAAAATGCAAATCTTCTTTAATTTTTCTTGCATCTGCTTCAAAATATGCTCCTTTTGAAGCGATACACATAGTCATATGGCTATTCCAATCATCAATACATTTTTATAGGCCCTTTTTGGTACGGCTTTTAGCTCCTTCTGCGAATTTTTTTTGATGGCGTTTATGGAATCAAAACGGGATCCCCGAAGTGGAAATTTGAGTTTGGGAAACAAAAAATAGTCCAATCCAATATCCAATAAAAACCAATCCAATAATTTAACGGGAGATAGCATAATGATTTTCGAACTCAATTTCCTTCATTTTCATGACTGTCTTTAAAAGTTTTGTAGGTATCATTCGCAAATAGGGGTTTTCGATAAAACAGAGTCCTAAACCTTAAGCATATTTGCATCGATTCGGCCCATTAAACCCAAATTCTTTGTTTATTATTTTTGCCTATTGCCAAAATTAGCAGAGCACTACTGAGATGAACTGATTCAATCAGCTGGTATATCAACCAAACTGATTTAACTAATTAAGAACAGTGATATCTACATACAGAAACTTGAAATAGTTAAAAATATTAATTGCAGGTAATTTAAATCAGAATTTCCGGGTACTTTTTTGTCAGAGGGTATTATTTTTATTAAATTACTCAATTAACTTCTATTATACTGTAGGAACTTCCATGTTCTGCATAATAAGGCTATAGATGAAGTTTGGTACAGAAGAGCCGTAGATCATCATTACGTCGATCCTGGAGACTTTATTTACGCAGTTCCACATTACGTAGGTGAGTGCATTCAATTAAAAAGAATAAGCAACAAGTACAGGTTTGAGTCTTTTAAAAAATATCTTTTAGCGTTAATATAATTTTGAATAGGTACATTTTATTTTTCTATGTAATCTCCTCTTTTATTACTACAAAATTCCCACCGAATCAGAAGTTTTTTAATCCCTTCATCAAAGAAGTGATTGGTTTTGGGTGTATGTTTTGGAAGCATTCAAAAAGCCCATTTTCTTTTCTCGTGCATTTTAAATTGCCTACGCCATTGTGTTTTTTATTCCCTGCTTGTCTGGTCTTGTTTGTTTTAGAAGCCATTGTAGAACAGAAAAATTAATTTTTAGCCACTCAATATTTAAAACGTGCCACTAGTCCATATTGTGATACTTACTCATTTTGATTATAATTTTTTTTCAGAAAATTGGAATATTATAGAATATTAAAACTTAATACAATTAATTGAAACATGACTCACCTTCCTTGTGGTTTTATCCACTTTCACATACTTAATATGTTCTGTTTAAAATGGCGGTGGTCTATTTTATAAGACCATTTCATTTTTGGCGCACTTACTCTACATATGAAAACATCATCTTACTCACTTCAACTAGGAGCTTTAAAAAAATATTCCGGTTAATAGTTGATTCGCCCTCATATATTATAATCTAATTTAACAGTTTTTTAATTGTTTAATTGTATTCAAAGGCAACGACAGCCACAGTTTAGTGACAGTCAGCAGAGCAGTGTTTAAAGAGGACGAAAAAACGAAAGAGAAAGCTCCCGTCGCTGTTGTTGGATACCAATTTTTCCACGGAGCATTGCAAAATTTATTCACGCAAATTACAAGTAACGTAAGCTAATTAGAATTCCATCTTTCCGCCGGATAAATTTTACAATTTCCACATTTATTTTTTAGTGTGGAAACATTCCCTGCACGAGAACTTGCGCCTCTCAAGAACTCAACTGTCTAGTACTCGACGATAACGGTTACGTAATCGTCAGCGACGATCCCAGGAATACGGGATTCTTTTTCGGTAAAATCATGCCCGAAGTGATGAATAAATTAGTGGAAGAGAAAATTTACAAAGCGACCGTAATGTACGATTATCAAGGTTTGTGCGCCGAAGGCCAGGAATCGGAAAGTCCTGCTTCCACACTACTAACGGTAAGTTGAGTGTGTTGCGCACTGGTTCCGGATAAGAACGAAAAGGATAATGAAAACTGTAAGAGATGCAGCAATTTAACCTTCGCTATTTCTTGCTGCAGCCTTTCGCCCACCTAAAGTCCTTATTCGGCTGGATGGCAGGATACTTAGTGATGTTGGGTCGCACGGTGTTCGGTGCGCAATTCGAATCCTTCCCTGTACTAGAGCACTACGATCACTTCGAAGTGATGGACGAGAACGAGTACGCGTCTCACGATCACGAGCACGATCACTACGAGGAATCGGAGATGCCGCTCAGCGACAAGGAATTCGTGCAGAAATTCGCCATCGAAAAGACCAAACCGGAACCCTGCGACACGCAAATGGCTCTCTACACGCTCGTCCCTTATACCGATAGGGAAATGAGCAGCAGCGCTTATAACAAGACGATGGAAGGGTGCACCAGGTAAGTTCGGACATTATATGTATTATTTATGCGAGATTAATCGGGGTAGATGATGTTCATTTGAATTCTTAGAGGTTCCTGAAGCGTAAGGAATATTTTTTGGCCATCCTGTATCAATAATTACAATATTTAATTATAGTAGTGAACAAATTAAAAAAAGTACAATTAATTGTTTATAAAGTTAATACGTTTTTACTATGTTTTTATACGTTATTACTGAAAAACTAAGCTTGTTTAATTTAAAAATGTTTACAGGGTAAAAAAGTCCCAAATAGTAGAATTTAAGCATGAAAAAGAACGCCTGCAGAATCATTTAGAACGGTCTAGAATTATTTAGAACGATCCAGATTCATATAAAACTGTCCAAAATAATTTCGAAGTGTCTAGAATCATTTCGAACTCTCCAGAATCATTTAGAACGCTCCAGAATCATTTAGAACTGTCTAGAATCATTTAGAAGGCGCCAGATTCATTAAGAAGACTCCAGAATCATTTAGAACGCCCCAGAATCCTTTAGAACTGTCTATAATCATTTCGAAGTCTCCAGAATCATTTAGAACCGTCTAGAATCATTTAAAACGCTCCAAAATCATTAGAAACTGTCTGGGATCATTTAGAACTGTTTAGAATCATTTAGAACGGTCTAGAATCATTTAGAACGCGCCAGATTCATTAAGAAGACTCCAGAATTATTTATAATGCCCCAGGACCATTTAAAACTGTCTACAATCATTTAGAACTTTCCAGAATCATTTAGAACGCTCCAGAATTATTTAGAACGCCCCAGAATCCTTTAGAACTGTCTAAAATCATTTAGAACGCGCCAGAACTATTTTGAACTGTCTAGAGTCATTTAGAACGCCCCAGTATCATGTAGAACTGTATAGAATCATTTAGAACGCTCCAGAACCGCTTTGAACTGGCTTTAACCATTTAGAACGACTTTGAATAATTACTTTTTCAATTAAATTAAAGAATTAATCAAGTTGATCGAGTCCTAAATTTCCATTCTCTTGCCTCTTCAAAAAACCCTTAACCCTAAAACCACGAATACAAGTTATTTTTGAAAAAAAAATCACTTTCATTTGATAAAGAGTGTATTTCCTGTTTCAGGCCTTACATCGTCCAGAAAATTTCGGGCAGCAATACAATTCTCCTAGTAGTAAACAGCGTTTGTATAAGTGAACCAATTAGTGATATCATTCAAACGCCTGATCCTGTAGAAGTGGACTATAACATGTCTCTATCATGTTATAGAGCTTTGTTCAATGACTTTCCGAGACGGCACTACATGAGTTGCATAAATAGAAACGCTAACGTAAGTAAACGAATGATAAAGATAATTGAATGGGTGGGTGGTTGGAAAAAGGATAAAATTCCAAAAATATGTCGAATTAAAGTGAGATAGCCGTTTTGTTGTAATTTATCTTATCTTCCCGCCGAGCACAAAAAAATAAAATTTCCGGCCCCCTTCACATCATAATTTTATTGGTGAGTGGTAAAAGGATAATATTCCTGAAATTTTAACCGGGTGGTTTACTGCATTGACCATGAATAGCAGATCAATATTTTCCTATTCAAGATCATAGTTTTTTCATTGTGACAGAGTGACAGAATTTTTTCCTGGAACCAAAACACAAAGTTTCAAGTAAAACGGCTATCTAATACCGATATACAGGGCGTTCATTAATTCAGTGCCGAATCTTCAGAATGTGAATATTTGGATGATTGGTCCTAAACCTATCAATCTGTTAAATGTCATATTTTGGCATTCAACCGTATTTCAGCGGTTATTCCATCTAACGAATCTGAAATAATGTATATAACGAATATAACGAATCTTTCTTAAATCAGAACCTATTTTTAAATTCTATTTCGGAATTTTTCTATCTATCTAATTTATATTTCTATCACTATCTTCGGAAGATGAATTCAACAATTCATAAAACTCTATTCTATTTAACTTCTCCATTATATCCAAATAGTCATAAGAAATTTGAAAATTTCGACATTTGAATTGAAGTTGTCAGTCTGTTAGTTATTTTATCAGTTCGGTGTTTTGCTCTGTTACTTTTATCCGACTGTTAAGTATTAACTGACATTGGTGAATGCCAAAATATGACGTTAACAGATTGACAACAACTTATCTCTCTGTTAGCTATTAACCAGACATTGGTGAATATGGCCGTAAGTAATTTGGTTTTTTTTTGGATTGTTGCAGGAAAGTGAAATAAAAATTTGCGGAAAATGCTCTTATGTATCGCCCATGAAGAACATCTCGATCTTATTAATCGCATTTTTATCTCGAATTTTGCTATCGTAAATTTATTAGGCTAGTCAAATTAACCTAACAACTGTGATACATTTAAATTTAAATAATTCTTAAAATTATCAATAGTGTACTTTTTCAAATAATTGTATAAGTGGATACATTTGTTAAGTTTTCTTTGTTTTTATAAGTTTATGTTTGTTGTATGTTGTTATAAATTCTCTTAATTATTGCATATCCTGTATAAATTATACTCTATTAAATCATTTTAAAGTTAACAAGTTAAATAAAACTCCTATCACAATTCCTAACAAAAGAAAAAGTGAATAATAATGTACAAGTTATTTTTTGCATTATTTATTAACAGCCTTATTTATATAAAAATACTATGTCATTTTTAAACTCTCTTCTATTATTTATGAGTAAAATATTGTTAAATGTTTATAATAAAATTTTTATACGCTCCGAGGCAAATGTATCGCTTCTTTTGGAAAAACAAGAATCAGATGTGTAAAAAGGGATTGTCTCCAAAAGAAGAGCTAATTTTAATTTGAATACAATTTGTATGCCTTTCCCAACGTAATTTTAGGCAAATATTAGAACAGTTTGATACATTTATTTATTATAAATTGGCTGACGATGTTTAGATTTTAAAATACATATTTAAAATTTAAACGTATATTCGGGAATGCGATCATTTAAAAAATAGGAACCCGATATAATAATCTATAAACTTTTCACTCTTAAATAAAAAAAACAAAGTATTTTACTACAAAATTGCATCATTACAAACATCGCAATAAAATAATTTGATTTATTTTAAAATGCTTAAACTATAATTAAAGAGATATAAAAAAACACAAAATAATTTTCTGATACAGATAGAGATGTAACACGATCACTAATTACTTCGTTTGTTGCATTTTGGCTTGCATCGCAGCAATCATTTCCTGCATTCGTTTCAATTCAGCTTCTTTCTCCTGCAATATTTTGTCTTTTTCCGAGATCGGTGCAGACGTGTCTTCCACCCTGAAATTTTACAACAATACAATAATTAAGGGCGCCACTTTAGGGTATTTTTAAATGGGAAGGTTTAGTAAGTATGTAAGTTTAGTAAGTTAGTAAGTAGGTTTAGTAATGCTAGTAAGATTCACATTTGGTTACATCAATTGATTTGAATCTTTCTTATACCTAATATAGGGACTCCAAGCAATGATATCGCCTATTTTTAGTCTCACCTACTTCATTAGGTATACAGTATGTCTGAAAAAGTTGGCAACATATGGGAAACTTTTTTATTTGTAATGTTGCGAAAAAGTTATTCTTAATAAAAAAATCTGCATGGCCAATAAAGTTAAACGCAAATGTCAAATGTCAAATTTTATAATCGTATTCGAGATTTGTCAAAAAATATGAATTTGATACAAGAGTAAAGTACCTATATTTTTACAATATCGAAAACGTTAATTATGAAAAGTTGTTCGAAATAGAAAACTATGTTTTAATATGCAATTAGATTATACTACTTAAAAAATTTTGTTATTTTTACTAATTGTTCTCAAAATATTAAATGTAATTTTAAGGTGTTGATAGGAATTAAAAATTATCTTTAAATGCAATTACTGATTACTTAACTTATTATTCCATTGCAAAATTGATAAACTGACTATCTGTTAAGAATTATCTCAAATAGACAAATACGTAATTAGAATTATTTATTTCCAAATATTCCTATTACTTTTTTGTAATTTGTAGACACCCTGCATATCTCATGTCACCTGAATATTATTATTTTCGAAAGCAGAGATTTTCAAAAAGAATATTTTTTTTTCGTAAAACTTGCAATAAAGAAGTTTCCATGTTGTCAACTTTTTCAGACATACTGTATATTTAAGAAAATTTAAATCAAAAACTGCCATACATTTATTAACAGGGTTTTTTAAATGTTAAAACGTAATTCTAGCAAAACTCGAGTTTTATTGAACGAATGTGTGAATAATTTTAGTAGGATGAAGAATATTTAATAGAGAGCGATGTCTCCTAGTTTATATTAATAAAATATTAAATTATTAATTAATATATAAAGTGTTTTAGCAAATGATGATGATAGATTACTGTAAAATTATGGTGTCAGTGGTTTCCGTTTTTCAGATATTTTTGAAAAATTAGTCCTTTTTTAAAGGACAGGTAAGATGTAATAAGGTATTTCCAGTGCTCCGGAATACTTTTGGAGCACTCTAATGAAGCACACTATTTTAAAATCCTACTTTTATCTTTTCAAATTGCAGGGACGTTTGATTTTATGTAAAGTGTAATCAAACACGAAACATCAACTAGTTAAACTATTCTCATCCCATCTATTGTCGAAAAATTTTATCAAAATTGTAAACATTTAGGAATATAAATCCTCTATATCCCGCGAATTATGAATTTTAGGGCGTGCTTTGGCGGCCTTAATAAACACCACAAAAATAAAAAACTGCCACTCGCTGTGATATGTTCTTCTCTCGCTGACTTGATTTTTTCTATGATCTTCAAATAATCTGTAATAATTGTTTACTAACCCATTCTTCTTGGGCACGGGTCCCTCTTTGGCCAGCCTCTCGGACCTGTAATTTTCGTAATGGACTTGTTGCGTGATCTCCTGCAGATCCTGCATGTGAGTGATCAGCATCGTCCTCAATTTGATGAAATCGCAATGTTCCGGATTTTCGACTTCGACGACGCCCCACGGATACAATCGCCCTTTGACCTTGCGACCCTTCACCTCCAGCTCCGTGTTAGCCCCACACACGGCGAACGGGACAGCCTGTTTCAACTGGCGCACCTGCGGATACCGATAAGTTTAATGCGTGTTGAAAAAAAATAAAGTAGCTTCCGTAATCGAATTAAAATGATAATTTTTAATATATGGAAATGGTTAATCATGGTGTATAATTTTCTGAGAAAACAATAATTTCCATAACTAATCAGTGTTTTCGGAGAAAAGGACATTTAAAAGAAGATTTATTTACCTGGGGCTCAATTCTCGACTTCACGTGAAAAGATTCACATGGGAAATAATTCCACTACATTTATTCACGTGCTTATCTGAGACAGTATTCTTGGTTATAGTGGAATATATTTTCACATGGAAACACTCTTGATACGTACGTCTAATATTAACTAGATATTTAGTCAATCACATTTCGCCATTTTAGATTTGTTATGTTGACATTCCTGACTATGCGACAGCATTGACAGCAAACTTGTCATGTCTTATTTTAATTTTGTTTCATCTTCATGTTTTGTTACTATACAAGTACTATACTGTTTGTATAGTATAATACCTATATTCTGTTAATATCTCTAGCTATATGAAGCTCAAAAACAATTATTAAATAATAGTGGCTCTAAGAGGCCTTCAAGTTCTCGAAAATTTGATGGTACTTCTTTGTACAGCCTGAGTAACGCTATAAAATGTTCATCACTTACAGTGATAAAACGGATCTCCAGCATTCCACTTTGAATCAAGGTTTAAAAACCTTTTTCCCTTACTTTTTGCTTCTATCTTTTACTTCAAAGTAAATGCTTCATTTTTATAAATATGGACCAATATCTTGGCCTCTTCTAACATTCCTAAATTAACAAGAGCTGCTTCTTCCATATTTAGGTTTATCAAAAAACAATATAACAAATAGCGACAGAACTTGAAAAAACCACAATTGCGCAATGTCATTTCAGTAATTCCATTAGAAATTTCAAATCCACACAGATATACCCATATGAAAATATTCGAACACTATTTGTGTGAAAACATTCACGGGATTTTAACGAGAATACCAAATTTTAATTCACATGACAAAATTTTTTATTCCCATGTGAATAAATGTCGAGAATTGAGCCCCTGCAAAGAAAAAAATTATTTGTTGACAGTTGTTCGTGTGCGTATGTTGCGCTACCATGAAAATTCCAATTTTAATAATTTTTTTTCCGAGGGGGTTGGGTGTGGAATTTTACGCTGAAATTTTATAATCTTCAATAAAATGAACTAAATTTTCATAAAACAAAATAAAAAAAAATCGTAACGGAAGCTAATTATAAATTAATCGGGTAAGTATACTCGTATGTACCTGTTCTTTGTATTCCTCGTCCTCGTCGGAGTCGCATTCGGGCAATGAGTATATCCTTATGCCGTTTTTCGCGATTTCTTCTAAAACCGTTTTCTTCAATTTTTGCATTTCTTTTTTAGTTAGAACGTCGGCTTTGGCGATCACAGGAACTATGTTTACCTTGTTGTGAAGTTTCTTCATAAACTCTATATCTAATGGCTTCAATCTATAGAATTAAAGGAAATCATTTTTATTCGGGTGGATTTGTACAAATTATTTACAAGTTCTAGTTTCGTATAATACAAATTAGTGGTCATTGTAATATTCGGTGTTTTATATTAAATAATATTTCGGGTGTTATTCACATGGGTACCGTTACATGATTCATTGATTCATTCTATACATTGGACAATGAGAAACGCTAACCGCTTAACGATTAAACAGCGCTATTTATCATTTAAAAGAATCATGTTTAAGGCTAACATCTATTTTATTGTAATTCCATCTTCTAACGATGATAAAGTAACTTATAAGAGCTAAATAGGAACCCTATTAAAACAAACGGATAGTTTTGAAAAGATGAGCTTTTTTGTCCTGAAATTTCTTTTTTTATACTTACAAGAAAAAAATTAATAGCTAAAATAAATTTTTTAGGGGCCATTTGATTTTTTTGAAATGACTATCTTTTAACTGACTCTTCTCGGTGTAATTTGTAAACAATGAAAGTAAACATAACTAACAGAATATAACAGAATATGGACAGCCGGCATTGTATGGGTACATACAGGTTGATTCATTTTAGTCTGCCATATAGGCAATTTAGGCTATGGGTACGATAAAGACAACTTCCATTAGACACAGATAAAGGAAGAAAAGTGATATTGTTTCATTGCAACTTTTTACTCTGACAACTGTTATTTTAATAATCTTTCTTTGTTCAACTCATAGAAATGTCCATATTGCAAACTGAAATGAACCAAAAGGTACTATAGTGATATGTAAGCACTTTTATGAAAATTGAATATATTTTTTGAGTTAATCTACTGAAATGCACATGGTGTTGATTACTAATTGCATTCGCTCTGGAAGAAAGATTATACATATCAAGGTTAAACATAATTGATAAAAAAAGTGATATTTTATATCGTGAATTGCATAAATTAGCGACAAATAAACAAAAACAATGCTACTGATACAATGCATTTCCTGTTTATGCAAAATGGGTATAAACATTTTTTATTAAACTACTTAAGCAATTAAGTGAGTGATATAATTAATAATAAAAATATGTAAATTATTTCAATAACAAGCAAAATGAATGATATTAGTGTGTCTTAAGTAGCACATGTGGAACCTGATCCAGTGCAAAATGAAAAGCATTTCCTGTCTTCAGAAGAATATATTATTGTATATGTTAAAGCATATGGTAAGAAATCACATGTTCAAATTAGGCAATAGTAATAAAAATTCAAAACAATTACAACCATTTCCTGTTCAGAGTTCAGTAACATTCAGAGTAATTTTGTATTCTAAGAAACTACTAAATTAAATCAAAATATTTGTAGTTTTTCCTTTAGAAGAAAACAAGGTCTACTTTTAAAAATAGAAAAAAGTACGTTACTTACCCATGTCCAAAAGGAGATATAAAATAAAAACAGCAGTGCACTCTGTTATCCATTATATTCTTTCTATTGAGACCGGATTCGTCTTTCAAAAATCTCTCAAACTGTTGGTTAATATAACCGATAATTTCATTGAAAGAATCTCGATTATCGATAGCATCTCCGTATCCAGGAGTATCGACAACTGTCAATCTTAATTTTACACCTCTCTCTTCTATTTCAACCGTGGAAGGTTCTAATCTAACAGTCTGCTGCATTTTTTCTAAAAAAATATTTTCAAATTTCAATAAACTGAAGATCAAAATATGAAAATTATAAAAGCAAGATTTACCTACAGAATATTAATACTTTATAATAGTTACCCCAATTGAATTATTAATGATTTCAAATTAAAGTACATTCTGCATTCTTCATAAAATAATTTTCTTGTTTTTGATGCATAATTATATAATAAAAAATAATAACGAATTAAACATTTGAGATAGGTTTAGTCTCTATCTTCAAATATTATTACTCAAGCTTCATATTGCAAAATAACAAAAAATTCGTAATATGCAAGGACATTCAAATATCCTTTTAAAAATATTAAATCTGCCTCATTTTAAAGGTATGTGGAAAAATAATGACCGAATAAAAATAATATAACTTACCCATAGCGCCCGGAATAAGTCTTTCTGGATACAAATCAGTCAGAAATAAAGAGGTAACTAAAGTGGACTTCCCCAATCCACTTTCTCCAACAACCATAAGGGTAAATTCGAAACCCTTTTTCACAGACTTTCGATGGACTTGGTTGGGTAAATTCGCGAAACCCACATACCCTGGGGTTTCCAAACTTGAAAACTGAAATAAAGAGACAAATTTAAATAACGCATTACCCTTTAAACTACTATTAATTTCTCGAAAGCCCGGCGTAATACCACAAAGGAATTAGTATAAGGTTCAAAAAAAAAATAAACAAACGTGTAAACATATACAAAAACCGACAAAATTTTATAATATCGATACTAAGGCACTAACGTTTTTTACCGATTCACTCGACATCTCGCTTCTTAATTAGATTTTGTTACAACTAGACTAACTACTTCAAGTATTTGGCAAAAAATAGACTACACAAACACAAACGGAACGAAGCAGTTACAAATTGACGTTTATCATTACAGCCATTTTCAAACACACTGGAAATACGATCAGTTGATTGGCCAACAGTATTTCAAGGACAAGGTGGGGTGTGGTCATTGTGAGTCATTCTACTTCTTATCTATCAACCTGTGACCATCGATGTTAAAGCTCTTCAGTTCTATATGTAAATATAAAATATTTTTCTTATTATTGGCGGGGCTATACTAAATACTGAACCTTTTTAAATCAATAACAAATACATAAAGGAGATATGAATTTTATTTTTATTTGGGTTACAAAAATTACGGGTAGCTGAATTCCTTATAAAAGCAGGTTATAATACAACAAAACGTAATAAGTCCACATGTTAATGACATATGTCATTTACGTCAAATTACTTAACCAAACTAATTTGTGCAAATCGAGTTAAAAGGAAATTGCAATAAAAGGAAAGTGTTTTACTAAATTATAAAAAATGGGTAAATTAAACGTCGCTATAATGCGCTACCTAACAGTAGAAGATTTCCGTGTGCTGACAGCGATAGAAATGGGCATGAAAAATCACGAATTAGTGCCCGCTGCGATCGCTTCCTCCATAGCAAATCTTCAGCATGGCGGTGTAAATAAGATACTCCGTGAATTGTGCAAACACCGTTTGCTTACGTACGAAAGGGGCAAACGGTACGACGGTTACCGTTTAACCAATGCTGGTTACGATTACTTGGCTCTGCATTCGCTTACGAAACGAGACGTTATAACATCATTCGGCAATCAAATAGGCGTTGGTAAAGAGAGCAACATTTACACTGTTTCGAACAGCGAAGAAGAACCGCTTTGCTTAAAATTACACCGTTTGGGCAGAATATGTTTTAGAAAAGTTACCGAAAAAAGGGATTATCACAAGCACCGTAAATCCGTCTCATGGTTATATTTATCCAGGATATCGGCCACAAAGGAATTTGCTTATATGAAGGCTTTATACGAGAGAAAGTTTCCTGTTCCGAGACCTATTGATTTCAACAGACACTGCGTCGTAATGGAATTGATTCAGGGAAAATTGTTAAACCATGTAGCAGATGTTACAAACGTGGATGCCTTATATGACGATCTCATGAATCTGATTGTTCGTTTTGCTGATTCCGGTGTAATACACGGCGATTTTAACGAATTCAACATAATCCTCAACTCCGAGGAGAAACCGATCATCATCGATTTCCCGCAAATGATTTCTACGCAGCATCCAAACGCAGAGTATTTTTTCAATAGGGACGTCAATTGCATTCGGGAATTTTTCAAGAAAAGGTTTGACTACGAAAGCGAGTTGTATCCCAAATTCTCAGATATCCAGAGGGATGATAATTTGGACGCTGAAGTGGCGTGTTCCGGATTTACGAAGAAAATGGCTAAGCATATTAATAAGGAACTTGGATATACAGATAGCAGTGATGATGAAGAAGATAATGATAATGATGAAATTGACAGCTCAAGCAAGTGTACAGATTCAAATAAGCCTGATGCTCCAAACGAATGCAATTCTGGCGACAATTCTACCTTGAACTACATTTTCCAGCAAATGAAACTTAAAAATACTTACGATAATCAAACGAAAGACCAATCTGGAGGTAAGATGCACTATATAAAGGGTGTTCCATAATGACTTGCTAATATTTAAGAGTGCTTTTTAATTTTAAGATAGCTTTTTTTCAATATTTAATTTTGCTTTTTTAATACACAGATGACGTGGAATCGTTTTCGGATTGCTCTGAAACTGCGGATAATTTTGATTCGCGAAGTATGCTATCTACAACATCTACCATACCCCCCGATGAGATTAAAAGAAGGCTGAAGAAGCAGATGGTGAATAAGGATAAACGACAGCAAAGAAAAAGATGCATTGCTAAAGGGGAAGCAAATGCTGTAACTAGAACGAGGAGGGAGAATGCGAATGCCGTAAAAATGAATGGGATTTGGGATGATTAATAAAAATGTTATTATGACATATACAGAGAGGGCAACTTCGAGCGCTGCAAGCATTAGAAAGAAACCCTCAATCGATATAAGTAAGGAAGAGAAATTCAGTCGAACTGAGGATTGCCGGTCGATATTAGAATTCGCTTTGTCCACTAGCGAATAGCGGGGATAGCGGACGTGACTATTTCGTATGCTATCTTTATTCCTTACATAGCAAAAGTTCAATTAGCTATCTCATTATATGCTGGCAGCAGTCGAATTTGGCCTCTCTGTATGTTTAAGTTTATAGATGGGAAGCATTTTCTAATTTTTTAACGATTTAATTGAATTGGACAATGTGGTATGTGTATTCAAATTGGTTAATGTAAAAAATGACTGTTTATAAGTTTAATTTTTATTTTTTTTCCTATTCGACACGATATTTAAAATTTTTATTTATTTTATCGATACTTTTATTTGATGTGTTTGATAAAAATAGTTCATGTATGCCTACAAAATGATTATTTTATTGGCTTTACAGGATGTCCCATGACGAGTTAAAACTGCCTGTATATAGGAACCTTATCCGATTTAAATAAAATTTGGTATACATGCTTATGTCATGCAATAAGACGAACCTCTAAAAATATTTTGACATTCGTATCACTTCCGATTGTACAGGAAGTTACTATCAACTTTGTTATTTCAAATGGAACACACTGTATATTGATGTATTTTTGAAAACTACGTAAAATTTCAGGGTATAAAATACTTAATTCCAAAAATGCATTCTTTTTGAGCTAATTGTTTTGCAGAAAAAATTTGCCGATGCAGACCCTTAGTAATAATTTTTATTTACGAGAGGATACCCTTAAAGATAGAACAAGGTAGGGTGGCGACTAGAAAGGGTAATGGTATTTGAACCTGCGTTGAAAATTTTATATAGGTTGTGTATAAAAAGTGTGAAAAGTTGTACTTCAAAAATATCAAATTTCTTCATTTTTTTAGTGGAACCGCACATTTTTTCTATTTGAAATCAGCGCTAAAAAATAAGGAAAGTTCATGTTTTCTTCCCTATACCTAAACCTAATACTTTTGAATACAATTTGGCCATAAATTATTCTTGAATAATTGATAGTTAATTTTGGTTAAACATGGTAGCACTTAAATGATGACTGCAGTTTCAGGAAGTGATTCCTTGTCATATTTTATGATGAAAAGTTCAGATAAACGTATGTCCTAATTTGCTTCGTTTCCGAGTAACGGGGTGTTAAATGTGGGTCTAGGTAAATTGTTCTAAAGCAATTGTTCGAACAGGTCAATTGTTCTCTTTTCAGATGCATCCATAATAGGTAATATTTGTAGGTAGATTAAACAGGCTCATTAAAATAGTAGGATTACCTACATGAAAGTAATGTTTCCAGTTACAAACCCAATTAGGAACACCTAATATTACTCCCACAAAATATATAAAGGGGAGGCTCATAGAGTTGTATCCATTATCGTATTCGATACCTAAAGTATAGAGTCGCAAGTTAATATTATTGTTAAAATGGAGTTTGTTACAAGTGAAAAAGGAAATCGTAAGTTGGTATATTCCGGTTTCATGTTTGTTAAAGACAAACAAGTCGGCACCAAAATCTATTGGAAGTGTGAACACTTCCATACCAAAAAATGCCGATCGCGAACAGTGAGCGCAACAGTGAGTGGATACTCAGCAGGAAATTTACCGGAGATTAACAATATTCGTCGGACCATTCGGAATATTCGAAGCAAAAGTGATGCTGCACCTGCTATTCCGCAATCCAGGTCAGATATTATTATTATTCCGGACTCATAACCCAAGACGGAAAACGGAGAAGTTTTTCTTCAGTATGATTCAGGGGCTAGCGATTCAAGAATATTAATTTTTGGATCACAGCAGTCAGTAAATCTTCTGGAGAGATCAAAGCATTGGTTTATGGATGGAACATTTAAAACAGTTCCCCATTTATTTGCACAACTGTACACTGTTCATGACTTAAAAGACAATTATGCCATTCCGCTATTATATATGTATACTACTTCCCTCTAAGACGGAAGAAGTGTACACAACAATGTTACAGCAGATAAAGAATATCTGTCCCAGTGCTGCGCCGGATTCAGTCATGATAGATTTTGAGAAGGCGACGATAAACGCAATATCAACAGTTTTCCCAGAAGCCGCTATAAGAGGATGTTTTTTTTTCACTTTTGCCAGTGCATTTATAGAAAACTGCAGTCATGTGGACTGAAAAATCGATACGACAACGATCCCCAGTTTTCTCTGAACATGAAGAATGTTCAGAATGTTCTCAGAATGTTCAATGCACTGGCATTTGTCCCAGTAGGATTTGTTGAGGCTGCCTTCGTAGGTACTTATTAAAATTTCTATTTTCTATTCTCCCGACTCTATTTTCCTAAATATCTTGAGACAAACTATACAAACCTGTTATCGATTAGTATCGATTCGTACCTACATATCTCGACCTTCTGATTTCTTATGATTCTCTTGTTGTCTCTCGAATTGACATTTTTGGTAATTTTGGTGCATTCATTTTATCTTTAAGATTTAAAAGTCTCGTATATTGTTAGTGTATAATAAGAATTGTGTGTTGTTAAATGATATTTCCATTCTATTGCTCGTTTTTCAATAGTAAGGAGTGAGTTTTTTTATTCAGCCATTTATATTAAAAGGTTCGTTAAATATGTTTACTATTTTCAATAAAATTTTTACTATTTTACTGTTATTAGTTTTTATATTTTATTACTAAATTTAAATTCTGGATAAAGCCCATTAAATCATCGGCTTAATTTATTAGATACATACATTTAGTAGATATCCAATCACCATTAGTAAATTTCAAAAGGTGATATTTTTTAAATTTATTATTTTGAACAAGTCATATTTATGCAAAAAAGAAGTAAAATATTGTTTAAATTGTAAAATTCATTATACCAGTAGTACATATTTAAACATTATTAGGTATTCTAAGAATATATGACTATGTATCCCATTATTAATATAACATTGTTTTTAGATTTTATTCTTTGCCCAGTAAAAAGAGAAGACATCTTATCTTATGGCAAATTAGCAGCAATACTCTCTGATGAGAGATTACAGCAAAAGTAAGTCAATAAATTATGAATCAAAATCAGTGCAATTTGTGATAGAAATCGATAAATTTATCGAAACTTATAATTTTGCAGGTACTTTCACACTCAAACATTTAAAGAATTTCTATATTGAAAGAACTTTTAATTTCATCATAATCAAGAAAAAAATTGAAACCAAACGAAGGCTTGATTCAATGCAATAGACAATGGATGAGAAGGATTTATTTTTAACCCTTTATAACAATTATCCAAAGGATATCGCGTGTTATATTTTACCTTAATCTTTAGAATTGCAGAGAACTTTATAGCATTTCGATTCAAATCTGGGCATTATTGCTTGTATGTATAGGTAGGTATTTTCTCAATTTTCTGAATTTTATAAACATTTAAAACCCTTACTTACAAACATTGTTCTCATTTTTGACGAAATGGCTATAAGTACATCATTTAGATATAAATATTAAACATAAATACAATGACGGTTTACAAAATTTCGTTAATGGAATAACAACTTGCAAATCATGTGTTAGTATTTGTGTACTAGTTAGAAGCGACTTATATGTACGTATAGCATATTATTTTGAAAAATCAGCTATTAAACCTGTGCAATTGCAGAATTAATTACCAGAAATGATTTAAATCTTTAGTGACCATATTCAGCAGGACTTGTACTAAATTTATGATAGACATATTTGATCCTTCTCCTGTAATAAAATATTTTAGAAATCACTTAATGTCAAAAGACATCCTTCTCATGGTGGACACAATTGCAAAATGGAGTAATATAAAAAATACATGAATGGTTAAACTTATTCAAAATTATTCCCTAAATTGCCCATTGAACCGATTTTTAAGAAAAAACATAGAATTAAATATGCGGCTTAAATTTTTGGCCAGTCTATTTTGTTGATAGGGAAACGCCGAGTGAAGCAACTTTTATTAAAAAAAAATGTGCTTATTTCTTACTCATACAGATCTTTTTCAAAAATATGGCCTTCAACAGTCAATTCAAAATGGTCTCCATTTTGCAATTATCCATGTTGAAATGTAGATTGAATGAATACCTAATATTGTAGAAATGTAAGGAATAGGGATATTTAAAAGAGTAATATTTAAAGTATTTGTCCACTCGCAAATAGCAATTTTAATCAAGATCCTTAGAGAATATTTTTGGGATTGTGATCAAAATTTTCGACTTACATCTACATACACAGTTTATTGCAGCTTCTAAAAAACTTATTAAATAATTTTGTTTGTTTGTGTAGAGCGGAATTTTTTTTTATAAATTATCTAAAGTTGCATCTAAATATTATATGTATTCCCATAATTAAAGAAGTTTAAGAAATGGAGTTTTTGAAACTACGGGATTATTTTCATTTACCAAAGCTGGAGCATCTTCTATTGCATCAGTTTTATTATACAAAAAATATTTAGAGAAGTTGTGACAATAGTAACGACATAGAAAATTTAAAGTGAAAGATCTATTCTACTATAATACTGTCAGTACTGATGAATATTTAAGAGCATTTGCACTAATACTTTGTAAATCATTTTTGGTAAAATTTGTCTAGTATATGTACAGTTTTATTAATTGCGTCTAATTAGGTACATCTCTCAATTTTTTGTAAATATGTTCATTCTATTGTTATAGTACAATAGGCGAAGTAAAAGCGATTCAGGTGACTGTGGGAATTTTTCAAATTGTAATGAGCTCAGAAAAACCATGCTACTTATAAGAGAAAAATCCGAAAACAAATTAATTAAACAATACCAAATAATAATAAATAATAAAAAAATATAAAAGGCTGTTAAAATTAGCGATAATGCACAAGCTAGTTGTTCAAGTTCAGTGGGACTTGGATATAAACAGTATCCACAGATTTAGAAAGTGCAAGTTTTGATAAATAGCACTTGATAAAATGTATCCTAACACATACTTGCGGCATCAAAATCAAAGTAATAGAAAAACATAAAAAACATCAAAGATACTGTAATAGAAGTAATGATTATGGATAGAATATAAATTAGAGGATTGAAGCTTCGAAATTAATTAATGGGGTACAAGTAATTAATGCATTGAGGCATATGATCGGACATAGGATGCATTATAAGCGCAAGAACTCAATAAGTATGTATGTAGGTGTTAATAATAAATTTTGTTTGCAATCATTGAGCATGAATGTTTTATAATTTGAAATGGAACCTTTACATATCCATGGAAAGCAAAATAATATTAGAAGGTTTCGAATCTTCAATGAAAATGTACAGGGTGGCCAAATAAGGATGGATCTCGGCCATATCTCGCAAACTAATTGTCATAGAGACTTGCGGTAAAAAATCTTATGATTAAATCGGCAAAAAGAAAATGCTGGAAATAATTTTCAGGTCTCTAAAACGGCCGCTAGGGGGAGTATTCGCCATCTTGATTTTAAAAAGTCATTTTTTTCAAAATTTTCCTAAATAAAGGTATCAAAAATGTGTTTTATTTTGATAGTTAAGTTAATTTCGATTATTTTTGGTAATATATTTTTGACTCTATCTTTTAAAATAAAGTAGTGGGGGTGGTTTGAATATTTTGACAAATAAATGTTAATAACTTTTAAATGGCTGAACCTATTTTCAAAAAAATGAAATTGTTGAAAAGGGATTTCTTTGGTCTATAATTTACGCTATATAAGATATTATTTTAATTACTTGCTTTGCCGCAAGATGGCGTTTTTCGACATTACTTCAAACAACACCGATTTTCTCAAAAAATTTAAATGCAACGATATAACTTTTTCTTTGGAGAAAAATAGTCAAATAATTACCAAACAAGCCTGTGAAAACCGAATCTCGATATCTCCTTCCTAACCTAAAATATATCTGAAAAAAGAAAAAATCAAGAAAATGCGTATATTTTTGGTGCACTACCAGTATAAAAATCTCTAATTAGCGTTGTTCCATCCACAAAAATTATCAATTTATAAATAATCTTCAAGTATGATATTTAGAAACACCAAGCTAAGTAATATTCATTCAATAATTATTGGATTTCCCTTCTATTCGCACTAGTTGAGAACAAACGAAATAACCATGCCGTGGAAAATAAAAAAAAAACCAAAAAACTGGACGCAGAAGGTCCAGAATAATTAAGGACGTTGGTATCAACGTGTGGTGTAGTATACAAGGTGAAAGTTGTTGTTCCCTGGTTTATTTATGGGCGACTCAACGGACAAATATTTCTAAATTATCTACGTAACGAATTTCCTGGGTTATTGGTAGATGTTCGTCTGGAAACTCAAAGAAATATGTATTCCCAACCCGATGAATGCCCAGCTCATTTTTGTAGACTAGTTAGTTAGATTTTTTTGTTTTTTTTTATTTTCCACGGCATGGTTATTTCGTTTGTTCTCAACTAGTGCGAATAGAAGGGAAATCCAATAATTATTGAATGAATATTACTTAGCTTGGTGTTTCTAAATATCATACTTGAAGATTATTTATAAATTGATAATTTTTGTGGATGGAACAACGCTAATTAGAGATTTTTATACTGGTAGTGCACCAAAAATATACGCATTTTCTTGATTTTTTCTTTTTTCAGATATATTTTAGGTTAGGAAGGAGATATCGAGATTCGGTTTTCACAGGCTTGTTTGGTAATTATTTGACTATTTTTCTCCAAAGAAAAAGTTATATCGTTGCATTTAAATTTTTTGAGAAAATCGGTGTTGTTTGAAGTAATGTCGAAAAACGCCATCTTGCGGCAAAGCAAGTAATTAAAATAATATCTTATATAGCGTAAATTATAGACCAAAGAAATCCCTTTTCAACAATTTCATTTTTTTGAAAATAGGTTCAGCCATTTAAAAGTTATTAACATTTATTTGTCAAAATATTCAAACCACCCCCACTACTTTATTTTAAAAGATAGAGTCAAAAATATATTACCAAAAATAATCGAAATTAACTTAACTATCAAAATAAAACACATTTTTGATACCTTTATTTAGGAAAATTTTGAAAAAAATGACTTTTTAAAATCAAGATGGCGAATACTCCCCCTAGCGGCCGTTTTAGAGACCTGAAAATTATTTCCAGCATTTTCTTTTTGCCGATTTAGTCATAAGATTTTTTACCGCAAGTCTCTATGACAATTAGTTTGCGAGATATGGCCGAGAGCCATCCTTATTTGGCCACCCTGTACAATTTAAAGTACGGGAAAATTATTTGACCATATACATATTGCAAACGAATTTGAACTTACGAATTATTATTTTGCATTGTGGATGATCGATGGTTGGATAGAGGGTGCATTGCTACTCTTAGCGAAGAATATCTCTGATTCGTCCCTAGACTATCACGGTTGTCATGGACAATGCTCCTTATACCATTCAAGGCAATTTAAAAAAACCCAATTCGACTTTGAACAAGCCGTTTTTAACGCAGCAGGATTTGTATTTCGAAAAGAAATACCACCAAAAACGAATTTCCACGAGTTCTCCATGCAAAGCAATGGAAGAAGCAATATGTCGTCGACAATATTGCCTTGGATAAGGACATTCTGTTTTGAGACTTCCTCCTTATTATTGCATTTTGAATCCGATCGATTTAATATGGGCCAACTAAAAGGTAATGTAAGGAAAAAATACTCCCCAGAAATTCTCGTCAGCTAAAGACGGGGTGTAATAAATCCTGTCATAAGGGGACTTATAAGTCGTTTTTCCCTTATATCTAAGTTCCGACTATACCTGTGTAATTAAAATGTGTTTAGTAATTAAGTTTAGTAGAGTTTATTATTGTTTAGGTTTAGTATAGTTAGTACGGTTTAGGTTATAGTATAGTATAGTATAGTATAGTTTATTCAGTGTATTTCGGTTTAGAATTTAGTCGAATGTGCTTAGTATTAAGGCTTATGATTAAACTATTTTCTTACGTTTAATGGTATTTAATTAAAGTTTCATGATCTTTGATACTCTTAAAATATACCTAAATGATATCGACATGCACCGTGTCGAACGGTATCGCCGCCGCCTGATGGGATGTAAAAGAAAGCAAAAGAAGCCCCGCCTGTATTGACCTTTTGCAAACCCGCAGTTGTAGGATCTTGTAATTGTACCGTTAGAAACCAATCGCCTTCGTCTTCGTCCATCTCGACAATGTTAACGCTTATTGTATTGACATGAGGATTACTACTTAACATATCACACCAAAATTAACATAAAAAATAAAATCATCTGATGCCTTAAATTCCTTATATGACTTAAATAGCTTAAATTCGATATAATACGGATAGTATGTAATACCTAATTGTTCACAATGTTAAAAAATATGAATCATCTCACCAAAACTGTTACTTTATGAATTTCTAATCTAAGCATTTTTCTTAATTGCAATTAACGAAATTGAAGCAAAAATTATAACATTGACAAATACTCTCACGCAGTTGTAGTTACAAAACTAATTTTTCAATGCCTTTTAAACAAACTAGTCTTATTATTAAAGCTGAAACGGGAAATAAGATTTTATTTTTTTAATATTAATTATTGAAATAAACTGGAAAACTATAACATTTTTGAATAGAGAAAAAAGGGACCTTTCAAACCATATATCACAAGCCTATAGGTAATTATTCCCATTTAAAAAATAGGGGCTGTAACTGTCATTAGAAGGGGGTTGAAGATATTGCTCACATTTTGACGTTGAGAAATGTCAAATTTTAATTAAAATTTGACCTGTATCTATATACCCCTCGCTCCATTTCCGATTGCAACATAGTCATTTCTATGAGTGGAACAAAGAGAGATTGTTAAAATGACAGTTGTCAGAGTGAAAAGTTGCAATTACACAAATGTCACTCTTTCCTTTTGCTTTATAAGTGTCTAATGGAAGTTGTCTGTGGAAGCAACCTGTATACAGCAACCGAAATAATGAATTTATAAATTTTTTTTCTAACTTCTCATATTATTTTTTGACGTGTAGGTATACTCTACCTGTCATTGTTATAGCAAACATACTTATGTATGTATATGATTCTCTATAAACGTTGGAATGATTTTAAAATTCATGGATAAATAAATAAATTGAGTAAAAAATGTAGGAAATAAACCTTTATTGAAACTTCAAAATTATTCAGCAAGTTCAGCGAATCCCACGCGACCGTTCTTCAAATCGAATTGCGTGTAGAATTTTTTAATGAAAGGAGAGCCAAAGATCCAAGATATGTTATTTTCGACGTCCTCGTCCATCGTATCGAATAGAGGCTGGCAAACACCCGATTGGACATCCTACATTAAAGGAAAGTGAATTGATTAGGGGATAAATAATATTTCTTTTAGATTATTTTTTCTCACTTCAGCGGTGTAGTCCTCGTACGTCAAAGTTAAGTTCTGGCCGTTTATAACGAAATTGATATCAGGTAGTGAAGATCTCTTACTACAATCAAACACGTAATAATTGCTGTTCCTTACAGGCGTAGCCCCAATAGTCTAAAATTCAATTATACAGGGTATATCACAACAAGCTTAAACTATCTGTATATTGGAAACTTATCCGATTTATAAAAAAAGTTGGTGTACATATATTATGCAATAAGACAAACCATTTAAAAATATTTTGATAGTTGTACCACATCCGGTTGTACCGGAAGTAGGCATCAACTTTATTATTTCAAATGGTACATTGATGCATTTTTGAAAACTACGTAAAATTTCAATGTAAGACTTTTGTCTAAAAAACTTTTTACAAAAATGCATACTTTTTGAGTAATTAATGTTTTTTTTTTGAAAAATTTGACCGATGCAGATCCTTTTAAATTATTATTTTTACAAGGATCCCATTAAAGCAGATATGAGAAATTAAATATTAAATATCTCTTTAATAGGCTTGATGGAGATCTTTTTATGTTTATTACGAAATAAATTATATCTATGAAAGGATGCATTAAAGTTATAATATCTAAAGTCTCTTTATGAAATCGTTATACTTACTTCGTAAACCTTGTTTATTAGCTTAGTTGGTCCTATCATGTTATCAGTTCCGGTGTCTACGACAACCGTTCTGGAACCATTAGAAACCTCCATGCTGGAACCCAAGATGACCTTGTCTATTTTTAACTTCCAAAAAGGCTGGTTTTCCAGCACCTTGAAGTACTTGAAATCGCCTTTGTAATATTTCGGATCAGCCCCTCCTATCGTCATTTCTCCATCATACTCCCCGGTAGAATTCCTGCAAAAAGTACAAATAGTATTCAGGCGATAAAATCATCCCCAGCCCTCTTCTTACTTGAACAGGTAGAAAGAAAAGGCTGGCGTGAGATCAGTGCGTTGAGCGAACAAATTATCCATAAACATGGGCACTTGGTTGGAAACTGGCTTGTAAGACAATCCTATGAGACTACTTAAAATATCACCAAATGTCATTTCGTCCGTAATTTCAGTGAATAATTGGTCAGTCACTGTAACACCGGCTACCTGCAATTAAAATGATTAACTTACGACTTTTAGGGCTGGTTGCACAAAAGCGGATCAAAATCTGTGTTAACATAACACTGGACCAAAGTTAACACGGTGCTAACTCTCCTCTCGCGTTGCACAAAACTTTTTTAATATCGTGCCAACGGATGTTAAAGGAAAATAAAAAGCGAGAGAAAGAAACATTTTTCAATTGTTATTTTTAAGATGACTGGAGCAATCTGCAGTATTGCTACGTGCAAATGCAACAAGAAGAAATAAAAAAATGGAGAGACTATTCGATTCTTCAGATTTCCTAAAAATCTTTAAAAGACAATGCGTTTCACTTTTCTATAGGAAAAAATCATTTGAACAAAACTAACAAACGATTTGGCAAACATTTTGAACTAAGCTGATATGAAGACCTAATAGAAGCAAAATTAATGAGCACTTATCTAAGAGGCTAATTGAGAATGGTAAATCATTTACAATTTAAAATAGGTAGGATATTGGAAAATCCCTAGTTTTCTTTTTAATTTTAGCTATTCCCACATTATTTTTGTCAAGTACGATAAAGAAGAGACCATCGGAAGTAACGAAAACGGAGATTTAAAAAAGAAATGGCTCTCGATGATTGGTTAATAGTAACTCTACAATTATTGCAGATTAAAGTTCACAGAGCAGAGTTTTTGAAATTTTCTCAAGATATTTAACCTCTTATCAAGTAAATATTTTACTACCAAGCAACCAAATACAATTAAAGGTAACTAATCATTAAATGGGCCAATAACCATTAATATTAATGTTTCCAAAGCTACAAAGCTACAAAAGCTTCCATTATACTCGTAATATTGAAAAAATAAAAAGAATATACGAATTACATTCGAACCCAAAAATATCTAAATTCTTAAGTATTTATTATTGCTCGATTTTATTAGCATTGCGCCTAATTTAGCGTTATAGCATTGCTTATTTACTCAACTAGTACAAATTTGATAAATCAGACATGGTCTAAAATAAGTTGTTAAGTCGAATTTTTTTCGCAACGCTAAATTTGACCTAGCACGGAGTTAACATATTATCAGTTGATAATATGTTAGGACCCCAGGACCAATCCCCATTTTTTGGCATTTAAGCAACACTTGATTAAATGACATGGCATGTGTAATACATACTTCTACATTATCGGAGGATAGGAATCCGCTCATGGACTCCATTCCTCCGTAACCCATATCGATGTGGGTGCCGTTGGGTTTATGTGTGGAGGATAACTCGGCGGTGTACTTGCTTTGGAATACTGCAAAATAAGGTGATAAAAGACCATCGTTGTATTTTTTAATGTTTTACTTACGACAGTCGAATTCATAGCATTGCGAAGAAATCACCCAGGTATCAGACGAACCGGTGTCGAAGAGGGCTCTGAAGGTTTGAGGCGGCGTGCCGAAGCTCACTTCTCCGTAGTATTCAGCCTGGCGGCAAAATTTTATAATTATTCGCTTTGTCATTACGTTAGATAGCATGGAAAGTGTTTTAATGCTTACGTCTTTGAGGTTGGCAGAAGTTGGTGCGCTCGATTGGTATTTTCCCAATAAGGACTGCCTTTTCCCGTTCAATTCTGTTGCTCTTCTGGCCGATTTTACCTTCTTCAAAGGTACCCTGCAATGTTACATTTATTTACTTTATTTTCCCGTTACCACTAATTAACTATCTACAGGATATTGCTTATTTTTGATATTATACTGGATATTTACCTGATTAATTCGCTTTGGACTAACGCCAAGCAGGCGAGGAGGGTGAAAATTTTCGCGAACATTTCGATTCAAGAAAGTATTCGTTACTATGATAGTCAGACTGTAATTGCTCGAATTTATACTTATCTACAAGTGCCTACTTGAAACTAAGACAGTGAGAAAACTGATTTATTTCCATTCCACTTTTTGAAAACACCTGCTAAAAGATAACATCTGACGACTTTGTACTTTTATTTAAAATGATAATCTAGGGAGGTGTGGGTTATTCGAGTAACCTAAGTTTTTGTAATCTAAATAATTTGTACGTTTTTGTATAAAGAATATCAATCTATAAAAATATTATTGAGGACCTACTAGAGGTGTTTTATACTGTTTATATTTTAAGTCTTGTAACATTACCTACAGCCAAGTGTAATGAAGTATTATTTACCGCAAATATTCTAATTGTTTTAGCGAATTTGTATTAATTGCGCGTCAGCTAGATTCCGATCAAGTATTCCCGCTCTTAACTGCGTAATGCGTGAGATTGGGAGAATGATCAAACCGAAGCAGCTGTGTGAGAATTGTTTGGGAACAAAGCATTCACACGTTGCTGTATTCCAATGATAATCCTTCTCCAACTCGTTCTTCGAGGCAAACTATCGCAACAGCTATCAACTCCTCCGCTTCAGTGGTATTGTTAGAAACAGCTACGGTCGGTTTTATCTTCTTCTATTTTATCGAACTCTTTGGTATTCTCTTGGGCTTACGCAAGTTTCTTTAAATCCTGATCAAATATTCTTCAGAATATGAACCCTTGGCGGGACGATCCTTCTCATCCTCTTCTCTATATTAAGCTGAAGATTAGTTTCGTTCGGGCAGAAGAGTTGGCTTGTAGAGTTTTGCAAGATATCGCTTAAAAAACCCGCAATTTCAGTTCTTTAGCTCATCACTGTTGTATCAGACCTTGTAATAAAGCAATTTTCTCGAACCTATTTATTTATAATAAATTCCGAACAAGTGTGCGAATTTACATATGAAGTTTGACCCCTCGCTGGTCGAATCCCTTCCATAGGCCGATCGACTCCTACTAATTGCCAAATTAAAGGGCTAGTATTTCATGGATAAAAATTAATTAAAGTGGATGAATCCAACGATTTTAGCAGTTCTGTTTAGACAGCCAGCTCTACTGAACAAGGCGACTAATAGTGACTAGTAGTAGGGGTAAAGTAGTAATTGGTAAAAAAATACGGTTAGATTAAAAACTTTTGTGTTGAAACCTATTGAAACTTGTCCGCATACATGCATACGTAAATTGTGTTTTGATTAGACCCTACGTAGCAACCAGTTTGACCTTCATCGCATCTGCGATTATCTTAGTCGATATTTACTAATAACGATGAATATTTTAAGGCATTTAGGTAATACATACGGTAGCGTACTTTTAAATGTCATTTAAAAATCTTAAATTTATATTTATACCTATTTATTAAATATGGCTAGTATATTTGAAAAAAATGCTTGTAAAATATTCAGATAAAATCGCAATTTTTGTTTTGGTATCGTATTAAGTATTTAAGTTAACTGTCTACTATCCTGGGTTGTTATTGTTTAAAATAAACTTATCTGAAACACGTAAATAAAGCAAGACGAGATAAATTTAAATGTTTATTTAGATAATATAATATTTAAAAACCAATAGTACATTATTTTTTGTACACAAGTTTCCACTGGATACGTGATGAGGGCACTTTGGATATATGGACTAAAAATTTCCCGTAGCAAACGACGTATTATCGAACGTAGTTACATTGATGATTGAAGAAGAAAATTCAAGTTCCTTGCATTTTTCCATTAAAAAATGTATTTTTTGATTAACTCTAACGTAAATAATATCCGCAGAATTGATCAGATAATTTTGCACTTCGCCAATGTCATAAGACAATCCGTGCCTACAAATCTCTTTAAATAACTTATGGTTCGTTTACATATGTAGGTACAGTGTTAGAAAATTTTTCGCGCATAATAGGGAAATCAATGTTAAATTCTTAGCCGGCTGAAATCCAATCTACCAGTGTACATTTCAATAGAACGTCGCGATCAATTCTAATAAATTTAATTGTTCTACTGGACCGCACGCCGCGATTTGTAGAGGTACAAAGTTATTTGTGTTAGGTATGAGGTACAAAATTATTTAGAAACTACAATTAATAGGTTTTTTGGGGATATTTCAAAAAATGTGTGTATCGGTAGGTACAGTTTTGAAATAGCAACAAATCTTGTTAAAATAAGGAAAAATAAGGAAAAAATAATTCAATTTTCTTAAAATTACACCTCAGCTCAGTAATATGAGATGACATCTGTATGACAGGTTTGGCTATTGTTTAGCAGAAAGCGGTGGACTATTTTTTAGAGTTCTTTTATTTTCTATTTTAAAATAATCTTTAAGTTTATTTTTGGAGTATTCTTTTTATTATTTTCTTAGAATTTACTTTCTTTTTCAAGCCATTGTGGCAAAAAGACATATCTACATAATTTTATTTTATTATTAGTGATATTTTTTCAATAAATTATCGTTTAAAAATTCTCAATTCTTTGTAATCGACTCGACGTTCACCCATCCGAACCCGTTTTGATACTGTCGAAGTGTTGAAACCGTCGAAATTATTTGATTTTTAATCTAACCAAGCCAAAGCGCGGTGTGAAGTACAGTAGAACAATTAAATTTATTAGAATTCATCGCGACGTTCTATTGAAATGTACACTGGTAGATTGGATTTCAGCCGGCTAAGAATTTAACATTGATTTCCCTATTATGCGCGAAAAATTTTCCAACACGGTATATCGTCCGTTGAGAGTTTCGTAAGATACAAGTGGTTTAATAAAAATGTCGATTGTTGATTACCGATTTGAAGGCACCGTTAACGACGGTACCTTGGATATGTCAACGAATGCTACCTTCATGATTGTTGATGTAAAACTGGACAATTTAAATTTAAATGAAACTCTTAAAACACTTCTCTCAATGGGTAATATTCCAATAAGATGTTTTAAATACATCATTTTTGAATACATTTGACATCATGTATACTTGAAACTAATTTCAAATTATAGCTTAATTAGACATACACGAAAGTAACATTTACAAAATTTTCATAAAATGGACCGTTAATGTCTTCGTATACCGTGAATAACCGAAACATTTATAATGATTGCATAAATAAATTAGAGCCATTTAATCTCTATTTAAAAAGATTTTTTTTGGGATGCAGGTACAAAAAAAAATAAAAAAATACCAGGAAATACCAGGCTTTTAGGAATACAAATTGGCAAAAATTTCCAAATTATAAAAAATGTAGGTACAGTAATATCCTGAAATAAATTGAAAAATAAATAAAACAGTTCAAATAAATAACTTCAATATCAACTAATTTTCACTTTAATCTTGTTGACAATATATGAAGACATTAACCGATTCATTGAGCTTCACCTTGCTTTTATACGACACCCTGAATATAATTTTGGTAGAAACACCGTAGAATAAGTTTATTAAAAATTAATTTCATAATTTGCGAGTAATATCTATTGCAATTGCATTATAAAACGTTTTAATAAAATACGTACGTAGGTACCTATGTAGTTTTGAATATCATAAATTGTTCCATTACTTCAAACTAATTTAATTATATCACATTTATTATTTATTAAGGTTCTACTAAATATTTCAAAATATTATAATTGCTTTCCGACTAATAGAAAAGTGGTAAAAATTTGAATATTTTTTTTAATTGTAGTTTTAATTTTTTTTATTAAATTTTTACATTTTTCGGTTTTAATTTATAGGAAAATTACACGAATATGAGATATTTTTCTATCGATCAATATTTTAATTTTAAAAACCACTTTGTTAAGAAACCAAATTTAAAGAATAACTCTCAATTTTTATTTTTTTAGCAGGTTAATCAATTTTAGTTTGCAGTAAAATTGAGATCAATAATTATAAAGTTAATTTGATCGATTTTCTTTCCATATATGGCTTTCCGTATAAGGGTGCCACGAAAATTGGAATAATGTAGAATTAAGAAAGGGTTCAAAAAAGTATTTTTAACCATTTTTAAAACATAGTTGTTATTAATTGATAAAAATATAAATGCTTGTACAATTTAAAAAGTTACGGCGTGCACGAAGCTTACTAAAATATTCATCTTCAATATTAAGCAAATCTTCTATAACATAATATCTTATCTATTATAAGTATGTATAATAACTTCTGCTAAAACTTCTGTTGTTGAATGCAGTTGAATAATTTCACTTATAAGCAATTGTTTTCATAAATGTATAAAGTGAAAACGACATCTTTATTACCTAAAAATTGTTAATTAACACAAACCTATTAGGCATTATCTTAACGTCTTACCTTTAAATATGTTTCCATATTAAATTCAAAAATACCAAAAGCGCTAATCGGTGGGACTTTTTGAGCATTTTGTATAAAAAACATTACGTCTCTTTGAAGCTCCCTGCTTCTTAAGTTTCTCCAATTTGATTGGTAGATAAATTGTGGCAATAATTTTGCCTGAGATAAATATTTTTTAACTTAATGTAGTGAAAATTCAACTATAAATTTTGAAAAAAAAGTTATTATTTTAATTCCAACTAATCTTACCTCATTATTTATCATATCGCCTGTAGCACAGTAAATCATTAATTGATAAGAAAATCCTATCATCATCAATAATGAGAGATACAGTTGATTCGTGTTGAAACCATTCTAAAAATTAAAACTCTATTAATATTAAAAAAAAAGTTATACGTACAAACGTACTCTTGCAAGTTGAATTGTGGCAAGACCAATACCACCGACTGCGCTACTCAACTGGCACAACATAATTACATTGAAAATTTTGTTCATTAATTTAGTAAAACTATAATAAAAAAAGAAGTAATTAAATCCACCATTAAACTTTATCTTGAATTAATAATCCTCATTCGAGTTTGTTAAAAGTAAATATGAATAAAATACATTTATAATTATTAAGATAATAGACCAGGGTCGATAATTTTTGAAACCAAAGAAAATAATAGTAAGATGAAACCTATTGGAAAAGGAAGAGAATATAACAGAAATGAAAGGAAAAATAATTTACAGGTGATCCGAGCTTATTTTTCACATAAATGTTAAGGTTATGTGAAAAAAGTGTAAATACAACCTTTTCTACCCTTAAAAACTCACCCACACCCACTTCCCGACCTCGGATCGCTCGTAAATTATTTTTCCTTTCTGTTATATTCTCTTCCTTTTCCAATGGGTTTCATTGGAAAACTACTATTATTTTTTTCTCTTTTTACCATTTTCAATGGCTTCAGCTCTGGTCTATAATTATTAACACAAAATTTGAATTCTATACCTTTGAAGCATTTTATGATGCTCAACACATTTAATAAAATACTGTCTCCTTTCATCATCAATATCGTTATCGTTATCGTTTCCAAAATTCTTTAATTTCTTGTTGATAACAATCATCTCAGGAGTGCAATATTTCAATAAACACTGTTGAAGGAGACGATATTGAATCACCATGCAAGAACCAATACTAATGAAGAATAAATCGGTACCTATTATGGAAGATACGTTAACACTATGATACCCATAAATTTGAATCAAGGCCATAATATCAAAAATTGGTGACGAGCTCCAATCGAATGAATACTGAAATATAATTTTTATTAATTTTTTACGTAAATGAAGAAACCTTACACTGAAAAAATGTCTTATTATGTATTTAAAAAATTTATTAATCTTCATAAAAAAAGAGAAATTAACTTTTATTCAATTTTTAATATTCAATAAATACCTTAACAGGATAAGGCATATCTCTTCTACTTAGAGGTGGTATTAAGAATACAGGCGCAAACAATATGCAAAAAGCTACGAATTGAAGCATTAAAATGTTTGCAAATGAATAAAATTTCATTATGGTTCTTTTTGGGTCTCCTTCAATCAAATCGTAGGGCCAAAATTTTTCCATTATTTCATTTAGCAGAATCTTCAACTCTTTTGAGTAGTAGAATAGCGTTAACACTTTGAAAATAGTCTAAAAATGAATCTATTTTATTTCTTTACCACTTTCGTCATGATAAAAACTCAAAATTTTATTACTTCTGTGCTTCAAAGACTAAGGGGAAACTTAAAAACTTTAAAGGTGAATCTGTTAGAATCAAACTATTTCATAATATGAAAATCTTAAACATATTTAATGTTATTAAAGTTGATTTACTTGATACATTCCATTTATTAGTTCCATAGTAAAAGCAAATTCGTAAATTGAATTACTTGTATTAATTTTTTTGATCATACCATAACCAATGAATATCGCAATTGAAATTATCGTAATAGCAGAAAGTACATTTAAATGATATTTGTTTCTTTTTGGCCACAAAAATAGTTGACTAAGTATGACTTTTGGAATCCAAAGTGGCAATTTTGAGTAGTCTTTTGTATCCAGAACCCAGAAAGCAACATCTAAAATAGAGAATGTGCATTTTCCTATATTTTAAGCATTAGAATTTACATATTTTTCTAATATAATCATGAATTAACTTACCATCTAATATCATATTTGCTAAAAAAACAAAAGACTTTTTGATAGGAATATGTATTTTTATGATACCAAATAATATTGAAATTTAACGTTGTTTGATTAATAATTGTTTCTTGTAAATGACCAACTACTTACGAACAGCTAGACAGTTAAGAAATTTTTAATATTAAATATTAATGCTAGTAATAACTGATTAATTATACTTTAACAAACTTTTAAGTAATAAATGTTTAATTTATTAATAAAATAGTCTTTTCATATATTAAATTATTTATTTATTAAGGCTGTATTTTTAATTTCAACTATTTTTTACAAAACGCAAATGGAAAATAAATTCGCCCTATCGGAAATTCGCTAAAAAATTCACTCATAATGCCAAAAAAATACCTTTAAGAGGAAAAACGGGAAGCACTTTGAATATTTAAGAGATATATAACTCCTATACTCACGGGTGCCTTATATATTTACTTAACAAAACCTGGAAAATACGTAGCGTCCAAAAAAATGGATGTTTTTCTTTGGTAACATATTCCTAAAACTTGCGTAGGGCTCGATTATGCATCGAATTAAATGGAGAAATAACGAAAAATTTGAATTAACCGACCAGCCATTAGCCCAGCCAAAACTTCGCTAAAAATCACAAAAAAAATTCTGACATTTCTTGTCTGGACTTTTCGGCTAATACAAATACAAGGGATGAAATTATCCCCGGGGTGTTTATTCAATATTTGGTTTCTCAATGTTATAAACGACAGAGAGCTACAGAAAAGCTACAAAAAAGCTACCCAACAGAAATCGCAATAAACAATATACAGGGTGCCGCTAAAAGTTTGGGACATGGCTTAATTGAAGACTTCCGGAACAAAAATAAAATGATTTAATTCAAACTAATGCCCATATCCAAAAGTGCCCATAAAAATACATTAGACCGTTTATCTACAAAATATCGATAAAAATGCGAAATAACGTAAAAATAGAGCATTTTTGGCATATGGTATGGATTAGAAAAAAAATATAAAAAATTAAATTAAATATTAATATTTTGATTGACGATTGAGAACACCTGTTAATAAATTTGTTGTAATTTATTTTTTTCTATAATGAACCACTTATAAATTATACAGTGTGAACCATATGTAATGAATAAAATCATTTTCTCTGTTAATATTTTTACAATTATGAAGCCCTGAAATAGGTCAATTTTTTTGTTTTTTAAATTGATTTTTAGTAATTGAACTTCTAATTTTCACCCCTAACTGCTACCTCCTTAGTATATTATATAATATATATTACATAACACATGTCAACCCTAAATGTTCAAATTAGAAGGGCAGGCTTCTATTTTCAATAATAGAATTAATAAAAAATGACCCTTCGAATGAAGATTGAAATTGCCTCTCAAATGAGGTATCTCAAGCCTACCCTTCAAATTTGAAAATTTAAAGGTGGTAAGTGTCATACCAATGGGGTGGCTGTTAGGGGTAAAAATTTGAAGTTACTAAATTCAATTTAAAAGCAAAAATTGACCTGTTTCAGGGTTTCGTAATTGTACAAAATATTAATTGAGAAAATTAATTTATTTCAGATGTATTCACACTGTATATCTCTATTTCTGATTACACCTGTTAGGAAACACCTGTTAATGATAATGCCAATTCATATTTATGATTCTAATCTATGTCCAAAAAATAAGTAGGTTACGTAAAAGTATTATATCTAGACTATACTTACCGTAAATTTACGAAAGTATAAAAACAATCGTCAAAATGGAGTTTGTGGTTTTCCGCAAGCTAAAATTAATTGAAAATAATAAAAATAATAAAGTTATACCACTAATAAAAATGTAACAAAAATATTTGCAATACTTGTAAAATTCACCCGTTTAGAATATTTGAAAGTAGGTAATTAATGTGAAAATAATAAAAATAATAATAATGGAATAAAATGGGTCCCTATTTGTATAGCTTTATTTTGTTAAATTACAGGTTTGTTACAAGCCGATCCTGTACAAGAAAAGTATTCCGAAGTATTCCGAAATATACTGTGTTATTAAAATTAAATTTAAAATCGAATAACTATTGAAAAAAATACAGGGTGATTCAGATTTTAACTGGATAACTTCGGGAATTGATAGAACATGTAAAAATAATGTTTGTTCGTTATACAATTAAAGTGTTATTGAGGTTGGATGGAAGCATCTTTAACGACGCCTAGCGCCGCTGGGAGGCGCCGGCGACCCAAGTTTCTATGTTCAAATAGCTTGACTAACCACCCCCTATAACGCTCCAGAGTTTGTCCCCAGAATTTCCGGACACCCTGTATAATTTTTTTCACACTACAAATTGAAAAAAAAATCGATCTTAGTGAATTTTGTGAACAATGCCTACTAAAGTCGTGCAGCTTCGCCAGGATGTTGGAATCTTCTCATAAAAAAGTTAAATACAGTTTACTTTTTTATATAAATATTTTTATTCATGCCGTCAACATAGTAATAAAATGTTCGTGAACTTTTTGTAAAATTTCTAATATACTGTATACTTTCTTATTTTAGACATTTAATAACGATTTAAAACTAACTAAATTAGTCTTTAGGCTTTGTTCATGCAGACTAGACACGAGTTTAAAATACTTTTGGTGTACGGTTTTGCCGAGCACTTGTTGTAGAATACATACTTATAATATGCAGCATTCAAACAACCTGCTGAAGGATCCAGTAAAGTGGCTGTTGTAGTAGCGATTATGCTCCTGCTCGTTGTCGTCGCTATTTTTGAACTCTTCCAGGTAACACATGTGACATAAATATCTAGGGCCTACCTAGACGAAAACTTGTGTGACGCATATACAGAGTTGGGCAAAAGTCCGGAATAAAATTATTATCTTTTGAACCAGTAATTTAAACAAAAAACGCCGAAACACGTAAATTGATTTTATATTGTACGGATTTGTTGCCAATAAAATGATTTTTTTTTCTTCAACTCCTTAGTTGCAACCCTACCCAACTTTATTTTTTAAATACAAAGGTATGTCGTGTGTAGGGTCATTGAAAAGCCCGTGAAAAATGGAATCTAAAACATACCTTTTTTTTTTATTTTTCTCATGTTGTTATTTGGAAATGAGCAAAAATTTCTTTTAAAAACAAAAAAGTTACAAATACCTTTTTAGTGCTATCGACGTAGCAATGTTGAAAATGCCCTTCACCATCTATTTGACAGGCTCCCAGGCATTGGTAAAACGTAATATCGATAGCATATCTTTAATTCTGAATGACTTTTTAATAAAAACAGGCGAACCTTTGGTAAAAAAAAAACTTGTACAAAAATGCAACACCTGTTTTCCTTTTTGAAGTTCACTGATCAACAATGGCTTAGATTTAAACCCATTTTATGTTTTTGTTTTTTCTTAAAACATAAATTTCAACGAATGTTGATGCTAAATTGCCTTATCCAGGCTCGCCTGCTTTTAATAAAAGTTCATTCAGAATTAAAGATAGGCTACCGATATTAGGTTTTACCATTGCCTTGGAGCCTGTTAAGTAGAGTAAGCCTTAATTCACACGTCGATACCACTAAAAAAGTATTTGTAACATATTTGTTTTTAAAAGAATTTTTTGCTCATTTCCAAATAACAACATGAGAAAAGTAAAAAAAAAGGTATGTTTTAGATTCCATTTTTCACGGGCTTTTCAATGACCATACACACGACATACCTTTGCATTTGAAAAAATAAAGTTGGGTAGGGTTGCAACTAAGGGGTTGAAGAAAAAAAAAATCATTTTATTGGCAACAAATCCGTACAATATAAAATCAATTTACGTGTTTCAGCGTTTTTTGTTTAAATTACTGGTTTAACAGATAATAATTTTATTCCGGACTTTTGCCCAACCCTGTACATAGGTACATATGTAATAGCTGAACCTCAGTTGCTCTTCATATCCATCTTTTGTGTCCATGCAGTAACTCAATCAGCGTCAAAGCCTCTGTAATATAGTCGTTATCTATATTTCTTCTCCTGATTAGATATTAAACAAATATTGGTCAGAAGGGTTGCTCATGATACTTCTCATAGCAGCTCCGGCGTAGATGTAGAACCGGTCAAACGGGTTGCTCTCCATTTTGCTTCCCCACATCTTAACTACTAAACATAACTAATTAAATTCTAAATTTACCTATTTAAAACGTTAAATCTACTTACCTAAAACTACTTATACAGTGCTTTCATTTCAAAACTAGCCACCCAAGATAACTTTTAAAATATCTTTAAAACAAAAGAACAAAAAAACACGTCAATTTTTATTTACGGGGGGACAAATTTTACAGGTATCTGTCACCCTGCAGTTTCAACCCCTAAGCGGGGGTGAATATCACTTCTAAAAGTTTAAATAGGAAGGGGTATCTGTGATAGCTCTTTTTAAAGGTCTCTTTTTTTCCAATCTTTTGACACATTATTTTTTTAAATCGGATTATTTTTTAACGAGTTATGAGCTAGAAACCGTTAAAAATTTGAAATTTTGAATTGGAATTAAAAAAATACATGAGTATAAATACCGAAATAAGCAAGTGAGAAAAAAACCTTAAATGTTTTTACAAAAGATATTTTTGACTATAAATTTAAACAATTTACTATTAGTATTTTGGTTTCGTTGTGTACTAACCAACAATTTTCGACAATGGTTTATTCTTTACAAGAAAGAATTGAAATAATATTTATTTATGGAGAAGAACAACACTGTGCACGCAGAACTGCTCGTGTTTTTAATCAAAGACATCCCGATAAAAATGTTGGACATCAGTATGTGTTGGATTTAGTTCATAAATTTCAAAAAACTGGAAGTGTGTGCAAAAAAGTGTCAAGAATCGTAGAGTTTTAACTGAAGCTGCACAAGTTGAGATTTTAGGTCATTTTGCCATAGATCCTCAAACATCAATACAAAAAGTCTCCAGGTTAACAAAAATTTCCGTCGGCTCGATGCATAACACGTGACGGGTAAATAATTTTTTTCCCTACAAAATACAGCTTTTACAACAGCTTGCTGAGGATGATTATGACAGAAGATTAGAATTCTGCGAATTAATGAGTCAAAGAGCAAATGAAGACCATAATTTAATTAAAAATATTTGTTTTTCTGACGAGGCAGCATTCTTTTTAAATGGATTTGTCAATAAACATAATTGTAGATACTGGGACAATACCAATCCACATGTTTTTCGGGAAGATCGGCACAATCAATATCCTCAGAAAATTCACGTATGGGCCGGAATTCTCGGAAATAAAATTATTGGTCCTTTATTCATGGAAGAAAATTTAACTGGGGAATTGTATTTGGACTTATTAGAAAATTTCATAAATCCCCTTATAACCGAATCTTTAGAAAACCAAATAGATGAAGATGGAAATTTGTTGCTAGACGAAGTAAACCTATTTTTTCAACAAGACGGAGCACCTCCACATTATGCCTTGCCTGTACGAAATTAGCTTAATGAGACATTTCCAAATAAATGGATCGGAAGAAGGGACGCTATAGAATGGTCAGCTAGATCACCCGACCTAACGCCCCTTGACCTTTTTTTATGGGGACATCTAAAAACTGTGGTGTATAAAACTCAACCTCGCGATATTCTTGAACTTAGACGTAGAATAGTGGAGGAGTGTGAGCGAATTACACCAGAGACGCTTCAAAAAGTGCGGGAGGAATTCAAGCTGCGACTTTACTATTGTATTGCAAACAATGGCGGACATTTTGAACATCTAATTTAATAACAAGGTAATTCTAATACTAATAAAATATTAATAATGCAAATACGATCTAAATAATAATTATTTTAATTTGAAACTTTAAAATGGCATAACTCTGTAAAAAATAATCCGATTTAAAAAAATAATGTGTCAAAAGATTGGAAAAAAAGAGACCTTTAAAAAGAGCTATCACAGGATACCCCTTCCTATTTAAACTTTTAGAAGTGATATTCACCCCCGCTTAGGGGTTGAAACTGCAGGGTGACAGATACCTGTAAAATTTGTCCCCCCGTAAATAAAAATTGACGTGTTTTTTTGTTCTTTTGTTTTAAAGATATTTTAAAAGTTATCTTGGGTGGCTAGTTTTGAAATGAAAGCACTGTATATTAAAAGTTAAATCTAAAGCATTTTAAACCTATTATTTATTTCTTGAATAAGAATCTAAAAATATATACATATTTATAAAAATATTTATAAAAACCAATATTTTTAACTGTAGGTACAACTGTAGGAATATTAATAAACCTCTAGAGAGATCATTGAAAGAGCCGACCATGGCAGAAACCAACTAGAGATATCGATGGTTGAGAAGAAGAGAAACCCACTTATCGTGGGAGAGACCCTATTTGACTATATCTACAAGGATTAGCAGAAATCAATCAAAAGCAGAACTATTAGAAATATTAATCATTACTAACAAATTGTCTACCCTAATCATAATCCTAGCCATTCTACGTATGCCTGATTAGGTATAGGTAAATTTTTCCGCTCGACACAAAAATAGTAGGTAACTCGTTGACTTTTACGAAAAGTGAATATGTACCCTTCACTTCTGTATCATTTTAGTAGTAAATCAGTTTTAGTATAAAATATGTAAGAGAAATATATGTTTCTATACGCATCTGATACAATTTAGGCTGAAATTAACTTCTCTCAATTTATGATTTTATATCATATAATATTAGTATTTTTAGAATATTTCCTTCTTGAAGGACTTTTAAAAATTAGTTTCTTATTACTCTCTAATTTTCTATAGGTACTATAGGTATATGCACGCAGTGATTGTAGCGGATATTTTATTTATACATTAGTATAAAATATGTATACAGGGTGTCCCAAAATTCACGCCCGTCCTTTCAGAATATGATTCAGCGGGCTAAAACAAATTAAATTTTAAGAATAAAATTTTTTCGTTTTGTCAATAATTTTATCATGTCAACGTATTCTCGATTAGAATAATAATGATCCATTTTTATAATAAAAAAATAAAATTCTACTTATGCCAATAATGACAGAAGTTGACAGAACGAATTAAAAAATTTTACCATCACCATAGCAACCTGCCAGTCATTTGTTTTTAGCTTACTTTGTTTTAATTAAAGTTTAATGGTTGAATTTAAATTTTTTTGTTTTTTTATCAATAACTCGGTTATCAAGGACAAAACGAAAAAAATTTATTCTTAAAATTTAATTTGTTTTAGCCCACTGAATCATATTCTGAAAGGACGGGCGTGAATTTTGGGACACCCTGTATATGTAGTGCAATATGAAGTGCAATATTGTTCACTTTTATGTGCAATTGTTATTTTTTAGTGATGGTGTGTTTCTCCAAAAGTAGTTCGAATAAATCGAGTATTCTTAGAAGTATTTTATCTACTCGATTGATTCTTATAATGTTTAAAGTACCAAAATAACCTTAGCGTAAAGAAATAAGTTATTTCAATGAAGCTCAGTACGCTACAGCCCAGAAATAAACCGGCCATTCCTCCAATGTATACTGAAAAAAAAATTAGCTTAGAAAATATTGGTGACTATACGAAGTATGAACCATAAATCTTGTATGAAATATCTTTTATCGAAAAAAGTTTCAGATTATAAATTGGGACTTTCCATAACTATTTTCAATTTAAGGAAATTAAGTTTACAAGGGTAACTTAATACTATTTATTATATCAAATGTTTATGTTTCTATAATATGCAATACGCAATTAGGCTTGAAAACTAATAGAAATAGTAACGCCCTCTTCGTTTAAATTGGTGGAGAAAATGTGTTTCTCTACAATTTTTAATAAATTGATTTGTTTAAATCACTACTTAATTTTCGTAACATTTAAATAAGAATCTTTTCACAACATGTGAGACATGTACATATGTATGTAGTTTGGTGAATCTCTCCTAATATAGTCAGGAGCTTACCTAAAAGATCTGAAAAGCCGAAAATGACGTCCCTCTTCAACCTCATATCTGGATAATCCCTAATGCCCCATTGCAATGTGGAACCCAAGAACCAACTTCGTTCGTCGCTAGCTTTCACCACGTATGTAGTTTCATCGCAATTCGATGCACAGTGGCACCGCCGTTTTAGGAAAATCAGTTTTTCTTGAAATGAAAAATATGAATTTAGGCGAAATTTAGAAGATTCTTGGTCGATATCGCTGGATTAATGTGAGGATTGTTTACTAGATTAATTACTAGATTATTTACCAGGTGATTTACTAAATTATTTACTAGATTAGAGAATTTTGCTAGATTCTGAGTTGAATTACTTACTGAGTTCCTTACTATTAAGTACTTACTACTACTGAATTATTTCTAAATTAGCAAACTTTTTGTAGTTATTTCGCATTTTAGATTCGTAAGAAGAATATAAACTTACTTATGGATTTCGATAAGCAACGCAGACCGGTTGTGTTACATACTTTTTCGCCTTCTGTAAAAGAAAATATTACGTTTCGAAGAGGATACAAATTTCTCATGATATTGCTTGTATTTAATAGAAATCTAATCTAATAAAAAGTAGGTAGAGGAAGAGCGCCATATCTATATGGACCATCATGAACACTTTTTTCAATAAAACGTCGAATTTTAAATATTAATCAGCTTTATTTATATTAAACAATTCCTTAACCATTTTGTTAAGAAAAACTCATAATAAAATTCTCAAATAACACATTCTTATGAAATAAACAACATTTTCAAAAGTATATCATTTTTATGAAGTTTCACAAATTGAACATACTATGGATCACATCCAGATTTTTCCACTTCTAGAATATAATGACTAATTCATCTGACCAATTCACTCGGTAATATTGACTGTCTCCGAAGTATTTGGGTGGTGATATCATTAAGTGATTTGATTAGGATGTATGTTTTGGAAGGATTCAAAAAGCCCATTTTCTTTTCTTGTGTATTTTTAATTGCCTCCGCCATTGCGTTTTTTCTCCCAGCATGCTTGTTCGGTCATCTCTATTGTTTTAGAAGCCATTTTAGAACATAAAAATTAATTTTTAGCCACTCCATATTTAAAAGGTGCCACTAATTCATATTGTGATACCTACTTTATTTTTTTTCAGAAAATTTATAATATTATAAAATATTAAGACTTAATACAAATAATAGCAAAATGACTCACCTTTCTCGTAGTTTTATCCACTTTCACATACAATAGTATTTTTTGGATTAAAAAACTTCCAAAGTTCGCTAGAAAATTAGATCGCGCGTTGCAGGAAATTAAAAAAGGCTGTCGTAAATATTTGCGTGCATATCCTAGATCACTACAAGCAACAAATGGGCCAAGGGAGAAGTGATGCTTAGTGTATGATGATCATTTACTCGATATAAAGAACGTTATTCTTAAAATGCCGGTGGTCCATCCAAATATGGTCCATATAGACCGGTCTATATTTGGCGCACTTACTCTACCTAATGGCCTGTAAAAATGTGGTAGACATCCGCACAACTCCTTTGCCAAGTTTATCCTGCACTCCATTCGACAAGCAGCGTAGGAATACACAGGGAAATGCGGTAAGTTGCTCTCGTAGTAAAACCGGCATTTTCTCTGCTTAGCATCCAGCCGTTTTGTCCTTTCGCTGGAAAATATTGTCAATGCAGTCAGATAAATTTGCACGAATTTGTTGCTGGTCACGTCTTGATGTTTGGACGCTACATCGATCATCTCGTATGGACCGTGGAAGAAAACCTAAATTCGAACTAAAATTACCATTTTCTGATCCAAAACTAAATTAATTTTTTACCGTATATCCGACGGATAGATTTATGAAACTCACGAAGACTTCGCCGTCTAGGGGATTCACTTGAAACAATTCCGATTCCTGCAGAAGGTCCCGACTTCCATTTCTCCAGTAACTGGAAATACACAATTTAGACGCGTTTAAAGGATATTAAAGAAGAAACTAACTCGAACGAATTATAAGCGGCCAATGCCGAATTAAACGAGTAGCAAATACCCATTTCGGTGAACGTCTCCTGGACGTTTAGAAACCTTTCTTTGTACGCCGAATTCGTCACTTCCAGATCCATTTTGACGCTAAACATCCGTATCAGTTCCGCGTATTCCTCGCTCTTAACTCCATCGTATTCGACGATTTTGTCCAAATTCAAATAATTAGTTTCCACCAATGATTTGACGAACGCCTTGTACAAACTTTTATTGGCCAAATCTCCTCGTTGGTCCGCGTAATCGTCCAATTTTGCGGCGTCGTACTTGCTGGAAGGGCACACGGTGATCGGTGGGAAGGTCGTGTTCCAGGCGAAGCGATCCCTTTCCATGGAGATGACTGTGGGGTTCTCGGCGTATCTGGTGATGGTGAGGCCGCTCAACACTGATGCACCGTAGGCAGCCGTCGCCACCAGGAGGAGCCACAATAGCCGCTCGAAGGGGTGCCGATGAGGGTGGGAGATGTGCTGGAAGCCGTGGATGGTGCTGGTGTCGAAGAAGGTTTTCACGAATCGGAACAGCTTGGTTTTTGTGGTTTTTGTCATCATTTTCTTTGTCGCTATTTGTGGAGTGACTGTTAATGTACGTTTGTTAGATATTAGGTCTCTCTATCATGAATATTGTATTGCGTCTATTCAAAAACTTTATGTGAAAGGAGAATGGTAATTTTCTACAATACAATTCGACATAACAATGAGTAATTTACTATTATGAGTGGAATCTATAGGAAGGATTATTATAGGAAGGACTTATTATATTTTTTGGTTGAATTTATGATTTTTATCTAGCGGAATTGAAAATTGATTATGACTGTGTTTGCAATATAATCATTTCTCTGAGTTGAACAAAGAAAGATTATGACCTTTCTTTTTCCTTTATATGAGAGTAATGAAAGTTATCTTTGTTGCACCCATATACCATGTTGCGTACATTATTGCAGTTTGCATAAAATACATACAGGGTGACCCAGGGTCGCGTTAAAGTCCCATAACTTTTTATCTAATTGAGATATCGACTTAATTTTTTTTTCAAAAGGTAGGTACAATAATACTGCGTATTATTAAAATAGTTTCGTCTATATACAGGGTGGCTTAGTATTAGAAATTCACTAAAGTTACCTTTTTTTTAATGGAACCCCCTGTATATTATAACATTTTTGAATTCTTTAGTGAATTTTAGTGTGACTTTATGTACCATACATTGTACCTAAAACCAATCGTTTAGTGGTAATTCGACATTTTAGAAAAAAGTAGAGGTTTGAAAAAAAATGAATATTGCCGCTTTTGTAAAACTTACAAGGCCGTGACTCTGGGTTATTAGTAAACATGAAATGTATAGTCCTTTTCAAGATATAGTAGAAAATGACTTTATAAGCTGATGAGTTTACGACTACCCGGTGCTGTTTAGGGTACACGCCGTACTCGCCGGTCGAAGGACGCAGAACCGTATTTTAAGTTTGGTACGTTCGCTGCGGATAAGCGGCGATACAAAATACTCATTAAATAACATTTCTTAAGTTCTTACCTGGAAATGTAAATACTGTTTACTACCCGACCCGACCGAAGTGCTTCAACGTTCCATTGTTTTGGGTCGATTCTGAGAATTTACCTATAAGCTACAGAATCTGTAAGAAATAGTGCCTGTAACTTGAAACTTTACAGATTTGTAATATTTGCTATTCTGGAACCAAATCTGTAAAAGTCAAGTTACAGATCTTTACCTTATAGGTTTCAACTTCACTCATGTTTATAACGTCAAAATTATAACCTCATAACAATTAAAAGTTTAAAAGCTGAGTACCGACGCCGACCTTATGAATATGTATAACGTATTTTAAGTTGAGCACAAGGTATTAAGAGGAAAAGGAAAAAATACGTCTCCATATCCATTGTTTAAAATGCCTCTTTTAAAAAAAATTAAAATGCATTTAAAACTACAAAAATCTCACTTGTTTTCATATTTCTCTAACAGAACACCCGCAAATAAATTCATTTGTAGGTTATGGGTAAAAACCAGTAAAAAACATAGTAAAAAAACACGCTTTTACTTTAAATAAACTGCTCCACAAAAGTTAAGGAAATTCGCAAATATCGCGATTATTTTAAAAATTACAAACTTTTTGATCACCGAATTTTCAAATATGCGAAATTAAAATGTTTTCTCTCATATCTGAGTGGATTTTTTGCCCCTACCTTTACAATTCATACTAATGGGTCGATTCTGAGAATTTACCTATAAGCTACAGAATCTGTAAGAAATAGTGCCTGTAACTTGAAACTTTACAGAGTTGTAATATTTGCTATTCTGGAACCAAATCTGTAAAAGTCAAGTTACAGATCTTTACCTTATAGGTTTCAACTTCACTCATGTTTATAATGTCAAAATTATAACCTCATAATAATTAAAAGTTTAAAAGCTGAGTACCGACGCCGACCTTATCTTATGGAAAAAAAAAGGAAAAATACGTCTCCATATCAACTAGAATTTTATTTAAATTTTATAAACAAAATATTTGTTTAAAATGCCTCTTTGTGAGGTCAAATGGATTTAGCCTTCTTTCAATTTATCATATATAATTTCTAAAAAATGTAATTATTTTTATTATTATAATTATTGGTATTTATTTAAGTACATACCCATTTAAAACTACAAAAATCTTACTTGTTTTCATATTTCTCTAACAGAACACCCGCAAATAAATTCATTTGTAGGTTATGGGTAAAAAACAGTAAAAAACATAGTAAAAAAACACGCTTTTACTTATAAACTGCTCCACAAAAGTTAAGGAAATTCGCAAATATCGCGATTATTTTAAAAATTACAAACTTTTTGATCACCGAATTTTCAAATATGCGAAATTAAAATGTTTTCTCTCATATCTGAGTGGATTTTTTGCCCCTACCTTTACAATTCATACTAAATTTGATGATCAAAAAACCTGCAACTTTTACATTAATCCCAATATTTGTGAACTTCCTTAACTTTTGTGGAGCAATATAGTTTAAACACCCGTAAGGTTCACACAACAAAACACAAGGAATAATGCTTTTTAATGCTCTCTACCACACTCTGTACCGCTTACAGTGACTGATGTCTAGCCTGTAAATATTTACGAATCTGTAAGCGAATCTGTAAGTAACAGATGAGGATAGAATTGCATTTCCTGTAACTCTTACAGATTTTGGCTTATAGGTCTTACAGATGTTCTCAGAATCGACCCATAAATTTGGTGATCAAAAAACCTGCAACTTTTAAATTAATCCCAATATTTGTGAACTTCCTTAACTTTTGTGGAGCATATAGTTTAAACACCCGTAAGGTTCACACAACAAAACACAAGGAATAATGCTTTTTAATGCGCTCTACCACACTCTGTACCGCTTACAGTGACTGATGTCTAGCCTGTAAATATTTACGAATCTGTAAGCGAATCTGTAAGTAACAGGTGAGGATAGAATTACATTTCCTGTAACTCTTACAGATTTTGGCTTATAGGTCTTATAGATGTTCTCAGAATCGACCCTAAGTCGATAGTAAAATTACCTTAGTACAAAGTTGCATCGTTTGGGCGCCAGAGGGCCTTGAAGTTTCAATTTTTAAATCAATTTTTTTATAGCTATACGATTTAACGGGACACATCCTCTAATGCAAAATACTAGTTACCAGACCATAGTGATTACGACCGTGATTAAAATAACTTTCGTAATAAAATTCAAATTCCAATATAAACAATTTCATACAGTACGAAACTAATAGTTGACGTTTGACATTTTAGCCTGTCATTTAAAAAACTATCCTAAAATAAAAAGTCCAATTACAACGTTGCCAAAAACTAAATTAAACTAAATTTTAAGCATAGACAAGATAAAAGTTCTTTCTTTCTTCATGTTTTCAATCTTCAATCTCCAAATTTTATATCAATCAAAATTCAAAAACTTTAATCCATTTAAAAAATAGTCGTCGTTCATGTAGATAATAAATATGGCATCAATGTTTATAAGTTTTTCAGTGCCTTTATAATTTTGTTTTCGTCTAATTCCGCCTACTTCCGCCTTTTCATTTTAAATTTAATAATGGGTAAGTCAGAATTTTCTTAGTCCTAGTATAAATTCGATTTAATTGAATAATATTAACTAGTTCATGAAGCTTTTTTGTTTGCGGATACTTTATTTGGTGTTAATGACACTGAATATAATAATTAGCCCATTAAAAGATTTTGAATAATTTAAGAAAATGTTCCGGTCCAACCGTGCGCTTCATTAATATAGGTACTTTAATTGAATCGATTAACATTAGATGTTTCCTTATTGTGTTTATATTTCTTTCTATAACTATTGCAATTATTGTGTACTATGTTTAATTATACATATACATAGAATTCTGTTTTATTCTTTTTAGTTATATATTTAAAGAAATTTTGAAATAAGAAACTATTTACAAGTCACAATTCTTTTCAAGATGGCCATTTTGTTTCAAATTTTAATTATCACGTAGATAATATTTTAAAACTATAAGTAGCATTTTAGTTAACAATGTATAAACACCGATACAGAGTGACAATTTAAAGGGCTATATCTCACAAAGGAAACGTGATATCAAAAAATGCCTAAAACCATTTCTAGGATATGAAGAGGGAACTAAAATCGACTAAAAGAGAACTCTCCCCCATCAACCTCCTAGGTCCCACCTACCCCAACAAAAAATTACCAAATTAATATCTACAATTTTAAAAACCAACAAAGCAGACTTGTGATACAATGTTAAAAAGCTCTAAAAGCCAATAAAAAAGGTATTTTCAAAAATAAGTATCCGTAGATACTTTTTTTAAATAAATATCATCTTTTGTTTGTAAGATATCGCCAAAATTACGTTTTTAAATTGTCACAAATCTATATTATATCTACCTGAAAGTGTGAGAAATCTCTCGGATCCATATAGAACATAAAAAAATAACATGAGAAGTTCCTATAAATTTTTTTAAAAATATGATGGACACTAGTAAGGACCTCACAAAATGGTGTCGTTGAAACATATTTAGCTTTTTTATATAGTTTACCATGGCCGGGCTAAGGGTTACACCTTATTAATGCCTAAATTTTTAACACCCTGTATGATAGAGACTTAAAAAACATAAATCTGGAAACCTTAAACTAAAAAAAGCTACTCGTCTCAATTGTCGATATATTGAACCGTTTACGAGAAAAACAATAATGGATCTGAGAGATTTCCCACACTTTCAGGGACACCCTGTATATATTTTTCTACATATTTACTATACATATACAACTTATTCTTTATAGAAATAAAAAACAACATGGACATGGAGAATGAGAGTGAGCCTCCACCGGCATCCCCTGCGCCCAGCATCAGTATGTATATTTAGAATATTTAGTCAATTTACGGACTTATGGAATTAATTTTTGATTATTGTACACTTTCGTTGTTAATTAAATTGATTAATTCCGGTTAGTTCTTTAGAGTTAATATTTCCGTTTCTTTTATAGTAGTTGATATGGAGGAGGAAGGAGCCAGCAGAGTGCCGAGCGCCGAGCGCGGAGGGCGCCGAAGGAAGGCACGTCGGAGCATAGGCATCGCACGTCGGTTTCCTAATGAAGCCGGCGTCCAGGCGGGCCGTGTGGTGCCGAAAACTCACCAAACAATAGTGAACGTGAAAATACTTAATTTAAAAGGTGGATTAATAAGATTTGTGTAAAATGAATTGTTGCTTTATTTATTACCATGAAGAATAGAATATGCATTGCACCGGGCTTTTAATAATCGGGTCAGTGTCCAAAACGAGGTTTGAAAGGGGGCATAGCGCCGAGCGTTCCGAGCGTTTAGCGAATTATTAATTTAATTTTGCAACTATCTATAAATAATTTGTTTGAAAGTGTTACATACGGGGTTTGTTAGGCTTTGCAAGGACTATGCAGGGATAATACAAGACATTTCGACCGAGGATATTTTAATTTTTTTGAGATTCTGTTAGTGTTTCAATTAGATTTAAATGCTAATGTTTCGTATAATTACAAAATGCTGAATGCATATATAATTAAATTAATATACATAGATTAAATTGAATAATATAAATAGCATATTAGTTCTCACAAAATAATTAAAGACAAAAACGTTTCATTTAATAAACAATAAATGAAATATTGTTTTTCTCGTAAACGATTCATTTTAACGAGAGGAGAGGACAATTAAGAGGAGTACCCTTTTTTTTAGTTTAAGGTTTAAGCTTTCCAGATGTATGTTTTTTAAGTCTGTATCATACAGGGCGGTAAAAATTTAGGCATTAACACGTTGCATGCTAATCACGCCTATGAGCCTATTTGTAAACTTTCAAATATTCATCATTGATTATTTACATGTTGAAATATTTAAATGAACAAAATTTAGAAAGAATAATAGAAAGAAAAAATTTAGATGTGCGCTGTGTTGACAATAACGATTTTCTGCAAATTAAAAATGAAAGACACATGTGCGTCACTTAGCATACAAAACAAACATTAATGATCTAATTCTGACGCCGCCTATGAGCGTCACGAGTTACAAAAGACGAAATTAACTAAAAACTTGCCAAAACACACACGTTCGGGGTGTCCCTGAACACCCTGTATAATTAAACATAACAATGTTAAAAGTTGTATTTAAAAAATAGTTTATTTGTATAAAAGTTCATCGCCCATCAATGACAATATGGGGGGCTCTTATTACATTTTTTAAAACATTTGTTTTGAAATTATATCTCACTACATATATTACTACTGTCATCGCATTTACTATATTTTTGAAAACATCCAAAAACTTTTCAAATGGATGCATCGAATTCCCTCGAGTAATTTCCCCTTATAATGTTAATCTATTAGTATTTAGGAAATTTGATGCAACCATCTTGTTAACACAAATGTTACAATGAAAATTAAAAAAAAATTTAATTACTACCCGGCTATTCTTCGACTTAAAAAATTTTGGAGGTCATCCGACAAACCCTCCGACTCATCCTCTACACAGTTAGCCCCTACAGAGTTTGATGAGGTCATGTTATTAATGATTAAGGTTTTAACGGAAGAAAGGAAGAAGGAACAGGTAAGATTGATAATTCTCGCTCCACAACTTCTCACACAACTGAAAAAAGTTTTCTGAAAAACTGAAAAAAGTTTTCCAAGGGATCTTGATTAAATGCTCGGGGAGCCATATATGTATGATTTTAACACATTCCAGAAGTGCAAGAAGGTGCGAAGAGTGAAAATCCAGTTTTTTATGGAAGGGATTACAATAATGTTACTGGGTGTAGAATAATGGAAAGTTCTTAAAAAAGGTAAGGCGTAGGTCCAAAAGAAAACGTGGGAAGAATTTTCACTCAATACAACTCCGTAGTTGCTTCCTGTCAGGTGGTGATAGCGAGCTGCCGTTGACGTTGTCAAATAATTTATCTAGGAATAGGAGGAGATCCACAGTCTCTGTAGTTTTTGGTCTAAAAAATGGAGATCACAGAGTTTGATATGGGTGTATAAGCTTCCAATAACTGCATACAATCTAAACAAGTAACGTGTGATTTTATAGATTTTACAACAATTCCAGAAATATATGCAGTTATTATATCAATCAAGTAGTACGATAAATAGTACCTGATCGCAGCGTTCGTGTCGCCGCGACCAGGGCGCAAGCATGGCCCTAGCCTTACAGTTGATTCTATAATCATCCAACATCGATGAAGTGTTTTCGAATTTTGCAATGTTTTTCGGTTCTTACAATTAGTTATTAATCTGAGTCGGGCACCGATTACTTGAAGCATGCAGTATGTAGTCTGTGCCATAATAAGTGCCCTATAGAGAAAAAATATGTCTTTTATTCTGTGTATGAAGTGCTCATCCCCTGTTAAGCAGTTTCCAGACCTTGAGACCTTAGAAATAAAAATAAACAAAATAAACAAATAATCTTCGTTTTTTCTAGAGCTTAATTCTTCTATTTTTTGACTAAATACCAACGTAACTTTTGCTTAAAAATGTACAAGTCGATAAAACAGTTTCCTGGAAAATAACTTCATCTGTCAACAAGCAGCGCCACATTTGACAAATTGACGTTTTAAAAATTTCGCATAACCAAATATGGGGATTTCTTCTGAACTAGATATGAAGTGTCTGTTAAAAATATTATTTTTTTAAAATCTGTATAAAATTTAGATGTAATCGTTTGTTTAATACTTTCTGTTGTAGGAAATTACTTAGAAAAGCCCAAGGTGTGTACCCAATAGAAAAAATATTTTTTTTTTCAAAAAGTTAAAATAGTTAAAAACAGCTGTTTTTTTCCTGTTTACAGATGTCTTTCCGAGTTGTACGTAGTTCTAAGTTTCGGCATGTGTACGGCCAAGCCCTAAAAAGGGAGCAGTGCTATGATAATATACGTGTATCAAAAAGTTCATGGGATTCAACATTTTGTGCTGTGAACCCCAAGTTTTTGGCAATTATTGTCGAAAGTGCTGGGGGAGGTGCCTTCATCGTTTTACCACATAATAAGGTATTTAATTATTACCAAAACTAACAAACTGGCCTACTTTAAATCTAAAAGTTTCTTATATTTTATCATTGGTATCTGTAGAACTATTAAGATATTGCACTAAAGATAACAAGACTCCAATATCCAATAGTGTATGGTCAAAAAGAGTCCAATTCAATAGTGCCTTTCTAAATTATTAAATTGTATTAATGCAATAACATAAAAATATTTTTGCTAGCTTATTTTCAGTTTAGTGGATTGTTATTCCATAGATCCATAGTAATGAAACAGACATTTTATTCATTCGATTAATTCCGCTATAATATTAAATGAAGATAAATTACGAAGCTTCACTGTTAACAATTCACGATCGTAAAAAAAATCAATGTTTTGATTCACCAACACGAGCCAACACAGCCGGAAAATGTCCCGATAAACCTTATCAAAAAGAAACCATTGTTTCGAATAAATTCAGATAAGATTATTAAATGTGGCTTTTAAAAAGAAGAATGTGTTATTTCGGACGATTATAAAATAGAGACAAACACAGTTTTTTAATATACTAAATCATTAAAATAATAATAACATACTGTAATAGTTTGTATTTAACTAACTGTACTAGATATGGCAGTTAATTAGTAATGTTTAAACGCACATAATATTAGAGGAAAATATTTATTATTAGAAATATTTCAGTTTGTCTATTAAAAAAAAAACTCCATTGAGTCATAGCGTATGATTGAAATGGTCGTAAATATAGCATTTAAATGATCGAAATTAGGTAAGGATTGGCGAATTTTGAAGAGATAGTCGTGTTTCGTTGAGCTTCGTGTTACAAATTCACCACTTACCAAGTGATCTATTTTTAAATAAATTCGTATATATTCAGATTTGGACGTATGCCAGTCCTTTTGCGACTTACAATGTACCAGTTTAGAAATTTAATTTTAGCAAATTATTATTAATTATTAAAATATTTGTTCTATATTTTCTGCATTCCTTTTGACGTAAATCGTCCGCATTTCTATGTTGTTTCGGACATTTGATGGGGTTTTCGTGGTTTTTCGGTTGTTTTTTTTGGAAAATAGTAAAATCTTGTTGATTTATTTGCCTATTATCTCTAGATATACCTAACAAATACAATGCAGGGTGGCACATTAGTCTGGAAAAGCTCAATATATCAGTTATTGTAGAAGATATAAAAGAAATTCATTGCACAAATTGTAGATCTTTTTAAGCTGCATATTTTAAAATTAGTTACGTTTATACAGAGTGCACCGTTGCGTTGTAGACCAAACTTATACTTTTTTAAATAGAACTACCTGTTTTTTCTTCAAAAATTATATTTAGCTCGATTTTAGCTTTCCAAAAATATAATTTTGTATGTTATAATGAGTGGTTTAAAAGTTATGACCACTTTTCCATGAAAATTGTACTAAGTTTACCACTTTTTAGGAACTAAATGGATTGATTTGGAAATAAATTTCAGGTTTCACAACATTGCAAATATCCTGAAAATGTACAAAATGAATATTTTTCGCCAATTTTAATCCTACTGCTTTATATTTTGCTTTGCTAAATATTTTTCAAGTACTTCCATTATTCTTATTAAAGATTCCCTATACCTAAAGTTAATACTTTTCAAGATATTTCTATTTAAAAAAATGAATTTAAAATTGAAGAAAAAAAATTTAAGCTTTCTTTTTTTAATAATCGAATACGCATTAAAGAAAGAATTAAGAATCTTAAATTAACCAGTGTCTGATAAAAACGGTTATAGTTTGTCGGTATTACTTCTTCTTTTAGTAATTTTTCTATTGAACAATAAAATAAAATTGATGAACATGATTTGGGTGTTGGTAGAAAGTTTACAGAATTTGTTTGTTACGAAATGTAATTGTTATTAGTCGCAATAAACAATTAGTAGTAGTGACAAACTAAATACTGCACATTAGCTGGAAAACAATCACTGAAGAGATTCAAAATATTCCTCCATTAATCTACAAAAAAATGATGCAAACTGTAATCGTGAGGGAGCTCTGATTTATGGGGCTTCCAGAGGCGCACATTATTTTTCCTAGATAATTTTCAAGTTTTCATCTCGTAAAAATACTGAAGATTTTCGTTAATTCGTTGCAGGTAGGACGCATCGCGGCCGATCATCCTCTGGTCGGCGGTCACAAAGGACCCGTTTTAGACATCGCTTGGTGTCCCCATAACGACAACGTCATAGCTAGCGGTTCCGAAGATTGCGTCGTCAAAGTATGGCACATACCGGACCACGGTCTGATCAAAACTCTGACGGAGCCCGTCGTAGATTTGATCTACCATCAGAGGAGGGTCGGCTTGGTCCTTTGGCATCCGACCGCTTTGAACGTGCTGTTGACTGCGGGCAGTGACAATCACGTGGTGATATGGAACGTCGGTAAGTTTAATATACTCGTACCTGTACAGATTTTTAAGGCGAACTTACGCCAGGGAAATAATTGGTAACATGTAGCATGCAACATGTAGCATTTTGTGTAACTTCTTTAATTACCTTTGGCACGGTTGTTTGATATATCCCGATATCTACATCAACTGTCAATATGAGTTCCCAAAAATTCGTTAGATTGGCTACCCATTTAACATTGTTTGGATTAAAGCTAAAAGCAGTACTATACGAGTAGTGTTTGATAGTAGAAACTTGCCTAAAATAATTGACTTACCGAAATAATTTTCAATATTGTGCCTCTCCATACGTTCTACGTTCAGATATTTCCCTACTTTTTCTTCCATAATTCACAAAAAATGCCTGATAACTCTGTAATCAGCTTTTTAAAAACTACACCAAACACTCCCTAATGGAAGAAATACTAGACAACAAAAAACTCTCGTTTTATTCCTATTCATAATTTTTCTTGTCTACTTTTGGTTACTGTTACTAATAACCTTGTTGGGTTTCAGGTACCGGAGAAGCGTTAGTCGAAATTAATTGTCACCCGGATATCGTGTACAGCGCCTGTTTCAATTGGGACGGCTCCAAATTGCTTACGACATGTAAAGATAAGAAAATTAGAATTATCAATCCGAGAAACGGTGAAGTGGAAACGGAAGCCATCGCCCACGATGGTAAACTAAACGTACATCTTTCGCAATAGTGTTCTAATATTACCTGGTTTGTTTTTTTTAGGTTCCAAGGCTACCAGAGCCATCTTCTTAAGACACGGTTTAGTGTTTACCACCGGTTTCTCGAAGATGTCCGAAAGGCAATACAGTTTACGTACGCCGGACTGTTTGGAGGAACCGATTGTGATGGTAGAATTAGATACGTCGAATGGTGTCATGTTCCCCTTGTACGATCCGGATACGAATCTCGTGTTCCTGTGCGGTAAAGGAGATTCTGTAATTAGGTACGATTAGTTTCACTCTAATATTTCATAGATCAATACTCGTAAGATGCGGATTATACAAGGTGTTAATTAATTGAGTGCCAATACTTCAGGATGTGAATATTTGGATGATTTTAAAAAGAAAATTGCTTCAATTTAGACCGCAACATGGTCGTTTCTATGAGTTGAAGAACAAAGAAAGATGGATAAAATAACAGTTGTCAGAGTGAAAAGTTGCAATGACACAAATATCACTCTTGCTTTTTCCTTTATAAGTGTCCAATGGTAGTTGTCTTTGAATGAAGCAGAGTGTATGTCCTAAACCTCTTAGTTTTCGAGCTACAGGATGTTACAATTTTAGAAAAAAAAACTTCCATCATAATTTTCTTATGACTCCAGATATTTTTATGAAATTTTGTACACACTTTTTAATTATTAAGGAGCATTTTTTGAGGTAAAATTTTTACCAGTGACGTCTATATGGGGTTTGAACTGAATATGTTTGAAGAAAATATGGTACGTCAGTGCTTTTTCTAAAAACTAAAATTATTTTTAAAATCCTCATTTATTTTGGAGCAAATTCGGTGGAAGATTTATTTTCGTACGACGCACCATTTTCGCGTAAAAAAATAAAAACCAAAACAGTTTTTTCCTAATTTCATTGAGACTGCTTTTGATATTTTGTTGATATTCGGTAGGCGCCCAACTTGCATAGAAACACTTTTTTTGGGGGTCAAAAATTAGTTTTCTATTATTACCAGTGACGTTCACGTCCGAAATTTCATAAAAATATCTGGAGTAATAAGAAAATGTTGATAGAAAAGTTTTTTTTTATATATAAAATTTTAACACCCTCTGTAGCTCGAAAACTAAGAGGTTTAGGACGTATATTGATATAAACTTTTCTTTTTAAAATTATCCAAATATTCACATCCTCAAGTATCGGCACTCAATTAATTAACATCATGTTTTTGATCAATACGAAAGTACAAATTTCAAACATGATTTTTATTGATGGTAATTTCCAGATATTTCGAAATAACAGCGGAACCGCCATTCGTTCACTACATCAACACTTTCCAAACGCCCGATCCGCAACGAGGAATCGGGATGATGCCAAAGAGAGGGTGCGATGTTACTTCCTGCGAAATATCCAGGTTTTACCGGCTCAACAATTCAGGTTTATGCCAAGTAAGAGGATCGAAGTGAGCGAGATATACAGGGTGGTCCAGAACTCACGCCCCCACCAGAAAATGCTTTATGGAAACGACAATTGAGATTGCAATTCCAAAATTGCAGTCGAAGACATGAAAATGTTTTTCCTTTGGAAGATAAAGAGGTTTAAAATCGACCAATCCTAGTAATAGTTCTACAAGGCTAGCGGAGAGCACACACCAGTTTGCCGTACACATTTCAACAGCTAGGACCTCTATGTATCAGAAATCTTTTCTGTACAGAACCGCGACACTATGGAACACACTACCATCAGAAGTGTTCCCAGTTGGTTACGACCTTCAGAGGTTTAAGACCAACATTAACAATTACCTACTAAAAACGCCTCGGGGCGCCTGAACAGGCGTTATAAGCTTCGTCTTTTCCCGAGTCGTGTGCATAAAAAAAAAAAAAAAAAATTTAACAATTAAAAGGTACAGGGTAAGAACGACAATAGTCCATCTAAAAGATTTTCGAGAAACATTAAAATTAAGTTTATTAAGAAATTAAAGGTATCTTTTATGATATGATTGAAAGATATGATTGAAGTCTGATCTGAATATGCATAGAGCCACCAAATACATGGAAATGATTATAATTTATGGAGAATGTGGACGAAACGCACGAGTCTTCTGATCATCCTTTTATTTTAACAAGCAAATCTTTGATTAATAGTCGTAGCTAATTTTGAGAGCTTTTGTTAACCTTGAAAGTGAAAAGGTCATAGAATCTTTCAATTAAGTCAAACTGATGTTAAAACAAATTCGGGTCAATTTTGTGGATTTGAACTCTGACTGGGCTTGGTCGATTTTAAACCTCTTTATTTACCAAAGAAAAAACTGTTTCATGTCTTCGGCTGCAGTTTTGGCATCTCCATTGTCGTTTCCATAATCCCTTTCCCGGTGAAGCGCGAGTTCTGGACCACCCCGTATACGCTCATCGGATTTACCATACGAATAATTTTCCAGGTAATCACCATGACAGTGCCTAGAAAATCCGAACTCTTCCAAGAGGATCTGTATCCGGACACGATCGGCGATCAACACGCCTTGACGGCGGACGAATGGATAGGCGGTAGAGACGCCGAGCCTAATTTGATATCGCTGAAAGACGGTTACAAACCTCCCGAATCGAAATCATCGTTATCTGTTTCTAGAAGAAGTAATTTATTAGATAAAGGTACCAAAGGTGGTAAAGCTAGTCAACAAACTTCACCTGTTTCTGTAAGTAGTCTATTTTATTTTAACGGGTGTCTTTAATAGTATAGTTTTAGCACTAGGTGTGTTTCTTTATGAAGGTTTCACGTTTTGCTAGAGTCTATAGATCTAGTATTATTACATTCAATGATGTTCGTAATTAGTAGTCTAAATATGCTAAATGAATTTTTGCATTTTTCAATATATTTTGCCAAGAAATAATTAAAATACGTTAACTTAATAACGAATAATAATATAAATAATAATATAAAAACATTACATATTACTTGCAATTTCAGGTAACTAACGATTCTAGGTAGTTCTAAATGATTCTGAAGCGTTATAAATGGTTTTAGGCCGTTCTAAATGATACTGGAGGGGTTTAGATGATTGTAGACAGTTCTAAATTATTCTAGACAGTTTTAAATGATTCAGGGGGGTTCTAAATGGTTTCAGACAATTCTAAATGATTCTGGAGCCTTCTAATTCCTAGATAATTCTAATTGAGTCTAGAGCGTTCTAAATGATTCTAGATAGTTCTTAATGATTCTATCCCATTCTAATAAGCAATATGTATAGTCTGATAGTCGACATTGTGTGTATGTCTTATCGTTTTCTATTAATAAAATTTTGAAACAAAAAAATTTATATCTGGTTGTTTTTGATTTTTTCATCGAGCATAAACGATAAGACTCATATTTTGCCATTTTTTTAGTTTCGTATTTTCCAAGCTCTTATAGTTAAAGTTTAAAAAATGAGCGCTAATTTTGACGACCATTACACAATAGACAAATAAACAAATTAAAATTTTTTGGTTCAATTGCAAAAACTTATTACTTACTAGTTATTTTTACTAACTAACTTTCATAATAATCAAATTTCCATTTTGCAGGACAAGACGTTGCAGGAGTTCGCCGACGAAATCAGGAAACTGAAAGCGGTGATCGTGAAGCTCGAAAATCGATTGAGGGCCGTCGAGGGCGACGTGACCGTGAAATTGGAAAATCGCGTGAAAGAATTGGAAGCGATCGTGTCCAATAAAAGTCACGTTAACGACGACGATGACGGAGCTGGAGGCGGCGACGGTCTCAACACGGCAGTGTTGGCTTCTGATGAAGTGTAACGTCTATTTGTTTGCATGGTACAGCCGCTCAACTAATACATTTTTAAAGGTATGCAAATCTTCTAATTTAGATCAAAACATCACTATAGTTGGTGCAAAACAAATTTCAATGCAGGTCACCTATGATTTACTAACAAACGTTAAATTTTGATATTATATATTTTTTGGATGATTTAATTCTGCTTTTTACCATTTTCTATCATCTCTTGTTAATATTAAATTAAATTCTATATTAAAAGTTGGGCACAAAGCATGGCAAGTATGACGACAGTAGTGACGTGCATTGTTATTTGTTTTACATCAACTGTAGCATGTACGAGTAGAGTGTGAAGTTTAAAATCTAACTTTACGACAGTTCCCATTAGTTCTGATTTCCTTTTATAAGAGTATACTCAGAACTCATATTAGAACTAGCGAGAACTTTCAAAAAATTGCAATATTGTCAATAATTAATAGAGACTTCGTTTTCAGATGTTGCACATGTTTTTGGTTTCGCAATTGCTCCGCTTTTTTATACATAATCTAATTTAAGTTTCATCGTTTTATTTATTTTTTTTATCATCGAAATTATATTTTATTAACTTCATATCGTCTACATCGTAAAGTGCTCTTATTACAATCCGAGTTGTTTGAATAATTAGGTGTTATAATGAAATGATGAACTGTTTAACGAATTATTTTTAAAATGTCTTAAGCAAAAAAATGTTGTTGATTTACCACTAAGCAAATTATCAACGAGATCTCGAGAGTTTGGGATGTGCTCAGTATTTGTTTTTGCAGTATTTTTATTTTTATAATAGGTTATTATAGGAAAATTATGTTGTTAAAATGTAATACCAAAAATTATATTATTCTTTTCTTTTTTTAATATTCAAAATTGATTTATCCTAAATTATTTTTTATTATGATTATCGAATTTTGTCGATTTACATATTTTTTGAGAAAACCTAATTAGAATTGCATGCTAGCTTTTACCAGATTTTGAAAAAAAAGCTTTATACACATTGGAAAAAATACAAGTTAATTTTGTTGGAATTTTCAGTAATCACAAATGTATTGGACTTTGGTACACAAATTGATAATTTTATATACATATCTATTACAAATGCCAAATAGAAACTATTAATCTAACCTTTTAAATAACTATTATATTCGTATTGTTCGATATTATTTTGTAATCAAAGTTCAAATATATTGACTGTATGCACAAAAAAATGTGGTTTTTCATGACATTTTCTTAAGACACCGAAACCTGTTAGATATATTTATATAGTTTATGAAAATTGTTGTGGAATTTTTGATAGTTATTTCTTCAAAACATCGAATCGTTATATTTTATATTGAATGTGTCTTGTACAATCGAAAATAGACTGACGCTTAATAAGTGCTTCTGATAAGTTTAAGAATAGTGTAAGGTAAGCACAAAAATAATTATATTAAACCAAGACTGGAGTTGGTTATTTTATTCATAAGAATTGTTTTAATAAATACCTCTTAAAAATATTAATTTCTGTGAAAACTGTTATTACAAATTCTTCTCGGTTTTGAATGGGTTCATTTGCTTTAGTATGTACTTAAATTGTTGATTACATTTGTAATTGTAAATTAAAATGAATTTTCTGATCTGGAATAAACTCGGGAAGGGAGTTTTTTAATTTTAGTAAAAAACTATTCTTTCTACTTAAATGCAACAAGGAATTGAAAAATGATTGTTAATAATCATTTTCCATTAACTTTTTCACAAACGATTGTAAATAAGTAAATTTACTATATACAATTTTAATTTTTATAAAGCATTTTTTCAACTGATTGTCAAAAATTCCATGAGGTTACTGTGTGCTGCTGTGTTAACAACGAATAATGTATATAATTGTAAAAACAGTTTATAATGCATTTTTTTTTGTCAGTTAACTAATAAAATTAATGATTGTGTTGTTAGTATTTTTACAAATGCAATAAAGTTTTGAAAAAAAAAACGCTTCTTATTTTTATAAGAGAAAATGAAGAAAAGAAACTTTTATTCCTTAATAAAAAAAAATTAATTATTATACAACTTTATGGTTGCGTCAGCACCTGAAGAAAACACCCAAGGCTGCAATGGATGAAAGACGACGTCAAAAATCCCAAAATCATTGAAACCCTCGTGATTTTGCAAACGCTTTAAAGGCACAATCAAAGGATTCTGCAACAAATCATTGTAAACCATCCCGTGCGAAACGATGAGGCTTCTGTCATCCGACCCGGAAGCGAACAGCGGATAATGTTTGTGGAAAGCGACGCCTCTAACAGCTGTACCGTGCAAACGTAGCGTTTGATAAGGTTTCGTGCTCAAATCCAAATCGAACCACAGCATTTTCCTGTCGTACGTCCCGACCACCAAATTATCGCCCAACGGATGTATCGCCATGCACGAAATCCACTTCGAATTCGTCAGGAGCTTCTTCATCAAGGCCTGTTTGACCAAATCGTAAATCCTGACGTGCCGTTGCGTAGCCACGAACAGAAACGGTTTGGTGGGATGGAACAGTACGCATTGTACCAAACCCTTTGATTTTGTGAACGGTAACTGCGATCTCCTTCTCGATATCTGCGAGATGAGCACAGAACGATTCTGCCCGTCCGGCATGACCGTTGCGAAATAATCGCCTTTAGCGTGCCATGTCACCTGACAAACGTCCTTAAAGTGCTTCAATATTAAACGGACGCCGTTCTTGTATTGCTCTTCGTCCGGTTCGATCCACTGGACAGTCGCTCGGACTCTCTCTGGTGTAACAACGTCGGATTTTGGAACGTCTTGTAACACTGTATCGGTTTTACTGTTCACTAAATAATCGCCTGAAACATTTATGTTAATATTACCACGTTACCTCTGTGTAAAATTCTATATTTACTTACCAACATTGGGATTAATAAGCAAAACTTCTTGTCCTGTAGCTACTAGTACTAAAGATAGAGCTGCGTTTGGACACCATTCCACTGATCTTACAACACTATTCGTTTTTATAGTCTTCAAACAACGACCTGTATTTACTTCCCATATCTTAATGGTACAATCGTCTGATCCGCTCAGCAAGTATTGACCAGTTTTATCTATACTTATAGACCTCACCATGTCAGTGTGACCTAAATTATAAAACCAATTTATTTTTTGAAGAAGAAAAAAGAAAATTTGACATTTCTCACCCTTATATTCAATAGCTAAAATTGTAGGGAACGGTTGCAAGTCCTTGGGGCTCGGTAGTTTAGGTACTAGAGATTCCGGTTCGATGTTTAGCTTCATTTTTATGGCTCTGGGACATAAGTAAAGATCCAAACAGCGCAGAAATCTTTCTTTGATGAAACGCGGATAAGCGGGCACTTTCCGGAGCGAATCAAATTTCTGTGGTACAAAATGCAGTTTCCTCTTCCAAGGGGCGCTTTTTAATTTGTTCCACTGCTTTAACTCTTTCTCATCGAAGAGATATTCTGGAGGTGGGTTGTAGCTTTCAGCGTGACCTGAAAAGTAATGACCGTTTTGAAGTCGAAGAAATAGTGAGAATTGCGGATAATATTTACCAGGCAGTATTCTTTTTGGTGCCGATATGTGCTTGTAAATCCTTCTCATATCCTCTGCTTGGTCATCGGTTTGCCACAACATGTAAAATTGGGGTTCTTTCTTAGCTCGGAGCTTCGCCGCCTCAGCCCTGGTTTTTATCCAGCCCATTTTCAGAGCATGAACCAACTTTGAGACTTTCCTAGCTTCGTGTTTGCTGGGTAAAAATGATCTTTTGTGTTCGGGAAATTTACGTAATGGCATCTGTTCCACTTCGCTTGTAAACCATTCTATCCAGGGCTTTGAAAATAAAGAGTAAGATGATGATTTGATATATTAGACTAAATAGTTACTTACTGCATATTCATCAAAAGTTTCATCGGGGATCTTTTGTGCAGTTATTCTTTTAATTAAGTTAATATCTTCATCACTTAATACTACGTCTTGACCAGTTTGGGGATCTTTTACTGTTCTCCAGAAGTCTGGATCTTCCATTCGTTTGAGGAATGCATCTAAATTATCTCCAGTTTCTGGCTTAAGAATTTGATTACCATCCCAATCGTATCCTGAAATCAAATTTTTGTACTAAATTTGTAAAAATTGGCAGTATATAAAAGTACCTAAATGTTTGTATTCATTGTACCAATTCATTGGTATATTTCCTACAGTATTTCTGATGTCTTCTTCATCTGAACTATCGAAGTCTTCATATTCGTTATTGGCAACTTTTTCATTGATATTTGCACCCGCTGAATCACCTAAATTTTTGCTATTTTCTGCTTTAACTTCGCTATTCTCTTCATTATCACTTTCTTCCGATTCTTGGTCGTCATCGGTGTTTTCAGATTCCTCTTCACTTTCGACCTCTTCATTATCTTCGGACTCTTCATCTTCTTCATCGGACTCTTCGTTTTCTGAACCACTTATTTCCAATTCATCATCATCCGAGCTATCTTCATCTTCGCCATTGATAACATTAAGCAGTTCTTCCTAAAACGTTTAATGTAAGTTTATGTATACAAGTTATTAATTTGCAAAGGTATTCTTACATCTTCGGTAGATTCTGCCTCTTTTTCTGTAGAATTCGTTTCTTCTTGGTTCTTTCTTTTAACGTGTTTAATTTCTTGTTTATTTCCCATAATAACTGTTCAGAAAATACTAAACCTGTGTTCAAAATTTTCTGGACATGTGAGGTTAAAAAGTTGGGTTATGATTTGGGTTGTCTTCTTCTTCTTCTTTATTAAATTGAGGCCTCAGCTGTTTAGGCTATTCAGTCTGTAATATGTCAGTACGTATCTGTAGTACGGAACATGGAATCCGAAATCTCAGAGGGTGAAAGATTATCTATCAGTTCGAGTACCATAAACTATTAAAATTTAAAAGGTAAATAACTATTTAGGTAAGATTTGGGTTGGCTGAAATGATGAAATGTCTAATATTTCTTCTTTTTAAATTAATCGGAAAACTGAATGACTGTATGGATAGAAGCCCACGGCACAGAATCGTAGAGAAGAGCTTGTTATATGACAAGGACATTACTGGATGTCATATGTCATTGTTTTGTTGTGGTTGAAATACTTTTCAAAATAATAAGATAATGTTTTAATTGTGAATCGAGACCGAGCGTTATTAATAAAATAAGGTAAGAATTTAAATTCATAAATAGGAATGCGATGTATTATTACATTTCTATCTTCCTATAAAAATCGAGAACATTTTATTTTTTTCTTATTTTCTTTAGGAGCACGCAAATTTATTACTAGAGTGTTTTCAAGAAAGTTACTAAAGTTGTTTCTTCATAGATTCCTTTAATTTGTTGCCGATGAACCTATTTCATAATTTTCTCTTCCTTAATTATTGGATTTTTAAACTCGTCTAAAAAATTGAGAGTACCTTATAGGCACTTCTTTCACTCGAACAAACCAGAAGATATAATCGCAACGCACACGAATTTCAAGAATTGGCTTTGGAAATTTTCATTTTTGACTTATTGTTCCAGATGGAGAACTCAAAAATTCGAGGAAAACACAGAATAAAAGCAGAAGAGGAAATAATTCGCCGAAGAGAAAAAGAAACTCGTTACCACGAATTATGGACTGGTACTGCAAATTATTTCGATCATTGGAACAAAAGGACTGCGAAATTTGTCGAATGGACTTCCCCTAGGTATTACAAGGAGAACAATGAACTTGTATCTGGGATCAAAGCGAAGAAAGACAAAGAAGAGTCGCTGACAATGAGAAGGCAAAAATTGAGGAAACTTTTTCACGAGGAGTCCACATCTTTTAACGTAGAATTGATGATTCATAGTAGCAAGGAATTCGATAAACCAATAGAAAACAATGATGACGTACCCACTCAAATCTTGAAAGAACTCAACGATCAGGTGAAACTTGAAGAACAGGCTAGAAGAAAGAAAGAAGCCGAGACAAAGCTATTCGATCAATGGAGAAGAAATAATCCTCTAATTAGACAGTGCGAAGCAAAGTACAAATGCAAAGATTTAAAATTAAGCTGGTTAGATCAGCAAATCGAGAAGAGAATACAAAAGGAAAAGGAAGAAGAGGAAGCTCGTAGAATTCTGAAAGAAAATGAAAGGAGACTCGAATTAGAGAAGGAGAAAGAAAAAGTGCGCTTAAGGAAGATTGAGGAAGAGAAACACCAACTTAAAGAAGTGCTCGATTCTCAGATAATGGAAATTAAAGAAAAACAAAAATTATCCGATGAACTGAAAGAGAAGGAAAACGACGAAATGCAACAACAGTTGTGCATAGCTCAGCTCGAAGAGCAAATAAAACTGGAAGAAAAACGTCGAAGGGACAAAGAATGCGCTTTATTCAACATTCGACAGCACAATAGAAGGATAAAACAAAAGTGCAAGGACGTCCAAGAAAACCTAGAACAAGAAAAACGTTTAATAATGAGATTTAACGAACTCCGCTTGCAAGATATAATCGAAGAACGAGCTAAAAGGGACGAAATAAAACGAGGTATCGAAGAATTTCTCGACATCATAAAGCAGCAACAGGCGTTAGAGATACAAAGACAGAAGCGACTGGAGTTCCTGTTCGACTCCGAAGCAAAGGCCTTGTACAATACACAAGCAGCTACTTGGAAGCAGGAGGAAATGGCCAGAGATAGGCTATTCAAAGAAGTACTAGACTCTCTTAAACAACAAATTAATGAAAAATTGGAGATGAACAAATTAAGACAAACGGAAAACCTCCGTGAACGGGAAGAAATGACGCAGAAAATCGAAGAATACAATGAAGAGCTACATAAACTGAAGCTGGAAGAAACGAAAAGCAAACACGTGAAAAGGCAGTCTCGGGAAGACGAAATAAAAGTAAAAATGGCGAAAAAAAAGCAGGAAGAAAGCTTGAGAATCAAAGAACTAGACGAGGAATTGGAGAGAATAAGGAAGGAAGAGGAAAGATTGCAAAAGGAGATTTTGAGGATACAACAAAAGCGAAACACTTGCAAAAACTCTAGGAATAGATTGCTTTGAATTCGTAGATTTTTTTAATGAATTCTGTGATAGTTATCGATGAATATTATTATATTATTCACTTTATAATTGTTAATTAAAGTTGGTTTTTGCACTGCATAATATCTTTTATTGCAAATGCTACAAAAGTGAATGAAGCTTATTGAATGAAAATTTTACGTCTTTGACTTCACTACAGCCAATTTTACAGAGCTTCAAAAAACTTAAACCACTAATTTGGACAAGCAGTGTATAAATAATCATAGAATTAATCGGGATAACAGGTGTAGCGAATATAAATAAAAAAAAAACCTTTAAATGCACATCATAACGATAATATTATGTCAGTTTATTTATTCGTACATGTATAGTCAAATATGTATATCCTTAAAAATAGCGTAAAAAAATCACATTGTTATTGTCACTTCGTCTAACTGTTTTTTGAGATTCTCCAATTTCTCCATGTCGCTATCGGACGTGTTGCATTTGTACACGACCAGCGAATGATAAAAATGCGCTGCGAACAAAACGAACGTTATCAAAACGGGAATAACGATCACTGTCGCCGCCACTGCCGCCGTAAACGAATAATCCCAGAATTTCACCCAGCACAATATGGCGATCTCCACTAGGAACAGGAAAAGACCTAACAACAACAATAGAAATTAGTATTATTCCGCCAAAGCAATCAGCTATAGTATATGGAACTATACTAGAAATAATTGAGTAGACTTAAATCCTAAAAGCTGTAATCCCCAATATTTTCATTAGGGTCTAGGATCTAGACTTAAGTATGCTGATTTATTTGTGGTACTAATACAGGGTGTCTTATAAGTTGATACTTTTTTTTAACTGCGCATAGATCTTTTAATTCTAAGCAACTTTTTCTAGTAAATATTCTGAAAAATAAAAAGATGGAATTTTTTAAAATTTGACAGGTGTCAAAAATTATAAATAATTAAGGACAAAAAATTAATTTTTTGATTGTTAATTTGAAAATAACTCATCTTTATAGAAATAATGAATTGGTGGACATGCTGATTATTTATGGAGAGTTTTTCCAAAGCGTTTCCAATAAAAATGGCGACAATTTTGAGGCAATTCTTTTAACTTATAATGAACAGGGCCGTATTAATTAACTTTTTAGTAATTAAAAATTGAAAAAAGACATGCTTTCTTATTTTCCAGAATATCAAAATATTTTACTTGAAAAAGTTGCTTAGAATTAAAAGATCTATACGCTGTTAAAAAAATCTATCAACTTATGAGACACTCTGTATATGTATAAATATAAACTAATTGACTTATACCTTCAGACAAAGAAGTACCCGGAAATTCCGATTTGAATTACCTGTACTTAATATTATTAACTATTTCAAGTTTCTGTATGTAAGTAACACTGCTCTTAATTAGCATGCAAAAAATTAGAAAGATTTCTCAATCAGTTTGGTTGTAGCAGCTGATTAAATGAGTTCATCTCAGTATAGTGTTCTGCGAATTTTGCAATGGACAAAGTAATAAACAAAGAGTTTGTCTCACATAAAAAAACTTTTAAAGACAGTCGAGAGATCGCTAAAGACTTGTCTTGTTCCTGTGGACGGTCTTTGACCTCTTGAACCAATGATAACGGCGAAAAAATGAAGAAAATTGACTTCGAAGATCATCATGCTAGTATTAGAGAAGTAGCACTGGACTTCAACATTAAAGCCCGTTAACTCCCGTTAAACCACTCGCTTGATTTTGAAGACACACTGCTCATTGAGGCTCTGCTCGTTCTGATAAACCTGACTTTCTTCAAAAACGGTAATGTCAACTGGTCGCTGCATACATGCCGATTCGTGTGAAGTACCATCGACCAGTCGCTTTACTCACCATATTTAACCTCGTGCGATTTTTTTTGTTTCCCAAACTTAAATTGCCATTTCGGGGATCTCTTTTTTGACTCAATAAATGCCAAAGAAAATTCCCAGAAGGAGTTAAAAGCTGTACCAAAAAATAGCCTATAAAAATGTTTCGATGATTGGAAAATTCGTCTGATTATATGTATCGCTTCAAAAGGAGCATATTTTGAAGCAGATTCAAGAAAAATAAAAAAAGATTCGGAATTTTGCGTTCTATTCCAATTTTCCCGGTACTTTTTTGTCAGTCTGTATGTCAATTCCCCTAAATATTTCGAGTTAAACTATACCTAAAATGGTCGAGAACGCCCACGCAATTTCAATGAAACCCTTCATTCTTTCGTGCGGGCTCTCCGTCACCATTTCGCACACTTCCAGCTTCGCTATGGCCTCGATGTTGGGCAGGATGTACGTGGAGATCATCAGGGCGAATATGTGGACGGCCACCAAGACGGTCGTGCACACCGCAAACAACACGAACAGCCATTCCGGTACGTTGGTCGGAGTGTTTATTTGAAGTTCTACCTAAAGACATTATACGAAGATTTTTTATGATTTTTTTGTATCTTGGTAATACTAGTTACTTTAAAGTTACTTTAGTAAAGTTAGTTTAAAGTAAATGCAACTTGGTACAGTTCGGTACTTATTAAGTACGTGCATAGTACCTACTAACGGAATTTCTACTAAAATGGGGGATATCTACTTTTTAATTACTATAAAAATCAAAATTTTATGAAGATTAAGTTATAAATTTACTACAAAGAAACGTAAATATTTGAAAAGAGGCATTAGAAGAAAAAGGAATGAAAATAGACATCAACAAGACCAAGATCGTTTTAAATTGGAGATCAGAATACAACAGTAGAAATCCTTATAGATAATGTACAAACAGAACAATTTAAGGAGTTTAAAAACTTATGATTAAAGTGCGAAGAAAGAGGAGAACAAGATTAAGAAATAAACGAAAGAATTGAAAAGGCTATAAAATTATTTTATTGCAATGAATCAAAAATGTATTAATAGCAAAGAGGCAAAATTAAAAGTAATCAAAACAATATACACATTAGTTCAAAATTGTTTGCTTTGTTTAATTCTACGAATTGAACAAAAAAGATTATTAAAATAACAATGCAGTTAAGGCGCGTTCTCACAGACCAATTTTAGTTGAATAAAACCTTTAGTGAGAAAATTTTTATTTATAAATTTTGTACTACATACGTAATAACGAGTGGTATGACTAAAAGGAGAATTTGCTTATACTTTAATTAAGAGAGCTTTTACTTCCTAGTATTTTGTGAGAATAATCGTTTACATGAAGTAAATTCTTCGATGGGAAGAGTTTACTTTGGTTAGAAGTATAAACTAGTAGCAAATACAAGGCTAATAAGAATACGCTTTCTAACCATGATGCATCCACAGACGTGAATATTCCTTTCCTATTAGAACTGCTTATAGACTGCACATTAATACTACAAAATCCTTTGCGGTTGAATATTCTTCACCGTGAAGTTTTGGTTTTATTATTCTAATATCTTTATCTAACATCTTTATCTAATTCTATTTCTTGTGCATTTTGAGGAAGAGAAATCCAATCATTTTTCTTCGACACAATTTTTTGTGTAACTTCTTTAATTACCTTTGGCAAGGTTGTTTGATGTATCCCGATATCTAGACCAACTCTCAATATGAATTACCAAAAATTCATTAGATTGGCTACCCATTTAACATAATTTGTATTAAAGCTAAAAGCATAGTGCTTGATAGTGAAAAGTTACCTAAAATAATTGACTTACCCAAATAATTTTCTATATTGTGCCTCTCCATACGTTCTACGTTCACATATTTCCCACCTTTTCCTACCATAATTATTCACATGCCATTTTTAACACCTTTTTAGGTGAAGTACTTGATAAGAAGTTACTCTGTGATTAGCTTTGTAAAAACTACACCAAACACTCCCAAATGGAAGACATACTATACAACATTAGTAATTTCTGTAGAATTAACTTTTATGTATATTGAAGTAAATAAAGATAAGTATGAAGTAATTGCTCCTCCTAGTATTTACTTTAATGTAACTTTGAGAATTATGTAAAGTATATGCCTTAATTTTTTGAAGTGAAAACTACGAAATTAAGCATTTAATTGAAGTATAAGCAAACACTCCTTTTAATCATACCACTAGTCATACAATTTTTAGTGCAAAAAACCTTCGTGATCGTTTCTCACAAGTATTTTGCTCATTGGGTATAGTAGAATCGTAGATATATCGGAGAAATGACTTTTAATAATTAATTAATAATTAATATTAATAATACTTTAATCTGTTTATTACCACAAATTATTTCTTTGTGTTTACTAGCCGACACAACTACGGCCATAAAAGTACTCGAAATGGAATTGTAAATACAGCAATTAGTCGAGTTCGCCTATTCGGCGGTTACTTCGACCGGCTAAAGACGGGGTGTTATAAATCCAGTCATAAATTCATTGACTTATAAGTCATTTTTTCGTAATATCTACGATCCTACTATACTACATACCCCTGGTGTAAGGTCTTACCATTGCAATCATGGCGAATCCCGATAGGAGTTCGGACGTGGTGGCCGTGGCTTTGAGTTTAGCCCGGGACATGTGCAATCTTCGCCACGACAGGCCCTCCGACGTGTTAGCGAGATGCATCTTATCGTTGTTGGACGACGTCTCGACGTCGTAACATCGGCAGTAAGCTTTCGGATGAGTTTCATCGTCTCGTAATTTCACCTGCGTGCGAAAATTTTTATGATTTTTATGAATTTCTCGTTATTTTAAGGAACATTCGGAATAGCGGCTGGCGTGAAGGTAAACGGAGTCATTATTTGCGGCAAATATAATAGGAAAATGCGAGCGTGATAAGCGTTAACTATTCTATAAAAGTGTATTAACTATTAAATAAACAACTTAATAATATTGTTGTATAAAAATAATTATTGAAAATTCAAACTTTACGGCTACAGGTAGGTGTTTAAAGCGTTACCTAATGTCATTTTCCGTAGTACAAATAATTTGTTAACTCATGTTATTACGTTCTAATTATAGTGATGATCATAAACAGCGATTTAATTTTATTATTTTTATACACGCATTATCATGACAATTTAATTTTGCTCTTAATAGGGCAATTCATTTTTGGAGATGTTTTTTAATGTTAAGAAGAGCCTCACACTCGATGAACTCTATTAGTATATCGTGCTCTATAAAAACATTGTCAATGTCCGTCGAAGGAAACAACATGATAAATATAAATAAACAGCAAAAATTATTCCAGATAAAAATCAACGGTCGTTTACGCATGCATGGACAAACACCGGCAATACCAAAAGTAATAACCATGACTGAATTAATAAATTTCAAAAATCGGCACCTAAAGTGCTACAATTTGATTGGAATGTTTTATGCCTATCAACCGATTAAAATTCTTTCGTGTAATTATCGAATCAGGTTGTTTAATTTGTTGTCATACCCACAATAAATAAATTCAACGAACTAATTTTTATAAAAATCCATTCTTAGTATAGTAGTATCTAGTAGTTTTGGTAGTTCATTATTCCATTATTATGTAATTAGGTACATATAATTTAGGAATCGTTACAAGTTTCTATAATGTGGAACATACCTTTGGTCGCGATGGTTGGACAACCATATACGGACCGTTGGAAGTAACGCTGGAATTGCTCGAAAACGGAGGCGTTCTCTCCCTGGATATGGACCCCAGAGCGGTCTCCATTAGCGAGGGATGTGATAAATTCGTAACGGGGCTCTCCAAGTACGCTATTTTAGTCCTGTTTATCGTGTCCGAGGTAAAGTTCAGCCTTTGTCGACTAGGTAGGGACTTTAGTTGCGACTGCAAAAGATTATTACCTACGTACAAAAAACGCCACGATTTTAAGTCTACTCGTTGTCAAAAGAATTTAAATTTCAAGTAATATTTACAATTTATGTATAAAAAAATTATGCGCCTTTAGAGACAAAATGATTTAAATTCTGCTTATATACCAAATAAAAATTCTTAACATTTCAGGAACATATTTTAAATTATTACTTTCACTTACCCAAGAGTTAGTTGGCGTAATGTTCCTTTGAGGGTTGGGAAGCGAGGAAAACAGATCCTGAGAAGTATGGTGTCTCCATATTTTCTTTTCGTATTTAGGAACTATTGGAAAATTGACTTGTGTAGATTGATCCATATCTGAAACGAAACAAACAATGTAAAAAAGAAGAATTCGAAGGAATTTAGAGGATTCCCTGAAAAAGAAAAGATGCGGGGACCAGAGAAAAAAAGTCACATCGGTTAAAATAAATAATTTATCCGAAAAAATACGTACCCACATTAGTGGTAAATAATTTGTTTGGTCGACTCATTTTAAATATCTACCACAATTTACTTTCTTCCGAGAGAAAAGCGAACAATACCATTCGAACTTGTGAGCACATCTAACAATAATTGTAATAAATATTCAGTGGGCATTGAAATAAATGAAGCTTTACCGCAACTGCCATCTCAAAAAATAAATTATTTAACAATTTTCAGTCAACAATAGGAAGCACTTAAATGATTTTTAATATATGCATAAATTCATTTTTAATGTTCTGTTCCATGCGAGTTTTTTCCTAAAATTACGATTCTACGTCACAGAGATATCGATTATTTATACAGGATGGACAAGAAACATATCTTGTAAGTACTTGTTTTATACAATGTTTTTTTATTATGAAGTGCTGCCTAAAAAGTACAACTTCTCATAATCTTTTTAAGTCCCAATCACAAAACACGCTTTTCTCATCAGAAATGTACGTTAAGCGAATTCTAATTACAGCTAGTAGTCACGTCTGATCGAACTGTTGTCAATATAATTTTTCCATGAAGTTGGAACAATGCGAAAATAACGCCCGCTTTCGTTAGCGAGCCCGCAGATTAGCAAAACGAATCGCATTATCTCGAGAAAAATAAATTCTAATTTAACGACCGCTATTCGTAGTAATTCAGTTTACTAATACATGATTAATGGTACATAATCTATGAAATTAATTTTAAAAAAATCGTTCATTGAAATTAAACAATACCGACGAGCCCGTTTTGCTTGGAAATACCTGCTGCACGTTTTCTTTATAAAAAAAAATGTTACAAAGTATTAAATTATTTGAGATGATAAATCTGTAGTGTTTTATCCAATGAAGTACATAACAAGTACACTACATAATATAAAATGTATTTATGATTGTTTTTGTTTCAGATGTAACATGCACTCGCTGGTGTTGTCCCGGTACTTTTACAACAATGTAATATTCGTTGCTAATATGTGTCCAAAATGCTACGAAAAATCAGATATTAAAATTATAAGCATAAATACCAGCTTTATAAAAATCGCGAATAAAAAGTTGTACAATTACCTCAACCAGGAGGAATTCGTGGGGTTCGATAACGAAGAAATTCGAAGATCTAGTATCGAATATAATAGTTTTAATGAATACAAAAGCGTTTTAGAAGAAGATATCAAACCAATTAAAAAGAAAACTGATGAAATGTGCTATAAACGCACACGTTCCAAATTAAGCACAACTACAAAAGCAATCACCAATCTAACACACAAGAGTGCATATTTCGAATATAAAAAAACCCAACCAGACACTAACGATAAAAATAATAACATCTCCTCAACCCGTCAAATCGACTTCATATCGACTTTCCTAACCGATTTCGAAACCGTTTATCTCCACCATCGGAACCCAGCGGATCCTCACCTGAAGTCTCCCCACGACCTCATCGAGGAGCGCCTGCACGACGACCCCTGGGCCCTCCTGGTGGCCACCATCTTCCTCAACAAGACCTCCTGCTCGGCGGCCAGGCCCTACGTCTTTTGGTTCCTGGCCGAGAACCCGCACCCGCTCGCCGTGCTGGACAAGTACCCCGCCGATCTGGAGAAGTACTTCGTCAGTTTGGGTCTGGCCAGGACGCGAGCCGTGCAGGTCTACAGGATGTCGCACGATTTCCTGTTCAAGAAGTGGGAGAGCCCGAGGCAGCTCTACGGCATCGGGGATTACGGCGAATGCGCCTACAGGATGTTCTGTTTGCGGGACTTTAGCGTCGAACCCGAGGACAGGTTCCTGAGGATTTATAAGGCTTGGTATAGGAGGTTTCGCGAAAATCGAGATTCTTGATTATTTGCTGGTTTTGGAGCTTTGTAAATTGCATCGAAATGTACAATTTGTTTATTAATATATTTTTTTATGTATATTTGGTTTACTTCTTTTACTTACTGGTTTAAAATCGTGCAGGTTGCGTCTCTCGCTGGTTCTAGATGATTTAATTAATATCAAAAAGTGCTTCGTAAAGAAGTTACAAGGTGATAGATGATAATGAGAGTGATAAAATAAAGATTTTTTGATGTTGGGCCAGAATAGCTCAACTCTTTTTCATAAAAAATTGTACAGAATCTCTGATGACATTTTTTGTGTAAATTTTTTTTTCAATAATTATCAAAGATTTATATAATTTTTGGAGATAAATCTCTTTTAAAACACCGTAGTTCAACATTTTTAGCCCTTTATAAATATTACATTTTTTTAATAGTGCTCCTTTAAGATTAAGTTATTATTAAAAGGAAATCTATTGATTAAATATAATACTGGTAGAAAACAATAATACATTTAATATTTTAAATGTTGATGTTAAAAATTTAATTTAATAGTCATTAACAAAAACTGTTTCACATGGCTTGCTCCCCGTTATACAATCAGTGATAGTCTGTACAATTTTTTTTAAAACTGTTGAGCAATCATTCTGGTCCAATATCAAAAAATCTCTTTTTATTTTACGAGTAACTTTAACACCTTCTAAGTTCTTTACTAAGCAGTTTTGGATATACTAGTTAAGTTAGACTAAATCATCTTATTTTTCATTATTTTTCTTATTTTCCTATTGTTTTAACCTTTTTGCGACACCCTGTAAATTATAACTTAATTTTAAACGAGAAAATAATATATTTGCAACTTCTTTGCGATTAAATTAACAACTTAATAAATGTATTATTCATCATTAACACAATTGCAATTGCCATAATTTTCTTCCATCGACAGCCCTATTAGTTCCAGGATGATTCAATAAACCTATAGGTACCTACATGTTATCTATAATTTTTGAATAAAATTAAGTAGTGTTGGACTTGACCTTACCGAATCGAATGGAAATGATGTAGGTAATTATAAATTGCATGCATCGAAAAATCGATTCGAAAAAAATTACGCGTTAGGCATTCCTGGGATAATATCAATGACGTAAACAGATCAGAAAATGATAATCCGGAATGGGCAAATGATAGTAATTTATATTAATTACAGTAGAGGGATTTGACACAATATTTTATGTGCTCTCAATTCGACCTTCGTTTATTTTTGCAATGTTGGTTATTTACTGGTTAATGTGCGTTATTTTTTATACATATGCATACCTACAGTTTTGTTTTCATATAGTGTTTCTATTTATTGGATGCGATAATACAACAAAATATTCACTAACTTTATGTATTCCTCCTGTAACCTAAAATGCCAAAGATAAGAATTATTTTTGTTGAAACCTTCAATTATATCAAAGTACCTACGTACGTATTTATTCTAATAGAATTTTTTATTTCAGCTATTTAAATTGCCAAATTTTGGTAATTTAAATTGTAGGTATAGATAATATTCAGCAATTATTACTCAATTATTATACAGCTGTTATAGCTTTAGTTGTTATGAGTAATTCACAAGGAATCTGGTTGTTGGTTGTTGTTAAAACTAAATAATTAAATTAATAAACTATCCAATAGTATTTTATCAACTAATTGTTTATTTAGTGCAAATTCTAATTACCCTGTTTAAGATCTAACTCTAACTAATGCATATTTTTACAAAGGGATAAGAATGATGTGATCCTTAAAATGCTAAATAAATGTTGTGAACTATTGCGCACTGTTGAACTACTCCTGATATCGTCTATGTGTGATATAATTTTTGTATTGCCTTCGGATAACTAAACAATTTTCAATGTATGGGGTAGGTCCAAGCACATACATTGCTTATAGTTCTAGTAATTCCCCTGGTTTTTAAAATTAATTTGTAACATTTATACCGATGACCACAATTCTCAAGACAAAACCTATTAGTTTCTTCCGCAAGTAAAATGTCTAATTGACGTGAAAAATCAACGTAATTTTTTCGATTTAGATTTAGATCTAAAAATTCCAATGGTGTAAATCATTCGTTAGGCAATAAAATAAGGTGTAAAAAAGCAATGTTGAAAGCGTCAATACAAGTCGAAAAAAATGACGCAAACCAAATTGAAGTCAATTACAAAAATTGGTGTTGCAAAGATACGAAGAGCGAATGCCAACAGTGCGAATTATGTTCCATGAAACGAGAAATATGCAAGTACTTTTTCCAAACGAAACAGAACGTCCTACCGTGGTAAGTACCTAAAGGTTTTAAACAATATTCTATCTATACACCGATTAATTAAATTCTTCTATTATAAATTTTGCACAACAATTTAAAAGAAACGTTGGCAACAGCTACAATACTTCAAAATGACGTTTCGACGATTCGACATTGAAATATTTGCGATTTTTCGAAATGTACGAAGCTGAAAGCTATGCTCGAATACCGTTGGCGCGCTCGTGTGCAGCATGCATAATTTTGAAATCGAACTAGACGGTAAAATCAAGTTCATCCAGACATGCCGTAACAAGCTCGATAAAGAAATTGCGAAATTGAAATCCAAAGGTTATTGCTTGATAAGGAACGGTAACGAAGCTGTACCGAGGTATGTGGATATGACTAAATTTCATTTGTGTTTTCAATTCAAATTTCGCCTTTTTACTACATATAAGACCCAAATATTTGTGTCTTTGCTTGGTTCATTTAGCAGTTATTATAAAATCTATTGTCTCAGCTATGAAAGGTTTCTGACCGCTTTAAAATGATATAAAATTAGCTAGATGTTAGAGAAAACTGCAATTCAAAAGCACTATACTTGTACTACACTGTACGGGTTTTGCATTGAATATTTTTGGAGAAAAAAATGGTACACCACTGCTTAATATTAAAATTAAAATTATTTTTGGAATCCTCATTTAATTTAGAAGAAATTTCATTTTTCTTGACTTTTTTCCGTACGACTCACTGTTTCGCATAAAAAATAAATGCATTCATTGCTACGCCGTCGCTACATTAGCTGCTGTACTAAAATTAAAAAATATTAAATTTTAGGTTTAGGACATATGTTCATATGAAGTTTTTTCTTAAAATGGGTCCAATATCACCCCCTTAAATATTAGCATGTCATTATAGAACACCCTAGATCTATAATGATATGTGTTATTAAACTTTAAATTACCCTTGAACGATTTCGAACTTGTAAATATTGTAACATTGCCACAATCAAGACAATCTGTATCGTATAGAATAAATTCTACAGGAATTTAATCGAACAGCTTGATTTAACGAATTAATTAAATAAAGGAAATTATTATCTTTTTTATAGTAAAATTTCAATTATAAGATTGTTTCGTAATAGTAATCTCATTTTAAATTCTACATTTTTTTTATTTTTCCATTCGTTGTAATGATTAGTAAAAGAGCTCACTGTATACAAACATTTTTACAGCCATATAAAACAATGTATACATAATTAGAAAAATTGCATATTTTATTAAGTCTTTGGCATCGAAATAATTGCATGAAAATATTAGCGGAAGTTGGATGATAATCTAAATAAAAATGAAAACTGATGATGACAGTAATTTTACCGAAACATCTAACCTGTAATATTTACGAAATTACAGTGGTAATTGGACTTTGGGTTTTAATTCCTTAATGAAGTCATTTGGTAATAAAAAAATCGTTAAACTTACTTTGAAATAAGATAAATTTCACTTGTTCTATGGATAACATCGTAAATTGTTCGAATCAGCAGTCCAGCACACGGAACAACTCGCGATTATCCTGGCGAATTTTAATTTTAGATACACGATAAGGTATTGTTTGCCAATTACATTAATGAATAATAATAAAAAATCAGCGAGTAGGTATATTTTACGATCGGAAATTCTGATAATACCTAATAGCTTCATATTCGATTACATACATGCATATACGTCGTTATTTCGTCGTTATTGCTGAATTTATTTGTTTATTAAATATCGCACAGACGTGAAATTTTCGTCGAGGATTTGTTAAATTTTGTTACTAATATTTGCAATCCTTTATTTTACAAGTTGCATTTTAATTATATTGATTGTAAACATAGGTTTCGCATTTATAAAAAAAATGTAGAGAATTATTAAGGAATACAATTCAATTAACTCTATACAGGGTGTTCTAATAACATACTAATAATAACTAAAGCTAATGTCATCATAATAACATGCTAATATTTAAGGGGGTTATTCTTGGTCCCATTTTGAGAAAAAAAAATCATGTGAACATGCAGAGGCATTGACATTACATTTTATTAAAAAATAAATTGTACAGTCCGTATGTAATACCTAATTGTTCACAATGTAAAAAAGTATAAATCTCCTCACCAAAACTGTAATTTTATGCATTTCTGTTAATCTTACCATTTTTCTTAATTGCAATTAACGAAATTCAAACAAAAACTGTAATACTAATAACTATTCTCAAGCAGTTATAGTTACAAACCAATTTGCTAAGGCCTTTTAAACAAACTAGTTTTATTATTAAGGCTAAAAGGGGAAATAAGATTTTATTTTTTGAATGTTAATTTTTAAATTAAACTGAAAAACAACATTTTTGCATAGAGAGAGAAGAGAGACCTTTCAAACGATATATCACAAGCCTATACTTCCCATTTAAAAAAAATAGGAGTTGAAACTGTAATTCGCAGGGGGTTGAAGATAGGGCTCACATTTTGACGTTGAGAAATGTCAAATTATAATTAAAATTTGACGTGTTTCGGGATTTTCCATAAATATCTACAGTAACCGAAATAATGAATTTATTCCATTTGACGTTTCCACCCTGTATATGTCCTAAACCTAAAATTTATTGCTACCTTACCTTAGCTTTGCTATCTTAGCAAAGCGGCTAATGTAGCAGCAGCATACAAATGAATAGATTTAATTTTTTATGCGATACGGTGAGTCGTACGAAAAAAAGTCAAGAAATCAAATTTGAATTGAATGGGGACACAAAAATAATTCTTATTTCAAGATTACGAAGTGGCGTAACTTGTTTTCTCCGAAAATATTGCAAAACCCGTACGGATGCCACTGATGAAAATAATAAAAAATATTGTACATCAGAAAATGCATCTTGATTTATAGCAGATGTGTGACAAAATCCATACAGATATCTACCAATAGTATAACAGTTATGAAAAAAATATTTTTTTCTAAAAATTTTACCAACCTGTATCTGAAAAATTAATTCGTTTAGGCCATAGGTTCACATGAAGTATCCTTAAAATGGGTCCAAGAATCACTCCCTTAAATATTAGCATGTTATTATGGAACACTCTGTATATTTTTTACAAAGGGTGAAAGTTGTAATTAGAACAAAATATTTGAGACAAGAAGTAATTACTTACCTAATTGTTTTCTTAGTAATTGCATCGATTACCTTGTCATTTATTGATAGCCACCTATTATTTATGGCTTAATTAATTATTATAGCTATAAGTATACAAATTCAATTTAAAAATAATTGACTATTCGAGTTATTTACCTTGTTTAATTTGGGAAATCGGCGAAACTTTCTGTTCGTCGAAATAAATAAACAATTTACTTGTGAATAAACTTATGTTTAAAAAAATATCAACACTTTCCACAATATATTCAATAAAATGGATATTATTTATAAATATGTAGAATTGTAAGTAAAATTAAAATTTTAAGAAATAATATAATTAGGAGTACCTAACATTCTTGCACTTCTCATTAAATTTGGCATTGAATTTATTAAAGAGAGTTTACTGGGGAATACCGGAATACCGGAATTACACTTAAGTTTTTAACCTGCTTGCTTGTATACACTAGAGATTGCTTTTATGTACCTATCGTAGTTATAATTGGATTTGTTAAATTGTTGTAACACTAAATACCTATCATGAATTAAAAGTAATCGAAGTTCATATTACAGTTAATTTAACATATTTCTCGGAAGTAATTGGATGAAAAAAAATGAAATAATTTCGAAAGAAACATTTTAATTTGGAAATTTTAAAACTTTGTTGGACTCGAGATTGTGTTCAAAGTCTGTTTTTTAGTAATCGAAACATTTCATCAAGTTAAGTAATAGTTCAGAATTTCCCAGCTATAGAAGAAGTACGACATATTGCGATTTTTTTACGAAAAACTTACGTAACTGCGAGAATCAATAAAAAAAACGCGATAAAGTGCCTTCGAATTATTCGATTATAATTACTTTGTTATTATCTTTGAAATTCGTAAATTACTTGAAACTAAAATGCTAAAATGTCGCATTCCGGTTAAATTCTATTCTAAAATAAACGTCATAGAACGAATGCGGACATAGTTTCGTAAATTTATATGTAAATAAAACAATAAATGTGTACACCTATGAACGTTTTAGCAAAAATATATGTACAGTGTGTCCTAAAAGTAATAGAGAAAAGGATAGTTCTGGATAGTGTCAAAGGAGTATGGGAGTATGATTATTCGAAATGGAAATTTACTATAAAAATTCTGATCAGTGTACATGAAATAGTCGCTTCGGAAAAGTTTTAAGCATAAAAACAAAAGGAAACATTCGGAAATGTAGCTAGTTGTTGGTAAAAGTAAGACCAATGAAAACATTAAATAGTTTTGTACATTACCTATTTATAAAAGAATTAAAAACAACAAAAGAGAAGTCTAAATTTGACTTAATAATTTGACAAAATACAAAAAACAATATAATAATAAATAAATAAATAGATAAGTTAAAAATACCCATATGTTAATCCTTTCAAAGGACTTAGCATGCTTAAAGAAACCGGCTATTTGAGTTCAAAAAACCAAATCAACACACATTTATAACAAGAACTGTTATAGGAATGCAACTCACGCTACTCACCCAGTTCTCCTTTTCGAAATTACTATAAACCTACTTCCTATTCACGAAAACCAAACGACCGATTTTCATTAAAACCCACATTAAATAGATAGAAAACGCGTCGTCCAATTTTCCGGTTATAGCGGGCGTCGCGACGCTTCGTGACCGTATCGTAACTTGATCGAAATCTAATTGAAAAATCGCGGAAAGCCAAGCGGGTATAATACGAGTATACACGGTACTACCGATACCGCAACCCGTCCGTTTTCGTTCTCCAGTAAAACGTGCAGTACCGTACAGTACTTTTGTTTATTTTCGTTGCGAGAGCGCGCTCGAAGCAGGTACTCACGACTAATTTAAACCAATTACGATGGATCTCGTAAATTTTTATTATATCACCTTTAACCTAACTGCGGGAATAACAAGTTTAATGTTATAAGGTAAAGGCTTCGTGGAATTTATTGAAATCGATCGTTTATTCGAATAAGAAATAAATAGGTAACACTTACCACTACATGTGCAGTCATATTAAATGAGCGATTAATTCTAATCGGCCTCGGAGGATATGTTGTCCTTTAAAAAGGCGCATCTATAACTAGGTTAAAATTTAGAGTTTATAGTTGAAGGAGATTGTACTAACTATAAAGCTGTAGCCGATATTTACTGACTGATTCGCGTGTGTTTCTTTACGGCTTTATTTGAAGAAAAAAAATGGAAAAAATGCTATCCTCTATACACCGTGCTCCATTTCCGATTGCTACATGGTCATTTCTTTCATGGTCACAGAAAGATTATTAAAATGACAGTTGTCAGAGTGAAAAGTTGTAATGACACAAATGTCATTCTTTCCTTTTCCGTTGTAAGTGTCTAATGGAAGTTGTCTTTATCGCACCCATGACCTATATTACCTATGTTGCGATCAAAAATGGAGCAACCTGTATACATACACTGTGCTTCATTCCGGAACAGTGTTGTTCCAGCTATTACTATCGTAATAGATCTATTACTTTTAACTAAAATCTATTACTCTATTACATTCCCCTCAAATCTATTACTTTTCAACTTTTCATTATTCTATACCAAATTAGCTATATACATCATGTTGGGCTCCGGAAAAAATGTAATAAGTGAAAAATTATGTGTGAAATAAATCAAAAGAAACATATGTTCTGGGCGGTCAAGACCAAGAGTAAAATATGTACACTGTGGATATTCAATGACAGAACATACAAATATTTAAACCCGACAAAAAAAACTTTATTTCTGAAAAAATACAGAATAAATACAAATGACTGGAAAACTTATTTTTTAATTGAGGCCTAAGCTTCCCTAGATACTATAAAAAGGCTATTCGGCCCTGACCGCGGCAGAAAATTCACAGAAAACAAAAAAAACACGAATCTATTACAGTCCCCTGTAAATCTATTACAATTCACCCCACATTTCTAGTACAATATTTGCCTGCTTGAGAACAACACTGTTCCGGAACGCAACGTACGTTATATAGGCTATAGGTGCGATAAAGACACCTTTCATTAGACACTTGTAAAAGAAAAAGAAAGAGTGACATTTGTGTCATTGCAACTTTACACTCTGACAACTGTTATTTTATTAATCTTTCTTTGTTCAACTCATAGAAACGACCATGTTGCGGTCTGAAATAAAGCGATCGGTATATGTACATTGACGGAATTTTCTCGGAAAGTACGCCTACGATTTTTTTGAAACTTTCCTTAAATATTCTTTAATTTATTTCTAATTACCTCCCGCAAAGTTTTTATCGAAGTTATATAATTTTAGCGAAGTTTAGCAAAGAACCCCGGAGAAAGATTAAAGCTTTTCCCATAGGATGACATGCAGACCAGCATGGCAGTTAACGTGTTAATCAGGTCGATTCTGTTTGTAAATAGCAATATGGTTATTGGCTATTTTGTAATGATATTGTTATCATAGCAGTGTCCTAAGAAATAACCAATTTTTTTCGTGTAAATTAAACAATATGATCTGCCACTAGTAAAGATATTTTGTGCTGAACAATGTCATTTTTGTATGTACTTGCTATTTGATAGCCATATGGCTAATCCGGTATTTTTCCATTATTATTTTTAAATGAATTCCAACATATTGAAAATAGATATAATTACATAATAACATAAAACTTATCAGCTTTAATAATGCTGCAGAAATTTAATTCAACAGTTGTAGAAGAACCATTAATTCGAAGAGATACAACACATTTTTACCTACAAGTTGCCCTAGTTCAGAAATGTATGATAAAAATAATTACTCATATTTTTTAGGTTTTATTAACTATTACTGCCATTTGCTCCTTGCTTGTTTTCTTTTCTTCATCTTTCATCATTTTTATAAAAACTGCCTCCGTTTTCGCCGCAGAAACACATGAAAAGCTGCCATCAATTGTAATTTTAAAATAAAAATTTTGAGGGAGGATTCTTCTTTTTTCAATTATATTGAAGTAATTACAATGTAGTCAGCTCTATTTATTACTAATATTGAGATCATGTTTTTAACAATATGGTTAAGCGTTAAAAAGATAACCAACATTGCTAAACTGATCGAAACAGAATAAGAAAATTATTGGCGATATTGTTATAACTTAAACATGCATAGTTGGTGCAAAATAAATATCAATGCACGTCATGTATGATTTACTACGTCACAAGTAGGCAGTATTGTCGAACTTTTATAGAGTTTACAAAATATAAGAATTTTCTAAAATTTTCAAATGGCAAAATAACAAGAACAGATTGAAAATTAGGGGTACTTACCTGTTTCACGTTTCTAAACGGCGGACATATTCAGGGGCTTACTATAATTAATCAACAAATTCCTTTATCATCTGAAATATATTTAACAGTGCGACTAAAAAAAATAGCGTACAATTGAGCCTTAAAAGAGTACGTAGTATTTATTTTTAAATTTTGGGCACAATGTTTGGCAAGTATGACGACATTAGTGACGTGCTTGATGTTTGTTTTGCACCAACTGTATAACAATATGGTTAAAACATTGGTTTTATCAAAGCAAGTTTCATAACAAGATCCAAACAGAATCGACCTATGGCTCGATATGTTTCAATCTGTCTTTAATTAAATTTGTTATTTTTATATTTAATGCCATGAAATAATTTTATTTTGGTTAGCCTGCCACATCCTGAATATGATGTAATTGCAGAATTATTATGAAATATGAAATGGAAAAGGATTTGCTTATTTGCTTATACATGGTGTATCTAAGTAATACCGAAAAAATTCAAGGAATATTTTTGTGATGAAAATTAGGGTTGATACTTGGTATATGGTATAATTTTTTTTGAAATATCCAATTTTTTTGGTTGGTTGTTGTTCAATAAAATGCTATTTGACATGAGCTTGCAGTACATTTACTTTTTTTCTCGTAAATGCTTAAGTTTTTGAAAAAAAAACTTGTAGAAATAAAAAAGTTAGTAAATGGATTAGGCAAAGTTTCTTGTCTTTAGCTTAATATACAGAGAAAATAAAAAAGAGAAACCATTTTTTCCAATCCTCGGAGGGGTATGACTTTTCCGGGGAGGGTTTTTTTCAAATAATTTTATACCAAAAGTACCCACGTTAATTTTCATCGCAAAAATCACCCCTTAAATTTTTTCGGTGTTATTTAGATACACCCTGTATAATCATAGACACACTTCTAGATATTTTCGTTTCAATTAGCTAATTCGTGATAATTCGCATTCACGTTCCTTCTTGTGAATTTAATAAATATTTAGTGGTAATTTAATAGCACAATACTTTTGTATTAAGTATAGTGACTATTATTGTATTTTATGCATTTAGAATTAATGATTTAGTGAGAAATACAACTTCTAGAATTCAAAGTATACTCTCGTATTATTTAATCAGGTGTTGGATGTGCTTATTTACCTATGTAGTGAAGACTAGGCTAGTTCTATGATATTATTTAAATAATTTATTACAATACAAAAAATGAATATACAGTTAAGTGCAAATTTCTACGCAATATACCCTAGCTATGGTGCATTTCAGTTTACAATATCGTCATTTCTGTGAGTTGAACAAAGAAATAAGATTACTAAAATGACAGTAGTCAGAGTGAAAAGTTGATTCAATGAGGATGAAGCAATGATACAATATCACTCTTACTTTTTCTCTAAGTCTCTAAAATGACTTTTAATGAAAGTTGTCTATGTATAATCTATAATATTAAAAACTAAAATTAATTAACATGTATATTATGGGTGCAACAAAGACAACTTCCATTAGTCTCGTATAAAGGAAAAAGAAATAGTGATATAGTAGGATTGCAACTTTCTCGCTCTAACCGCTGGTATTTTAATAATCTTTCTTTGTTGAACTCATAGAGTTGACCATATTACAAAAAAATTTGCACTTATCTATACATGATATATTTAGCAAGATTTTTCGTTGAATTTCGAAGATTTTATTATCGGTAAAAGTTAAACATACCTTGTTAATGACATAATTTCTTTAATTGGCCTCTACTAAAATTAGTTGTTTATTAAACATTGTGCGAAAAGAGTCATTTTTATGAAATTTCAAAGTTCACAGAAAAGTTCAGCTTACTCGAAAGATAAAAAATTTAGTACATCAAGTTGGCATTTTTGAATTTTTGACTTCTATGTATGCTAACGTTCAAGTAAAATGGGTTGCATAATTTTTGGTGTATTATTTGACATATTTATAAAGGCAAAATTAAAAGAAAATCTTTAGCTAACTGATCTTTTTTACCTATTACCTAAAAGATCGGGTATATAAAATAACTAGAAATTTATAAATAAAATTAAGCCGGTTCAAATGTATGCCGGCCTATTCTTCATTTTCTTGAGTAAAGGGCCTCTAATAAGATATAGCGTCTAGCCAAGCCTCCCCCGTGATGTCATAATTCTCATTTTTCATTATTTTTTCAGCCTCACGTCATCCATGATTTGCTCTCCTTATTGCTTCGTGCTTACAGCCGATGAGTTAAAAAGAGCGACAAAACTTCGTTGTCGTGATGGAAATTTTGACAGCAAAATTATATTGACTTTTAAAAGTCCTTCGTGTTATTGTGTCATTGAATTTTATAAAACTGTGAAGGTTTCAATTCCTTTTTGTATCCCACTTTGTAAGTACTTTTTAGTATGTCTTTTCGAACTAATAATGATTTTATACATATTCTATATACATTATATACATACATATTCTCAATATTTGGTTATTTGCACGGCGCGGCGAAAATGGTTTAGATTAGATAACCATTAATTTTTGGTTTTGAATATTTCGCTTTTTCATTCCCTAATTTATTTTTTAAATAGCTATGTAGGTTTGTTTGGTTTGGGAACATTTTGGTTTAATTACGAATGTCTAACTTGTCTTAATTGGAAAAATTGGATAATATTACATAATTTTATTTAATAAATTACAAATTATTCCATACATGTTGCTAATTACTAAAATACACCCCGGTGACAATTAGACTCTTTTTAGTTGCTGCAACTGTTTTTTATTACATATAATTTACAGAGAATTTGTAGATTCGAAAGAGTCTAATTTAAACTTCGGAGATCAAATTAAATTAAATTTCTATTGAAATACTAAATGCTCGAAAGATTCTTTTTGTGTAGAATATAAATATACGGCTCATTATTATTATTACACATCTAAATCGGTAGCCACTACTTTGGTTTTAGTTGTTATAAGCATTATTTCGTTACAGTTATGGAAATAAGTTTTGTGCAAGTGATGCAGCAGAACAAAATAACTTGCGATAACGTTATCAAGCGATTGATTTTTCTTTTCCAAAGTCTGTGTTTAGCAAATTGTGACTGATATTTTCTAGTTCATTGTTCCACTTTTTGTTTTGTAAATACATCGGGTAATTTTACTTTACTTAACTTACCGAAATCATAATTTTGTAATGGTTTCTTACATAAATTGTATATGTTGAGATAAGCAATCTTAGTCAGTTACATGTTTAAAAATACTTCTCCCAGCACCTCCTATTTAGACGTCAACAATATGTTATCAAACAAAATTTAAACGGTAAATAAATAAATTATTGTAGATAAAAGGGATCAAATGTTTTTGTAAACTCGACTCGACATTTCATCACAAAATTTGGAATATTTTAATTTGAATTGAAATAACTAAAATTGTTATTGATATCAACGATTATAATGAATATAAATGTAATAAATTGGATATTTTTATCAGTTTAGTATTGGGAGTTGACAACCATAGCTCCAAGTAAGTTACGACTTTTTGTTCTTTTCGAAAAGTTTTATTTTATTTATTTATCGTTTTTTGGATGTTAATTTTTTTCATCTGGAGTTTTTGTTTGAATATATTTATTCAACTAATGTTGGGAATCTGAGAATTTACCTATAAGCTACAGAATCTGTAAGATAATAGATTGTGTAACTTGAACTTTTACAGATTTGTACAATTTGTTAGTCTGGAACCAAATCTGTAAGAATCAAAGTTACAGATTCTTACCTTAATTATACCTTACTGCTTACAGTGACAGAGCTTTACAGCTTTGATCCGGGATTAAGCAGGGATTAAATCGGGATCAAATATGGCCGCCCTATTCCAGTACTAACTATTGATCCGACTTTGGTCCGAGATCAGTTGATCCGACTTTGATCCGCGTACGAGCAACCGGGCCTTACAGATTTCGGCTTATAGGTCTTACAGATGTTCTCGGAACTCCACCATAAGTTTAATTTATTGATTGCAGTCTTCCGCAAGCCTTAGAAATGACAACCAACTGGAACTACCCCGACCCCGCCCTGCAGGATGAGCTCAGGAAAATCGCCAACGCCATCGTGGCCCCTGGAAAAGGAATCCTCGCCGCCGACGAGTCCGTCTCGACGATGGGGAAAACGATTGCAAGACATTGGAATGCAAAACAGCGACGATGCCCGTCGCAAATACAGGTATAGTACTAGCAAAAAAAAATAAATGATGGGACTTTTAAATCCTAAGTTGTAATCCCCAATAAGCCAATCGCCAGTTATTAACCACTTTCTATATCACATGCTCCGTATTACTCGGATTTATTTTATTCATTGTACCAAAATACAGGGTGTCCCGTGACTCGACGGACATAGCCTATGTGGGTGTATTTAAAATTCAATTTTAAATACTTTATATACTTTTGCCCAAAAGTCAATACTTAATTGTTGGCATGCCAGGAATTATTCCAGTAGTGGATGAGCAGGTTCTGTTCCCTGGCCTCCGAGATCGTCAGATCTAACACCTCTGGAATAGTATCTTTGGGAACATATGAACAGTTTAGTTTATGAACAATGTCCCGAGCCACGGGGCAACATGTATATGCAGTTTTCAATCATGTTTAGGCGAAAACATGTACAAATACACTGCGACAAAAAGTACCACTGTTCTTAATGCAGATGATTAAATCAGTTCATCTCAGTAGAGCTCTGCGAATATTACAATGGGTAAAAATAATGAACAAAGAGTTTGTCTCCTATTATGGGTTTTGAACGGAATTTTGTGGGCCGAATCTATGCAAATGCTTAAGGTGACTCTGTTTTATCGAAAACTCATATTTACGAATGGTACAAAACTTTTAAAGACACTCGGAAGGTTGCTAGACTTGGCTCTTTCCGGACGGTCTTCGACCTCTTCAACCAATGGTAACGGCGAGCAAATGAAGGAATTTGAGTTCGAAAATGATAGAAAATGAATAGAAAATGATAGAAAACGATAAAGTTAACTGGTCGTTGCAGACATGCTAATTCGTTTGAAGTACTATCGACCAGCCGCTTTACTCACCAGATTTAGCCTCGTGCGACTTTTTTTGTTTCCCAAGCTCAAATTCCCACTTCTGGGAATCCCGTTTTGAATCCATAAATGCCATCAAAGAAAATTCGCCTGTAAGAAGCTGAAAGGTGTTACCAAAAAGGGTCTATTGTATAATTGTTAATCTAAATAGTATTTCGAAATTATGAAGACGTCTAGACATTAAGGCATTATAGAGTCCTATCGTTTATTTCTGGTACTACTTTTTTTTTACCAAACCTATTTAATCTCGAATAATTTCTATTTAATTTAATTTTCCCGTAACCAGGCAACTGTTGTTCTCCACGTGTCCGACTCTCGGCGACTACATATCCGGCGTGATTCTCTTCCACGAAACCCTATACCAAAAGCACGACGACGGTACTCCGTTTCCGGAAATGTTGAAGCAAAGAGGCATCATTCCCGGCATCAAGGTGGACACGGGCGTCGTGCCGTTGTTCGGCAGCAACGACGAATGCACCACCCAAGGTTTGGACGATCTGGGAAAACGCTGCGCCCAATACAAGAAGGACGGTTGTCACTTCGCCAAATGGCGTTGCGTCTTGAAGATCGGCAAGCACACGCCATCGTATCAATCGTTGATCGAAAACGCCAACGTTTTGGCCCGTTACGCTTCGATCTGTCAGGCCAACAGAATCGTACCGATCGTCGAGCCCGAGATCCTGCCCGACGGCGAGCACGATTTGACCACTTGCCAGAAAGTTACTGAAACTGTATTGGCTTTTGTTTACAAGGTACTACTCTCTCCTTGCGTTGCCTAATTTTACATTTTAGTATGTATTAAATGGTTATTTGTATAGGCATTGTACGACCACAATATCTACCTGGAAGGTACGCTGTTGAAACCCAACATGGTCACTTCCGGTGCTCAATCGCCGTGCAAGGCGCCTCCGGAAGAAGTTGCCCGCGCTACCGTCGAGGCCTTCCAACGTAGAGTCCCTTGCGCCGTGCCTGGAGTCACCTTCTTGTCCGGTGGTCAGTCCGAGGAGGAGGCGACCGTCAACTTGAACGCCATGAACTTGTAAGTTTTGATGTACTTACTGCAGCTTAACTCGTGTTTATATCATAATGTTTTAGGCATCCTGGAAAGAGACCGTGGGCTCTCACCTTCAGTTACGGTCGTGCCCTTCAAGCTTCAGTACTCAAGGCTTGGGCTGGAAAAGATGAAAACATTAAATTGGCTCAGGATGAATTACTGAAGCGTGCCAAGGTGAGTTTGTTGTTTCATACGAATCTTGTGGGGCATAACAAGAATTTTGTGGTAGAACTATTAATAAAGGGTCGTTCTATTACTATCTCCCGTATTCAGATGTTTTTTTATAACCGATTGATTTTGTAACCAATGATTTCCGAACTTTAAACATAACGTTGTTTATTTGAATCTTAAACAAGATGAAAATGAGGTAAGTTATTTGTCATTCTTCTTCTTCTTCCAAATAAGGCCTCTGCTACAAAATTAAAGACCTGGAAGTCATGGTTGTATACAGGGTGTGTATTAAAATTGTGTAAAGTTTAACTAAACGTCTATGGAGCTTTCTAAATAGTTTTAAACAATTTAAAAATGGCTCTAAAGTGTTCTAAATGGTTCTAGACAGTACTGAATGATTCTGAAGTGTTCTAAACGAGTCTGGAGAGTTCTAAACGGTTCTAGACATTTTTAATTGATTCTGAAGCGTTCTAAATGAGTCTCGAGAGTATTAAATTGTTCTAGACATTTTGAATTGATTCTGAAGCATTCTAAATGAGTCTCGAGAGTACTAAATGGTTCTAGACAGATCGTAGATATAATCGTTGGTTACAAAACTATTTGATTATAAAAGAACTGAATGCGGGGGTACAACTTTACAACTATTATTCTTCTAATCTAAATTCTAACAAGTAATTGTTTTTGTATAGGCAAACAGTGAAGCCTGTCAAGGTAAATACGTAGCTGGCAGTTGTCAAAGCTATGCTGGGGACGCTGGGTTATACGTCAAAAACCACGCATATTAAACTAAAGAATGAATACCTCTCTTTACTATATCGATGTGACGTTCAAATTGTTAGTGATTACATATTTAGATCTTTATGTTTTAAAAAAGTCTGGCTTGTTAATGTATTGTATATATTGTGTTAGGGTTTATACAAATTTTATGTATGTTATTTTGAAGATAATTGGTGAAGTTTTTACTTTGATATCATCAATTTCTAATCCAAAGCAGTAAAACTATATTTTAGGGAGTAAAATGTTGAATATTCAGAGGTTTTTATTGTAACCTTTCCCTATTCGTCATCCCCAAATCTTTCCTCAATTCCTTTTCTGATTACTTTTTTTTCGAAATAATAGATAAGGTATTTATTATTTAATATTAATAGTAGTTATATTAAAGAAATAAAAGTAATTAAAACAATAATTTTTTAGGCCAACAGCGAAGCTGCTTTGGGAAAATACGTACCTGGAAGTGTACAAGGCACAGCTGGAGAATCTGGGTTGTTCGTTAAAAATCATGCATATTAATAAAGAATTGAATACTCATAATCCGACTGTTGAAATTATCCGTGGAAAAATGTGATTGGTGCTTTTAGATTAAATTCTTGTCATTTAAATACAACTAAAATATTCAGAAAATAAAAACCGAAATTCAATAACTTTTTTTTAATTAGCTAGATGAGAAATATACAATAAAATTAAAATATGTAAATTAATAATCTTGCTTCATATACAGACAGTTTTAATTACAACTGTAATATTTTAACAATGAATTTATTTACAGATTGCGTGCAAAAATTTAACACTTTCGCCCTAAAAAATAAACTTTTTCTCCTTGTCCAGCACAATACATCACATTTCGGCCTGTCGCTCTAAAACACAAATTAAATATTTAATTTTCTTTAAGTGTGTGGATTTTTCTTTACAAGTTATTTGTAAACGTAAGAGATTGAACAAATTGCATTATGTAAGAGTTCATTTTACCTATGTAAAAAAATCACCCCGGATATACAGATTGTGCATTTTAGTTTGTAATATAGATTATCTGTGCGATAAGGACAACCATAAATGATTCATAAAATGAATTAACCTGTATATTATGGGTGCATCAAAGACAACATCCATTAGACACTTGTAAAGGAAAGAGAAAGGTTGATATTGTGTCATTGCGACTTTCTCACTCTGTTATTTTAATAATCTTTGTTCAACTCAGAAATGACCATATTGCAAACTGATATGCACCATGGGGTATATCATTTATCATTACATTGTTAAACAGATATTAACGACCTAGAAATTATGTAATAAAATGCGTACATAAGTTGTATATTCAATCTCATTAAAATAATATTCTATTTTTTACACAAACTAAACCATATTTTCCCATAAATATTGAAAAAAAATCGCAAATTCCTCATATGCGAATCCATTAATTCAAAATTCTTCAACGATTTACAATTAGAAATAAACTTACATATCACTCTACATTATCGTTTCCATTATCATTCTGTCCGTCTCCTGCTTCTCGCGTCATATTCTCTATCAGACTCTCTGGACTTTCTCTCGGAGAGGATACCTGTTGGTCGAACGGATCCGCCGAATTCAATTTGTCGTTGGAATTCGAATTAGACACTCGCAGAAAATCTTCCTTCACCATCGATGATCTTCTTTCGCCGTCATCGGAGTGCTGTTGTTGGTTAATTTGAGCTGTGTTCTGGAGGTTTTGAGTACCAGCCATGATGGCGGGGCTTTGTAAATTAGGCTTTCGAAGCTTATCACCTAGAATTAATTACAGAAGATGGTTATCAGTTTTAAAATAACTTCACAAGAAAAGTTTACTTTGAAAGCATTTACTTTGAAGTAAAAGGTAGAGGCAAACTGTAAGAGGAAAATGCTTTAAAACAATAGAACCTTTTGCTTTAAAGCGACAGCAGGGTCCTCGAAGCAAAACTCTCTTCCTTCGCACTTCTTTTTATGCATATACAGGGTGTTAGTTTTGGAAAAAAAACTTTTCCATCGAAATTTTCTTACTTCAGATATTTTTATGAAATTTTGTACACTTTTTAATTATTAAGGAGCATTTTTGGAGGCAAAAGATTTTAAAAATTTTAAAAGTTAATTTTATGGAAAGACTTTTTTTACCAAAAAATTTATTTTCTACTATTACCAGTGACGTCCACGTCCGGAAATTCATAAAAATATTTAGAGTGATAAGAAAACTATGATAGAAAAGTTACTTTTCTAAAATTGTAACATCCTGTAGCTCGAAAACTAAGAGGTTCAGAATATATATTGATTTCCTTCATTATTGGAAGCAAAAGGCTATGCTTCTTTTTATAAATATGGCGCCTAATGATATGTAAAGTTGTTTACAATAAAGATCAATTAATAAAAAAACACTTTACGCAAAACATGTAGTTGGCATTGATTTATAATTTAAAATTGACCTATAGCTTTTGTTAATTGCCTACTGTGTAAGAAACATTCCAATTATAAAACGAATCGATAAGTAAAGTATCATTAAAACAACTTTCAGTAATTATTTTCGCTTAATCAGACGCAAGTGTAAACATAGTTTGATAAAAAAAAGACGAACCTTTTCTCCATAAAGTAATTTCTTGTTGTTTGAAATATCTTCTGTCTTCAGTATCCATTAAAACGAGATTTAAAAAGTATCTAACAGAAAATTTCTTATTAATATCTCTCATAGTTGGAGTTAATTCGTAACCGGCTAGGAACACTCTGATAGGAATACTTTCACCTGAAAAAAAAACAAACTAAAATAAATATCTGATAAATAAATTAAAAGAATAATTCAAACCTCTAACAGGAGCTCCATCCATAATTTCATATTTTGCGATATTAACACTTTCAGTATATGTAGTGTTCCCTTGTCCTGTAGATTCCTTTTTAATAATAGCGATTTCCATGTGTTTTATCTTTATTCTAACCAGGAGAAAATAAATTTTACCCACAATTACATCTTTGAGATGGTACCTGGAAAATGTCGATAATATGGAAAACCAGCAATGTAGAGAATTTTGAAAATTTCTTACTTCGATTTGTTGTATTCGAACTCAATGTGAAGACAGTCTTCAATACCAACTTCCATTTTGATGGAATTATTCATTTCCGGGTAGCTTGAGAGTGTATGAACAGCAATATCGATTTCTTTCATTATATCAGCTATCCTTCTTATGATTGTCACTCTCAAAAAATATCTTAATCTAACATTAGTACCTACAAATTATATAAAAAACAAATATAAGAGCTCAAATACTATACAGGGTGTTAATTAATGCAATGTATTTATTTTAACGGGTGATTCTTGTGCTAATTTTGAGTTTATATAAAGGTATGTCCTCCGAAGCTCGGTTTTCGATGTACAGGTATTGTTTTTTTTTTATTTATACTTCAACCATCCAACCAACGGAGTAACTAAAACAAGATTAGACGCTGGATCAACGCGTGATCACCAGTAATTGGCCCACCAGTAATTGGCCAGCGTAAGGAGGCTTTTTTATTTTACCCAATAGATGCAAATGTGCTTGATGATCACGCGTCTAACCTTGTTTTGGTTACTCCGTTGGTTGGATGGATGAAGTATAGGTTTTTTTCATAAATTTGAAAACCGTTTGCGATATTACATTGAATTCTAGGATAACATATTATGGTATAAAGACGCATTTTTAAACAGAAAATATTTTTTTTCATTTTAACCAGTGGCGTAGATATAGGTTGGTCTTTGTGCAATTTTGTCTAAAAAAGTAGTACTCCACTGTTTTTTAAACATTCTTTAAAAATTATTGATAACCATTTCATTTTAAATTTTTGCCGTAGAATTTTAATTTTAAAGAAAATAATTAAAAACTCGAGTTACACCTAACCATCACACTCTAATATGTTATCCTAGAATTCAATAATGTATATCGTAAACGGTTTTTCAAATTTTCAAAATAAAAATACAACCCTGTAGGTATATTGAAAACAGAGCTTCGGAGGACATATTTTTATATGAACTTTTCGACTCAAAATTAGGTTAAGAATCACCCATTAAAAGAAGTACAATGCATTAATTAACACCATGTATATTAGGGAATAGTTAGTTACCTGTATAGACTTCGAATGGCTTCTCAACGTTACTGAATTCGAAAGGATAACTCGAATGAGCAATCATGTCACCGGGTCTGGCGAGCTCCTTTACTAACGATATGAACTCGTGGTGATTACCTCGGTCGTAAAACATTTCAATTTGACCGATAAATTCGATTTTGATGCCTTGATGCTCCAGTTTGGTGCCCGGCTTCTTCAAACTCACGTTTACCTTATACAAAAATAGATGATATACGATAAATTTAACTAAACAATTACAAGAATTAATAAATATGCTTTAACAATCAGACAGGAAGAGCTCGGGACTTTATACAATTGAATTAAATTGCACCAAATCAGTTCAATAGAGACTAATTATCAGTTATCAAACAACGGTCGAACGATGGATCTAGCAGTTTACATTTCACAAAGGATAAATATTTAAGCATTATTGATCAATTTTTTTACCTTTCCTGATATAGTTTCGCCGTCGTAATACAAAAATAACCGTTCCTTTTTGCCATCTTCGGTTTTAACTTCGGCAGTTTTTCGATTATCTTGCCCATCTAGTATCACTTCTATCTCGGCGGATTGACCGAATCCAAAAAAACTCTGGAAATTCAATAAATCGATTAATGTAAACCGATATAAAAACGTGCAATAACCTCATTGAAAAAACCGATTTCAATATCTACAATACGCCTACTTTTCTTACCATTATATATTTTGTTCAAAAAATATTAAATGTAACAGGACACTGTATTTTAAGATAAAATATCAATCAATAAATTCTTCAGCAATTCCTTAATCATCAAAGGAAATTCATTATACTATTATAAATAATAAATTACAACAATTGTTAGGAATAGGATATTACAAATTACAATTTACGGTTTAAAATGGCTGCCATTACGACGAGAAACTTCTTCTTCTGAATATTAAGTATGACATTTCTTTGTAATGTCTAAAACAAGTCCTGACTTTTGTTTTGTGTTACTTCAACCACAATTGTCTTTTATTTATTTTATATCAAGTACAAATCAATCTACAACTTTATCTAATCGTAGAATATTAGCGATTATTAATTCAAAAATAATCAAATTACCTTATGTTTCATGTATTTTCGGTAACTAGATTTTTTGTTGAAAAAAAAAGAAGTAGATTAAAAGTCATAATTGTCATGTCATAATAAACTTGTCAATCAAATTTACTAAACAAAAACTTTAAGTAGGGATAAATTTAATTAAAAATGAATACAAACTGCTTTACCAAATTAAATAAGAACAGAGAAAGTTAAAATGAATACATTCCGTTCGTTTACGATGCGACACAAATAAGACCTCCGTAAATTATACAAACACTTGTATAATTAGAACGATGAAGTTAAATATCGATAACCCATTGGAAAATCTCAAACAAACCAGTAAGAATAAACCAAAGACTATATGTTTTCTATCACTTTGTCGATTGTTGGCTCTTTTATGCACTTTAATCGTAATCGTATGTATCCTTTTACTCTGTAAGGCATACATAAAATTTGTGTTAATTTGGTTAGAAAGACAAGACGCCTTTATCGTTTCCTCTACGATATGTATTCTGTTCATAATCGTTGCCCTACCGATAAGCATTGGGTATATAGTTTTAGTTCTAGCCTCAGGTTATTTATTTGGTGTTCCCAGAGGATTACTTTTAGTTGTTTTCGGGGCAAATTTTGGCTTGTTAATTGCCAATAATGTACTGAAACTCCTGGGACATCATCACAGCATTTACAAGTAAGTACTACTAAATTATTGATGTTGACTAAAATGGCTTGTCATTGATTAATTGATTGAAATGTCGTATGTGAAAATGTATAATTTATTTATTACTATTCCAGATATACTCAAAATGATACGGCTAAGGCCATTTTGAGGGTGATTTCAGGACCATTATGCTTTAAAATTGTCTTCTGTTCAAGACTGACTCCTATACCTTTTGGACTTCAAAATACTATTTTTGCAGTAAGTACAAAATCCAATTATAAAGTTTTATTCTTATTGAATTATTCTTCTTCTTTGGTCTGCTTTTATGTAAAACTGCTGGAAGTAGGCCTGGCTTCTAGTTGCTTCCATTTCGTTCTATCTCTTGTCGTTCAGGATTTTCTCGTACTATATTGAATTATTAGATATTCTAAATGCTAAGTAACAACTATCTAACATGTAATCTATATTATTTTCAGTTAAGTAACATAAATTCAAGAATTTATCACACAGCCTCTCTGCTCGGACTGTTTCCAGCTCAATTTGTAGCAGTTTATGTGGGATCCACTTTAAGATCCATGCAGGATGTGTTAGAGAACAGACACATATCTCCTAATACGTATATTTTTGCCAGTTTTCAGGTACTTATTAGATCAAACCAAATGTATAATTTATAAATTTGATATAAATTTAATTTACTAGATCATTTTGATATAATTCTACATTATTTTAGTTGATACTCGGTGCATTTCTGTTGGTATTTATTGGAACCAAAGCAAGGAAAGAATTGTTAAAAGCGATCGCCGAAGCGGAAAGCGGAACTTCCAATGGACCTGGCTATTCTTTAGCGTGATACCTGTCTAGACTTTTAATTTTGATACACAAGAAAGCCAAAAAAACTTCTAAGTCAGCCCGATATTGAATAAATGTATTTTTTTATAAATTGACGGATTTATTTAATATAATATTGTTTATCTTTTGTTCTGTGTTCTTCTTTGTTACATGTGACCGTTTGAGTGTGTATAAGATTAATGATACTATGAATTTCAAATTTTTAACGTATCAATTACGTACAAAAGTCTTTTGAACAAATTTTACACGATTTTATTTCGCCGATATTAATCGGACAATTGAAAGTAAGACTTTCTTGTTTTTTCTCAGCTAGTACACACTTTCTCACTTGCTCTTCTTGTAAAGTAGTTTTATCTGAAACAGGATAACATATGGTAAAGTTTCATGAGAAGATGGGTTTAAAGATCCTACTTACTCGTGAAATCTATGGTCAGACAGGCCCATATGAGATTTTTCGGAATGGGAACGCCGTAAACTCCGCAACTAATTTTGTCCCAAGTATCTGGCCTATTTTCGTCGCAGTTTTGACATTTATAGCAGTCAATGCACCAACCTATAAAAAGAAAACTAAGTATTACTTATTGTTAGAAATTACGAAATTAATTTGTTTGGATTAATTGAATGGGTGATTTTAAAAAGGATAAAATTCTGGTGAACCTTATTTTTGGGAAATAAAAAAAACTTTTTGCGGCGAAACCGGTAATTTTACAAAAATCATTACACTATTGTCCAATAAAATTATGCACTATGACAAAATACGTTTGATTCCAAAGTTTAAACGGTTATACCTCTTTGGTAACTAGCTATTGATAATTGAAAGTACAACCATTTTATCTTTTTTCCACTCAAAATCCAAGAAATAGTTAAAAAATGTAAAAACTGTTTTTTTTTCAACATCTTTACTAGTTTTTTTGAAGTATTGCGGTCACCAGTTTTTGAAATCAAGTATATGGGTATTACTTAGCCATTTTACTTCAAACTTTGGGTTTAGTTTCTTGGGAAAAATTTCTGTCACAATGCAAAAAACTATAACCTCAGATGGGAAAATATTGATGAAATACCTCAAATCTGCTATTCATGGACGTCGCAGTTAACAGCCCGGTAAAAATTCCAGGAATATTATCCTTTTTTTCCACTCACCAATAAAATTATGATGTGAAGGGGGCCGATAATCTATTTTTTGCGCTCAGCGGGAAAATAAGAGAAATTGGTTATCTCAGCTATCAAACAAAATAGCTATCTCACTATAATTTGCCACATTTTTGGAATTTTATACTTTTTGCTAATCCATTCAATTGTAAACAGACGGCAATTCTTATGTGTAGCATTTTTATAAAAAATCGAATTCAGTATGCTCCGCATATTGTTAAATAAATTTATGCAGGAGTAGCACGGGTAAACTGCACAGGTACCCTGGAAATCTAACTGAACCGGAGATTGAAACTAAATTTGCCATTTGCAGAACATGCTTAAATGGATAGTTTGGACCTATGTATATAATACCAATCCTTAGGTTACAATGAATGTTTAACTTGTATATTAAATTAAGAGGAGTAATAGGAATATGTTAATACTAAAAAGTAACTCACCGTAATCAATAATTGCTACACAGGTAAAAATAAAAATAAACAACTTCATTTTTTAGGGCCAGTTTGAGTTTTAACAGTGGAAATTAGAGTCTTTGATCTATATTGACGACCCCGAGTCTTATATTCTGTAAATACTGATAAGATTATAATTAATACGCGGAATGGCCAATTGCCAGTATTTTACAAATTGAAAATAATATTGTTTAAATTAGTAAGATTGATTAATTATATCTTGAATCATTCAACCGGACAGGGACGTACTTTTTACTCTAAAATATTAGTATCTACATATAAATTTTAAGTTTGTTTTTTATTTACATTGAATATATTCTAGTTTATTGAACATTTTTAGCCGTTATTAATATTATAATTATTATTAGAAATCGATTTATCGTTTTATTTTTTGAATCAGTTTCTTTTAATTTTTATTTTAATAAAGTTAAATAACGCTCCCTGCAAATATCCACAAAATGAATTTAAATTTTCACGAAAAGAAAAATAAATAAAGTTCCAATCACCAATTCAATCTACAGCTACATACATATACATGCGTAAATGAATTTCATTAACTATTAATATACAGTGCTGATAAAGCAATTAATTTGAATGTAATACGTAATTTGATTACGATCTCCGCGGGTCATTGTTTTATTGAATTTTTTTGTGGAAGCAATTATATGAATCAATTTTATCTCTTTTGTTTCAGCCGAATTTGAAATTTGTTTAATGAAATATTTACATTCATCTATGCTAGTAAATGTAATTAAATATTCCTGTAGATAAGTGTAAATTTGTTTGCAATAATTTGTATGCAATGGTCGGTTCCATGAGTTAAACAATATTACTCTTTCTCTTTCCTTTGCATTTTTCTTTGGATTGAATTTTGGATCTTTGTTTTTTATCACTAACTCGAAAGCCAAGGATAAAATGCAAAATTTTTATTCTTTCGATTACATTTATATATTATTCTTCTCATTCATAAACTGAAAGGAGACAAGTTCAGTTTGATAATTTAAAAAATTCTGCACAGATATCGAAAAAAAATATTACACAATAATCTACGGTACTTAATCTACATTTCTACAAAGTTTTCGAAATTTTCCAGGCATTTTCCACAGCATTTCACAAGTTTTTTTCAGTTCTTCGTCATTATTGAAGTGTTGACTTCCAAGGAATGATTTCAGATTCAAATTCAAAGGCCTTTCGTAATTAGCCATATTAAAGAAACCGTACAAAACATATATGTACTGCCAACTGCGATTTTTCTTCAAATCTGATGATTGGACTTGATTCAGAGCAAGCCATACAGGAAACTGCGGATACTTGAATAGGCCGGCGGAAAACTTCCATGAAGAGGGCATACAAAATCTTGTGCCACTCTTTGAAAAATGGCCGGAAAAATTCGAGACCTATGCAGATATCTAGCTTAAGAATCGTCGATTATTGTGCAATAAAATTTTTTCTATAGTTGTACAAGAATTTTTTAAATTACCAAACGGTACTTACCTACTTTCTGGAGACCCCCTATATAGTATTAAAGGTAGAATCGAATAAAAATACCAAGTTGCTTTAATTCGGTAGAATACAAGAGGAGTTGGATGAAATTTAAAAATTCAATCTCTTCATAAAATTCATTGAAATCATCTTCTCCACACGGGGTCCCGCGCGTTAGCCCGGATAAGAAAAAACAGCATTTTGGAAACTGTTTTTAGAGATACAGTACTGGTTTAAGTGGGGAAAAACTAAAATTTCTCTAAAACCCTTAATTTTATCGACTTCAAACAAGAGTACATTTTTGTTAATTCATCGATTAAAGAATGTATTTACGATATGTTTGCTTTATAAAGATTGTCCTCATAAAAGTTACAAATTGATAAACACTGGGAAAACGCCGCCACTGCCTTCCAGAGAATAGATGTAGGATTCATTTTATCACCAAATTGGGCACACGAATGTAGGTAATAAACCACAAAAATTTTATTTTGTTCACATGTATAACTTGGAAGTTTTACATTTTCAACTTTAAAGACCTCTAGCTCAAAAATTGAGGCCCAAATTAACAAAATTTATATGAAGTTGTACCCTTATTTTGATGTCTATATCAATTTTGATATCTATACGCTCCCGAATTAATGACATCTATTTTCTGGACACCCTGTATAAATTGTTGAACTTATAATTGCTTTTTACTTTTTAATCTTGATTTATTTATACCGTAGTGAATTAACGAACATTTAAGACAATTAAATTTTCGAAATTTTAGCACTTATTTTTGGCGATTTTGAAAAATGTTACGGATAAAATTTGCTTATTTTGATGCCAGGATTCCGAATCTACAATAAAAAATTGGGTTTCCATTTAAATTTTTAAAGTTACCCCCCGCTCGCCCTTAAGGGTGGGTTAGCAATTTGATATTAGTATCAATGGATATACGTGTTTTTTCAATTTTTCATTCGGACCTTAATTTTCCCGAAAATCGTCCGTTTCCATATTTTTAGACCCCCTATATGAACAATATGCAGAAATTCAAATAGGAATTACAGATCGACGACTAGAGCAGAAACACCCAAGGTCACATGCGTAGCACATAGACACATAGAACCTATATAGGGTTGAGTGCTGAGTAATATATTCAGCAAAAATAATCATAGTTCCTCCCAAACAAGCCGATATATTTAATTTGTCCGTTGCGCACTCCTCAAAACGCTCACGAGAGCGGCCGCTTCGCCGTTCATTCGTTCATTCTAGGCTCTCTTTTTCTTCACTTCACTCACACCCTTCATTCCAGCGTGAACGTTCGGTCGCGAAGGACTGAAGCGCCCACTCCCGTCGGCGCAGCTCAAAGTTCACGTGCTTCCTTCCGCAGCGGCGTTTACGTTTTCCCGCAATTCCGAATCGCCGATAGATAAATAATCTTTCCATTGGAGAAAGATGCGTCTCGCCGTCGGTTTGCTAACTTTCTTGTGCTGCTTCGGCGGAATCGTGTGCGGAAGTTGCAGAGAGGCGAAACTCTGCTGTACGGGAAGGGACTCTTCCTGTGTGGTACAGAAGGCGCCCGTTAACGCTATTCTGGAGGACTTGAGCGACAAGCCGTGCTATTGTGATCACGCTTGCTTGAAATTGGGCGATTGTTGTCCGGACTTCAAGGATGCCTGCGGAGGTGAGAACAATTAGTTATTTGAAATTTCTTATTCCGCACCAATTTGATTACTATCTATCTAATAAATGTTATATGTACTAACAATTATTGATATACATGGTGTCCCAGAAAGGTTGGGACATGGGCTTAACTACTCTGGGTTTAAATCCCTTTTTTGTTCTTATCTTTAACAGCTTGAAACTTCTTTACTAAGCACTTTTAGATATAGGTAAGTTAGGTTGAATCATCTTATTTTTGTCCCAGAAGTCTGCAGCTAAACCATGTTTAATCTTATTTATTGCGACACCCTGTATAGGAATAACTGATAGTGTGAGAATATAGGGACTAATGTGCCGGTACGTCTACAGTTATTTCAGTCGTACTGTAGTTATAGTTTATTCAATTTTCTGCAAACATTTTTTCTTCAATTATATACTGAGTGACAAAAGTAAAAGAACACTAAGAAGCAAATTTTATTTTTCATTCAAACTGTAGAGAGTGTGTACAGCACCACGGTGGTGCAACACATTATTAATTTTTTTTAAGTTTCTTTGTTAATTTGATGAATTAATTTTAATCATTTGTTTATTTTTCCCTTATACATGTAACTAGAATAAATGGTTAAATTTCAACAACAATTTTTTGGTGTTCTTTTACTTTTGTCACTCAGTATATATTTATACTTCTTAATTTGTAGACAAATGATCATTTATTAATTTTATTGTTACAAAATGATTACACCGTATAAACGTAAACTAAGTGTCTTTTGCAAAATATATTTGTTTAAAAATCTGTAAATTAAAATTAGAGAAATTTGTTGAGAGTATTTTTAGCGCAACTTCTAAGTTCGAGTACCTACATGCGGAAAAAATAACTTAAAGTGAACGAACGGGAAGTTTAAAAATAGCGAGTAACGCTCAATTAAAAATTTTTTGGAAGCACGGTTTTTTTTTATTTTGGTATTTTGAAGTGAACAAGTTACTTAACTTTGGCAATGACATTGATGATTGAATATTCTTTTATTTTTAGACTTTTTCTTTATTTCGAGTTAATTTAGTTCGTTCGAGAATTGAATTTTTGGACGGCTACCTAGCTATTAAAAATCTCCGCTTTCCGAGAACCCTGCGTTTTCTTCGCACAGCAGGTATAAGTAGTTCATTAAAACTAAAGCGTCACACCGCAAAATTAGAAACCACTATAAACATGTCGCCCATTGTCTATTGTCCTGGTCTCAGGCGCAACCCGCCCCGTTTCTGTGACGAATTGCCTGCACTTCCAGTAAGAAATAAATCAACAAACAAAACGCCGTCCTGACGGATTCGCTCCTTTCGAAAGTTCAAGAGTCTCGCCGAGAGTTTCTCTATTCAATTAGCGTATCCGCGTTTGCGGAAAATTAACCATATCTACCTGATTCTCCCTTAAATCCCTACGCTTGTTTTAATTCCTGCGAATCGTGTAAATTTGCCTTCGCGAGTGTGCGATTCATGAACTCGAAAGAGTTCAAAGAATGAGTAACGGGTCGCAAATTACATACAGGAAAGGATTTGTTCGAATGGGGCGATAGAAGAGAGCCGGAGAATTATCCCGGGATAAATCTGTTTGATAAATCTGGCTGTTTCCCAAAACTCGGGAAAGAAAAATCGAATAATTTAGTATTTACATATTCGCGTCGGAAGTTTCTTAGCCAAATAGACTTTCCATTCTTTTTGTGAAACGTTTAATTCTTAAGCTTTATACGAGAACAAATACTCGCTCGATTTGGAGACAATTATTAGCTGTATATTTTCAAAAATTAGAAGCAATATTTCAATATCGCACCTACTATAATAGAATATTTTCAACTCAATACGACTGAGTTTCAAAAGCGATGAAAAAGGGGGCAAAAAATTAACAATGGTCGGCCACTTTAACCGTCCCTTTAGTTAACTCCGTAAAATAACGACATTGCTTTTTGCTGTCGTTTTCCGTTTTGATCCCCAATTACAAATATGGATGATTTCGAGCTTTTTCCACGTTCAACACCATTAATTTATAACATAGTTTTTGCATCAAAAGCGAAAATGCCATAAAGAATTACAAGATAATGGCGCATATTTGGAGACTCATTAAATTCAGTTGACCTTTACATAAGACTCCGTATAGGTAACTGTCTATACAGTATTGGAAATAAATTCACGCATAATAGGCAAATCAATATAACCGAACCAAAGCGCGGAATGCGGTTTAGTGGAACAATTAAATTTATTAGAATTTATCGCGACATTCTTTTGAAATGTACACTGGTAGACTGGATTTAGACTTTGGCCGGCTAAGAATTTAACGTTGATTTTCCCAATTAAGCGGCAATTTATTTCCAATATTGTATACAAATAAATACATATTTAAAGTTAAAAAGGACCGTTGAATTAATTCTTTTATATAATCTCGTCATAATTAATTTTTATTTAAATAGTAGGTACAATGTAACAGAAATAGTTGAAAACCTTACCAGTGCGATTTTTCGAACTACCCTGTGACAAAAAAGTACCCGGAAATTCTGATTTAAATTACCTCCACTTAATATTTTTAACTATTTTAAGTTCCTGTATGTAGGTAACACTGTTCTTAATTAGCATGCAAAAAATTAAGAGAGATTTCTCAATCAATTTGGTCGATAAACTGATTGAATTAGTTCATCTCAGTAGTACTCTGCGAATTTTTAATGGACAAAAATAATGAACAAAAAGTGTCTCATATTTTGGGTTTTGAACGGAATTTCTTGTTCCGAATCTATGCAAATGCTTAAGGTGACTTCTATTTGATCGAAAACACATATTTACGAATGGTCAAAACTTTTAAAGACAGTCGGGAGATTCTTTGATCAGGACGGTCTTAGACCACTTATTCGGTCTTAGACCTCTATTAAAGAGCAGCTAAAGGAGCTGAAAGCCGTACCAAAAAGGGCATATTAAAATGTTTAGATTGATTGTAAAAGGCGTCTAACTAATTTTGCATTTTATTCCAATTTCCCAGGTACTTTTTTGTCACTGTTTATTATACAAAGTTTCTAGTTGCCATTTCTCCTGCATTGCATCTACACTAATGATACCGATTTGAAACGTGATAAATTTGAATTATGAAACAAAGGAGAATAAATTAAATCACTATTTGTATGAGTTACCCGAGCACTTGCACAACGCCACTTTGCCGGTTACAACTTCTCGAACAAGTTAAGATATCGAATCAATTTCATCGTCGACATAAATATCCTATTCATCACGGCTCGCAAAAACAACTCCCGTTTCCCCGTTTACGGATCCATTCTGAATCGTATAAACTACCAACTTCGCGGAACATCTGTCCCTATTAATATTTGAGGAGTTTCCGGATCGTACGCGTCATCTTCGCGCTACACTTGTTCGAAAACATCGATTGCGAAACGGATCCCGCGGAGCTGTCTTACGAACTTCTCTTGCTCTGGCCAATTTACATCTTCGATTTATGATTTATTGAAAGTTGATGCCGCAGTCAAACAAATCTCGGCGCTTTTCAATACGGATCATCTTTTGCGATATCTTCATCAATGATTTGTATTTTGTCATTAGGTATTATAGGGGGGAGTCTTCCAAAATATGGAGAGAAGTTCCCTTCCAAAATTTGCTTAAAATTGGGTTCCTAGGTTTCCAATTTTTGTAATATCGAGACCGACATATTGGATGATTTCCCTCAAATCACTTTTGAACTACTTGAAACTTGGATAAATCTTCTACTGTGATATGTTTGTGAAATGTTGTTTTCTCTTAAGCTCTGTCTTTGGACTATTTTGTAGGAGCTGGTTTGGATTGGGTTATTTTAACTGGGTACCAATAGATAAATAATTAAGTCTCTTTATATCGTAGCATTGTGGCAACTAGTAAAAACTTGTTTTTTTGTTATTTTATTGGTCGGTTCAATTTACCAAACTACTCGTAATACTATAAATTGAATTACTTGGTCTAAAAATTGGATCGAATCTAAAAAACATGTTATTATATGAATACAACCAGAAAACATTTTTCCTACTACTGTACAATATTTATTAAAAGTCTATACAAAATGAAGGAGTGTTTGAAGGTAGTGGCATAACGTAGTGATTCAATTTATAGACTAATTTTCCCTATTACAAATTTAAAAATAATAAATAAGTAGGTAAATGCAATTTACTAGTGTTAGTGGTGCCATTTAAATGGTTTTTAGGTCAAAGATAGAGCAAGAATAGTATTTTTAACAAAACAACTTAGGTATAGTAACGGTGCATGTTGTATTTATTAAACGGAACGTGTTGTGTACTTTAAACAGAACCGAAGTAAATAATCTGGGGAATTAGAAGTTTCTTAAAACACGAGTTTCGACCGTAAATAACTCGCTTAAGGAGTTTACGTGACTTCACGAGATTAAAACACCGATATTTTTACGAGCAAACCAGATTAAAAGTCTGTTCAAACTGCGCCATCCGTAACGCAACGACAATTCAATCCGTTTTTAGGTATTTAGATGGCTCCTACCGGGGTTAAACTTATATGTATACTGGACGTTTCCGTCAATACGTTTATCTCTTGCAAAGGATCCAATTAAACATCCTGTGTGTAATTGGAATTTCGGTCGGAAAATCAGAATCGTGGAAAGCTCAAACTGTAGGTGATTGATCTATCGACATATGCATTTGAAAGGGAAACTCGCCGATGTTTTAGTCTACAGCCGGAATAGAAACTACTGCATGTGCAATGCGCCTTTTCGTGCCGATGGAGTGCGTTAGTGGAAAAACGTGTTCATTATTCAATACATCCGTTGTCGGATGAAACAGATATGCGGCATTAATTCGGTCGGTTTGCGAGACAATAGCAATGAATGCTCGTCTAGTGGAAAAAATTTGCGCTCTGTTCTCTGAGGGATGCACGTCAACGGATAAAAAAAATTAATTTAAGGACACGTGTTCGTAATTGAACGAATGGCTCGTGTTGGTCGTTTTCGTAACGGTTACGAACTCTAAAATTAATTAAAAT